AATTTTTAAATAAAAAAGTTACTTTTATTTAAATCTATAAAAAGTTTAGCTTTTCCTAAGACCTTAAATATTTTATATATATCCTTTTTATATTATTTTCTGATTTTTAAATAGATTAGAATATTATTTAAATATATAAAAATGTTTTTTTTAAAGAATTATTATAAAATATTTTAGATCATTTATTAAAAGATAATTAATATATTTATAAATCTAAATAATATTACCAAATATTTAAAATAATTATGTAATATTCTAATAATTATTTTTTATTTATTTTTTTTAATAATTTATATAAGATTAAAAATAAATTTTAAATCTAATAATATAAATTATTTATCATTATCTATTTCTTTTTTTAGGCTTTTAATATATAATAAAGGATATTTATTTTTAATTATGATCTTATTTAATTATTAATAATTATAAATATCCTTTTATATTATTTTTCTTTCTTTATTTAGTTTAAATATTTTATTTTTATTCTTTTTAAATATTAAGAAGATTAAATATTCTATTGATAATTTTAATTTTTATATAAACCTTCTTATCTCTTTATTTTAGAATATAATATATAAAGTTTTAGATTTATTTTAATTTAATTTATAAATCTAATATAATTTTGAATATTCCCTTTTCTTTAATATTATTTTATAGTTATATTAATTATATTCCAATATATCTATATCTATATTTAAATTATCTTAGAATAACTTTAGAAATATTTTTATATATTTTTTTTTAATTTTAATTTATTTTTAATTGTTTAATTTTTTAATATTTATATATTATATTATAAAGTATAAAGATATAAAATGTTCCTTTATAAGATTACTTATTTATATTTATTATAATTATTATTTTAATTTATTTAAATTAGTTTCTTTTCAATATTTAAAGATTAAATCTTTTTCTAATTTATCCCAATAAAATTAATCTTATATTTAGTTAATTCTTAGATTACTAATTTTAAATTATATCTTCCCCAAAATTAATTTATAATTTATATTAATAAAATTAAAAAATATTAATTCTTAATATCCTTAAATCAAGATAAAAAAAACTATAGTTTCTTTTTTAACTTTTCTTTTATTATAGGTAATAAGGCTTTTGTTAATATTATTAACTTGATAAAATATCTTCTTTTTTTAATATAATATTTCATATATATTAACCAATCTTGGATGGATTAAATTAACTATATATCCTAAATTAATCAAGGTATTAAATTTATATCTTTTCTATATTATTTTTATAATTAAATAAGATCCCTTAACTATTCTTATTGAACATATTGGTTTAACCTTATTTAATATTGTTTATAGGATTTTCAATAGTTTTTCTATTATATCCTATTATTTATTAATTATATTAATCATTCCTTATAATAGATTTACTAATTATTCAATTCTTCCTTAAAAAATTATAATTTTATTTTTTAAATATTATATTTTTTTTTAAAATTAATTAATTATTTTTTTATATTATAATAATATCTATTTATAATATTTATCTAAAATAGTATTTAGATATTGGGCCATTTATTTTAAATATTTATAAATAGGTTTAATTAAGATGATTATGCCTTATTTTTCTTTATAAAATACTATATAGGAGATCCTATATATGTTCTTGTAACATCATTATATAAATTCCTAATCCTATCCATTTTTAATTACCCTTTTATAATCTAGATTTTTAAATATATTTAGGATAAATAATTCTGGTATTCCTTATTTTTTAAATATTCTTTTAATAATAATTTTATAGACTTTTCTATAATTCTATTTTCTATATTTTTAAATTCATATTTTATTATTCTTAGATATATATTTTAAATTTATTAGGTCATTAAAATTATAATAATAATAATTTATTTATTTAATTAATTATATATGATATATTAATTCTGGTTTGGGGATTTAATTTTATCCTTCTTTATTATTAGAATCTTATTAATTCTATATCATCTGTTAATATAGTTGCATTCTATTGAAATATATTAGAATAATATTTTTATCTAATAATAATATGGTAAAGATATTTTAATTATTAATTTATATTAAAAATATCATTTTTTTTTTATTTTTCCTTCCATATTCTAATCCATATCCCATAATGGCCTTTATTTATCTAAAAAAGAATTAAATTCTTTCAAAAAGATATTCATTTTTTTTTTAGAATCCCTTATACTTATTATATTAAGATTTTATAATTAATTTATTTGATCTATAAAATTCTTTATTTTTATTTATTAGGTAATTTTGTTATAATCTAATAATAGGTTTTTTTATTCTTCTTTTTTTTTAATAATATTAAATATTCTTAAAATTAAAGATCCTAATATTGTTATTATTATATTAATTAATCTTCCTTCTAGGATTTATAGTTATTTCTTAGGTTTCTTATATTAATTCTTATAATATTTTATTTCCTGGTAATTATAATATTTGACTTTATTTAAATCTTTTTTAGATTTTTTATTATTATTAACTATATTTAGGCTTTAAATCTTGACTAGTTCCCTTTTTCTTTAATTCTTTATTATTTTAAAAAAAAAATTTTTTTATTATATTTTTTATATAATCTATTATTATAAAGAATTATTTTGGTTATATATTTATTAATGATGATAGATTTTTTTCCTTAGAGAGTTTATCTTTTATCTAAATAATTATTCCTTTATAAAAGTAATTAAATTATATATTTTCAAATAATTATCTTATAACTACAAATTGTTTAAATTCTATCACATAAAATATAACTTATCTTTTTTATCTAAGGTAATAGATGATCTTCTATATTTCTTCTTTTTTAAATAATTTATTAAATATTATTTACATTTTATTTTCAAAATATTTATATAATTTAAAAATATATTAAAATTTTTTTAATTCTTTTTTAATAATATTAAAATAATTTTATTTAAGAATTAAACAATAATAAATATCTATTATTCCTTTTATAATAGATTTTTTTTATAAAAAAATAGATAAAGTTTTATATATATAAATTAATCCTTAATATTTAAAATTCTATTATAAATTAATAAATTTATTAATTTATATCCCTCAATAAATGAAAAAAGGATTATTATTCTTTTTTTTCTTAATTAAAGATTTCTGCCTTTTTTTTTTTTTTTATCTTTTCTATTATTATTATCATTATCATCTAAAGGTCTAAAAAGTATTAAAGATTAGAAAGATATTGGTTATTAAGAGGTTCCTAATGGGGATCCTTTAAAGGCCTTCTTAAATCTGGCTTCTTTTAAGGTTAATTCTTTTTTAAACCTTTTAACTTTCTTAAGGATAATCATTACTTTAACTTATTAATCAAAGGCCTTTTTTTTTTCTTAGTTATCCTTTCCTATTCTGATATTAATTTCCTTTTATGTTTTTAATTTTAAGATTTATAAGTATATCTTAAAAGATATTATCTTATTAATAAATTAAAATATTTTCTTTATTAATAATAAATCCTAAATATTATGAATAAATATAGATATTCTAGATAATAATAAATTAGATTATTATAAATTATTTAGGTTTTTATTCTGGAATTCTTTTTTATTTAACTTTTCTTTACTTTCTAAATTAGGGTTTATTAGTTTATCCTATATTTAATCATGGTATTATTTAAAAAATAATTTTTAAAAGGTATAAAGATTTTCTATTTTATCTTTAAAGGTTAGTAAAATAAGAGAAGGTTTGATTGATGATGGTAAAGGAATATTTTATAGATAGTTTATACCATTTCTTAGCCTAGTATTAATATTGATCAAAAAGTTATCAAAATGTGATGAACCTATTCCTTAAAAAGGTATAATTATTATTAAATTAATTAATCTAGGGTTTTTTAATTTAAAAATAATAATATTAATAATAAGTTAAATAATTAAATTGGTTTTATTTGTTAAAGAGGCTTAAAATCCTTTTATTATATTTAAAAGAATAATCTTAGATTAATAATTAAAGAGTTATGAAAAAATAATTAAATATATAAGAAAATTATGGTGATTATATAGATATTCTTTATTATTATCTTCTTTATGGATAAGATTAGATTTTCTTATTTATATTTATTCTTTATTATATTTGTTAGATAAGATTGGATATATTTATCCATATTTATTTATATTATATTTATTGGATAAGACTGGATATTTTTATTTATATTTATTTATGTTATATGTTATGTATTCTTATTATCATTATTTTACTTTGGTAAGGAAAAAGGTTTCCTTTGGGGTTTTATATTTCTGTAGGCCTGTGTGGTTTGTGACAAATATGGGTAACTTATTATGGTTAAATTCTGGTTTAATATATTAAGATATAATATATTATAATAATCTTAAAATAAGAAAAGGAAGAAGGAATAATTATATAATTATAAATATTTTTTATATATTTAATTATTTTTTTATAGTTTTTTAATTATTAATTTAAGATTATTTTTCAAAAAATAATGAAAGGATTTTAAGTTTCTTTAATAATTAAAATGTATTTAATTATTTAATTTATTATTAATATTGTTATTTTTAAATTAAGATATCTTAGATTAATTAATTTAGTAATGGTTATATTTCTTTAAGGTATAGGTTTGTTATATACATCTTATTTATTTTTTAAAAGTAAATATAAATTTTTAAATTATAATAATTTAATATTTTAAAATATTTAAAAAATAATATCATATAAAATTTAAAATATTTAATAATAAATTTAAAAAAAAATAATAATAATAAAACTAATATAAATAAAAATATTATAATATTTAAATTAATTAAAAAATTAAATAAATAAATAATTTTTAATAAAATATATAATTAAATATTAAAAATAATTTATAAAAAGAAAAAATTAATATATATAAAAAGAAATTATTAATTTAATAAATAATATTTTTATTTAAATAAAAAAGTCATTAAAACGGAGGTATTTTAAGTAAATTATTAATTACTACACCATTTATAAATTAAGACATTACATCTGTAAATATGCGTCGAGAATAAGACTGTACTAGTACGTGTTTATGTTTACGCATTTTAATTATTAAAACGCGTATAATTGACGTGTCCTTTTTATTATTCATATCCACATGGTCAAGGTTAGTTTAAACCACCACCTGACCTTTCTGTATATATATCTTAATATTCTCTTGCATATATTAAAATAAAAACCCCCCACGAAACGCACCTGTTATGTTTACTAACTCAACACAGTCTCGATGGCAACAGTTAAAACCTGGTATCTGGGGCCGTGATATTGACGAGTGCGAGAGATTTTACCATTTGTCCGCTAGGAGAGATGATGGTTGTTACCCTATCACCGGTTGTGCATCTTTTTCAACCACTTCTTCCAGCAGCGTATTAACCGTCGGAGAAGACGATGGGGAGCGACATCGGGTCGAAGGTGCCTTAAGGAATGCCTGGGCCACACTCTGCTATGAACATCCGACCTTGCGGTCTCGAATTGAACATGACGAACATAGTGGTCGATGTAGGAGGCTATACTCAACATTCAGAAGTCAAGATGAAAAGGAGAGCTGGCTGGACACGACATTTATAGTTGTTGATACGAAACTACACCCTTCGCAGTGGTTCAACGAAGAGTCGCTCTCATTTGGAATTTCCACTCTCTTTCTTGTCAGGTCGAGACATCCAGACAAATACCACCAATCTATCTTTCTACGATGTCCTCACGATATTACGGACGGTATCGGTATCCTTCAATTAGTTGACCAGTTGGTTAGTTATGCTGCCCGAGCTTATGAGCAAGGCGTCACGTATACGGCACCGACATGGGGCGATGAATATTCTAGACTTTCCCCATGCCTGCGCGTCGCCGCTACCATCCCCGACTCGCTATCTGAAGCCCAAACTGAGCGATTTAAAGAGATTCAGACTGAAAACCTTGGGACTTACACGCATCCCAATCTTCTTGGACTTCCACCAAGCTCTACTACCACCTCCATCCTACAAAGCAGGAGGCAACGTCTCGCAGTTGTGGTTCCCAAAGTCACCAGCCAACAGATTACCCGTAATTCTAAGGCCATTGCCCCGGGGGTCAGTGTAACTCACGTTTTCATGTCCGCTTTAGCAATAGCGCTTTCCGAACTACAGCCCCCCAAAGAGGAATCCCATACTGTTCGTTATGTTAATCATAGTATGATTAATCTACGCCCTTACTGCAGCGACTCTTATAGTACACCCGAACATGCGGGTGCTGCATATCATACTGTATCCGCACAGGCGTTAGGCATTGATTTGGTGGTACCACCTCTTGCAACGTGTGGGGTTATCGAGGGCAATGTCGATCAGTTGCCGCGGATTACTACCGACGTGCGAGATTTCTTCAAGCGTATTCGGCCGATATCTTCAACAGACGAACAGGTCACCCTTGCTCCGCTAATGTTTAAGTCTCTCACACCTTCGCCTGGCTCTGACCCTCACATGACATCTAGCCCCCCTTTCTGCCCCGTTCCTCTTTCCTCCATTGGCAATGTGGCTTCTGTGGTATCGCCGAGATATGGTAGCTTCAAGATAATGGACGTATGGGCTTCCAGCGAGCCGATCGGAGCCGGCGTAGCAGTTTTCCTCGGGACTTGGGATGGAGAAATTCAACTCTCGGGCGTATTTGATACCCGATATCATGACGCTAATTATATCCATAAATTTTTGGAGCGTATTGTAAATTGCGTTACTAGGGGTTTGGATATCAACGATTATGTCGCACCTAAGTGAGCTTCTTCCGTTGATGTTACAGGGCCAAGAGGCGCAGGCAAGAGGTGAAGAGTCCGACTTGGTCGGTTTTTTAGGTGTGTTCAATAATTAAAAACGCGCCTCCCCCCTAAGGATATTTATTTAAGTAGTTTCGCGAATATAAACTTACAGATTGATCTTTTGACACTTAGCTTCAGCGGTCTCCTGTTGGTGTGGGCTTAACTAACTTGAGGATGACCGAGAAGATGATAATTACAGCGTTGGGTATGTATCTTTAAGCTTTTCTACTGGAGATACGAGGAATAAAGAAATCACCCTGCAAGTAATAATTATTAGAACCAAAAAAGAACCTCAGTTCAGCTCTACCTAGACATGCGGATGTAAGCTATGTGTAGGGAGTGTAAAGTACATCAACATTGCTCTTAACGAACGCGAATATCGATTGGCATATCATGGGGCCTAGATCGAGTATCACCCCTTTCTCCCCAAAATTACTTTTTTCGAACCACCCCAACGAAATTAAGAGTATTTATCTTTGTCCTTGGGCTCGCACTTGTGACCCTTTTCGTCCGTCCAGCAGTGGCATTGGTCGCAGTGGATGATCTTTCCTGACTCATATTCGTCTGGCGACTGGTACCCGTCGTTCTTGTTTTCGCTGTCCTTCTTATCGTCCTTTTTGTCATCTTTCTTGGTATCCTCTTTTTTGGAGGCGTCGTTCGAGGACATGATGCCTCCCCTTTTCGGTCAGCGTAAGTGGTAGTAAATAGTCTTGAACTGGCTACGGTCCTATTATCTGTGTAGGGTACTGTCGTCTTTTTGAATTCTACCTATTTTGGTCTGTGGGAGAATATTGTTGTGGATATTCTATAGAATATTTTGGTTGCGTCTACTATGCCTCTATTAAGTGAAGCAAAGAATCCGAGAGCCCTCGAGGCGCCTGTTTATATAGTATTCGATGGGAAGAAACGTTTCACAGTGTGCCTACCTATCATGTAGATAATGACCGCAGATGCCTGTCACTGAGGACGTCACTAAATGAATCGGTTTAATGTAACACTTGTATGTATTGTTTAGTTAAATGCCGTGGAAAGGAGTTGGCATTACACGAGACAAAACAAAAAATATTCATGTTTTCCTTTCGGATGAGCATAGCATTTTGACACAAGTCTTCGCTTAATAACGTTCAAAGTTGGGTGTTAGACGAAGACCTAACTCAACTCTTCATCAAGTCCAAGATGGGACGTTTATTGATACTTTTGAGAGTTGTAGATGTTCACTGCGAGGACTTTTAAGAAGCTCTGAACTGTTTTAACTTTATTACACAGTTAAAATGAAAAATATAACATGTATATGAGAGTTGTAGGACAGTAAACCTAAACATTTCTGTAATTCAAATTGACGAAGGAGATAGATTAGCTAAGTATGGAAATTGTAGGAGATAGAAATAAAAATAGAATTAAAAATAAAAATAAAAATAGTATCTCCTACACCTTAGACTTTAGAGCTCCCCCCACCAACCCATCAATTCGGGACCTAATCTTATTTAGGCCTAGCGTACGGTACCTTAACTGGGTAACAAGCGACATCGGCGACGAAAATTCAATTGTGAATCATATCGTCCCGCATGCTAAGCTTTATCAGTTATCAATTTATATAGGGTGATTTATCTGCCCCGCCATACGAATACCTTCATCAGTACAACTTGAAGACAATCTCACTATATCCTTCTATAAACTGGTAAATAGAAGGGCATAGCAACCAAAAGCTTTCAATTAAGCTCAATTAGTCTTGATATAGCTTGATACTACTCCGTGGCCAAGGTCAAAATTTGCGTTATGGCTCCTACGATCCTACATCTACGCTCAGAGGATAAGCCCCTCGAGCATCGCTCAGCGCTAACTCCCACGACAGCTAAGGCATTGATCGATGCTGGCTACGTTGTTAATGTTGAGAAGAGCCCTGTACGGATCTTCGATGATAGCGAATTTAGCGCCATAGGTGCTACTCTTGTTCCAACGGGTAGCTGGCGTGATGCGCCCAAGGAACACATTATTGTCGGACTCAAGGAGCTACCAGAGGAAACTTGTGAGTCAACTTACACACATCTACATCCCTATGTAATTGAGGTTGAATTGGAAAAGAGAATATCGTAGCTAACATTTGGATTACTAAATAGTCCCTCTTAAGCACGTTCATGTCCAATTTGCTCACGCGTACAAGGGCCAAGCGGGTTGGGAGACAGTTCTAGCCCGCTTCCCTCGTGGCGGTGGCACTCTTCTCGACCTCGAGTTCCTAGTCGATCCTAATACAGGACGTCGTGTAGCTGCTTTCGGATACCAGGCTGGGTTTAGCGGTAGTGCTTTGGCGCTTAAGAACTGGGCGTGGCAGCTCACACATCCAGACGGCGAACCTCTGCCGGGTGTTGAGAGCTACCCCAACGAGAATGCTCTGATCGATGACGTTAAGAAGGACCTCGAAGCCGGAAAGGCAAAGGCTGGCCGATTACCTCGAGTCATCGTCATTGGTGCGCTGGGTCGATGTGGCCGCGGCGCTGTCGACCTGTGTCTCAAGGCGGGTCTGCCTACTGAACAAATTCTCAAGTGGGATATGGCTGAGACGGCTAAAGGAGGCCCCTTCCAGGAAATTGCGGAGAGTGATATATTCGTGAACTGCATTTACCTAAACTCGGAGATTCCCCATTTCGTGAATTTGGACTCCCTCAAGCAGCCTGGCCGCAAATTGAGTGTCGTATGTGACGTCTCAGCTGACACAACAAACCCCTTTAACCCCGGTAAGTTACTTCCCGGCATTATTTACTCCAAAAATGTTGTTGAATGCTGATGTGTCTAATAGTACCGATCTACACCATTGCGACTACATTCACCAAGCCCACGGTGCCCGTCGAAGGTCTTAGTGACCCCCCCTTGAGCGTCATTAGTATCGACCACCTACCCAGTCTACTTCCACGAGAATCTTCCGAGTCCTTCAGCAACGATCTCCTGCCATACCTGCTTAAGCTCAACAACTGGCAGAACAACCCCGTGTGGGCTGGAGCCTACAAGTTGTTCCAAGAGAAGGTGGCTACATTGCCTAAGGAGGCATTGGAGAATTAGACCTACCCAAGAAGAGGCTGTTGCGATGTGATTACTGGGAGGGGACAAATTGATTGGCGTTATTGGGATACCATGTGTAGATAAAAAGAACGTACCTAGAAAAGTAAAGCGACAATTTCGCAAGAGAAGTGATGGATTGCGTATGAAAAAAATCAGAGGGATTGAACAAAGCTTTCTTACATGAGAAAATCAAGTCAATATGCTACGAACCCGATCGGATTCTTAAATTTCTTCATAGATCTCACTTCGTATGTCCTAATGGCGCTACCATCCCCCCCTTTTAATCAAGTATAAACGATGTAGAGCAGTGTATCAGACCCAAATCCCAAATTGCCTACGATAGCTTGCCTGCCTATGAACGCCGAATATGCATATACATCACGTACCTATACACAAATAACCTGTTCTTCCCTCCGGCGATTCGTTGCTTTACCGCCTCTCCGTCTCCGCATCTTTTCCTCTTGTGTTACCCTCCTCTCCGGGCCTCCTCGTTAACCCACCAAATCTCTCTGCGCGCCCCAACTTCTCTAGTTCCTTCTTGACTTCATCCGGGTCGCGAGGCGGTAGACCCCACCACTCGCGATGAAACGCTTCTTGTTCAAGTTTTCTCCGTTCCTTTTGTTCGCGTTCCCGTGCGCGCTGCTGTCGTTGCGCAAACCATTGTTCCCTCGCGCGATCGTGTTCCTCGGGCGTGGCATATGCTAGCATACATCCGTTCATGCGGCGTGAAGATTCGCGGCAGGCGAAGGGTATAGTAAGGGTTCGGTTGCGGGCGCAGTCTGCAAAGGCTATTGTGTATTATGACTCTTGATTAGCTACTAGAACCTGCTTTCAAACAATGGTGGGATAGGGTGGGCTGGGAAGTGGGGGATTGTGTAAAATGGCATGTAGATGGACCAACCTTTAATTTCGTCCGCACATTGCTTCCTCACCCGCTCGTTGAACACTTCTCGAACTTGCGCTTCCTGACTTGCCGAAAGTGGTAAGGGGTTGCGTGAAGGCATCGGTAAGCTTCGGTGTTCCGTTTCCCTACCATTATTACTCTTGCTGCTGCCACCGGGGACTATTGGTGGTTGTTGAGCTGCCATTGTGGCCATGGGTCGGTAGTTACTTTTATGAGAGGAAAGGTCGGTGGGTAAAATGAGGATTGTTTCTTATTTGTTCATTACTATAATCTCTCCATATGTTATAAATTCAAGAAATTCATGTGCTGTAGCTAGATTCTCATCAGGTGGTAATTGTAGCTTTATGGTTAGAGCGGCGGAGCTCTGCAGTTCTGCACAATTGCATTGACAATTCTGCCAAATTTCACCGCCTGTCAATTTGGGCGATAGTATTAAATTAGAGGGAAGCTATATTCATGTAATGATACTAAGAAATTCTTAGAGGTTAAGGAATAACCAGCACTTTGGCTTCGTCATAGGGACACCTCGTTCACATAAGACTTATAAGTTCAAGTAATTAGACATCTGAAATGCTAATCAAGTGTGATATTGCTTCTATCAAGACTCTTTTCGCCCCGAGTAAGACTAAAGCTATATCACTATTGTATAAGTATTTTCGACCCAAGGCTTAATTCTCTTCAAACAGAGGAGTATTCGGCGCTGATTCGTCTCTCTCAATGTCTAAGCTCTCCTTTTCTTTTCCGGTCCTCTTTTTCATTGCGAATCGAGATCCCCAGCTCACCGACTTATCCTTAGTATGCCTGCTCGCGCTCGTTGGCCCTAAAGAAGGGCTGCTATGAAGACTCTCGTAGCTACGACCTAGAGTTAGGCCGACACCACCGCCACTGCTATCCTCGGCGTACTCGTCAAAGCTGCTGCGCTCTGCAGACGCATTCTTGTCCGAGTTGGTGATGCTGCTGGGTCCTTTCTTACCTCCTAGACCTCGTACCGAAGTGAAGCTGAATTTGGAAGAACTGCCCTTGCGTAGTAATTTTCTAAATCCGCTTTCCTGTTCTTTATTTCCAGAACCGGCCGCTTGGTCAGAAGGTGTGTTAGACAATGTATGATCTAACGTGAGCGATTCGCGTGACTCGGTGATGGATGGTGTGCCAATAGAATATGCGTCACGAGATATTCGGGATTCAGATGGCGACTCGTCTACAGATGGAGCTGCAGCTTCAGACGTCGATGATATTGAAACACGCGGCTTCTTCTCCTTAGCTGAATCCTTATCTTTAGTCTTACTCTTGGATTTATCTTTCGAGTCCTTGTTCTCTCTATCCGTGTCCTTGTCCTTATCAGGTTTAGCACGGAATAAACCTGCCATAAAGCTTGGTGCGGCGGGATTAAGGCGCTGACTCAATGTCTTAGAGGAAGGTCTTGTACCGATGACCCCCACCTGACTAGGTGATGCGTAGAGTAACTCGGACTCATCGAGAATTTCATCATCCGCGTCAGCCAGTGTTGTCTTGAGCGCAGAAGGGGAGCCGTGGACAGAAGGTCTCCGAGACGGATTCCGCGAAGGCACCCATGGATTATCATCTGCGGACCAAAGTCGACTTGGCTGTGGCGCTCGGGCCCAAATAGACCCACTATCAGTAGAAGGACGAGGCAATTCGGATGATGCGATTGACACAGGTCTAGGACTACTCGGATCTCGGTCGGAGAAAATATTGCTCCCGATACTATTGGCATTGGCGGATAGTCCTATTCGGCGCGAATGTACGCCTCTCGCACTGGGGCTGCCGGCAGCTTCCGGGATATCTGGTCCCGCCGAGTTCCTGTTGAACATATTCCATCCAGACGAAAAACTAATTCTTCGCTTGCTCGGCATAGCTTCTCCATCCTCAGCTTGACGTGGTAGTGACTGAGTCTGACCGGATTTTAGAGAGCCTAGAGCTGGTGGTTCCTCGGCCGGCTTACTGCCGCGATGAAGCCAAGGCAAAAAGCTTCTTCTATTCGTAGCTTGCGCTGGTGGGGCAATCGGTGATGATGCAGTATTCAGGTCTCGAATCCCCTTTAGCGAACGGCGTTCACTGTTTTCACCCGTATATTGCGAGAAGGGTAAATGATGGGAAGAGCCTTGAGGGCTAGATAAGATATTAAGAGACCGAGCCGAAGAAGCGGGTGATTGAGGATCGTTTTCAGGAGAGAAGGCTGAACCGAACGTGCTATGACGAGCTCGGCGAGAGCCAGGGCTAGGAGGCTCTTCATCTACAAGGTCGTCAAGCATGCCTGCAGGTAGGAGAGATGTTGCCGTAGGGCTCAGCGGTGCAGCACCACTAAGGCTTCGCATATTTTCGTCATCGAGTAAGCCGGAAAAGTCGGGGTTGTGTTCCATATAAGGACCTTGGGCGAATCCGGGAGGTATAGTGGGAGGGCGAGAAGGTCCAAAAGGTGCGGAGGGTCCATAGGGTCGCTCAGTCATCGAAAACGACTGAACTGGCGAAGGAATCGCTACGTTAGAAAGCGAATTGCTGTTTCGACTCCGTCGTTTGAGTTGATTCTGTGTTCCTAGATCGAAGTCGACTCCCGAGGAATTTGCTTGGTTATACATGAAAGGAAGGCCGGACGATTGTGCTGCAGCCAACTGAGCTTGTAATACAGCCTCATAATCGTTGACCATCCGTAGTTTCCGATTCGCCGAAAATAGTCGTCGTTGTAGGTCTCGAGCCCGAATTTCCCAATCTCTCTTAATCTGACGATCCGTCTCACGCCATTCCTCACTCTCCTCTCCCCCAGGAAGCTTCTTCCTCTGTTCCTCAGCCTCCTTCAATACCTTGCTCTTTTCCTTGAGTTCCATTTCTTCTTGGGCCAAGCTTGCCTGCGCCTGAGCTATCTCAGCACGCAATTCTTCAGATCGAGCATCACCATCCTTTTGACAGGAATTTCTATCTCTTTCGAAACCGGCTTGTCGCTTCAACATTGATGCGATGTCCTTCTCCCACTTCGCTATATCGTCATGGAGCTTTTGTCGCTCGGCTTGCTTCTCCCTTAATAATTTCTCCTTTTGCGTCTTTCGCTGTTGCGCACTCCTCATAGCGCGCTCCGTCGAACCCATTTCTCTCTTCAATTTTTCAGTCGTATCATCTTTCTCCTTTTGTATGCGGCGTTTCGTTTTCTTCTCCTCGGTTAATTCGTCCATCAATTCTTTATGTTCCTTCTCGTCCCTAGTAATTTGAGATTGCGTTTCGTCAATCTCTTTTCGAATACTCTCGAACCTTTCGCCTAGTTCTTGTAAGGATTCTTCGGAATCTTTACTTAATGCTTCCTTCACAGACTGATCCATGCTTGTCGTTGAAGGCGAATGTTTTCGTGTCAAAGTATTCCGTCTCGGGCCGGTTAAAGTGCTCGAGTTGGCATCGCGTACAGATACAACAGTATTGTCGGGAACAGAGGCCGTCTCCACACCTGCAGCTGAAGTCCTCACCGCCCCATCTTCGTCCACATGCTCGCTAGGTAAAGCAAGTTGTTGTTCTTCGGGAATAAAATTAGATGGCAGACGACCATCTCCAAGTTGAGGACGTCCATCTCTTCCGTATGTTCGCAGACGTATTACGCGGCTACCTGCCTGGAAATTATTATATCCAACGGCAATAACTCGAACGTTGTAAAAATGGTTTGGCTTCAGGCCCGTGACTGTAATAGCTGTCTCTTGGTTTGCGGAATCGCCAACTAAAAAATAGGTGGCCACCGTTAATTTCTGCGCGCGACTACAACTGACAACTCCCCATCACTCACCATTAACGCCATTAACTTGTATTGTAAATTTCGCTACAGGTCGAGTAGGTAGAGGACGAGTCCAGTTAAGCGTTGCGGCATCGGCACGAATTCCTGCGAGCGAGACTTCGGGAGCATCGGGAACCTCGACACCGAGAACGTTGATCAGTTCGTTGACGGATTTCCTTAGAGTCTGGACGGCTCGGTGGGCCAACCTATGGTGTTGCGCCATTGATTAGAGACAAACTACGGGGAATAGCAGGGTGCGATGCGGTGCAGTGCGGTGCAGAGTGGAAAGGTACATACCACACAACGGCGAGACCGGTCACAAGCATATTGGTATGATATAGAACTAAAACGTCGAGACGTAACAATGTAGCTGTTTGGATGCTAAGCTCGTAAATCTGGTATGGTGTGGCCTGGGCTAGCTCGGGGGCGACAGCCCAGTAAAAGAGGACGCAACCGATAACAACTATCAAGTTCAGATGGGTCGTCTTAGGTTCAATAAACCACCAAGCCAGCAGAGCGCAGACGAAGAGAACGGTAGGGACAGACGTCGGCCATGGGGTCCATAACATATCGCCGTGGTCGGTAAGCCAAAGTATCAACAAAGAAAAGGAAAAGAAAAAAATGCCCAAGAGGGAAGAGGGGGAGGGGAGAGATTCAAGAATAAGGGAAGCGTAAAAAAAAAACACAAAAAAAAAAGGTTAGAAAAGGTTTCCTTCCTCCAGGGTTCTTCTTTTCTTCGTCGAATTGCCTCCACGGAAATTTGTGGGGACCTGGGTCATTTTTGGGGGCGTACGTGAACAATTAGAAGAGATGGAAGAGAAGCTAAGCTGACCTGGAGCAGAGGCTACATACAGCAAGCAGTAAGAAACGGCATGGCGCTAAACTTTGTGAAAACTACTTGTTATTTCCAGGGTCCGACGGTGCTCACAGGGCGTTTTACTTCAGTGTAACACCACAACCTTAACGCTTAACGAAAGTCCGTTAATTCTCCAGCTTTAGTGGTAGACTTATTCCGGCAAGCGGAAGAGTAAAGCACTAGAAATAAGCTTATTGGATTAAATCCTAACAATTCCAGCCTTACGTACTTTACTCTTCTCCAACAATAATATATTATTGATGATCAACCATAGTCATTATTTCGAAATCAAAACCAACAGAAATACCAAACAATAGCGACGTACATAGCTAGGCGGATAGATATCTACCTACCTAGGTACCTAGGCAGTAATTGCTGCATAAGCGTTGCGTTGTTCCCGAATCCTTGAGATAAAAGAAGAGGAAAAAAAAAAAAAGGTCGCATACCCATGCCACGAGATCTGCATGGTCGGATGCCCTTGTTAGCACCTCGGCATGTGTTGTACGACATTGCCTACGAAGCTTGACGGAGAGCCTCGTCCAATCGAAATAGCAATCTCGGCAGTGAGAATAGAACACTAAGGGATGGTGTGCAGCTATAACTCCGATACCTCCAGCGTATTATCTCACCTATAGTATGTCCCGCTCGACCTCGACCTACAGCCTCAGTTTCACTGTGGACAAATCTCTTATGCTGTCTGAATACCTGACTAGGTACCTAGACAAGTATACTTATATTTACAAGAATGCTCATCCTTCGATCCACACCAGAATTAGCATTGTTATGCCTATCTATTACGACTTACGATGGCCGAATGGGCGCATGATTGATGGACCTCGTAGACCCAAGTCCGTCGATCATCTCGGTATTACCTCTTATAGTGGCCATCCGTTTATCTCCCGACCCGAACCCCACGGGGATCATTGCTAGATGTCACCAAATGTACACGATGAGGGTTGCCATGCAGATGCATTGTTGATGCCGTCATACATTTCGGGAGGCTTGATGTCGTATCCTCAGATTTCAATTGACGAGAAGAGTAATTAGCTAAGTTCGTATCCACGTGTAATACCGAGGCCTCTCTAGATCGCTCTGGGTATGACAAAAAAGCTTGGGCGTATAAAAAGCATTTTTCAAAGACATTATCAAGATAGGTGCGTTATTATTCAACCGTCTAACCTGGCAATAGTCTTAGTTGAAAATGAGCCAAATACCTTTCAACATGTAAGCAGCCATATCATCATTCGTACTCCCATACCCTCTTTTCTTCTATTCCGCTCTCCAATGAAAACTAGAATGCGTATCATGGAGATTTCGTCTGTCTTTTCCGTCTTCACCAATGGTATATATACAGTTTATCTCATATAATACTGGGCTGTCTCATTCGGTGAAAAATTGATCTGGATTGTCTGATTGTCTTGGTTATGCAAATTCGTTGATACCTAGGTATAAAAGTATCCAAATACTAGCCACGTTCTTTTAAATGAGGTTTATCTTGCTTAAATCAATCCTCCATAAATACCCTCGTCGGGCTTCTCAATATTCCAGGTTGAAAATAATAAAAAATAACTACATGTATGTCTTTGATATTGAAATATAATGATCAAATGCCTAGGTACCTAGGTAATCGTATAAGCATGTGTATATCTCGGCTTATGGCGGTTAGTACATGCCTAAAATGAAGCATTAAAATGCAAGTCAGCTGCACCTAACAAGGCCTAGACACAGCTATGGATCAGCTGCTGTAGTGACAGGCCAGCATTGCTCGTTCTTAATATTTTAGCGTAGATACCTTAAAAACCCTTGTAAACTGTGTACCGCGTGGCAGCGCTTCAGTTTTGTTAAGGGACCCACTTTAGAAGCATGTGTCATGGATCCGCGGCTTTGCTTGGTGTTTGGTGTTTTAGTACTCGGCCTGTCGGCTTCAGGCGTGTACCTAGGTAGGCATGCCAGCATTGATGGTAATGTTAGGGAAAGTACAGTACTAAAGCCTAAAAAAGTCGAAAATATTTGCTAGCATACAAGAAGTATCGAAATTCAACTAAATCCACTCTATTTTCCTTTAACAAGCCCTCTCTCCGTCATCTTCTACGATATTTCCGCCTTTCGTCCCACCAACCCGATCAATAACTTCTCCATCTTCTCGTCTTCGTCATAAATCCTACCCGCCTCCGATTTATTTTTTCTTTTGCTCTTCTCCCGACGCTCGTTTTATTAATTTTTTTGCTAATTTACGACCGTTTCAAAAAAAAAGCAATGATATAATCCTTATTGTACATAGTACCATACATTTCGTTTCCGACCTTGTCAATTTCGAGACCCCCCGTAACCATAACTACGTCACTATAGAGTAATGGTGCCGAAGACTCGGAATCCTTCAATCCTCCCCCAACTTTTGCTCTCCTTCCGTCAGCATCGTTTCAAAAAGAACCGAACACATAAATCGACAAAACCAGGTCCTAGCAAGGTACGAATCAACACGTTGGAATATACGTTTAATTGTCTCGACCAAGCTTCGGAGTAAATTTTGGTCTCTAGGGCGATTGCCTTGGGCTGCTTTCTTGCTTGGCTGTTATCCTTTTCTGCGGTCCAAGGACCGAACCTACCCCCCTTGATACGAGAAACCCGTTCGATTTTCATAGAAAATGCAGTACGTCCGGAATATTAGTGACTCGGTTTCCACCGCCTGGAATTCGATCAATCCGGCTACCTTGAGCGGGGCTATCGACGTGATCGTGGTTCAACACGAAGACGGTAGCTTATGCTGTTCCCCCTTTCATGTCCGTTTCGGTAAATTCTCGTTGTTGCGACCTTACGAAAAGAAGGTCGAGTTTAGGGTCAATGGAGCTAAACAGGATTATGCTATGAAGCTGGGTGAAGGGGGCGAGGCTTTTTTTGTATTCGAGACGAACGATACCATTCCCCAGAGCCTCCAGACCTCACCTCTTAGCTCTCCGGCTTCGAGTCCCCCTCTAGGACCGGACAGCTCCTATTCATCTGGAGCTCTCCAAGAACCGGACTTCCTGCAGCTGGATAGTGATCCTCGACCACGATCCATGTCAACATTACGACCTAAACCTGCTGTCCTTTCGTCGCAAACCTCTCGTCCAGGTTCGTTATAACGTTCGTATCTAGACTATCGAGTTACCTACTCACTGTATCGCAGGCATAGTTGAACCAATTGCGTCCTCTCCTGAACTAGGTGGTGGCCGACCAACTTCAAAAGAATGGTCCAATTCTCCTACTCAACAGTCTTACACCGATGACATACTACCAGCAGCAGCCCAGATGTACCCCGAGCCCGATGATTCAAATGGAGATTCACCCGAGCCAGACAGTCCAATCTCACAAAGACCGCGGAGTCCACCCCCTTTGGCCCCTCGAGAAGCTATCCAACGTGCTATGACTCTCTCGAAAGAGCTCTCAGCCGTCAATATTCCTAGCCGAGTAACCGAAACGGGCGATCTCATGCTAGACATGACAGGATATAAATCCAGCGAAGAAGATGCGATTAAAGCCGAAATTTTGGCAAGGAATATACTATCGGAAGAGCTTCAAGGCGATTACGATATTGGCGCATTATTTGGCATGGATGAAGAAGGAAACTTGTGGATATATAGTAGTGAGGATGCGAAAGAGGCTGCGATGAAAAAAACAGTAGCATCTCTCCGACCGTCACCGACCGTTGCGATCGATGCCGCATCGGATCCGGGGTACCAAAGCGACGATTCCACTACGTCAACACAGGCGCCCTCGCATAGGAGAAGCGAGTCTGATGTTGGGCAAATTTCGATCCAAACACCACCAACGACACCAGGATCATCATCAGCTGGGAATCCAAACCGGAATTATGCGAAGACTCTTCGACTGACTAGTGATCAGCTGAAAGCGCTAAATCTGAAGCCTGGCGAAAATTCAATGAGCTTTACCGTAAACCGAGCAACTTGCCAAGCTTATATGTATCTCTGGCAGCATGATACTCCTGTTGTCATATCTGACATCGATGGCACCATAACTAAATCGGACGCTCTAGGCCACGTGTTGAACATGATTGGAAGAGACTGGACTCATACGGGTGTTGCAAAGCTTTACAGTGATATCGTCGAAAATGGGTACAATATTATGTATCTCACAAGTCGTTCGGTTGGACAGGCCGACACGACGAGGGCATACCTATATGGAATTACTCAGGATGGCTACCGATTACCTAGAGGCCCAACGATTTTATCGCCTGATCGAACTATGGCTGCGTTGAGAAGAGAAATCTATCTTCGCAAGCCCCACGTATTCAAAATGGCTACTCTTCGAGATATTCGAAGCTTGTATGGCCCCGATAATCACTGTTTTTACGCCGGTTTCGGAAATCGTCTTACGGATCAGATCTCGTATCGGACAGTAGATGTCCCACGAAATCGTATCTTCACGATTAATTCCAATGCTGAGGTATCTCTTGATTTACTAAGTCTCAATAAGCTGAAACTTAGCTACGTCAATATGACCGAGGTTGTTAATCACTACTTCCCTCCTGTCAGCACATTGGTCAAAGGCGGTGGTGTTGAGTACACCGACTTCACGTACTGGCGTGATACTCCATTAGAATTAGACGAGTTTTCCGCAAGCGAGTCTGATGAAGGCGTTGAGGGGAGTTCTGCGGGAGAAGAGGAAGAGGAGGATGAAGATGTCGGCAATATGGGTGATAGCTTCTTATCAAGAGGTGATGAGGAAGAAGAGGACGACGTCGATGCTGGAGAAAGTATACTCAGCGGCGAGTACGAGGGAGAAGAGAATATGATCGGCTCCATGATCGATGACGGGTCCGACGACGCTGATGATGAGGGTGATCTGGAGGAAGACGATCAAATCGAGTATAATAATAACCCTCGACAAGCTCCTCATAACCCTAGAGCTCAGGGCGAACCCGCCGCTGCGGTGCGAGATGTTGACGCTGAACTCATCACCGGAATGAGCAATCTCGGTCTTGATAAAGATACCAAAGAAACGAAAGCCTAGGCTTAATAAATATTCCGATATTACCGCTATGATGAAGACGGACGGTCGGTCTTGTATGTTAACACATGACCAAATGCCAAGGGACGCCTTCAACAAGCGTTCTAACCCATTGGTATTGGCTGTTCGTTTCCAACGCTATTAACTCCAAAAGTACGGGAAATAACTCACCGAGGTCTATTGGTCGAGTTATATTATTCAAGTCACTGCATATCACCTTCATCAATCACTATGAGGACAGATTGGTTGGGTTACTGTTCGCATACTACCTGCAGTAGGTAGATGGTTGTATTTTTTTCCGGTTTGCATAGCGTTGGCGTTCTCTAGAGATCGGGGAATGCATCTAAATATAGATGAACCGAATGTACAAGAAATGATCTTGTTTTCCCCACGTTCCAAGCAGTCTACCACCAGCATTTTCGCGACGTATTATTTTTGTTGTAGTAAATCGTTTATCCTCCTTGTGTGCTTGATTGGGTCCCAACTCGTAGTAATCCTAATATTCGCCTAGCCTTCCTATACAACTCGCTTATGTTTTGTGTAGCATAGTCGTTGGTCGAAAGGATTTTTAGGCTTGCGTAAGTGTCGGGGTGCGCAGCATTAGTATCGTTGCAAGTTCGTTAGGGTTTCCATCAGCCATAGCAGTAGTATTTCATCGCTGTAGCATCCAACCTTTATCCAGCCTTCATGAAGCCGGCAGGGTGACATCGCAATAGTAAGATATCATCACCGAACGAATCATTCCATCCCCTCCATATCCTCATCGCCCATATCATCCCCGAGTAGCTCATCCAAACCACCTCCTTCTCCATCTTGAGCTCCCTCGCCCGCACCCGTAGCATTTCCAGAGGCGTCCTTATTCTGAATATTCACATCCTCAAACATATCGTCATCGTCGCTTTCATCATCAGGCCCACCTTCTTCACCCCACTGATCTCGTAATCCCCAACCCGTGCCGCTTAATACAAAGCGCTCGTTAGGTAAACGAACGCCCCACTCGTTAGCGAGAACACGAGGTAACGCGACCTTGTTGCGTTCTCGCGCATGATCTTGTAACCAATCCTTACTCGTGCCACCGCCACCGGCCCCAGCCGCGCCATGGAATTGGTATGATTGCCGAGATGCGATGGCTAAGTTGATCGCGTTGGAAGTAACGACGGCTTCGCCGGCCGATGGTGCAGTTGGCGCGGCGCCCGATGAAGAACTTGCTTTTGCGCCGGCGTGTGTTGTGTATGGATCCGTGGATAGGTGAAGCGCGTCGGAAAGTAATGACGATGTGTGTCGGTACGCGAAGTCGAGAAGTAAAAGAGGAACGCGCTCGTCGAATGATGTTACGCCTTGGGATGTTAATAGTAGCTCGATTGTGCGGGCATCGCGCGGTCGCGGCGCGTGGGATGTTGTGGGTGAGGATGGCGCTTGTGGTGCTGTCTGCGAGTTTCCGCCGTTAGAATTATTGGTGGTTCCTGTCGAAGTACCAGTCGCTTGTGTATTTTGGACGGTTGCCGAACCGCTTGTTGTGGTATTTTGAGTTGGTTGTGATGCTGGTTGTGATGGGCCTGGCGCTGAAGATGAAGGTACGCCATTAGGTTGAGATTGCGACGTCGATGCCATCGTCGCGACTAGAGGGTAGTGTTTTCGAGGAAGTGTAGTAGGGTGTCAGTCTTAAAAAGCCAATTCTATGCGATGGCTTAGAAGTGTTATTCAACTGGGCGAATATTTGCGATCGGCTTGTCCGGCGAAGGCTTTGCGTTCGAGGAGGTTGGAGTCGAACTTGTGAATGATTGAAGGTTTCCGATGATCTTTTCCGTAAAAGACGATTATCTCGTACTGAACCGGGATGTTCACTAGAGTGTAGGTGACAATTTTAGAGATGTCGGAATTAGACGTCAAGGGAGAATGTTGTATAGAACAAGAAAGCCACTGTAAATAAATCGGTAGCCAACATTTAACTTTGTAGCTGGGTGAGGCTGATTGACGGAGTGGGCCTCAAAGTAAAAATAAATGGGCCCCTAGCTATCTTCAGGGTGGGATGCACAGTTATGGAGCTAGCTCGTTCTCCACACCTGTTCTATCATGTACTTTATCACCTAATTTACTTGAAAAAGTACCGAGATCTAACTTTCATTGCACACAACCCTTCCCTAGCCTTATTTTGAAGCTATTTATGTAATTCTATATACAAATTTAGTGAGAAAATACCTCATGTGGTGGATAAACTGGCATTTATCTGTATAATAGCGGGGTACTAACGGCGTACTTTATATTCCCTATGGAGGGGTAAAAGATTATAATGCCCCGCCATCATTGGGCAATCAGACCATGCACGCCGATTTCAGGAACGTCATTGTGAACAAGTTTTATTTTTTTCCTCTCCATCTTTTTCAATTCAAGTCATTCACTTATTAATCTTATTTTGAGATTTGAGGCAATCTATTCTACTCAATTCCATTCGATATCCTAATCGCTATGGAGTCGACATTACCTCTTCCTTTTCTGATCTCTGTACCCGTCCCGCCTAGTTGGGTCTCAAGCGAGGAGGGGCAAGGACTGAGCCAAGAAGAAGTATCATGTCTGGGCTGCGTTTTCTTCGAGGTGACTCAGCAGAATTTCCAAGAACTTCTTGACAATCTCGGACAACTTAACTCCGCTGCACTTCACACTTTTTTCGATGCCACCGGCCTAGAATCAAAAGATGATGTTGTCACGCTATTGGACAATGGTGCTCGAAAAGTTTTCGTTCAACCCGAGAGGCTTCCGGACTTCACGGAGTACGGGAGACGAGTAGCTCCAGCAGTGAGCAAGATTAACCAAGTGTCGTCCGGGACACAGCATGGACTACTTCTAAAAGATTTTGACCAACGGAATTGCGATGTGGCTGGCTTCATGGAGTCAAACAAGGCCACTAAAATGCCACCTCTATATATCAAACCCATTCAAGACACCACATACGATCATTTCGTTGATATATGCTCACAACTATCCGCCATCCCTATCATCCCATCAACAGAATTAACAACAAAGAAGGACGAAGTAGGGAAGGTCTCCGTATCAAAATTATTTTCTACGGCATGGAAGTCAGATAGACCAGACAAGCTTTTGCCTACTGTTGTTTGCGATGAAGGTGGAGTTGCGCTTGGATTAGTGTATAGCAGTGAGGAAAGTGTTGCGGAGTCTTTACGGACGAAGACGGGCGTCTATCAAAGCCGGAAACGAGGACTTTGGTACAAAGGTGCTACCTCTGGAGACACGCAGGAGTTGGTGAGGATATCTCTCGACTGCGACAATGACGCTCTAAAATTCGTGGTCAACCAAAAAGGTAAATTCTGTCATCTCGACCAATATGGATGTTTTGGTGATCTCAAGGGGATTGCGAAGCTCGAACAAACACTACACTCAAGGAAACGGTCGGCTCCCGAAGGATCATACACGAAACGTCTCTTTTCAGACGAGAAGCTTTTGCGCGCCAAGATCATGGAAGAGGCAGAAGAATTATGCGATGCAAAGGCTCCCGAGGATATTGCGTTTGAAGCGGCGGATTTAATCTACTTCGCATTGACGAGAGCTGTCAGTGCTGGAGTGAGTCTGTCTGATATTGAGAAGAATCTCGACGCCAAGAGCTTAAAGGTCAAGAGAAGGCCAGGAAATGCAAAGGGCCAATGGGCTCAAAAGGAGGGCATTACGAATGGAACTGCTGAGAAAGCCAAGGAGGTCGCGAAGACCTCTGCCACTCCGTTAACATCCGCCCCAGGTACCGATAGAATAACCTTGAAGCGGGTTGATGTTAGCAAAGTCAGCGAAATTGAAGTTTCAGAGGCGTTAAGAAGGCCGTCCCAAAAATCGGCCGACGCGATTATGAACATCGTCACTCCTATCATTAACGACATTCGAACAAACGGAGATAAAGCATTACTATCTTATACTCACAAATTCGAAAGGGCGACTTCCCTTACTTCACCTGTCCTCAAAGCTCCATTCCCTCAGTCGCTCATGAATCTCCCTCCAGAAACTATCAAAGCGATTGATGTCTCATTCGAAAATATTCGAAAGTTCCATGCCGCACAAAGAGAAGAGCCTCTAAAGGTTGAAACTATGCCAGGTGTTGTGTGTAGTAGATTCTCTAGACCGATTGAGCGAGTTGGTCTGTATGTTCCAGGTGGAACCGCGGTCTTACCCAGTACGGCGCTTATGCTCGGAGTACCGGCTATGGTAGCAGGTTGTAAGAAGATTGTTCTTGCGTCTCCACCACGTTCCGATGGTAGTATAACGCCAGAAATTGTGTACGCTGCTCATAAAGTTGGTGCTGAGAGCATTGTCTTGGCCGGGGGTGCACAAGCTGTTGCAGCAATGGCATACGGTACAGAGAGTGTCAGCAAGGTAGACAAGATTCTTGGACCTGGAAATCAATTTGTGACCGCCGCCAAGATGTTCGTCAGTAACGATACCAACGCCGGAGTGAGCATCGATATGCCGGCCGGCCCATCAGAGGTATTGGTAGTTGCGGATCAGGATGCCAATCCGGCTTTTGTCGCCTCTGATCTCTTATCTCAAGCCGAACACGGTGTCGATAGCCAAGTTGTCTGCATTGCCATTGATCTAAATGAAAAGCAATTACAAGCGATCGAGGACGAGGTCCACAAGCAGGCAATGGCTCTACCACGAGTAGATATCGTGAGGAGTGCCATCGATCACTCCGTTACATTCATAGTCAACGATGTAGAAGAGGCAATGAGAATTAGCAACGAGTATGCTCCTGAGCATCTGATCCTACAACTCAAGGACGCTGAGAAGGTGGTGGACAAGGTAATGAACGCCGGTAGTGTGTTTATTGGGCAGTGGACTCCCGAGAGTGTTGGTGATTACTCTGCGGGTGTCAATCACTCCTTGCGTAAGTTTTACTCGTTCCTTCTAGTTAACATAATCAACTGACCACGACGTAGCTACCTACGGGTATGCCAAGCAGTATTCGGGGGTAAACCTTGGTTCCTTCCTCAAGCACATCACAAGTTCGAACCTGACCGCCGAGGGTCTCCAAAACGTGGGTGGTGCAGTCATGCAACTGGCAAAGGTAGAGGAACTTGAAGCACATAGGAGAGCCGTAAGTATCCGATTGAATACTCTCACCGGCGAGCAGGTTTAATACAACCCTACTGGATGATATGAGATGCCTATAGCCCAAAATGGAAGGGGGTAAATGAAGAAGAAAATGTGTTACTCACTTCCGGCTTCGCGATCCCTCTGGAGAGTGAGTTAAAACAGGTTGCCAGTCACTTTAAACTTCTGATCACCTGGTACTATCATTTTCTTTCAATTATGGTGTATAGCCTAGTATAGGTAATGGATTGATAATTAAAATGGGGTGGGGCATATAAGACAAGCAGATAGATATGAAAAAGCAATTGGAGAAAATAAGTAAAAGCATGAGTAAAATGATGTTTCCTGGTGGTGGTGGTTTCATTATGGAGTGCTAGACAAAATGGTACGCAAATATCAAAGAAAACTTCCGTTCGTCCTCATCCGAACTTGATAGCATGATATCGGGAGACACTACAAATTGAGATACGCCGAAACACGTCATTTAAGCCGGTCGAAACTCCTTTATTCAGGACCGATTGGTAATTTCTAAAGTAGGTAGCCGGGTGGGGGTTGTTTATTCGGGGTACGGTGTCGCCTTCCGTCCGATTTCTTTCACCTTTTGTCCTAGGTTTGCGCCTTCTGTATTTACACAGCCCGAACAAAGGCAACAACTTCAATGTTATTTATCTGACTCATACGTCATGTGTGACATATATAAGGAAGTAGCATAGGACCTCAACCTTTAACTTAACATTGAATGCCAAACATAACGCAGTACCTAGGTACTTACCAGCAATAGATAAACTTGTCCAACTACATCATTTTTTTCTCTCACAAGTTTTCATCTTCGGAACGTAGTATTTAATTCAGAACAAGGTTGTGCTATACATTCAAATGGGAAGCAAAATGGATGGTGACGAGGAAGTTCTGTATTTCGCCTACGGTTCCAACCTATCATCAACGCAGATGCAAGAACGCTGCCCATGGTCCTCACCCATCGGCTTAGGGTATCTACCCGGTTGGACATGGCTCATCAATGAGAGGGGTTACGCCAATGTTGTGCAACAAGACCCAGAACCACATTTACCCCCACCTACGCCTACATCTTTGGTATCGTTATCACCATTAACTCTCCCAGAGGGTGCACAGACGGTGGAAAATAAGGAAACCGAAGGTCTCTACGGTGTGTTGTTCAGCTTAGACCCAGTTGACCAAGCTCCGCTCGACATGTGCGAAGGGGTTCCATGGGCCTACGAAAAACGAAATCTTGACGTTACCCTACTCCCCAAGCAAAACACCAAGTTCGCGACGAAACTTGAGCCGAAGACCGTCCGGGCCCTAGTATACATCGACTTTAAGAGAGTTACGCCGGGGAAACCCAAGGACGAGTACATCGACCGCATCAATCGTGGCGTTGAGGAAGCAACAATAAAGTGGAACTTTCCGAAATCTTATGTAGATGTCATCATTCGACCATTTATCCCTGAGAAGAGAAAAGAAACCTGATGTTAGGCAAAACTTGGAACTGGACCTGATGGGAAATTATTCCGGAATGGAATGACATAGCGTTGCTTTGAACAAATGAGTATCTTCTAATTTCACCTATGTACACCCAAAACACCTATCACATGCAATTTGCTTGTCTTGGGCTGACAAGTCCCGGTAGTCTATGAACACCATAGTTCCCTTTCCATCGCGCGCTTTATCCTGAATTAGGGCATATGCCTTCCGAACCAATGCAAAATACAATCATGATTTCTTTACAAAATAAATTCCCAGATGCCGCGGAGCATCGGGTTTGAGCTCCATGAATTAACCTAATACCATAACCATAACATTCGCTTCAACAGTCGTGCCAGTAAGTATATTTACATGCCGTAATATTAACAGCTTAGAGTGTGTAGTAAAAGTCTGTTTAGAATATTAATTAGTAAAGAAGTGATGGTGGGTGTCGGAGATCTTGAGTTCACATACCTGGGTGGTGATCACCAAGCTCTTCTATGCTCTTCTTCCTTAGTTCATTGGCTTCATCTGAAAACTGATTCGCACGCTTCTTGTTGTTCAAAAAGCCGAGATACCACCTGAGACCTAACGACGAAAGGAACATCATGATGGACATAGCAAGAGCTACACCGTTACCGATGCTATCTGTAAGGGGAAGATTGGTAAGTAAAGTAGTCCACAAAATAAGAGGTTAATTTCGTTGGATATTACTCACAGTAAGGGGGGTCTTGGTAGGCCTGAGTTCCCGAAATAGCGAATAGATGAGGGAATATGTTAAAGAATGCGAGTACGGATCCTCTGTTCTCATGTGGTTAGCATTGTCATGAATAGATCCGATAGCATAAGGGAATATTTACCTTCGAGTGTATCCGACGAAAGACATAGCAGCCCATGTCAATTGTAACACGCTATTGGGAAACACAGAAAATGCAACGAGGCAAGTTGCAGCGAATCGGACATTGCGGTTTGTTACCCAGATCAATACAGCGTAGCCAATTACAGCGCCAACAGTGGATGCCGCAAGTACGAGTCCTCGAGCATTCGTCTTATCCGCAATCCTGCTGAAAAAGAGGATTCCAACACACCCGCATGCGTAAACTATAGTACTGAAAAGTTGCGCATTAACGTCACTGTATCCGAAGCCCTATATCACACCTTATTAGCTCATAGTCTAAGATATTGCCTGGGGGTTATGGTATACACATACAGCGATGATATCAGGCAGGAAGTTGGATAGCGACGATGAGCAAAATGCACCTCCGCAGCTGACGAGGATGAAAAGCCAGAAATGAAGGTCTAGCAATACTTTCCAGATCTGATTGAACTTCACACTAGGCTCGGACGTGTTGTGGGATCGTGCGCTTCGTCGGATGATGTGCTGCTTCTCGGCTTCACTGAAACCCCACTTAAGGCTAGACGGGCTGCTAGGTAGGAGGAATAAGACGACGAAAGAGCACGCGATGGGTACGATACCCTCGATAAGGAAAATCCATCGCCACGCCCTCCATCCATTAACTCCGTCTAAGTCCTTTGTGATAGCGTATCCGATCAGACCATTGAATGCTCCAGCTATGGTGCTCATAGACGCTACGACGGCACCTCGGGTAGCAAATTCGGAGTATTGGTACCAGAAAGAGAGATCTATAGAATAACCACATCATAAGCCATTGGTTGCGAAGACGGCAAGAGGGTTAGGCGTATGGACTTACAGAAAGTACCACCCTGGACGAACGCTTCAGCTGCTCCTATGAGGAACCGCAGAGCGAGGAGTTGGGTATTGTTCTTGATCAAAACTGTCATCACAGTTACGAATCCCCACTATTGAAGCCCTTGTTAGCCCACGATCAAATCGGAAGTCTGCGCTTGTCCTACCGTCAACATGGCACCACTAAACTGTCTGTTCGGCTGGATCTTCTTGATTAGAAGAGTACCCGGGAGCTGAAAGATTATTGTCGCGACTAGGAACACGGTTCCCGCATTCGAATAGTCACCGGGACTAAGTTTCAATTCATCAGATAGACCAGCTACCTTGGCGTTGCCGAGATCCGATTTTCCCTGTTCAAGAGTGAGTCCCAACTACCGATAACTAGGTGCATATATTAATATTTTGTGTAACTAACCATTGTAGCGAAGAAGTAGACACTAGACATGAGAGGCAAGATGTAAAAGTCAAGCTTTCGTTTTACCCTTTGCGCCAACTTCGGGTCAACATCTTCTTCTTGTTCCTCTTTGGGAATATCATCTCCTTGAGAGCTGGGAATAGACGTCTGTTGTAATAAAGGAGAAGGCTCTCGGAATTCCATCGGTTCAAGTTCAATTTGAACCGAATTCTTCGAATGCATCTTTGCTGGTGCTGGTATGTTGATATCTGTGTGGTTGTTGTTATTGTTGTTGCTATCGTTGTCCATGATGAGTGAAGCTGAAAAAAATATGCCTTGTTATAAATGTTTACAACTAAATATCTTATAACAAATACTCATGCGCCGAAAGTTCGTTCTTCGAGCGTAAGTCGCGTTTCGAAGTCCACTCAACTCTGGGCGTGGCAGGGATCCCACTCTCTAAGTAGGCGCAGGCTTAGGCTTAGCACTGGTGGCTTTTGGCTGAAACAACGAGATCATTATAGGGAAGGGGGTCGACTATTTTCATATTTAGTACGTTCCAATAAAGAAAAAGGGAAAAGTGATGCCTATCACTTACCAATTTTCATTCACCTGCCAGAATCAATTCACATGTCTCAGGAGCAATTAAGATGAACCCCTCAAGCGCCATCACGGGCTACCGATTTTTTGAATGGTAACACATGGGGTTTACTATTAGCAGTAACATCGGACTAGCGTCATCGTACAGTGAACAGGCACAACGCGAATCGCGGAAGCCAAGCCATATCGACCTAGCATTGGATTCGAACTCAGCCTGCTTACATTATTGGTAGACTGGCTATAAACTGGGGGTGTAGACCGAAGCGAATCTCGCTCTGGGGTGCCGGCTCGGCCGCCAGGATCTGCAGGAGCCGAGCGAATTTCGCTCGATGTGATTCTCACGTCAAGCCGCAACCGCATCAGGGACGGAGGATATAGCAAATTGCCGTTGGAATACAAAATTACAGCCATGCGCTCGCAGTCAAGCGAAAGATGGACACTTACGCATACGCTCATCTATTTCCCGATTCGATTCTTGGCATTAACTGCCGTGCGACAGATAGAAGCAGTGTGACAATACCTACTCCATGGATAGGCCATTAACAACTTCCGAGGTCCCCCATAAGTTCCTCAAAACAGCGCTTCTCGTCGGTCATGTTCCTCACCGGGTGCTCGCTTCCGACCCCCGCGTGTCTTACGCACTCTACATCCCACCAGAGCACTATAGCCACGGTGCAGGACTCCCCCCGCCCCCTGCCAAGCTTCCTTTGTTAGTTAGCGTACACGGAACAAGGCGAGATGTGTTTGACATCTATGACCTAGTCCCGTTTGCCGAATCCACGCGATGCGCCGTTCTCACGCCGCTCTTCCCAACCGGCCTAGACGGCCCTAACGACATTGATTCATATAAAGTGTTGCGATCTAAGACTTTACGTTCGGACCTGGCGTTTTTGTCGATTCTTGACGAGGTCGCAACTCGATACCCGGGAATTGATGCCGAGAAGGTCTTTCTTATGGGTTTTAGTGGAGGTGGTCAATTCTCACACCGGATTCTCTACCTGTATCCTGAGCGACTTGCCGCTGTTAGTGTCGGCGCTCCGGGACGTGCGACATTTTTAAACGACCAGCAAGACTGGCCGGTTGGAATTAAGGATGTAGAGACACTCTTCGAGAGATCCATTAATAAGGACCTCATCAAAAAAGTTCCGATCCATCTCGTTATCGGCGACGAAGATGTCAATATACCAGGCGGTGACGAATTCTGGTCCTGGTTGAGTCAATTGAAGGCTCAACGGAGCATTGGAGGCGTAACCGATAAGAAGGGTAAAGACTTGCCGTTTATGGAACAGGGGAGACTCGATACTATTAACGACCTCCGCAAGTCATGGAAGAGTGATGGGATAGAGGCCCAGTTGGATGTTGTCCCTAGGGTGTCCCATGATGCTAGAAGCGTCCGCAATTTCGTCTTAGCATTCTTACGGCCTTTGATCCAGGGACATTTGAGTAACTGAGCATAAGATTCGGAAGTCAATGTCAATTGTCGTTGTATGCTACGCAATCTGTTGGGCTCTGCACATATGTATTTGTAACTTAGGAACACGCCCAGCCTCGTGCGTCATTGTATACGCAATTATATGCCAAGGGACCTAGGTCATACTGCACGTACCATATATGTACCTAGAAAATTTCCCTCACCGTCATTTGCCTTGCCGACGTAATCGGATATCCTACTTCTTGACGTTTAACTTGACCCTCCATCCCGCAAGTAAACAATTATTAAATCAGATTCGAAAGCCGCTCGACGTTTCGTTGAAGAAGAGCCATATCTTAGTATGGGATACAACAAGACCAAATAACCAAATTACAATAATAAGCAAGTCGATCAAGTCATACAAAATAAAAACAGGAAGGGTGGTGGGTGTCGCCGAGTAATGTGCTGGGCCAATCTTACGGTTGAGCCTGCATATAAGGTAGCATGTTCTCCCATCATTGTTTGGCAGGCCTCGCCATTTACAATGTCGGTGTTCCGCCTGGCGAGACGCCTTCTCAAACTATCATTCCAAGTTACTTCCCGCCTGCCTGCAGTACCCGCCTCCTCCTTGCTGTCAAACGAACAGAAACGAACAGAGGCTCTTTCAATTACGCCAATCAAGGTTGGATATATTTTCATAAGGCTTTATCCACCTTGAGATCCATCTGATTTCTAAGGGGAACAGAAGATCATGGGTACCCTCTGCCTTTATTCCTCAATCTACAACTGAAAGTACCTAGGTAGGCTTTCTCGTCTATGATTGAAGTGTTGCACAACAGCCAAGGCGTATTCCACTAGCTAACATGCATGCGCTTTGGTGGCTATGCACCGCAGAATAGTGTTCGAGGTATATTTGCTTGCCGATTCCCACTCTTCTTGTCTCTTCATACCAATTGTCATCTTAACGTTCGATTTTCACTCAGTTTCATTCCCTTCACTTTGAGCTATACCGCCGCAATTTCTGGCTACCATGGCTGATCCATTATCAATCTCGGCAAGTATTGCCGGGGTTGTTACATTGGTTGATGTTGTCTTCATCCGTTTGATGAAATATGTTAGATCCGCAAAGAATGCTGTCAAAGAGACTGAAGCTCTTGCGAGGGAGATTAACATGTTGGGTGGCGCTTTAAATAGCCTATCTAGATTGGCGAGAAGCTTTGATGATGAGCCATCTTCCAACAAATTGTTTCGAATGTATCATATTGACGCGTGTAATGATATATTGATGGAAATCGATAAGAAACTGAAGAAGCCTGATGATAACTCTCTTAAGAAGAAAGTCATATGGCCGCTCACTTCAATACGGGTGAAAGAGATGCTCGATGACTTATCCCGACACAAGCAAAGCGTCGATCTCGCCCTAGCAGCCAATTCAATGGACCTCCTCTTACGCTCCTTAGCTCGGGAGCGGGACCTTCAGGCAACTTCATTAGAAACCCTTAATGAAATTAAAAAAACTCGGGAAGTTACAAGTCGCATCCGTCGAGACCAGGAGCGTGAAAAAATACTGAGTTTTTTCCTCGAGTGTAATCCACAGCAGAATTACGATATGAGTCTTAAATTACGACATCCAAGAACAGGATTATGGCTACTACGGACACCACAGTTTCAGACTTGGCTCTCGGAGGAAAGTGGGAGGCTATGGCTGACGGGAATCCCCGGCGCGGGAAAGACAGTCCTTGCGGGCACTATCATTGAAGCCGCTCTAGCACAATGCGACGACACCATCGCAGCTGGGTTTTTCTTTTGTGACTACAAGGTCGAAATGACCCACATACCGACAAATATTCTCGGTGCATTGGCTTACCAGATAGCTATCCAGAAAGAAGAAACATATGCAATTCTAGAGCGATACTTCACCGATCTACATCCCACTCGTGGCCTACCCCGCGATCCCGATGTAAGAGGACTCGAGAAGACTATAAGAGAGATGGTGAAACTATATGACCGTGTCTTCTTCGTGGTGGATGGAATTGATGAATGTGGGAAATATGTCGAGAATGTCCTTGAGACACTTTGTTCCGTGTCCGAAGACTCTGATAACATTTCAATGGCTCTGTTGAGCCGTATGAGCCCAACATTAGGGATTGGCTCGAAGACGATTTTGTCTGCGAGCGAGTCGCAGCCCATACGGAAGATATCACGGAATACGTGACCGCGGAGATTGAAGAGCGCATACGAACTAAAAGGCTTCGCGTTGATGATCTCGAACTAAAGGGCGAGATCGTGCATGGCCTGATAGACGGTGCCGCCGGGATGTAAGTATAACATGCTTTTATCTAACATAGTATATCGATTAACAACTTATTTCTAAGGTTCCGGTGGGTGGCCTGCCAACTAGATCATCTCCAAGATTGCACGTCCGACAAAGAGTGTCGTGACGCTCTGAAGAAGCTACCTCCTACCCTTAACGACACGTATTTGCGCATATTGGGGCGGATTCCACCGAACAAAATGAAGATCGTTGAACTCGCATTAAACTTCATCGCTTTTACATGGCCAAGACTCAGCATACAACGGCTTAGGGAGATCTTATCCATCCCGGAGAACGGAAGATTTCTGGAAACCAGCGGTATCATACGCGAAAGCGCAATCCAAAGATTATGCAGCAGCTTCATAAGGAAGTCAAATGACGAAGACTACTTCGAGTTCGCGCACTTCTCCGTCCAGGAATTCCTTCAGAATGATTCCTTGCTCGACGGCCAGTTCAAGCAATTCCTGGTTTCGGAATCGCGTTGTAATGTGCTCATGGCAATTCACTGCCTGAACTATCTACAACTCAAAAATTTTGATCATCACCTCGTCGCTGCATGGAGGGAGATAGATTACATGAATGATAGGAACATTAAACACCCATTATACCAATATGCTACTTATTATTGGCCCATATACGCAAGATATGAGTGGTCCAACGAAGAATTATTTGAATCTGCAATTGAGTTATTCGACCATAGAAAGACAAATACGTTCATTTCGTGGATCGTCCAATTCTTAGTAGAGTGCGAGGGTTATCAATATGACTATGAAAATAACTACACAACAATCGAAAAGATTCTCAGCCCGGAGTTCACTACACTGCATGTAGCATGTTCACTAGTACTTCCGGCTGTTTGTTCTGTTTTACTAGAACGCAACATGGACACGGCAAAACAAAGTCCTTTTGGAACACCGGTTCAGTGCGCAATACACCCATTTACCTTATTCAGAGACACTTGTGATTATGAGACCTCGGATTTTTACAGGCATCTTATGCCATGTTTCGGAACAGGACGATCCACTGAATGCGCGACACAAACCATTGAGTGTCTTGAAAGCTGACTCAAATCGAACAATGTTAAAATCTTTCCAAAAGGAGAGTTTATTGACACTTACGCTACCCTTATTGAGATATAGTGGTGATTTTTCCGTGATCACATTATTATTATCTCAGGGCGCTCCCTTGGACGAGCGTGATGTAGGGGTTTTGTCATCGGGTGACAATCGTGAAAACCTAAGTCATCTAGTGCACGGAAGGCAAAGTTTCAAGAGATTTATGCAGGTTTTAAACTTGATGATAGATCAATCTCATTTCCATCGAAAAGTCTATTTGCTGTGGTGGGAAGTGGCGGTTCGTCATCGTTCGAGCTTTGTGCTTGATCCAGATTTCGTCAACCCAAAAATTTCTCTTTCCTCCGATGTACAAGAACAACGCCTTATTTCCGCCGTTCGGGTGGGCGATATGAATATGTTTGCGCAGATACAAAATGTCTCCTGTTTCAGTCTACCTGATATTTTGGATCCCGGTGGCAAACGGCTACTACATATGGCCTTAGAAGACTGCGCAAATATTGATAAATGTCTGGCAATAGTTAACTTACTTCTTAAGGAAGGCTGTTCTTTATTTGATACTGACAAAAATGGACATTTGCCTATACATTCTTGGTTCCTCCGGTATAATTTGAAGGATAATAACTACGATTATGAGCCTTTGGCGAAGTTTCTGATCGACAATGGAATGACGGCTACCTTCCAAGGTTCCAATGGCCGAAATTTGTTACACTCGAAATTCCTGAGCTCTCAATGTCTATCAGCCTTTTTACGGTGTGAAGAGAAATCAAACGTCGAATATGCACTGCGCATGGTAGATAACGAGGGATACACGCCATTGTCTAGAGCATTAAAGGAGCACTGGGGAACGTCGGCATCTATACTCTTCGAATGGGGGGAGAAGGACCCGGAAACGTGGCAAAGCCCAATCCCAACGCTCCTACTAGCTGTCGATGCAACTTGTGAAGACGTATTTCGAGGAATTTATAACGCAGGGGCAGCCTTAGAAACGACTGGCAATGGATACTTGACACCACTTCATTATGTCTCCCCTGATAATTCTCTCGAATTCGTTAATTACCTCAAATCGCTATATCCCAATGCGTGCAATATCCGCATAGACGGAAAACTCCCCATAGATACATGTTTAGAGAAGTTATCTGAAGGGAGTTACGGGTTTCAACGGTTTCGACATAAGGAAGTTATCAAAACCCTCTACCCAGTCAGATTACAAGACGACGAGAAAGGGCGGATATGGGAACAGTTTACGAAGCTACTAAACCTTAAAACAATGTTTCAGCTTTACTTGAATGAAGTAGTGATGGAACTTATTCGGCTAGGATGCTTGAAGTCATATGAATCCTCTTTTCAAAAACCAGCACTTCTTTCATTACTAAAATTCGACGAAGGGAAACTCCAGGGCCTTCGTGATATTTGGCTGACGTCAAACACCATTTGCGGTATCGTATATTATACGAACCAATGGACCAAAATTCAGTCCTCGCCATTGATCGTGCGGCTACTAAAGGCGGCTGTTGTTTCCGAAGATACTAATTTAATAAAGCTTCTCCTTGGCAAGGGCGTTGATGTCCATCGTATAGTAGAGGGGATGTCAGCCTTGGAAATAAGCTGCCAATCAACATTAGAAATGTTTCAACTTCTCCTAGACTACGTAGATGGGGGACGCTTAGACGACGTCAGCCCAACTCCTCCAGGATTAGGGCTTCTGCACCGTCTTGCTATCCCTAACGGGGCTGAAAAGGTCACCACACTATTGCGAAGAGGTGCAAACCCCAATCTTCGCCTTGGGGCTTTCCCAGGCCTGCCAGCCATAACGTATCATTTAAAGAAGTCCCGGTTCTCTTCCTCTATTACTTTGCTGGAACATGGCGCCGACCCGACAAAACTCGACGAATGGGGTTTCGACGCGTGCCTCATGGCCGCGTGGAAAGGCGCTGTAGCTTTTCTTAAAACGGTTTTTGAAACAGAAACGACGTCGTGGCGATCAAGATGGAAAAGACGTGCCGACTTCAGGGTTCGTATAGGATCGTCAAATGTCACTATTTTAGGATGCAGCGCTCTACATTTCGCTTCATTTTCAGGGAACATTGACTGTTTGAAGTTTTACATCGACCGCAACATCCTCTCTGATGTCAACATAACTTCTGCCAACATGTTCACTCCTCTACATTGCGCTGCATTGGTCGGAAATATTGACGTAATCAAATTTCTGCTTGAGAGAGGAGCGAACATTAACGCCAAAACAGACTACGGTCAATTATCGTTACATCATGCGGCCATGAACAGGCAACTTAGCGCTGTTGAAGTACTGATAGAATCCGGCAGCCAAATGGCGATAGATAGTTCGGGTATGAGTCCTTATCTGTACGCCCTTCAGCTTGGAAACCAGGCTATCATTGACTGTTTCCGCGACGAGGAGAATCAAATTAGTTCCGGGTTCAATAGCCGCAATTGGGGGGGCACTAGGACTCTTTCCAATAGACAACAGAAAGGGCACGCCATAGCATTGGAAAATGCCGTCGTACACGGTGATGCTAACCTCTGCGAAAAGTTATATCGAGGGGGATGCCACCTAGACGCCGATCTTTCCAGTTGCAATGGATGCTCCCCTTTACTTCTAGCTATCCGATGCCAAAAACCTGATGTTATCAAATGGCTACTTGCGAACGGAGCGTCAACCTTAAAGCCGAAATGCAAAGAGTGCGGAGACGGCGGCCCTCTCGACGGATTATTAAAACACACTGCCCTGAACGACGTTCTGGGGATTGTCTTGGAGAAATACTTGAGTGATGGGGGCAGCTTAATGGGCGAGACGTTTAACCCAGTAATTGAGGCAGTCAAGAATAACAATATTGGGGGGCTAATAATTTTATTTGGGCATATAGAGCAGAACGCCTGGCATTACGCGTTAGTATTTACCCGTATGCTCTTTAAAATCAACAATGCATCCCTCCAATATGGCTATAGAAATAAGGCGGGATGTCAATGGACGAAAATAGTCTCAATACTCAGCAACCGGCCCTGGAATATGGAGAATCAGAGAGGCTCGCCGTCGCTGCATTTAGCGGTGGAATACGGGTATGTTGAAATGATTGAATGTCTTATCGAGGATAATGCGCATTTAAATGCTAGTGATTACAGTTTACAAACGCCATTGCACATAGCCGCATATTCAGATGGAACCGAAGCACAGAAAATAATCGAGATTTTGATACGCCACGGGGCTGAACTAGAATTGAGAGATGATTGGGGATGGACACCGTTAATGAGAGCCACCTTTAACGGCCGTCAAGACATATTCGAAACTCTATTAAACGCAGGCGCCGACCCGCATACCGTAGATTACGAATCGACAAGTGTGGCTCATATATCGGCCCAATATGCTCCTGGATCTGTGGGAATACTCGCTAGCCTCATAAGTTGTGGGATCAACATTCATAATAAGGATACTAGTGGGCGTTCGATTCTCCAGCTTGCTATGTGCCACAATCAATTTATGACGCTCGTCCTAAACGGTAATTACAACGTCCAAGAAGCGGCACCATTTTCTTGGAGCACATCCCAAGCCTTAACGGTCCCGTCGTGGCTCACAGATACATTTAAAAGGGTTCGAAGGCGAATCTCCTCCGATGATCTGCGGAGGATTGCGAATACTGAACCTGAAGGTTCCTGGAGTCCTCTGTGCATTGCTGCATCTCTGGGAAAGTTCAAAATGATGGAAAATCTTATTGTTCTCGATGCAGATTTAGAATTCGAGGGCTGTCCAGATGGAACCGCTCTTATGGTTGCATGTCGTAGCGGAAGACTAGAATCGGTCATCTTCTTAGTACGTCGTGGAGCCGCTCTATCGTACCATAGCCCTAAAGGGTTTCGAACCGCGTTCGACAAAAGAAAAACCTCAAAGCGTATTCTCGAGTGGCTCCTAGTCACTAGGTTCACCGGCCAGCCTAAGATCAAGGAGACCCCACATGGAAATACGTCAATAGAATCACTCGTACCGCATCCTTGGAGTGGTATTATGAAGGCTGAATTGGTCATCAGTGGGGATCTTGAGAGGCGCTCTGACCAGTCATCAAAAGATTATTGGGTATACTTGATGGAAGAGAAAAAGAAATGGAGAGGGAAGGTTGTTCCGGCCGCTGATAAGCGCAGGACGATTCGCCCATTGAAGTTAATTCCGAAAGAGCGTGTTCGTATACACCCAGATGGCTATGAAGTTCCTAGAACAGCAGACTCTCTCAATACCACACACAGATGGAATTCCTGGAGCATAGCGCCTTTCATCAATCTGGGTTAGATTTTACGTCGTATAGGTCCTTATTAGACGGTTTACATATATGCAGCAGTTGGCTGCGTTAATGCAAACACGCTGTATTGCAAGATCGTGAGTACGCCTGTTCGGCAACGGGGTATTCCTTTTGGAATGTTTTCGGCCAAAAGAATTGTTGATCATTTCCATCGCGTCGGGAAGCTAGACTAATGAATTGGTTTCCTTGACATCAGGATGACGTTAACTACGATCATGTCGTGACGCAAGTATGCTCGTGGCAAGACAGGAAGCAAACTAAACTAAGTAAACGCAAAACTCATAGCTAAATGAATGAGAAATATCTAGTGAAGAAATAATAGAAATTCATGTGTACTTACTAGTGAAACGCGAACTCTGACTTGAGCTTGAATTGAATCTATAAAAAACTTCGTAAAATGGCGAATCCACTACGTTCGCTCGCGACCACAGCTCTTCGCCAAGGTCGCATCGGCAAATTACCACACACCCTTAGTCCAAAATCCCCCCTACTCACATCCACTAACATCGCTACACAATCCCGACCATTCACAAGAACAGCCGCCGCCTTAGCATCATCCTCGCCATCCTCACCATCCTCACCCGCCAAAACCCTCCTCGAAGATCAAGATGCAGGGTTCGGCTTCGTGCGACACAACCCCGCGCCACCGAAGCCGCGAACGCGGGGCGTGACTGAGATCCGCGGGCCGTACTACACAGTAATGGGGCCGCGATACCTTTCCGATGTGCTAGAGACGATGGGGCCGCATGTCGACGGCTTGAAGTTCGCCGGGGGGTCGTTTAGCTTGTTCCCCGAGGGACCACTACGCCAGTTGATTGACTTGGCGCATGCACACGGCGTGTACGTCAGTACCGGTGGTTGGATTGAGCATATCCTCGCTTCAAGCGGCGGCGACGTCGTTGGCGTGGTTGATAAGTATATCGCGCGATGTCGTGACTTGGGCTTCGATGTGGTGGAGTTGAGTACGGGGTTCTTATCGCTGCCGCAGGACGACTGGTTAAGGCTCGCGGAGCGGGTGCAGAAGGTGGGGTTGAAGCCCAAGCCCGAGTTGGGAATTCAATTCGGCGCTGGTGGTGATACTGAGGCTGCTGAGTTGCAGAGTATTGGAACAAGCGATCCGAGCAAAGTGATTAATATGGCGAAGCGGTTTGTGCAGGATGCTGGTGTTGAGCGTGTTATGATTGAAAGCGAAGGGATTACGGAGAATGTTCAAGCTTGGCGTACCGATGTTATCCAATCTATTCTTCGTGAGCTACCCTTGGAGAAAGTCATGTTTGAGGCGGCAGACCCATCCGTATTTAATTGGTAAGTACATTTACTTAACTCCGAGATTTATTCCTAATAAGGGAGTCGAATTGTTGACATTGGATATTAGGTATATTCGAGAATTCGGCGTTGATGTGAATCTCTTCGTCGACCATTCGCAGATTGTCCAGCTGGCTGGGCTCAGAGCCGGTATTTGGGGTAAGAGTGACACATTTGGCAAGATCACTACCTTCAGGCCTTGAAGTTTGTCGTCTTGGACGTTTCGAAGTCGTATGAGCGGTGAGCGTTGCCTTGTGCTATTAGAAGGTTTGGTTTCGTGACGGTCAGGATTGTCAGTCATTAATATCTATTTGGGCGGTCTCACGTATCAATCGTACGCGACCGAAGTTCTTTCTTTATTCCTATGACGAATGTCCATGATGAGAGTATACTTGCACGAGTTAGTATGCTAGGGATTACTATTAGAATGTCCGAGCCAATAACTCCACTCCGCGGAGTTGTTGAATGGTGGGATTTGGGTTTAATAAAATCACCTCGCTGTACCTTCTTGATGAACCGCATGTAGGAAGTGTTCTCTTTGATATATTTGCCAGAAAATATATTTACGTGGAATGGTTATTGCCATGAACCTTTCAGGGTTCATCCCCCGATTTCTTTGGATCAGGGACATCAATCATACATACACTCTCAAGCGCATTTATCCATCTACCCAAGGTAGCAGAATGTGAATGTTTGACATGCTGGCGGAAATGGTCCGCTCGATAAAATTTCTTTGACGAGTTGCATTCTCCGAACTTGTGGGTTTCTCGCACATGAGTAAGCCTTTCGTCCCAATCCTTTTCGGTGGCATGTTTCGGTATGCCTTCTCCGCTTCGAAGAAAATCTTCTCCGCAATACCCACATGTATCGGCTATTCCGGGTTGGTTGAGGCTTTCCTGGAAGATATTTGTGTATCCGGTTTTCAGGATATTTGAACATGACCAAGCTTGCCGTCGCACATGAAGACTATTCTCATGGCGCTCGGCTTCATTCTTGGACTTGAAACGAGTTCCACAAAAGCTACATTGGTACTTTCTTTCGTTCTCGTGAGCGCTACGAATAGATCAGTACTGAGCAAAAAAATTGTGACAAAATATAGAAAACGTTTATGGCTAACGATAGAAACCGCATACCTTAATTCTTCCATGGTGTCAAACTTCTTCGGCTTCTTAGGGCAGCATTCGCAAACGAATAGTCCTCGGAGGCCGTCATTGGTATTACTACTTGCCGGGCGCCGCTTGTTTAGCGTTCTAGGTAATTCAAGAAAGCTTTCGTTGCTGCTTTTATAGTTCAATGAAGGTCTGTTCCCTTTTGATGGACTAAGATAGTTAAACTGATCTCGATGATTCGGGGGACTTGTTCCATAGAACCTAGCCATCTCGGCCAAGCTGTCTCCGCTACCATTCCATCTGGTAGAGCTACTTGTACCGTATGCGAAAGAGTATGCTGAAGACATCGGAGATGCAGGACTAGCTATTGGAAGGCCTCGGCTTCGTACGTCTCTTCCATCTAATACGCTAGAAGAACTTCCATTCCGCCGCATGAAGCCCGTATCCTGTAAGGGAGAACCAGCGCGTCGTTTCGCACCAGATCTAGTCCTCAGAGGAACCGAGAATTTGCGACTAGATTGTGCCATCTTGTGTGATTGGAAAATGGACGGCCGTGGGCTGAACGGGCTAAAGGCCCCATGGCTCTCGGTGTCGTCGTTACCCATGCTAGACATGGAGGATAACGGTATGTCGTCTTTGAAACGTACGGTAGGAGACGAGTCTCTATCATGATATAGATGCCTTAAATACTCAATAGAGCCGCCAGTATCACATATCCATCGTTCCTCAGTGAAAAGCGCTTTCTGCGCGAGTCGATAATATTTCACGAGTCGTAAATCCATATGAGGGGGTTCTTCCTCGAGCGACCATGCTGACATTAGGGGGTCGAACGAAGCTGATGCCGCTTCGAATAATTCTAGCGCAAGTAAAAGGTAGGTAGCATCGGCACATCTTGTTTCGGAACTGAGCTGAGTCTCAGTCTCGGCTTCTACGAATTTAATCGTTCGTCGTACATAAGACTGTATCCAAAGACCGTAGAAAGTCGATAACCACCATCTCTTTTCATGAAGGCGATTCTCCTTTCTGAATATTACCTTAGACAGCTCGTCTGTAAAAGACTTGACGTTGGAGGTAAGGTCTTGGAAAGGCTGTATTTGACATTTGTCGGCCTTACAGTCATCGTGTACCTCGGGCACTAAATGACCTCCTTCATACAACCTCAAAATTTGTATACAATTAACGAAACACTCAGTAGCAATAGGGACGGCTTGGGACTAAGATGAAAATTAGCATGGGTTTAGAACACGTAAACTCATCGCCTACCAGGCCGTATTCCGTTTCGTAAGTGATGGCAGCTTTCATGACATCGAGGGTCTGCTCGGCGGATTTGATGTGGAGTACCTCCTTCGCGGCCACGATGTCAATGAGCCCCCATGCGATATGAATTGCGTTTGCCTCGACGTCATGCCTCAAGGACAAAGTCATGTCGGTTACAAGAGGTATCGGGGAGCATAGAATCTCGAGCACAACCTTCGTATACGTATCGCCTCCGGCGACACAAATATCATCGAGACGGGCCGACGCGTCCCGTAAACACTCTTCAGCTCTACGAATTCGTATTATTGTATCGAGGGTTCCATCAACGTCGATCCCGCCGGTGAGACTAGCCTTTGGACATAAGGTCACATCTCGCATGTGATCTAGGAGCGTACCACGCTTACAGCCGATAGCTTGCCAGCGAGAATTGTTTATCCCCGATCGAGGACATGCCTTACAAGGCTGTTCAGGGTCGCACTTGAGATAGTTTAGTATATACCGTACCCATAATTAGAGTCATATTACCTTTTTTCGAAGGATTTTACACCTCCAACAAGCACCAACCTCCTTCAACGTGCGGGACAATCCAGTCCAAGAATTTCGTCGCGGGAGAATGGGGGCTGATTGTAGTCTTGTCCGACATAACTCTTGTTCATCCTCGGAAGGTCCTGGATATGGCGGGGTAGCCAAGGAATAATTTCCAGCATCTATCCAAGATTCAAAATTCCCTATTAAACAATAAGCATTGCCGTTTATTTCTAAAGAGTATTAATTGCGGTAACCAACCGAAGTCTATCTCATCAGGTATCATGCCCATGTTCATTGCAGGAACATCACCGTGAAGGAATGGGGACAGGTTGTTTCCGTTGGACAACTCGTCATGTTGCTTTTGCTGAGAGTTCCACCGAGGGAACTGTGGAGGGGGCAGGGGAAGCAGAGGTTCGGACGACGCAACAGGCTTTTGGGCAAGCCTTAATTGCTGTTCGTGTTGCTGAGAGTTATTCCCGTAAGTCTTCTTTCGAAGTTGGATTGTACCTAGAGAAGTATCATGCGAATATTGAAGGTCAAATTTTGCTGCAAGTGCTTGGACAGTTGCCTGTCTGGATAAGCTGCAACTCTCAAGGTCGAGATTTTGGGCCGACGGGTTGTTCGCAAATAGTAACAGTGATGTATACTCGTTCAATACGGCCGGATCATTCATGTCTTCAAAATTTAAGTCTGGGTTGGGGTACGTCTATCGAATAGGGTCTAGACTTACCCAATGGCGTATTGGCATAGGGCCGCCTTCGCTCAACGTTGGCGTTGGCTATGCTACCATTGCCGGGTACATCTTCTATCAAATCGTCGATTGTGGCAGATACAACTCCAATCCGATGGAAATCCGACTCTCCCACTGATAAATTGACCTTAAGAGAACCCTCCTCCATGGGATCCATCTCAAAAAGAGCCCATGGTTGGTCATTGTCTATGTTATCGAAATGGAAGTCGTCCAAGGTGATAGGGTCGTCCGCCATGTTAGGTACGTGAACCTCACACCACCAGGTTTTTGGTAAGGTGGGTTAAAGTTATTAGGGAAGCCTTTGGCGGGGTCCATCGAAGGCTTACAAAACAATCCAACCCCGCGACAATATCAACGAGATGGTGTCGTCACCTTCGGATGGGCGATAGTCAATCCTAGGAGCCTGAGGGAACCAAGATGAAGGAAAAGCAGTCGGTCCATAGGGTAGTTAAGGTAGGTAGGGCTACTATAGGGCTGACAGGGCTGACAGGGCGGTCCGGTCAATAACAGCTTAGCGTCGGTCGGTAATATTGTAGGATCGTGGCGATCTACCCAATCCAACATTGCGAATATCCGATTTACGTACCCACCGCAGCCCGTCGTTATGTAGGGTAGTCTACCGCATATATAGCGGTCTACAGCGCATACTAGATGAGACATGACACACCTTTTTCAATTCGTTCATCCAGTAAATGGAAGAGTCTTCACCATCGGTCACCGACTTTTCACCTTATTCAGCCTCGTCGACTCTAAAGGTATTCCAGCATAGCAACATGGAACCACGATGGATAGGATGAAAATAATAGGAATCGTATAAAGGAAGAGAGCTGTCGAAGGTAAGTGAAATTGGATATCCCTACCCCCCGCATAGTTCCCTTCATTCCTTGTTGTCATGACATTGTGTTCAAAAGATTTGGATGCTCTTCAAGGTATTGGAGCATGGAGCCAGATTGCTGAAGCTTCGCCGACAAATAAGATTCTAGAAATTGAAAATGTCGGGAATGTTGATGATGCTAGCGTCAGTAATAATTCGGAACTCCTAAGTCCTATAAAGGCATGGGAGCCAACTTTTGACGCGCATTTTTGGCATCGATTTCATGGCACTACTATGAATGACGAGACTAATCGTCATCAATATAGCGAAGATGAAACTACATTCGGCGCCATGACTGAAGTCTCGAATAGCATGAATCCACAGCCGGCTACGCGAAGCTCGAGTTATATCCGATCGGCTCACGGAAACTCCACATCAAGAAATTGTACGGTCCGGGGGAAATCGCATCAATAAGTTGCAACTCACGGAATCGAGACGGGGTTTTCCTAGCCGTCAAACTAGAAGCTTGGTGTCAATGCTGACGAGAATAACTCACCCGATTTCGTCGCGTTATCGATCGAACATTAAAAGGATTCTGCAAGGGGGTGCGTGAGCGATTCGAAAACACATTTACTCAATTAGGCATAAGCACTTGATTACTCAGGAGGGAGAAACCGTCCGGGTGATCATCAAGAATTATGTTGGGGTCTGAGAAAAGAAATGGAGGTGGAGGGGGGAATTTGCTCAGGCGCCTAAGCAGCTAAGATGTTATGAGCACGTGATGATGACGATTCTGTCTAACTTTAAGAGGAAAGAACAGGGCGGGACGGGGTGGAACGGTCCGGCAAAGTTTGACTTTACATTTTACCAACCTCTTCGTACTTCGTACCGATATATCTAAAAGCAAATCTACTTCCCAAACCATTCCACATTCCCATAGCCACCGAAATCATGATTTTTACAACTTCCTAAAGCAGGTATCTACCCTGGTTAAGCAGTACGTACGTTGAGGCCACTATACGTCATACATCTTCGCGTCCTAATTCAAAGGGCTAAGGGAGTAGAATCGTGTATGGTCAAACGCGATATCTATCCGTTCTGACTAATAATATGGGATGCATACACCCGAGAGTTCTATCTAGAGATCGGCATGACACACTTTCAAAAGCTCCCGCAGGAGTTACAGCTCCATATTGCTGAGTTATGCACTCGATCTACGTTGCTTTCCCTTTTGAATACCTCAAAAGCCCTTCACCAACTTCTCACTCCTGTTCTCTACCGAGTGATTGATCTCAGCTCACACAATGGCCCCGACATCAATCTCCGGGTACCCTCCACCAGTGTTCCGTCGGATTGGCCCGTAAACCGTGATAACCCTATTGATGGCACTGTGTATGACAAGCAACGAGCACTTATCAGAACGCTACGGTCGCATCCATCACTAGGCCAACATGTCAGAATTCTTCGTTGGACGACTGTTGATTATTCGCAACATGTTGAGGAAAACGAGCTTATGCCACTCTGGGATCAATATAATGAAGGTATAATTTCACGAAGAAAATTGAAGACGTGTTTAGAGGAGTACACCTTCAATAACTGCACATCGCGTCTCTGGGATACATTTACTACATTCGCTCACGTTCTAGAGGTCGATATCGCGTTCATGGGGGCCGATTACAGGGAGGCCTATCCACCCCCTCCATTGTTTCAACATGTCCAGTCTCTGCGGTTATCGGGAATGGCCTCCTCATTTCTGATCAGGTCGATTCTAAAATCCACCAATCCTGGATTGCTCCGACACTTGCATCTTAATAATCCGAATCGTTTTGCAGAACTTGAAGGCTTACAAGAAGAACTACCGCTTCGAGAGAAGGGGAAATTGAGACCTTTTCCACAACTGAGTAGAAGTGCGGGTCCTATGCGCACGCACCTCTTAGAATGCTATGACAAATGGTGTAACCTACAAAGCCTAATAATCGACACAGCAGGTCTCTCTGGACCCGGACCAGATACGTTATCAATAACAGACATTGAAGCCTTAGAAGATGAGAGTATACGTTACCGAGAGCTCGGTACACTCATCAGGTTCGTAGCGAATAATCTTCGAGTCTTTCGATTCCAGCAAGGGTCGACTGAGGAAAAGCATCGAAATGGTTGGCGCCCTCCACCCCACGTACGTTGCGCAGGGCCGTTCCCTCCTCGAGACGGCTTGCGCCCAATGGATGCCCTCTTCCATCAGCATATCCTAAGCGCTATTTTAGAGAGCACGTGGCCTCGACTAGAACAGATGGAACTCTTCGGTGTGTCTTCATATACGTGTTATATAAATCGAGAAGGGGTACCAATAAACCGTCCACTACCTGATGAGACGCTATCGCGGATAAGGACGATAGTTGGGCTCGGCCCTGTGCTTGATATACGACCTGAAGCTACGAGACTCTTCTGGCTTGCAGACAGCTCAGAAGGCTCAGGAGTAGTAGAGGTCGGTTCAGACGAGTGGACCGAGGATGAGGAAGACAGTGAGAGCGATATCGAAGAGGAAAGCTAGCAAATTTATCCTTCTCGGTCATTGGAGCTATTCAATTTACAGTAGGGCCCGCCAACGATGAGCCAGCAAGTATTCCGATGCCGTACGTCAGATATCGCAGGATGAAACAACCATCGCAGCCAACTTCGTTTTCCGCTCAGTTCATATACATCAGTCACCCTAGACAGCCGTTCCCTAGAATTTATCGGAAATAATAAGTCCCAATGAATTATTACCCAGGACAAGAGGCTTCCATTGGAATTATTCCATGCATACCGGGTCTAGAGTAAGCGAAAAGTCTGGAGCAGTACAGCTAGTATAGTAGGCTTCGGAGCTATAAGAGCAACTTGGAGTTGTTGATGTTGTCGTTCCCACAAACCGATAGGATCTGCAGGGTAACGGAAGACGTCAGCACTTATGAGATAATGCTACATTACCGCTATGTGGCCAGGTATAGGAACACCGTTATTCTTGCGAGAATACATGCAAGGAGAAATTGAACCTACTCGTCGAACCAAGTCTGATTAACAGTCAGACGCCAACTTCCATGTCCCCATTCAAACTGAAAACGTGTGCACTTCGTACAAGGGGGTTCAGGATCTAGCGGGCTACCGGAACCGCACCCAAACCAGATGCCACCATTATCCCACCATTTGCCTTCCTCATACTCTCCATTCGAGGCGCTACACGCTTGTGACCACTCGCTGTTAGTTACCATGAAGCTGATAACGGCCGTGGGGACGCGCCGTGGGATATCTAATGGGCTAGACGTCGCTACAACACCCAAAGTCAATAATCAATCCCAAGATTCCGAGACGGTATATCGAGGTAATGGTTTAACTAGGCCGAGTCTAAGTTTCCACGACAGAGTCAGGGTGCAACTTACACTGCCCAAAGGACCACCCCGTAATTCGGACTTCTTTAGACGAGACGTCTTCGACAGCGCATTCGCTCGATCCGCGAGAAGCCACGGCGGCGGCCGAGGCGAGAGACGGCATAAGCGCGTTAAGAACGAATTTATACTTCATCTTGCCGCTAAGAATGATATGCTTCCAACAAAATATACATATATTCTAGACGATTGAAATGTGATCCACTCAATCAAGGGGTTGGGAGCAATTGAATTTACATTGTTCTCATCATCATTTAATATTCTTAACTCAGGTTACATTTTCAAAACATATCTATGGCTAGAACAATCATATGTTTTAGCACGATACCATACAGGGCCGTCGATGCGTCTATCCGACAATATATCCGGAGTCGCATTGCATCCGGCACATGAAAAAATGAATCCTTTTCGTCGCATCGGCTTTAGGATTTTGACAGGCGTCCAATTGCGTTCGACTCTCTTTCCACATCAAGGCAACCGCTTGATATTTCGTGATGGGACTAGATGGTACGCTGAGGTCTTCAGCTACAAGCCTTCCCTCAACTTCACACTTGCGACGCAATCCTGCCATCTTAAGGCCTTCATATAAAGCCCCTCGATAGTAGCAATTAATACCATACCACAACCAAGACCAATCCACACACCATTTAATTCCCAGGCCGGAGAACCCAACTCTAACCATATTGCCAAAGGGACGGCGCCTAGATAGTTGACAGCGAAAACTACCCAAGCGGCCACGGATTGGCGTCCGAGACCGCGAAGCAAGCCATTAGTACAGCATATAATAGCATCTATAATTTGGAATACGCCGACTGTAAGGATGGTCTTGGAAGCAAGATCATAAACGGCCTTGTCTTCAGAGAAGAACTGTGGGAGTTGGTTCCTCAGAGCAAATATTATAAAGCCATCAACGGTCCCAACCAGCGCCGTGACCACAGCATAAAGAACAGCAGCACGTCGAGCAGTTGGAAGAAGTCCGGCCCCAATGAGATGACCGATACGCGTACTAATGGCGACACTCAGCGAAAAGGGGATGTGCCATGATACAATCGAAATTGTCATCAAAATCGACTGTGCCGCCAAATGGTTCGTGCTGAGATAGGAAGTGCTGAATGTTACGATTTCAACAGCGGCCCATTCCCCCAAATTCACCGCAAAACCTGCAACAGAGAGTCGCACCATCGGTCCCCAATTGGCGAATGCATCCCGTGAGAACCCTCCCCAGCATTGATGCGACCATTTCCCTATTGGCAACATTATGTAGAAGAGAAGGAATAGAGGGCGGAGATTATTAGATAGAGCAACTCCCAGTGCAGCGCCATCAAGCCCCATTCCCCACTTGAATGCTAAGAACCAACTGAGTAGGGCGTTTACGGGTGCACATAGAAGAATGGCAATCATAGCACCTTTAAAATCTCCCTGAGCTTGAAGGAATCGCTTGCCCGCTTCAAATGATGCGTAACCAGGTAAACCAACCAAGCTAACCCGCAGGAACGAACCAGCCATAACAGCCAGATGTTCTTGTCGCACGAAGAGCGATAATAGCCACGGGGAATATACCCAGATAGCACCGATCGGGATGATAGCTAAACCCATGAGAAGCAGCATTTTCTGAACATGCAATCCAACTCCGGTAAGATTACCCGAGCCGTATGCTTGAGCGCACAGTGTGTCCAGAGCAGTGGCCATTCCTTCAATAGTAGCAAAACCGACAATGTTCATTGTGGTCATTCCTATACTGGCAGCAGCAAGCTCATCTGCCCCAAGATGGCCTGCGACGAAGGTCGTGATGACGCTATAGGAATATTGAAGAAGATAGGTTGCGATAAGAGGGACGGAGTACTGTGATAACAGCCATAATTCTGATTTCCAGCTATCTCTAGCTGTAGATTCCAAAGGCTGCGAATCCGATAGTAGCGGTGTAGTCTCCGAGCCACCATTGCAAGCGACTTCGTCTTCTCGCGCGCTCGAAACCATGATTCCAACACTGCGATACCCAGCTATTCAATCAAGCTGCAAGTTTTTATATCATTTTAGTTTGGGATGTTATTATTGAGCCACAGCCCAGGGCAATATGAGATTTTGGTGGAAAAAAATTATTATCTCGGTGGAGTATAGACATGGAATATTCATTGGCCAACGGATACGCCATCGACGATGACTAAAAATAACCGTGTCAAACGCAATTGTGTCATACTAGTTATACGGACCCTTTGAATGAAACAGAATCTTGAAGTTACTGTACCTAGGTAGGTACTGTAGGACTCTCAGGAAAGCCCGGTGCCACGAAGATGATCCAGAGAACAATTGCTTTTCCAAGTAGACGATTGTACGTGCTTACTTAGATATTTAATAGGCGGGTATGTATTTTATTACGTCATGGAACAGATCATAAAAGTTGCACAATTCATACTGGCCAAGCCTCTTCATGACGATCCCTAGGGAGAGAACGCCCGCGGCGTAAGATAAAAGTCATTCTTTATCTTCCACCTTTTTCTAACCAAATGTTACATATAGGATAGCAATAAGTGAAGAGTCGGCCAGCCAAATTAAATGAGAACAGCCCATCACGTCGATAAATACCTAATGGCCTGTCCTGCAGCGAGATTAATTCGATGGCCTACCATAGCCACAAATCCTAGCCAGTAAGCATGTCCTTTCAGCATATCTTCAAATGCTGTGCGACACACAAAGGCGGCCAGAAGCCGCCCGGTCCGCCTAAGGCATTCTGGGATCGATGAATACCTACTGGCCTTATCCCTCTACGATACCTTCCCAATTTATTTCGTTTTCCCATTGCCTACAACGGGGAGTACATACTTGGGAGCCAACAGTATGGCGGATCCTCTTGCTATTCTTGGAGCAGTGGCAGCTAGCCTTCAGCTCGCCGTCTACGCGATCAAAGGCCCAGTCGGAACTGTAGAGTTGGTGCAGAGTCTCCATGAAGCTCCCAGGCGGATGTCCCTGCTTTTGAGCCAAATCGACCGCGAAGTCGCATCGACGAACAACCTACTTCGTTTCGACCCCCCCATACACCCTTATCTCTCTACTACACAATATGCCCAGATTTCCACACTAGCAGTCGAAGCGCGCAAGGCTATGGAAAGCATTCAAGAAGATCTACGTCCTTTAGTAGAAGCCATTCAGAGTGCATCGGAGCCCAGCGAGAAAAGGAAGGTTTTAATACAGGCTTGGAAGTCAGTGGCAACCATAAAAAAAGAGAAAGAAATAGAGAGTAAGATGAAGTTGTTGGAAAGACTCAACGTTAGTCTCCTGCGTGAATTACATATAGCAGGATTTGAAACTCAGTCATTACTTCGGTGAGATGTACACAATAGCACATCCTTCTCTTCAATTAAGTATACTCACTGACCGGACGGTCTAATTGCACAACAGTAACGAGAGCTCCCAGATTTTAAAGAATACTGCGACCTCAGTTACCAGCATCCAAGAGGCTCGCCGGTCAATACAGCAAATTTGCGAGAGACAGTCGCAGGCTATGAAGACCGACCAATCCAACACGACGTCCATAACCCAGAGCCTAGACGCCCTAAGACACGACATATCCATAAACCACAAATCGCACGATCGAAACATAGCATCAACAAGCCAATCTTTGGTACAAATGGCGGGTGATTTGAGCGCTTTACGCCAAGACACTACATCGTCGTCGAGCCAAATACAGGCACTACTCTTAGAACATCGAGACGAGATTCGCAGGGAATTTCAAGCCAAGAATAACAATCTAGCCGAACTCGTTTGCGCTCAAGTCATCGCCTATCCTACCAAGCTACTCCAAGATATCCTAGATAAACTCAGCGCCCCCATGGTTTTAACAATTCAACAGGCTCATGAAGGCAAAGATCATTCGACCAATTCTCAGGATTCGGCCCTGGAGTTCGATTTGCAACGCGGGACGGCCAGACTGGAACTCTCAAACCGGGCGGCCCAACCTCGTCTAGGGCTAGATGATCTCGTGAAACCCCACAAGTACCCAAATCCATTAAGATGTAGCTGCAGGTCCAAGAGGTCTACGACACGATGGGACTATAAGCAGTTCTGGTTCCGGATCGAGAATAACGCAGTACAGGGCTGTTCTATACATGGGAGGAAACAGGAACGGGCCTACTCTATAGAGGCAAAATTAAGCCCATTCCTCAAACGAACTTTGGTCTTTACTCTTGGCTACCTCAAGGAGAAAAATAGCCCCGAAATGGCGCTTTCTCTCAAGCTCAAGTCTGTGGTCGAAAGAGCTAAAAGTCCTATTTTCAGTTTATTTGATAGTTTCTTCGACGAAAGGACCGTCAATGTGCCCAAGGGCCAAACTTCTGCATGTCGACAACGCGAAATAGGCCTATTAGAAGAGGATGGACTAGGGGGACGTGTATTGACATGGGTCAATCGAATCTGGAGAGGCTTCCGGTAGCGACATAGATGAGAACGGGTGCACCTTGCTTACGGTAAGTATCCGACGCCTAACCGAGGCCAAAACTAAGCTTGAACTAAGCTCACTGTTCTTTCTTAAGGAAGCGATAAGATTTATGATGCCGTTTTCTCAATCTAGATGTATAGTAAGCCTATTATCTCGACTGGTTCAAATCGCTCACACCTTCAATGTCGATCCAATGACAGCACCAAATTATCGCGGGAACTCTTTTAAAATGATCTTACACGAAAACACCCCGACAGTGCCGAATATATATTGGGACTCAGTACTAACTCATTATGCCAATATATCATTCCATGTCTACTTTGAAGGGTTTCCACGTATGCTACCCGACATGACCACCTCCAGTTTCCTTTTAAAACAAGATCTACTACTAGGGACACCAGAACTTGCAGAAGGTAATTCAAATGCAAATTCAGTGCTAAAGACCCGCTGACTTTCCTTCGGTTGAACCAGAACTAGGGTATTCAGACTTATGCGCAGTTATCATTCGACGTTCCTTGCCCGATTTACAAAGATTTGACCTTTCCAACCAAATGAAATTGGAAAAATTCGAACATGGAGGCCTTGGACCAATGGAACTCGCTTTGGGGTGGTCTGAGGGGTTACGCTTGCTAGTCAAGAAGGGGTTCAACATACGAAAAGCTTTCGAGCTTGCGTGCGAAATCAGTGATGAAAAATCAGTTTCTATCCTTCTATCTACCGATGACCCGATATTCTCTTGTGGTTATTCAGGCTGTCCTTATTGGACGTTTGCCAAGGCTACCTTACATTCCAACGAATCGATATTTCGAATGGTCGCCGAGGAACTACGCAGGCGGCAGGAACTCGCATTATACCATTTGAAAAGAGAAGAACCAGAAAATATTAGAGCATTCAAATGTTGGCCTTCAGAAGAGAATGGAAAACTGCTTTACCATTCTTTGGAGAAGAGGATTGCAATTCCTCATAAACTAGATTGTTTGATGGGTGGTTCACCCCACTGCTCTGAAGCGATGCGTTGTACAGATGTACTTCCTTACCATCGAATACTCTACAAAACTGGTTTCACGAATCTGAACGTACCTTGTAGGCACGGAATGACCCCCCTTGCCGGATACTGCGATAACTATACCGGGTTTTCACTTGTCGATGAAGCGGAGGCGAACTGGGACGATATAGTTCTCTGGTTTCTAGGGAAAGGCGCTTCCTTCAACTTTCAGCTACAGAGTGGTTCAGGACCACGATGGCCACATCTGCTGTTCTACTTAGTACAGGAAGTAGAAACTGGCAAGGTTAGCAAAAAAGTAATAGACGCTTGTACTTATGAATTCGTCACGGATCAGTGTCGATGTTTTTGTTCTTTACGGGGTTGCATTCCCCCTCTCATTTTTTGGGATTACCCACATAGAATATATAGATATTCCCAACAGCGCCTCCACCCAACCCGGTTCTATGATCGCATCGACCATTTGCGACGGTGGGCAAAGGTATGGAGACTCTCTAGGATTCAGAAAGAAGACTGCTATCGGGACGTCTGCCGGCGAGAGCTGTTTGGGCGTCTTGGTATGAGACATACGTGTTGTGCGGCGCGTTACCATATTCCTATGGAAGAGATGGAGCAATTTTGGTCAGAAGATCAGCCCTCATACCAACAGCTCAGATTCTTTCTGAGACTATACAGAAACACTAGGAAAATCCTCTTTCGTTACCCCATCGAGGAATTTTGGGTAGTGTGGTGGGAGGGCGTTGACAATATTCTGCCACGACTGCCAGAAGAGATCGATGGTTGGAAATATGAGGAACACACTTACCGGGAAGCGCTAGAACGAAGGGAAGAACAATGGGCTGCCAAACTTGAATCTCTCGGTTATGGCGGTCTGGATTTTAGTGAGGTGATCAGACATCATTCCATCAAGTTTTTGGCACTATGCAAAGTGTTACTTGAGAGAAGGACATACCGGAAGTTTCATCGCCTAGTAGCAAGCTCAAGGTCTACTGTTCTGAAGCGGAGGCGGCACGCATAATTACCTCTTTTCTTCGATCACTAGTTTGAACGAATCTTATCATCTCGGTTTTATCGATGCCCGACTAGAAACATTATTTCATATAGGGGTATGCGGTTTAGCCACTATTCATACTATGACGCTGTTCTATATACTGATGATTTCTTCATCTCTTAGACCAACTTTCGGCTTTGGTCTGATAAATTTTAACATAACTATGGTTTGTTGCCCTCATTCACACCCAAGTAGAAACTAATGAGTTCTTGAGTTTTTACTCGGATCGACTCACACATGACCCAAAAGGGAGATCAAATATGTGGGTGCATCGAGGAACCCCCCACAAATCCCTTTCCTAATATCACCATTCCAGTTTGATGAGTCTTTAATATCAAAATGGCGGAAGTACACCTACCAGTAGACGCCGTGGTATCCGCATCTAAAGCCTGCAGCCGCGAAACACAATGGGACACAAGCGCCTACGACGCCTTGATCGCTAGAGGTTGGAATGTCAACCAGCACCTCGGCCACATTGGGGATGCTCTAATGTGAGTTCCCTTCTCACCACTGCCGATTTCTAAAACTATCTAACAAGGCCTGCCACGGAAGTCTAGCAGTCGGCGCCAACAAACTTCCCCTAGTCCAGTACTTACTCCAGCATGGCGCCAATCCCAATGCAAACGTTCGCGGAGAGACATCTTCGTCACTTGAATGCGCCATCACCGCCAACGCGAGTCCGGAAATTGTAAGTTTGTTACTAGACCATGGAGCTGCGGTTAGTAATCGCAGCACCGCGCTTCTTGCCGCGAGTGGGGGGCACTTTGACTTATTGAAACGGCTTATCTCTTCCGGCGCTGGGATCGACTCGATTCCTGATAATGAGTATGTGTACGATAATGCCCGCGAGCAGGATGATTGGGGAACACCGCTTCACGGAGCGGCAGGGAACAGTCAGGTTGAGTGTGTTTTGTGGTTGCTTACTGCGGGGACGGATCGAAACGTTAGGAACTATAGGGGCTTAACGCCGAGGGATGTTGCTGAGAAAAGGGGGCATATTCATTGTGTGGAGTTGGTGAATAAGTTATAAGGTACCGGAGCTACCCAGGTAGGCATACCATGTCTATGGAATATGATTATTTCCCGATGTTTCCATAGTTTTCCGTTGTTTGTTAAGGGTTTCAAATACCGTGTCAACTCATACAGTGGCCTTCCTGGGTGTTTCCACTCAGCATAGCTGGTTTTTATGATTGGAAAAATAGCTGTAGGATTATTCGACCTTGAGAATTACCCCTAGAAATAATACTGCTTTTTTTTCCTCTAGTGGAAAAGAAACGAGATAAAATGGGAACCGACGTATTCATAGGCCGTAGAGCCCTTATCTTAAAGGGGGCGTCTGTTTCAACAAGCGCTCCAATTTTCCCGAACTTTCTTACGTCTACACATCGGAAGCACACAAACATCCGATTAAAGCGAAGGAGATATTATATCGAACTCCCTTTTAAAGAATAATTCTCGGTTTATTTAAGAACGCCGGGCCGAAATGCCGCGTACGTAACGACGTGTTCCGCTTCAGTGTTAAAGGTGGATAAGCAACCTGCGACGTGCCAAGTTACAAGTCCGCCGGAGATCCATGCCACGGAAGCGCGAGTCAACATCTATCTGGAACCCGAAGCGTCTGTGGCATGGTTTTCTTATCGGACTCATTAATCGTTCGATATTAGTTCGAGAAGGTAGTGTTAGGAGTTGAAGCCTCAAAGAAATTTTACGCCTTTGTCATGTGTCAGCGCTTATGACTCTAGATAAGATTTCAAGGTCACTTAAATCAGAAGACATTATCACCAATAAAACTCCAGGGATAATACGAAAATCAAGAGCCAGCTAAAAAGGGAATAAATTTAGATTGCCATGCAGTAAATGTAGTTAGTATAAACTTCCTCCCCGGAAATTCCTTCTTCCCCAGCCTATATATATTGTAGAGATCGTTATATCACCTAGGACCAATCGGGAAGCATCTCAGCTCACGGTTGGCTATGTATTAGGTAGGGTCCTTGGAGCGTAGTATGCCTCTCCACACTTCGCTGAGTCCAAAAAAGGAGCCGCTCATTGATCTCCCCCCTGTCTACCGTCTCCTAAGACTGCAATACCACCGGTAGTAAAGCATCTTATCATAATGGTGCTGTGGGAATCTTGACATATATAGATAAAATGCTGAATATGTACACACTTAGAAATGCTCCTTCCAGAACCGGAAGCGCACTTCCCTACTTGTTGCTGCGTTGGCCGCCTTGTGAATATCACGAGCTAGAAGAATGTGTTAGTAAGATGTTTGATATTGGTTAGATAATTACAAAACTCACCAGCTACGGAAGGACCGCAAAAGTATACACCAACTGTTGTTTGCATGCTACCCTCTAGACCGTTCATGTACGTTCGGTCCAAAATTCCATCTCGCATCGCCTCGAATATTCGTTGGAAGTTGGGTCGACCGAAATTTGTGCGGGACTTGAGTTCTGTGAGAGGGTCGACTTCCGCACCAACACTGTTCAAGACAATGTTTTGCGTCGTGTCCATGTCTAGCTTCTGGGTTAGGTAGGTGTGAATTTTCAAGAATTCCACACCATTGCTGCCGGGAATACGAGCTGCTTCGTTACTTTGAGATTCGAGAGACGAAAGTAGAGTCTGGAACCATTCGAAAGAACCAGTATCCTTGCACACCCAAATGAATTCAACACGGCGAAGTCGTCGGGGAGGGTTCGGGCTGTTGCGTAAATGCCAGATGTTCTTTAGAATCGAGGCCCACGGTGTTACACCAATACCCGTACCAATGAGTACCGCAATTTCGTTCTCGAATACGTCCTCAGCCGGGGCACCGTAGGGTCCATCGATTCGAAGGTTAGGCATTTGCTGACCGTTCTGTAGAGCAACTTCATACATTCCCATAGGATCGACGCCCTCGTAAAGCTTGGCCTGTGCTCCACCGGCACCAACCGCATCACCCAATGCCCTGGTGAAATCACCAACTTGTCGAACGTGTACCGAAACGTATGGGTCGTATGGGCAAGAAGTGATGGTAAATGGATGCCATTGGTAGCTGGAGACCGAAGGGACCTGAAGGAAAAGCCATTGGCCAGCCTTGTACTTGAAAGAGGGCTTTTCAAACTGAATTTCCACGACATCTAAAAAAAGCATTAGCATTGATGGATCGTTTCAAAAGTGCTATTCTCTTACCGTATGGGTGGCGAACCACTCGGGTAATCTTAGTGGTACGCTTAGCACGAATCTCTCGGTAGAGACGCTCGATCAGATAAAGACCTCCTGCAAATAACTCCCATCGCCAACCTTGGTATCCAATACAGTGGCCCCAGAACTGCTCCCCAGCGAATGGAGAAAAGGGGAGAGCGGTATCACGGACGAAGCAACCGACGGCGTGGGTGTATAGTCCTAAGAAGAATGGGATGAATAGGTGGTGAGTGTACCAGAAGGTTTCGAACGATTGTTGGCGGATACGGTGGTGTGCGGTAGTGTACATCAACAACATGCAGAGGAGCATGACATGGCCCGTAACACCACCGGGTTGAGTGTAGTGAATTTCAACCGCGGTAACTGGTCGGATTTGGGTCTTCTCAACATTGAAGAAGCTATGGACTAGTTAGATTTGATCTATTTGCTGTTGAGCCTCGAATATTTGAAACTTACTTGACATAGTGAGAAGAGACATGAATGACGGTGAATAAGAGCATAGCATATGCAACTTGGCGATGGAACCATATATTCTCATCAAGAGGCAGCCACCGGATCTTGGGTCGTATCCATCGTACTATCGTTCGGCAAACCGGTAATAAAATCAATGTTCCGTCAATCGCCAAGACAAGACCGGCACCTCGCGAGAACCAGACAGAGAATCCTAGGGTGTTAAGCGCTGCTAGTTTGGGATCGGCATCTTGCTTATACCTGCACATATAATTAATTATCATGATCATGTAATATGGTTATACAACGGAAGACGGAAGACGCACCATCCAAAAGCAAAGAAAAACCAATGTACACCCCAGAATAGGACGTGAAAAATCAGTTTACTAGCAGTAAGCTGCTTCTTTAGTAACTCGAGAATAGGCATATCGACGATTAATCGTTCCCCTTGTCCTACCCAAGACGTAAATTCGAATTAAATAAAAAATTGTCGACCTGCGACGCGATTTCCGTATACTTCCAGACGGCGACCGTTGGGGAAAAGGCGTTCGAAGCGAGTGGACGGATCGAACGACGATAAAATTTCAGATATTTTTCTTTTTCCAAGCGATCGTCTTCTGGCCCTAGAATCCCTTCACTTTTTTACACGTTGTTTGTGAAAAATATTAAAAATGACCTATTATCCAACGGCGAGCACCTAGAAGTAAACAAAAACCGAACCAAAAGAGTGATCTGAGCCAGCAGGAGACGAAGGAAAGGATGGCGGAGTAGAGAAAGTCTCGGGGTGAGAGTGTATTCTTTCTACGTCCTGGTTGCCGCGCGAGGAACCAACAGAAAAAAAGAGAAGCCCGGATGCTAGCGCTGGTGGGCGGGGAGTAAGTGATAAAGGATGACAGGATCAAGGCGAAATGGTAATGCGATCAAGCGGGATCCACATAGGACACGGCCGGAAAAGAAGAGAGCAAGGGTCCGTATGGATGTATGAAGATCCGGAGCTTGTTTAAAAGACCAGGGACACACACTTCTTGCAGGGGATGAAGGGGGCTCTCGATAGTTCGGATGTCAGTTAGCCCATGAAACCCTTCAAGTTAATCGTGATGGTGCTAGCTAGTCCTTTTTGTTTTAATTCGGGGGAGGAGACGGGAAGGGTTTAGCAGGTGGGAATTATCTAGAGCTGGGGCTGGCAAGGGTCTATCTTGACGGGTAGACTACCTAGGACAGCTAGAGTAATTCAGATTCCTCATCGAAGCCGGAGTAATACGAAAAACATAGATAGATAGACTATAGATGTCTCGATGAGTAGGTAACTGGGTGAGTGGCCAATGACCAAATGGGAATAGTCCAGGCAGATCAAACAGAAAGGGAGCGTTTCGTAGGTCGTCGATGCGGTATCAGATTTGACTCCGATGAAGATTGATTTCGACTAAAATCATCAGACGCCACGCCAGATTCAGAGTGGTACACAGCTCACGGCCTGCTAGAACCTGGTATTGTGGGGCGAAGAGTTGAGACTGGCGGCGTTTGGGAGTGTTGCTCTGTGGTGTTTCGACAGGGGAGGGCTTGTTCCCCTTTCACCCGCTGTAGAATTGTAATATATGTATGTGCGCGCGCGTACCCTTTTTTTTTTATTATATTTTGCGATACTCAGTACCTAATGAATTGAATCGCAGAGGTAACGGAAGGAAAAGGTAACAATAGGGAACCATATTGTCGGATCCGAACAGAATATGTTCGTCCAGGGAGGGTAGAGGGGGGTTTATTAGGTAGAAATATGCAAGAATATCTCTGAACATGCAAAATAGCCGCCAAAGGGTTGTTCTACCAGCTTACCTATTGAGTGAAAGCCAATTGATTGATTTGATTGAAATCGAAGGACACCTAATAATTGGAACGCCTTCAGGGCACAGTACTGTGCAGTAGTGTACCTAACTAGACCCGGCGGTTAGCTGGACGGCTCGGATTCGTCGATGCAAGTCAATGCAGGAGGACGGAATATTGCATGGGACCAATCAGGATCAAGGAGTCCGTGACATCCTCGATCACTTTTAATACCCCCCCTGTACCCTTGTCCATCGCCAAGCTTGATACGTGCTATAACAGGTTTAGCCTATCTTGTTGAAGAGAATGTGCCTTTTTGCTGTTTTTTTCCCCTTATTCCCACCAACCTCTGTAGATATGGACATGTACCTGTCACCCTGTCATCTAAGCTTATCCCCCCTCTTCTTTTCTGACCCCCTGTTTCTGCTATAACAAGATCCCGTCAACTATTAATCTGCATCACGAACGGATACCTGTGCCAGTACATGCATGTACCAAGTCACTTGCATGGAATTTCGGCTAGGACTCTTTTGACATCGTCGCCCACCAATAGCATACCACCTATTTTCCAATTCTTTTTTAGGATGTACCTCGTGGGTATGTGCTTGGCGTTGCCGGGACCCGAGATGCCACACTCGCAGCACAGAAGATGCCCATGTTGTTGGCCCTGCTGGTCTCCTCCCTAGATCTTCATGCCTTTCCCTACGTTGGGTATACTCAAGGAACAAAATCGTACGATTGTAAAAATCAGGCCACTTCTAGATGTCGTTCCCAAGAGTTGGATATATAAATTCGAGGTTGCCGTCATGCCACTTGAATAGGATCTCCTCGTACGATCTCTCTTTGTCTGCCTGCATTTTACAAGCTCCTGGAGATATCAAATTCGCCAAGTGGTGATAAGATACGGCCTGTCTCTTGTTCGATATCAACAGAAGTATACATCACCCTGGCCCCTCACTTCTCCCATACTAATGTTAGATCAACATATTGGACTACGGTACAAGCACAGAAAGCCAGGACAGCGAAGCACGGCTCCGGAATGTAGTCGTTACATTTGCTATATCAGCATGGAACTTTCAAGTTGGAAATCCCTCAAGCGATGACGAGACCAGTCCAAGTGGATAAACTCTCCAGATGCTGTGCGACGTCCTTCTCGGAGTCGAACAACAACCTTTTCTTATTACTTGTCTCACTAGAGATATCGAGGTAATGATCGCGTCAGGTTTGATACTAGCTATGGCAAGCTTGAAGCGTGAGGCGGCGCCATCGGTTTCGAATCGTTGGTAGGAGGTATTGCTCGCTTACCGCCAACATGACCAACTTGAAGGACCAGTATTGACGTCGTTTCTGGAACAGTTTATAGACTCAGCCTTGATTTATGAAACGGATCGTAGAGCCTCAAGATGATGGGTATAATCCTTCAAACGCTAGCGTATGAGCCTGGGGTTGTAGTGATGCACTCATTGTGGAGTATCCTTGCGTAGCTGAGGACCAATAGAACCTCGTGAGGGTGTTGGTCTTTCACCTTTCAGGCTTAGTTAAGCTTTTAATCCATGTCTATTCTGTGTTCGGCTTTGTGTCGGAGTTGCTTAGACATTCAGGATGTTGTCAAAATGTGCTCAGACCAGTGTCGTCCTAACTATGGCCCGAATTTCTAATACGACTTCGGATACTGGAGGTCGGACCTTACTTCGGAAGATCAAATGTGGACCCAACTCCTGAATTTCAATGGCTAAAAAGTAATATGATTTTCGACGACCTTGACTGTGCTTTGACGATGCAGTTGATGGAGATTGATTTCGTATCCGAACAGATACATTGGCACGCGGCACACTTATTCGACTCATGATTACTACCGCACGTCTCAACCGCTATGTTTACTTATATGTTTTTCCTCTCTTTCTCTCACGTCATTAGGCCTGATAGGGTAGTCGGGTAACCATGGCATTTTCGGTATTATAAGTATTAATGTTAGAGAAGAGGACGTATTCCTGTTGGATTGGGCGCTTAACATGCTTGTGTGAGCGCGCATGCTTCTGAGACTTGACTTCAATGGGAGTTGGGCGTAGAAAGCGCCGAAATGTGCTTTTAGCAATACGAGCTGGTAGGTGCCGTATCTCCTAAAGGTCACAAAACAGGCTAACATAGCTGAATGATAGAATGGTTTCGAAGGCATGACGATTCTCCATTTCGTAAACCAAGGATGGTGTTGCTCTCAACTCTGGATGACAGTCTATAGAGACTGAGTTGTCGATTGTACCTAGTCCATGAGGTACACATGATATCATTGGAGTTAGTAGATGATGCTGACAACATATATCGTGACGTCTCTTCCAAACCTTAGATTTACGAAGCGTATTTGGATCTCTGGTGTATATGAACCACCCAGATCATCTATTCATCTCAAAGACTCGGGATAATCCTCTAGTTTAGCTAGATCTTTCTAAGTCTGTTGAAATTGCACCGTTTTACATACCGCAAATTCCGCTTTTACTCTTTCAAAATGGCACCCAGGTACAAGAAGGGACAAATGGTTACCTACAAGCCTGTCGGAGGTAAGCATGACCCATAGTTTGGGCGAGCTATCGCTAATATATTCGTTAAGGTCCTGATTCAAACACACCGGAGAGTGTTGGTAGGATCAACGACGTTCTTACTGAACCGGGAAAGCAGGCCGACAGAAATGTCCAGGCCAGTTCTGATAACCCGCGATATGAGGTGAGTATTTAGTACTGATTTCTGTTCATTATCGTCGCATCAATCACCAGAACTGACAGTTGGTTGCTTAGATCGTCAATGACAATACTGGCAAGACCACCACAATCTACGAAACCAACATCCTAGGTTCAGCCTAGTCAGTCCGACGTAACTGGGTAGTTTCGACATCGCTCATGGTTTCTGGTGATGATTTCAGTGGCGTAAAGGAGGGGTAACGGCTTATCTTGTACAACTCGTCGGATGTGGAGTCGTCAATTAATAGGATATTGGTATCGAATGACCAATCCAATACACTCATTAAAACCAACTTCTAGCGTCTCTTCATTGAGCTCTGCGACGTTTTGTGTGCTCACTGGTGTTTATAATCATAGGTTGATCCCAGCTCGACAGAAGTTCCCGTTTGATTTGGGTGCTGCCTATTTCCTATTTAGAGGGCTCTAGGTAGTGTCATTCCACTCGAGTGTTGGCATTACCTACCTTTCTTATAGTGACTAAAATATTCGAATCAAGATACTTGATGCAATTGAAAAGTTTGATAATATATCACTACATTCAACGTGATTCATGGTTGACCTGAGGATACCATAACAAATAATTAAAGTTGAGTTTGTTGAGGGTCAAGTCGGGTTCGGAAAATAGGAACTTTACCGAATTAGTGGGATTAAGTTAGATAATCGTAGGCTTGGCTTTATCTCCAAGCCACGCCTGCCACGTTACCCAGCCCCATTACATTACGTCGACAGGGTACAGATGTAAAGTATCTATTAGCGCTAAATTAATGAAATAATGGGGTCCCTCAAGGCACCTAATTAACTACAACTGCACCTAATCACTGGAATTGAACTTGTGAAATACCTAAACCAAAGCGCCAAAGTCACGTCAAGTTCGACACAAATCTACTTAAACTTGCGCTTGCGCAAACACTTCGCCTCCTCATCTTCTTTTTCCTACCTCGTTATTTACGGCGTCATTCACTCTGGACAGTCCTCACCAACTAAATTAATCCAGAAAAAACAATCTCCTAAGCCGTCATCGCTTTTACCTCTCCCACCCCACCAAAAACCCCCTTTCCTGTTGGATCTGACCCTACCTACTAATATTGTTCATGGGAGCCCAATATGGTGAGATACTATACACTAACAAAAACAAGACTTCCTCGCTAATCGTTGCGCGTGTCTAAACTACAGGGTATAAGTAGACGACCAAAGGATAAGTCAGGCGGAGCATCCCGCTCCGGCGGCGGAGGAGGACGAGATGGAGGCGCCGCGAGACCTAAGAAAGCTACATTCGAGACTACTAAAAAGAAGGAGATAGGTGTTTCCGACTTGACCCTACTTAGCAAAGTATCCAACGAAGCGATAAACGAAAACCTAAAGAAGCGCTTCGAGGGTCGCGAAATCTATACCTATATCGGCCATGTGTTGGTTTCGGTTAATCCCTTCAGGGATCTCGGTATCTACACCGACCAAGTCCTAGAATCGTACAAGGGCAAGAACCGATTAGAAGTGCCGCCCCACGTCTTTGCGATCGCCGAGTCAGCATATTATAACATGAAGGCATACCATGAAAATCAATGTGTGATTATTTCTGGAGAGTCAGGAGCTGGAAAGACCGAGGCCGCCAAGCGGATCATGCAATATATCGCAAATGTATCCGGCGGTGAGAGTGGAGAGATCAAGCAGATCAAAGACATGGTGCTGGCAACCAACCCTCTACTCGAGTCCTTTGGAAATGCGAAGACGCTGAGAAATAACAACTCGTCACGCTTCGGAAAATACCTACAAATACACTTTAACGCCAACGGAGAGCCCGTCGGAGCGGATATCACAAACTACCTACTCGAGAAGACACGAGTGGTTGGTCAAATTACGAACGAACGAAATTTCCACATCTTCTACCAATTCTCCAAGGGCGCCTCCGAAAATTACCGGACAATGTTCGGTATTCAGAAGCCCGAAACGTATGCGTACTTGAGTCGGTCGAAATGTTTCAATGTTGATGGTATAGACGATCTAGCTGAATTCCGAGATACTCTAGAAGCCATGAAGGTCATTGGCCTGTCTCAAGGTGAACAAGATGAGGTGTTCCGTATGTTAGCGGCCATTCTGTGGACTGGAAATATCCACTTTGTAGAAGGTGACGACGGATATGCTGCCGTGGCGGACCAGTCTGTTGTAGACTTCCTTGCCTATCTGCTTGAAGTCTCGCCTGCTGCGCTAATCAAGGGTATTACCATTCGAATTTTAACCCCGAGGAGTGGCGAGGTCATCGAGTCACCTGCCAACACGGCCCAAGCAAACGCGACCAGAGATGCGCTTGCTATGGCTATCTATTATAACCTTTTCGACTGGATTGTTGGGAGAATCAATCAATCCCTCCAAGCGCGACAAGCGACATCTAATAATATCGGAATCCTAGATATTTATGGCTTCGAAATCTTTGAGAAGAACAGTTTCGAGCAGCTTTGCATCAACTATGTGAATGAGAAGCTTCAGCAAATCTTCATTCAGCTCACTCTTAAGGCTGAACAAGAGGAGTATGCACGGGAACAAATTCAATGGACTCCTATTAAATATTTCGATAATAAGGTCGTGTGTGATCTGATCGAGCAGGTTAGACCCTCAGGTATCTTTTCCGTGCTAAAAGACGCCACCAAAACAGCCCACGCCGATCCTGCTGCATGCGATCGCACTTTCATGCAGAGCATCAACGGCATGTCGAATGCCCATCTTACACCACGACAAGGAAGTTTCATTATCAAGCACTACGCCGGCGATGTTAGTTACACCGTCGAAGGAATCACTGATAAGAATAAGGACCAACTCTTAAAGGGTGTCCAAAACTTGTTCCAGCAAAGCTCGAACCGATTCGTCCACACTCTGTTCCCTCAATCCGTAGATCAAGATAACCGCAAACTACCTCCGACGGCTGGCGATAGAATCAGGACTTCGGCTAACGCCCTGGTAGAGACATTAATGAAGTGTCAACCGTCATATATTCGAACGATAAAGCCCAACGAAAATAAGTCACCCTCTGAATATAACGTACCAAATGTGTTGCATCAAATCAAATATTTGGGTCTCCAAGAAAACGTTAGGATTCGACGCGCTGGTTTCGCTTATCGTCAATCTTTCGAGAAGTTTGTAGAGCGATTCTTCTTGTTGTCTCCTGCTACATCCTACGCGGGTGAATATACCTGGTCGGGAACCGAAGAGGCTGCCGTGAAGCAAATCTTGAAGGATACCAGTATTCCAAAAGAGGAATGGCAATTGGGTGTTACGAAAGCCTTCATCAAGTCTCCCGAGACGTTATTCGCCTTGGAAACGATGCGAGATCGATATTGGCATAATATGGCTACTCGTATTCAACGAATGTGGAGGGCTTACCTAGCCTATCGTGCCGAATCGGCGACCCGAATTCAACGGTTCTGGCGTAAGAAGAGAGTGGGTGCTGAATACTTGCAATTACGAGATCAAGGCCACAGGGTTTTGCAAGGGCGCAAGGAGCGAAGACGATTCAGTCTTCTAGGTTCTCGACGTTTCTTGGGAGATTATCTAGGGATCAACGCTTCAAATGGGCCTGGATCACAAATCCGAAATGCCTTACAAGCATCCAGCAACGAGAAATCTCTTTTTTCATGTCGTGGTGAGGTTTTGGAAGCCAAATTTGGTCGATCCAGTAAACCGAGTCCTCGAATTCTTGTCGTGACCAATAGCAAGTTCTACATTGTTGCACAGACGCTCGTTAATCACCAAGTCCAGATCATCATTGAACGACAAATTCCCTTAGGTGCCATCAAGTTCATTAGCGCCTCGACAGCTCGTGATGACTGGTTTTCATTGGGGGTTGGATCACCACAAGAACCGGATCCATTGTTGAATTGTGTCTTGAAGACCGAACTCTTCACACAAATGCAACGCGCTATGCCTGGCGGCTTCAACTTGAAGATTAGCGATTCGATAGAATACGCTAAGAAGCCTGGAAAGATGCAACTGGTCAAGGTGTTGAAAGATTCACAACAGGCAGTGGATTTCTATAAGAGTGGTGCTGTCCACACACAGCCTGGTGAACCTCCTTCATCCGTCTCTAGGCCGACGCCGAAGGGTAAACCCGTACCGCCTCGACCGATCACTCGTGGCAAACTTATCAAGCCTGGAGGTCCTGGCGGCAGACCTTCACGGGTTACAAACACTCGTCCAAGCACCACCAAACGCGGCCCAGCCGCAGTTCAGACTCCACGTCCTGTTCCCACTCCTGCTGCTGCCGTCACAAGTAGCATACCTAACCACACACGTAACCAAAGTTCAACTTCATCCGTTCGCGCCCCTCCTCCACCGCCACCAGCTGCACCACCAGCAAGAGCTAGGATAAACGCCAAGGTTCTATATACGTTTGAAGGAACAGGGCCAGACGGTGGAACGAAGGAGAATGAGCTCTCCATAACGGCGGGTGACATCATTGAGATCGTCCAAAAAGAGAACAATGGTAAGCCCTTATTCCCAAATACTATTTTCATGGTAGATAACTAATTAAATAATACAGGTTGGTGGTTAGCCAAAAACTCGGCCAGAAGACAAGGATGGGTACCCGCAGCATACGTTGAAGAACAAGCAGCTGCTCCTCCACCAGCTCCCGCCCCGGCTCCGAGAGCTCCACCGCCACCCCCTAGCCAAAACGGTACGGCGACGGCGGCACGAAGTAAACCTACGCCTCCCCAACCCCCAGCGAAGCGGCCCGCTGCCGGTAGAAAGCCGGCAGCCGTGCAACCCAGAGACTCGGGTATGAGCCTTAACGCAAACGGCGGTTCTGATAGCAGTCGTAGCAACACGCCCACGCCTAGCCTCGCAGGTTCCTTAGCCGATGCTTTGTTAGCAAGGAAACAGGCTATGCAGACTAGGAAGGATGATGACGACGACTGGTAGATCAGACCAGGGTAGTAGTACGATAGCGTTATGGCAGTGGTGTGAACGCTAATTTTGAATTTTGTGTATATGCTCGCGATCGTAAAGAAAGATCCTTTTAGGATCACTACAAGAGATGGTATGGCAAAAGCCTACCTGGTGTTCAAGATTTACGATTCACGAGCTTGGACCAACATGACAAGAACAACAGGAGGGGAGAATGTCAGTCGAAGAACTACAACTGACAACATCAATCCTCATGACAATGATGATGGGTGTAAGGTATATGGGCATGAAGCGAGATATAGTGTAGCAGCCTTGCATAGTAGAAAGAGTAGCTACAAGTTTAGAAAGGACAGAGAAGAGTAAAGCAGAGCGAAGAGCTAAGATAAGAAAAGAAAAGAAGTTGAAGAAATTAGACCATGTTTTGGTATTCATTCTAAAATCCGTGATATGCTATTTCCATCTAATATTAAGGTAAATAAATCATCACGTATCCTCATCATCTTTTGTTCGTACTTTCCTCCGTCTTATCAACTCCGCAAGCGGTACATCCTCATCCTCTACATTATGTATTATCTCCTGCGGAGGCTCATCGAACTCCGCATCCTCGTCTACGCCATAGTCACCTAATTGTTCACCATCAGCATTAACCCACCCGGATTTCCCCTCATCAGCTATAACCGCGGCATCTGGCCGAGGACGTCGTATCCCCATGCCTTGATCTCTACCCAGGGTAGACGGATGATCATACACCTCATCAACGAAATCATAATCATCATAAGATCCCGGCGGCAACTCTTCTAATTCTCCTAGAATCCGCGATCGTGAAGCCTCCCAACGTCTCAAATCGCGTTCCTGTCGGCGACGGAAAGCTTCTTTCTCATCTACCAGATCGCCCTGCGAGCGATCATACCTCTCCAACTCCAGCGCACGATCAGCCTCACGCTGACGATCACGCCAAGTCTTCGCATGTCGGAGCTTATCCGGGTCCGCAGGTGGCCATAACCCCTCACGATCATTCATGCCATTTTCTTCGTACTCCCACCCCGTTGTATTATTATTACTCGCCTGAGGATTCTCGTCATCATACGGGTACGGCGCGACGACAGGTCCGCCAGCAAACGGCAGAAACCAGAAAAGCGGGTTACTCGTGCCCATAGCAGCAGCCATATTCGCGAAAAACCCAATATCATACGGAAACTCGACAGGTTCGAGGGTTAAATGCGGGGCATCGCGATCGCCGCCGGGGGCTCGTTCGTTAGAGGACCACCACGTATCGGACGAAGAATGGTATCGGCGTTCGAGGGCAGCTTCATGACGTTCGACTTCCCAGCTCTCAATCATAGTCATATTTAACACCCACCCCTTAAGCGTTGTAAATAGTAAGATTGCCAAGGCTAGGCTTGTCATTCCCGTCACGAACGAGAGGACTGTTAGGAATGCTAGTTGGGATAGCGTGGGGCCTAGGTATGCGGGTAAATGACGGACATCCCAGAGAGCGAGGAAGCGCTGCGCGAGGAAGTAGAGTAGGGTCCAGAGGGATATGTTTGTGTATACGAGGAAACGTAGGAATTGCGGAAAGGTTTGTAGCGAGACGCAGTTGGAAGTCCAAGGACAATGGTGGTCCATCTTTGGTACGCAACGACGGCACGTGCGACAGTGGTGCGCGCGAGGGGGTTTCGGAGCGGCGCATTTTCTGCACCAGCGACGAAGTTGTCCTCTTCTTGCTCCATCTCCTACTTCGGATATATATGCCGTCGTTGCTGCTTCTGCGTCCGAATCATCGTGGTCCTTCTCTTTCTTCTGCTTCTGTTTTTTCTTGATATTCGATGGGAAGACGTATCGGCCGGAATCGACAGTACAGGCTTTATAGTAAGTGTACCAAAGGCATACGAGCAGGGTGTTAAATGTGTAGGTCTCGGTGGTAGTAAGCGGGCCGGGTGCGAGATCCGGGGAGTTGGCGAAAAGCCATTGTGATGTGTAGGCGAGGAAGGCGATTAGAAGACAAACGGCGGGAACGGCGAGGCGCTGGAGTGTAGGCTCCGCGCTGCCAACAAGAAACGCCATAATGGAATATTAGGCCATCTATTAAGTCGGTCTGACGATAAATTAGAACGACAAGGTAGGTGATCAAGGGTATCGGACTAGATGGTAGATTTAAGGATTAGATTTAGATTTCGGGATGACGCGGTGCTATGTGGATTTGGGCGCGACGTCACTTATGCAGGAATATGCAGGGATAGATTGATTACGTAAGACGGAATTGATAAGGTAGAAGTTTATAAAAATTAGTGGTAAGGCATTACTATAAGTGCTGTGTGTAGAAGTACGGTATTGGTATATTTACCCTTAAAGAGAACTATTAGATTTAATCGTCAAGATTAGCGACCTTCGACGAATTCATATTTGGTCAATTTGGCGAAGGCGTGCACCTATTCTCGACCGCACGGAGAACCCCACCACATACGCTGGTCATTGCCGCCCGATAAATGTTCGTTGTGTTCGTTGCGTATTTCCTAGGTATTCGAACAAGATCCCAAGAATAGAGCTTCGTGATTATAAATTTTACGTAGAATCCATGACCCCAACTTGAGTCAAAGCCGAACCTCCACAAGAAGTACTTACGAGACATAGAGGTATTAGCCTAGTGATCTTAGGGGCCACGCTATAAGCTTCCCGTATCAGCTCGAAGCATTAACGAGCAGTCCCACAACACCAAAATCGCATTTGCCAAGTCATAATTAGGCAGGGGAATTCACGTATAATAATCCAGCAATTTGGGGAAAGAGAAACCATGGCTACCAGCCAAGTTCTCGTGTAGGAAGAACGGTTCATAGCTATAGTTGGAATTATCGCCCCAAGCCATATTCGCAGTAGCTTATAGCTACACATATCGAATATATTCACGATATCATACCACATGACTAGAGTACGTTAGCTAGGCAGATAAGCGGGAGGGGGAATACCAATCACGTACCTATTGAGGAAGATTTCATGCGCCGATTTGTCTTTTTATTCTGGCGACATATCGGCTGAAACCAGTACGCAGCCATCTGCCCTAGATACGATGAAGTTCCACTTATTGTTCAAGCAAGGCTCCTCGAGTCCTCACTCCCCCTTCAGTTACTCTATATTTTCATCCTTATGTGCCTCCGGGCTGCGACTTCGACTCCGACCTCGACCACGATGCGACTGCCTAGGACCCCTATTACCCTTTCCCGGAGGCGGTCTCACAAAAGCGAAGTCGACGTAGATGGTTTGCTCTAAAAGCTTGGATTGGTGTGCTCCATCGATAGCGGCTCGAGCCTCGTCTAGGGTGGCATACTCGATTAATGCGTAGCCCTATCATAAGACATAGTGTTAGCATTGTCTTTCATCTTCATTGTTCGTCTCCATATGAGTCGAGACTATAATCGAGCCAAGAACTAAGAACTAGGAATCGAGAATCGGGAATCAAGGGGTTCAAACTTGCCTTGACGTAACCAGATCGGCGGTCTAGATTCAGGTGCAGGTTCTTAATCTCGCCAAAGTCGGCAAATTTGTCGTGTATGGTTTCCTCGTCGGCCTCCTCGTGTACGTTGGTAACCATAATAATCCAACCCTCGATCGATCGGACAGCTGTGGCTTTGGTATGCGTCTGCATGTCGCTAACCTTTGCCTGGGTAGCTTGGGGAGAGCCGGGCTCGTCGATTTCCATATCGATGTCTGCCATGATGATTAAGTCGAAAGGGATTAATTTTTCGAGTAGTATTTATGATGAGTACTGTATGATCGGGTGAGGTATCGTAGAATTGTTGGGTTTATTGTTTAAGTTGGGATTGATTGATTAAAATTGAAAGTTTGCGATGTTGAATTGCGTTGTGAACCTTCCTGTAAACCTTGTGGACCCACATAACAAGCAATAATACACCTGAGGAAGTTAAATAGACCGACCTAATTGGTTCAAGCTAGAAAAGCAATGCAGCACCTGGCTTCCACCTGGCAAGATATGATAAATGTGACTGTGTAACTCGACTAGGTACATATATACATCATCTTCACATGCGACTCCGTACAGTAAACCCGAATAACTTCTTTCATTGTTTTTACGACGCCCTTCCAACGTAGACACCATATCAAACATTTTCTGACCAATCGGCTCGTATCCCCTTGTCTTCATCGGGGTACCTCCATCACGAGACAAATTACTCAATTCGATAAATCATATAGTCAAGATAAACTCAAACCTGCAAAGATCGCGATGTCGGAGAGAATCCCACCGTGCGATTGGTTCCCCACGCAGATCTACGGCATCATATCCGGGGGCATAGGGCGTGCTCTTCGGTCATGCAACCGGGATCTTCACCGGAGCTTAAGTGCGGTCAAACTCTAGTATATATAGCAGTCTTGGTAAGTACTCAATGGCCGACTTGATGGTAAATCTTGGTTTGCGTATACCTTGTCCATAATCACCATACAATATACAGTATCAATACTATGAACATATAAACAATGGCTCCGCGAGAAGTCCAACTCCAAAACCTCGCCAATTCCAGCTCCCCAGTAGTCCAAACCTCCACATTAGAAAATGCCCCTCCCACCGAAAACAACGACAGGATTACAACATCACAAACCCTTCCCCAAACCGACCGAGGCCGCGCCGCCTACCTCGTACTAGCAGGATGTGTGTTAATCCAGACACCAATATGGGGGTATTCTCTCGCCTTCGGCATATTCCAAGAATACTACACCAGCTCACGGGGCGCCTCCATCCTCTCCGGGGACCGTAGCGCCGGCACCATCGCCAGTATCGGCAACTCGCAAACCGGAATTCTGTACCTAATGATGCCAGCAACCTTCATATTGCTGACTAAATACCCCTCACTGCGGCGTTTCTGTATGCCATTCGGCTTGCTCCTCACGACAGCATGTCTAGCAGCGTCTTCGTTCGCGACAACAGCGAGCCAATTGATTGCTGTACAAGGCGTATTACACGCCGTAGGTTGTGGGCTCCTTTTCGCCCCCGCGTCCTTATGTCTCGATGAGTGGTTCCCTGAACGTAAGGGCCTGGCTTACGGGGCCATGTGGTCTGGGAAGAGCGTATCCGGTGCAGGAATGCCGTTCCTAGCCAACGCACTACTATCCCGATACGGCGGTCGTACAACCCTGCGTATCTTCTGCGTGGCATCGGCAATATTGACAATCCCGCCATTACTCCTCATGCGCGAACGTCCCGCTACTAGAAGCCCCGTTAGTACAGCCACAGCCTCAGAAGACGGTGACGCAAGAGAAATAGACGGAGGGCGCGAAGTACGAGACGGTCGCTTATCCTTCGCCTTCGCGCGACACACCACATTCTGGATCCTACAATGCGGCAATGTCTTCCAATCTTTAGGGTATCTCATGCCTTCCACATACATCGCTTCCTACGCAGCCGCGCTCGGCTTTCCTTCAGCCACGAGACCAATACTCCTCGCTCTAATCTCGCTCGCCTCCGTTTTCGGGTCCCTAATGATCGGTTTGCTCAGCGACGCCGGTCTACGTGCCAACACCGTGATCCTCGTATCCTCCCTCGGCAGCGCACTCCCCGTCTTTCTCCTCTGGGGTCTCGGCGGCGGCGCACACCAAGTCGCCATCCTCATCGTCTTCACAATTCTCTACGGCTTTTTCGCTGGCGGGTTTAGTTCGACCTGGCCCGGTATTCTGCGTGAGATGAAACGCCGCGATCGCGCGGTAGACACCGGCTTAATTTTTGGCATGCTGCTTGGTGGCCGTGGTATTGGTTTTGTTGTTAGCGGACCCGTAGGTGGCGCTTTGCTGCAGGCTAATAGGTTCAAGGCTGAGGATTTCACGGGCTTTGCCACGCAGTACGGTCCTATGATCGTCTATACAGGTTTGACTACGACTCTCGGTGCTTGGAGTTGGTTTTGGACTATGGGTGAGCGGGCAATCAAAGCTTTGTAAGGATAACCCATAACCTCATCGTAAAGGAAGTGGTAAAATCATTAGATCAAAACGTAGACATCTATAGGTAATTAAGTAGATATAAATTCTTACCAAGCAATTATAAGTCTATCATATTCACCACCTCTAATACACTTAATGGAATAATAGCATGCACTATAACTTCACAATCACAATGAAGACCAATGTTGATTTGTCATATTTTAATTATGTTATAATGTCCATCAAGCGTCCTTTATACGGATACGCGTAGCCTTTATGCGGCGAGTTCCTATTAATACAATGCAACCTATGCAGTCCCCCCTTTCTTTTTTGTCTGAATAACGCCAACCATGCATGAGCCTCATAACCTGATATTCATACCCTGCAAACTCCAATAATGATACCCTGAACCCCTTTGCCTTTGCCATGCCTTATCATCCCCTTCCAGTCATGCCATACCAATGTGGCAGTTTACCAAGATGTAAACTCCAAATACCACTTTCCTCTCCTCAACTTTCACCCTCAGCACCAATCAATGATCCCATTCCATGTTGGATCCTTGCTCAAGGCAGTATTTATGGTCCAATCTGCAACTTCCATGGTCATATCACGGCGTTGTCGATTGTGTATATGAATGGTATCGTAGAGAAAGTAGATTTGCTCTCTCTTCAGATCCCGCGCCTTGGTGAGTCTAATGATGTCCTTGCTGATTTGCTTCCAGGCCCTTCTGTGTACCGATGGATCATGGCTGTTATACTCGTCATCCTTTTCTCGGAGAGCCCGCATGAGATGTGCCTCTTCATCTCTTAAGGTCTTGATGACATAGGCTACCGCTTGTAATGGATCCATAGAAGGACGCAGCGTAGACTCCTCTTCGTATTCCCCCTTTGCCCGGGTTTGATGACCAGGAGCCTTTGGTATCTCAACACGAACTGTCTTCTTGCTAGAGCTGCCTTCAGGGCGGCATTGTTCATGTCGGTGGGAGTTAATTCGCGAGCAGACAACACAGTCTTGGCAGTCGTGATCGTGGCAAAGATCGTCAAGAACACGTTTGGCATCTTTGGAAAGTCCGGCCTTGCTGGTCTTCTTGTTTTGCTTCTCGGCCGACTTTTCTTGCTCTAAAGTGATATCATCCATGAAGAAAGCCGAGGTCATATTTTCTTCAATGTCTGAATCTGAGTCGAGATCAAATCGAGCGCTGTCTAAGTCGAACTTATCTTCCTTAGGAGTTTCGCCGTCAATGCTCATTCCGCTAACACCAGACTTGACGCTGAACCGTCCAGTAAGCTCTGGCTCTGAAACTGGTCGAGACTTCGAAGGGCTGGTCTGGACCTTAGGTTGACCAAACGAAACCTTTCGAACGGGATCATCTGACTTGGACTTTCGAGTATTGGTGACCGACTCAGTGGTTCTGTCTCGCTCGCGAAACTCCTCGGATTCGACAGTGGCATGGGTAGTCTTTTGCTTCAGGGCATTGAGACGGGAAGGTTGGGCATCCTTGAGTATTCCAACTGGTTTGGTCTTAGTTGAATCTGATCGTGCCTTGGAGGCTCCCGATGTCGCCTTGTGTGAACTGGCAGCTCGCGATTGATTCTCAGACAGATAGGGCGGAAGGCTTTGGCTTGCTTCATCACTCATGTAATCGACTTCGTACTCCGACAACTCATTCGTCAATTCGTTAACTTGAGTCTCAGTGCGGACTTGGCGAAGAGTATCCCGCGACTTGGGCATTTCCGGTGTGTATATGCCGGCAAAGTCGGACCCTTGGGTGAGGTCAATTTGTTGCGTATAGTCATCCGGAATGGGCATGACTCCTTGAGATGTTGTGCTTCTAGCAGTAGTCTCGCTCGCAACTAACTTGCCCTTTGAATCAATAGTGCGGGTCGTCTTAGAGTCCTTCTTGTCGACAGTATCCATAAAATCCTTGATTTCTTGAGTAATCTGTCGTGCCTCGCTGATAGCGTCCGCCTTCCTTCGGAGTTCAGACCGAAGTGCAGCCTCCTGCTTGGCCGACTTCCTCAGCTTAGCTGCTAGAGCTGACTCCTGGTCAGCAGTAAGCCCTAACTGCTGAGTCAATGATGCATGTTCCTCTTCATGCATTTTGCGCTGCTCCTCATGAACATTGAGCTCATGTATGCTATCCCGGACAACTCTCTCGAAGTTCTTAGTTACTTCCTTAAGATAGCCCTCGAGTCGCTCGTTAGCTGTCGCAAGACGGATTTTTTCTTGCTCAAGCCCGATGACGTCGACAGGTAGAGATCCGGCCTCAGCAGTTTCCAGCAATTCTTTAAGTCGGGCGACCTCATTCTCGAGGCTTTGGATTCGTCGCTCAAGCTGAGAGTTCTGTTGCTTCAAGATTCTATTCTGGCTAAAAAACTTGTTATTCTCACGCTCGACGGTGATCTGATCTTGCTGAAGAACCTTCTTTTCTTCCGAGAGAGCGTTGTATTCGCGCTGAAGAGTCTGAAAGTCTCCCTTGTTCGAACCAGACTGCGCCTTGGCGACCTTAAGGTCTTGCGCCAATTCCGCATTCTGCTGGGATAGGTCGGCGTTGTGCTGGCGAAGCGAACGGTTCTCATCCAGCAGAGCCTTATACTGCTGACGAATCGAGTTGTTATTGTTGCGCAGGGATAGATTCTCCGACTCGAGCTTATCCATGTTCTCGGTGTTATCTCCGCGTAATGAGCTGAGCTTCTGGCAAGCTGTGTTAAGTTCGGTTTGGAGAAGCTTGATCTTTTCTAAATGCTCGGTAGCACTCTTCAGAGCCTCGTCGCGTTCAGCGACATAAGATTCGGTATGGATCTCATTGATGCTGATCTTGCGATTCGCCTTGTCTAGGCGAGCTTGGAGGGAACTAATTTGCTCTTCAAGTTGGCTCTTCTGTGTGTTCAAATGATCAATGATGGAACTCTCTGAATCAGAACCCATCGCACTATCCTTCCGAGACTTGTATTTGGCGATTTGGATATGGAGTTCCTCGACCTCCTCTTGGAGCTGCTCTGCCTGTTTCGAGACCTGCTCATCATGTTCCTTTAGAGCGTGTATTTCGTCCTTGATCTTATCCAAGGATACGAAAATCTTCTCCTCGTCTTCGGGGATAGCAATAGCCTCGACATCGGCGTGGTGATCGGGGGAGATAGTAGTTTCGCGATCGTGAACTCTGCCGTGCTTGACAAAGACCGGAATGCCGTTCCTCAGAGCTGATAATCGAAGAGCACCAGACAAGAAGTCGTCCATGTAGGAAAGGTTTGGTAGAAAGAACGAGCGAGCAGTGTGGTTCGGAGTAGAAGGGCTCATTATGTTACCGATTCGCGATTGTCGCTCCATGTGTATCCTGGCGGCATTCTGTGGTTGCGCCGAGGATTGCGAAGCTGGAGAAGTCTGCTTCGTGGGTTGCTCCTTGGACTCAGCTTGTTTGGTCTGGGCTGTTTTGAGCGTCTCCAAGAGAGCGGTAACATTGCCACCTCTGGGCTTGGCGCCTTTCGCAGCATTGGGTGTAGGTACGCGAGGACGAGTTGCAGGTTCTTCTCGGCTTCGGTAATTCTGGATGAAGGGCTCGGAAAGATCTAGGGAGCATTCGGACTCGGTTTGAACTTGTGGTTGCATTTGAGCTCGGGTTCGAAGGGAGCTTCGGCCGGATGCGGTCGTTTGGACTTTGGACGCGTTCTTGGATTTACCAACTTCAATCTGAGAATAAATGTTAGCACTTTCGTTATCAACTAGGAGAGACCAGGTCAAAACAACAATTGAATTCGAAGCCGGAAGCAAAAAACGAACGGTTGGGCGACGAGAAGTAGAAAGAGATTTTGAAACAGCTCGAGTTCGAGCAGAACCAGATGATCGAGACAAAGGAACAGAAGATTTAGAAAGTTTAGGAGAAGGAGCTTGAGCTCTAGTAGAAGAATGCGACAAGCGATGAATAGCCAAAGGAATCTTCGATTTCAAAACAGAGCCAGAACTAGAATCAGAAGAAACAGATGTAAGAGATTTGTCGCCCTCAGCTGCTACAAGAGCATCCTTGCGACGAGAGTGGAGGTATGGTGCTTGTCCTCGAGAAACCGGGCGAGGAATTGCGCTTTGTCGTGAAGCTCGCGCGCGTTCTAGCACAGCATTGAAGCGCGAACCCGAAGAAACTCGAAAACCGGACGCAGAAGGACCACTCGCCTAGAGTGGTAATTTGCCTTGGCTATGAAGCGTCGTGCATACTCTTCCAGTAGTATGCGTGTCTTTGGCCTTTCCGTGGATGGTTTTGGCCAGAGTAAGAGTATTCTTCATCGCAGTCTCCACTCCGATGAAGGGCTTACGAGTTTGCGCAACAAGGTTGTTCAAAGTTTGAAATTGTTTACTAACCTGGTTGTATTCCTTCGAGTCACCCGCTCTAGGGGTAGCGACTATCGAGGAGTTAGGGCTTCCTTGGGGTGTGACGTTCTCCTTTCCGTCTGGAATCTGGGGAATGTCGCTGGTGATTTCCCACATGTCTTTTTCGTGTTCGGGTCCATTGGGATTCCAGCGGCTCCATTCAGGGAAAGTTCGCCCGAGTGCTGATGTGTTAACGTTGAAGGAAGTTTGCTGAGGAGTCTTAGCGCTGCGCATGGCAGCTTGGCTGGGTAGTTTGATGGAAAGGTCGTCCATTCGGCGTGTCGATTCGCCTTGAGGACCCATTGTGATGTTAGAGGTAAGTGTGACTGTTCCGTGAGAACCGGTAGAAGATGGAGGCGAATTAAAGGGATTCTCGCTAGTCTGGTGCATTTCCCTAAGGATACGAGATTGATATCTACTCGTTTTCGACTCCATGTGAACCCTTCACGCGTCGAAACGCGATAGGGATGGAAATCGAGGTGGTAAGGTAGTGGTAATAGTACCAAGTAAGGTGGTTTTTTAAGTGATTTTTTAGCGATGTGTAGTATCCAAGACGCGTCGTGAAGAACGCGATCAGGTATGTACAAGAGTAAAGTAGCAAGTAGTAGGTGCAAGCAGTTTTAATCGCGATGATAGTAGTAGAATGCGAAGAAGCTGAAGTTGCAAGGGTTGCTGCCGAGAAGACGTGTTGATTTGATAGTAGACGCGTCCAGGGCGATGCTCGATGATGATGGTTTCAATGCAGGAGCGGTGAAGCTAGCCGATTGATGGTTGTTTGATTGTTTGATTCAATTGAGAAATTGCTATGAAGCAGAATTGTTGATTTGCAAGAACTTTGATGAAAGCTAGAAGCTGAAAACTGTGAAGTCTGGAAGCTGAAGCTGAAGCTGTGTGTTTTGCAGATTGATGGAAGATGGGAAAGATGGAAGCGGGAGAGGGAAAAGTATCGGGCCAGGTTAAAAGAGCAGTGTTTACTTTTTGGGGTGGGTCCAGATCAAAAGTGTGGGGTTATAGGGTGTAGGTGCGGTAAAGCTACCCCTCTAGGTACGTTTCTTCCCTCTTTTCCCACGCTAAAGCTATGACCAGGTACGTATCTACATCCATTAAATTTATGCCAAGAATTGATATGCACACACCATGCCAAAAATACATCAATTCAATTTTATACAGTACATATCTCCAAGTTCATCGGTATACACGTTTACACATCCTTTTCTATGCTTTTTTTTTCTCGGTCCTTCTAATTCTTATCATCAAAAATCCATTTCAACATTTCAATATTTTTTTTCCTTTTTCTACAATTAAGTATGGTAGATTGCCTTAATTCAAGTGGTGAAAATAGGTAGGAATAGTTGGGTTTGTTGTCTTCGCAACAATTGAAGCTAAACCCTTTTCGTACATGGGATAAACACCAAAATAAAGATACTTAGGTAGGTACTTACGAAGCTTCATTCAAACTACAACAATTGAAGTATCACGACAACGCACCAGCCACTACAATATTAAACGTATGTATTCTTGAATACATGTAGTATGAAGTTCTAATCTATACTAGCCGATGAAGTAACGAAATTTGGATTCTAGAGCAGAAGATACCAATCGTTGAGTGAGTCACCATGTGCCATATTTATACCATGATAGCTTCGTTAATAATTTTCATCGCGCATCTTTGAGACTCGATTACACGCAACTCCTGACACGATAAGTGACTGCTGTTACATATAGTCAATGTAGCTGTTTGTATACGCCCGTAAATTTAAGCGACTATATCGTCAATAAGGCATGTCTCGCTAGATAATCCACACCTACATATATTATATACCTAGATACGTGACACCTGCCTACATCTAGATTGTTCAATATGTATCTAGAAACTCGGGGATGTAAGTGAGGCAAGCGCTTATATGACACATGCCTTAGATGAGAGTATATGTCCAAGCAAGTGAGTGAGAGTAAGTGCTACGCAAGATTCAAAACAATTCTTTCCTATCCGTCAAAGCACGTAAGTTGGCATTTCCTTCGAGAGTTGCATAAAACTTGCGTTGTTTTGTAAACTTTTCACTGTCATAATACAGCCTGACCAGCGAGGTGTGTTTCTCTGTTATTAAATGATTAAATTGTGCACCATGAAGGCTTGTATATATAAATATCGCGGAGTATGACAGTCAGTTTTTATGATCTCCTAATTCTCACATCAGTCTAGTATTCTCAATATCATAAAGTACAGCAACTTGTGAACCACCTAATCTATAATCCTAGATAACCACTCAAGCACTTACTCACCCGAAGATAAAAGCGTGTTCTCTCGAGTCAAGATACGATGTTTCAATACAAAATGTTCGATCCGCTTCGACTAGCCTCGCTAATTCAATACCCTAATGAGGGTCTTGGATTGCTATCACTCCCACTGGGCGAACTTGTATCGAGTATACCAGGGGCATATCAACTCGCTGCTCTTTTAGGACTCTACATGTGGGATTCCATTGATGGCAGCCATTCTAAGAAGTACGGGCAACGATATTGCCCTTTTCCTCTCCCTGAACCCAATAATGCACACAACTATGCTTCAGACGTCTCTATTATCGTACCAACTATCGACTGGGATGATGAACTCCCCGGAAATCTTCTAACATGGCTGGCATGTAGGCCCCAGGAAGTGATCTTTGTCACCGTCGAAAAAGAAGTTGATCGACTCGAAAGTACCTTAAAGAAGGATACTCGAGTTGGATTAGTCGTAAAACAATTGGGAACAGTCATAAAGGTTGCTTCAGTCCAAGAACCTAACAAGCGTAGTCAGCTGTGTTGCGGTATCAACCACGCCAAAGGTAAGATCCTCTGCCTTGTCGACGACGACGCGCGTTGGACCACTACAAACGTGCTGGCACAACTACTCGCTCCTTTTGAAAACGAAGACGTCGGTCTAGTCGGCGGACCTATCGGCTCATACGTTCCGACCGACCGACAACACCCAGATGTTATCACTCCATGGGAGGTTGCGGCTCTTCGAATTCGTTCCAAACGTGAGCCCGGCATGAAAGCCTTTTTCATGGCCGACCGGTCGACAAACTTCACGGTTTCGGGACTTACTATGCTCCTTCGAGCAGAGATTGTCAAGGACCCATACTTCCAGTTTCTTTTCACCCACGACATGTTCAACGGTGTAAGACAGAATACGGGTGATGATGGATTCATCACACGCTACATACTCTTCCAACACCAACTGAAGCATCGAGAATACTCTACCCTCCCACGCAAACAATGGAGACTAGGTATGCAATTGCATCAGGATGCCGAGGTCCAGACTTCGATTCTGACAGATCATCAATTTGCCTCACAATCTAAGAGATGGTACCGCTCGGGTCTTCGTTTGAGGCTCACTTGCCTACTTTACGAGCCAGGATTCAGGGGCATGAGGGCCATAGCTCCCCACATGGCTCGTAAGATGTCGGGAGGTATGATGACGCCCTTTTTCGCCGCCCTTCGACTATATCTATGGATCAGCTTATGGATGGCAGCTCCTCAATCTGCCTTCCCTTTGCTTCTATGGGTCCTTTACAATTGGTACGGCAGTCTACAAGGCTTTATGAAGCAATACCCTTACTGCAGTTCCAAAATTTGGGCCGCTATGATTGCCGACAATCTGTACCTTATCTCGGATATTTACTCATGGCTGACACTCTCCCAGGAATCCTGGTCAAATAGGGAAAGTGTAGGTGAATTAGGTGAGTAAATAGTCGGGTGGCTTAAGGTATTCGATCGTATAGCTAGGAGTACCGTTTTCTTCGCTTGTCCGCGGAGCCGACGTCCATAGCCTTTCATGACATAAAGTTATGTTTGTAATTGATTATTAGTCTTTATATCTCTGGTCCCAGCATGTTTCCGTAATTAAGGCATGTGTTAATTGCCTCTGCGCGTATTTCGTATTCCCAGGCGCATTGTTGGGCTGCAACATATAGATTAATTCGTTAGGATAATAATAAATACCGATATTTCTGAGTTTTAGAGACGGGCTTCTGACTTTATATACAATAAGAGTTTTTATAACCAGAGGCCGGTACGAGAAATCTACGTTACACAAGTGACCCCTTTTTGTGACCCCTTTACCCCTTTTTTTGTACCACGCGACACTCATTTGATGTAAACGTCGACATAACACCAACTCAGCACCAACGTAGGCGTAGATTTAAGATTACTCATCACTCTGAGCATAAAAACGGGCAAATTGCGTAATATATATACTCGTTGTGACAGCCTCTTTGATATCTACCCTAAGATGATACTCTTTGCTATTAGCGTTGGTGTAGATATACCCAACAAAGACGTGTTCAACTAGACAAGAATACTGAATGAAAACATATCATTTAGATGATTCGTGTAGATGTGTCATACTACATAGATACTAATAGATGGAGTGTCTATGAATCCATTTGGGCCTATATTAAATGTGGCAATTGGAGGGGCCAGAGTTTGGCTATTCAAGTGCATGAGACAATAAAATCTTGTTGGTGCTGGCGTTGTTTAACTCGAGTCGACTACCTGCATGTAGGTACACATTCTAGATAAGAGAAAGGTCGTTTGGCAAAATACACGTAGCATATGGGATAATACACTGTACTTCCTGGGTACTGCATCTAAGCTGGCGGCCTAGCTGAACACGTCTATCGGGCTCATACAAGCCAAATAATCCTCCATCCCCTTGCTATTGTAAAAATTTCACTCGCGCATGTTGGCACTTGCCGACCGTGTATGTAAGTGGGTACAGACCGCACTGTAAACTAGTATTTTGCAAACATTCTACATAGAAGTTACTGCTAGTAAAGCTGGCATGTGCCACTTTTGTGTATCTTTCCTAAGATTCCTATGTAATCCGTAATGTAGAAACAGGGGAACCGTCTTCCAATTCTTCTTATATAATTCTTTGCATGTATTTTGCGACACATTTTACTGATTTTACAATCTTATTTACTTACTCTGGCCCTACGGTACGGCTAATTGTGAAGATTGGCAATCCGAAATCACCGTCTTACTAGAGTGCTCCATCAATCGCGACCGATCATGTAATCTAATCCGTCTGACAACGTCAAGGGCCAAGCCCCGAACCCTTCGCAGAACCCTCAAAATCTCCGGAACCCCCAGAGTCAGAATACCCAGACTCATCCGTACGCCCAGCACCAGATGTCCCAGTCAAGCCAATCAACCCTATGCAGCCAAGGACAAACCGACTCTGGTGACAGAACCGGTTGGAATTCGGCCGAAACGTTGGTGCCATTGATGCCGGCGCAGTCAACCCAACCAGAGCAGCGCAAGGAACGTGGATGCAAGCATGTTAAACCAACCCCTCCGCCTAAGGAGAAGAAGGTTCATAAGAATCACCCCCATCTCGGTGCTATTGGCGATGCCATCAAGGACTTCACAAAGGAAGTAAGTAAATTCGGAAATAATTTCCTTCCTCTCTTCCAGCGTCTGCCTTGATTATATGGACTCTTCACTTCGGGTGTTTATCTCAACCGCTTCCAAAATTAGCGACGCTCCTCTCATCCGCCCTTAGAGCAATTGCTAACTTGAACTACCATAGTATGAGGACGCTTACTGGAAGCGCAAGCATATGAAGTTCTAAGGGCGGTACCTATCGACCGACAGCCGGGGTAGTGAGCCTAAAATGGTGGATAACAAGATGGATACGAGACTACTTACAGTCTCCACGACATAGACGGCGTCAACACCGCGTAGCTTTTCTCGAGGGCTTAGCTCGCCACTATGGATAAAGCAGTTAAGATGTTCGGCACACTGACGACCGACGGGGCTATGTAACACATATAGATGGATATGTACCTAGGTAGCTTAAGCTGAAGCCCAAATACACTACGCATCTACATTATATTGACTAATATCCCGATTTATCGTGAACCTTAATGTTCTCATTTTGATTCTCAGGCAAAGAAATAGATGATTGTGGATATCTTATTATGTTCAGCTCGAAGGATCAATGGTCTCGAGCCGGATATCCGCTAAGCCAAGACCCTACCCCTATTTTAGCCTACGCGACAAAAATCTCATTCCTAAATCTGGGGCACCTAAACAAATATTGATAAATCTTTCGAATGTAAGAACTCGCACTGATCGATCGGGATGACGATAAATTGTTGTCATCAAAATAAGCATAATTCATAAAATGTGTCGATCTATAGAAGGGATTGTCAAAGCCGCTCGTCCCGTTCAGCTCCCTCAGCTCAACCCCAGCTTTCTATTAATAGATTATAGTAATACTACTGAGTATGACTTCACTGCCCATTCCTCCTTGGAAAATATAACTTTGGCTATAGCTATCCATTTTAATGCCTTCTTATGGAGGCAGTGATGATCCTCAGCTATGACTTCATATCGAAAATACTCTCCGGTCACTAATATTAGAGGTCAACTATCATCGACGATGGATTGGAAATCTCGTCATGGGGTATGAGTTAGAGATGTTTGCGTATAGCAAAAGGGTGGTAAACTAAAGTCATCTCAGTCAATAGGTGAATAGGCCAGGAGGTCGAAATGGATATAAATAAGGGGCCCACTCTCTCTCGGAAATAAGAAAGAGAAAAGCATCAGACAATTAATCTGAAGTCCTACTACATCAATTGCAATGCCGTTAATTAAACCTATCACCCTAATTGGGATTTCAACACTGGTGCTACGAGCCAGTGCATATACATTAACTGCCTATAAGGAAAAGGGCTGTACAGGCGAAGTCCGGCAGACTATTGAGGATACCAAATTTGGCGATTATTGTATGCGCAAATTCGCCTCCTAAAAATGGCATTCTTACTGACACTTCTCTTTACCTATAGGCCAATACTTCGACAATAAAGCGTCGTCAGTCAAGGTAGAGGGTTCTAGTAAGGATGAACAATGGGTATTTTTCAACAACTGGTGTAGCAAAGATGCACAAGTTGGCTCATTTCTTGGTGATGGGTGCATGGATATGGGCAATACCAAGATCAAAGCCTTGAACAATATCCTTCCTGAAGGTAGCAAGAAGCGATTTCCAGCTGGTATCGTGGAGACTTGGCAGAACACAGATTGTTCTGGGAACCCAACGTAAGCTCCTTCTCCAATTCCAGACAGCATAGCGACACATCTAACAGACTCACCCAAAGGAATCAAATGCAACTAGTTGGAGAAAATCTCCCGGTTACTCTAAATGACGTGTCCTCCATTAAAGTGAGCGATGTACCCGACGCTGATATCGCCTTCGCATGTAGCGACTCGGATTGCCATGTCGACAACCAAGTCGCTACTCTCGAAAATGGAAAATGCGTTAACGTCGAGGGGAAGATGGTTAAGTCCGCTATGGCCATCGGTGTCCCCACCCCTCCTCGAAGTCGTGATGTTCCTTCGCAACGTCGCTATACACGAAGTCTTATGCTCGAAGCGCGGGGGCTCGACATCCTCAAGCGCCAAGACAATATCAACTGTAATGTTAGCAATGGAGCCGATTATAAAGATGCACTTAAAGTTGGCGATGATTGGCAGGGTGACGATGGACTTTCTTGTTGTTGTCATGTTCCTGGAGGACCTAATTCTAAGTCTTCTGGCTCGGCTAAGGCGTCCATCAGCGACAACATTAGAGTACGTTAAAAAAATCTCCTAGCCCCCTTTGAATTAAATCTTAGTTCGGATATCTCATTCAAATTTACTTGGCAATATTTATTAATTTATTCCTATCATAGTGCCCTGCGGACCCTTCTGGTCAGCCTCCACCACCGACCCAGTGCCCGCTCAATTGTAACGAGATGAGAAGTTATGTTTATGCCATCGCGACGAAGTGTAAAGATTCCAATGGAAAGACCGGTGGTACGGCAAGCATGCCTGGTGATCAGGAGATCACTGTTTCCCATGCTTGAAGAAGAAGTGTTAAGAAACCCTCAAGCAATAGCAGCAACGGCAACTATAGGTGATTATGGTTGGAGTAATCTTATAGATTAAATTTCGTTCCATCTCAATCCGTTTCAACTTTGTATCAATATATACCTAGGTATACATCCCGAGAATAGCAATTTTCTATATACAAGCCATCAGAAATCACTAGAATATCACGTCCCCTCGGCGGTGCTTTTGCGAGAGAAGTTAGTTACCTGGTACCACGGCGGTCTGGCATGTCGATACCCATGGAACTGGTGATAAGAGTCCCGACAAAACTCTACCCCTTTTCACATCCAGGTTATCTTGCTCTTCAGCCGTCGACTACCCTTAGAGGGGTATAAGCCAACCGTAGTTGCATCTAAATTCAAGCTGGTTCCTGGTTCCGTAGCCATAGGCAACTCAACCTATCTAAGTACCAGCAGCCCTATCATAACGCTTTCTGATAGGCGGGCTTTCCTACGGCGGCAGGTGCTTGTTCTTGCTGAGTGAATGAGTACCAAACAACGCGTTATTCGGCGTCTCAAAAAGTTGTTCTTTCTGTACTTTCCACTTTCCCTTCTCTTTTTTTTCCCTCCTCCTGGACCCTACCAGGTTTGACCCCAGACTGACACAACACAATCGCGGACACGTCTCGCGCCGATTTTGTTCTAGGGGGAACGCGACTAGAAAATACCTTTCTCTTTCCTCTTTATTATATGCCTTCTCGCCGATGAATTATACCTACGAGACTGGTTCTGGCCGTACCGAAACCTTTATTGGGTTAACGCGCCGTGTATTTCGCCTCGGGCAAAGACTGCAGAGGTAAGTCGCCGCGTTTTCATTACTTATTACCTTCTACACCAGTATATCATCGCTGCTCTCCCCCTTTAGGTTGCGAATGGTATTATGCCCCTTCCTTTAGCCATACTTCATGCTTTTAGTTACCAGAAAAAAAATTCATGCGCCGCCTCGACCACATGCTCACAGCCATTAAGAGCAGTTCTTCAATACGTGAATCGGCGCCTAGCTAGACACATTTTCCTTAAGTCAACAAATGCTTTCTCGCCATAATACCCAATTCGCTCTCCACCTTCACGCCGATACCTAGCACCCCGATAAGCCCCGATCAACTCGGCGAATCAGAGCCCCTGAAAGAACCCCCTACCAGTACAAGCAATATCCAAGATGTGCCTTCACTACTACACCACGTACACGCTGTGCCCCTGCCAGCTTTTCTCGCACATCAAGAAACGCAGGCACGGCCCCATCTCACGAAAGTGCAACCGCGAGGACCTAGAAATCAGCACGCGACACCCATACTGCCCCTACCACGAACTCCGCAACAGAACCTCCCGCCGGACACGTGAAAATTTCTATCGCGCGCGTCGCTCCCGCGCACGAAGGCACCCACGCAACGAGCCAGTTCTAGGCCGTCGTATCGGCGGCGTATGTCTCTAAACCAACTCAATCTTCAATAAAGACACATTCCCGCCCCCTACAGGTCATGGTATAAAGGGTGGCTAGTACGATAGCGACATGGAAGACCCCGAGGATGAACAGCGATGGGATATGAATGATCCCAAGTAGCGGGATGAGTATTAGAAATGCAAGTCTCGCTACTTTAGAAAGAGACGAGCTGGCTAGAGATACTGGGTATTCACCAAGAAGAAGAATAAGAAGGGATAGCGAAAGCATCGAAAGAGTCGCCGCGCTAAAAGTTATACTCATATTGCACCCATTGTACCACCCTAGACACCGCCTCCGTCGCCTCCTCGCATCCCTCCTGCTCCCGTTGCTAATATGGGTCTAGAGGTACCCGCCTCTCCGTCTGCCTTGGATTTGGCTGCCCCCTCTGAGAATCTGGAACCTCTAGTCGGATAATTAATCCTGAACGCGTTGCTTGACGATCTTACTATGTCTAACGGAGATTTATATGAGATTGGTGGAATGTGTTGGCTTGTTGGTTGAGAAAGATTCATCGATGTTTGTTAGTTATAAAGGGACTTATGACCATCACTTCTAACCCTTAAGCAAGTTGAATTCGCTTCGTGTTCCGCATGTTAAAAGTAATGACTCCGATCAACGACGTTTCATCGCATACCTAGACTCACACGATCACTAAATGGACAACTTAAGCAAGCAATCAGGCTTCATATGGATAGTGATACATATAAAAGTACAATACCTAGCTGTAAACCTCGTGTAATTTTGAAGTCAAGCGACTATTCCCAGATCCCATTTTATTTTATTTTCGCAAAGATTTTGCCCCCATATGTATACAAGTTGTTGTCGTTAATATCGTTCCCACCATCATATCCAATCCGTGTGCATAGTCCCAGCTTGCAGTTTGGATCAATCGATCGATCTGTACCAATACCCTAAACCCCAAACCAATTGTTTTACCTAATCTTACACTTTCAACAAGTTGATTAAATCATTTCCACGACGGTTCTCCGGGGTATCTTCTGCCGCTAACCCCAGTCAGTATAGGGCTTTGGCCTCGTTCCTTATAACGCCTTCGATCCCTGGATTCCCTTTCATCAGCTGTCATTACCCTTCTACCTTCTCGATCTATATCCGTAGATCGATCCCTATCCCTTCGTTCCCATGTATACTCTCTAGTTCTTCGGTCTGCATCTGTATGACTACTCGCCCTTCTAGGTACTGTTGGTCGTAGATAGGCTCTATCTTGGCGACTTAGTCTGTCTATTTCTTCTTCTCGTTCACGTTCTCTCTCGCGTTCCTTTTCGATGGCTCGGTCGCGGACCCGTTCACGTTCGCGCTCACGTCTGGAATATATAGGCACCACCTCTGGACTTGAATCATCGTCGCTAGGATAAGACTCCCCAGATGCACTGCGGCTTAGACGCGAAGGCTTCTCCCTTCGAAAATGAACGTTCGGCGGCACATTTGATACGTGACGCTTCTCACGCGAACTACTTCGTTGCCGATCGGATGATCCTCCAATGAAGGATGTGAATTTCTGTTTGATCTCAGCAGGCAAGCTCATCCTACGTGTATCATCGGATCGTACTTCGTTGCGACGCGAATGCGTTGGTGCTGCGGGCGCGACAGGTGTCGCGACAGGCATACGTCGCACTGATGGAGGAGGCGGGACAGGACCGCGCGCTCGCGTTTTCGAACTTGGGCGAGGAGACACATCTGAATTGGAATCAGATGGTGAGACGGAGTATCTCCGCGTCTTACTAGAGCGGCGTGGTACTTGTGCAGTGTGAGGGTCGAGGTGGTTGGGAACTCGGGGTTCCTCCATCTCAGCACGGCGGGCATCCGAACGACTTCGGCGCCGAGGCGGACTACCCGGAGAAGTGCTACTGCTGCTATTGTTGCCGCTACTTCGGCTCATTTTTCGACGCGGTGTTGTAGGATAAGCAAAATAAGTGCCGGCGTAATTGGTACCTGATACATGAGTATATGCGACCGGTCGTTGTCGCTGGAAATAATCCATTTCCGGTCTTGATCGGGGCACGGCACCGGTAGTTTGCGGGTTGCGCACATGTGCGAATGTGTGATGAATTCGAGGATCGGAAGCAGGGCGTCTAGGCGGGGTTTCATCTTGGGGAGTAGCCTCGTCTCGTAACCTCCGGGCGCATTCCTTATGCCAAGCATCTATCGCGGAGTCACTCTCGGCCGGGAATGCCTCTCTCGGCAGGTCAACAGGAAAAGGTTTCCCGGTATCGGGATTTACCAATCCCCAATGACGAACAGCATACTGTATAAACGGTACATGTTCTTGAGGTTCGAGTAGAAGCTGGATTGCTTCCCATCGTACGAAACCTCTCAAGGTCAAGGCCGGAATTGATGGTGCTTCGTAGGGATTCTCGGTCGGTTGTAGGGTATGTTGAACTCCCAAAGCTTGCCATATATAAGATATGGACTTATTGGGACAAGCGATGAAGAGTGAATCATAATCACCACCAACAGTACGATAGAAAGTGGCGAGTTTCTTCGGATTCAATGAAGCGACGCTTCTGTCGCCGATATTGTCGGACTGTGAAATATTCGAGTTAGTAAGATTTCCCCTCCGCGATCATCGCACAAGGAAACACAAAAGTAAATGCGAACAAAACTTACAATATGTCGAGCAATAGCGCGTAATAGCGCATCGAGTACGGGAGTTGGTGATTTGTCTTTGTTGAATAAGTAGCCATAATAATCTCTGGCATTTGACTCCGCTGTTCTCGCTTGCGTTTTCGGTATCGATTGCGACTGTGGTGGCGGTCGAGGCATTTCGTTAGGAGGGGGAGGGGGAGGGGCTGCGGTCGGTGCGCTTGGATCAGCTTTCAGTGTTGCCATCTCTTTCTTTCGAATATTCTTATAATTTTACATGGGATGTCGACAAGGACTTAAATAGTTAAGGGTATCGAGAAGTCGAGTAGTCGCGATAAAAATAAATTAAAAAGAAGCATTCAATACAGAATATAGAAGAGATGGTATCATGTCGATTGCGAAAACGTGTTTCGGGTATATTGAGCGCAAATAGGATTATAGATCGAGGTAGAAAAGATTGGTTAATGATTTAAGAATTATTCAAGGGGCAAAAAATATGATGAAAGCAGTGTTCATGAATGGATAGAACACGACAGCTGCTGCGTCACGAAAACAGGGCAGCATAAAAAGCGCAGATGATTATTTGATATAATAATATGTATGGGTAGGTTTGGTTCTTTAGGTGCGCAGTCAGGCAGATACGTGGGTGTATGGTGTATATCTAGGCTACTCAGTCACACCCGCACGGTTGAATATTGATAGGACAACCGGATGAACTGTGGATGGGACGGGTAGATGGTTGAGTAATACCTAGATACCTAGGTGTGTGTGGTATGCGGTATGTAATAGGTAGTGATAGGTAGCAGCAGGCAGCTAACCTGCGAATGCGATGTCTGTCTGTGTCTGTGTAATACTTGGGAAGGTATTCAACCCGACACAGCCGTACCGTACCGTAGCCGTTCTCGTTGCCGGAGCTGGAATTGGAAATGCAAATGTAGATGGGTTCTGCCCCTGGAACAAATATTCCGCGCTGCTGCATGGCATATTTGCTTGTTGGAGGGGATTAATTGGAGGAATCGTGTGATGGTTGGTAGAGAAAAAAGAATTCCAAGTTTAAAGATAGAAATCCGAAATCAAGGCCGAGTCTGTTGCTGACACGTGCGACCGGAATAGACATCTGACGTAACTTTTAGTTTCTATAACCCAGTAACATAATACCGTAGTGGGTACTCTATGTGTATCTGTACCAAAGTATCTCACCTTAGAATTCGTATGTACATTAGCTTCAACTTTGTACCCCATTTAAACCCCAGCATGTCCCAGCAGGTTCTAGCACCCCCTCGCCCCCTCTGCCCCTTAAGGAACAGCCCTACGGCTCCGTAAAATAATGGAATTCGTAGTAATTTTAGTGTATTAACCACCTGATTATACGACCCAAATCATACAACTTAGGATTTATTAGCAACATTAGAACTTCCCTAGGGAACGATTGGGTAACACAACAATTTATTCTCAGGTGTCATAGGAAGCTTGATGGTGCGATTCCATAATATAAACGTTTGATCTAAACCGTTCTAAATAAATACCGTATACCGTTTATCGTTTACCGTACCGAGCACCTTATCACATTATCACCTTGCCTAGCCGCCCTAGTACAGACTTTCCTTTTCCTTTCTTGTCCTTCGTAACATTTTAACCTTCATTTTCTATCAATTCTGCATCTTTTACAACTATCATTCACCAACCACTCAACATTTATCATTTCACAATATCCCAGAGCCAACCATAATAATACCGATATTCATACCGATGTCGTCTTACTCGTAAATAACTTGCTGACTCACTTCCACATGCAAGGTACATGTTCATCATACCTTACAAACCAATAAGACCTCATCGTTCAAGGGTCTTCATCGCCTATTAAATTCCTCCGCAGGGGTAATTCAAACTGACTCAGGCTCCCCCGATCCGCATCCTACGCCGAGTTGTTACGCTCCATTCCTTTTCTTCGCTTTCATTCATTCATATTCTTTCTCATATCCTCTTCGGAAAATGTACTAACTAAGCAATACGTATACTACCAAAGCAGCGCCTCTCCTTGTACGAGGCTTGCAGCTATATCAGGTGGCTGTGCCTACGAAAGTACATTAGGTACATTGAGTATCGTAGGCATGTTCAGCCCGTCTAGGTGTCTAGGTGATCTAGGTGAGCTCGGCGTTTTCGCTGAGAAATCGGAGGCACCATTGTTCCTCAACCCTCAACCATTCCAATTGTTGGTTTGGTAGATACTCAAATCCATTGGACATGCATAGCTCGATGCCATAATATCTTCCGATTACATCCTACAGGATGACGTTGATATTTATCAAATACTCCTACATCCACCATATTCACCAAGAGGAATAATAGGAATTACAACGAAGAATATGTCTAGATTTCAGCAAGACGATTTGTCAATGCCAAGATTGTCGCCTGGAAGATATTAAACCTGGCTCCATGGTCTTCCGTCACACGAATTGCGCCATTTCTTCGTCGTAAACATAGCCCGCTCCGTACCACTCGATTTGACCCATCGGTAAAAGGACAATGGAGCACATTACATGGCCTCCAGCCCAAATCGGCAATCTATTTGGGGATCTTCAAACAATGCCACTAAAGCCTACCGCAGAATCTAGCCCTTTTGACCCGTTCCGCTCGTAGATGAGAGCGCAAATCCGATATGATCCACATCCTCGGGAATTCCATTCTTTTCTTCGGTATCGACCCATCGTCTGAATTCCTGGAACCCAGCTTTTTCTAGGACACGCCTACTACTTTTATTGTGAGCTTCAATCACTGCCATGACCATCTCAGGCACCTCTCCCGATCCATCCACTGATTGCGCGTCAACCTTTACCTCAACTTCGGATCGTGGTAGCGACCACCATTGATCCAACCATGCTCTTAGGAATTCGGTAGCATAACCTTTGCCCCAATGTTCCAATTTAAATATATATCCGATTTCAGGCCAGCCGAACGTAGGCCAACCATTAGTGGAGTCACTTGGCGCCCCTCCACATCCGATCAATTCGCCCGTTGATGCAAGGCAGATTACATTGTTGTAAGTCTTCAAATCATTAGGTGGTAGAAAACGAGACAAGTATGCTCGTGTCGCTTCCTTGTCAGCATCAATTCGCCCAACCATAGTGAAAATCATGACCTCTGGTTGAGTTCGCAATGAGTATATCCCGTCAAGATCATCTTCTGTGAATGGCCGAATGATCAATCGCTCCGTGCGAATATGTTCTCTCTCCGCATTGGGTGGGAATGGTCGAGTTGGTAAAGTCGTCTTGACTTTGGCCCCCTGGTGTTCGATCGACATCTTATGGATGTGTATAGGTATCAATGATTTGATAATTGACTTGCGTGGTTATGGTGATCTTGATAGGCAGCGCTACTTTCAAGGAATCAATCGAAAATTGGTAAATCCACTCGCTAAGTAATAAGTGATTCACAATGTCCGAGGAACGGGTCGGCGCATTGCCTTTTATTTCAACAATGAGTCATTAGCGCATGAAATCCCAAAGAAGGGCATCTATCGCATCAAGACGACCGATTAAAACTAGTCTAACCAGGTTTGTCAACTTGAGGTATCACAACGTTCCCTTACATCGGCTTCATTGATAAGAGGATTCGCATAGAAAGGTACGATACAGATTGGTAGATGATCCACTTAGATTTAATTCGACGTCTAGGAGGACAAAATATCTTAGAGATGGCATAGCGTCGCGTTAGTATATAAGCACGTCTTTAGATTATTTCCTATTTTATAGAGCCCCTTTCTATGGATGAGATTAGATTCTGAAGCACTCGGCTATCTCTCGTGAAACTTCCCGATAATCTACCTGTGTAACGATGTACCTAGCTACTTAGGTGACCTGTAGTAGAAGCTGAGGCTTCTCAACTCCGTTGTGATATAAACCCTCCTTAGGCGTGCTAGGCCGAAGAGTACGATTGTTAGTATGTTACGAGAGATGGAATAAGCTGTGTTTGAGACGCTGAATCTGTGATCTGATAATGTTTGGGACCAATATGTTGTTTTTATAGGTATTTAGCACGGTCACAATGGCTATATAGGGTTTTTAGACATGAGCAAATCCCATCAAAGTCAGTATTGCGTCTAAGCACTACAAATTAGAATCATATAGACCAGTGACTCCCCCTTCCTTTCTTTCGGACGCACTGTAATCTTTCGAACGGAACATTCATCATGTCTTTCATGTTCTTTGCATTTATGGCTGCTCAATCAATGGCGTCTATGGATTTCCTTCTCTCGGTGCCAATTCTTTGGCAACTCTCGCATATCAGACCTTGGGAAAACTTCACCTGAAATATTAGCTCCCTATCTGTGTCTATCGAAGACAAGGAAGACAAGATGCCTCAAATGGGCACTTTTCCGATGGTACCTCATATGGTGAACTTCGTCGCTACTACCTCCGCCGTCTGTTTTCTCGCCCTCGTTTTAGTCGGGTTACGAATTTATACCCGTATTATCATGAGGGCCGGTGTTGGTTGGGATGATTGGTTTATCATGGTATCTATGGCTTTATGCATAGGTCTTTTGGCAGTTGAAGGCATCCGTAAGTAAATAATCAGGTCGCTATACCGAAAGATTTGTCGAGCTACATACTAACATTACCCCTATCCTAGTCTGTACTTCAGGGATTGGATATCATGTCGACGAAGTTCGTGGAAACGAAGTATTTTTGATCCAGGTTAGCCTAATACCTCATACTATATCTTGAGTGTACCTAAAACTAATTAATGCATCTAGATGATTACCGTCCACGACTTGATCTTTGTCTTTGCGACTTTAATGAACGAGTTCAGCATCTTGTCTTTCTACGAACGTGTCTTCTCGACAAGCAGGAAGCTGCGTATAATAAGCAGAATTTTTAATGGTTTCTTCGTTATTTGGGCAATTGTCAGCATTACAGAGCTATTCGTAGTCTGTCATCCGGATCTGAGCTCCGAAGGAGATTCTTGCAAGAGAGGGACAGTGTTGGGAGAATCGTCGGCACTCACAGTTGTGGGAGATGTCGTCGTACTCATACTACCATTGCCTTCCATCTGGAAATTGAATGCGAAACTACATACCAAAGTCAAGATCACCGCGTTATTGCTGCTCGGAGTTTTGTAAGCCCCCCCCTTACCCCACACGCTTATGATATTATAAGCCCCTGAGGGATCAAAATTAGCTAATCAAGCATTGAACGGTCAGCACACTGGCCATAGCAATTCTTCGATACACTTCTGTGCTTCGCCAGGATTCTAACGATGTCGACTTTACCATGAGAACTCAGGACTCTCTTGGATGGGCAGGTCTCGAACCGAATCTTGGAATCTTTTGCGCCAGCCTACCCATGGTTCAGAATCTCTTCGCTGATTGGAAGGAAAGGCTCACGCGCCGCCTTAAACCTATGATGAACCCGTTAAGAAATAACTCCGGTCGAGAAACTAGAACCGTCCGCGGTGGTACGCAAGGGGCTTCCACGCCGTTAGGAGATAGAAGTGCTCAATACTCATGGTATATCTCATCGGGAGGCGATAGTGTTTAGGGGCCGAGGACAGCGTTCACTCGGCGTCTGGATATAATTGTAAGTCGATGGGAACGGACGAGCCGATGAGATCTGAGGTAAGCACATTTACTTGGCTTGTCACACGCGCCATCTTGGACACTGAAAATAATAAACGTATTATAAGAATATTTTTTTTAAAATAAGCGCTAAGCCATAATCGTGTTGTCATTATTCACAGAAACCCTAGTCTCAACGCGAAACACATCTCGTTCTCGGATATCGCGATTGTCCCAACGGCTCCGAGTGGCTATTAACGGCGTAGACGCAATTCGAGTTGACACACCTCGTCATGAGTAAAATAGATCTAGAATCAATTCCACCAAAGAATTTGAAACGACGTTTCATGTCGATACCCTTGTTTTCTTTATTATTATTTGGACAGGGGTTATCCGCTTACCATGGACCCGGCTTCGAGTGAAACAGTTGGATCTAGATCGTACATTTCATATGAAACAATCTAGAAATACATCCTAGCTATTTGAAGTCCCAATGACATGTGTGTGATTACGTAGGTAGTCGCATGATTGAATTGGAAGCCAAGTGTTCGCTTTCGGTGTGGTTGGCACAGGGATTGTTGACCTCACTCCTGCGAAATAGCCCAACCAACTTTCGTCTTGATAAAATCAACAATATCGTCGATTTCGTCTGGTACCTTGTACCAATGCCCAAGACCGGGGTAAAGCTTCCAAGTAACGTCATACCCAGCAGTCCGCATCGTCGCGGCAGCAGCCTCGCCTAATTCAGGGGGTTTCTTCTCGTCTATATCGCCATGACCTAGAAAAATGGGCGTAGCTTGTGCCGTATTGTCTTTTGAAGGATTCAATGAGGGCGTAAGGCAAAGAAGATCTCTTTCAAAGACAAGAGCTTTAACGCCTGGATCATGTGGTGTTATTTCGGCATCTTCAGGGGCGAATGGATCGTCTTCCTCTATATCCGCACTATCATCCTTAATAGCTTCGTCGATATCCGTACGATACGGCAAGTAGCCACACATTCCAATAAATCCACCCAAGGGATGATCGAGCGTAAGCAACATAGATAAGGACATAGCACAACCGTTACTTATTCCGCCAATGATCACGTTTTGAGGGGGGATCCTCAAGGTTTCTTGACGTATGAGTGGTTCCAATTCTGCAGCAGATTCTGCCAGGCCTTTAAGTTGGGTTTGTTTTCGATATTCTGGATCTGGAAGACGTGCGATATCGAACCATTGTGTAATAACTGACCTCTTGAAGGCGGAAGAGCGCCGGCGTTTTGCGGTAGGAAAGATAAATCTAGCGCCAGGAAGCAACTGTAAGAGTGTTCGGCCATTTGCGGTCTTGCCAGTTTCAAGTAATTCTTTTCCGAATTTCTCCCCGTTGGAGCTTATGCCGTGAAGAAGAATAATGGTATGCGAGTGAGTAGTTGTAGGTTCGACAACGTATGGGACCGAGTCGCTCCTAGCGATTCGATCTTCGGATGAGAAAGCCATTTTGTTTCCCGTTCAATTTCGATTACTGGGAATTGACATCTCCGTGTATAGTTCATGGGAACTGTGTACGCATTCACACTGGTTGCTACCGCATGGTAATTCGCCGGTGTTCGGGAAAGGTGCCCGTTGGAGAAAGCGATTTTTTTATAAAAAAAATAAATAAATAAAAAAACGGTGCTCGAACATAGTTCGAACCCGCGAAAAACCGTCTGCTGGTTGTCGCGACCCGCTCTAGCCCCAGTGGGTATAACCAGGCGGTTGCCGTCTAGACCACCAGACAGTTTTTACTCCCAGTCGTTCGGGTTCTCAACACGTTCCCTCCCGACTGATTGCTGAAAAATACTCTTAGAATACTATTTAACCTTGGTTTCGTTCTGGTATTTTTCGGAGTTTCCACTGTTTTTTTGTTTGTCGACAAACTTCACAGCAGCAATTTTGAGGGTGTGACTCAATGCATCTTTTTAATGTTGGAAGAGCAGCCACCTATATATGCGCGCAGGGCTCCGATATAAGAGATTTCCAACAATATATCAATTCGTCAAGGCCAGTCCGGCGACCACTTCCGTTAGCTCACGATTTGTGATGGGCGCTTGTACAACCAACCGATTGTGTCAAGCCGGGTATCATGATCGCGAGGCTCCCATGGCTTTGAAAGGCATTTCAAGTGAGGCGAGTCTGGAAAATCAACACCGCATAGACTCAGAAATGGGAATTCCCTTCATCTGTCGCAAATACTCTAGAATTCGAAGATGTTGTCACATTATTCTATCTCCTGGTGTATGGGTTCGATACTCTATCTGACTTGGGGTGAGTATGGATACACTGAATGGAATGAAAGACTCACTTACTCACGACTAGAGCCAATATACAAAACCATGTCGCCGCGCCGCCTTATCTGGATAGGGATTCGATTTACGTTTATGACTCTTTACAAGTTGAAATCAAAGAAAGAAAGCTGCGTCATCGACTCAAGCCACAAAATTTACTCGAATAGGGGCAGAGAGTGTGGTTTCACGACCGGGGTTAATGGACTTTTAATGGACTTAGGCGGAAGAACTAACCATAATGGGCAATCATATTTCCTATCCGAGAGTGAGGCCGGTAGCCGATCCCCGCCGTTTGTAGAAAAAAACCGACGTAAGCCTGCTCAGCCCTACGGCGTAGTACCTATCATCTTCATTTTTTGGTTTAATTCCTTCAAACTTCTCCTATACTTTCATAATTAAAACAAGTTGGTGAATGGACTAAAGCTAAGTTACAAGTCTAATCTCTTAATCTCCTGATGTTTCAAATCGTATACATGGCTTGAGTAGGTATACACGACTCGACTCTTCGGAATTGGCTGAATCAAATCCCGGGAATAAGCCATCTGTTTCACAAAGTGGTGCTGTGGCTGTAGGCATCCATTCATCTTCATATTCCCCCCTCTATAAAGGGAGGGGTTAGCAACGATTATGAACTTGCAGCCAACAGCCAATGTGGCCTCTCGCTCGGCGCCACAGCAGCAATCAAAGCCTCTCAGTTGTACCAACTGTCGGGCCCGAAAGTTAAAATGTAGCCGGGAACATCCGTGCACCCATTGCGTGCGTTCCGGCGCCGAGTGTATCTTCCCGGCCCGTAAGCGGACCCGCAAGCCAAGGAAGAATAAGAATTCGGAATTATTACAACGCTTGAGCCGGCTTGAGACTATCGTGGGTAATGTTGGCTTGGCAGGACTAGTTAGCGGAGATGACACCACCGCATCTAACCCAGCATCCACATCTACGTCAGTACCAGCTCCGAATCCGAGCGCTGCTTTACCGGCCCCTCCTAAACAAATTCCCGTCCCTGAGACGCAAGATGATGGGCAAAAAGCGTTACAAGAGAGCAAAGCCTCACAGTATCTGAGCGGGCAGTTTTGGTCTAGCCTCTGTGGTGAAGTGGAAGGACTACGACAAGCTCTAGAGCAATCTACCGACTCAGACGATGACGACTCTCAGCAACAGCAGTCGCAGCAACAACAACCTCTTCAAGAAGCCACACCGGATTCTATATACGATAACAGCGGCTCTAGTACGTCGGGTCTCTCCCCAGGGATGCTCTTAGGCGGCACACCACGCCTCTCATCTGAACAAATTGAGCATCCACCACCAGACCAAATCCGCTTCTTAACGACGACGTACTTCACCAACGTAGATATGATCCTCAAGATCCTCCACCGCCCCACCATCGAGCCATCCCTACACCTCCTCGCCAACTCCCTAGAATCTCCTCGATACCAGCCACCACCAACTCTAATGCCCGAGCGAGAAGCCCTCATCTTCTCTATCTACCACGCCGCAGTCGCCAGTCTATCTCCCGCAACTTGTCTATCTCGCCTAGGTCGCCGTCGCATGGATTTACTCCGAATCTACGCAGCAGCCGTGGAGCGTTTCCTCGTGCGCGCAAACTACCTCGACAGCACCAGTCTCGAGACCCTGCAAGCACTTACCCTCTACGCAGCCTGCGTGCGCAGCAGTGGCGGGTCACGCGCCGCATGGGCGCTCCTAGCTCTTCCCATCCGCTTAGCACAAGCTCTCGGCCTCCACCGCGAAGCTGGAAATGCGCGCTTATCATCTTATGAAGCCGAGCTTCGCCGGCGGTTATGGTGGCAATTAATCGTGCTCGACATCCGCGCCGCAGAGGACCGGGGCACGACTACAGTAATCGCGCGAGGGAGCTATGATACTAGAATGCCGTTGAATATAGATGATGCGGATTTCGGGCCAGAGACTAGGGCAGCGCTGACGGAGAAGAAGGGGCCGACGGATATTACGTTTAATTTGTGTACAGCGCATAGCTCGAATATCTTTTTATATGTTGAGCATGCGCAAGACGCAGTCGGTGTGGATGATGGGAGTGGAGGGACAGAAGGAGGGGTGGCGAGGAGTAGTAATATAGGAGGGAGTGCACGGCCTCCGCCGCAAAGCGTAGAAGAAACAGTCCGACACGCGCAAAGCCTCGAATCGCAATTTGTCTCCGATGCGGATCCGAATCATGCGCCGTCGTATTTTGCCTCTGTGATGGCGCATCTAGTCACGCTTAAGCTATGGCTTATTATGCAGTACCCCTTACACCCACGCCGGCGACGGCAGCCCTCACAGACATCACCTGCGTTGCGACAAAATATAGGTGGAGCAGGGATAGGAGCAGGAAGTGGAATATTTCCTAACGAAGCGACATTACGCACGGCCCTGTCCATAATGGAGCTTAATGAGCATTTGCAGACAGGGCCTTTTGGGGAGAGATTCCGATGGTGGGCTGATACATATGTGCAGTGGCATCCGCTGGCGGTAGCGTTGGCGGAACTATGTACGCAGACACGAGGCGAATTGGTTGACCGGGCTTGGCGTACCATTGATGATATATTTCCTCGATGGAGTGAAGTCATTGCTGATACCAAAAACGGTACATTATGGCGGCCTATACGAAAGCTTTACAAAAAGGCCAAGGCGGCTAGGAATGCTGCTACTGCTGCCCTTACATCTACTGCTACAGTTACAGCTCCTACGACTAGCACTGCCACTGTAACTACGGTCACAGATATGGACACAGCTATGACTACTGGCGATACCCCCCAGGTCAGCAGACCACAAGAGGGATGGCAGAACCCCGTTACTGTCACTGCTACTGCTACAATGGAGCCAGAAAGCGCATACAGCGCAGATATCCGCAACGCGAGGGAATCCAGCGTCCCACCAGATATCGCGAAACTGAGTATGTCGCCTTACGGATTGAATGAATCGATGTGGGGATGGAGAGACCTGAGTTTTGATATACCCTTGATGGATCTTGGTGGCGGATCGAATATGATGGATTGGAGTACTTGGGATGACTTTGTGACTGAGACACAAGCTGATGATGGGCGGTCGAAATCTGGATCGAGCGAGATGAGCTCTTAATGTGTATACCATAACATATCTGCCATGCAACTCACTCCAACCTCAAAATAACCACATGTATAACATAAAAATCACAAAAGCAGGAAAAAAAGAAAAAGAGGCAAAAATAGTTAAGTAGGCAAATCAAATCATTTGTTCATTTGTGGTATGCATTTCGTTGCTCTCTACCTATGTGAGCGTACATGCCATGCTAGTAAAGTTGTTTTCCGCAATTCCGTAATGAACACCGGCAAACCGATTCCCAAATTTCCCCTGACTGGCAACACGAAAAACCTTTTATGCGAAAGTGGAAGGTCGAGTAGCACTGAATACCTTCTTGTTGCTGATCTTGGGGACACGGTGAGGTAGAGGGAAAGAAAGGTTCTTGGTGATCAATTGTCGGATGTAAGGTCGCTTGACATCGTCGGACTTCTCGACTTCGACGACGCGGAGGATCTAATTGATTGTTAGTCATGCCGTAATTCCTAATTTGATGCCAAATAAGAAAAACATACGTGGATCGACCGGAAACGGGCACGGTGGCGGGCAGCCATGTCCTGGTAAAGAGCCTCAACAGCCTCCGTTCGGGACATCTCTCGGTACTCCTTGTACATGTTGTGGGTACCAGATCGGGAGTCGTATCGAATCCAGATACCGAAGTTCTTGACGCGGAGGGGGTTCTTCTCGGCGATCTAATGCAGGTATTGTCAGTTATTATTATTATTATTTTCCGCATCCACTAAAGTGAAACGCACCTTGTTCAAGCTGACAATCTCACCGTTGGCCTTCTTGACCTTCTTTAGCTTGGTCAAGAAGTACCAGAAACGAGACTTGGCCACGACCTCATTGGGAGCGAAGATTCGCATGCGGTAGAGCTTGGGGGTAGGGTTGGTCTCGGTCGGCAAATGACGGCCGATGACCTGATATTCCTGAAGACGACCTGATACCATCATTGTTAGTAGAAATCCTTCCCTTCTAAAAATTGATCGGGTAATTGAATCCAAGGCGAATTTCGGCGCAACTAGATCTCGAGGTGTTTGCGAGTGTCGAGTTGATCGTTGTTAAAATTTTTCGTACGATCAATCATTAGATTATCGAGCGTGAGCGGCGTGTGCTATTCGAGTCCCAATCTTTCCTCCACCACAATCGAACTGAATTCGTGCTCCAATTATTGAGGCTGATAATTGTATATGCGTAGGTTTTTTTTCGGCGTGGGATACGAATGTAAATTCGCGTTGTCGTCGATTTCTTGACTCGGTATTCATTCGATAATATTTTGATCGGTCGCGTGGTTCGCAATCGTTCGCCTTGGATTGTATTGATCCTGGTGGTGAGGAGAGAATAAAAATTGTAGCTTACCCATCTTGATTTATGTTAGCATCAATAAACAAATAAATAAGTCAGTTAATTTGTTTAACCTACTGTGACTTGGTATTAAGTGGTCGTTGTCGGAAGTTGTGGTCGTGATGGCGTTTCGTGGAAATAGGAAAAAGTCCGGGTTGAATTGTTAGAACGTTGAATTCGCTTAGCACCAAAAATCTTTTGGGAATTTTTCTTTGTGCTAAGGGTTTCTCGCCCTAGCGGTGTGTGGCTGTTTCCCCGCGTCTTTGTTATGTGGCTCATTAAGGAGGTACATACGTATAGGTGGGGTTAAGTGTGGCTAAGCAAGAACAACCAGAAGTGCATACATGTGGGTCTCGATTGTTCCCGCTGCTTTTACTGTTTAACCAATCAAATGGATTCCTGTCCTTAGCAAAGAATGCCTTCTTACCTGTAAACATCACCTGAACCTACAATCAACCTACTGTTGATATCGATGCGACAAATCTCATAAATCTAATATGTCAAGCTTAATCATATCGGCTTGTATCTTCATTACTCCTCATTTTTAAGCTTTTAGGAGTCTCCGATCGGTGTTGCACCTCGTACGAAGTAACATTCTCACCGATTCATCATGGATGCCCTCATCTATGAGTTCCGAACGGCCCTTGCCGGAATGAAAGGTGATCAACTCGCCGAAACCCTTCGTCCAGATGTCCAAGTCTATAGAGATAGGCTAGTAGCACTTTGGGGTCGAGGAGATGTTCGGAGTACCACAGGTGACCTCAATTTCTTATTCTATTCGGATGGTAATCGTCCTAGACTTTCCCAAGAGGAAACAACCGGTTGGCTGGAGATTTACCTCACTTACTGGAAAGCTGTTGGAGAAATTCTGGCTGTGGAAGGCCTACGAACTGATCCAAAGGTATTCTTTAACCCTTTCACTGTCCAATGCCCTCTCTAACCGGTCGGTTCGTGGCTAGTCCGACCCAGCCGGAGCCTTGCTCTGCGATTTCAACTTGGTGTAGCTATATTCACTGCTAATTATAAACAAGGCGTCAAATTCATCATGGACGAAGGTATATGATGCATGGAAAGATTTGACACTGCAAGTCATTCGGGGATATACCCATTACGAATTCGAGAACTGGACCATCCCTTGTTTGTATGTGGCGGGAAAGTATCTACGACTGTTTGCTATCCGAGCAGATGAGGAGAGAAGAAACAGCAACGAAGATAACACCGAGACCGTCATGCAAGATGACTTTGACCCGGAAAACGAAGAGAATAAGATGCTTGAGGATTGCACAAGACATCTAAACAGGATCTTCCAAACATGTCTCAACGATAGGTACTTGAACATCTACCGTTTTCTTTTACCAGACTGGGCTAACTTATCCTCAGGGCACCGCTAGAAGAGTCGCGCAAATGGGGTATTTACTACGCCATCAATCTGCTATTCAAGAGTTACTTCAAGCTAAACTCGACACCCCTATCTAAAAATATCCTCAAGGCGATACAAGCAGGGCGGGGTGATATGCCCACACTTGACAAGTTCCCCAAGTCGCAACAAGTTACTTTCAAGTACTACGAAGGGGTCTTGTCATTCCTCGAGGAGAATTATGTAGCGGTATGATGCGTCTTCTTACCCCCGCCCACCGATTTACTGGCTAACAAAACTTAGGCTGAACAACACCTTACCATGGCTTGGCAGATGTGCCACAAAGATGCCATACGAAATCTCGAGTGAGTCTAAATATGACAGATTGATAATAGTCCCATATATTAACATATCACAGACTGATCCTCACTTACCTCATTCCGTGCCACCTACTCACAACGCACACACTTCCTAGTTCTCAATTGCTAGAGAGATTTCCACGATTGCAAAAGCTCTTCCTACCGATTGGCGAAGCAATCAAGAAGGCGGATCTTCACGCGTTCGATGTTGCGCTACGAGCTGGCGAGGACGAATTTATTAAGCGTCGCATTTACCTAACCCTAGAACGTGGTCGTGATATTGCGCTAAGAAATCTTCTGCGCAAGGTGTTCATCGCGGGTGGTTCCGAGGAAGGAAAAGATGGCGCACCACCCGTTCGTCGCACGAGAATACCGGTAGCGGAGTTCACTGCAGCGATAAAAATCAGTCGCGGAGAAGATATTGATTCTGATGAGGTGGAATGTCTCTTGGCGAATATGATTTACAAGGTATGTGGCTTTTCTATTTCCCTTATTATTCATCTCATGATATTACTGCGCAATACAAAGGATGCATAATAAGTCAACCCCAATTCTGAGGGTTTCGATGCCTTAAATGCTGGAAGATCTCGATATCATGAGGGTCAAGCTCCTTAGGACATTTTCCCCACCCCCCACATATCTCATTGGTTACCCTTCGATATTTGATGAGGAATGAGTCACTAATGGTGCAAAATCTACCAGAATCTAATGAAGGGATATATTGCCCACGAGCGCGGTATAGTGGTGCTAAGCAAGAATGGCGCATTTCCCGGTACGAAGGTCTGAGTCAAATGGAATGAACAAATGAATGGGTGAATTGATAGAGTACACATCTGTCGTCCGACATAATGAGAATGAGGCGGCGAGTAGGCGGCATTTTAAATGCGCGTCACTAATATGGGAGGCCTAAAGGATGTTGACCGAAGGCTGCTATTGACATGAGTTGCCTTACATCCAAGATGCGGCTGACCTCTCTAGGACGAAATTGTGGGGAGGATGGGTGATACTGAATTCGGGTATTGCGTTAGATCCCGCTATGCAGCAGCAGCATTTAGCAACGAATGAGAATTGAAGAGGATTGTACCTCACGGTACACATCGCAATCTAACTAATCATAACATATCACCTTGTCCGCGTTTGCGCGCTACTCAATTGTGACTAATGGGGTAGACCGATAGTCTTGATAGAAATGGTCTGTTGATTGGGTACGGTACATTCCCCCTAGCCAAAAGCCGAGGAAAAAAATACCAACATTGAATACCTACTCAATCTATTATAGCGAAATAAATATTAAAGCAAAAGCCTTGTGTGTATCAAGTTCAAACAAGTTAGCAATACGTACAGAAGCAGCTACCCGATGTCCGGGGAAGACAGTCGACGATCCCTAGTCGTATGTAGGTCTACGCCGCTTTGGAGATTAGGCCAAAGCAGGTATCCGTCTGATGTACTAGTACGTATAGTACCCCATCCCATCCTTCGATGCGAGATTGCTGGTTTGCATTGTTCCACAGGAAACATATTTACTTATTCTGTGGTTGGTAGATTACATTGGATATGTATGCACGGGCAAATGCGGAGAGGAAATGACTCACACATCCATCCAGCCAGCCAGCCTTCGAAGCTGAGGATGGGATGGGAAAAGTGGATGGGTGGGGGCCATATGCAACCACTTTAACTCGGGACCGGGGTTTGGATCAGCCCAAATGTTTTAGGTAGGTATTTGTGAGACAAGGATGGGGGGAATTGGGATTGGAATGAGGATGGACCGTGTACTATGAGTATGTTGGTCCGAGCGGGCAGGCAGGCGGATGCTTATTGGGAGACGGGTAACTCAGGAAAAAAGAAATGGAATGAAGATAGAGAATTGCTTATGAGTCGTTCCAAATACGCGGGCTTAGTCCTTGTATGCCTGGTATCAGTAGCCACTACGTAGTGGTATACATTCTGAGGCACATATTGATGAGGGGCTTGTCCGAATTAGTATGTGCGTACATGCATCGGACTAGTACATTTGCCATTGACGAATCAAGCTGCTCGGAACCTGCTCTGTGGCTGCTGACAAGTCAACTTATCATAATTTTGCTTTTGCCCTCGGCTGGCTAGGTCTCACTTCGCGAGGACTAAAAACTCCGTAAGACGTGATTCCTTCCAGGGGTTATTGGGAAGTGGCAAATCGTATCCGAACTTCGGGTTTTACTAGTGGTCAAGAGCGAAGAGGCTTCAGCACCGTTTTGAAGTCAGAGACGTAAATATGTACAAGAACGTTAAATATTCATTAGTTATGTTTTCGCACTTCGTACCTATCTCCTTCATACCCCCGAGTCTAGTATCTCCGAAAATCAAATGAGACCCGAGGGAAGAAAAGCAGCTAGCTGCTATCAATGATAGTTTAGAATGTAATGATACAAGAGAGATTCGTAAGACTTCCGCTGGGTATGTTTCGCAACTTAACTAGAAAAAATCCCACCCTCCCCTTTTTTTAGTTGTTCATATCCATGTTATCTTCCGATGACTCGCCTTTCTTAGTCCTTCGCAGGAAAAAATGATGTTAAACTCCCTCGTACAAACCCGGACGACGTAAATTTTTTGTAGTATCCTTCCTCTCACCATGAGAAGTGGATAGTGTGGACTGTGCGGACGAGATAAGTCCAACCCACTGACCATGAGGTCCTCGAGAACAATAATGATACAAGAGATGTCAGAAATAGAAACGCTAACTCCCGCCGCACGAAAAATCATAACTCGGCGGGGATATCCGGAACGCCGTTGATGTGGTATTTGTCATTGTGGTATCCCGATCCGAAAATGTCCCCCAGTCTTCCAGAATATGATGAAGAAAACAGTGAGTAGAAAAAATAAGATGATTTAAGATGAAAACGTTGATCATTAGGTTTCGGAATATGATCCGGGTACGGTGAGGGCATGATGAGAAACAAGCGTAAGCGTTAGGATGGATGAGATGATGTACTTAGAAGAAGTGACGGTTGCTTCGAGGAGTGTTTCTAATGAATGATGTTAGTATAGTCATCTAGCGATGATCATTTGATGTGAGATCAACTTACTGAGCGCTCGAAATGTCATCGACATGGTTACAAAGAGCGACAAACAGATCGAAGAAGAGTTGTGTGCCACCAGCACGCATCTCCAACTGCATCGTGCCGCTCCGCTTGAATGTGTTACGGCTTCGAATGATGAGAGCGAGATAATGTGCTCGTAACTTGGAGTCGGTGTCGGGCGTGTTAGCATAGGCATAGCGGGCCGATGCAAGGATAGTGCTACACTGAATTCCGGACTCTATTATCATGTTGTTAATAAGATTGGGTGTCATAGTTGAGTGTTTTGGGTGGCTTACGAAGTCCTTGTTTGCGCAGAGCAACACGCTTGAGTTCTTCAAGACCATATTTGTCGGCAGTGCAATAGATGACAGTATCCTTCAAGACATCACCATCAACACTATGATGGTAGACGGTAGACTCAGCCAAGTTCTGTCCATCTTCTTCGATCTGTTCAATCTCCCAAGAGTTGCGACGCTTATTGTGGACCAAGCGAGGGTAATAGTCGCCTTTATACAGATATTCTAGGATAGATGAGAAGATCTCAGGCTCCTCATGGGGAAGATGGATACGCTTGGAGTTCTGTGGGTCCATGTATTGGGCGGATAGTGTCTCTTGAAACCAAGGCGAAGCGCAGAGTACGTCTTCATGGGCAGCGAAGATGCGTTGGTCTTTTCCGATGACCAAAGTGACGATGGATGGAGTTAAGGAGCTGCGAAAATAAAATGTTAATAAATGAATATGAAATTAAAATTGGGAAATGAGTAAAAGAGATAACATACCCAGATGGTGATAAGGCAGTCTCATTTGCGATATTTGAAGCTGTCGCAGTTGCGGGGCGACGATGTTGACGAGGTTCATGTCGGCTCTTGGAAACACCATGAGTTTTGCTGAATGATGAACTAGATTTGTTGGCCTTTGAAGACTTCGAAAAGCTCTTGTTAGAAGGTTGCTCGAATCGTCGGCTGAACATTTTGAATGAATTTCGTCGTATTTAATTGCCTATGATTTTTTTTTTTTTTTCCTTCTTAAATTTCCGATCGAAGAATCGTCTTTTTATTGTCGCAAAAGTATCCGTGTTGTTGTTGTTATTCGTTGGATTAAAATCGGATTAATTGACACGATTTTTAATACGGCGATGGTCGTGATGCAGGGATTTTGGTTTTGATAGTCGAAATGATTATGGTGGGAAAAAAGAGGATGAAGAGAGATGTGAAAAATGGCCTACCTTACCTGCCCGAGGCTTCAAAGTTGAAGATGATAAAAAGGGAAAGAAATTGTCGGGAGGTGACATCCTTATATAGCAGATGACCCATGTCGGGCTGTACAGGGTGTACCTAATACGTATACCTAAATAATGTGAGCATTTACGAAGGTTACTTTCTTATTGCTGCTGTAGGGAATTAATGCGCAGCTACTTATCTTTCAGGCAAACACGGTCAAATTGGCGATGTAGTTGGCCCACGCGTCAGGCAAAACGGGATACCCGCGCGTTCTCACATGACTTGGCTCTTTTCATTAAACACTACGTTTTAGGTATAGCGTGGTTACTCTTCCTATGTATCGTCACTCCCTGCTTATTTCGGTAATGGAGGGGGTGGTTTAAACAGCCTTGGAGGGAATGATTTAGTGGATATAGTGGGGTATACAGGGCTACTTTGGTGGTTTTACAAGGACTACAGGGAGTTTTCAGGGATCTAAATACCTAGGTAGGTACCATCCTCCAACGAGCCATCGGAAATTTTGCAACTTTTTTTTTTCTTTTTCTTTTTTCAATTGTCATGCCATGTTCATTAACTCTAGATAACGACAACAACTTATTCAATATTCAATTATTTATACTTGCAATTATAATTACAACCATGAATTATAAATATTCTTACCATTCGTATTTATAAAAAGATCATGGGATAGAAAATTGTCCTGGGTTGCTGTCCTGGATTGTCCTCGGCTGAGGCGAAAATAACACCGGATGGTGTCAAACTGCGCCGATACACACCATCTAGAGCCATAGCTAACCAACCTAGGTACCTAACTAGGGAACTGGGGAACTAATTTCAGGGGTAACCCTCCAGGATGATGGCATATTCCATCTGATGGCGTACCAAGGTTTATGCCTATCTTTTTTCATTGCTTTTCCATTGTACTGTGTTGTACGAAGAGCAGAAATGGTAAGACAAGATGGTGTTAATTGAACAAGATTAATTTCTATTAGGCATCACAAAGGACAAGTACATATATTCCTCATCTTACTCCCAGCAACAAGATACGAAGCCTTCACTCAATTCTTTTATTTCTATGAAATAAAAACAATCGAAAAAAATCGTATCCAATGGAGGGTACCAATTGAATAGATCCATCACCTCATCTCAAAGTACATAAGCGTCAGTGGGTCAAAATGGGGCCATTCCAAGCACCCGGGGCTGCATGTCCCGTCCCCTCTTAATCCTTCCATGCCGGGAATGCTGATAGAAGATTTTTAATGTTCCTTTTTCACAACTCTCTCAAACTTCTGTTAAGATAAGGTCAGGAATTGTATCAGCTTCGACCGGTTTTGGTGGCTCATCCCTGGCTGCCCTGGTTCTGTCTACCACACCACTGCTTATCTTACAGCTTGGCATTAACATCCCAACGAGTTCAAAGTGCAAAACGAACCATGCAGAGAATGCTGTAGAACTTGAAAGGTAAAAGAGGGGCTTTGACAACGAAACATTTTGATTCGCCTCACTTTCATATCTCATCACTTGTATCTCTATTCAAACTTGGTTCGGTAAATGGGTTGGATATTCCTTGTGATAGACTTTTTTTTTTTCTCTCCCTCTTCTTTTTCTCTTGCAACTTACTTTACTTCATCCTTACAGACATATTTTCTACCGGCTAATGCGCTTCCAAGAATTCAACATATACATGTATTCATGTTTATGGATAGTGGTACGTTGTAGCACACTACATAGCCCATAGTAGTATTCTTGAATCAAAATAAACTGAAGTGAATGTATTATCTCCAAGTACTCATTCAAGGTACATACAAAAGCACCCAAAATGTTTCCCTCGATAGATTAAACCAGATCCCCCTTGCATTCCTTTATTAAATACCAAAAATACCGCTGAATCCAACCCAATTTTTTTATATAAAATCCGACAAAACACCATCCAATATTTTAAGATAGGCAATTGTGCTAGGATCCAGCCTAGTTGCTGTGCCCCTCCCAGGCAGCCTGTGCTCTCCGCCTGTCATCTTGTACGTGCGCAAAGTTCTCAGGCTTTAATATTTGATCGGTAGCGTCGCCGCTACGTCTGTGGTTGACTGATGGCGGGGTAAATGTGTTTTTCGCATTGCGCGGGATGACGCTGCCTGCCGCTACGGTCGCGAGGAGGAAGATGTTGATGAATTGCATTTTGGATGCGTTAGGTATTTAGAATAATTTGTAATCTTGTTTTTAGATCGAGAGATCGAGTATTGAATGATGTCGCGATGACCCAATTTCAATGAATGAATTGTTAATGACTGGTAAAGTAACAGGCGTTGTGCCGTGTAATGAATGTGGTGAAGACTTAATCGTGATGTTCACGAATGACTTAGGTGAGTTGACTTAAAGCAAGGAAATAAGAAAATTGGGAGAAAATTGGATCGTGACCCCGAGATGCTAAGAGAGTTGGGTGGTTTTCTTATACATGGAGATGTCGCATTGTCTTGCTAAATAGGGGGTTGCTGGTCTGGCTCCAGGTTCTTTCATACATACATCTACCTACACAATTGTAACTGCATCGTCATGATCTATAAATAGTATACGTCTTTGTTTAACGACGATGCGGTAAATAAACCCAGCAAAGCAGCTTTGTTCTACTCTTTGGCCTTCTCATAATGGTCTATCAACTCATTGTCGCAGACCCCTTATGTGTGTTGGCCAAGAATAGAAGAGGCATGAACCAAACGAGAAGCTTTCGGCCGTGGGCACATCTGGTCCTGGAGTACATCTTCAATCAGAGACTACCTAGGGCTAGAGTTCTTTATATGTCATATTGTCGGGCTAAATGCAGATATTATAATGCTTGGTAGTTCATTGTGTAAGATTTCAATCCATTTCACCTGAACCAGGGAATACTAACGGTCGCCACTTTTCTCCTAGACGAAGTATCTCTTGTGCCAATTCATCTTGCGAAAATCCCTCTGGAGCAGGACCTTGGAGTTCGTAAGGTGCATATTCACTTCCGAAACCCGTAGTCGCCAATACGAAAGCGTAGTTCCTACAGAACTCCTCCCGCACTCGCGAAAAAGCCACATATGGTGCAAACATATGGGTCTCGATTTGCTTAGCTGCCTCCCAGGCCTTAGTTGCGTTTAGCAAGAGATGCGGGAATTTCCCCTTGTAGTTGATGATAATGGCGCATTCGACCCAACGTAGACAGGCTGGTGTCGAGATGAACTCGGTCAATTTTCGTAGTAGGGTCTTCGCCTCACGAGCCTCCTGGTCATCTTGAATCTCGGGGAACTGGACCTCGTGAAGCGTGTTCCAAATACCGTAAGCCATCTCGAAGTAGCACATTGCTGATTTCATGCCCCTTTCCTCCTTTTGTTGTAGCTCTTGGAGTAGAATCTCTGATTGGTCGCATTTCGTGAAATACCAAATCGCAACGACGGCACGATGTAGGTGTCGGAGGCGTCGAGGACGTAGTGCATGTGGTAGTTGCGCGGCCGGAAGATCGTTACATTCGATTAGGTACTGCGCTGCTGTGTGATGAATGAAGTCAAGTTCATAGGCGCGCGAGTCTGTGGACTCAACATCCGTATCAGAGACTTCTATGAGTGGGCCCGAAACGCGGCTCGCTTGCCTAGCTGGGTCGTGTACAGCCTCTCCATCGTTCGCGTATTGAAATATTGACTCTAACATGTTGTATCCAAGTCGATCATTAGCGAATACCAAATACTTGGGAAGGTAGTCAGCAACATCGATCCATAGATAAAGCTGTTGAGCTAGCTTCAATTCAATTGGGTTGAAGCTGCTTTCGGTCGTTCTCAGTATCTGTGTGTACAGTTCGGTAAAGCCTCTTGGTAAAACCTTCAGCTGCTTTTGAATCTGCCCAGCAGAAGGAAGCCTATCAATATCGTCCATCATGAGACGGGCGTAAAGCCAAAGTCCCTTCGCAGCGGATGAGACATAGTCTGCGACCTGCTTTCCGATGTCTGTATTGCCAATGATTGGATTTCTTCGAACGCGATCGAGTATGTATAGTTCGACGGTATCGGTTTCGAAGCTCTCCATTCTGAGGTACGTTCGACGTATATTAGAAGGTTGTGGGGAAGACGAAGGTCGAGATGTAGTTAGGAATCGAAGTGGTAGTATATTGCTCCTGCACTGAGTAGCGATCCATTGCCATATTTCGCCGCTATTAGAAGACTCATCGAGTGCGTCGAGGACTATGAATATCTGCCCCATTTTCAAGTGTTCCAGCGCGATAGAGACGGCCCGCAGAACTTCGACCAGTGAGTCAGCTATAACTCGGCCGCTCTTTTGGTAAAATGGTCCGACCAAGTTATAGAGATGTTCTTCCAATCGGACTAACTGGGCTAGAATTGTCCGAGCACAATGAAGTAGAGAGCGCTTCTCTACATCGTTCGCCTTGAAGAAAAAGTATAGTACTTCGAATCCTTCGTTTCGCAGATGGTCTATGATGAAAGCTGCTGTCGTAGTCTTCCCACTCCCCGGTAAACCTTGTAATGCAAGAACGGAAGGCCCTTTGATGTCGCCTAGCGAAACGAAGGACTGAAATTGCTCGGAGGCCAATATGTAATCGCACGAATGAGGTATGTACTCGTCTAAATGCCTTTGGAGATCGTCGTCGACGGTCGAAGGGGACAACCATCTTTGGATGTTACCTCTCTCATGTACTGCTAAGGCTTAGAAGAGAATAACCTTCATAAAATTTCATATAAGGTAGGCATCATACCTTTCCTTTCTATCCTAGCCTTCTCCGCTTCACGTTGGGTCTCTTCAATATGGGCTGTATGTGCTGCCCAGTCGACATTTTGGCTATGAAGTTGAATGTTCTCAGCGACATCTCGAAAGTCCTTATCAAAAGAAGAAAAGAAATTTCCTGTCGAAAATCGATCAGACCTAGCCATCAATTATGGCGGGGGCAACCTACGAAATGAAGATGTTGAGTAGAATTTAGTAACCCGAACGCAGAAGTCGAGATAATCGCAGTAAAGTGCCCCGATCGTATCCTGAACAAGCTTGTTCTTTTCGAATAGTTCTTCGTACTTTGAAAACCTCTGTAATGAGCTGATAATCTTATGAATGATCATGGCTATACTCTCTAGAGTACGGAGATGATCTGCCGAGAGCTTCGCGCACCGTATATGTGATTAGCAGCTAAAGGCTCTAACCTCCAAACATATTGTCGCTCACCGTCACGACAATCTTGAGCGGACCCCATATTGGGGAGGCAATTCCCGCGTTGACCTGAACAATAACATCGATCGCGCTCTCGAATCGCTTGAGTGGGTCGATCGCGGGTTTCATGAGGCCAAGGATTCGTGCTAGCTTAGATTTTCGGCGCTGTGTTGCTAAAAGAACGTTCATACAATCATCAGGGTTTGCCGGCGCCAGGAATGCTGCTCGTTCAAATGGGCCAAGGCTCGATAGGAATGATCGCACTGCATCTTGCCATGCTTCTGATGTATGACCGAATGAAGCATCAAGCGTCATAGTGCATCTTCAGCACCTTTAGACGCCGGAAAACGCAGTGGGGTAATCCGTGGTCAATATGATCCGCCCCGACTCGTTTACATATGAGTATGCTACCGCTGCTATACTCCTATGCGAAACGGACGTCTTCCACAAATTATACTTGTCCGAAATGGTAAAACCAGAGTTATGATTGATCAGAAGAACGATGCCTTCGTAGAAACCCATATCTTGAGTACCTACGTACATACCTAGGTACATAAAGATGCTGCAGACGAAGGATCGTGATCACGTGATCGTCTCCTCAAATGCCTGTGCGCCATCGTGGGGGTCACCACGGTCGGGTCGATCTTCGAGCTACTTCTTTTAAACACTGGACAAGAAACGCAATGCGGTTGTTTAAGTAGGACAGCACTACTATCGCCCATTGTGTCCTTCTCGTTATGGTTTATGGGAATGGAAACCCGTACCGTTCTTTTCACTCTCGAGAAGCTACTAAATCGGTACGGTGTCTAGGAATTCGAGTTACCATGGTTCTGCGTCGTCCTAAATCACTACGCGCTTATCGCCACTTGTTTAACTACATGCTACGGGGCGAGGCAGATTCTCCGGGGAAAGCTGGCTAGGTTGAGTTGCGGATGCAGATTGGATATATCTCATCATTGGCTGGTCATTATGCAGGCTCGCTGGATGACTTCCAGCGTCTACCTAATGCACCACCCCGAGGCGCTATAAGGTCTTTATTGGGACACGCCCGCTCCGTCCCCCCAAACACTCGCATCCCAAGATTTCGTCGATGTTTTGACCTTTGAAAACTGGCAACTAAGGTGCCCTAACCCGCTACACCATGTCAAGCAGTGGAAATTCACACCCAAATATAAGGTCCGTAATCTTGCCAATAACTATTTCATTTCAGAATCTCATTTGATTATTCAAGCCCAATGCATGATTCCGAGGCTCTGTTTCGAGAAGCGGCGAAGAATTTCAGGGAGTCTCTGCCGCCTATCGATAGGTCGCGTTTCAAGGAGTTCGATTCTGTATCTGGTATGATCAATGAGTTACAGGCCAAAGCAAAGAGCTACCAATCCAATAGTAAATTGTTTAGCCTCCTTAAGAGAGTTGGGAGGGCCTCTGCGTCCCTCGAACCCTACTTCGATGTGGTGAATATATTCGTCTCATTCAATCCCGAATTCTTAGCATTGGCGTGGGGAGCCATTCGCTTCGTCTTCGTCGTCAGTATACCCATGTTCTTAGTTTAAAAGCTATTCAACGAAGGAGAAATTTAAATATTAACGAGATTATAGCTTGGGTCTAATTATACGTCGTTCCTAGAAAAGTTAGTCACTACAGTCCCAATCGAAAGAACTCCAAGCGAAAGTCCAGCAGCAAGAAACATTCCTAGCAGAGCGATTCGACAATCTAGAACGTAGACTAGGCTCTATAGTACGCGAATGTACCTCAGTAGGCGGGCAGATACCAAGGAGCCGAGAGTCATCTATTCAGAGTAAGTTAGTCATCTTAAGTCAAGTTACCGGGTGCGAATATTTAGCTTACCCTTACCATTGGAAGCCTTTCTTGCCAATATTAAGGCTTGGATCAATTCGCCCGATTACATGTGCCGGTACGAAAAAGCGCAACGACTACGATTAGCTGGGACTGGCTCATGGTTCACGAGCTCGGAAGGTAATAAAACTTTCAAATTCCTCGATAATGTATACCCCAGCATCCCACCGCCTCTGGATCCAACTAGGATACTATTGGTGAAAGGTGAATTTACCATTATTTCACTTTGAAAACCAAATGGTTATGAAGCAACTAATAAGGCGAAAGTAAACCCGGATATGGGAAAACTGTTCTTTCCCAGTTAGTTATCGACGACCTCAAATCAGAATACGAGACTTTTGGGCCTCTCGACGCCCCTCATAGACCAACATTGTTCTACCACTTTAATTCAGAGTTGTTCAGTTATTGCACCACTACTCATGCTTTGCGGGCAGTGCTCCTCCAGCTTGTCCATGCTATCCGCCGGGAAGATGATATGCTTGATGGTTTATCGGTCTTAATTGACAGCGAGAGTAGCGGCCAAGTGTCTGGAAGCAACGAAGAAGTCAAAGAAGCACTTCACTTTCTTCTCACGCGTGTGGGTGGCGCTACCCTCGTATTCGATGCAATCGATGAATGTTCAGATGCGTCCCTATTTCTAGAAACGATATATAATCTTTGCTATGAGATGGGGACGAAAGCCTTGCTACTTACTAGGCCGAACCTAAGTCTTCCGAGGGTGTTCAAAAGTTTCATATCGTTAGATCTCAAAGATTGGCAGAATGCCGAAGATATCAACTCGTTCCTAGCTCCCGAGATTCAGTGCCTTCGAGCTGACGGTTTGCTTGGTGAGGATACTGGATGCGATGAAATCTGCTCACTCCTAACCACGAGGTCTCAAGGAATGTTTCTATGGGCTCAATTGATGGTTACCTATCTTAACTGCAAGGTTCTCTCTCCGAAGGAGCGAGTGGAAGCGATCTTCATTGTTGAGGTCGTTGAGGGACTCGAAAAATTATACGAAAAGATTTTAACGCCCTCGGTCGCGCTTTCGCTAAGGAACAGGCCAAGGTCCGCAGGATGTTTCAACTCTTATGTGTTTCCCAAAGGTCATTCAGCACACCGGAGCTCCAAACTATACTTGCGGTTGAACTTGGACCTAATAGTGGATTTCGGAAGCGTTCTTCCAAACTTGAGCGGGGGTCTAGTTGAGGTTGATAATCGAGGCTCAGTTATGTTTATTCACTCTTCGTTTAGGGAATTCTTGACCAACCCTACTCTTAGTGGGAAAAGCGGTTTTATGGTTGATATCAGTCGGGCGCATATAAATACTTCGGCACTTCTACTATCATATCTTATTTACAGCACTCCACAAGGCCCCAAACTTCGCAGCAACCCACGTATGCGACATAATGGAACCCTAAACTTCCTCGAAAAAGAATTCCCTTTGATGGCCCACGCGGCCATTTTTTGGGTTGACCATGCCAGTCAAGGCATTTCTAAGACGAACGATCGCTGTACCAACGCACCCGACGAAGAAGAATCTAATTTTTACTCAATGCTTGATAAAATGTTGGCTCTACGTACTTCGATTACTGGTTGGATAGAGATTTCTTGGTTTTATGACTGCGAGCCAAGCGTCAAACGCCTTGTTAAAAGGTTAACAGAACGAACTGTACACTCTTATAGCCAAGGAGACCCCAAAGCATTATACATCACAGTGGTATCAAAGCTGAGCGAATTCTCTAGAGATTTAGATCTACTAAGTTCAGAATGGGGCCATGAACTGCGGGGAAATCCATCAGCTATATGGGGTCCAAACATCACCGCATTCAACAAATCACCTTTTTGGTACGGCACACAGGAGACTATCGTGTCATCTCTAGTACCGAATTCCATTGAAGACAAATCAAAACCGCGAGAATTGGTTCTAATGTCCAAATCGGCGACGGGTGGGATATCCTTCTTATCTGTCCCGTCGTTGGGGATCGTCTCCATAACGCCCTCAAGGTTGGGTATCCATCCTCTTTAATCAGACCTTGCTAATAGATACACCAGCGACTACATGAGCTACCTCGATAATTTAGCTAATAGCGAAAATCGGAACGCCCAAAGATATATTCCTAACTCGCGACTTGAGCTTGCGCGTTGGAAGGAATCGGTTAGTCAGGGCTGTGAGGCTAGATATGTCATAAAGCTCATCGACTCGGGTCAAACGCTTTGGGATGTCAAATTTGACGTCCCAAGCGAAAATATTTCTAGTATCCTAGATACCTCATGGCACATGCGCACTTTCGACCGTTTCGATTTCCCGGTGGCTATTAGCCCAACACTAAGACAAGCCGTAGTGGGGCGTACTCTACTCACAATTGACGAAGGAGAGCCGACCACATCTAACCATATAGTAGAAGGTAGATCACCAAATACCGCAAAGCAAGACTTGAGGGTCAACGCCCCTATAAGAACTGGTTCGCTGCGTATCTCCGATCAAATCTATTTTTCTAGTAACGGCGAAGCAATAGCTATTTCTACGAGAAAAATACACGAACGACACTATGATGTTCAGAAAAGAGATATTGAAATATGGCGCGGTGATATTTCTCGACTCGCGTTTACCTTCAAAGGTCGAGTGACAGCTTCGGCGCTCTGTACACTAAATGATCGAACATCGCAACCCTTATTCATGTTCCACCCTTCTCTAGAATTAATTATATTCCCGCAAGATTACGTTCTATGCTTATGGCCTTATAATCAACTTGGTAAGCTTTTCACCATACATACTCTTGAACACCAGCTAACCTACCATAGATGCTCCTCTCTTAACGATGACCTTAACGAAATCCATCATCCCAGTCGACATAGACTCTAACTCTATACTCAAATATATTTTCGCTGAGATGTTGCCGCTAGAAAATGATAATTCCTCGTCATTTGACACATATCGCCCATGTGTACACCCCTCTATAATTGGAATGGACAGCGCCATCTTGACTGAGTCTATGTCATTCATGGATATTTCTGCGTTCATTGAGCGAGCAATAGCCGCCCTCAGTATACCAGAGGTAGCCAGTAACGATAATACAACACCAAGATCTCCAGATACTCTCAATATCAGAGGTGCTATTAGGAGTAGCTCAGAGGTGATACTGAAGCAAGAAAATGGAGGCCGCCAGTCGGTTATTTGGAAACCCGGGGGAAACTCAAGCGATCGATTTCATATTACGCCGCTTCCAAAATTAAATATGAATGAAGAGGGTTCCATTAACCTACTCCCGCTCAACACGGACCAAAGGCAACTCACCTTGGTCTGGAATAAAGAGAAGCAGAAGACTTATAGCTTCCTAGATAGACAGTCGCGCCACTTACCGAGCATACTCAAACGGCGGTTGGATTCATTGGATTCGAGAGGTCTATGCAATACTGAGGATGATGTGAATAGGGAGGGCACCTCTTCCCAGTTGCAAGGGAGTTCGACGAAGCGGATAAAACTCACTAACGAATAGCGAGCCCTAATTCTCATCGTGCGGAGTCTATACACCCGTAAACTAATCTGACCAATCCAGAACGACGCCGAAGTGAGGTTGGCCTCGTGATCTTCGCGTTGCCTTGGAATTCAACTAGCCCCGATAAAGCATGTCTCAGATAGATTATTGTGGTCCGCACGAGGATACCCATAGACTCAATGTGAAGGGCTGTGTGAGACACGGGACGAAACGAAAGCACGTGGCATACGACGAACTAGATAGGAATCTTCAGCCATTATATTCAGATTTCGGCTGTACATTCTTTCGTTTATCGTCTCTGATTCTTTTCTACTTCGCCTCCCTTTTTCAGGTGGTAATTTGATGGCAAATTATGAAGATTATAAAAGAGGCTTGTATTACTCGTCATGGTGATAATACACTTCACTTCACTTCGCAGCTCTTCATTTATTATCATAAGTCATTGACATCTTTTGCCAGTTCTCCCAAGTTGCTTCGTAAAAAAATATCAATCTTCAATACCTCTTCTCATATTTCGCTTATCTCCGACCAAGACTTGCTTCTTCCGGTGTTCCCACTTAAACACCAAAATGCATCCTCTTACTATCTTCATTGCCATCTCGACCGTCGTACTAGCCAACCCTATACCACTCCCGCTTCTAGCAGGAGACATATCGGACACGATTCTAGATAGCGTTAGCGGTATATTTGGCACCTCCAATCGCCACGGTGCCAAGTGCAATCCCAGGAGCAGCAGCCAACTCCAAATGTGCATACATAAATACGTGGACCAGTGCATAGTCGATAGCACAGGTTATGATGCTTATATGAGGGCATGCGGTAAGTCATCTGATGATACTACTATTACGTCAATGGTCTTGCAGCGTATTTCTGACTATAATTACAGCACCGAAGAACCGCTGTGGAGCAGAACGACAAGCTAGTGAGAAAAGTAGCAATAAGCCCATCTCGCGGGAAGATACGTCCAGCTCAGACGACAGTGATAGTTAAGGGACCACCTTCGTATTGAGTCTACACTATATATTCATATTAACTCGCGCTGTACACTGGAGGTACGAGCTTCACTTAATGTCTACGATATACGAGGACGGGATCCGAATTGCGAACGTTGTTGATGATGGCATGCGATGACGGGTGGGGGGAAATATAAGATACCATCGGATTGGGAGTGGTTGATATTCGACAATTATGCAGAGGAGGAAGATACCATCGTATAAAAACTAATAATAATAATTGTTTCTAATCATATTGGCCTTTTATGACGCGATCTTATGAACTTTCGCGGGATCACGCGTTCTATTTATCTTACCCCTTTTGTACCCCTTTAGGTACTTAGGTACCTACCAAAGCACCTACCACCTGGGGTGCTGGTTGTTTGGTATAGTGGAGCTGGGGCTTGATTGTGGCTACTGTGGATGAGTCACCCAGGTAGCCCCACTCCCAAAATATCTTTTCTATAAATACAAGGCTTCCCTCCCTCTCATTTTATTCCTTTTCTCTTCTTTTCTTCCTCATCTTAGTGCACGGGCTTTACGCGTCACAGTGAGGAGCAATCCGAGTGCGTGTTTTTGCTAGTTGAAAACTATTTTATGACCACTCCTATTTGGTTTTTAACCGGGTAGGGAATTTTTGAAACTCTCATTTGAAATGGATTTTTCATCATGACTCTGTCCCGCGTTCGGATGGAGATGAGGAAGACAATCCTCAAGATTCGGACCGTGGTTGGCGGTAAGCAATCACGATTATATTCGTATTTGATCGTATCTTGATTTGTTCGCGTGGAATAATTGGCAGGTTTAGACGTCCTGTACATTGCTTGCCGCCGATCAATTTGCGATCGTGGGATCGGCGACGTTGTTGGAAGCCAACATTAATTTTTCCACGGCTCTGATTTTATTAGATAATCGACCAAACGGCAGCCTATTCGTTGGTACCTATGCCGCATGAATATATTTAATGCGGTCGCCTGCAATTCCTTTCATTAATTCGTACTTTACGATTCCGATCCTGAGAGCATATTGTCCGAGACGTAGCCATGGGTAGAAGTGTCAAATTAGAGGCGTTCCCTGCGCCTGTATTCATGTCAATTATAGAACATCTGGTCGTGTCTATCGGCATCTACAAAGCAGTTCTACTCCGACGAGTAAATAGTAAGTCAATCCGTCTCCTTTCTACCTACAAGCTGTCTAACACTTTTTTTAACTATAGGATCCTTCAATGCCACCATACTTCACGCCATATGCGTTAGCCAAGTTGTCGATATGTATGATCCAGCTACTCCTCACGTCAAATACGATATACCGCCATCACTTAGAGGCGCGATCCTCTTAATAAGATCACGATCGCCTAATGCGACGAAGCAAGAGCTTCCTTCAGTCATCCTTAGTGTCAATCGAGAAATAGATCGCTTGACGCAGCCAACCGAGGAACGTCGCGATGAACAGCATCGAATCATTTCCGAAGCTGTCGCCGTTGGAATAAATCCATTCAAACTAAACTATATCGAAAAAGGACTCAAAGATATCGACGAAGAAACACATGCGCAGAATCTTTTTTGCGCTGCTATTGTTTTAGGAAATTTACCCCTAGTTAAATCCATGCTCGAAGACCTCGCTCTTATATCAGTTCGTGTGAATGCGAACAATCTCTATTTCGGTCCACCCCTACAGATAGCTTGCGCGCGGGGTCATATAGATATTGTCCGCTATCTCCTTTCCCATGGCGCCAATATACAGGAAGATTCTGAAGATTTGGACTGGAACCCGAACCTTCGACTACGTGTCTTCCAAAAGCACGTATATCAGAGTCCAGAAGGAAGTCCTTTACGCGCCGCTCTCCATGGAGGCCACGAGGATATTGCGAACCTACTTCTAGAGCCAGAGTATCGACCGTCGCCAACTCCTTTGAAGATGGAGTTTGTTGAATCAATTGTGGCTGCAGTTCGCAGCGGCCTGTACCCGTTTTACCAACGTCTAATCCAAATGACTGGGAAACCTCTATCAGATTACCCAGGTCTAGGGGGCAAGTTACTTCGAGAAGCGGTTGAGTACAACCAGGAAGGCATTATGCGAATGCTTTTGGAGAAAGATGGTGTGGACGTCAATTCAGTATCAGATGAAGCCACCCTCAGTACCCGTTCTGCTTTATATACTGCTGCGTGTATGGGTAAAGCCCATGTAGTTCGGGTTCTAATAGGTTACGGGACGAAGTTAAGGCCTCCTCATTATGGACCCTGTCCTCTTGAAGGTGCTGCGCGTGGTGGGCATGAAGAAGCGGTAGAAATACTATTAGATCATGGAGAACCCCGAGCGCTGGCTTTCAAGTGTGCCGTAGAGTCCGGACAGGTACATCTAGCTAAGTGGCTGGTGGCAAGATATCCGAGCATCATAATGGAGAAATATGGGCGTATGCGCCCGATAAACTTGATGTCGATGGCCATCATGAACAAAAACCTAGACATGATAGCTTTCTTGCTTGATGCTGGTCTTCCGCTGAACTATGAATATATCGCGCATTCGGAACTTCCAATGGTTGAAGCGAAGACGTCGGCGGCGGAATGGGTAGCGAATTTTCTTCTCACGCTTGGATTCAAAGACGAGGAGATCGATGAAAGTGCACGCCCAGCATATTACTCGGAAGTGGATATTACTAAGGTGTTGTCATGTAGAGGCGTACGATTGACAAAACGGACTTGGAATTGGGTAAGCAAGTATTGAATAGTCATATATGAGGGATCTAGAGCTTAGCAAGCAGTCAATTTAGCGTTTTACCTTTGAAATGTTCCGTGGTTTCGCTTCTTAATCTGAGAGGCGCTTCCGTTTCTTGTTCCTCGGATGTTTACAAGACGGCGTAACCGAGGCTTATACTTGTATTCTGGTTTCTCGAGACCCCATTCAAGTCTCGCAAACGAAGATACCCACCAGCCCACTAAGTCTTATGGAGCCTTACGATCAATCGTAATTACTAATTTGACCGTCTCCGCCACGTTGGAGAGCTCCTCTTTGGAGATATTTCGAGAGGATCCCATCGATACCGCCTTTATTATATCTCGATATGATTCGATTCATCTGTGGGTCGTTGTTCTTAGTGCTGAGCCTTTCTGAGCTTCGCCACGGACTCGGATTCCAACACCTACGATCTTCTCGTAACGCGCCCTAGGAATTTCGTAACGAATCCCGAAAGCTTCGACCATTGAACCAGGAAATGCGATGAAGATGATACGAGAAAGTGAGAGGTAGAGTGAGAGGTAGAGTGAGAGGTAGAGTGAGAAAAGCACTGTGTTCAAGTCCGAAACTCCGAAAATATCCATACCGTGCATAAAATTGATTTCCCGAAACAGTTATGAACGATTTATGAAATACTCAAAATAGCGGGGTTCCCTTAATTCATAATTAAATTCTAGACGTCAAATTCGATTCTTCTTCCTTCATTCTACATAAACCAAGCGATCATATGGACCTACCATAACCACGGGTAAGATTAATAGGAGTGAAATAAAAAGTTTTATTTGCTCGTATTATTGCTTCAAGTAAAGCATCACATGTACGAAACGATCATTTAACCCGGTCGTTTCGGGATCTCAAAACTCCACGTCGATCAGAAACTCCCCCATCGGGTTATTTTTATTCTGTTTACATCGTCAAAAATCCACCCAAATACCTATTCAGGTACTATCTAATAAGGGCACAGCTACGTCTGAATTGGTTCCACGTATATGAAGCTAGTTGGGCCGCAAAAAAAAATAGAGGGAGGTGACGATAGTTCTTTGGTGACGTTGCAACTCATCCGCCAATAGACCCAATGGATCGCCTCGCGATGCGACCTGGACCCCCAGTCGTCCCCAGCGTATCGGAGCACGACCTTGTCGCTAGATACCATAATTATTACCACGCTTGGCGCCCTTACCCAAGGGCGGTCAATGCCTAGTAAAATGAGAAGAACCATCTTTTTTCATTTTTAAAATTTCTCTTCCCTTGACCGATCGAAATCATTTTCCCCATTTCTCTTTTTCCTTTCTTCTCTTTTCCATGTCGTCCTTTCGGCCAGTTAATTTCCCTTCTCTATGTGGGAGAGGTGCGATGAGGCTCGGCCTCCGGCTGGGCGGGATCCCGACGTTGTCGGTCTTGGGGTACGTTTTTTTGTTGATCCACTTGATTGATTGATATCTTACTCAATTGTCGAATGAAATTCTTAAGAATGCTGACGAATAATTTAATTAGACCTTAATCGCCTGTGGCGGTTCTGCGTGTATCGCGGTCATCTGTTTGGTGATCCAGTACCTATTCTTTTATCTCCCTCAGGGCGAGGATGAGCAACAGCAATCCCATGTTGCGAATCCTATCGATGTCCTGTTAGTGAGTGGGCTCCGGAAGCCTCTCAAGTATTTGGGAATTAAGTCGAGTCGGTCTACCGCATCCCAGAATGAAGGAGGAAGGTGGCCTGCGGCTTTCGATCAAGTACGACTGTCAATTCCGGATAATGATCGATTCATGTTACTAATATTGTCGTTCCTAGTATGTCAAGACATTAGGCGACGTCCAGCTTGCGGTAGGAATCGCAATGCTGATATACGGTTACGTATCATTGACGGAACAAGGCTTATCGATGTATCACTGGTGGCTCATTGTTGGATTAGTGTGAGTAGTAACAATTGTGCTATATATATCATGACCCAAGAATATGTATCAATCTAACCATTTAGGGTGGAAACAGCTGGTTCACAGTCATAACGAATCTAGCAACCAATTCATACCTACGCACCTATTTCATTAAAAGGGATCCAGGCGAGCGATGGTGGCGAATCATTCTTCTTATCTGTCTTGTTATAACGCTTAGCTTTTCAATGATTCCGATTTATCAGATCAGAGAGAAGCTTGCTAACGAACATGACGAAGATATGCAACGAAGGATACTCAAAACGGCGAATGTGTTGTGTTATTTACCTGGACATGATTCAAAGATCGACACGCCCCAATTTCGATCTACTGTCGCCCTGATAGGTATTGCTGTCATTGTTGGCTTGGTTATCATTGGTCTCTTGCGCCTTTACGAAAGACCTTCCAGTATTATTTTCAAGTGGCGTGACCAATTTCGGGGCGAATTACAGCAGTCATTCTTCGGAGATGGGGACAACATTATAACGTGCATTCGCTGCGAACAGAGACACTTACTGCTTGTCGTCCGACCTGTTCTAGCATTCTGGCTCGTATTACGTGTTTACGCCGATTTATTGAATTCCGTACTTACCGAGATTGTCTGTGCAGCAGCAACATTCGCTTGGGTCACTATTCGTTTCATCGACATTTTGCGTTTGGGTGGGGGGTTCGAATTCGATGGTCGACATTGGAATTTTGGTCAGGTGCTTGCACTTGTTTTCTTCGCAGCGCCTCTCGGATCGTTGGCAGGTTGTTTGCTTAGTACTCTTGGAAGACTTGGTTCAAATGGCAGTCGAATTTTCAAGCGCCCCGAGGCTCCGAAGTTCACATGGGTACGAAGCATCCTCGAAAAAGCACGGCCCAGGCACTTGCCTAAAACCGATGTCGAGGATCCTAGCACTCAACCCTTGTTAACACCCACCGAAGGAGATACTGGGCCAATCGTGGATGTCAGCTCAGGTGCTGTAGAGACTAACCAGGAAGTGCATGTGGAAAGAAATAGTTTGGAAAATGAAAGCGATCAAACGACTAAAACGGATAACGTCAACACCTACAGGATACTTCTTTCACCCCGGTTCGTCATCGCGTTACCGCTCGCTGGTTTCTCGAATCTACTTCACCTTGTTCTTCTGCTGGTCTTGCCGAAGGTACCTGGATATCCATCGACCCCTGATGTTCTTTGGCGAACCATATTCTGGTATGTCGTCTACCAGCCGTTACTTCTCTTTGCATTCTTCCTTGCTGGGATGATTGTGGAAGAAAGAGTTACGCGAGAAGGAAGAATGCTATTTGCCTACCGAGTAATTGCTACCATTATAGGCCTATTATCGACGGCTGCCATCTTCGATACGCTGTATGGTATTGGCGGAATTCCCATGTCGTATATAGGTATGGGTACACTCGGTTTGATTCTGCTCGTCTATCTCCTTTATGGTTGCGTGGCTCGGCCTGGTCCCCTAGCGAAGGGCAAAAGTCGGAGTAAGTATACAAGAGGCGGAGATGTCGAAGAAGGTCAACCACTCCTCCAAGAATCCAGAAGGAGGATTCTACCAGAAGTTCGAGCATTCCCTGTTCGAAAACAGAAGCGGTGGCATGGTCCTTCGCGAAGACCTCAGGTGACAAGGGGTAGGAGGAGCTACGGCACGATTGATTGAAATTTGGATACCACATTGATTTAACATGCATATAACGGTGATGAAAAGGCGATTGTATAAAGTCTTGGGTATATGCCCTATGAGGCTTGGATTGGGACGATGAGTTTCATATGTAGAACGAAGAATGAATCATGATGAGATGTTTACATATTAAATATCTTCCCCTTGTGGCTTTCCCATTTCCCCGTCACTGTGTTATTGCTTGGGTTTGTTATTTGGCTAATCCGACTCTACTTAGGATAGGTCGCGTAACGTCTACCCCTAATCTTATATATGATGACCCGCAAATCCTGCGAAGGAAGTCGAGGAATATATGAAAGTTTCAACCACGGGGTGTTTACTACCTATCATGTTAGGTACTCGGGTAAGTATTTCAGCAATCTAGAAAGCAATATACCATAGAAGGAAGCATTTATGTTTGATTTACTAAATAGTAGACAGTCACCTAGCTGAATGCTAAACCCACTCATCTTAAGAGTGTATGTGCACAGATCGCTACATTCGCACTAGAACCATCCAACAGACCTACCTTTTTTTTTTCTTTAGAAGGCAGGCACGCTGGTTTACACTGTTTGTATGCTGTGTTGATAGCTAGCACTGTGCTTCACTAGTTTGATGTGAATTTTTCCTACTCGACTACGCGAACATATTCTACAGATTATTTTTTCCTTAAAAGAAACTTAGGAATTTGACTTCTACTAGCTCTTCTATTTTCCTCGTCATCATAGTGCTAAATACCATCAGGCCGAACGTCATTCTACTGATTACCGGTATCTTGATTCCTCACTATTGATAATTCGTCGTCGTCGTCAGCAATATTCTATCGCGAAAAAACCTTCAGGATACCATCATTTTCCCCTCGTCACCTTCGCTAGGATAAATATACGTCGCGATCGTAACCCACTCCGCAAAGCCTTGTCGCTCTCGGAAATTGTGATACATCCGAATACCAAAGTCGATTGGATACCACGCTGGTATAGTACCATGCTAACAAAAACATCGCATAAGCAGATACCCATCAAAGTACAGGTTCTAGTTAGCAAGATGGCTATCCAAGAATTTCCGGTAGAGATTACGAAGATGGTCTTCGAACTCGTCAACAAACCCGATCTACAATCCCTCCGATTGGTCTCAAAGGCCATGAAAGTAATAGCATCAACAATCCTCTTCCGTCGCGCATACGCTTCGATCTACTCAGGGGATACTCAGGTCCTCCAAGCCATATCTCAACACCCGGAATTACGCCATTGCGTTCGTGAACTGGTTTATTGCGGCACTACCCCAACGGAAAGCATATATTATTGCGATGATGAAGGGCTTACGCCCTCACCCCCTACCAACCTGCGTTTTAGATTTAAACGCATTGCATGGAAGGAAGGGTTTGCGAAATCTCTTATCGACGCTATGAGCATGATGCCACGGGTTCAAAAAGTCACGCTCACCAATCATATAGTATGTACAAATATTATCTTTTCCTTTTTTTAATATTAACCCCCCCTCCTCATGCTACTCAAGGGCCCTTCTCATTCTAGGGATCAAAATGTTTACATCCACCAGCTATAGAATAATGGTATCAGATACGAGGTAACTGACTAAAATGCTTTCATACACAGTGTTCAGAGTACTGCCCACTAGTTGCCAGGAGGGCCAATCTAGATACTCTACTTACACTGGGTAAACCAGCCTGGGCTCCGGAACCACCAGAACCGATGTTCCCTCCTGAAGTGAAGGCCGTGATCCTCCCAGTGATGCAGTTTGACCTTGGCTTTAAGGTCATGTGCGAAGTGATATCGATTTCCGGACACCAAGTCACAGAGCTTTCAACTCACTTCGACCATAACTTACAAGACACCGCAGGAAACCAGTCAACGACTTTCTGGGAGAAACAAGGATTGGTGTTTGGCTCCCTCGTGACGTCGCCTCGTTATTTCGAACATACTTGCAATACATTTCGGCAATTGCGCAAGATTAAACTGGCTTTCGAACACGATTTCGACAGGTTAGGAATGGCAAACAATCCGCGATGTGTTTCCTTTCAAAGGAACCTAATGAAAGCCCTCGCAGAAGCCAAGAATTTAGAAGAGTTAGAGCTCGAATTTCTGTTCATGGAGAATGACTTGGACGAGCTCGTGGGCTGTATGAGCAAGCTCACATGGCCCTTCCTACGATCCTTGACGTTAATCGACATTGAAGTTGATTTGAAAAAATTGGTAGCGATTTTGGCGAACCACTCTAAGACCCTTCGATCCCTGAATCTCCGAGGAATCAGCCTTTCTCATGGCAATTGGAAGGAGGCCGCGAATGAGTTCAACAAATTAAGATTACCGAGAATAGAGTCGGTTAGTTTCAGTTGGCTAGGCTGTCACCACAAGGAAGAGAGTACCATCTACATTAGCCGAGACTCTTACAAGCCGCAGTTTGGTATCAAAGGAGTCTGCGGGCCCAATTATGGCCCATTGCTTGAAGATGAATATTACGCAGAGGATCAAGAGAACGAAGAACATGAGACGGATGGAGGAGGCAAGGGACATGGCATGGACGACGGGAAGAAAACGAAAGTCCTTAACCCCTTCGTCAATTGGTTGGAACTTGAAAAATCTTTCTTCCAAAGAGAATGGGGTCAGATTATGATACCTGTCCCTGTTTGGGTACTTGTGCCATCATTAGTCGACAGTCTGGAACCTTTTTACAACAGGAATGAAATCTAAGGCTGGCTAGTTATACCACCCATATATACCTACCTAAGTCGATAGAATGACCATGGGACCTAGGGGGATGTGGAACGGGAACATTATGAAGCTATCCATATAATTACCGAGGTACCTAGGCGCGTGTGATACCACCTAAATTCTTGCCATCGTGATAGAATATGTAGGAGTGAATTTCGCACCATTCTAAAATGGAAGAAAATAATTTATACGAAAAATATAATAACGGGATGGTGTAGGGAAGTGAATTTCGATCCTGCATAAAACTCTAGGTGCATAGGTACAGCGATTAATGAATTGCATAAACACGCCCCTTTTTCCTTATGATATTATGTACGAAGTATCCGTCCAACGTATACGAGAACCGCGGAACGATCCGACACATGGCGTTATTGACATCCAATAAAATTCCCTTGTCGGATAGTTGGTCCAATGATAGATATCTAGCCGACCTCACATGATGTAGAGTACCCCTAAGAAAACATCGAAGCATGACATGGCTATATGCATCTCTGCAAGCCATGGCGGTTTCATATTAACACATGCTTCCATTTAGATGCCCTTTTCGTGTATATTTTTCCTCGCCCTACGTTATCGCGATCGTCGATGTCATCCCCTGGCGGGGAGAGCGGGCTGCAAGTAATACTCCTTCAATTCCCCCAGTAAGAATCCAGAAAACACAGCCGACAGCATGTTCGTGTAACCAGAATAAGCCGGTGGCGCCCCCTTTTCAAAGGATCTTGGATTCTAGCTCCCAACACCGCCTTTTTACGCCCTTTATCTAGTACAAGCCAGATAATGTTCTGACATTACTAACTTTAGAGAAGATCGGCGTTGGTAGCATTTATAAAGGTGTACACATCCCGACTAACACTTCCAACAGGATTGGCGCATCTATTCCGAGACTGCTTCGATGGAGTCGGCTTAGCAACCAATCCGCTTATAGACCTTCACATTTAGCGATGGAATCATGTATAGATGGTTTTACTATTTACGTCGTGCACTCTAATGAAACAAGGTGGCTTAACTTAGGTGCCCGATACTGCAAGAACTAAATGCTGACCTCTCAACGTAAAGCATCCACAAGAAAGGGAAAGATTAGAGACTTCTAGGTTGACAGGTAGGTAGGTAGGTAGATATAATATTACCCGATATGCCCACCATGATATTCATTGTTACTCCGTGTTCACCAAAACAACCAAGATCTTCATTTCCATACGAAATCCACTGTAGATCAGTGTCATTCCTTTGATTCTATTCTCCTTACCTTTTTCAGTACTTATAAAACACGCGGAACCATGAGGAAGTCTATCATTACCACCCTCCTCCTCGCTGCTGTCTCTGCAATGCCTTCTAGCATCCTCCATCATCGTCACCATAGGCATAGGCACATGGTCACCCGTAGAGATCCAGGGAACTGCTCGACTCAAGCACAAGATGCCAACAGTGACGCCGACTCAGGTGGTCCAGGCCTAAAAATCACCAATGGTGATACTCAATCGCGCTGTTTCTTCGCATACGAGAACAGTTGCGATGAGATACCGCTCAAGTACATCTCTATCGGCATCGGAGAGACAAAGTTCTTATCGCTACCCTCAAGTTTCCAAGGCCGGATCGTGCGTGGTGCTGAGAACGTCAATTTGGACGGAAGCCCGCATCTTCTTGGCACATGGCTTGAGATTACCTTCGATAACTCACAAAAGGGATATGCGGATGTGTCGTTGATTCGTGGATGCGATGGTGCGGTCACTGTAGCGTCATTGGATGGGAGTGGCGCAAATACCGGCTTCAATGACGAGGGGATTCTTATCGGCGCCCCGGAGGCGGCATATGCGGTTAACGACGAAGGCGTCAAGGTCATCGCAGCGACGGAGGGCCAACAATCTGTTGTTGTTCCAGCACCGCGGGATTACCTTGTCTCTAAAATTGGCTATGGTAAGGCGTACATTGACGACTACCACGATAACCCGGTTATTTGCTCGTCTAATAGACGGTTTGGTGCGACGTTCTACCAGGGAGCTCCTTGAGGTTGCCTCTTGGTTCTGTGCTAAAATATGAAGCACAAGGTTTGGAAAACTCGGTGCACGAGCTTTGCGGGATCATAGCGGGTGTTTGGGTAGATGGGATGGTTAAAGAGAGGTCCATTTTAAAGGGGTGTTCCTGTTTTTGGTTTTTACGATTCTTGCACATATACGGATGATTTTTCCATGCTTCTACCGATGAACTACGTTCATGTTCGTGTCAATATTCTTTTTATGCCAGTATAAGTACTTCGCTTCTTTGGAATCCCCGTTTGGAAGGGTTGAGCCTGTTTAGTAACCTCTTGAAGTTACATTTAGCTTGAGGAATTCAAGTGCCACGGTTGATTTTATTATGTGTTGGAGTGACCCCACGTGGCCTATGAGGAGTTATGTGGTTGTTCTTAACCGAGCATTGAACATGAGTGAGACCAATAGCCTACTTGGAGCATCATCCCACGAGTCACTAATTCCGTTGATTTTAGGGCTTGTGTTGAGCCAAAAGATACAAGCTCGTTGGCATGCTACGCTCGAATCGGGCAATTGCATAATCTACTTTCCTCGCGCTTCTGGGTCTCATGGTTTGTATTTCACAAAAGTGGCACCGGGCGAATAAATATGTTACCTAGAATCCTTGGAGTACAGGATTCAACCACTCGATATCCCAATAACTAGCACGGGGGCCCCTATTTAGCAAACTCCCGCTGGTATCTACTGACCTGGAACCTCAACTAAGTTATTAGTAGAATAGAGTGCTATATATATCACGTCAAATCCCCCCTTTGCAATATGAATTTTGAAATGATATCAACAGCAAAAACTCTTAGTTAGGTGGTTTTCATCATAAAACATGTATCTGAACTTCCTTCACGTCGTCTCGGCGGCCTTCTTGGCCACACAGCTCGGCATCAGTGCCGCCATCACCAACCCAATTATCGACATCGAGCTTTACTCTGATAATAAGTGCCTGAATCGCGTCGCCATTAAGTCTTCGAATATCTCAGTTCCTTGTGCTAGAATTGATGATAGGTTGGGTGTCCACGGGTTAGTAGCCAACCCCTTTGCTCCTATATATCATAATAGGGGTGATGCCCCATACTATGCCTACCTGGCCTACTCCTCAACATCATCCATTTAAAAGAACGAACCACGAAAGCTAACTTTAGTATAAAAACTATAGGATTATACCTAGTGGGCCTCAAAACTTCCCGGGTGGATTCAACACCATCACCATCTTCACAAAACCCGAGTGCCCGATGTCTCCGGACCCTTACGTAGCACAGAATGCGATTTTCGGTAAATGTAATTATCTTAGAGATGGGGATATCGCCAAGCTCCATTATTCGAGATGGCAGATGAATGTACATAGAAGCCCGAGTGGGGCAGACGATGAGGTACCACGTACTGGTTAGCTGAGACAAGAATATGCAGATGAAGGGCGGGTTATCATTGATTATGTTTGGTATTCAACATACCATAACGTGTATTAGGTCCTAGACTTAAATTTAACGAGTGACGTTCCAGTGGCAGAATTCTGTCGATTCGTACCAAATACTCGTACTTGCCCCTGAAACCAACCTAGGCCGACACTATTTAGGCCCTACTAAGAGCAACGATGAAGTTAACGGTAGGCAATCTCGTTCCACTCTATCATATGTCATTATATCCAATACATACCCTGTCACCTTTCTTCACCGCCACACCCCATGCCCAGGCTCTGCCTCCTTCCCCCGTATACAGCCCGACAAACTCATCATCCCGTCCCGCGTCACGCATCCAGTCCATCTTCTCCATTGATTCCGTACTCATGAACGACAAGAAATGCATAAACTTTTCTTCCCCTTCATCACAATCAAGAGCAAGCGCATTCGAAGCGATCCCATGACAAAGACACGGTTTCTTCGTCAATAACCCACGCTCCCACGTATCATCCGCCGCCTTCTTGATTACGCCCTCAATCTTCTTCCTCAACTCCGGAAAATGCGGGGCAAGCGACCGAAGAGAAATAAGAAACCCCGGACCTCCATGGCAGAACTGAACCAACTTATCCGAATCAGAACCCGCAGAGGAAGGGAAATTCCCACTTTCGTACTGCTCATCAAGAAGACCCGATAATAAATTCCGAATCTGAGGCGCCATGAAAGGTCGTGATAAAACAATCTGACAAATAGTCCCAATAGTACCATGAGCAGCGCCGAAATACTCTTTCCCATACCAGGTCCACGGTTGCGGTACGCATATTATACGTCTTATGGTCTTGTCGATTGCAGTATCGAGGACTGCGGCTGTGCGCCAGTCTTTGAAGACTGTTCGACATAGGCGAAGGAAGTAGAGATACCCAGCGCGGCCGTATAACCATTCGTTGGAACATTCCTTGCTTCTGGGGCCATCGTTAAGTGGCTTTTCGTAATCGCATATGTTTTGCGCTATGCTGGCGTCTTGCATCATGACTGCTGATAGGGCCATGTATGCAAGTCCCTCGTTTGCAATACCGCAGTTACTTGGATCCGGTGGTTTCTTCTGGAGGCGGATGCTTAGATCGAGATATGCCTGAGCCCAGTCTATGAGCGCTTGTCGTTTGAATTCCAGATCCGAAAAGAGGAGGGAGAGACGATAGAATAGGTAAGCAATTGAGGTTGGGTCGCTGTAGAAGCCATGAAACGTCCAGCCTGTGGAACATGTGTGGACTAGTGGGTTGTATGTAGTAATCCGGTCGAGGCTAGCTAGAAGCACTTGATTTGGGTCTATAGTCAGGAGAGGCTTGGTCGGATTGGCGAAAAAACGGCCCGAGGATTCCATATGGAGTACATGTAGCCCAAGAGCTGCTTAATAGATGAATACCTAGGTAGGGAAGATGAAATAAGGCGTCCGGGGTTCTATGTGGATGTTCCGGAGTATCACGGAGGTTACGAGAGCCTATCCTGCGGGATTAATCGAACAAATCCAGGTAATTCTGTTTAAGTCAGCAGTTATAAAGTCTCCAAGTAGTTTTAATATATGAGAAGGTCAAAGAAAGGTTCTCCTCGGTCTTCATGAAATGATATATCCAAGTCGTACGGCTCACTTCAGGATGCAACCGAGATGACGTCATCGTACCTCGGAGAACGCACGCGGAGTTCCGTATCTAATGGGTAAGGCTTCATCGATATCATCACTTGGTAGTAATGTAATTACAGGTCATGATTATCCGAGTTGTTTCTATCATCTTCCGTTTCAGTATGTAAAAGGATCAAGGAACTCAACATAGAAAGATGTTGAAGCGGTTGAGTTGGACTTCATGGATGCCTCAGGATCTGGAAACTCCGTGTCTGGATAATCAAATCTGATTGGACATCCTAGAAACAAAATCACGGTATAAGGTCTATAGATTGGTTATAACCCTTTAATTAGACTCGCAAGATTTGTCCTATTCTTCACAACGCGAGTAAACACAATGCTCGAATTATTTCGCCTCGTTGTAATTGTTTTCGTGCCTAAAGAACTGCTCTACAATCTCGGAGCAGTATAATCTGCTTATGGGTGTTAGCTTCTCAAACCCAAGTACGCAGAAACCAACCATTAAAGGCATAATTCCCCATATCATACAAAGTCATCCCTTTTCTCCCCGCCCTTTTCAGCCGCCGCTTCCGGAACGTATGCATATTTCGGCATTAATGCCATTCTCTCTTCTGGGCTGATTTCATCGTCGTACATCATCTTCACGCCCTTATCCTTCTTGGATTTCTTCTCTGCTCCCTCAGCACTCGGTTCGGCGGTTGGTGTTTCGGTCTTCTTGGGTGGTTTAATTCCTGCTTCCGCCATACGAATTATCTGATCGATATCGTCACCCTGTTGCGTAGCGCCCGAAACAAGTTCATCGATAGTCGAAGCACTACCTTGCCAACCAACTTGTCCAGGGCGAGCAGGTAATCCAGCAGGCGCAGGAAGATTGCTTCCGGGTCGAGACGGGAGATTCGGCGGGGGATAAGCACCGGGATATTGCGGAGGGGGTGAGAAGCCAGGGAATTGGCCACCAGGAGGAGGGAAGGGTGAATTCTGTTCGTTATAGTCAGTACACGTGCGCACTCATCACAATTAAATGAATATCACTAGGAAACAACTAGATACGTACGAAGGTACCGGGGGATGCGCTCTGTGCAGGGCTTTTCCTATCGGGAAGACCCTCAAGAGGTGTATGGGTAGCGCTTCCTCCATTTATGGACGACTTTTGCGTAGCAATTCTCGCGCGGTGTTCTGCCAATCGCTTCTTGATCTCATCCGCCGTTTCAATTCTGAGCTTCTTAGCCGGTCCCTTTCTGCTCTGTCCAGGCGGGGGATTTCCTGTCGCAGCATATCGTTCGGCTTGAGCTTGGTAGAAGTTTTGGATGATGCGTTGGTTGTGTTGTTGTACGATGTCCTCAGGGATACCCTCCATACCGAAAATCTCGACATCGAGACCTTGTCTGTTGGGTAGCGCATTTTCGACTGATGATAGCGACTCCTTGTGTACTTGGTTCATATGAACCGAAAGACCTAAAGCGCAAAACAATTAGCTACCAAATCGCGTCGAGCAAGTTTCATAGAAGAAATTCTATACCTCCAGCCGTGTTCAATCGTCGTCCACATCGATCACATTTAAAATGCTTGGCTTTTTGATGGGATATTAAAAGTTTAAGATCTTCGAAATCTCGTTCGCCTAGTAGATTCAATTTGTTAGCAATTCAATTCGCATATGTTAGTTAGAACGGCGCGTCGTACAGTAATAGCACCAAGGTCGGGCAAGGAGCTCTTCGACATCGGGATGACCACGCTTCTTTTTCCCCATTTTCGCGAATTCGATTTAAGTATTTGTAGAAGAAGGGAAAATGAGGGAGTCGGCGGAATAAATTATGATTAGTTTAATACTCGATTTATGAAATGGGTAGATTGAAGACTTGTGGTTGCGCACGAGCGAAATGAAGATGGAAATGAAAGATGGAAATGAGATGGTAGAGCGCGCGAAGAATCGAAGAATGGCTGAAGGTTCTAAGGTTTCTTTATTTTCATTGGTTGAATCTATCCTAGCTTCAGCCCCAAGTTTAGTGTGGCTGTTTTCAACTGTGGCGGGTATATTTAGGTCGAAGTACCTAAGTAGTTCGATACGTACCCCCACCAAACACCATCGCATCCATCAGCAATGAGACATCTAGTGATGGATTCCTGTCGGTACTATATAATACCGTCTAGGATGGGGCCATATACTTTGCATATGATAGATATATACCAATATTATAATATTTAGTCAGCCAATACTCGTATCATTACTCGGGCATCATCCGACGAGTTTCAGGACATTCCTTTCCTTACGGATACAATCAGAGTTCTTATTAAGCCTTATATCTTTCTTATTTACACTGTGTTGGGTAGAGGTGCGGTGGTACAATCTATAATACCAATATAGGGAAAGGAAATGCAATATTGGACTACGAGATTCATGCCCAAGAAGTATTCAGGGGGATACGGTGAGGTAGGATACGATCATAGGATCCATGGTGAAGAGTTCGGTCAGGCATTTGGGTAATTGGGCAGCTGTGGTTGGGTTGCCTCTCATCCACTCAATCTAGGTCACTTTTTCGGTAATGGATTTACAGATGACTCCGATGATCATGATAATTCCGGCCGCCCCCAAATTGGCAGACATACAAGCGGGAAGCATGTTTGTGTGTGTCTTCCACACTTATATGATTATTACCAATGACTCTTAGGCGAATTCTACTTGTTGGACACCTAATATGGTCTGAGTCCGCGTTCTTAACTCTGGGTGCAAACTGGTGACCACTAAGAGGCGAAAATACACTCATGCCCATTCGTTGACATCAAGGGAAAACAATATACCATCGGCTACTGTCTCGGCTTAGGCCAGGAAAAAATGAAGTTCCGGGAAGCCGCTTCCGTTAGATGGGTTCGAACAATTCCGCTGTTCGCGGAACTAAGCCGGAAGACTAGCCAGACGGGAAGGCGACGGACAGGCTCGAGTTTCACGGGAAGGCAGGGAATTAGAAGGCTTCAGGCGCTGACTAGGAGCTTCCTATCCGACATGCCCTGGCCTTCTTGTGTCGCGTGACGGCACTGGGCCGATCTAGCATAGGGTTGAGTAATGAAGACGAAATGGTGTACTCAACGCAACGAGGCATTGATGTATATATACCTAAGCAATAAAACCAGAAAAAAAGTGAAGATCGTGAATCCATGACTCGGCCTTAAATCGACGCCACAACGATAATCTAGTGTTGCTCTTATAACCTGTATTGAGCAAGTAGAATGCTTGTTGCAATTTAATTACAGCGGACCGAGGACCCGGTGGTTCTGTCAAACAGGAATTTTCGACGCTATGGTCTAAGTATCACAGGATATATGTTTGCGCATGTGCTACGATCTAGAGCCATTCATATTAGTTGTAAGTCAAATAGACGAAAAATCATTGGGCTAATTCCTGGACGCATGTAACACCGAAACTGCGGCTCCCAACAAAAGAGACCTGGGCATTAGGGTGATCGCATAGAGTATGTACCTTACCACTAGGTTGGACATTGCCGAGTGTCAAGTAACATACGGTGGCTCTGACGATATAAGGAAGTAAACTACATGTTGGTATTGGTTTCGGGAACTCTGCTGCATCGTAGGATAGTCATAAGGGGATATCAACTTAAATTGCTCACGAAGATGGGGAATGTCCACTTACCTGTGAAAAGCTCACCTGGACACGGATAATTACCTAGGTACCTTATGTAAGGTATGACTGTCTGATAGATAAAAGAGCAGAAATATGTTGTTTTCTGCTACGTCCAGCGTTCGTTGACTCTCCCACCAGGGCTGACGACAAGTAAAGTCATCATAAATCCAGCGAAGGCGATAGCTACGTCATTTCTCACTCTTGCCGTAAGAATATTTCGGGCGCGACATTTCACAATCCCCTTACCCCATGCCCTCGTACCTCTCACCGGAAAATATGGGGAAAGTATCAAATGCAGATTTGCGCCCTACACAACAGTCATGCTGTACTGCATCGCCGGTCAACGTGTGGACGTCGTATTAATTTGCTTAACGGTTTCGTATTGCCGTGGGCCGCTTGAAGATGAGATCCTCCCTAAAACAAGTCTCGAATTGAGAATGCGCAAGCTTACCTAGGTATTTTCAGGTTTGCTTGAATGTCTCTGACCCCCGCGTTCGCCAAAGTGCCGTCTGTGATACTCACAAGCCAAGCAGGCTACGATCTACCACGTCGCACAACGATTCTTAGGCCCCCCACGGCGACGAACGCATGGCATTCCGCGAAGCCAATCGGGAAAAATCCGAACGTAATTATAGGAGCCAATAAGAGAGATATGATTGGTACTAGTTCGTACGCTATGTACGACAGAACTTGTCGTATTATTTACTTTTGAACCCGGCCAGAAGACAAGCGACGCTAAAATTGGATATATCTGCTACCTCACATCAATGCTGGTAGGCGGGTGGTAGTACGAGCAATACGCGACCGACAAGGAAACGAAAAGCCTCGCGTCTCAGTGAGTGTACAAACGCATTGAAACATACACTCGGCATAGTCAGATATTGCTAGTAGGACAATAACCGGGACACTTCTCCCTGGCTAAAATTGGAAAGTAGTTCAAAGTAGTTCAATACTCGGACTATGGGGTTGTGGGGCAAAGGGGAAGGAATAGCAACGACATGTTGATCGGGTATATCGAAAAACGAAGAGGTTGACGAGAAGACGTAATAGCCCAATAGCGAGGGAGGGTCTTCATGAAATGAATACCATGGATGAATAAAATAATAAGAAAACTTGACGTGATCCTACCGAAAAAAAATAGTACTGATACTTGAAGGATGCGAACGTATAGGTTGGGCATGAATTTGAATGGCAACAAGCGTGACCTTCCTAGGACTCCCATCTAAGTAATGCTGGGTACTGTGCGAAGGGAGAAAAAAGCCTTGTAAAAGGCAACCTCAGCTAATAGAACGAACCCAGCTGCCTAGTCATCTATAACACGTGATCCGTAGGACTTGAGCCGCAAAGGACCAAATTAGGCAATCCAGTAATGCTCCAGCATGTTTACCTTCAAGAACGACATGACGAAGGAGACCGGTATGCTGTAGAGCATAAGACGTCAATCACGGGGAGTGAAACGAGAGCGGCGGTCGGCTGCGCAGAGGGAGACGTTGGTCGTCACTTCTGATTGGTTGTTAGCTGACAATCTGATTGGTCGATGGGTATTGAACCCGGGGGAGGGCCGTACCTTACTACCCTGCCTCGATATCTCTACATAAAAACCCACCCCATCCTCTACCCTCCTCTTCATTTCTTTTCCCCTCTATCCCACAATTCATTATTTTTCATCAAAAAGACCACCAAAAAGGGTCAAAACCATCATGTTTCACCCAGAACAAGTCAGCAAAACTCGTCCCACACCTTTTGAAGTCACTAGAACCAATAATTCGTGTAAGTCTGGTTGTACATAGTACCACGTACACTTCAAACAACTCACAACCTCTCTAGATGATCGCGAAGCATTAGTCGTAGCTCGTTATCCAAGTTGCGAACGAAGCGTGCTTCCCATGGAATATCCTATCGGCGTTCCACGTGATCGAAGCGTCGCCTGGACTTCACGTGAGACCTGACCAAAGACTGAAGTCTTAATTCTTCGCAATCTGATGAAATATAGATGATCGAGCTTTATCGCATTCTGCGCATTCGGATTCGTCCCGCGGGGACTATTGGTCTTCGTTTTCTGAGCCGTTGGTCCGTCATTCAGCAAGTAGCGAACATGGCGGGGTATCACGCAAACGTGGCCAAGATCCTATTGACGGGAGTCCAACTCATCAATCATCATTGATTGTTAGTAAAATAGATATTTTTGGCGCCCGATAAAAGGATACAGGCTAACATATAGTAGTGTCGTAACCAGAGGCCTTCGCGAGTGAGGGCTGAACAGTCACATGACTTATATCAAGCCCCACAAGAAACCCGACGAAGATATAAAGACGTAGTGCCATATTTTGAGGATATGGCGCTGGATAAAATCCCGAGGGGTCAATCCCCTCCAATGAGTAAGCAGCGAAGGTCTTCCTGGGACCCCTATGACGACCCCAACGCAACAAGCTTGAGTCTTGTCCATGGTCGCGTTCGTCATAAAAGGGACCATTCCAATCAGATTCTTTCGGATGTAAAAGAGTCTTATGATTGGGTCGGTCCTAGGTCCGGTCAAGATAGGAAACAGCACGCAGCCATTCCACCAAAGGCTCCCAAAATCCCTAGACTTCCAACCCCTGATTTTGACTTTGATGATTATGACGAGAAGAGTCCAGTCATTCATCAATTCTGCGCATGCTGTGATGCGAATGATAGCTTCGGAGCAGGGTCCGACCGAAGAGAATGCTCTATCGCCAAAATGGAAAGACAAGGTACGTCGTTCCCATCCCATCATTGCCTTATCTCGGCAGATATGTCCATGAGCACCTTAAGGAAGTTCTCCGAACTAATAGGTTCTAGTGCACGAGGCAAAGTCCTATATATCGCGCAAGGACCCACGCTCTCGCTAAACATGAAATGAATCTGTCTTCGTTGTAAATTGAGGGGACACCCCGAGGTGTTCAATTATTCCGATAGCGTTGTTGGCCATTTTATTGTTCATGATTTGCAACATGAGATTGACAAAATTATTCTTCGTATTTTCTTAAATTTTATTGGTTTTTATTTTATGGGTTTGGCGACGGTTTGGGATAATGGTTATTGGTATAGACCTGCGATAAGGTAGGCGGGAATGTGTAAGAGGGAGTGTTGGATGGTTGAGGCTGGTTGGGGTGAAGTCTGGTTTGGGTTCCAATCCATTGTGGCTAGTTCCATCAGCCACACCTCATTAAGGTTATTAAGATCATTAAACAAAAGTTATATAATTAACAGGTTAGAGGGAAATATGGTTAAACGGTATATCTTTGTATAGGGATATGATGCCTAATTCAATGGATCGCGACCGATACAGTGTCCTGATTATTACGAGTGTATGTGTCCTAATTGTAATTTTGATTATGATCTCAACGTGGGTAGGGGCTGTACTATACGGCTTCCCTTGCTGACCAACATTTGGTGATAAAAACGAGAACATCCAAGGAATACGCATTAATAAGCTCTTACAGTGTCAAAATATACTAGCCCTAGAACATGACAAGTAGGAGTACCATCTTCCGATCTAAGTACATTCCATTCAATGTAAAAAGCAATGGTTTATGTGTTGCGTCGCTGAATAGTACACCCGACAAAAAGCAATGGCTATTACACAACATTGAAGTATCTCCGGAGTAGTCCTATTGAATTCCTACGGTGTGGCACAGCATAATTAGTGCCACTTAAGGACAGATTTGAGCGTCCTATCCTCTCAAACTGGGGGAATTTGAGGGTTTCTTTCCACACCAGTCCAACAATTCCACCATTTATCGATTGTATATATATACAAACGCAACCTAGCGATTATGGAAACAATACGATAGTCAGGCTTACCTCGTTGCTGGCAGTAGACTCGCATCATACCCATATTAGCTCCCAAATCGATTCTAGAGATGCGCGCACGGACCACAAACAACTAGTTTAGGTAACCTCTTTTTTTCTTGGCTGCCTCGAAAGGAATGTGTGCGTCTCGCCGATCTTTTTATGATTGACGGGTTCCCGGCAAATTTTCAAGTTCTAGAAAGCCCACCCAAGCAGCTGAATTATATTTCCTAGGTACTTAGAGCTTGGGGTTTCGAACGATAGACTGTTTGCCGCCTTTCCTAAGTAACTTATCGGCGTATACCTCTGTCCGTCATCCGATCAAGGTAGTATCCACTACGTTACACTATTCATATGTACCCTGTCCTAGGCTCAGTGAGCTATACCTAGGACCAACGATACGATCTTTCATCAAGATCGTGTGTTCGTTTACTCCATTTGAGTCTCGATATTTAGTTTCAAAACTGCTTCTAGCTCCATCAATTTAATTATTCCAGTAAAGGAAAGAATTGTTACTTTCTTAGGTGCCTAGATAGGCCACTTATGCCATCATACTTCTCATTCACTGTACAACGGAAACAATAACAAAGACATGAGGGGTCGTAAGAGGCAAAGTAAATTCTGACCTCAGCTATCAGAGGTAGGAAGAGGCTCTAAGACGTTTTGAATATCATCTACCTACATAAGAAAAGCGGCCAAGTCGGCTCGCTTCCCTGGGTCTGCCCAGCCTCGTCCCGACACCCCGCAATCCTACCGTACTCCGGAAAATCGTCCAGTCGTGATCCATCATCCCCGAGAACCGAACTGCGCTCATTCAACCCGTTCAGCACGACATCATTCATACCGGCTTCAACAACCATTCTATGTTGTTTTTTATGTTGCCATTCGTGGAATAACGACTCCAATACCAAGGAGCGGGGAGTATTGCATACGATCTCGCATATTGTTCCTAGTTGTTGGGATTGTTCCTTGCTTAGATTACAGGCATTAGGAGGGTTAACATGATGCGACTTCACATTATTCTATGCAGGCTTCTTGGAGTATGCCATCCGGTGGGACCTCGAAGAATTATATATTCTTCAAGAATACCCCTCGCGAGTTCGATTTCTTTCTTTTTACCTTTTATCGTCCCATAAGATCGGGTTCTCCCTTACTTACAGATTTCTTAGGCCTTTTTAGATGATCCAAGTCAACCTATAAACGAGATGAGGTCACAAACTTCAATTCGAGGTCTATTCTTAACATTATCGGATCTTGGGTTGGCAGCGATTCTACCTAGAGATGGTTCCTCATTCTCGGTTCAAGTTCCTGTAGTATCAGCCGTAGATGCTCCCGCTCAGGTTGACCCAAGCTTCTGTGGTCTCGCTTTTGAGCAATCATCCTTCGTCCGGTATGCTCGGGATGATAATGGCAAACCAAATGCCTTTTCCATAAACCTCATCAACGCCATTACCTCGCGCACTGGCGGAGCTCCAATCATCCGACTAGGTGGAACTTCACCTGACTATGGGAGGTATCTACCAGGCCAAAAGGAACCCGCCCTACCCGTCGCTGAACAGGATAACTACCAAAACATCGGATTCACAACTATCGGTCCTTCTTACTGGGACTTGACCCATAACTTCCCAAATGCCAAGTACATGGTCCAAATCCCGTTAGCCACCACTAATGTCAGCGAAACGATCGCATGGGCTCAATCAGCAGTTAAAGGCATCGGCATAAACAACATTCATTCCATCCAACCAGGTAATGAAGCGAATCTATACGCCGATAACTTCAAGGGGGAAGGTGGAGTAGAATTAAACCCACCAGAATACCAAGGTACCCTCACCAACGAGACTTACGTCGGTAACTGGACGAAGTACTCAGATGCCGTCCTAAACGCCGTAAGCCTACCTAAGGGTCGCTTCTTCACTGCATTCGATGTCGCGACTCATTTTGGTCAAGACGTCCAAGCAGAGGCATATGTATTCGATGTGGAAAAATGCTTTGACCTTGGAATTGATAAGAAAAATATCATCAAGGAGGTCTCGCATCATTATTACCAAAGAAATGCTGGAACTGCGAGCGATCTTGCTGCTGGACTTATGGACACGAGTGTTACACACAACCACCTTGACCAATTCAAGCGTCGCATTTCATGGTTGCAGAAGAATAAGCCCAATATTCCTTTCATCTTGAATGAAGTCGGCAATTCACTCTTTAGGACCAACTCTTACGAATTCCAAGCTCGTCTTGGGAGTGCTCTCTGGCAGGTCGACTTCTATCTTTACAGCCTAGCCATCGGTGTCGCGCGAATCAATTACCAACAAATCATGCACGCAGGATACGATTTATGGCTTCCAATAGCAAGTGCTGGTCACGAAGCACAGGTCTTTTCGAATTACTACTCGCAGCCTTTCGTCGCGGATTTCATCGGCTCTTCGGGCAAGACCAGAGTTGCCAAGCTGGATATCTCCGGCAATGCCGCCCCCACCAATGTAGCCGTCTATGGAGCTTATGAGGGCAACACAGCGAAGAGGATCGCCATCACCAACCTGAACTATTGGAACAAGACATCTTCCGGGACAGATAGACCTAGTGTTAAGCTTGACCTGTCAGTTCCAAAGGGTACTAAGTCCGTTAAGGTCTATCACTTGAGCAGCCCCCTGGGTGCCGGTGCTGGTGCTGACAGTATTACTTATGGAGGTAGCCAATGGACGTACAAGAGCCTTGGTAAGGAAGTTAAGAACGTTCGAAAAGATACCGAGAATATCACCGTCAAGAATGGGGTCGCAAGTGTTACGGTCCAAAATAGCGAGGCGGTGCTCGTTTGGCTATAATATACTAGTTATGCGTTCGAATACATAAACGCCCATATAAATTCTACATAGTAATAAATAGTTTACACATTACGAGTTTGCTTGCATGCTACTTGATAGAAAGAATCTAGCGTCCCCTCAACCCAAGCTAACTGAACCCGCATTGATTCCTTGGTTTCATACATCACCCCATTTCTAAATGCATCCTGACTCCATTTCGTCTCCTCCTTTTATCTATTGTCCTTAATTGTCTGCTATCAATTATTTGTGGTTCTCGTTACTCTACCAGGTGGATTGGCTGTTTCCCTCGTGAGGAACATAGGGCTTGGTTTAGATGCTATAATTCCCGTATTCAATATCGCTCTAGGGATTTACTGAGGACTAAGGCGGAGGTAGACTACACTAAGATGCGCCGTGACATAGTTCAAGATAGGTCGAGATCAGTCTTGTTGACATGTAACAATCTCGCAATCGGAGACACCAATTCTGCGAGCTGCCCCTTTTATATACCTAGGTAGTTATCCTAAATATGTCCCTCCCATAAGAAGAAGGTAAATCATGAGCTTTTTTGGTATCCTTTAAACCCAGCTGTTGAAGAGAAGCCCGCTTATGCAAGGTTCTTACAAATCGTGGCCTATTCGACGATGTTGTCATGCACGATGCCACCCGGGATGCATTTGTGTCACCAGGTTAAAATTAAAATTCCATACATACTTAAAATTTCTCTATTCGCGTCTCTACACGTGTAGTTTCCTTCGGTGTCCACAACAGACACAGCAACCCAAAATGTGTTGTTCATCTACGTACTTCAGTTTATCATACGTAGGGGGCTCAACATTATCCTTCGACCACTTGGTCATTAATATACTTAGGTATCTATACGTTGCATAAAAAGCTGTAAGGGATAAAATGGATGTTCTCACTTCTTGATGATGCTACCGGAAATGTTGATTGGCCAACCATCGTGATCATCAAGTTAGTAATCTTCCTCTCGGTAATCTGCGGGTGTAACCCGACTTTATCTCTAAAACTGTATTACATCATAGGCTCATGACGTAATGACACAGCGAAGGCATTGGTACACGTATGGAAAAGAAACAAAGAACTTTGTTAATAATGATGAATGGCCAGTATGTGTTGAGTAGAAAATACCTAGGAAGTTAGGAGTGAAACACTTCAACATGAATAAGGAGATTGATACCAAACTTAGAGATGCGATCTGGACGATATTGCGTCGCATATGAAATCCACACAGACCATCTACCAAACCAAATCGTGGGGGAGAGGTTCGTTGAAGTATGTGATATGTGACGAGAGGGTAACTTTGAAGCCCACTTCTAAACGACTGAACCAACAAACTTGTATCAAAATGATACGGGATCCTGTATTGTTCGGGTCTCTTTACACGTGCGTGGGTACCGTATCTGCATAGTAAAACAAAGGAGATAAAAAGTGCCGTTCTGGACCGAAGCCGAACTTGACTAACAGGTCTAGGACCTGCATTTAGGAGGTTTTCTTCCTGTTGGGGCTAGAATACTGACCTCTAGTATGCAGATAAGACACCCCTCTCTTGATTAGTCTGGTAATCTGTCTTTTTATTATGCTGGCGCCTATGACGGTTTGCCCGTTGACCCGGCTCGACCCGTACCAATGAATGATGTTTGTCGCTTATGGGCAACCAGACCAATCTGGGGAGAGAAGCGATCCATCTGACGTATGAGGGCCCTCCCCGCGTAAGACTAGTTGAATACTACTGTGCCGGATCTATTCCCACACTGCTCCAAGATCAGCATAAATATATCAATAAAGGAGAAAGCTTGGGAATCCTGATGATGTACGAGATGCTACGAAGCCGGAAGTATGTATGGAGCATAGAGCATATTATAGTTAAAGGGGGTGACGAAGTCCGTTTTAAGGAATGTCGTATAGGACGGGATCGAGAATCGGATCTATGACCTTTGGGGTATTCATTATCGATGTTATCATTTTTAGGACAATATCTAGATAGACAGAACCTAATTTGATTTGACGAATAAATCAACCTCATCAGCTTGATGGAAATATGTATGATATATTAATTTTTCAGGTTGATGACGGCGGATGACTCCGAATATATGAGCTGAAGACTTTGGGGCTGAAGATGACTAAGATGGAGTGGGATGAAGGTATGCCTGTGCTATGTATACCATCTAATTGACGCCAACAAATTCCTATCCCATAGCCTTGCAGAAGTATTGCATGATAGTGGGTTCATGGCGTAGGTAGTGTACACAACAAATAGCAAGTAGTATCGGAGTAGTGTCAGCTAACCTGCTAAGCTCAAAATCGACGCGGAGCCGAGCGTGTTAGAATGAAGTCCGTCAGGATAGATGGAAGTTTTCAAGTCGTCATTGGTTCAATATTGAATATGTCAAGGGGCTGCCGTAGCGAAATTGGTACAAGATTAGGCCATGTTAGGTCTGGGGGCGGCGGGACGGATGATGACTTATGGTACTTCGGGCTTACGTTGAAAGATGATTGGCCTTGGGTCTTAGATTTCCAGGGAAAATATGGAGACAAAGCATAGCGCGGGTGGGGCGGGCTGAGAAAATGACGATACTTCATACGTCATGAAGCATTTATTCTGATCGGGGGTTCCCCAGTTAAAGTGACCTGAAAGACTGAAAGAGTCATGGATTATGTTCAAGGATCCAACCATCATCAAATCCCGTTTCTTGTTGACTTTTTTTCTCCAAGACAAAAAAGAAAAGAAAATCATGGATTACATACCATGGTATTTCTTCGACAACCCATCCCGTGTTTTACTACCCAAGTATTTTTTTCGCATTTGTAAATTGTGACCGGATCTGGCCAATATGAGATAACAACCCCCCCCCTTTGCCCCCTGCACGTTTTCTCCCTTTCTTGAACCTCGACTTTTGGACCCTTTCAAGGTCACGTTTGCCAAGGCTGACAAATGAACAATTGAATAAATGAGTCGGGTGACGTACCGTAATCCGAGTCGCATTGCTTCAGGTACAACTATACAAGGATACATATAGGTATACATACCTATCATAAGTAAGTGTTTTATGCATCTCAACTGCTGGGTAATCCGTACATATGCCATACATATACCATACATATGTACGGATTATTAGATGCTGTATTAGATGTTGTAATCCATTTTCACAAGCTACATACATATCTATATGTACGTCTTTTTACTTAAATAGGAATCAGGAACCGGAAATGAATAGATGCACCTGAATAGCCTCCTATGCCGCAACAACATGCAAAGAAGACAGACTTATGACTCTTGAAATTACAAGTAACTATTTATGTTTGTATGACTTTCAATGTTGACCCAATTCGAGGTACATTATTATGTACAGTAACATTACTAGTAGAAGACATTTGATTCTTTTAGGACAAATACAATGTAGATCATTGTTACCTTCTCGTCACTGTCACAAGTACAGTACAAGTTGTAGACTGCCCTGTCTGCCCGGTTGCCTTACCGTTACAAGCCCAAGTAAAAGCCTACAACCATCTCCCCACATAGGATCATAGAATTACCAATGGATCACGATATGACATGACCTATATGTGGTCAAATAATACACATAATATCATCTTCATGTATGGCTTACCTACATTAGAAAGTAGATAGTGTAAAGATGAATGTTACGGTAGCCATTCGATCCCTCTCACATATCCTTTCGTCAATGGATCATCTTTACTCACATTAGGTATGTAGTATGTAGCTGGCGCCGTCTTGGCTGCGGATTTTCGAGTTTATTTGGTGGTGATATCGTACCTAATCTCCGATGTCGACTCAGGCTATGATGAAAAGCGTCATGCAAAGATACTGCAGGTATCTCTATTCGGATAAACAGTAATGAGAGGTCAATATTGGTAGAATTAATGTCTGTAAATAGTAAATAAGAGTATTCCGAATGGTAGTTTCTAATATATTAGTTTACAATATCTAATGATCGTAACAATTAATGAAGATGTAATCGGTAATGAATGAAATACTTCCAGGCCTCGTAGGTACAGTTTGTATATGTACAGTACATGAATTGCTTTACACCGAAACCTTCTATCCCCCCCCCACTTAGACGAATTATCCTGATTCGCCGCTTTGTTCTACCTCGTGCCAGATCAAGCAATTTCGGGGTCAGCCCGCATTCTACTACATAATGCAGTACATACATGAAGTACCTAAATACTTACATCTTTGTTCTGTTTTCTTTACCAAGTCTTGAACAGGTTTTGTCATCATAGAAGGTAAATTGTTTGATTTGTGTCGATTTTTCCTTTAATCAAATTCCGGATTTTCGGTACGCCCGCCTTCTATTCGTATCTTGCCGGTATCATGTCTTAGCCACCTTGCCCGATGAATGTTGTCTGTGGCAATGTACTTCGCGTTCGTTGATGTAAATAGGTACATATAAAAGTACCTGAGTACACCAAATATTCAATTGAAAGCCGCCTACATGTACCCAAGTAAAGCGCCCCCAGTCCCGGTATTTAGGTGGTAATGGAGGGGGACCCCCTGATAAAATAACAAAATAACAATTGGGAAAGTAAGGTACGCTAAGCCAAACTCACTACATCATCAGGCGACATCGATCTCGGATACAAGCTATTTCCTAGAAAAAAAGTACTAGGATACCACTGAAAAGTACTAGACTAGACTAAACAGGGCCTTAACCTTGTAAAATGGTACTAAATGTACGTAGTTGTTTCGATGTCGCCAGCCGTTAAACCACTCGCACAGTCGTCATCTTTTCCCACCTTTTTCTTTTCTTTCTTTTGATAATTCCTCCCACCCCAGGAAAGCCAGGAAAGCCGGAAGTCAGTCAACGTTGTCAAGAATCAGAAGAAGTTCAGAAGCACGACGTCGGGTCCAATTCCTTTTTACTCATCTCAGCCATTTGGGTTATTCATTTATTATTATTTTTATTATTTACTTTCTAACCCGGAGATTTTATTAGATCTGTGTTTTTGTTTTCATTTTCATTCTCACAACTTCTTCAACTTGACGACGTATCTAGATATACATACTCTATCCTACCCACTGCACTGTCTACCTCGGTTCCTTTTTGCTGCTATCATTTTGTATGAGAAGCGATTCTTATTTCTATTCGATTCACCAGCATTAAGACAGAAAAGAAGAAGAGACAAGCAAGCAAGCAAACAAACAAGACAAATCCCAGGAATAACCTAGCAGACCAGAGCAGTCTAGTCATTAGCCGCGCGATAGAACTTCAAGTCAACCCCGTATGCGTGTGTATATGTGATTTGCATTTATCAGCGAAAGAATCAGAAGAGAGGGAATATCCTACTACGTCTTGCATCTTTCTTCCGAGTCACGCCAAACCTACATTCATATTTCAGCTATTATTATCATTATACCTCTTCCAGACCTCTACCCGCCTTCATACATACAGCTCGCACGTACATACGTACATCCGTTCGTCTCGGTTACAAATCAAGACATCCCACTTCGATCGAATTGGATCCCCTACGGACAGACAACTAGACAACCTTTGGATTTCCTTGGATCGCACCTGGGTTACGCACATTGTCGAACGAACTAAAACATCATCGTCATCCGGCAGCTTCCCGACGTACGGTCCCTGTTGCTTACAATATTCAAGCATCTAGCATCTAGCATCCGGCTTACCTGCTTATATCCCTACCTCTTACCTAAGTACCTATTAGAACGGATCGAACGGGGCTTACATACGCATATTCAAGATTAGCTTGTGAACGACACTTGCTTCCCCATTTGGGTTTTTCTGGCCCGAACATTGAAACCAATTTTCAGGGGTTTGGAACCGGTGGCACCTCCAAATTTTTTGTCTCGCATAGCAGAGACACGGAGAGTGAGAGAGAGTTGCGTGTGCGTATGCGAGGAAGCAGAAGAGTTGGAAGAGAAAAAAAAAAAGCGGAAAGAATTAAATTATAGTTGGTCGTGACGTTTTATAAAACAAAAATGTCGACGATACAGCAACTTAAGAATTTCATCCGTCATGGTACGCATGCATCCTCCCTCTTGTTATTATTTCTTGTCGTTTCCTATACTTGTTTCGTCCTGATCTATTTTGCGCTGCCTCGCGCGTGTCCTGCCTTGACTTGCCTAAAAATACATTCATTCCCTCCACTCATATCCCTCGATGACTTGTTGTCGTGTACTTGTTTGCTCTTTACCCTCTCACAAACAAAATTACAAGTCTTTAAATTAAATTATCCTATTCGTTTACTTTCCTCTTTGTATTCCAACTCGCCTTCCCTTTTATTTTTCCCACGTTTTTTTTAAAAATCCCCTTGTCCACCACCATTTCCCGCCCTCTTCCCCCCCTCCAAATATCTCCATTCAATTTGCAGGCGACCAACCAGACATACAGCAGTACATACATACCCATATCGTGCACATGCACATGTCCCACTAACATCATCTACCTCAAATCAAACAGGCAAACAAGCCAGAGTGACCAACTACGAAGAAACTCCACGAAAACATGAATATTCCTCCCAACAAACTGCCGCGCAACAACAGAAAGCCATGGGTCACGTAAGCGAACCAGGCCACCCGGCTGGTAACGGTCAACGGAATAACATACAAGAAGCCTATTCGGCCCAACCTGGCGATACCCAAAATCAAAACCGAGTCGCGCAAGCTGACGCAGCCGCCGCCCATCATGCCGAGGCCAAACAAAATGTTTCTGGCGCTCATTCGAACAAGAGCAGGAGTAGTCGAGTAGATGATACCCACGCCGCCAAGATCGTACAAGAGGAAAACGAGAATAGGAATAAGTTTCCCAAGTACCCCGGCTTAGAACGTTGGGAATTATTGGAGAAGATGGGAGATGGCGCATTCAGCAACGTCTACCGAGCAAAAGATACTAAGGGTACTGTCGGCGAGGTTGCTATCAAGGTTGTCCGAAAATTCGAGATGAACAACATGCAGGTGAGTTTTCTGGCGGTTGATTTCTCATTGCCGACCATGACGTTTTTCTCTTCTGCTTTTTCGGTCGACGTTTTTCGTTTTATTTCCAGTAAAATAAAAAGTTTCCTTTTACCAACTCTTGGGGGTCGAACTTGTAGGGCAATAAACATCTTCATCCGGATTTCAAGAAGGTGCCGAAGGCAGCTGAGGTGCGGAGTTAATCCTTTCTTTTGTCATATTTCTCTAGTCTCTATCAACCGTACTCTCTCTTTCCGGTTACCTCTGACTCGCCTTCTTACACATGGTGGTGGTTTCTTTTGTCTCTCCTTTCCAAGTGTCACTTCATGCTTTGCACATTGCTTTACACATGCACGGGTATATCTACGAACAGAACTAACTGTTATTATAGCGAGCGAATATATTAAAGGAGGTTCAGATCATGCGACAACTGGATCATCCCAATATCATCAAGCTGGTTGACTTTTCGGAATCGAAGCAGTACTACTACATCATTCTAGAATTGGCACCAGGTGGAGAGTTATTCCATCAGATCGTACGCCTTACTTACTTCAGCGAAGAGCTATCAAGACATGTTATCGTACAAGTCGCAAAGGCTCTCGAGTACCTTCATGAAGAGAGGGGTGTTGTACATCGGTAAGTAACAAACAAGCGTCACATCAAGTCAGCCGCATACCTCAAACCCGATCTATACCCGCTTTATCGATGGTGCGATTCATCTGGTCGGTTCGGTTTAAGGGTGCATCGATGCATCGAGGCGGCTAAATTAGGTGACGGTGACGTCACCGAACCCCCCCAGATGTTCAGACCCTGCATCAGTCTACTGACATGTGAGTGTATAGTGACATCAAACCCGAAAACATCTTATTCAGTCCGATACCATTTGTTCCATCAAAGCAACCGAAGCCGAAACAACCAGGTGACGAAGACAAGGTTGATGAAGGCGAATTCATCAATGGAGTTGGTGCCGGAGGTATCGGTCAGATCAAGATCGCTGATTTCGGTCTATCGAAGATTGTTTGGGATAACCAAACAATGACACCATGTGGTACCGTCGGATATACGGCGCCTGAGATAGTGAAGGACGAACGATACTCCAAGTCTGTCGATATGTGGGCCTTAGGATGTGTACTATACACATTATTATGTGGTTTCCCTCCGTTCTATGACGAAAGCATCGAGGTTCTTACGGAGAAGGTTGCTAAGGGTCAATATACCTTCTTATCGCCTTGGTGGGATGATATATCTAAGTCAGCTCAAGATTTGATATCTCATCTTCTCACTGTCGACCCTGATGAGCGATATACAATCAAGGAGTTCTTGAGTCATCCCTGGATACAAGGATCCGGACCTACACCACGCGACGAGAAGAAGCAACTCAACCCAGATGCGTTACGCGCTTTCGATGCCGGACGTCTCATCGATGGTGAACGTCGCATGGACTTTAGGTCTCCTGGTGCTGTGAACTTACGTGAGATCTTCGACGTTGGTTACTCTGTACATCGACAAGAGGAAGAAGCGAAACGAAGGAAACAAATCGGCGCTAAGGGTGCTCCACCGGCACGACTGGCTGGTCTTCATGAAGATTCCGAAGAAGAAAAGTCGGATCCCGAATATGTCCACAAGGCCGATGCGCAATCACTTGAACAGAGTATGCGCAAGACGCATATTGGCAAGGAACAACAAGAACGTGGCCGAGAACGAGATCGACCTGCCGATAAAGAGCAAAAAGGCTATGGTCAACACAGCGCTACTGTTGCTCAAGCTGCTCGCCAACAGGTCAGAGATCGTAACAAGCAACGAGGAGCATTCGAACTCAATCTCGACGGAGCAACATTACTTGGAAGACGAGCCGGAAAGGCACCTCCTACTGCTAGTGTTGGTGGCTTATAGGATAAGGCGAACGACGAGCGGGAGGATGAGTACAAGCAAGGTTGAGCATAAAAATGGTGTGGACATTTTCGAGGCTGTGAAGAAACGAAAGTACGAAGGTTGACGACGTTATTTATTCGATTCGAAAAGGGTTTTCGAGTCAAGTTCCCTCATATCGGCGTGTAGGATGGTGGTACTGGGAGATTTCATCGAGGCGTGTGGCATCGGCTTGAATGAGCAATATGGGAGTTTTTTGTGACCATTGTTTTTTATCGCATCCGATCCGTAACGCTTCACACATAGGGCCAGGCGTTCCCGGAATCAAGAATACATACTTCGCCTTTCCTCAATCGATAGTGGTTTAAGTGAATGATATTAAAATAGTACTATCCTTTCATTCCTTTCATGGTGATACTGGATTGTGGCGTTATTGTCGCGGACCCCTCCCTACCTGCTCCCTTACTAAATCGACCACGCGTTTCCTATCTTTACACCGTATTGGGTTTTTGCGTGAGCTGACCTGACTACAGATAAAGCCTAGAACATGGACTAATTAAGCGATTGAAACGACATGCCGATATCTCCCTCGCCACAGGGCCAACTTCAACCATGCTGGCGCGAATATTGTGTTTAAGGGGTGGTAGATTCGGCTCTATTCTTCGAAAGTCTTTCCAGCGATGTCCTTCAATAAAAGGTTACCTCAATTTGTCTGTATAAGAAGCTGTCGATCATCCACCCTGAGACGATTTTAATTCACAAGGGCATTCGTTTCTACTCTCCCTCTTGCATCCTTTCACATCACCCCTAATAAGTAATACAAAGTCGAATTAACAGCCTTAGCCTATCATTATCATATAACAATTGATACTATACAATTTTAATCCATATTTTCGGCGTCTAATACACCTGGAATTATCATACACCTCACCCATACATAACCTCTAATTCACAATATTTAATCCAACTTCTCTTGTCCTGACGAAGAACCAACAAATTCGAACCATCAACAAAATATATCAAAAGAAATGGCGACATCCCTTACAAACTTGGGGGTCCAATACATGCCCTCAACAGGAGGGTGTATGGTCGACTTAGCCGCTATACCACCAGGCATGTTCGATTCTTGTAAGGCTATACACGTCAAACTTCCCGAAGAGCAACATCAGATAGATGTCCATTCGAATATGATATGTATACAACCCTCAAAATCGGTGTCTGCGCCCTATCGCGAACAATATTTGTATCCCGACGCCTCGCCTCCCCCGTTAGCTACGAATTCACCAAAGGAACGACCAAAAGAGCAGGTACAAGAAAAACCTCCACCCCCAAAGCCGGAAAGCCCTACGGAAAGGCCCCAACCTGCGAATAATGGCGGTAATGAAGACGACGGTGGTCCGAATAACCCCGAGAGGTCTAATATGCCGGCCGAACATCCCGAAGCTCCATCGCCGACGATACAGACCTATGTTAGACCAGCGCAGTCTACTTTGCTTACTACTTGCACCTCTATGGCTACTCATTCTCAAGTCACCTATATATTACAGTCATCAATTTTGGTTCATTCCCCAACTTCGTTCTCTACTATCACTTCTCACCTTTCTAGAGTTTCCAACACCCCAGTAACACATTTCTCCACCATCTCAAGCCCCCCATCCACCATAACCATCACGCCAACCCCCACACCCCTCCCGGAGCGTCCCGCAACCCCACCACCCGCCCCAGCGGACCCCGAACCTCTTCCCTCATACTGCGGCTCCAGCTACGTAAAAATGGACATGACAACCATCGAAACAATGGACACCCACGACTTCGACGTATACCTCGACCTACTCGGTCTCGGCTCCCTAGGTCTAGACCTAGAACACGGGATCAGCGGTCTAATCGACAGTCTCCTAGGCACCGACTCTAACCCCGACTCCGAGCATACACGCACCGTGCATCAAGAACTCGAGCACTCATATCGCGTGCTCTGCAGTGTGGATGATCCGAATCTAGACTTCAGCGTCGAGCGTGCTGAACGTGTAGCTACGACAGATTCGCAGAACCTGTGTCTGGAAGAGTGTGAGAAAGATGCCGTGGCTAAGGCGAGGGATGGGGAGGTTAAGGATTGTCTAGGCGCGGCTTGGCATCGGAGTTTGGAACATGATAATTGTCGTTTTTGGACGGGAGAAGACGAGCTTTTACCGGTTGAGAGGATGATGGGGGAGAAAGGAGGAGAGTGGGATTTGGTTTATTTATAGTATGGGTTGGGAGGTATGGGTATGGATGGAAATAGGGGTATATTTGGGTATTCAGCGATTCTTATGGATGGGCGTTGCTGGGATATTTAAGAAAAGTAGTGATAGTTTTTAATGTTAATGTTTTTTGCTTCTTTATCATGATGGGGTCTTACAATGGTTCAGTCTAGGACTGATCTCAGTATAGTCTTAATGCGGTCCCAATATTGGCGTGGAGAATCGCGGGATATTGCCTCGGAAGGATGTTGTGAAATAATATTCTATTTAGATATAAACTAGACATTGAACCTCTCCGACACTATTACGACTCCTCCCGTCATCTATGCTACGTGATAGCAAGGTATGTAAATATTTTTACACCTCTTCATAAGCATAAGCCCCACGTCCAACAGCAATCGTCTACACCATTAGCCATGCGTAGGCGGTGGCGAAGCAACCCTCATAAAATCGAAATCCGGGTTATCATATCCACCACCCTCCTTCCACGTCGATGCATATGGGGCATAATAATCCCAATTAGACGAAGTGTTCAATCCCAACTCAGCCCATACGAACAGACCATCCTTTAGATCCCCACCGAGCATGATATAGTTCGGGAAGGGATCGTAATCAGCCGTCGCCGCGTATCCCGTGAACCAATCCCGTAGGTTCGTCGTATGTGGGATGGTGTTATCCTTATACGGCGCGGTAGCTTCGATCGTGTCGCGTAGAGTCTGGTCGAAGAACAATTGCGAGAGATGGGCTACGTTACCACCGGTATACGTCCCATTCTCGAGAACCTGGGAGCCGACGTGAGCGATCAAGTGCTGGTGAGTAGCGCGACCCGCGTAGTGACCTGGGAAGATGGTGTCAAAGCTGACAACGCCGTCTTCATCGGTAGGTTGAACACCACGCAGATAAGTAGTACCAAGACCACCCTCGCCACGCGCGCTAACACCACTGTATGCGCCGGTCGCATTACATGACCAGGTGTCGACGAGGATCTTCGTAGCCGGTTTGCAATCTTGAACATCGATAAATTGGAGTTCGAGGTGTAGAGGTACTCCTACGACATCTTCTACCACGTCACTACGGATATGTTCCTGATAGACGAAGTAAGGACCGTTGGCATTATCGGGAGTCAGCACACAGCTGGTGTTGGTCCCGAAGATTTCCTTGTTAGGCGTTTCCTTGTTGAAATTGAAGGATCCTGTCTTGTTGTGTGATAGGGCTGCCCATTTTTGAAGCGCTGCGGCATCACGGCGATGAAGCCAGGGGGCTGTTAGAGATGCATTAACTAGGTTGTCTCAAAATAATTCCCGGAAGTTCTGCTTACCATTGTCGATACCCCTTTCGCGACGAAGTCGTGCAAAAGTCTCTGCTCGTCGAGCCACTAGAGATCCGGGTTAGTAAGGTCTGACTAAAATTCAGGGGTATGTTTGTTTAATATCTTCCTCATCATACTACCTAAAGTAGCAGTAAATTTCTATTTTCTTCGTAGTATGACTGAAAAGCGACAAGGAGGAGCTTCAGATATACTTACTAGCACGGTCCTTGCGAGCCTTCACCTCAGGTGAATTATGGCACGCCTCTAAAGCCCTCGCATTCATCGTAGAGACAACATGGGCGTTACCCATCTCCTCCATAGCCTCACGCTTCCCATACTTCTCCCCCGGATGTCCGAGGACCGTCATAGGGCTCAACGATAGAGCTACGGCCAATACGGCCGCCACCGAAGGTACGAACACCATCTTTCGAGTAGATCTTTCTTACGAAGTGACCTAGGTAGTCCCAACGGAGAAAAAAAATCCCAAGTCCCTTAGGAAGAGAATGAAAGGGATAACCTCCTTTTTAGCCATCGAAATGCTGAGCGTAAAGCTTGTCAACGGGACATATCGGGCTCATCAACACCATTGCTCCATCGAGACCGCCAAGAATCACTGTCACGGCAGACATCATTTTCTATGGCAGCAACGCCGGCAATCAGTATCAAGAAAAGAACTAATCTAATACATAACTGATATGAATCGTGCTATAGTATCCCCGCAGAAATTTTCTTTGGCTCCATTTCTCATTAGGATACCTTAAAAAGAAGCAGAATTCGGTTTTGCACCATCCTATCTATATCTAGGTAAGCATTTTTCGATGTTGGGTTCGTCTTTATCCGGTCTTGGACGCCGTGGGCTGTACCAGATGAAATAGGATAATTTCTCGAAGATCCCTGAATTTTATTCATCTGACAGCAGTCAAAGAGCCAATTCGAACGACCTAGTTAGGCTGTCGAATGAGGCTAAAATCAATCGCATTGCAAAAACAAGTCCCCTAATAGGTCGAAATGTACCCCGGACTTCGTTTATACCCCAGAGATTATCTTCGCTTTAAATCCCGCCCTGCACGCCAATGGGCTTACCCTGGTTTATATTAAACTTGCATGCGTGCTCGCCTTGAGGGTATAATCGAGATCTCCGAGGTTTCTGATTGGATCATATTTGGCTGGGTAGGGTGAAAGGTAGGACAAGATCAAATACCGCTCCACAAGAACGGATGTCGGCATCGAGTCACGTTTTTGGTATCCTCTGCGACCCTTATCCCGTGGTGTTGGTTGATTCTTGGCTTGGTATATTTTCAGAAATTGATCATCGTATGGTTAGTAAAAACTTCCCACATATATATGCTCGCACTTTGTAACTCATTACAATAATCGCCATGTATGGATCAGCCTAAATATAAAGAGTTTCCTTAACGCAATAATAATTACCTAAAGACGACTCAAGTTCAATAAAACATATTGCGAAAAAATCCTCATGAATACTTACCAATTATTACCCCTTGATTTGAATTGATTTGAATTGACCCCGGAGCTGTTACAGCCGAGAATGCAAGTGTCTTATTGTGGGTTCGGTAAGGTCATTAAAAAATCTCTATATATATTAGTGTGCTGCGGCAGATCCACGAGGCGGATGGTGTAAGATGACTTACCTACTATGTATCTAAAATAGTAAAAAAACAAGCTTAAAAGGAGTTGAGTTAAGTATACCTGGTATGTATCTGGCATGTATCTACTTACATATGTATGTAGGTACCTAGGTAGGCATGTGAAGGTAGCGTGTAATATGCGAAGATAAGGGCACGGATGGTATGAAAAGACTGGAAAGCCAAAAATTGGATTGTTCAAAACGGCTTCTAACTAACGCTTGGATGAATGCTCGCCACATGATACATCCCACGTAACGTCTAACATCCATTACCCAAGGGCGATTCAACAAAATCAAAGCGTATTATCCAATCATCTTTCCTAATGCAAGATAGGTCTAGTCTCCTTAGTTACCACCTCAATCTAGGATTGAGTTGGGTTGATTAATAAGAGATCACATGATTTAAGCGCCGTTTCCGTTGTATAGGACGGCGTTAACGGTACCGCTTGGGATACCGGTAAGCTTACCGGTGGTGTAAAGAGCCTTGATGCGGTTGGTGACAGCAGCGGGGGTGGAAAGACCCTCAAGGGCGATCAGGTAAAGGGAGAGACCGGTGACGTGGGGGGTAGCCATGGAAGTACCAGAGATGGTGTTAGTGGCAGTGTTGGAACCGATCCAAGAGCTAAGGACGTCAGTGCCGGGAGCGAAAACATCGACGACCGAGCCATAGTTGGAGTAGGTAGCGATGGCCCAGTTCTTGTCAATAGCACCAATGGTAAGAGCATTGGCAGCAGAGGCGGGCGAGGTTTGACCAGCATCAGTAGCACTATTACCGGCGGCGACGACGGAAAGGACACCAGAGCTGTAAGCAGAGTTGACGGCATTGTTGAAGGCAGAAGAGAAGCCACCACCTAATGACGATATGATCAGTTGGGTGATCGATCATAAGGACTTTTCCAAGTTATATGAAGAACTTACCTAGAGACAAGCTGAGAGCGGACTTGCTTTGACGACCCTTGCTGGTGACGTCGTTAACAGCCCAGCTGTATCCATCCAAGATGATTGAAGTGGAACTGCTCTCGCCCTGGAAGACCTTGACAGCAACGATGGTAGCTTGCTTGGCAACACCGTAGGTGGAACCTATAACTCAAATTAGAGATGGAAATTTGGATGTGGGGTGGCTAACTTACCTCCGATAGTACCGGCAACGTGAGTACCATGACCTACGGCATCGTCATCGCTGCCACCAACGGCGTTGTAGCCAACTGAAGCACGGCCACTGAATTGCTGGTGGGTAGTAAGGAGACCGGTGTCGATGATGTAGGCGAAAGTGCCTTGGCCAGCTGAGCTATCGTAAACATAGGAAGTGGAGCCAGAAGCCTGGTGAGAGACAGTTCCAAGACCCCATGTGGCTCCGGTTTGGGTAGTGAGAGCTCTCTTGGAGACTTCGGGAGCCTCATCGTAAAGGTGCCAAACCTGGTCCTCCTCAATCTCGGCGACCTATTATCGGGTTAGCCAATGCGATACTAAACGTGGAGTGTGAACGCTGATCATTGATAGTAGATGTCTCGAAAAATAGAGCTAGAATGATTTCTATAAAAATCGCTTCCGCCTCTGATGTTTAAGACAGCCAACACACAACGGACATCCCGTTATAGGGTGTTCGACATACATCAGCGCTGTTCTTGATTTGCTCAAGAGTCTCGTCGTCGAACTCGCCAGCGTAAGCGCTGAAGTTGTGGATTTGGTACTCGTGCGAGACACCGACAGTGTCACGCTTGCCCAAGCTTCGGGCATGGACATCGCGAGCCCAGTTCAAGTGAGACTTGAAGTCCTCGTTGCTGATACCCTCCTTGAGAGTAACGATGTATTTGCCGGGGATGATCTCACGCTTCTGCTGAGCGGCAGGAGTAGGAGCGGCAAAAACGGAAGGGAGCAGAGCTCCGATGAAGAGCGCGAGGCGGCGGAGGTTAGCCATTGTTGAGGATGGTATGAAGTTGAAAGATGGATAACGGTTTGTCAGTTGGGGCTGGTTATTATTCAAGATAAACTAAATCAAAGCGATCAGAGCGGCTTATATAGACTTTCTCAAGGCTTGTTGGAATTCAAAGCGTCGTGCTCGATGGCGACACAATATAGCCCATATTACGAGATAGCACGGCGTACTATAAAAAAGGGCCCTCAAGGTATACAAAAGATGATCCAACTTCCTGATCAGCGTTAGGAAGCCATCTTAGAATATGAAAAAGCCTGGATAGGGGGTCACGACGCGATTCGAAATAAGGAAGGAGAAATAAGAAATACATGCGGACCCAAAGCTCAAGGGCGCCTGTAAGTGGTGGCTGGAGCTTATTCAGGAGCAATACATAACGGCCATAACTTGGAATGATATCCAACAGTTGAATGCGGGTGGACGCCGAATGGACGACGAATACCTTGGCAATACTACTTGGATGCCAAGTGATGAAGCTGAGAGTAGGCTAGCAAGTACAGTGCCGCCGTACGATATGCAAGCAAGGCCAGCGGCAATCATAGTTGGGCCGAGGTGCGGTTGCTATGAAGACGCCGGATGGTGTGATGGGGGTTCGCTAGAAACGAATCGCTACATCACTACAGATGAAGTCAGCCGCATACTGTAAGTCGTGCCGGATCCACAGGGTCTTGGCGGGTCTTCTCCTCGTAGGAATTTCTGTCGTCCAGCCCAGCCCTATACCAGCTGCCTTTAGTAAAGATCAGCTATGAGTATATGTCAAATAGCGGGTGAAATTCGTAAGAGTAAATAGTAGTGTGCAGTGTTATCCGTGCTTCGATATCAAGAAACGTTTGTTAAATTCAAAGTAGACTGGTCACCGGCTACCGGCCCCTAGTTTGTTACTCGAAATCTGGTGGGCATTATTAGCCCCGGCATCAAACCCCTGAGCTTAAGGTCTAGACTGGAGGATTGAGACTTCATCAACCATGATACTCATGATACATACCTCCTAGGTAGACCCTAGGTACTAGGTAGACGCTTGTAATGTCCACTTGGACCACTTAAACCTAGGATATCATCGGATGAGAATGGCAAGGTCGACATGACAAAGGACCTATGTTGAACCAATCTTGTCGCCTGTTTGACCAATCATAGTTCATAAAAGATGTCCTCAGATGCTTATCTGAACGGGGCGATTGGATGCCAACTCAATCTTGGCGCTGTGAGCTTGGGGAAGGTCAAGCTTTGAGTAAGCTCGTGAAAAGCGACGGGGGTGGTGGAGTGAGCGCCGGCAGAGAGCTCGGACGGCGAGAATAGCTCGGGAGTTGGGACAAGACAAAAGAACTCGGAGATCAGGTATGTTAGGCACATCTGACTGATCTCTCCGCCAAGACGAGCCGGGCTCGGACAGGCACCCCATGGTACCCATGAACATACGGAACGATGTAACTCGGGTAGTCTTGGATCAACTTCACAGCTGCCGTTTTCGTAAGTCGACCCCCGATATAGATGCATGACGTTCATCTCGACGGAATGGCGCGAATATATGCGTACGTTTGCGTGGGTTCGCTGCGCATGTGCGTGACGATGTTACGCTTGTTACCTTACCGCCTACTTTAGATGACATCGTGATACCTGCAGATTGCGACAGCGCGGGAGAAGGCGTAAGACCAGGCTACGGTTCTTGATGCCTGGAAGTTTCTCTCGTAATAGAAATATTGATTTCCAGTCAGACCTCAGGGTTCGCGGCGCCGATGCGATGTCACATTACTCGGATGTACCGGTCTCGTGGACTACCAGGTAATGTAGATAGCCCACCTTTTCGAATAGACACGCGACTGAGATTTTGTAGGATTGTTTACATTTGATAAGATGAAATAGGTGGTGTAATTAAGATATTAGATGACGAAAGTCAAATAGAAGGGACGAAGGGAATATTCAAGCGATAATTATAGGATAGGCGAGTATCTGGGTACCTAGAAACGAGTATTGAGTCCGTGTTGGTGGTCTTTTGGTGGAAGAGGGTGAAGTTGTTTTTGATAGGTTCTAGATAGTGGCAATGGTAGTGTAGATTATTTTAGATTAACGTCGAAAATGGTTGAGATTGGGGTAACACATGAGCTAAACTTTTAAGGTTAACTTAGGCAGCCCCTCTAAACCAATACAATTCTTTACATGTACCTATTCCGTCAGGTGTCAAAATCTCACATAATTCTCCGATGTAAGATCCAATCAAAATATAATTATCTATGAATTGGATAGCATACCAACTATTTCCTATCGAACTTTGGAGAATGTTTTTTGAGCCTTTTCAAATTATTTGACGTAATAGTTGGAGGAAAGAGTGGCCGAAATGTAGGGGGCCTGTACTCCTCTGTATATGGAGATACGTGGGGTATCTCGGGGGTATCTTGCAGTATCTTCGCAAAAAGCAACTTTGTAACTTGTGATACCAACCGATGCAGGTTCATTTGTATACACGCAGCCTACAGGTAAATCTTTACTCGCCCATTAGTGCGAGTGAGACATACAGAATCTATTACCGCGGGGCTTCAGGACTTCGGAGTTACTTTGTGTTATGAATGGCTTAGTAACATGACCCAGACAACTTAAAGAAAAGGTTCATCGAACAAGACTGGTTTTACATGGTTAGATAGAATTATACGAAGAATGGTAAAGTGACATCTAAGGAATAGAATGTTATCGAATTTGGATAATGCCACCAAGTTAAAGAAGATTTAGTAGGCTATTGGGGATTGGCTTTCACCGGTTACCTTCTGCGGCATCCCGTCGTAAATGTGCCTCGGTGTAATATGGATCCTATATGGATCACACCGTGCTTGTATGTACTTTTCGGCTCGAAGTACATAACCTCAAGCCACAATATACATATGTACCTTGCTTTTATACCTGCTGCGCTTAATAATAGCCTGCTTCCATTCCCCAACAGTGTATCCCACCGTAGCCGATTACCTGGAATGGAGACTATTAGATGGGATGCCCCCCTTTCATAAACGTTTATTAGCACTCCTAGTCTAAATTGAGGTAACACATGGTCTATTAAGAATTTGACAACACGTATTGAAGAGTCGATGCAGATAATCCCAGGGGAAATTAACTCGAAGGTAGATCGTCGTATATATAAAACCCGTGGACGCCAGCGATCTGCGATGACCTAGCTATTTGAATCCAGCCATTAAAATGCAGTAGGGGTAGCTAGGGATGACACGTGGTTCGCTGGCTGGGTAGGTACCTTATGTCAATGTCAGTACTTATTTCATAACCCAATTAACTTAGCACTTGTGTATTGACGATTTGACTTTTAATATGTAAATGATATCATTCTAAGGTTTGGTGGTTTTCCCAAATCATCTATTGGCATTAAATATGCTCACCTACATAGGTAATGTGTTGGTTGTTGTTAGGATGGACAGCTTGTATCTTTTTCTAGCGTTCAAATGTCTTTAGGGACGGATATCTCGGTGTGTATTTTACCGGCGTTTAAACGGACCCCACCAATGCTACATGTATTACCTTATTATCCCTTGTTTCTTAGCAGCGTCATCCCTAATCCCTAATACCTAATACCTAGCGGCTCTTTTAGCGGCCTTGCCTAGATTCGACGCCGGGAACTTGGGAATAATGGAACTCCAACTTGTTCTTTTAACCAAATTAGGAACAATGATCTTGACGCGTTTCACGACGTAGTTCTGCGCCGACACTTCAATTTTAACATACCAACTTATTGATGACTTTAGACTTGTCGTGATGATGCCGGTATTGTCATTGCCTTTTTATTGTAATTTTATGTAAATTATTTTCAGCCTTCCGTTGCTGTTACGTCGTTAATAACGCTACTACATGATAACGATGTCCAACCAGGGAGGTATGTATCCTATTCCACTTTATTTTCAGTCGAAATCCTCTTTGTGACTTTATCTTGACTTGCTAACTCGAATTCTATCATTCTAGAGCATTCCTGGGCATCAATTCCCACTGATCAGCTCATTGCCGAACTATCGCGACGACATGGCGGAAGCAATTCCATGGCTGCCGAGAAGCCGGCTTGTGGTTCAGGAGATCGCGGTGCATATGATACCCCGTTACACATTTTTGCCCTATTCTTGATTCTCACTCTTAGTATTCTCGGTAAGATCCCGAAGTGATGATGGGATGTCTACTTCCACGAGTCAACTTAGCTGATGATCATGGGAATATCTAGCCTGCGGTTTTCCTCTCTTCTCCCGACAATCTGCCAAAAGCCGTCGAGCCAACACTATCGTCTTCATTAGCCAACATTTCGGTACCGGTGTCCTAATCGCGACCGCCTTTGTCCATCTACTTCCGACCGCTTTCCTCTCCCTAACCGATCCTTGTCTTCCGCCTCTATTTAGCGAAGGATATCAACCTATGGCCGGATTTGTTGCAATGGTATCAGTTTTGGTTGTTGTAACATTGGAATCTTACCTTACGACAAGGGGTGCCGGCCATTCTCATTCTCATAATCATGCCTGGGAATTCGAAGACGATGATACCGATGGATCAAACCATAATGGCCATACAAATGGTGGGTTAGCAGCTAAGAGAGCTACCAGTCATCGTCCCGCGGATATTGCCCTCAACGATGTCGGTGCTAGTCAAGGCCTCATGGCAGATGTTTCACCACTTCCCGAATCTACGCCTACTATCGTCACGACATCACCTGATAAGACTAGAAGTTTTGGTCGTAATAGCGAAGACAATGACGAGGATCTTGATCTTAACTTAGACGAACTCGACCCTAATAACGACGATGACGCAAGACCCCTTACACATATTGGAGGAAATGGCCATGTGGATCGACATGTTGAATCTACAGCGATTCAAGGTCCTCCTACAGCTGAGGAACAAAAGCGACTGATGCTTCAATGCATGCTACTGGAGGCTGGTATTCTATTCCATAGTGTGTTCATAGGCATGGCTGTATCGGTTGCCACTGGCCCTCCGTTTGTTGTCTTTCTCGTCGCCATCGCCTTCCATCAAACATTCGAAGGTCTTGCTCTAGGTTCTCGTATCGCCGCGATTCAGTTCCCACGCGCCTCCGTGCGTCCTTGGCTCATGGTTTTGGCATATGGGCTTACTACTCCCATTGGCCAGGCCATTGGTCTCGCCGTACACAGATTGTATGATCCTCTCAGTCAGACAGGTCTGCTTATGGTTGGTTTTATGAACGCTATCTCGAGCGGCCTTTTACTATTCGCGGGTCTGGTACAACTTCTCGCCGAAGATTTCCTTACCGAGAAGAGCTACAAATCACTAAAGGGTACGAAACGGAGAAACGCAGGCCTGGCCGTATTTGCGGGGGCTATGCTCATGGCTTTAGTCGGCGCTTTCGCGTAATGACCTCGCCAACTATTTACGAATTTGATTTTTAACGACGGCGTTTTCGGAAAATTATAGGAAAGGGTGTATTTGCAAGGTCGCAAAGGTTGCATGAGAGCTATAGATGGTTTCTCCCTAGATACTCTGATATTTCACTTCTCCATAGGTCATTTTACTCTAGGAAGCCGATTTCAGGACTTGGGGCGTTATGGTCAAGTCACATCATTGATTTTCGTGTAGATACCAAGCACAATTGATTTTGAAGGAGTCCCTATTTTGCCAGCATGGATCTTTTTACATAATGGAATCCCTAACACGTCCCAACACCGTTTTTTTATGAATCAAGCTGCCTTGGGAACTGCTGTGGCCCAAGGATATGTCGTCGTCATCGGGGAGCCGTAGCTACCAAGGTCGTTATAATCTTTGGTGATGGTTTGATTCTGAAGAACCTTTGTTACGAAGGGAAGAACACTGTTACTGTGGCAGAAGTTAGCATCGAAATTAATCAAATTGACAGAAGGCTAAGGAACTCGGAGGAAGCAAAAGAGAAAAGGCGAGTACTTACAATCCACTCATATCGCAATGACCACCACCACGAACAGACATCGCAATCTGATCGCTAACACCTAGCCAGTCATATACCAACTTAGCAGCCGGATACACCACAACAGCAGTACCCTTCGAATTCGTGAATTGATCACCAGTACCCTGATCGATAACGAGGGCACGAGGCGCGATAGCAGCAGCGATGGTATGAGCGTCGTATGGCAAGTTCTCGGCGTGGTTAACGAAAGTGCCCAATGTCGCATCCGTCCACCAGCCAGCACCACTCTTACTGTTCTCTAGCGTCTCATCCTGTCCACTTAGTCCATGGTATCGGTACGGCCCTAATCCTTGTACTCCGCTACTCATTGGCATCGTCAATGTGATACGCGTATCGAGGAGACCAGCTGCGAGAGCTGCTTTACCGAGACGTGAACATCCTGTTACGCCGACGCGTGTGCTATCGATTTCGGGGACAGTAGCGTTGAGCGCGTCGAGAACACGGTGGAAGCCCCAGGCCCATGCTGTAAGGACGCCTACAACAAATCGAATTATTAGCTCCGCAACTTTTTTCCGAAATACTCTTTACTTCGGGTATTCTCGGCACGAGATGATAAACAGAACATACCGATATCCTCGCCCTTATAAATATCCCAGAACGCCCCCGTCTTAGCGTTACTATCGGCCGCGACGCGGGTATAATCGAAGCCGACGACAGCAATACCGGCTTGTAGGTACGGTTGGTTGGTCATGCCGCCAATGTTGATGACCACAGGAGCCGGGCTAGCCGAGGGCAGGGCTAGTGTCGCGCTGAATTTGCCCGTCTTTCCGCCCGCCGTTACTTCGATGTTGACCGTGTTACCGCTTCGTGTCGCCTTGACCGTTTCCTTTGAGTGGTCCGGGTAGTAACCGTATCTACCATTTCATCGTCAGATTTTGGGATAGTCGTTACCGTTGGAGGACGAGGAGACTATTCCTTCTCTGTTTAGAACCAAGCGATGCTAGCGGACTTACTGGTACTCTTGCAACATCTGTAGGATCTCGGGTTGTCGGCATTGGTACCACTCTTCAGGAGTTTGAATTCGGTTCTTTCCCTTTCCTGCCATCACATCGGCCGGGAATGTCGCTGCGTCACCACCTTCGCTATCGGTCGTCGTATATGCTAGCGGTAACCAAGGATCCGGAAGTGTTGTCTGCTTTGGAAGCTGCTGCCATGTGGGATACTTCCCCGCGGACGGAACCGGAGCACATTCGGCTCTCGGAGCTACCGGTGCTGCTGCCGGCGCTGGCGCTGCGGGAATTGCTGCTCCTAACCATGGAAGAACGACGGCGCCGACGATAGCGGCACATTTAGAGAACGACATGTTGGGCAACGGTCCCTCTACATTAAACGCGAATAGAAAATGCTAAGGGATCGAGAACATAAGTTCATAAGAACCTCTTGGAGGCTACAAAGAGTTAATATATGATCCCATCGCCCTCCACGCGTGAAACGGCGAGGTGACATCGGCCTTCTCCCGGAACCTGGGCCTCCTTGCCGTACATCGATATTGCCGCTACCCCGAGATAGCTAACCGGGTATTTTTGGTAACATGATTGACTTATCCTGGAGTTGATCAATGTTTGATATTTTTAAATCTCTATCTGTTGATAATGCTTTCCTATCATTTTTTCATTGCATTAATAGGTTTTCGATCATAATTAGGCCACCCTTTTCACCGGTCGTTTCTAGAAGTTATCTACCTATTAGAAGTTGTCCCGTTGGGTTGGTCAGAGGAAAATGAACCCATTCCGGAAACTAAATCAAGCCACCTGTTGACATCTTGAAAGATATCAAGAGGCTAGACCCTCTAGGGTGATATCAAGACTTTAGCCGGCGAACCCCAATACGGTTATCAACATACCTAGGGTTGAACCGAATGTGGGGAAACTATTTTTAATAAACGATCAGCTAGAATTCACCTATTCCATTCAACATTGTACACCTAAACTCTTTGTTGGGGTCGTACATATCATTTTATGTCATCTAACATCACGATCCTGCTTAGTCATGTAACATTGCTACGATCATTAGTCATCAGTTGGAAGGTTACTCTCGGGGATGTCACGTGATCAACTACAACAATCGAGACGATTCCGACAATCAAGAGGCCAGAAGGCACAAACTAATATATGTATCGGGTTTATATTCAAGTATCTAGGCGTTTCAATAACCAGTCATGTTCAAGCCTCATTTCGATACTATACAAACGACAGTGTGATCTAGTATACATGAATGACCACAATTCTAACATGTGAACGCGCTATAAAAACCAACAAAACGCTCTGGCCCTGACATTTCCAATTCAGAGGAGTTTCCTAGGAAATGGCTGCTCTCGAGGGTTGTGAAACTTCGAAAGTTAATCTCGGCTCCTCGTTCTGTATATAGGATAGACTTACATGTATCACTTATGATACTAGATCCGAAGTATGAGGTGTTCGGGAACCGAGCCGGCAACTTGGATATCTCCAAGAGCGGGTTTGGTCGTATTCTCCGAAGTTTTTGCTTCATTGATGGTTTATTCGTACCTCGGGCCACTTATCGAGACTGAAACCCTGGTTCTGTCCAGGGTTGTCGGGTGTTCATCGACATTCGCTATCGCTCTTTGATTCAAAGCCGTCGCTTCCTTTTTTTTTTTTTTTGACTCCAAGGAAAGCCTCATGTAGCCTTCGGAGTTACTGTGTTTTGTTGATTCGATAGACTTTTCGGATGGAAGGCGTATGGTGGGAAGGCTAGACGACATCAAGAGGGTATGAAGTTTAAACAAATTGGCTAGTCGAGATCCATCGAGAACCAGTATTGCGGATAGTCTGGAGTCCAATCCATCTCGACCGGATATGTAAATATCTCGAGAGGAGCGTCCACCATCTCGATGTCAGGATCGACATCGTCTATGTCTGTCATCTCCACATCGTCGTCTTTCGGGGACCCATATGTGGTGAAACGTGAATTTTCTTGGTAGGTGACGGGTTCATCATCGTCGTCTAAACTTTGTAAGACAAATGATAGTATTTGGTTATATCTACTTCGACGTTGGGTAGACATTTTGTAGTGGGAAAAGGGTGTATCTGAATTTAACAACGAATTTAATTAATGGAGAAGTCGTAGTAGTTTGAGACAAATCGAAACTAGAAAATTGTTTAGCAGTTGTCGAATTTGTAACTGTTGGATGTGTAAGAACAAGGAGAGGTCAGCTATAAATAGGGTAGAGATGGGGAATTTAGGATCACTTGTGCTAGAGAAAATCGTAAACTTTACCTTAGAATACGTGCGTATGTCAGTACCTGACTGATTTGACGGGAACTGTACTTAAAAAATATCTGATTGGCTTCTTATTAAATTTTGTACTGAATGATTTTTTCTAGGGAGATTCATTTTCTAAAAAAAGTTATCCAGATGGTTGGCAGATTTTTTTAGGTTTAAACCATTACAGCTTGGTCCTTATCTGTGCCTCAAAATATTGGAATGAGCCATCCTAGGGCATCGATTACCACAATGGATTATTCAAAATCCATGGATGAGCATTAAGCTTTTCATGGCCCAAAAAGACCGCGAAAAAATTTAGGCACGCACCATGCACTTTTATGTTATTGACGAGGATCTTGAGGTTTAGTCCCTAATTCTTCTTGCATTCTAGCTCACATAGGAGTTGCGCACCTTTCGTGATTTATGCCACGTTTATATCAGAGCAATAAGAATAACTCTAAACTAGACTACAGAAGTTAACACGGAGTCTCATATTTCTTAACTTTAAATTGATTTATGTGGCTTCGGCGCTATGTCAACCATGTTACGTTGTCTTTTTCTCTAGGACCCGGAACAAGGGCTGGCAAAGGTCATAAGCATATTATGGATATATATGAACTATCTGAGGCATAGAATAGTTATAATATTAGAAATATCGGTAAAATGACGTTTCACTGGACAATAAGCTATGAATCTTGCTATTAGGTCTTATGATCCGTTCGGCAACTAGAAAATTGACATTATTCTAAGTAAAATAGAACGAAAATATGGGCAAAGCCGAAACCTACTGTAAATGATTTAGAGTTGAAACTTTAGTATGACGGCGGTAAGAAGTGAGAGAACAAAGACGTTGAAGGCGTTTAAGGACTTGGTCACGTGATACCCCCGAAGGCCACCTCCTTATCAGGGGCTTATTCTGATTGGCCAATCAGTACCCATATCCCGTGCCCCTTTCAATCAATTCTGACAACTTACAACATTCACCCCTATAGCTATTAGAATGAGAACTTGTACGTTACATTAGTTTAATTGAAGTTGGTTTAAGAATTAGGTGGCATAGAGGCTGCTGATGATACAAGATGTCGAAAAATTATTTAAGTACTATGCTAATCATTACAAATACCCGCAATTGCCTACTTGATGTTATCATCAAGGCTCCCCGCGTTTCTATTTTTCAATGCCGAGATCGACTAGATGTATAGGTAGAATAAATATATCCTAGCAGGGCTTGGATATTAGCCGGGAAGGATATCATAGGTCGGAAAAACAATGACGTTTGTCCCAAGGGGACGAAATCCAAGAGTATTCGGAGATGATCGATGCAGAATAAGGCGTGACCAAATATGTACTAGATTAACATCACTACATCTTTTTTTATATTACGGTATAGTTAGGCCGAGACCGAATCGCATATAATCGCGTGCGATTCTATCCGTGGCTGTCGATCTAGCTCACTCCTTTCCTTTTCTCAATCAAGCAGTCAAAATGAAGTTCCTTACAGGCCTCCTACTCGCCGCTACGGCAGTGCAAGCCCATTGTATGTATTTCTAGTGCATTAAATTCTGACAACAGCTGCTAACTTGTTTTAGACACGTTCCCAAGACTTGTCATTAATGGCAAGTCCGAGGAAGCGGATTGGTGGGCTACACGTCGCACAAAGAATGCCGACAGCAAGACGGGGGTTGAGTCGGCCGCAAGCGGTGATATTCGCTGTTACTCTTCTCAAACTGCTTCCAACATCGCTACCGTTCCGGCTGGAGCAACTATCCACTACATCTCGACCCAGCAAGTCAACCATCCAGGTCCTACTCAGTACTATCTTGCCAAGGTTCCTGAAGGAAAGAGTGCATCCAACTGGGATGGCTCTGGAAATGTTTGGTTCAAGATTCACACCACAACTCCTACTATGGACAGCAACAAGCAACTCACTTGGCCCGCACAGAGTAGGTCTCAACTTGAATGAAACAAAATAAAAATGAGGTTAAAACGGATAGCTAACCATTTTTAGATACGTACGTTTTGACGAACGCCACTATCCCCGCTGCTACCCCTGATGGTGAATACCTCCTTCGCGTGGAGCAAATTGCCCTTCATCTAGCCAACCGACCCAACGGAGCTCAGTTTTACCTTGCCTGCACCCAGATCAAGATAACTGGTGGAGGTAACGGTACGCCTGGACCCCTCGTCGCATTTCCAGGTGCATATAGTGCCAATGACCCGGGTATTCTCGTCAATCTTGGTGCCATTACCGCCGACTCTTACGTTCCTCCTGGACCTGCTGTATGGAGTGGTTAGATGGATCTAGGCACCAATATGTGCGTACGCGAATAAATTAACGATCGTTATCGGCCAATCATGATCATTACTGTAGAAAATGATGTGATCTCATGTCAAGTTGATTCGATGATAGAAGCTGGAAATATTCTTGTACTACGTGACTTTGGGCCTATCTATTGGGCGTGATGTAATTATAGGGCTCTATATACTGTAAGAGGCCCTGTAACACGCCTAATTAGAATACGTCTAGCTATCGGGAACCTGCGTAATAACAAAAAAATTGCAATCCCACCAAATTTCTGTAGTCATTGCTGGGTGTTGACTTGAGCGACTCAATCACAACCGCGGTCGCTCGCGTGTCATCTATCTCAATCAAGATATTTGAACCCAAGTGGAATATTTACAGTTACTTACGCACCTAGGTATCTTTGACTATTATGAATCGTCTTTGCCAATCTTCCTTCGGATATTTAGAAGCAGTCATTGGCTTCGTTTGCCAAGGGAAAACAGAAAAACGCACGCTAATCAACTTCTACAGAAATAATCAGAATGGGGAATGGTGTGCTGGAGAGATTATCTCGAGAGATCCCCATTCAGGGGGCTCCATCATTCAAAATTCCACTCAAAGGGTTCTAGGTCAACAACATGGTGACTTTGAAGTTATAGTTCTCGAGGAAAACGGACTTCTAAGACACTATACACGCAACAATACACTCCCCTTCACCGAAAGCGAGGATACATCGGAAGAGAACGGTACCTGGAAGCTTTCGGCTACGATAAATGAACAAGAACACAAAATATACGGGAAAGTGGTCGTTTTCGCTGCAGCTCCTATTTATCAAAGTAATCTTCCCTCTGGAAACACGTACGAAGGAACTACTCTAGAGACGGCTGTACTTACCGACAAACGAGAAATTCTACATTATCGTTGCCCTCAATCCGATCGAGACCCGAGGGGTAGATGTTACCAGTGGAAGTTATGCATAAAAATTACAGATGGTGCTATCGGGCCAGCTTGTCTATATCAAGACGCCGAGAAGCGTTTGAAGGCACTGATACCATTTCCTAATGGAATTAACGAATTCTATTTCACGGATGAAGGAGATTGGGACTGGGGATGTCATATCCCCGATTCTTATGGCCCGGCATGTATCTACAGTCCCAACCCGAGTAATCCATCAGCTATGGATATGATTGTGGTATCTGAGGACAAACTGTGTGTGAGGGCTAGAAGGGAATATGAATATGATGAGGTTGATCAGGGATGGAGTATATCATCTACTACCAACGACGAACTACCTTCCTCTCTAAAAAGATTACCACGGGGTTCATATTTTCAACCATTTCAAGGAAATCCGATGGCTGCAGTCTCACCAACTTTCCTGGCTCTCCGGCATTCGCCAAATACTGAGGCCATTGTTTTTCATCCTTGCAGAACCAAAGGTACAAATGGTAGATGGATGATATTACATTGGAGTTATTTGACTACGGTAGAAGAATGGATGGTATCTGGAGTCGCTGTAGACTACGTGAAAGGGATCGTGATGTGATACAGAATATTGTCAGTTTATCATGGGTATTCGGAAAAGGCTACATCTTGTCAGTTGGTTGTCTTTAGTCACTTGGAGTTCAAAAGCCATAGACCTGCAGACAAACTAAGATTTAATTCATTAGGTGCAACGGTGATCTGTATCTTACTACCTGGTTTCCATCTTGTCGTTCTTTACTTCTGCTTCCAATGTTTCTCGAGACATTAGAGACATACCTTTTGATTACATCCATTGCCAGTACTAGCAAACTACAAGTAACCGCTGGCCGCTCTTGATGTTTATCATCAGCATTCTCTACTGTGAAATCTGTCACGAGTCGTATCCAAGGTGGCACACAGACTGTATTGAATAGTTCAAGCTTGCTGAATCGACTAGAAAACCACATGTTTGAATTCAATATCGAAGTTAGCTGGGTCCGAGCTTCGAGCTTAATAGCATGCTAAAATACACTGTTGTATTTTCAGATGATTTATGGTCCAAGCTATTTGGGTGTACACTAGTCGAGCACAAACAAAAACTAGTATTGGATGAATACTATATTAACCTACAAAGACATCTCATTGGTTCTACTAAGTCGTCCAAGCTCTCTTAAAGACAGTATCAAAGCAAGAACCGCCAAACCCTCTCGAGTGACAACCTAGACGGGACCGTGTCAATGATCCGGCCCGCCATTGATAGGTCATGTGTTCGAGGTCAAGGCACTGTAGATAGTCTGAAATCAGAATTCAAACAATTAAAGGTAAAATATATTAGATCAAACTGAATGCTGATTCTACCTGCTGACTCCTAAAATGGGAGTATATGTGTTGACAAACTACAACCCCCTGACTGCGACTTCTTCTTCAACCATACCATTCACTTCTGTACCGTTCTTACCTTACAAGCTTCCTAGCACGTCAATACAATGACAGAATATCACTAGGATCTCATATTTTCTAAAAGCACTATAACCTTTGCTTTCCAACTACCGAAAATCGATTTCACACTCGCAAGACAGTACACGAATCAAGATGTCTTGGGACGGGTATGTTCACTCTGCCTACCTAATTACGCGTATTTCTAGACGATATAACTAACATCGCGGTGTAGTGTCTTCGTTTTTGATCGAGGTAAACCTCCCGCGCGATTTCCCTATATGAATTATACTAACATATAATAGACTGGGTACCTCACCTAACTCTTATGGAACAAGCAGACATGATAGTGGATATCCGCCTCGATCAAAAATGTTCCATGAGACAATTGCTTGAGGAAGCTCAGAAGGAGATCAAGAATCTCCCAAAGAATATCCTCCCTTGGTTATGGTTGAACGCAATCATTATCACACTTGAGGGTACGTATTGATCACTTAATAGTGGGATAGAACTCTCAACTAATTGATGTTAGAAATGCTGAAGAAGCCGCCTCCTGGGTGGTCCGGTCCATCCCCTTCTTCAGGGATACCCCGAGAGAAACGGTTATAGACAAAGATGCGAACAATAATATTACGACGATGGGCTGCACTTCAGACTCGTCGACATCTCGAGAAGAAACGAATCGCAGCTCGAAATTTACGGGGCCCAGAGCCCACAGTCATCCGAGAAGGAGCAAGACCGCGAGATCAAGGCTAGCTTGCGGGGGGGGGATGCCATGCGGTGGGCCAGGAATTCGACCAGGAAGAGGTTTCATAAGGAGGGCTAATCCCCACGGATGGGATGTTCGACAATACTCTCGTCCCTACATCTAGGATAGGGTGGTCTTTTTCGGAAGTTATTGATACGTCTAGGGATATCCCTGAACTGCCGAGAATCAGCATCTAAGCGTTGGTGAAAGGTTACACGACGCGAGGCATTAGGAGGTACTATCGCTGTCTAGATCGTCATAGGGGAGGGCGTTGACCGAGGAGCTATTAGCGGATATATACTTAGACCTCTAGCATCTACCCAAAAATAATATAATCAATCCTAACTTTTATGATTGGCATTGTGATTTCGTTCTAGCTGTATGATTGCGAACTGACCTGGAAGTAGCAATTTGGTTGACAACGACCAGCTGTTCCGTATGTGAGCATAATCGAAATACGTCGAAGAAGTAGACGGAAGTAACTACGAGCCGTGTAGGATCGATTGGGGGCGTATGTCTGCATGGCTTGATATTTTGTTGACAACTTCTGCTCAATTGCGTACAGCTACTGAATAAGGGGCGAACTGTCGCAAAGTGCTGTAATTGTAAGGGGTATTAAGTGCAAAAGGCGCTATGAGTTAGTGAATTTTATGGGACATTTGGCAGTCAGTTGGGCCACTGCATTATAGGGTGTGCGCGCTGTAATCCACTGTAGTTTGTGGCGGCGTTCAGCGTGTACCCCGCCATGATCCCCCATATGTTGAGATGAATTATCGAGAGAATCGGCACTGAACCATCGATTATAGCCGTACTTCTTTCTAACATTATATCACTCATCCATATCGTACACTGGTCGAATATCGATACCGCGTTGAAAAGAATAGGGCGTGTATTTCGATGAAGAATCCGAGCGGGGACCTAACAGGTGCATAAGCCTTGAGATTGATTATAATTGAGTTCATTCTCTGCGTAATCGGGGTATCCAACATCATTTAATCCACGCCCTCATCTTCATCAGATTTGACATCTAATTTCTCGAATCGCTTCCGAGCTTCTTGATAATCCTCATCCTTGCTCACTTCCTCGGTACCTGCTTCAATTCTTCCTGATTCCTTAGCCATCTCCTTGTCCTGATTCGTCGCTTCTAGGGCAGCTGGCTTGAGTGACCCATCCCCGTTAACATCCTCTTTGAGGTAGAGCGTGAATACGATGACTAAGTATGTGTCGCCGCTTGATCGGTTTCGCAGGACGTATCTAAGGGTGTGTGAGCGCTTCGGTTTGGACCTAAGATAATAAGGTGGCGCTATGAGAAATGACCAATTCGACGATGTAGAGTGGATGCGAGTAAACAAGAAAAATAGGCAAGGGGAGAAATGCTAGGGCTTGTGGAGTTGACTTACCTCAGACTTTGACCATCCCAATACTTCATAATAGGCAAAGTGAAGCCCGGGAGACGAAGGCTGAACTCATTGAAGTCTAGATATGGATTGAAAAAGTCGAGACAATATGGTTTGTCGTATCGGAAGACCCATCGGCTCTTGTTGGCTGGTTTGAGTGCCCATTTCATGCGGTCTTTTGCTGTTTCTGGAGCGCCGATATCATCCCGTTCTCGTAACCCTTCCTCATCGCCACCTTCTTCAAAAAATAACCCGCCTTTTTCCGGATCGAATTCTCCAGGCCCCGCATGAACGGCATTAAAAGACGATAGAGCTGGACCATAGAGATATGGCTTATCGGCGTATGCGTCGCCTTCGAGACCGGGATCAATCCACCATTTGACGATGTTCATGGCATAACTAAACCCGGGTGGAAGACGATCGCGAATGGGGTGATCAAAGTCATTACCGAATTGGAGATCCTCACCCGAGATACCATTCCCTGCCTCTTCGTCGGAATCTTCATCGCTATCCTCGAGAGATGATGTTTGGGAAGACGAGGGACCTTGTGACGGGCTGGACGTTGAGGATGGTCTTGATGGATCGATAGAAGCTGCCCTGGAACCTGAACTGGGCTTCTTGGGTGTGAAACGGATTGCTAGGCTGTATTGATCTTTATTGGTGGCATGGGGTTCCAAGGAGAAGTACGGAGATGTATTAGGCGAGTTCCTTGGCAAGCCATGGTAATTTTGCACACGGACATTCAGCTCAGCGTCAATCAAATCACTGCTGATCTTGACTGGCTCGTGTGAGTTAACCGGCACTACGACATGTTGATCGAGGTCGTAGTTTGACCCGGCGGTAACTCGAATGATGTATTTCTCAGCCATAGCGTGGGACGGCCACTAACAATTCCCCGTCTCCGTCAATCGTATTCGGGTTTCTATGGCTTTCCGAGACAAGAGCACTTTATTCCCTTTTTTAGAACGCCACCAAGCCTTAGGCCGCTAATATTCTGCAGTGATGACGCTCGAGGACAATCCTGATTGCCTGATTGCTGTAAGTAGTATTTTGGAGGGTCGGTGAGGATAGTGGACCTGGAGTTAAGGTCTATATGATGTATAACATAGAATTATTACTAGTTGAAGAACACCGAATTGATCGACTGTTGGAAAATAAAATAAGTTATGAGGCTGGAATGTAACGCTTATAGATTCAGGGTCTCGAATTTTTGATGATGGTAGATGACGTCGCTAAATTAGTCTTGACGCGCAGAAGCTTGAGCACAGGCCTATAGCTTGTTTAATGGATCCAAATCTACCCAAACTAGAGCAAATCTGTCCTAGTACGTCGCTTACTACAGTTGGTTACAATTGGGTGATGCTGCATGTTATGTACCTGGGTACTACGTATTGAAACAGCCCAATTCGAATTATTTAGTAATTAATTGGCGATGTTATATCTTAGAAACAGAGAAAATGAACTACCAAGGAGTAGGTGTAGCTTTCATTGGGCCCAATTTCTCCTGAATAATATCTCCTGCGAGTTATGTCATATGTCTCGTGACTCGCTTTGAAGGGGGCGGATATCACTATCCTATTAGGAGGTCTAGTGATAATTGATCTTAAGCTAGGATACGTAACGATATAAGCCAAGTGTCCGTCTAGATATTATAGGCCATGAAAATCGAACTTTAACAATTAATATCGTCCCATCTCGTCGATCGCTATGAGGAACGAAGTGAGGGACGCTCGTAGCGCTAGCGATGGGCCCCGTTACGATACCTAGAAGTAAAAAAGATTAAAGGATATATTAATGTCGCCTGATCGCAAGAAACAGGCCGAGTGTTGAATTATGACATGTATCAATATGTACCTCGAGTTCCTATGTACCTAGAAGTGATGTATATACGTTAGAATACCAACCACTATTGGGGAACGAGGAATTGGTCAATATAAACCCTCTCAAAGTAGCTAATATGACCAAATCCAACCCAATATTGTGCTAGGCGATTATGCGATAGTAAGATTAATTGTGATTCGATGTACCGATCTATATATGTTAGTCAGGCTCATAAAATCGATCCAGATGTTCGGCAACTCACCGTTATAAAATCCCATATGCGCGATATGACCTCTACTCTTTACCATTCGAGAACCCTCGAAAGGTGGGTCTTGAGCTATACCAATGAATGCATTGTCGCTCAAGTCATCGGCGACGAATGTATACTCGCCTCTTGGTACATTCGCATCACCAGTCAACTTGATTGCTTCTAGCCGGCCACGATATACGCGCTCGTGTTTAAAACGCTCTTCAAATTGAGCGTCAGTTTCACCCTCGAGACGTTCTAATGGTTCCTCGTTCTTTTCGTATTCCTCTTCCGGTTGATTGAGTAGTAGAAACTCACAACCATGTCCACTATAATCACCAACCCATATCCCTTTCCAAGGCTTCTCAGCTGTTGGAGTGTATAAGCTGGGATCAAGAGTAGAATAAGTCACAACTTCTTCGGCGAAATGTACACCAAGAGTAGGTGGACCCATTTCCATCCATTGCCTAATACGAAAGATTTGATCAGATGCCTCTGAACGATCATGAGGTTGCCACATCGCTGCCGTAGACCTTGTGTAATTAAGAGATGTCGCAAGTGGATGAACACCTGCTGGTTGACCCGTTACACGATGACGAGCTGGAATCGCAGGCGGAGGCCAAACATAACCGTGGGGAAATCCGTTCTGCGTCCGACCGGCTAAGGCTGTCTTACTAAGCGGTTTCGCGAGCAGAAAATTGGTAAATCGAGGATCCGTCCCATTATTAATACGCATAGGTTGTTCTGAAAAGAAATGCCGAAGAGATAAAGCTGATGACTTTCCACGGATTATGTTCTCAAGACTGTCGGCGTTTAATTGTATTATGGGCTTGTCGAGATGTAATTTGACCGTAGGCTCGAAATGATGAATATGAACATCTTGGTTGGTAATCCACGGTTCGCTTCCCTCTCTATTTCGCGTGGCAAGCATTTGGTACCCTTCAATACAACCCCGTCGTTCGTCATAACGAATAATAATTACCTGACCTGTCAATTCTCGATCGCAAAACCATATTTTATGTTTCGTTAGGAACCAATATGGATCGTGTGATATATACAGCTCACGCCAATTTTCGCATGGGTAGGGAGAAGATACACGGTTTCCTGGAAGGTTCGATAATACATGTTGTTTCCATTGTGCGTCCGAATTTGCATGTTCGCGTAACACGCGACAGACTACCGAAACGGTAGCTAACTCCAATGGCGTCAGCCAGGATAGTATCGCATCGATTAATTCGGGTGGTAGATCGAGAAATGGGCTCGTATCGAGTTGTTTGCCCGAGAATAAATTGACAGGACTTAGGTCTATGATTCAAGGGTTAGTTAATGGGATTTTGGAATCCATTGAATCCTGTGCTAACGAAACCTGGTAGGGACGTAATTTTGGTATGCGGGAGGGAGGCATGGATCCACGAACCTCGGTCTGCTTCGCTTGCGCTACGCCGTTTTACCGGCACATCGAAATCATCCTCGTACAAGTTGAAAGCAAGTGTATTACGGATAGTATCATCACCAGAGACGGCTTTGATAATATCAATATTTTCTTCAATTTCCGGATTAAGTCCTCCATAAGTGACAGCAGGATTGTGAATATTTACCGTCACGACTGATTTTGATCCAGATCCAGATCCGGAAGCTTCGTCGTTGTCATCTTGTATCGGAACGCTTGGGGTGGTAGGAGCTGTTGGGTCTATTGGAGCGATGGTGGAACTAGAACCAGGTTCGTACGAAGGGTCAGCTGTAGATTGAGATGTAGGCTGAGACCTCGAACTCCAACCACGCCCACTATCTTCATCAACCATTTTCCTTATGGTGTCCACGGCGGGACCCGGGCGTAAGTAAGTGACACAAGCGAATAGATCGGGGGGTTCGAAGGATCTAATTGACCGGGGTCACAAGCCACGTGGTGGAGAGCTGAGAGGGTGGGAAGACCTAGAAAATTGGTGGTAGAATAGATAGATTTATTAAACGAGATCTGGGATCGTTGAATAATCCTGATTTAAATCGATCATTAAGTTTGGTTCCGTTTTGAATACTTGACAAGGTCAATCCTGGATTATTGTTGACGGAGGTGTTGACGGAGGTTGGATGTTCCATCAAAGTCAAAGGTTAAGAGGAAGAGGAAGGTTACCCGTGATCATGATGACGGTAAGGGTAAGGGTAAGGGTAAGTAAAAATATTTCAGTATTTCAGTTTCAGACCCGATATATCCAAGATTCATTCGTCCGTATGGGAAGTAATAGAAGTAATATAGTGGAAACGAAGAATTGTAAACGGCCAATAGCGGGATTTGGAATTAGCGAAATCATCGATCTGATTGATTGCTCTGCGAACGGGGACCGCCCAGCATTGTAATTGGAACTGCGACCCGTCTTTGAATTGGTACTTGAATTTGTATTGGCACTGGTATTCGAAAGAACCCAGGCTTTAGGCATGGGCTTAGGCTTGGATTTGGGGGGTCTGGTCCGGGCGGGAGGTAGCATGTTTTTAAAAAGAATTCAAGAAAAAAAGAAAGGGATTCCACGATTTATCAACATTAGGTAGGTAGGCCAAAAAGGTAGCTTGGCCTAAGAAACAAAAAGAAAAAAAAAACATGTATCTTATATTCATAGGTCAAATTAATGCCAGCAGGGCTATTGCTTGTTCGCTTGCTCGTGTCAGTGTCAAATCTGTACAAAATGAATTGATTGATTGATGGAAGTTGATTGAATTGATTAAGAAAAGGTCTAGGAGATCTAACCGGAGCCGAGCCGGTGCATGGAAATTCAAGTAACCTTGGAACCTCTGTTGGCTCCTACCTAATGTACATACAGAACCTAATGTACCTACGGAATATGTACGACCCACCGGGTTGGCGCGGGAAGGTCCTATAAATCTTTCAAGGTTCAGTACATGATCAAAACCTTGAAAGCCTGATCGGTTATCCTAATTAGCAGGTACCTACAAAAACATCAGGCTTAAGGCTTCTAGACGCCAGGAATTACAAGGGATATAGACGCTATAGCCGCCAATCTTAAGGTACAATTCGGTCCATTTACACCGCAATTATTACTACAGCTTTAGGTACCTACCTACCTAGGTATGTACCTATCATGCTATAATACGGGGAATTAGGTACCTTGTTTAGTGATTAACATCTTTCCTCATTAGTAGGAAAGTACCTTATTTTTCATTTCTTCAACAACAAATTCAACAATCATCATCGTATCATATTCAAACCCCCGACCGACGATAACCTCCTCTCAAAACCAGAAATGGAAAATACCCGCGAAAACAAAGGAAGCTTATGGCGCATCACAAAATTGATGACACTATCACACCACATATCACAATATCACAATACCTTGGTATCAAACCTCCACGCTCGGATCAGACATCAAGATATGGCTAGTCCTCCAGACCATCGGTACAAGAATGACGAGAAGGACAAGAATGACAAGACCAAACAACCCCAGGACCCATGCGCTACCACCGATAGCTACCCACCCCTCTAAATCCCCCTCGCTTCACGAATTCTATGTATCTCACCTTGCAGGATATCCGATCTGACTACACCCTAAATACACCCTGGACACACCCTGGACCCTATTGGAACGGCTACCCATTCCTGTCATGGGAAAAAGCCAGGGGGGTAGCGACAAGGAACAAGTTCTTTCTCGGGCTATAGATCCAATTTGGTACGGTACACCTAGAAATGCAACGATACCGGAATTATCAACTAGAAGAGATCAAAATTACAACTACAACTTTGATATTGCTGCATTCCAAACTTACAGGAAGTTAACTATCTAGATATGTTGTTCGATTACTCCCTTGGATTACTCTCGATTACCTCCGGGATCATCAACGCCGTTCTGAATAAAATAGAAGAAGAGCCGAGAAAATCTCCCTTCGTATGCTCGGCAGGCAAGCATCAATAAACCAATCATAACTCTCATCGTACATATATGTACCTTGTAATGGTATAGGATGACACTCCCTTACGCTAACCGCCTTCCCTTCTAGTTGTTCAACTGATTTATTTTGTAGGGATTCTTTCCACACAGAAATTATCCGTATATTTGTTCGATATTATCATGTATTATCATTATTATCATGCAGGTCCAGGCCACGACGATCTTACCTTAAACCAACTAATATTCATTCTATTGAAGTTCTAGGATCCTAGGATCTGTCGTGGATACTCGCCTATCTTTTTATAGATCGATTTGGGCTATTATACCGCCTACCAGATACTTCCTAGATGCCTACCTAGGTAGACTGCTAGGTATAGGTATCCACGCAACAAGTCGGCGTCGATTCTTGGCATGTGTGCTATATTTACTAAGGTTTACAGGTTACCATGAACCAAATGCTACAAACATTCCGATGAGGCTTGCAGGGCGTGACCATGCTCGTGTGCAGACTAGATTCGTTGATTCCAAGCACCTACCTACCTTGGTATTAAGCTGGGCTTGTCTGGCGCATTGGAACATTTTTTGCGCTCCATGCTTGGCATCCCGCCAGCACAACGCTCGGTCACCTGCGCATCTTCGGAGCTTCAAATCCCCCCTGCTCATCATACCTAGAGCCGGATGCGAATGCGACTCCAGTTCCTTCGTTATCAGCAAATACTAACATAAGTCGGAATTACAATTCGCCAAACGGAAATAGGTTCCCGTGATGCCATCGGCAGTCAACTAATATCCAAGGGAAAGGATATTCCTCATTGGAGATCCGGATTTGGAGAGCCGCTACTATTTATGTCGTGGTCGTTCCCAATTTTGAGCTTCCTTTTCGAGACTACTTGATTACTAGTACGGCTAGTCTCTGTAGAGTGGTTGAAACTTGTCGAGCGTTTAGATATCGTCTAGGCGAATTTAGCAAACCGAAATCGTTCCGCCTTTCCGCTGTCTTCCACTACTTGGCAGACTCGATTTCCTCAATCATGCCAAGAATCGAGATGTTACAATGTGAAGTTGTCTACCTAGTACAAGATATCTCGTTAGGCTTCCCAGGCTTCCCAAACTTCCCCATAGGATCTAACTAATTCCCTAGACTAAAGCCCAAGACCACGGAACTATTTCTAACCCTTGATCTATGGTTCCACCTATTCTCGGCATTGGGTACAGGTCTATCCCTGTACTGACCGACCCTGTTGTCTTTGTAGTGGGTGCGATGCCGGCGCCCGAAGGCATCATTGAGATTCATACCATGTAACATTCAAGATAAAGACCCGAGGTTGAATAGATGATGCATTCAAAGATAGAAATCAAACCATCGCAATCTAGGCTAAGTATGGGGGCCATCGGGCCCGACCAGCCGGAACTATACCCTCTGTTGATTATTTGTCTCACCTTGGTTGACTTTGCAGGTAACGTTATTATGACCCCAGGTCGAAGCTGGTCACAGTACTCGTTTTCGAGGACGCAGACTCCTTTAGATCGTTTCTACAAGAATCAAGGAACAGCCATCATTTTAACCAAATGACTAAGATTGGCTAGAGGAGTAGTTTCATATATACCAGATCTAATATCGAAACCAACCCAACATCCTCTTCAATCGAACTACCCATCAACTGAAACGGATATTCCCGTTATAATTACATTAAAAATTACCTTGGCACACATCCTGCAACCTATAAGTATTGAAGTCTTCAATATGCTATTAGAATCCACATATATCGTAAATATACACGTGTGCTAACCCTCACATATCCCGATGCTCATAACAACCCAATGTATTAACTATACCTACCCAATTATAAATGTCGTGTATCCACGAAATGATCATGATTGTATTCGTGAAGGACTCAGAAGTGGAGTCTACGTGGTCCACTATTCTCATAAGAACGCACGGACCATGCCGTCGCCTTCATTTTCATCGTTGTTATTTATTAGGTCAGGTACTCAAGTTGCGAAAATCAACCTGACATCATATAATATGAACAAGTTAGAATTGTATTAGAGCTTCTTCAACACTATCTTATAGACTCATTAGATCTATTTTTCTCTAATATTTTAAATTATCTAATTATTTGTATTCATTACAGCTTCCCTAATCCAACATTCATCAATCTATTTTTCTTGGCCTTCCAAAATCGTCATAGACAGTACCTAATTCGTTCCCCTCCTCCCTCAATACTACTTATCTACATACACTACTCTACACTCCGTACTCCGTATGTGCCTTGCCCCGACAGTCATAGGCGTCATGTCCGGGATCTTCTCCTTACTTCCGGATATACTTCCGATGATAATGCCGTCCAAGGTGCAAATAACAAAAGCAACCGATCTCGAGGCTCAAAGAGATGGAAAAGATGCGCCGATGATTCGACAAGGTGCTGTAATTGGCAAAAGTGATAGAATGTGCGCTACTGGTAAGTTACTTTACCAACCTTTTATCCACGCATTCTGGAATACCCTTTATATGAGATATGATATGAATTCGACCACGAGTACATACAATGCTACCCATGAATGTATTCAAGCTTTGTTCGGGGTTGTGTCGAGATTACGCAGGGTTCAGTCACAACATTATGTCAGATTGGATTCATAGTAACAGCTCCAATAGTCCTAATAGCCAAACCCCATTGTTCTTCAGCAGTACATCATCACGGCGAACAAGGTTGGTTATAATTCTATTAAGGAAATATGGTGACGTTGAGTCTAATATGTATACCCAAAGAAACAATCATTTATGCTGCCTCAGGCAGAGGAATGGTGCGTATTCACTTCGGCCCCGGGGTATCTTCAACTCCATATACCCAATAAAGGCTAACTCATCTACAGTACGTAAAAAACGTTCCAGTTATGATTATACCGTCCTGTCATTTCATTTAGAATGGCAGGCCGTGAAAGTTTCGTGGGGAAGCTGACAGGTAACAGATTAGTAACGAGCTCAGACTCCGACGAAGAGCCCAAGAGACATGAACTCTCGCCGGGCGACTTTGCATTCATACCGCCATGGACGGAACATCAAGAAATCAATGAAACAGATGAAAATGTTGTCTGGATTCTCATCCGGAGTGGTCCGGAACCTGTTGTAGTTTATTTGACGGGTTGGGGAGGCGATACAGCAAAATCTGATTCAATTGATTGACACTTATGCCAATTCTCAGCACATGCAATAAATCTAGATGGTTAGGACCAAGTACCGGAAAGGAGACCGTACCTAGGTGCTTAGAATAATAACGTCCAATATGAAATGGGGTAATCGGCAGCCCTACCAGGGGCTGTACAATCTATTCAGCGCAGTAACGACGTATAACGCTACAAAGCCTATCCTGATTCTTCTTGGTATCAAATGCTTGGGCATGATCGAGGCCCCAAAACCACAAAAGCTCAATTCCGTCGCGTGTGAGATAGCCAGCACCCCATTCGTCTTGTTCCATAGACCATTTATTAGGCCTAGCGTCCCTTCCGCTGTTATCTGCTGTAAGGCTACGGGTGTTAACCCACCCCTCTTCACCATCGGCGCTCAGATACTGGGCTACCATCAGAGTATCGACGATCAAATCTCGTTCTGCGAGACACACCGCCACCCTTCGTCGCTGCGGCCTCCCTGTCGTTGCTGTAGCCCGGACCCCCTGGCCACCACCACCACCACCATCTACTCCAACCAACTCTGCGGGTGATGATCCCCTCCCTTCTATTCCTAGTAGCTCTTCCTTCCACACAATATTATCTTTCCAGAAGAAATGACGTCCCAGGCAATGTGCCACGCCAGGATCCATGCTGGCGAAGTACCACAGTTGCCATTCATTAGCCCATCTAGGTCGGCGTCTAGTAAAATTGTATGCTACATCTGGTAGATGCAATAAGATAGTTACGGGGTCGACAAGGACTACCGAACTAATACGGTCGAATAGTTTCTCCGAACGTAGCATGTGGGTTGCCAATGCAGTCCCGTACGAATGAGAGACCAACACGAACTTATCCCACCCATGCGCATTCAAGACCGTAGCAATCTGTTCCAGGAATTCGGGCCTGCCTAGCGGCGCCTCCGTCAGTCGGAATGAAATAGGAAGCATCTCGATCGCGATGATTCCAATCTGACCCTGTCCATCTTGCCCTCTAGATTCTGAATTAAGTCGTTGAAGGAACGGAACGTATGTGTAAAGCCCTATTCCAATACCGTGTAGAAATACGACAGGAAGCTTGTCGGTGGCAGTATGTGGACGATACCAGTAACTAAGCCCTTCCGATTCGGAATACCTACTAGTGAATAGGTTCTGTAAGCGCGGCGGGATAACAGGGAGGACCTTAGATGGCGACTGTGCGTAATAGTGAAATCCGTTCCGGGCTAGCTGGCAATGTGACACGAGGTCGACCACACCCACGACAAAATACCACGCAATACTTCTATATCGGGTTTCCACTTCGTCCAGGGTCAGTCGGAGACCTTCGGCCTTTCCTCTGCCTGGTTCTAATCTCCGCCCTAAGAGATTCTCCATAGCTTCTACATATCCATCTAGTTCTTCCTCTTCGTCTTCAGACTCATTACCAGGCCATCTATCAAAAAAGGCCCATAAGATAAAGTCGCGTAGGTTATCCCTCCGTATCTCGGACTCATCGGCGCCAAGGAACCACATCTGGAGGTAACGCCGGGCATCGGGTACGTTGGCAAAGCACCGTCTAAACAGCTGGCTTCGTTCTTCGCGTGTCAGCGGCGGTGGATGCCTCGCTTCCTCCTTTAGCCGTCTATTGTGGGGGATGTAAATGAACACAGCGTATATCACGTCAAGTACGCTGTAAGTAGCCAAAACCATGCCGAGGGGATGGGATAATGCCGGCGCAAGCCCCCCGAGAGACACTGCCAAGAGGGCTAGACATGCTGTGCATAGAGGTGTTGTATATTGTACCAGGAATATGCATGTACGGATGAAGATATACTCTGGAAGCGACGTGCCAATCATGACGGATCGGTGGTTACGGCTTTAGGAAAGCCGGACGTATATATATGTGCTCGATTCGCCCACTGCTTGCTGTTGCTGTTGCTTGTGTTTTTGCTGCTATGTATCTGTTCTTCTCTATGTTCTAGATGTGTTGGCGTTTCATCAAAATCGTTAATCAAACACATCCTCCTCGTAAGTACTTGTAAATGACAAAGGGTATCGTTTTCTATCACGGTCGAGGAAATGGAGAGAATGGTTTCATGGCGACTTGATTTCTATCTAGCAGTTGTGAATTGAATTAAATCATGAAGGAGATAAATATGCCCGATGGTTTCCTAAGATGGAAGGCCTTCTGAAGATACATAGGTGGGGGGTTGGGTTTTAGTGGGAATACCCTGGTCCATTTGGGGCTCTCACCCCGCTCTAATTTGATGTTACTTGGATGCAATGACGTTACTAGGTATCCATGTACCTATAAATCCCAACACAAATGCCCAATGAGCATTCAGTTCCATCCTCTACCTAACACGTATGAAAAAGCAAAAGGGAGAAGAAAAATAGAAAAAAGAAACAGAAGAAGAAGAAGAAGAAAAAGTAAAGAAAATAACGAGAAAAAGAATAAGAAATAGAAAAGGAACGAGAAAAGCAAGAGAAAGAAGAAGAGAAATAGAGGAGTACGAATACTTTGGTCACCTCAATGACGTTGTGGCGCACGGTGCACATCAGGTCGTACGAAATCTCAGAAGCACGGTCAATTCTCATTTCATATTACTTTCCCTCCTAACTCGCGTTACCTACTAACCCTTCCTTCCGCGTCCCTCCGCGCGCTTCAGCGCCCTTCCCTCAGCCTCTTCCAACTCGTCAACAATGAAATGTAATACACGGGGGCGGCGGTCTTTAAGAAGATCGCAAGGGGTCTTTCCATTGTTATCCTTAGCTAACAGGTCGGCACCAGCCTTAACAAGAGCTTTAATCGTCTGGTCGAGCAGGGCCATCGACATCCCGTAATTCTCACAAAGGAAATGCAATGGCGTCTGGCCATTCTGGTCTCGGTGGTTGATCGCGACGTTCTTATGGATGAACTTCCATAACACCTTAGTCTTGAATGGGGGGTTGGCCATGATTCTGTAAAATGGTGTACGGCCGTTCTCATCGGTGGCGTTAATATCTGCACCAAGATCGACGAGGAAAGAGATAACGGCCTGATGCAGCTCGCTCTTGTTGCACACCACATGCAGCGCTGTTTCCGAAACGGCCGAGCCTTGATAGGTCAGGTCGACATTGCCTCCAGCTTTGACTAGATTATCAAGGAAATCAATGCTGTAAGGGATAATAACTTCGTCGTATAGGCTGTCGAGTTCTTGGCGAAGAGTTGTTGAACCTCTAGCATCGTAATGGTCGGCCGGACGAAATTTGTCTAAATTCATGGCCAATCGAAAAATAGGGCTATGCCCAGTGTGGAGTTCAACTTTGTCGGGGTCTATTCCGAGATGGAGGAGGGTGGTTAACTTGTTAAGCCGCCCGTCAAGAAGGTCATAGAGTCGACGATGAAGGTATGTAATGTCGTCGAACAGATCGCCGGGTTGAAAGTGCAGTTGCTCGAATACAGGGCTCATTTCTCCAACTCGATATCCCCGCGAAGGGCCGGGAACAACGGATTTAGCGAGTGGTTGCTGATCCAGGGTCGCACCGTATTCAGCAAGTAGCCGCGCGCAGATAGTAAAGTCGCCTCCGGGCTTAACCACATGTGTAGCCCAGTTAATCGGATACCAGCAGTGGCTATTGGTGCGAATTGGCAAGGCGTCTGCTAAATTAACGTTTGCTCCAGACTTCAGAAGGTAGGTGAAAACGTTGAAGGAGCCGAAACGAATCGCGACTGCTATCGGGGTCATCCCTCGGCTGAAACCCTCGCAGCCAGGACGGTTTGCTATACTGTGTTGTGTTCGAAAGCGATAGTTAACCATGCGGGTTCCCGTGAATTGCTTTGCGGTACGAAGGAAGCGTTTCAGGACTCTGGTGTTGTTACTAGCGCACGCCCACCACAAGGCGTGGTTATCTTCGCGAAGGTCTCTTTCGTACATGATAGGTGACACGACGCAGCTCATATATTTCGAAGTCTGCGCCAGACAAGCGCTTTCTGGTTGTGATAGGAATTCGCCGATGTTTCGAATGATTTCGACAGGCATATCGCCAATACCGGTGGCGGAGGGCGACATCGTCGGGGGTTCGGGGGTTTAGGTATTGGTGATTAAAAGAGGGAGAGATAGATAACATCGAGGATGAGGACGATGCAAATAAATACCTGGGTAGATGGCAGTAACTGGCAGTAACTACCTACCTAAGGTATGGTAAGGAAGTCACCGTATGGTGGTGGAAGTACGTACCTACCTGTACATCAGCGGATTAGCCAATCAAATGGACTTCAGCCCTACATAGTAGGACATGTAGGTACATACTTGCATCGTAGTGGGGTAATACTGCGCTGAAACAACCACATTAGCTACCTAGGGTACCTGTAATTCTCCCTTCTACAACATCAACATCGAGTCATCCTCACCAACCCATTCGCCTTCTTTTCTTCTCTTTGGTTTTTTTCCTACTGAGAAAGCTTATCATGAATTCAACACTATTAATAATTAAAGGAGGGCAACTCTAAACCCTACCACTAGAATGATTTAGATGTGTACCTAGATAGAATGAGATACCGATATCGAGCAAAACGAAACGAACGAGAACCCCTAACTTGCCTCCACCACAGATCACCCGCCGTTCTCCCAACTCTAGCACATAATTATCGGCAAAGGAGGCCTATACTAACCAACCGGGCTGGAGTCGGTCAGATTGAGTTTCGTCTCGAGTATTTTTGGGCAATTATTTGATTTTAATTACGTGTGTGTCCAATTAGTACCCATATATGCCATGTTATCTCTTTTACGCACCTAAGGTGCATCCCGATGTCATTGCAGTGGTAAGCGAGATGATATGGGATGCCGCGCCAATTGCCTTCTTCTAACCACCGCAATAATATATCCACGTTATCTTTAAGCGGCATCAGAGAGACGACTGCGTTACCACGTCACGACATTCACTAATATAGATATAAGCACGATAAGTGTTTGTTGTAATGGTTTTGTTTTATTTCTTTCCCCCGCGCACGGTAGACCACTCCACGCAAGACAATACATATACCTCATATGGGGGCCCTCAATTGCATCTGGAAATACAGCCACATCTGGTTACTTTCACCAGCCAGGCAATGCGGATCATCAGGTAGGCTGTATGAGCCGGTGACGCCCCTCCCTTCCTCCCACATAGCGTCAAGCAAGTTGTATATCTCGCTCAAATGCGAGGCATCAAGAAGACATCTTACATACAATAGCCGCGGTGCCTTCAGCATTATCCATTGTGGCGCCTCCTCCGTCTATCCCTGCCCAGGCTATAACAATGTCTACAGTGTCGTCCACATTAATGCTTGCGTCACTGGTTACCTACCTAGGTACACACTTAGATGCCAGTATTAATGTAGTCCCCTATCTGGGGCATCTAAGAGAGCTCTTTGGGGCTTACGCGACCGTACCGGCGGATGACGGTGCCCTCAGAGTGGAATTTTCCAGGCCGGTGAATACGGGCACGCAAACCCCGTTTGTGATCACCAATATGCGATGAGATTGGGAATTTCCCTTTTCCGTGGGGCACTCGTGGATGGGTGAGGGAACTACTAATCAGCCCCCATCCCCGCCACATCATAGAGTTCTCTCTTTGGTGGTACAGAGACAGATCTGTTCGTTGGGCTGGGAATAGCGAGAGCGATAATTCCGAGGAGTTGGGTTTGGAGGGATCGGTGGGGGTCCCAATGGGAACATTCTTGTACTGAAAAGGGCGCCTGAAGTAGTTACTATCATGCTACGATTGCATCTTTGATCTGTTGACATCCTGGTCAGTCGGTATATGAGACGGGGCTTGAGGCAGGGTAGGGTTGAAATAGTTAGAGAGAAAGGAAAACTTACGTTTATCGCATTGGTAGGCAGAGTACCTGGTAATCTTAACGAATGAATGAGTCGAGAGTGATACGCGATCGTTTCGTTTCGTTTCGCTTCAATGTCGCTATCATAGGATCGTCTCATTTCATAAATCCGATCTTAGAAAATAATTCTTTGACTCCTTCCATTAGTTTCATTTTAGCAATCGACTTCTCTTCGAGCACTTCGCATTGAAGTTCCAGTGTTTGAAGTTGTTTCTTGTTTTTTTCACAATCCCCAATCTCTGTGACTCGTTTGCTAAGTCGTTTAGCATTGTCAACGAACACCGATGCGACATGAATCAAAAGCACCGTCTGTAGTGTCGAAGCGCTTGTGTTACTGGCAACGAAATTGCCCACTCGAACTTCAGGGATCCGCACATCCGGCTCAAGCATATCAGGGGAAGCCATAGTAACCCTGGTACACGTTTGAGCACAATCAACGACAGCTCCCATCAGATCTACGATCTTCGAATGGCATGATACCAGTAAGTTAAAGAAAAAGGGATCGATATTATCCCTCTCTTCATCTAAACTGGTAAAGAGTCTTCTAAGCTCGTCGGGAAGTTCAGTTGTGTGGAAACAGTTTGAGTCTTGGCATTCGGAAAGATCCGGTCTATCGAATAAGATCTTCAATACTTGGGGGTACAAGTCTATGAGACGTTGAGCCAATGAGAATAGCAATTCAATGCAACGTTCGCGAGGATTGTTTTCGATAAATTTGGCGTGGTAATGTGCGATTGGTTGATTTTTAGGCACATGAACCTGGGATATTGATGAAAGATCCAGGAACAGCTTATCAGCTTCGGCCGCCATGGTAGTTAGCTGACGAATGCATTTTGACCGAGGGTCTTGTGGCACAGCTTCTGTTTGCTGAGTTGGTCGGTCCTGGCCAGATTGGAACTCCTGTGTGGTCTCTGGAGGCGTCGCCAAAGAATCACCTAGACCCAAGATTCCAGGGGAGAAGGATCCGTCTCCCATAGTTGAATCCATACTGTATTGTATGTTAGGTGCTTGACACGACCAATCGAATTGCATATTCATATCACCGTCCGCGTAAACTGAGGTAGGCATGGTGCGTCGGGTATTAAGCCCAGCTGGGCTAAAGGTGCATGTGGCACCAGCTTTAAGACATCTGGTACAGGTTGAAACTCCGGGCTGCTTTGGGCATTTGAGCTTTTGTGAATGACAGCGATCACAACTCGATCGTAGAGGACGCGGCATGCTTGCAGATTCTGTATACCCTCAACTTGATCCGGACTATTTTCACTCCACTCAACAACAAAACACTCAACGATCTGCGAGATCGCCAAACCACATTCAATTCGGCCGTAGCTAGAACCGAAAGATGAATAGTGAAAAAGCTAAAAAATTAAAGGCGAATGTACGTAGGCAATTATGATGTTGGAACGGGGGGTATGATGTCGCTAAAATTCACCAATAAACTGGAATTAAATGGTCTAGACAGTCCCCACCATCTACGTAAAGAGATCCTTGCATATCAGCCTCTCCCGTAGCTGACTGGGTACATTTATAAGCACTTTAACTAACCTAAGATGGTATGGTAAATCCCTTTTGCTCCCTTACTTCCCGACCGTACGGGGTTCTATTTCTCGACTTGCACAATTTGGAGTTGAGAGGATTAGGACCAAGTGAACAAACATCGCATGGAATTTAATATAAATAACTAGAGATTCCAAGCACCTTCATCATTTCGTAGAATAATATGCATGAGACGAAATTGGGCATACATGCTTGATCTGCATATAAGTCGGACTTGATATCGATCGATACCGATTCGATGATAATTCATGCATGCGGCGTTCCTTGTTGCTCCGATTCGATGTCTATCACAACCATCCCACCTATCATTTCATTTATTTGGTAGAGAACAAGATCTGCTGATGAACGCCACGTGCCGAGATGCATACGTATTGTCGCCGAGCGAATAAGGCTGTCTAGATACATGCTCCCTAGGTACCGAAGTCGAGTCGGTTAGATGTTGTGTACAATTATACACAGTCCGACCTGTACCTACATATTGACAGGGCGTTAGACCGACTGTAGATAAGGTCTACTTTACAGCAACGAATTGGACTAAAGCCCAACGGTGCACCACCTACACATGTCTCACAAAATACCCTTCTCTTATCGGACAATTCGAAGGTGAAAGGGGATATACCCAAGCCTGTACGATATTCTTGATCTATGTACAACTTGTCTTTTTTTAATTCTTACGTCTGCCCTTTTCTTATATTTGTTTTTTCCATATTATAGGGTTCTTATTACCTACTCCATCATCCGGTGTCGTGTCTCATCTTTGTACGGCGGTGTGACCAGGTGATCTTTCGCGGGGCATAGTACGAACCAATCGAAATCCATGGATCTTGGCACTGTAGGTGGCGTTGTCGAAGCTCTAGTAGCAACCTACGCGGCGGGTTTAAAATATTACACGAAATGGCAGCAGCGAAAATGGCAGGGAAATTATTATCAATCCCACAGCAGAGGAAATTCGAACAATACTAGCTCTTGTGCTTTAAGTACATCGTTGAGCTTTTCGATCCGCAAGATTAAGGAGACTTACGACAGCGGTGTGGATATTCTTGGCCGAAACTTCGCGACCGGGGATAGTAAGTCTCTTTGACCCATTTGACGCCCTGAATTCGTCTAATATGATATAGAAATATGTCGCGATGCTCTCCAGAGTGATCTCGAGCATTTGCAAGGACGTATACACGTACTCCTCGAAGCATTGCGAGCTGACAACGCCCCACTTGAACTCCTTGAAGTAGTGCGTGTATCAGAAAGTGTCCGAATCAGCTGTCTAGCCGCCTTGGCCAGTCAATATAGACGAGTGGCCGTGGGTCGTCTTGTACCTCGAATTCTACCTGGATCTCAACGACAATCAAGACTCAGCGCCATCATTTCTGAGGAAGATACAACAAAACCGATTGATAATCATTGTGGTGCCGACGACGAAATAACTGTCTATACAGAACCCGTTTGTCATGCTATCAATACGAACCAACCACCCTACTTGCCGTCAGAGCCACCATCGCCCCCATTAACCCCCAAACAAATTCCCGATGATCTACAATCAACTTGTACGTCTATTACATCCGGTTACGGGCCAAGACCTAAGAATAGTGTATTTAGTACGTTCTGTCCTGAAGGACTAAAATATCAAGTCAACCCGCGAAAGACAATGTCTTGGCGCCGACATTGTAGGTGCGGTTACGAGTGGAACGGGCCACATACCGAAGACGAGTTTACCCTAATAATAAAAGAGGGTTTTCGGATTACGGCGAGGTTTCTAGGCAAGTCACATTGCGAAGGTGGTTTCGGGTGTGTTCTATGCACCTCAAGCGGAAGGACAGAGACATATTCCAACGTCGAGGAACTAAAAGCCCACATCAACTCGTCACATACCAAGTGGCAACTACTCCACGATCGAGACATGACAGGTTACTAACCAAGAGTCATCTCTCGACATCATTTCATTTGCTCTTTTATCATATATTATTCAATGTTAGGCCCCGGAAAATATTGCGGATGCTCTGGCGTTGGTCTCGGGTTAACGGCCTTTCTTAAAGATACCCGGTTTATGGGCGCTATATTGACTTTTCCACCCCCCTTACACGGATATATTACGATTAAGGCTTCCTAAAAAATTGGGGTTATCGGGTTAGGGCTGCTGATTCGGCGAGGAATCCAAATTCAAAGCATCCATCGAGATGTTATCATATACCCCTTTTCACTCAGACACTCAGCAAGTTTGTTACAATATCATTTCACATGCGATAATAATAGAAATTTTGTATAATTTTCCTGATGCCAAGTATATAAGGGGGTAAACAACTCTGTTGTTGCGTAAAGAGAGCGTAAGTAAGCTACAGGGACTATCGTATATATACACAAATAACCTCTTTGCCCGAAAAGCTCCTCTATTCTCATATCAACAATAAGGGGTCCTCCCAATACTCCTCATGATGTATCGCTTCGTACAGCTGGATTACCGACAACAATAATCATATCACAATTATTGTCATCTATTCCGACCTACCTTTTGACTCCATCACCGAGCAGTTCTCATTCAATCGTTCCACAATAATAGAAAAGGGGCAACCAGACTCCCTAGTTCAAATTGCACTTACTTCCTCAAATATTAGTTTCAGATCGACTCCGATTTACCTCTTTCGTGTATTACAATCTAGGCAATAATCCGAGATGTGGGAAGTATAAGCAGCAGGAGCGTCCTGAAAGCCGATTAGAGGGCATCGACCATAACTCGCAACCAAGGGGCACTTGATCACCTCACTAGAATAGTCCTGGCGGTGACCGCAGCGGAAAATATTCTGAGGATGCCAGCACATGGTGAAAGATGAAATTAGTGTTGAGTGGTGTTTTTTCTTTTTTTTTCTTTTTCTCTTGTTGATGCCCTCTCGGAAGTAAGTGCGTTGAATAACTTAGTCAAATCCCAGATTTGACTTATTGAAATGAAGATGAAGCTTGATAGTGAACAGAAGAGATCTTAAACTCGTTCTAGCATGTGTTCTTATAACAATTTTCGAAATAAGTCGAACAATGTTCATTGTATCTAGACGATGAAAGATCATTGTAAAAGCTTTTGATGTCCGAACTGACATACATGCTGGTTAGACAATGAAGCCTGTCTGTTCCACTGCAAGAAATCTCTTTGAGCCTTCCATACAGTTGTTCTTTGAGACACATTTATCCTTTTTAGAGCGTAATGAGTCTATTGTCATATAAGCGGTACTTGATATATAATACCATTGTCGATATCTAGAGTTCTAGGACTATGTCCTGCTTGCGGTCCGCTTCACACTCACCATGGAGGGATTACTCGAAGAAATTTCATGACATTCAATTACGTCTGATAGCATGTCATATTACGATGCTATAAATAAATACTACCAGCAATATGAACAGATCCTCAAGTAGTTGACTTCAATACATGATGCGGGAACATGGGTTGGCTCTAGCATGTAGGTCTATATGAGATAGGGAGCTTACTCTTGGCTCCAAATACCCCCCTGAGATCACCTAGTTAAACAACAACAATGAATCTATCATTATGTTCTGCCTGTAAAGAATTCATTATTAGTAGCCTATAAGGGCAAGTCATGAGGTGCTCGTGAGGATGGAGTTATGCAATGAGACCACCGTATACCAAACCAAGTCGGCCGCGGCCGTATTTGATCTCGGCCCGTTCAACAGTACACTCTGACAAATACTATGTTACAACGTTTTTTGAAATACTCCAAGCCTCCCGCCCATCGGCAGGAAGCTATACCGATTCTAACCTGAATCAAGGGACTCATCCCCTAGCTTTGCGTCTGGATTACTCTCTCAAATTCTAGCCTCGTGGCCTTCTCTCGGAGAGCATATTACCCCACAAAATACGGCCTGCATACCGCGTTTCCAATAGTGCATCTTTTCATTTACTTCCCTTTGACTTCAATATAAATGTGCTTATTGATTGGTCGTTGCTGGGGGTGTACAGGGGCCAACACATTTTACCCGGCGACTCTTTATCCGCTCGGTAGCCATCTCGCCGCTTCCAAAGATGTTAGGTCGTCATTGAGCATGATTCGGTCCTTCGGAAATGTAAACATTTAATTATATCTCTTATGCTTCTTGTAATAACTGTATGGAATGGATTGATGGACCTATAAGAGCGACTAACCGACGCGCGGCCTGTCATGTCTATATATAACCCAGTGGTTGGAACTTGGGATTCTAAAATATAGTAGCTTCAAGTACCCAAGTTGTGCCAAATAGTATTTAGTTAAGTATATACTATTTATTCTTATCTCCCTTGAAAATGAAGGCTGTTGCAGCTCTCTTGGCTCTAGTGTCAGCCGTTCAGGCTCACTGTAAGTAAAATCAACGATTATGTACGAAAATTCTTAATAAATAACTAACAAAATGGTTATAGACACCTTCCCGGCTCTTATTGCGGGCAGTTCGGCTACTGACAAGTGGGAGTACGTGAGGAAGACGACCAACTACCAAAGCAATGGGCCAGGTTTGTGGCAGTCCTTCCCTTTTTACCCCCAAAAGTAGCGACGACTAACCTGAAGATGCAACAGTGACCGATGTCACATCAGAGCAGTTCCGATGCTACCAACTCGCTCCCGGCAATGAGGGTGCTAAGACCATGACCGTCGCCGCTGGCTCAACCGTAGGCTTCACGGCCGATGCTTCCGTTTCGCACCCAGGTACCCTACAATTCTACATGGCCAAGGTTCCCTCAGGCCAGAAAGCGGACTCTTGGGACGGTTCGGGAGCTGTATGGTTTAAGATCTTCTCTCAGGGTCCCAACATTGCGCCCTCAGGATTGACATGGCCAAGCCAAGGCGCCAAACAAGTTACGACTAAGATCCCATCATGCATTCCCGCGGGTGACTACCTTCTCCGTGTCGAACACATTGCTCTTCACAGCGCTGGCTCTGTCGGTGGTGCCCAGACATACATCTCTTGCGCTCAACTTACTGTAACCGGCGGTGGCAGCAAGACCCCGACCAACCTCGTCTCGTTCCCTGGTGCTTACAAGGCCACTGACCCCGGCCTATTGATCAACATCTACTACCCAGTCCCGACTTCTTACACTGCTCCTGGACCTGCTGTGTTCACTTGTTAATTTAAGGAAGGTAGTCGTTGGAGATAGGGGCTACTAGTAGATAATATCGGCGGGCAGAATCGAGTGGTAATTATAGGCCCAAATAAATAAATAAAAAAAGCATTCGAAAACCTAATCGTGAGAGAGCCGTTATAACCGAGAAACATAAACAGTGATTAGTGCATGACGATACCCTCTCTTTCCAGTAGAACTACGTAGCGATAGCATTAATGAATGAGTAGTCACGATCGGTTTAAAAAGACGGCGCAATTGAATTATTTCATGTTTCATTCCATCGGTATCAATAAAATTAAAGTCCATACTCGTATCCAACTATCCTACACCGCCAGAGGACATCAGTTGGTTGGGTATCTTCATGCCCACCCAAAATGGGACCCGTCACTTCACCCCCGTCATCATATCCCTTCAGCCACCTTAGTCGGTAGTAGCATCGAAAGACAAGAAGGTTGAAGCATTTCCGGCTTCATCCTCGTCCTGCTGAATATTGTTGTCGAGCTTCTTTTGTTCCGTGGCCATCTTATCCGCCACATCATCTCCTTGCGCTTGTTGGATCATGAGGGCAAGGATAGTAGCCTGGAGCTTCAAGACCTTGTTCTTGATCTTACCACGCTGAAGAGCGTCAGCCTCCTCACCATCAGCGGCGTCGATAGCAGGGTTGAATGCTTCCTTCTCGGCGTCGTTGCAAATGCTGTTGACAGACTTTAGGAAGTCGATATCGGCATCGTCGGCAGCGGCTAGGTTGTTTGTGTCTAGAGCGCTGAAGACGGCAAGTGCTTCTTCTTGAGCGTTACCGGCGACACCACCGGAGATGGAGATGTCGTCATAGTTCTTCTGGGTGAAAACGCCGGCCTGGACGGTAGCAGCGGCAGCGGCGATAAGAGCGATTGAGAAACGCATGATGAATGATGTGAGTGAAGAGTAGTTGATGTGATGATGGGTCGTCAACGACTGGTGGTAATTGAAACGAGTAGGATAGAGAATTCGAGTAATGGAAAGAAGCGAAAGAACAGCACAGCTGCGTAAAAAGAAGGAATTGAAACAGAAACTGGCTGTTTAGTAGTTTTGATGGGATGAAGAAAGGAGGTATTCCCGGATTGATGCGCGGGAGATCGTAGATCTTATACAACTTGATGTTCATAGAAACGGGAAATCATCCCAACAATTATCGGGTTCTCAACCGTCTTGTCGGCAAGCATAACCAGGGAATGAAGCCTCGTAACCGTTCTTGGATGGACACACTTGTGTTAGTCAAGTTGCTATGCAACGCGCTTTGCTTGAAGAATTGCTTGGCTGAAACCCATGCCTCCTCTCATTCCCCTAAGCTTGCCATCGTAAAGCTAGTCGATGGGGGAGCACCCTAGAAGATTAAGAGGCGAACACCAAAAATGGTCGGACCTGCTTATGATACCTTGACAAAATCCTTCATTAACGGGAACTATAATGGTGGAGTTATCCGCAACTTGAGGTTCATTCTACCATCTTGGCGGTGCCTAGGCGCCATCATGAGGCTCCCACCGCCCTGGTCTGCCTAAATTAGGTAGTCTCCTAAGCTGAAGAACGTATCATTTCGTTTCATCATTGAAATTGCCAGTCATTAGACTAGGTGATTTATACCATACAAAATGTATACAATTATTAACAGATGCTCCGAGAAAAGATATGAGATGAAATCTATCGCGGGTAGATAATTCTCGATGAAAATAATGATGAGAAAGAAGAAAAGATGGGGTTCTGGCGCATCGTCTGAAGCTGAACATGGGTGTGTAGGGGACATAGCTAGGCCTAAGCGAAAGGAACTCGACTCCACTATCTCGGTGCTTAGCGAAACTACAGGGTAATCCTAGTTACCCCTTGTCGCCCCATGGAGGGCCGAAATCTTCCAGATTCGAACGTAGAAGTTATGAGATGAAAAGCTGGGCTCACTTCAAGGGGTAGTCCACGTTTTAAAGCATGGATTTGAGAAGGTTGAGTAGAAGATGGTGATATCCTCACGAATACTACATATTCTTTTCTAATCGTTCCACCTCGGCACAATGATACCTAATGATGATGTCCATTTAGTTACCTACTTGCCAATGTCACTTAGTTGTCTCAATTGTGAATCATCGCCAAGCTTATCGCGCTCTAGAAACCGTTGCTTTTTTTGATATTTTCAACGTAATAAGGAGATTTTGTTCGTCGCCCTCATCCGATGCAAGCATCCGATAATAATTTGCTCAAATTTCCTTTTGTTTTTTTGTTGTTTTTCTTTGTCTCGGTTTTCCGTCGTTAACCGCCACTCTCTTAGCCAAACCATCAATCATCGTGCTTATCCCACTTTATGACCAATTCTGTTGAAGATGGGAATGGCAGACACGAATTAATAATCTATGATTACTTTCCTACCTCTTAAACGTTTATTACCCCTTCTGCTAGAAAGTATCCGACAGGATTCGGACCTGTCATATGGTGATCACTATTCAAAATACTGATAACCTAGGTATAGATCGATCTTCTCGAATGATATCTACCGAAAAGGCTTGATTTATAAGAAATACTGCATATCGACTGTTCTCCGTTGATTTATAAGCTAGTACTGATACTTGTATGATTCCAACCATACTACGCAACCGGCTATCTATTGAGCATCGGGGTTGGCTTCTCGGACAGATCGTCATACCCCTCAGAAATGGCGACATCTCCACGGATTATAACTCCGATCCGAACGGCCCGGAGCCTGCTTCATGGATCTCATAGAAAATGGCCGTCCCGCCGCAGAGGAATTTATGTAGCCAGCTATAGATACTAACTATAGGTGCTCTAGTAACGAATAATCATGGCTGAACAAAAGAAGAAACAACTCCACTTGGGTGCTTTCATGCGCCCGGTGAGTCTACATACTGGAGCATGGCGATACCCTGGCGCATATCCCGACGCCAACTTCAATTTCCAGCATATCAAATCATTTGCTAAAAAATTGGAAAATGCTAAATTCGATGCATTTTTCATGGCAGATCATTTAGCGGTGTTAAATATGCCAATTGAAGCTTTGCGACGAAGTCAAACAGTGACCTCATTCGAACCATTCACGCTACTATCGAGTTTGGCTGCTGTGACTGATCGCATCGGGCTTGTCGCTACTGCTTCGACCACCTACGACGAACCTTACCATATCGCAAGACGTTTTGCCTCTCTTGACCATTTAAGCGGTGGTCGCGCCGGATGGAATATCGTCACAACTGCTAATCCCGACTCAGCACGCAATTTCGGTAAGGAAGAACACAAGGAGCATGGTGAACGTTATGCCCGAGCTCGTGAATTCTACGATGTAGTTACTGGGCTTTGGGATTCATTCGCCGAAGATGCTTTTATTCGCGACGTCGAAAGTGGTATCTTCTTTGACCCCGACCGTATGCACGTCCTGGATCACCACGGAGCTGAGCTCAATGTCAGGGGACCATTAAACATTGCGCGACCACCACAAGGATGGCCAGTTATCGTACAGGCTGGACAATCGGAACCAGGACGTCAACTCGCTGCCGAAACCGCCGAAGTAGTATTCTGCGCGCCTCGTACGCTTGAGGCGGGTAAAGATTTTTTCAAGGATGTGAAGGACCGGGCTGTTGCTGTGGGACGTGATCGCGATGATATCAAGATATTACCTGCCGCCTTCGTCCTTGTCAGCAATACCGTTGAGGAGGCGCGACAAAAGCGATTGAAGCTAGACAGCCTTGTTCATTACGACAGTGCAATCGCCTCACTATCCATTGCGCTCGGTTTTGATGCCTCCAAGTTGGACCCCGACGCCCCTCTACCAACGGAACTTCCCGAGACCAACGCTAGCAAATCAGGTCGCGAAGGGGTTATAAAGCTCGCTGCGGCTGAAAACCTAACTGTCCGCCAACTTGCACAGAGATATGGCGGATATTCCAGTCTTGCCTTTGTTGGTACGCCAGAGACCGTAGCTGACGAAATGGAGCAATGGCTTTTGCAAGAAGGCTCGGATGGTTTCAATGTTAACTTCCCCTTCTTGCCAGAGGGTCTTGATGATGTGGTTAAACTCTTGATACCTGAGTTACAACGACGTGGGATCTTCCGTAAAGACTATGAGGGGACTACTCTACGTGAGCATCTAGGACTTAAACGGCCTAAGAATAAGTTCTTTTCTTAAGCATATAGGGCTACTCTTTAAAGATGGATATTATATTGGGGAATATGTGCAAATGGACTAAACGGGTTCATGTACCTTTCAAATAATCGCTTTGTTACTATTTCGGGCCAGTTGCGCCCCGGCTTATCGTGATAAGACCCCTGAATACCTATGTAAACCCCTGACACCAGGATAGTTTTGAAATTAAGTAATACAACCAGGCAATCCAGTTTGAAAGACCGATTCTTATCGTGAAAATAGATAGTAAACTCGAGGCCTTCGCTCGATTACTAAAATTGGGTATCTAATATCCAGTAGCTATCTAATGCCGACCCTCCAGTTAAGGATTACGGGTTTGGATAGCCTTGGTATAAAGAACAAGTTGTCATGGAGGTAGAATTTAATAATTCAACTATGAAGCTCAACACTCATCATATATCTAAAGTTGCTATATATCGACCAAGCTACCTCCACCTTTATGGGTTGGTATCCAAGAAGTGTAGGTAATATTGCCAAAGTGACATTGCGAGAAACCGTAGATCTACTGCTATACACCTCTACACTTATCCAAAGCGAAGCCCAAAGCCCAATGAATCGACCATAGCATCCCCAACACTTCATGCCATCATAACGAATGCACTTCACATTCCAGGAACTTATTTGTTAGTAATGGAATCAAAATTGTTTAATGGGTAGTTCATGCTTACCGGGGTCGATTGGGTGAGGTGGCGGCGATGGGTTTGAGTCTCCCTTCTTGTTAGGGGTCATCTCGTTCTTAATGAAGGCCATTGTTTGTAAAATGTGTTGATGTTAGAAAATGTGTTGATGTTAGAGTTTCAGTATAACCTATGTAGGCGTTGTTTATTTGATTTTGAAGTAGTTCGAGAGTAGTGATCTTGTTTTATTTAGCTGGTTGAGTTGAGTTGGTAGTTCTGACTCTCAAAAAGGATAGAAATCACGTCTAATTTATAGACGACTCGTATTCCTAAGAATCCATGGCGGATCGCTACGCAGATGAGTTCAATCACAAATATCAAGGATCGCAAGTGTTCTAAGTGATAGTGTGCTACGTTCGCACTTGAGTGCGGGAACATGTGTGTTCACAATCTCCTGCGCAAATGCGAAGATCACTCGTACAATTGCGAAGCACTAACGAAACATCGCGACGCTAAATTTCATTAAATATTGGGATTCAACATTTTGTGGAGAGAATGATGATTCTTTCAACATTTGTGTGTGTATTTTTTTTTTTTTTCATTCGAGAATATATCGTGTACGAATTGCGCAACGTAGTCGATCCCCCATGTTGAAATAATACCACATTTTCTCACATTTTAGCGAGGTCATCCAATAAAACTATTATTTGGCTAATAATAACCATAATTATATCTATATACCTAGATGAAGAGAAAAAGCTAATAAAAATTGCGTAGATATTCAAAGAAGTAACAGGATTAAGCATGTCACGCCTATGCGTCCGCCTTCGCCATTGCGGCAGTACGTACATTCTCAAGGGGTACTAACTATACGATATTAACAATTAAATACCTACCAATCTGTACCTAGTATGGCTTGATCGATTTGGTGTACGAAAAACTAAATGATGTTTGACTCATAGTGTGCCTAGGTGTATCTCTATCGAGTATATAGAGAGCTAGTGTAAGCCGTATGACTTTTAACTCTGATGAGTTGAACCAAATAAGTATCAATATACTATTTTATTATGCATCATGCCGTGTTAGACGTTTTTTTGGTCCCCCTTTTCCATTGCAACGCCACGAATCGTGTAATCTACCTAGGTATGTTCATATGTTCTCCGAACGTAGCTTGTGTGGAATAAAAAATAACAAAATAATAATCAATTGACCAATCATATATCAAGAAATGTGTATTAACTATGAAACAGAACCCCCAATGATTTTACGAATCCTGGGAATGCCTGACGAAAATACCATGTCAGTCCGGTACATGGCGCATTTGCGTCGCGAAGCATTGTGGCTTATGAATTGAAACCCTCCATCACTTTCAGTGACGATGCCTATTGGTGGATTCGACAGCCGCCAGGATGAGAAAGTGCAATTTTATGTATGATTCCGTCACTCATTTGCGCAGCTAAGATATATGCAGCGCAAATGCGTGAGGCTTCGGGTGTCAGATGGAATTTCGTCCATCCGGGCGCATCATGCTCCAAGTTTATCGAACGTTGAATTTCCTTATTCGTTTGAGGTTTTTGTAGGCGTGATATAAACATCACACTCTAGGCACCTACGTTCTGACATACAATCATCTAGAACCCCTGACCATTACGAGCAGTACGTAAAGTGGACTCCAGAGCCTCATCCAGGACAAAGTAACAGAAACCTCTTGTTTTGTTTTATTCCACACAAAAACTATAGCACGCCATGGCATCATCATCTCAAAAAGACATGATATCTTCCTACTCACTAGTTGAGGAGAGTGGAAAGAATTTGGTTGCTCAACTTCAAGCAGATAGTGGTATTCATGATCTTCAACACTCTAAGAATTTCATCCAAAATTCAATCTTTCGTACCGGCACATTCTCAAGTCGTTCTAATACTCCAAGTATAGTCGATAGCGTATGGGATGGCTCTTCGGCTGTTCACTCGGTACAGAGTCCGGCTTCATGTGAGGTCCCTTTTTTGGAGCTGCAAGTACCCGAACAATGCGGAAGATCATCCAATGGTGATAGCGAGGGCAGCAATTTTCCTCAAATTCCAGAGCCAAGGTTAGTAGCGGTTTGTTTTTCTATTTCTCTCCTCTGTGGTAGTTTAACTTACGTTTTACGGGAATAATGAACAGGGAAGCTATCAAACCACCCCTCCGATGCACAAGCTGCGGAGAATGTTTACCTGGAAGAATACCTGACTCGAGACGAAACTGTTGTCGATGCAATAGCTGCAATAAATGTTGTAACTGCAAAGACGGCACCGTCGAAGACAGAACGAACGACGCTAAAAATGGTCTTAATCGAGATAAATATGAAGAGTTCGCTAGTGATTTTGAAGAAGATGATATGGATTCCGACGATGACGAAGACGACGATAACGAATGGGGGGGCGAACCTGATCGAATCGAGATGGCGGTCCTGTCCAACGTTGATAATCTCGAACTTGCGGCTTGGTTGATTGTCGAGTTGCACAGAGATCAGATCCATAACGAAGCGAGAAAGATTGGAGGTTGGCAAAGAGGCATGATCAATTGCCAAAATTCAGATTCGAGCGAAAATTCACAACAGCCGTACACGACTTCTAGCACCGACAAGAAACCATCCAAGTCTCATAAACGAGTGCGACTATCTGGGTCTCGAGGTAGAGGCTCTGATGATGAAGGAGATGGAGATGATAGGGAAGACAACGAAGGGAACGGATCTCCTGACAATCACGATGATGCCTCGGCATCGGGTGACCTCAGAGGTCGATATGCTTGTCCTTTTAATAAGCTATACCCCGACAGGTTCTGTAGCAATACAACCACTGGCAACCAATATCGAGTATGCGAATCGGGATATAAGACAATCCAAAGATTGAAGTAAGACATCCTCTTCGCATCATACCCTAGGTATTTACCGGATGATATGTTATTAACAATCGATCTAGGGAACACATTAAACGAAAACACCTGTCGATACAATGCGAACGATGCTTCAAAGTCTTTTCTGGAAAGGGTAAAACCAGCGAGGAAAGCGTCGCCGAGCTCAGAAAACATCGTCAACAACGAGAACCATGTGCCCTCGGAAGCCCCGAGCCAAATGCGGGCATAAACATGGAACAATGGACACTTCTTGACAGAAGCGGTGGAAAGAAAAGGCAGAAGGTCTCTGAGGTAGAGAAGTGGAATGAAATTTGGGACACAATCTACCCAGATCAACCACGCCCTACACACCCTTGTGAGTGAAATATTCTAACGATGGACCCAGATGCACACATATGGGTACCCAGACGTTCAGATAACTATTCTAACCACTCCCTAGGGGCCGAACGAACAACACCAGGGGTTAAACCGTGCCCAGCACCAGCCAACACCCAAAATTTCGCACGCTTGTTCAGCCGGTTCCTAGACCACGAGACCGGATCTGGTGACATTCAGTTTGCCCCAGGAGAGGAGCTTTTAATGAAAACCCGCATGAATTCCATGGCTCTGAAGGTATACAAACTTCATACCGACTTGAACGATACACCATCTTTCGGAAATTCTTCAACTAGTGACCAAACAGCTACTCAAGTTACGATGCCATCCACGCCAATTCAACGGAGTCCGAATCTGCCACGACAGCGAGTTTCCGGGCCAAAGATGGATAGACATGGAGGCCCACCAATGCTCATGCCGAACCCACAGACACAGTTCGGCATGCTTGAGCCGCAAATGACAGCCATGAACTACGGGACATCGCCAGCTTTTATGAACGGACCTTCTCAGGGGCTTGTCTTGGACCAACAGGATCTCAATTGGACTTTTGGTGATATAAACCAAGACTGGTCTGGCTTCCTCCAGGAAGATCATGACATGCCCTATATTCCACAGAACGAACAGAACTGAGAGCCTAGTTCTCGCTTGTTAGTAAGTAACCCCCTAATAGTCTCTCAATCTAATGAAGACTTCCTGCTTTCATTTCCCTGTTCAACTATACTTGACTGACGACGTATAGGCATTAACTGATGCTGGAGAAACCATGTCAATTTTTACGAATTGTCTTGATCACACATGTACGAATTTCACTTTTAGATGTTTGGATATCTCCGCTTTTGGTTTTTTTATTACCATTCCCGTATTTGTCTCTTTCCTCTTGTTACGACTTACTGTATTGGTATTGGGTACGTGTATAAGAATGAGCTATGATATTTTCCTATTGCCAGTTTCTTGCGGCTTTTCTCTACTTTTAGGCATTTCATTTACTTAGAGTTACTTACCTTCGTTTATGTAATAGCTAATATGCTATTAATTACTTGAACAATTATAGTTGGCTCCCTTCAACTCTTTTCTTCTATTTTCTGAATTTTAAAAGTTCGATAAATCTAATATACTACGGCCTTCTGACATTGGTGATTTTCATGATCGTGTTAAATATTCGAATAAATTCCAACGTCTTTGCATTCTTTATACTGCATAGTCTGAAGTAATAGGTTTAGCTTCGTGGAAGGAGCGTACACAGGTATCTCGGCATACGTCCGTGTGATTACCTGAGTGGTTCCAGAGAGCCTAATTGTTTAACTACTGACGATGAATACTGACGATAAATCTCACTGGGGTACATTACACAGCTTATTTGCAAAATATTTCGTCAAGCTTACCGGCGATCCCATGTTCTATAAGATCTAGGGTTTATTAGGTAAGCGCCTAAAATACTTGAAGAAACTTGAGTGTTTATAATCTTTCAAGGTACGCTATCCTTTTTTTTATATCCTTATTCTTCTTAATTCTTCTTAGTCTTCTTATTCTTAGTCTTCTTATTCTTGATCGACTTGTTCATTAAGAAAGGCAGGTACATAGGTACCTTCACTGCCCCTTCAGGCCCCACTTTACTTGACCCACTTCATGGATCCATGTCATTGGTAGCTGTCTTCTAAAACACGCTAAGCCTTATTTGGTCTAAAGCCTAGAGCTTGCCTAGAAATCTTATCCTCCAGGTGCTACTGCCATCAATCAAAGAATCTAACTTTCGCAGGTTCAACTTTAAATCATCATCTTAAACCCTTTCACCTTTCACCTTTTCACCTTTTTTATGTTCTCACCTTTTCATCTATTTCTCTCTCCTCTCTACCCAATCTCGAGTTCGACAGATTAATTTATTCCTTTATTCATTGACACACCTAATTATTCGCCACAATGAGTGATCCTCGCGACCACGATCAGCCTGAGTCGGACGAAGAGGATTTTAATCCTGCGCCTGCCGACCTCAGCGATGACGAGAATCAGCAATCAAGACAGCAGCCTAATAAATCTTCGCCCCCGCGTAATGGGGCTAATGACGACGAGGATGATGATGCTGAGGGAGATGTAGCCGGAGATGATGATGAAGAGGAGGAGGAAGATGACGAAGAGGATGATGTCCAGGTGAGTCATTTCATTACGCGTTCCTCATTACCAGGCCTCGTAATGAACCGAATCTTTGAAAGGGTCATCGTCGCAAACGCCGCCGCGACAGACGAAACGCGTTTTTCGATATCGAAGCCGAAGTTGACGACGAAGACGAAGGTGAAGATGATGAAGAAGCCGCCGAAGAGAATGAGGGATTCATTGAAAACGAGGAACCTGGCGACTTCGGCGAACAGAGCCGACTAGACGACGATAGGCGACACCGAGAACTCGATCGACAGCGCGACGCGATCACCCAAGAAGATCTCGAACGAGCGGCCGAAGGATATGTACGCAAATATGGAAATCGTCGAGCGGCACGTGGCATGGGCGAATCCTCTATCGTACCCCAGAGATTGCTTCTCCCCAGTGTTGATGATCCAAGTATCTGGGGTGTACGATGCAAAGAAGGCAAGGAACGTGAAGTTGTCCAAGCCATTTGCAAGAGGATTGGTGAACGCGCAAACACGAAAGATCAATTGGCGATTACCGGTGCATTCGAGCGAGCTGGTCCCAATTCCATTATGAAGGGACTTATCTACGTTGAAGCTCCCAGACAGAGCGACGTCTTACTCGCCCTCGAGAATATCATGAATGTTTACCCGCGCAGCAAGTTAGTCTTGGTCGATATTAAGGAACGACCGGATTTGATGAGGGTTCAAAAAGTACCTACTCTTGAACCTGGTGCCTGGGTGCGACTTCGAAGACCTGCTAAGCATTCTGGTGATCTTGCGCAAGTTCTCGATATTACCGAGAACGGCCTCGATGCTAGGGTTCGCTTCATTCCTCGACTTGATTACGGATTACGAGATGAATCGTTCACAAGCCCGGCCGATAAAAAGCGAAAGCGACCAATTGTCGGACCTCGACCCCCTCAAAGATTGTTTAGCGAGACCGAGGCCAGGAAGCGACACCCACGTACGCTTCAATACAGTAGCCAGGCTAATACCTGGAATTATAACGGTGACGAGTTCGAAAAGGGATTCCAAGTCAAGGATATCAAGATTCAACACTTGATTGTCACTGACGTGAACCCGACATTAGAAGAAGTGACTAAATTCGCCAACGGAGGCGAAGATGGCGTTGAGAATATCGATCTCAAGTCACTCGCAGCTAGTCTTAAGGATAGTAATGCGAACGTCACATACCTACCTGGCGATGTGGTAGAAGTCTACGATGGCGAACAAAAGGGTGTAGTCGGAAAGGCTACAAATGTTCAAGCAGATATCGTCACCATTGCAGTTACCGAAGGCGACCTAGCCGGACAGACCATCGAAGTTCCGACAAAGGGTCTTCGTAAACGATTCCGAACTGGCGACCACGTCAAGGTTATTGGAGGTAGTCGATATCGTGACGAGGTCGGCATGGTCGTCAACATTGTTGAAGATCGTGTCACTCTTCTTACTGACCAAACGACAACCGAGATCACCGTATTTAGCAAAGATCTTAGAGAGGCTAGCGATATTGGTGGACAAGGATCACTCGGTCAATACTCATTACTTGATCTCGTTCAGCTTGACCCTATGACGGTTGGCTGTATTGTCAAGGTTGATCGAGAGACACTTGTTGTACTCGATCAGAATGGTGATACTAGACAGGTTATGCCTTCACAGATCGCTAACAAGCTCCCAAAACGAAAGCTCGCCGTGGCTGCCGATCGTAACGGATCCGAAATTCGACCCGACGATGTTGTCAAGGAGCACGGCGGTATGGGTCGACAAGGCAAGATCATTCACATCCACCGCACCTATGTATTCTGCCACACGCATTCCACCAACGAGAATGCTGGTATTTTTGTGTGCAAGGTCAACAACGTATCTACGATCTCAGCGAAAGGTGGACGTGTCAACGCAGGTCATTCTGGTCCCGATCTGGCGGCTATGAACCCTGCAAGAAAGATGAATGCGGGTGGCGACAGAGACAGGAGTAGCATGCCACCTCCCAAGGCTACATTTGGTCGAGACAAGCTAATCGGACAAACCGTCACGATAAGAAAGGGTGGTTGGAAGGGTTCACTCGGTCGTGTCAAGGATACTACCGATACGCACGCTCGTGTTGAAATGCATAGTAAAGGAAAGATCATCAGCATCCCGAAGACTGATGTTACAGTTCGTGACAGCATTACTGGGCGAGAAATCAAGAATTACGACAGCCGACGCCCTAACCAAGGTGGATTTGGGGGAAGGCCTCAAGGAAACCCGGATTGGAGTGGAAGCCGTACACCAGTGGGCGGAGCTTCATCACGAACTCCTGCTTGGAAGACCCCATCCACGGGTGGAAGTGGTGGACGCACTCCTGCGTGGAGCAAGGGTGGTGATGGTGGTCGGACACCTGCGTGGGCTGATGGGTCCCGTACAGTCAATCCTTACGATGGAAGCAGAACTTCTTATGGCTCTGGTAACCGTACACCAGCGTGGTCCTCGGGTGCGAAGACACCAGCACCTGATCATTTCAGTCACGGATCCAAGACGCCCGCTTATGGTGGTAGTGGTAGTGGTGATAACTGGGGATCCAAGACGCCCTATGGTGCCTCAGCGGCTACACCGGGTGCTAGTGGAGGTGATACATGGGGATATACACCTGGCGCTAGTGGATCATCAAATGCCTACGATGCCCCAACTCCCGGTGCTGGGCTGCTAGGTGCCCCCACTCCCGGGGCTTTGAATGCCCCGACACCTGGTGCCTACAATGCGCCTACACCTGGCGCCATGAATGCTCCCACTCCCGGAGCAGGTTGGCAAGGAGGATGGGGAGCCGACTCAGCCCCCACACCTGCGGCGGCGGCCCCTACACCAGCAGCAAGCGGATTCGCATCGAACAGCGGATATTATGGAGCGCCTACCCCTGGTGCATACAGCGCAGAGACACCCGCTGCCGGTCCCCGATACACTGATGATGATTGAGCGATTTAGATAATTAGAAAAATGGTATCACAGAAGAAAAGGCATGGCACAGCACGGGATGGGGAGTGACATGGAGTTTTGTATTATTTACACTTACCTTCGGGGTTCGGCCGTACCATGTAGCATAGGATGGTTTTCATAGTCTTTTCCCAATCAATCCTTTTTATTAAACGTCTTTATGCTTTAAAGTATTGTACTATCATCGCCTACTGGAACTGGCCGCCCTTTATAATGTACCACCAGACCTCGACCTAGCTAACCACATGCCCATGAATGAATACCATCTAGCCTCCAGTACCAATTCATTAAGCTAAACCTGTCTACTATCCCATATCACTACTCCTAATATACAGGTTAAGGTATTTCAGCATGATGAAAAACCCCACTCTCATACTCTCAACAACTGAATTTTTGGACACAACCCCCATTCTCTTCCCTTCTCGCATAAGATAGTGAAATGACTCCTTTGTTTTTTTTTGCTTCAAAGTAGCCTACCCACTACCTACCTAAGATGTACCTAATTCTTTAAACCACCAGCACAATAGCCCTACCCTACCCTATTATGCCCATCATCCCCAAACAAACTCTTCGAGCTCGCCCATCCACAAAACAAGATGCGGGCCCAAGAATAAAAAAAAACGCCTTGCTTCGTAAATGCATGTAGCAATCTGAAGGGAGGGGTAGTGCCAATCTATAGGATAATGGATGTATTTGGCGGTGGGAGCAGGAAGAAGGATTTGCATCGAGGCTTTCCAACGAATTTGCATCAACCCTTGCCACATACATACCTAACGGGGTGGTGACTATGGATATGATCGATAAAATCAAATCTTTACACCCCAGACACCTCGTCCGCCACTTACACCGAGCCAGTCACCGACGCCATCCCCGTTGTGAAGAGGAGGAGCCCATCCGAGGTTGCCGACTTCGTAATCACATTGCCAGCTAGCAACCGGTGTAAGGTGTTTATCGGCCGAACCGACTCCGTTAGAAGCATGGCCGGTTGTAGGAGTACTGTTGACAAGATCCCATAATAGTACTTGGCAATCATCACCACCTGAAGCAAGTAAACCTCTTCTGCCGGGTGCCCATTCTATCGAGTTTACGGATCCGCCGTGTCCGCGCAATTCTAGTAATGCTTGTCCTGGATGTCGTACATCGAGGATACGGATGACATTTGAATCTTGAGCAAACGTAGCCAGCATGTAAGTGTCGTGTGGTGAAGTAGCTAATCTTAATAGAGGCGGCGCGTGCGACATGGTTTGTTGAGCAAGAGTAGGGCTTATCCTTCCGCCATTCGCATCTATTTTAGTATTAGTAGAGAATCCTGGGGAGTAAGCAGACGGTCTTGAGGTCATACCCCGATCGTCCTTGGCAGTTGGTTCATAGATGATAGTACTATGTTCCAAGCTGCGAAGATCGAACATCCTCACGCTTCCATCTTGTCCACAGCTAACGAATACGTCCACACTATTGGCACAAAATCGAACATCGTAGACTTCCTTATCGTGCGCAATTAGTTGCGTCTTGGCTGTGAGGGACGGTATATCCCAGATTGTACAGGTCGTATCAATGCTGGAGGTGATGATCAAGCTTGGCGAGACCGTATTCCAATCCAATGATGTGAGCGGCGCGGTATGATCTGGTGTCTTGGAATTCGATAATAGCGCGAGGGGCGTAAGCTTCGTAACAGGTGCGCCGATGTTAGATTTGTTCACTAAGTTCGAATGCGTCGATTGGGCATCGGTAGGAAGAGACCAAAGTCGAAGATGGTCACCGGAGGTAGCTAGAAGATCGGTAGATTGTTTTTGGGAAGAGGGAGGTTCCCATAGCAAGCGAGTAACAGGGTACGAATGTGTTGCTTCTGCAACTTTGGTAAATTCCATACTATACTTAGAGGAACCAGGAGTATATATATCGGAAGGGGTATTGACGATTTGGGTATCAAGGATTTGGATCTATCGAGTATAAATCGTTAGCAGCTATGAATATAACGAATACACACTCCAAGATTGAGGTCATTAACATACGAAGTTATGTCCATCTTCTAGGTAGCTTCCGACAGCGACCTTACCGGCTCCTCTACCTTGAGGAGCCCATTTACACCAATCGAATGCATAGAGTGCCCAAGGAGCTAGATAATTGCTTGTAGATGGTTGAATATTGGCGAGTTCGTAGCCAAGTGTACCTGGAGGACCGCCATCGGATAGACTCGAATCGGCTCGTGGTCTAATATCGGCTAGACCAAGCGGTGTGTTGGAAATGTTTCGCTGCGAACCGGGAGCGCCATATTTTGGATCTTGTGGCGACATGTATTGAGACGGACCAGCACCAGATCCTCCAGGCGTGGTAGGTGTATAGGGAGAGTAAGTGGTCGCGGAGGTTTCATAAGGAGCGGCAGGACTAGATCGAGAATAGCCATGCGACAAGCTTAATGGAGGTGCTTTCGAAGGCGAGGTGTAATCGCTCGGAGAATGTTGTATGCTACCCGACATGGTGGGTAGAGTGGGCGCGGTATTAGCACTCATGGCGGGGGGACGACCAGAGCCAGCGGGGCCTAAACCACCAGGTTGAAGTACGTTGGGCACACCGGAATTTTGGTATTGAGGATTGACGGGTTGCGAAGAAGGTTGTTCGAGCTTGATATGGGGACCGGTGGTGAAGTCTCGCGGGGAGGGCAATTGTCCACTGTGGCTCATGGTTGGGGAAATATGGAGTTCGTCGTGTTGAGAGCCATAGGTATTAGTTCGTCTCGGGGCGGCTCCGTACTGGCCTGTCTGATTCATATTGGATGCGCTGGTAGTTTGCGACAAAGCTGCGAAGTACTTGGAACACACAACTAGACAACCAAACAACCACTGACTAGGTGGGGGAGGACCGCTATTGGTCCGAGTCGCGATGAAAGGGAGTCAAATAGTAAAGGAGAGTTGGAAGGGGGAAACAATAATCGTAGGAGGGAGAAAGAATAGATAAGGGAAGAAGGATACGTAGGGTTGGGTAGGAAAATGTATGTAAAGAACAAGTCGCAGGGACTAAATTTTTCGACTTGGGATGTCAAGATTGCTAGTTAGACTTGGATGTTGCGAGCGGCGTCAGAAGTTAGGTAGCAGTCAGAGTAATTCTTAGTAGGTAGGTCGATACCTATATTCCCCCCCCTGCAGATTTCGCGACGTCGGGCGGGAGGATCTGGTTGGGCTCTCTTAATCGTTGCGGCTGTTGATGTTGCGTGTACTGATCCTAGCACTGTTTTGGTGCTGTTGTTGATACCTTAGGTGGTAGGCTACCTTAGTAGTAGGTAGGAATAGGTACCTCTAGAGGGAATAGGGAATAGAGCTGAAGATGGCCCAAGCCTACACCATTCAGTCGCAAATGATGAGAAACCTCAAGGCGGCCTGAAGACGATGTCGCAACGTTTCGGTCGGTATATGTTGATTCCGAAATTAGCCACCGTTACTATCGCTCTCATTGCCTCGCATTACTAACTTGGCGATAGAGCAACTCGATCTACTCTTTGGTATCCAGTCGTGTGAAGGAGTTCCAGTAAAATGGATGTGGTGGAGATGGGGAGATGGTTGGGCAGGATGTACACAATCAAATCTTTGACTTGTAAGATCAAATTAATTGATTGATCGTAGCTACTTATTTGAAAGTGCGTAATAAGGTAGATCTAGATGCAATTAATATGCGAGGATACATGTAATTACAGTTTACAAAAGTACTGCCATTTAAGACAAGGTACCCCTCATTAAAAGTTCCACGTACCTGCCTAGGTACCTAGGTACTTTAAGTACCCGATTTACATCTCCTCGACACTGAATGTTGAATATCAACACTCTTCTAAAAAGTTATTTTATTTAAAAGTCACATCTTTCAACATGAAGTAAATAAAAGGACATGAGTATCCAGGTGGTTAGATAGAAATAGGCCTAGACATCAATAGGAGTTATTGAACTTTAGATACGTTATACACGTGGATATGCTAAAATTCAACGATGAATTAAGCATTTAGTGTTTACACCATGCATCTAATTGTTCCTCTTCTCTAGGTGTTGATATTGGGGAACATTCCACTAAACTCAGCCCACTTACGGTGACGTATGTACCGAGGTACCTACTATTGAAGGTAACTGTGGGGGTTTGAATTTAGCTTCTACGCTATTTAGCGTCCCTCTATCTAACCATCACCATCAACTATCTTACCTTACATATAATAATACCAACCTTGGAACATCTCCGATTAATAAGACAATACTATTAAATGATGACTCGAAATATTTCAATGTCGACATAAGAACCTGCCAAATACAACTACAACATATCAAACTGGTCATTGTTTATCTAAGTACCTATCTATACTATCCCGAAGGACAAAAGAAAAGTCCTAGATATAAAAACTCCATCCCAATTCCCATTCTATCACGGGTTAAAGAATTACCTCAACGACAAGGATTCTCGACTTTGGTTTGAATTCTGAATTCGGTTCGGATTTCTGTCACGCCACCAGCCGGGCTTCCCACGAGGGACGGACCGCTGTCAATCAACAAGGGGAACCGACCTCACTTTCTTAATTAATAGAATCCTCATATATCGTCTATATATACGAACCGACGCATATATCTATATCCTACTTGGGTCTTTGTTCTCGCTACTACCCAAGTAATTCATCGATCTACTCACTCACTTACTCATACACTTCCATTTACTCTCTTAATTAATAATCTTGTCGCTTACTCGACCTCATGTCACCAACAAATGCTACAGTGGGAGATGATCTCCCCTCACTCCTATTATTACCCCCGCCTCCACATCCCGCAACCCGGATTGCCCTAGATGCCGCATACGAACCTCCTCTCGAAGCCGCCATCTCAAAATTAAAAGATGAGAAGAACGGAAAAGACGGATCCGTCCTAATTGTTGCCTTAGCATCGCCAATTCTCACAGGATATTCACCACGACAAAAGTCGCTATCCTGGTCTCGTTCTCAATCTATCCTAGCTGATTTATACAGCATCATATCCGTCATTTGCGCTCAACTATCGGTTGCTACAGATATCCACGCCGGCCCGGGATCTGTAGACGTTCGAGTTATTTTCGTCGATCATGATCCATCAAAGCGGGCCGTAGCAGATTCAAAACCAGCAATAGAACCAAATAATACGGCAATAATAGATCTTGCCACCTTCGCCTCGGCTTATCATCCTTGGAAGTACATATTTCATCCAAGTACCGAATCTACTTATCAGTTACTCTCGACATACCTCAAGCTTTTTGAGGGTATTCAAACCTTGAAACAAACTCAGATCGTTGTCGTTGAAGGCGGGCTTGCTATATCTATCGAGCCGGCAGCCCCGCCGCAATCATCCCCTCAAACCACACTTCACCCAATTGTATGCTTAGGAGGTACATTCGATCATCTCCACCCCGGACACAAATTGCTTTTAACAGCTGCTGCTTTACTGCTGAAGATCCCCGAGAAGGGTACATCGCAGCCATGTCAATTCATCATCGGTATCACTGGAGATGAACTGCTGAAGAGGAAAAAGTATGCAGAATATGTACAATCCTGGGATGAACGTGCAACCAACATAATCGAATTTCTATCGTCTGTGCTTGAGCTATCTAAAAGCGGATGGAAAGGTGGCCAGGTACCACAAATTACTAAAAGCAACGGGGAATTCATCACTCAATTCCGAGACGGTACCATCGAGGTTCACTGCGTGGTTATCCAAGATGCTTTTGGTCCCACCATTACCACAGAAAATATGGACGCCCTCGTGGTTTCAGGTGAGACAAGAAGCGGGGGAAATGCTGTGAACGATAAACGAAAGGAACTTGGTTGGAGAGAGTTAGAGACATTTGAAGTTGATGTTCTCGATGCTGAGGGGATCGTGCATAAATCAGCGGAAGCGCGGGATTTTGCTCAGAAGTTAAGTAGTACAGCTATTCGGAAGCAAATAGCCGAGTCTCGTACTTAATTTAGGGTTCTGATTCTCTCTCAACTAGAGAATACGGATATAGCTAATGTACTCTAAACCATGACCAAGTACAGGTTAGAGAGAGCTGTGCCAATTACAAAAATACTAGATTACATGAAGAGACTACGAAAAGAGGCTACATGAGAAGAGTCTGCCCTCCATCCAACAGAAGATCCGCACCGTTGAAATAACTTCCAGCGCGACTTGCAAGCATCACAATTGCTCCCGACAGTTCATCCGGTTGGCCCATTCTTCCTAACGGATGCCTACTAAGCCATGCTTTTCTTGCCTCATCTAAACCATCTCCCTCGTTCAAAATAGTGTCCATATACCCCGGCGATATGCTATTCACTCGTATCCCATGATTTGCCCACTCTGCAGCTAACGACTTCACCATAGTCACCACCCCAGCCTTGGACACATTGTACGACACTTGAGGCTGGGGGAAATTCACCCTATGTCCCGAAATACTCGCAATAAATACCATACTTCCGCCGATTCCACGCTGTATCATCGTTCGCGCCATCGCTCGCGCGACAAGGAACCCTCCAATTGTGTTGACATTAATAATCCGGTTCCAATCCTTCGACGAGAAATCTAGCGCATGTCCGCAAGCCACCATACCAGCGAAACTCAGTAAAATACTGACGCTGCCAAATATTTTGACCGTTTCATCAACCGCAGCGTTTACACCTTCTTCGTCCGTTACATCCACCTTTTGGAAATGGATTTTAGCCTCGGGAAACTCAGACTTCAGTACATCGATCCTAGCTTGTGCATCCGTTGGGTTCATGTCAAATATCATTAAACCCTCCAAGCCATGGTCAAGAAGAGCTCTACTCGCAGCGAACCCAAGATCCCCAGCTCCTCCCGTGACAATAGCATTGCCTGTCACTCGAAATCGTTCCTGAGCCCGAGTAGCTGCCGGAACATCGCGGGGTAAAGGCGGAGGTGGGGCCGTCAAAGATCCGGGGGTCCCGTCTCCTAGTGTGATCTTGGGAAGGACCCTTGTGCTTAGATCTGATCTTTCCATTGCCATTTTGACGTTTTTATTAAGCGAGGATAATATATGATCAAGGAGATGTATAACTAACGATGATAGTTCCCTTGAAAGCCACTTTTATATCGAAATACCTACGTCAATAGACTGCGGGGTCATCTCCTCTATCTGCACCAGAGCCAGCTAGACTTGCGAGATGCATCTTCTCCGCTCCGATCGTCGACTTGGAGACAGCGAAATCGGGACAGATGGTTTATTTTATATCCGTCTCCACGATCGTGAGTTGTTGGAATATTCCTCTTATTCCACAAATATAAATCCTACCCCTACTCACGTTTATGTCACACAAGGTCGTTTGAGCATTGTTCAATGTATGGCATCATTTCTAAACATTTCGTCTATTACGACTTGAAGCAGCCATTTTAACTGCTCGCCCCTACATCTATTCCGCAAATATAGATCCACGGATTTGTTGAGAAGTGCCCGTGTAACCGTGGCGTTCAACGGATAGAAAGGCTACAGAAGGAGTTCCACAATTAGTAATATGCCTGAATTATAAAAAGATGTCGGGACTCGGAAGAGACACCCCATCCTTCATCCCAAGTATAGAACTCGTGTACTAATAAAGCAAGGCAAAAGAGCGCGAAGTACCTACTCCACGTTCGATATCAGCGACGCCTTAGCCTTGGCGATGGTAAGCACGATGGACATGATGACCACCGGGGCCAGAAACAAAGCAAAAAAGTCACCAAATCGGTATTATTACGTTGTGAGGATTGTGGCTGAGGGATGTACGCAAACTAGCCGAGCAATTTGTGTCCCCCAATACTGATTTAAATTCCAGTCTTCAGTCGGCTACAATATAGTCTCGACGTTTCTTGTCGAATAATAGAATGTTACCTCGCTATATTTCATTTCTATGTCTTCTTTTTCCAAATTTCGTATATACCGGCACTGTACAGCTAGGCAATCATGATATCGGTAATTTCGAGTAGAAATAATTCGTTGCGATGCCCAGTCCTGAATACTGCATACATCAACCCTCAAATCCGCTTGAAATAAATCCAGTCCCGGATATTACTGGCTATGGCGTAGGTAACATATGAACATCTCCATTAACAACGTTAACTTGTCAAAATGCATGCTAGGTCCTCGCTGGGTTTATATCGATGGCATATATATTGCTTTGCATCATTCTGGTCTATTATATTTTCGGTTACGATCCCACCTTAAATCCGTTCGGCGATGCGGAACACGGCACACTGGTTGAAGTTCGACCAAATCCATTCGATCAGCTCGTGCTGAAAATCACAAGGCGGATACTTTGCATCGATGCTTTACAATGGCAATCTCTATATAGAGATGGGCGTTTAGCGGCCGCTTTTGACAAGGTATCAATTCCCGGGTTTTCATAAATTTCTACGATTTTAGCATACGAATAATCTATCCACAGTGCGCCGTAAACATGGCCGACATCCAAATTGTTAATGGTCTGGCCATCTTGATTACGGGCTTAGCACTCCTCCCCCAGAAAATTTCGGCTCTGCATTGGAAAATGATCGTGTACCTATCATGGTTTTCCTGTATAACAAACTTATCGGCATTAACATTCCTTCGAAGTTATTTAATACGACACCCTTTCGAAAGGGCATGGAGACTTATATCAACGTTCGTTTTACTGGTAATCTTGATAGTTGCGCTCGTACCCACCGGTCATTTCTTCTGGGATCCAGATGACTTTGACCACAGCGAACCACAGATACAAGACGCAGCACCGTCATCTTACGCCATATGTTATTTCAACACGGATTTCAAAGGGACGCTTTTCGCAGGAAAGAACTCTATGATCTTGTCGATACTTCTTCTAGTGTTGAACTACACAGCAAAAGTATTCAGGCTTTATGGTGGCTTTCGATGCGATTGCTTAAGGTCTCGCTCTCTATCCGATATATTAATAGACAAATGCCTCAAAAGTGCAGCATATCTCTCGAAGCCTATTGGAAATGAGACATTCTTAGATAGGGCGGCTTCTAATGTGATCGTCGCTGCTCATTTTGTGGTATGTATTTGGATTGATGTGTCAACGTCTACTGTTGCAGATGTGAGTATCTAGGTCTTCTGGCAATGTTTAGTTGCTAACTGGAACTGTAGATATTCTGGCTCGTCGTTTCACTAGCTTGGGGGACTATTAGGACCGATGAGTTGAGATATGTTCTAGACAAATCCTCTGCTCCTGATGATACTACATGGTCATTTGGGCAGATACTACCCGTGCTCTTAATAGCTGGGCCCCTTTTAATTCTAATTCGTTCTGGACGAGAAGCATTTGCTCCTGGTATGTGCCATTTCTATCCTTCTAGCTTAATTATCGCATCTTCTAGGGACTTTGTTCACTGACAACCTATAGCTCAACACGAGGACAGCAGAGAGAGCATAATTGAGCCCAGAGATTATGGTTCGAATGTGCCTGAAGGTAATAGCTCGCTGATATTTCTGTTCCTATAGAGTACCTAGTCGCGCTGATATCTTGTAGCTGGCATCATCCAGGAACAAAATCAAGGGGTTCAACCTCAGGCTTCCGGCTTATTCACTCAGCCCGACGTTCCAAATTCAAACAAGTCGAATTATTGGATTTTAGATCCAGCTCATTTCACAGAATACTACGATAGGACGCCCTGGTTAAAATGGGCACCTGCTATTTATGTTTTGTATACTGCATACACTGCTGCGAACGTTCTATTCTGGCAAGTTGACCCCATCACGATGATCACCAACTTCATCGTCTGGTTTACCCTTGTGCAGGGTTCAGTTCTTCACTACTACATACTTATATGTTCTTGTGTTTGCACAAGATGGAGACATCCTGCAGTGCACATCGCCATGTGCGGTCTGCTGATGGGTATGGCGGTTCTTTCATATCTTGATATTGGCACATGGTTCCTTTTGGACCTAGATGTTGAGGGGGGGTTCATTCTTGAAGTTACAACTATTGGTACTGTTAGTGCGGCGTGGTTTTTGTCCTTATCTATTCTGGTTGCATGGTGGATCTCATGGGCGATACGAAGAAGAGCTAGACTTGATGCGGGCCCTGTCGATGGTGTTACGATGCCTTAATCATCTTTGCAAACTCCCCCTACTGCTCCACTGTAGTTCCTAGCGATATGAGGCCCATACGTGCCCCTTACGACAGAGTCGCTTCGTTACACACCTGCGCTGGTTATTACGTGTTATTCACGCAGATTCAGAGTAACAAGAGCATCCCCGATTCTTGTGTACCACCACATCCACATCCACTCCACTGACGCGGAAACGCTCGTAAAAAATGCGGCCTCGGACCGAATAATGGAATGGTGAGAAAAGGAGCATCCGGGATGCTGTTAGATCGGCTTTCGTCAAATTCGCGTGGATACTAAAGGATACGTTGAGTGCCATCGAACAATTGAAGCCCTATATCGTGTACAGAGCTGCCGACGCCGAGCGAGCAACTTGAAGGGGAATCAACCTAGTCTAGACGGATTGCCCTGGATTCCCGGAACCCATCTCAATAACAGCCCACAATGACACACGATATAATAGAAAATCGTATTCATGTTACCTAACCATACGCCCAATCCTCAACCCCACTCTCCTCACCTCACATTGGCTCCCTACGAACACAAAGAATCAGGGTCCCCCATCCCCTTATCACTCCCCCCCTCAAACGCCGCCACAGGCTCAGCACACGCGCCCTCATTCCAGCCATTATAATACAAATTGGACCAACTCGTCGCATTACCATCCGTATTCGCACTAGCATTAACAGCCAAAACCTCGCCTACTTTACCATTCGGGCACAAATTCGCCGTATCCTCGCCTGCCGCGGTCGTGTTATCCGGGTTTCCGGTATGGTAAACCGCTTGGCAGTCCCCACGACCCCAGGGGTCGAATCCGCCTGGCAAGCGCGCGTTCGGGGCTTGCGTGTAGACGGGTACGAAGCTCCAGGCGATGCAGTTGAAGATTTCGGCGCATTGGACGCAGCAGTCTAGTTTATTCGATACGGCGCCGATGGTGACTGTAGCCGTGGGGAGGTTGCTGACGCGATCGGGTACGAAGCTGGCGGCGTTTATGTGCGCGGAGGGATTGCAGAAGTTGGGGATGGTGGCAGTTGGGTAGTCTCCTGCAATGGTAGTGCAGACGGCTGTTGCGCCGGTATCAGCGGGTGCTGCTGCTTCTTCGGCTTGGACCTTGCTAGCTTGAGCAGCTCCTGCGCTTCCTGGAGGGTTGACACGGGTGGGAACTGTGATGGGGGTTGGTGGTGAGGCATAGGATAAGGGGGTTTGCTGGGAGTTGAGAGTGGTTAGGGGAGTGAGGGTTAGAGGGTGAGCATATCCTGTGACGGTTGATACGGAGGGGTCAGCGGGGGTGGTGGCGCTCTGTATGATGTATTAGTGACTGCAATAATAAATAACGAGACTTGATCACCCAATTGGATTACTTACCTCTGTTTGGCGAGCTTCAACAGGACCAGCTAGAGCAGTGGTGAAGCTAGACAAGCCAAGTAGGAGGGTGATACCCGCCTTGGGAGTAAGAAGTGGCGCCGGCATGTTGAATTATTTGAGCGATCTCAAATATATTCCACAATGGTATGAAGTAAGTTTCAATTGATCAAATTAATGGAATTGATATTGACCTCGGGAGTTGTGGGAGTTGAGGGTGGTGTATTTGCCGTTTGTCGTTGGTGGACAAAGAAAGGTGAGGTGATGGATGGTACGAGGTAGATAAGTCGAACAACGAATTCAACCTAACCGGACTGTAAAGCTTTAAATAGAAATATATGAGAATGATTTATCTCATATGATTCAATCCCTTCTTTTCAATTGACCCTCTAATTCCAACGTGTTTGCTTGACTGGAGTTGACTAGAGTGAAAAGTCGACGACGACACAACAACGTAAGGTGATGTGGGAATGTGTTGTAAGTTGTTTGAATGACGCGCGCGAAGTTGGAAAAGAGATACCTAAGATAATAGATATCGGTTTCCCGGCATTCGAAAGTAATCGAAAGTAAATCAATCAATTCCCACCTCCCCGCAAAACACTTGTATTGTACCGTACCGTGTTGTACCCGTACCTATCCCACTGGTGAATTGGATAATGAATGAATGGGGATGAGTATGTAGATCGGGGGTTGCGTTGCTTGTCAGTAGGTAAATGTACGTAAGGTCGTAGAGTCGTAAAAAGGTGACGACGGCAAGGTAGTACCATGATAAATAAGGGAGTTAATAAATACCTACCATAGCAGAATAGATATCCTGGGATTTAATTGTAACCATACCCAGGTAGTAATCGTTATTAGTATTTTATTATTATTAGGGGACCAGGTTCGAGATCCCCATACCGTACCATGCGTTGATCATGACTACTATCAGTTAAAGTAACCAGATTCCCATCTTCCTTTATTTCCTTATTTCCCTATTTCCCACAAGGTTCCCTTACCTGTTACTTACCTAGGTAGGTACTTGACAATTTATCTATCATGTAACGTACTTCATCTAGAATAGGATACATACCTAAGTAGGTATATTAGTTTGTAAATCTAGACTTGACAGACAGACAGACCAGAGTAGGGAGTGTTGGTTGTACGGTGGACTCTTTTTCGGACATACCTTACACCGTATCCATAATATCGTCGACCAACCACGGGAGGGGTAACTCGTTTGTATGTTACAAACTAGGCAGGTATTTCTAGTTATGCAAAGAATTGTTTGCTTGTATTCGTCTGAACCTATGATGATCATCATCTCTGAAGAGACCGAATCAGATCCGTGATGGATCTAACTGGATAGATTTAGTCGATATTCTCGAACAAGTCGTTTCAGAAAGTTCGGGGCATGATGGAACGGACCCTAACAAGGGAATAAAAGGAGACAGGTAGAAAAAAAAAAAAAAAAAGGACAAGGGGGGATAAAATGAGATAAAATGATGCGGAGGATCTTCCGACAAGGTAACAAATTGGTCATACATGTTACATCCTAGACGTCACTTAATATATTTTAGAATGCTCTTTAAAGAAAGAGGATCTAGTACTTGACATTTATGCCTTGCTTATGATCTAATAATTTGGCATATTCGAACCGAGGTCTTGGTCTTTTAATATATTGAAGTGGTCGCAGCATTGAGCATTGAAGATGTTGTAGAGGGTTAAGTCGCGATATGCCTAGCGGAGCAGAATAGTGAGGTAATTGTACAGTGGGTTACTTATTAATGGACCAATAAGAAATCGCCTAGTGACCTCTAGGGCTGTATGTCTCTGGTACTAGCACCTGCTAATGCCCCATGATCATAGGCACGTTCCCCTGTAAGTTTAACTCGTTATCGCTGCTTATCGATACCCATAGCTCTCCGAGGTCGACCAACTGGAGCGAAGCTATCATCTCTTCCTTCTTTCTTTGACATGTCTGTGTGTAAATAATTACTATCATGAAGCTTAACGACGCTTTTCTTGAGTAATATTCGTTTGAAGTGCTCGCTCCCGCTTTGGAATTTTAAACCATACTAATATTTCGTCATCCGAAGCTTGTATTCTATTAAATATGCAACCGAGAAAAAGCCCCGAGCACTAGACTACGCAATACCTTCACATATTTTATTTCACACGGATGTAAAAGAAAATGAGTTTTGGAAATACTTTGCTCTCGAAATTTGGACTTGGTGAAGGCGGAATGTCTTCTTTATTACCTTTACATATCTCCCCTCCACAACATCCCTCGGAAGAACACGATTTATCCGAACTCTCTCCTCGACCCGACGATGCTCTTCTCTCCCCAGGCTTCGAACGTGATATTCCTTACGATAACGATAGTTTCCATACTGCCAACGATTTCGGTCCCGATCATCCTTTAAAGATGGATACTTCTACACGTTCTAAGAGTAAGGGCAAAGCTATAGCCTTTGCCTATCAAGGAAGGCCACAGTATTCGCGATCTCAAACTCCGAACTCCGTAGACGATGATAATATATCAGCACGTGGTAGCCAAAGGGGCCTTCAAGTACCACCTGGTATCTGGCGCCCGAATATTCGAACCGAACAACGCGATAATAACCATGCTCATACCAACAATCAACCATCCTTCGTCGAGAGTATCCTCATGGGCCGACCCGACCGACCATCCGATCGTACCTTACGTGCTGAAGTCGATAATACCTTTAGAATGATACAACGAAGAGAACGTCAAATGCAAAAAGAGCTTCAAAGGCTATTAGATGCCCAAGGCGCTGCGTTAGAACGAGATCTTGCGGGAGACGATACTGGGAAAGGCCCTCCTAGTAGTATCGAGCGCGGAGCAACCCCAGATTCGACATCATCAACCGTACAATCAAAGATATCCGGAGGATCCGTCGTACCCGTCCGTCAACCCAAACGAAAGCCTATGTCGAAGCGACAGGCACGAATCGGAATCGCCCGCTCCGTCACCATGCTAGCCGATCTCAAGAACGAAGAAGACGCCTACATCGCTGGCGCCCTAGCCGAGCGCAAAACCGCCCTCTCTAGACTACGCAACTATTCATCCCAACGCAAATCCATCGCCGCCGAGATGAAGGCCTTAGAAGAAGACAACGAGCTACCAATCAAGACCGAAATAGCAGCAATGGAAGACCAACATCGGATTGCATGCGCTAGTATCGACAGACTCGAAGAAAAGCTCCGCGTACTAAGAAGAGCGAAGTCTGAGTTAGAACGGAAGCTCGGGGAAGCGAGAAGTACGCGGGATTCGAGTTTAAGTGGTTATAGGGGCGCTTTGAAGCAATGCGATCAGGGAATCGCTGAGCTCATGAAGTTTCCTGGAATACAAGTGCTAGAAGTCGAAGAATTAAAGGAACAAGGAGGTGAGGATGTTGTTGCGCTGATGTCGAAACACGTATCCGGCCGTGAATTCCTGTCGCTACGACCGGAGAGGAGGACGATGGAGATGGTGAAGGATTGGTGGGAAGGTGAAGTGGCTATTCTTGAGCAACGAAAGGCTGCTGTCGATAAAGAGAGAGCTGCGCTAGAGGAGGGAAGCGAGATTTGGCAACATGTTCTCGCTCAATTAACTGAATTCGAAAATGGGTTGAATGAGGCTTTGAGAGCTGTCACGCAACAACAACGCGACCATGTTTCCGGAAATCCGGAAGAGGTTCTTAGGAACCAATATAATGGCCTGAGGAACATATTGCGCGAGCTCCAGGAACAGTACGAGTACGTCGAGTCGCGAGGATGGAACCTTTTAATCGCCGCTATTGGAGCTGAGATCGCGCATTTCCTTGGACTTAAGGAGTTTCTAGCCGACGTGATACGAAGCTCAGGATATGATGATGGTGTACTTACGCCAAGAACAGCTGGTGGTAATGATCTCGTTGATGTGCGCGAGAACGGTGTAACGGACGCGGGATTACGTACGCAAGAGTCGGAAGAAGATGACGGGGAGTTAAGCAGGAGTGTGGTCCGCCGTTGGGATGATACCGGCTTAGAACAACCACAACGGCAGCAGACACAATATCAAGACCACAGCTCGCCTCCCCCAGATCTTCTTGGCGAGAATAGTAGCGAGCATCGTGAAGAAAACGATAACGAAGTCCCACCTGGTCTACTCAGCGAAGTACTTCCTCATCATAATGAGAGCGAGGATGAACATCATAACGATGTACCCGTCGAGTTTCTATCTATGCATAGTCCGACTCTAAACCGGGACGTGCGGTTAAGGAGGGAGAGTAGTGAGAATGAGAGTGCGAATGAAGTTCCACCGGATTTATTAGCTGAAAGTCGAAGAGACGAGGATGGTGTTGACTAGTAGTGGATACCTTTCTTTAATAGTACATGAATGAGGTTGGTGTAACGCATTGGTTATGATTGATGGGATGGCGTGGAGTTTAGGGGTTTGACGTGGATACCATAGGACTTGGTTTGGTTACGTTAAATGGTTAATGCGTTGGATCCAGATATCGGGTGAAATAGGCGATACAGTTTCATGAATAAATCATTAATGAGTACTTGTACGGATGTTTGCTTCCACTACGCTGCCGGGGGTAACTACCTAGGTAGTTATTGAACAGTGTATCCTATGCGCAAACGATTATCACTTGTTACTCAGGCACAACTATATCAAAATCATAATATTTATCATATCGGAATTGTAGGTATTTGTCATTCCTACATGTAATATGGTGACAAGTAATGCCAACCCTACATACAAGTAGTCAACCAAAAAAAAGAAGGGGGAGGCCTTTTCATTCCTTCGTCTATCATAGTGGCAAGTAGAAATTCATCATCAAATGGATATATGACCCAGCAACAACGCCTGTTCGTGAGGGGAAGAAAAATGCGAAAATTCCAGTCCAACGTGGGTGAACGGACGAGCACCTTTGCTTTCTTCTTAACGATATACTCGATGGTGTATTCGACGGCGAATCCCGGAGTTCGGTATGTTGTAAGACGTCATCAAGAGCAGCAGGGAGGTAAAACGGCACTAACTCGAGGACAAAACGGCGAAAGGAGGTAGCTTGCTTCGGGAGATATTTCGGCGATAGCGATGGCGGCGATTATACTCAAACGACGAGGCGAGTGAATACGAAGTTTGCCATGAAACGTATACTCGGTCGAATATTCGAACGTGTTCAACTCGATCCGTTCACCCAATAACCCATAACTTATCGAGTTCGATGGAACCAACCGCTAGATCCAGCTATCGCGACAGATTGGTCCATTACCCATTCACCGACTCCAAGGTATTTTTCTATCCATTTGTTGGCGTCCTTATTCTCGCCGACAGATATACGTTCGGTATTGAAGCTAGGTCCGTAGGCTATGTTAGTTCTCACCGCCATTTTTCGTATCGTATTGTCATGTTTATTGTCCCCTTTTTTCATTTCGCTTGTTTTCGCCCCCTTAAAAATACCCCCTCTTGTATGAATTCAAACTGGGGTATATGGTAGAATATGTTGAGACATGTACTCACGTAAGACCCGTAGATCGTCTCATACCGGCGAGGATAGTCGAGACTAAGGAAATAGTATTAGTTATCGTTGTCGCATCGAGGTAGACATCGTTAGAGGTATTGCGTACTAAGAACCGCATCGACGGCGTAGTGAGTAAGTCGTCCAAGCTTTCCCCAGAGGCCAAATGTCAGCAAATTGAGGAACTGTTCGGGAGAGAATGAGTTGATCAGAGTTCAGAGTCGTTATGAAGTTAGGAATAAGGAACGATCGCTCAAATGACGAGGACTTTCTTTCTTTCTTTCCGGGAATGCCCAAGAGCAAGTGGTTGGAGTGTATGATGCAAGGTGGGAAAGAATGGAAGCAATAAAATGGGAGAAATGGTATTGGATGTTTTGCGCGCAAAGGGGAACTTACAACCATTTTGATTAAGTAGGAAATGTGATGAGGTTTCGCTAATTATTGTGATTCGTAGGATTTCGGAGATATTGAGTGGTTCGGGTTCGCTGGGAGAAAAAGAAGAAAAGAAGTACGTTTCTTTGGTAGAAGTAGTAGGTGGTAGTAATGTGGTAAGTGGTTAAGTGCTATGTATTTTGGTCGTTATTTGAGATGGAAGTAAAGGGATCACGAGGGCGGGACCGGGACTTTGTCATAAGATCGCTAAGTATTAGTACATTAGTCCACTAAAATAGGTAAAATAATGGCTTGCATACCCTGCAACTTCGCTAGCAGTAGAACGGCGTGGCGGTGGGCCAGTGGTTCCAGCACCATACCTAGGTACATTACAGAGGGTATATATAGAGAGGAGCTCGCCCCTAAGGACCTAAACTTCAGAATAATCCCCACCGCTGTTTTACATAATGTACATCTTACATAAGTACACTGTGCTTACATAACAGTCCAAATAAATATATGGGGCATTCCTTTAAACCTTACCTTATGTAATTCACATCTTATATACATAATGCCATGTATCGAGGCTTACTTAAACATCCTCTTAAGCACATACAATCATTCCATTCGAATAGGGGTTGAACGCTTCAACTGCCTAGGTACCTAGGGATATAGTGACCAGCTATACTCAATGAGATACGGAGTACTGACTGCCTCTCACCTCCCTCGGATGCCCCATTGTATAGGAGATGTATCGCGGGCCGTCCATCCCGAGCTCGACACCCCCTAATAGTCGTCCTTAGTTGTCGTTCTCCATCCTCCAGCCACCTGCCCTGTAGCCGCCACCACCACTCGAAACCAATTTTCGATGACCTTTGGTTGAGAGTTCTCATGCTGGTTTTGATGCTAAAAATGTGTATTGCCAGTGCCAGCCCCATCGAAGACGGCCTAGTGTATCCCTTCCTAGGCTCTAGGAATTTGCAACATAGGACGAGGGTGAGGACAAGACACCCCACCTAACATCACTTGCGATGGAAAACCCAGCATTGGCGTACCATAACAGCCTATCATCGACTTTTATTCCCTTTAGGAACTCCTCAAGCGCCTTGATAGCCACGCATTGACATATAGTCGCCGTATCATGACTGGTTTTAACCCCCTTCGGACTCTTCCGTTTCGTCGAACAAGTCCATCGATCCTCAGAAATGGTATATCATGTTGCGAGAACCCAGCAGCCCATCGTTTACTAGCAGCATGCTGCTGGGGGCTGCAGCGGGGCCCTCCCGGAAGGCTCGAATCGATTTGAAGGGTTGATGTTTTCGAAGACCCACCCACCCGTCATGGGTCCAGGTCTTGGTGTTGACGTTCGCAAGGAGTTGGTGGCAAAGCACTTCCCTGATGACGATGCTAATAGTCCATGTCGTGCTGAATAGGCCCCTTGGTAAGGAGGTCTGTATTGGTCGATGCTAGCTGTCCCAAACCTCCACATTGCTGTGTAGTACCAATACTCGGCGGACGCGAGAGGCGCCATGGTGATCCCTCGTCGCCTCCTTAGGAGATCATAGGGCTTCGCCCTCCCTCCTGCCCCCTCTTGCCCTTTTTATTCGTCTTCCTTTCTTCTTTCTTCTTTCTTGTTGTTTTGTTGTTTTTTTATGTTTTCTTTTGCCCAAAGATGCTAGGGGCTTATAGGAGGGCCCTGGTCTCTTGCGTAGACGCGGGGCGCTTGATACAAGCTCGATATAATTGAGACGTACTACCTTCCAATCCCAAGTGCTAACCAGCTCAGAGAAGGCGATGTCTAGCGGCCTCCCCTCGATACCTCGATGGATTTCTGTGGATAGTAGTGAGTTGGTGTTGGATGTACCCCGTATTGTCCATGAGCACCCGCTACGTCGGCGACAACTCTTCGGTATGGGGGGCAGAAGAATAGACGCCGAAGAGCTCGCAAATCGTTAGCCAGGAATGTATATAGGTTTCCCAAGAAGAAAATGTTGGCGGTCAAGAGGGACTTCCACAAGCATCGCGGCTACTTGGGGCCGTCGCGAGGGCATGGTCTACTTCTTCAGAGATTTAGGAGAGTCGGTCGTAAGCCGTTTGTCTAATTCTAGGGCTTGGTCAAACTCCGTGCTTACTGCTGCCGCCGCTCCTCCTCCTGCTGGTCCCCTTCCTGGTCCCTCCGCCGCGCATGCGGATCTAGCTTTGGCGGTCTCGGCATATACCGGCATCATTGGCGACCCTCACCTCGCTAATGGTTGTTAGGTGGCCAATGATGCCGGTATATGCCTACCTAGGTAGTTCCCCACGAGAAATGTAGTGAACTTGTACACGAGAGACCGCCGTATGGTCAGGAGGGGATGAGGCCCTCCTCACTTGCTCATTTAGACCTTGCCTTCCCTTGCCTCACCTCTATTGGCTGTTGGCGAAAGCGAAGGCGAAGATGCCGCCAGGTAAGTCTCGCACCGGACCTTCACTTGGTACATATGATCCGGATGGTTTGGAAGAACAAGTAAGCGAAACGAACGAAGGCAGTGAAGTTAATCAAAATAGCGAAAGCGATGGATATGACTGGAGTTCAAACTCAGGACAGGGATGGCGGTATTGATGTTAATGCAAACGGTAAAAGAAATTAGGTGAGAAATGAAGTTATAATGACGGGAATGATGATAGACATACGATCTTTCGCCGCTCCTTCCCCTGCGTAGGGAAAATAGGCGCGGGAGGTTTTTAAAGACCGCTTAAGGTACGTGCTAAACCCTCGAGAAATCGAGCCTGGTGGGCGAGCACCTGCAGTGCGAATCCACCCAGGGGCGTCTGAGCTGCTGAGGAAATGCTGCAGCGAGCCTGGTACCTTGAAAAGCAATCTATCGAAAGCATTTGCATTCCCTGCAAGCTCGATGGATACTCCTATGAGGAAATATTAGCTATTATTCTCCCTGAAGAACTTTATTGGTATAGAATAACTTACGTACCTACCTAGGGGTGAAGCAAGCCTTCTCTTTACCAAAATCAAGGAAGGTTGACCTCGTTGGGCCGCCGGATTAACTTGCACTTCGCTTGCCTCACCTTATTGCTGGTTGTTGGTGTTGGCATTGGCGTCGCGAGACGGGCGCGCAAGAACTCGTTCGTCTCTCGCGGCGTAGTCAAGCGGTTAAATAAGCACCTCGGTAGTGTAACCTATTAGTTTAATATGGTTAGGACAATGAAAACGACTCTTGGGAGCCAGTCGGCTTGGATCTATAACGATCGTGATAGTGTAGAGTGATGTAGACAATGAACAGGCCAATGACCTTGGAAAGCCCATGCTGTCTAAGCCATCTATATTGCACCCCGCTCCCTTGTAGCAATAAATATGGATGGAAAGATAAAAGCGACCGGGGAAATTTGAGGTATAATTTATAGACTAGGCCTGGGTATGTTTCCTGGCCTTGGAGTAGGGATACAAGGCGAATACGAGACAATAGAGAAAGATACGATGGGGAAGAGCCGATGAGAATACAATAAGGTAGGGTAGGGAAGTATAGAAGCAGCACGAAGGGAGAATTGTTAAAAATAAAATAGAAAAGTGTCGAGTAGTCTAGAGAAAGATGGAATCAACAAAATTAGAAAAGAGTAAGGCAGGCGAGAGAGGGTAGAGATGGAATGGGGCTAGGTGTCTGGAAATTTTCTAGGGGATATTCCATACCAGGAACGAATATCAATGTGCAGGGCTAGAAAGACTAGACAGTCAAATATATGCTTACCTGGAGACTTGAGATGGCTTGTGTGTCGACAATAGGATGAAGAAAATAAAATAAGGGTTTTCTCCAGTTCAGGATGTAATTCAGAAGATGTAGGAGAAGGTTGAGTGGGGGAAAAGGGAAGAAAAAGGTGACAAGATGGGAAAAAACTTAGAATAAGAGAGAAGAATTAGGGGAAAGAACCCTAAGACGAGGGGGGGTTCATATATTTGTGAGCGGATCCATAGAGTTTGACGGATTGTGGCAGAATACAGCGGAATCCTTCTACTAAATTGAAATACAGGCCCCTGAATTAGTGTTTGCTCACTATATTTGTGTGCTGAAGGTATTATAGGGAACCTTAGAGGGCCTAGAGAGCTTCGTTTAACTCTATAGTCTAGTAAGATACTTGTCCAGGTACTTTGGTAGACATGTACCCCCCGACCCGCACGCTCTGGATGCGTCAATCAACATCGTCAGGGCATTTATGCAGAGATAGCAGACGCAGGAAGATTTAGATTCTTGTAGATATTGATACCTACCATTCAATACGCTATTGTAGCCTAGGGGGGTATCCACGACTGTGTACGTGTTCTATAAATACTGGCAGGGGCGTTTACGTGGACATTGCAGCGACGATGATGTGCATGGGATGTCATATGTGCAAGACAAGAACGGCTGTATCTTCTTAAGACTCACCAAGTGCGTTCCTTCAATGTAGGAGGGCATCTACGACCACCCACCTGGGTACCTAGGCATCTAGGCTGCACATATTCACCGACCACATTAATGGCAGCGACGTTCAAGGGGGTACATTCTTCTTACTACCTAGGTATGTTGGCATGAGGAGCCATTGTTCTATGTCTTTCAGGGAGGATTGGTTCCTAGTTGCCTTGTGTTGTAGCACGAAAGACCGACTCTATTTAGGCTCTGGCGTCTACCTAGGTACTAGAGGAATCAACGACGACATTAACACAGGAGCTCCCCAGTAGTCATAAGGGGATAAGGGGCAGCCACAACACGGATAGTGCGGTTTTACCACGTTAAGAGTTCGCAATTGACAACTAGGGAGGTCTAGTTATCCTCCCGGTCCACTGCCCCTACCATATTGAACCAAGTCCTCTTCATACGGCGATTGAGGTAGTCACAATACCTCTCATGGGCCAATTCTGTGGGCCCAACTACCATACAACTAGGCACTAAGGGAATTCCGATACTCACATTAATTATTGATTGTTTTTCCTCTTTGAAGTTACCCCCTTAGCTTCTCCCTTTTGGTTGTGTATTATGATTCCTTGTACTTAAGTTATAGAAATTTCACTGATGACTCTAAATAAATATTCACGTGAAAATCGCCGGCATGTTAACCAACTTAATGAACTTCGCAAGTCACTGCTCTTGAATGACTGTTAAGACATCTCGGTTCGTGAAAGACATGTTTCTAGGGATCACCGAAGCATTGAGAAGCCTTGCCGATGGATATTCTTTAATAAAAGGTGTCATATTCAGGAACCGGCCGACAAACCGGATATTCTCGGGCCGAACCGTCGTGTGGAACTCGACGCGGTGTCCGAAACCCGGGATTTTCGGAACGGGAACCAATCGGAATCGGCGCGTATCCGAAAATGGTAATTCCATCGGATATTCGACTCATAAATCAATGGACAAGCATATGTCTAACATAAATCGTATAGATAGCACAAAATATAGTATGTTTAAGTGATCTGGGAGGATGTCTTAGATTTGCGCCCGGTGTACTGTCTCAAAGCATGGTGTCATTGAAGTCATAGTCGAACAAAATTATCAAAACACCGACGTCAATCTCATTTAAATGTGTCGGACATCTGAAACTAGATTCGGGTATGAAACCGGGCATTATTCATGACTCGTGTACGCGTTGCGACCTATCTCACTTTATAATGGTTAGTGTCGATATCCGAGCGGTGGCGGTATCGTTGGACCTGGCAGCTTGTCTCCTGAATCGTTTATCGTAAAACTAATTAGAGCCCGCTGGTTAGGGGTTTAAGAAATTCCACGTAAGTCTAGATTTTAAAATACAAATGGCTGTTTGGTGTATTATTTATATTATTTCTGTTTTCGTTCCAATGGAACCCAAAGTGGCACCCCCTTGGTACCAAAGCAGATCGTAGATGGGTAGCCAATCTTACTGTCGAACTTCAACGTACGTAAGTGTCGATCGATCTATCTATGTTCATCCATCGGATACAACGAGCTGGAAATTATCCGATAGGTGAAAGGAATTAAATGGTTCTAATACATCTATCCCTTTTCATCATGTTCATCACAATTCAACTAAGAATAGAATCAATCTAATGAGAAACGTTTAACCAAAGAATTCCATATTGCCACACTAGAAACTAGTAAGAATGACAACGATCGCCGTTGACGTGATACTTTGACTGTAAATAGTCTTAATATGGTACCAGTGTCAAACCTATTGTCTTCGTGTTATGTAACTTGAAGAAATGCCATAGTTCCACGTAGTGTCCATATAACTTATCCCCTATGATTTTCAATGGCGCAGTGTTTTTTATAATTATTCTAGAAGTAGGAATAGAAATAGAATAATAATTAGCTAGGTATCTAGAAAGACTTTCGTTATTGTCGGCATTGAATTCCTATTTTTATCAAGTGCGATATGCTTGTCTGTTAGTATATCGACGGCGTTCCGACAGAGTTTATCGACCCGGGTCTAGATGCCGAAACCAACAAAAATTACCAGAAAAGAACGCGACTACCAATTCAAAGTTTCTGCATGAAGCTAAGTTAGGTAAGAGGAGTCGTGTTCCTTTCGTGCTATTGGTGTTATCGGTGCTACATTCACGATATATGCACTCGGACGTTTTCATACTTTCACACGTCGCATCCTCCTCCTTCAGTACAACTTCATCTAGAACAGGTATATTAATATGACATCTTACCTTTAGCCGACTAGGACTCGTCACCTACCTTAGGTTAGGTATCCGCCTACCTACCTATTGTACGAACTACCTGCGCATATTATTTAGAGGCGGCATCCCCAAATAGAAAATAGAGACCAAGATTTAGAAGAGTCGCAATCATGTCGAAAACTTCCCCATCCAAGTCCTACCCAATGGACAGCCCTTTCGGCATATCAAGAGCTCCAACTACGATGACCCTCGAAGCTCCCCCGCCACCATATAGCCAATGCCTAGACGAGGGCGAGGTCAATCAAGGTCGGCGAGATGTTCATCTTAGGGTTAATGTCATCGAAGACGATGGATCATCTATCCGGTCCCGCAACTCCGACGCCCGTAGCTGTAGTCCTTCCATCCGACGAAATCCCATAACGCCATGCAACCCCTTCCCTCAATCATGGAGTTTATATCGCACATTTCCGATGAACAAAGTCCTGATGGTCGGTGCGCATGGTCGAGAGCCAATATACGCCGTATCGCGACATTCCGGATGGTGGACAGGGAAGCCGGACCTTGTCCTACATCGCGGACCGAGCGAAACAATGACTCCATTGGCAGTTGGTATGGGAGGGGTTGGAATAGGACGGCATTCGATTATTGTGCTTACTCCACTACCTGGATCGGGTCTCGAATCGTCGCAAGAGCTTATGATACGGGTAGAAGATGATAAAGCAACAGACCGACCACAACATGTACGGTTTCAATTCGCCATCGAAACAGGCAACGAGCTTAGCTCACAGAAGCGAGAGACTTTCGAATGGCGACATACATGGGGCGATGTTGTCGCGGCATATTTAGACGGCGCGAGAACTGGGTGGCAATTGGTACGTCTAACCAATGACCAAGAGGATCAGGAAGAAATCGATGACAGTCCTTCGATACCGGGGCCAAGAACAGAAGACGGGCTTGAGGTTGTAGCTGTATGGGCGTACAGTAAGATGAATATGTCGAAAGTCCTCAAGTTTCGATACCTTGGCAGTGGGGCCACTGGCGTTTTGGGATCTCGGTGGTCGATCATGGCGTCTATGACGGCATTAAGGATGTTCCAACGGCAACAGAAGAACAAACACAAGGATTGGTGATTGTTGACGTTTCATTGACTTTCCTATGTTTCGAGCAAGCAAGCACGTTATATTTCCTAGGTGGCATGGTTATCAAAACATTGCCTGTCAATGCGACGCCCATTTTGATTTCAAGGGCCGTCGACAATAGCAACAGGTGTACTGAATAAACTCAACATTTCCCTTGTAACTTTAAGGACGGGGGTTGGGGTGGAATAGGTAATTATCAGATGGTAGAAAGGCGTTATAGCATTGGAAATGCTGTGTATGGCCCGGGGCCAACTGCAGCTATGGGATGAGGCATATTTGAGGTTATAAGCTGGGTATGTTGTAATTTATTGCACTAGAGTAGAAACGGCGCAAAATTTTCATTTTACTTGCGGATCGATCGGATTGTAGTGGTATTCCGAGCAACTAAATCCAGGAATTAGCCACAGGCTTCAACAAACTGAAAGGGGTTTATGAATCATGTAATATATTGACAGAGTAGATAATTCCCTATAGTCGTAATAAACCTCACTATATACATTATAGCATGCCAGATCATCCGTAGGTATTCCTTTGTCTATCTAAAGCCTTTTCAATGCAGCCCTTCTCTATTCTATTATGTAAAATATCCACTCCGAGTCGTCCTCGTGGCTAAAGATTCTTGAGGACGAATCTCTTTCTTAGCATTTCTCCATATTTTATTATGTATACCGATACAGGGAAGAGCGCGACGGCGATAAAAGCCAACAGACTATTACCCCAGCCGATACCCAGCTTGCTGTACATCGGCAAACCCGCAAGAGGTAGCACAGCACCGGCCAATGATCGAACAACCGTATTGCAAGCAAGGGCTGAAGCGGCGTAGATAGTAAAAGCGTCGACAAGATATAGTTGAATAGACATGAAGATGAGTAGATTTCCAAGACCGACAATAGCAGTTCCAATGATAGGCGCGATCCAATGTACACCGTAAGAGGCAGTCCAACCGTAGATAAATAAACCTGCGGGAATCAAAATAGCACCAGCTGGAAGAAGCGGCAATCTGTATTCCGGTTTTATGCCCGACTTAGGTCTTCCTTCCCCTTGAGCCAATGCATCGTCCTGAGCTGCTTTCCTTTGAATATATTTGTCTGAAGTCGCGCTGAAAACGAGGATGCCGGACATACTACCCACACCGAGACCAATGAACGCCAATCCGACCGTACTCGTCGAGAAGCCGTAGTATTCTTGAAATACTTCCGTTATGCTGGTGAACATGAGGTACAGATAACCGTACGTAACAGCCATATATAGCGACGTAAGTGCGATAATTGGAGAAAGAAACAGCATCTTGAAAGGTCGTACGATACCCCGTTTAAAGTAGTCCTTGGGTGATAAGCCAGCATCGAGTTTGGATCGTAGTAAATTGTTTCCTGTTTCCTTACGCAATTTGGCTGCCTTTCTCTCAAGAAGAACGGGTGCATAACTCTCCTTAAGAGAGAAAAGCATCAGAATAGCGAGAAACCCTCCAACGATAGTCAATAGCCAGAATGTCCACCTCCATCCTTTAGCATCGGAAAGAAATCCACCCGCGACGGGACCGATTATAGGCCCGAGAAGTGGCCCGATAGAATAGGCCGACATGGCGGTAGCTCTGTACTTTTGTTCTATCATATCAGCGATAGTTCCGCCTCCATTTGTAATAGGTACGGATCCGAATACACCGGCGAAGAATCGGAATACGATAAGGGCATTGAGCGTTGGCGCGAGTGCACATCCAATACTGAATGCCACAAATCCCACATTAGCAATATGATAAAGGACGACACGACCGTAAACCTCGGATAAGGGGGCGAATAGCATAGGACCTGCTGCGAAACCAAGCACGTAGACGCTCACTACGAATGCAGCTATTTCTAAAGAGGTAGAATGGAATTCCGCTACGACTTGTGGTACGCCAGGAGCGAATATAGCTATATGACCAGTTAGCACCTATTTAATGTGAACAGGATCAATGAGATTCGACTTACACGAAGCTAGAGGGGAGATAAAGGTCATCGCACTAATAAGCCCACAATTAAGAACTTTTTGCCACGTTGGCCAGTTATATGGATTCTTTGGATCGTCAGGTCCGTCCCACCAGACAATGTTAGTATTCGAATCGCTGGTGTCGTCGTTGTCGCCATCATTACTACTCGATAATGTTGTCTCGCCCGGGACTTGTGCCTTTTCCACATCACGATCTGCTTTACTTCTTTTGCTGGCGAATGAATTCCTCCTTCGATCTGCTATCGATCGTTGTCGTTTGAGTTCTTCTTGTTCATTTAATACGAACCCCTCGCTCGACGGGATATCTGCATCATGTCCTTCGTCCACTGCTTGACTAATCTTTCGCTTTAGTTGTAATTGAGTATCACCTGATTCAGTATCGTGGTCCCCATCTGTGTGCGTCGCAGCAGCACTTGATGCTATACTAGACGTCATTGTTTCTTGCTAGTTCTATATGTCAACTCTTGATCTCGCGTAAACAAACACATCTAGATACACTAGCTATTTATCCGGGTATAATAAATACAGGACATAATAAATAGGTACCTAGGGGTAAAGTAGGGAGTCAAGTTTTCAGTCTAAGAAAGCGCTTACCTCTATTTTGCCTCTTCTAGAGGTCTTGGAAACCTTGGAGGGGGAGGTCAAGTCTTAGTAGGACTGATTGGTGCTGGGACGGCCCGCTTTTGATGCCGTGCGTCTGTCTGACGATTATAGTATGGTTTGAATTCAAGACCTCCTGATGCCACTGTTGATGGAAGAGGCAAAGGCTTGACTTTATCACCCTCGCAACACGTTGAAACAACTTGAATTTGTATTAAAATTCAAAGTTCTTTTCACCGAACAAACGGACAAAAGATCATAGAAGAGAGGTAAGGCCGAAAAAATACGGTCGAGAAGAAAAAAAGAAGATCCATAATGTATAATGTATCGATCCGGCCCATGTTCGTTCGCTTCGTCCCAGACGCGATGTCACACTCTTCCCGTCGTAACATTCGATTGGTTCTTTTGGTAAAAAAACACTAGGGGGAGGGTAGAGAAACGAGGCACTACTAGGACGTCGGTATGGGAATTATGCAGTCAACCCCGACCAGCCGAACCGAATTGTACAAATCCAGACCCTATACTCCTCCCCGCCCCCCCGGAGCTAGTGTAGAGCGTTGAAGAATCCCTGTCTCACGTCCCAGCTGTTCGGACTGCATACTGCGTTACTACCTAGGTATGTTGTCCGCTTCTCGGGGCAGGCAATGTGATGTGCTGTGATGTGCTTAGGTACATTTGTTGTGGCTATTGATTTTTGACCGATTAGGTGCCGTATTGGAGATCTGCACCGGCAGGCTATCGGATTATGTTATTGTTCGCGAGCCGAGAGAAGGCGATCGAATCATGGGATGTTGTACCTGGTAGATGTAAAAGGCTCGGAGACATTTTTCTTCAATTATTGGTAATGAGGAGGTGATCGGTTGCCAATTGGCCCTGTTCCCCAAGGGGAGAATAATTATGTCTCCGGATCGTGCATCGTTCTTGCACAATCCTATGTCCGTACTACGTGGAAGGCGTATATCTAGGTAGGTACGTAATTATCTAAGCTTAATCCTTATCCTTGCCCGGGAACCCACATTCAAAAGAACTAGACATGCACCTAGCAACCTACCTAAGGTACCGACAAGGTAATAATATCCGCGATCGAACAAGTATTAACAGGGATTAAATATCCTAACTTCTTAATCAAGTAAGCGCATCAGGCGCACGTCCCGTCTATACCGCCCACAACATAGTACGGAAGAATATATTCAACCAATAAAAAGCCTAGATCTTTGCGCTGAATCAGTGCTGTGTTACTTCTAAGCACGTAATATTATGTGAGGTAGGTGGCTTTCGTGCATAACCTGCATAAATCTTCACCAACTAGCTCAACTTCCAGCCCCCTCCCCCTCATTTTTCTTTCCTTCTTTCTACTGTCTTCTGTGGCATATCCCACGAAGAACTCCACAAGTGTCTGTCGTGAAGTGGTGTACAGCTCAATGTGAGAAGCGGTCAACATTTTGAGGCTTGGGTTATATGGGTTTTGTATTTGATATACCACACCGAAGAGACTGACCTTCCTGCCTTCGTTGCTTAATCTAGTCGTCTCGGTACCTAGCTTGTCAATATTCGTTAAGAAAACGTGGCCGTATTCGCTACTCTTCGACCTTGTCGTATATCCTTGGCATCAAGTACGACTAGCCCTTCCACGAGACATCACCCGTTTTCAATTATTATTCTTAATACAACACTAAGGGATATAAGTCTATCCACTCCACAATTATGTCCGAATACCGGTATTAGGTATTAAAGGAATTAATAGTGCGGTTCGATCATGGCATGTTGTCTCCATCTCCAACTTACCCAGGTAACCACGAGGATGTCTCCTGGTCGTCGGCTATAGCGGGAATTGATAGGTCCCCGCCCCGAATCCTGCGTCGCCTCCGATCACCGAATCAAGCACACATCAAATCGGCACTTATTTGGTAGGTTGTTCCTGTTTCATCGCTTCCAGCTCAACACATGCCTATATGGGGAATTGGTATCCAGCTTCTTAATGAGTTGATTAATTCAAGTCGCGTACGCCAAGTGATGGAGGCCTAAAAATAATCTCGGATATAACTGTGGCGTATGGAGATCAGTGGTTAGTATCCTAAACCCGTACAAGGCTGCTTAAAAAATGAAAAGGGTATACTAAAGAATAGCTAAGCGGATAACCACGCCTGTTTCTATTTCCGATTCGAAATGAGTATAGGAACGAAGATCCTCGCGCGTTGCGGACGCGTTTGAAGACACCGTGGTATAAGGTATTCTTCGGGCATCAATACACCATCCGCCCAATTTAATCAGACCTAGCATTGAGATTATCGTCATAACGTTGGATATCCAATTTCCCTTATACGGTCATATCACTAGGTTGGGTGATAGTTGCTACCTGTAACCGTATGGCTAAAGTATACCAGTGTCCAGTCAATGGATGGCGACAATGGCACTTCGATCTCCTAAACCAGAGGGTCAGAGTTTACGAGCCTGATGACTCGACCAACTCGATTCAAGTATACTAATCTTGATCAACTGTACAATAGTAGTTTCCAGATCTATGAAATGCGATCCTCCCAGTCGGGGCTTTTAATCGTACATATGCATGTTCCAAGCCGCGATGGTGACGTGCCTGAATCTAGCCCTATAAAGTTACGAATCGATCACGACGCATATCAGGCTAAAATATTCCGATCCTTCTAACATGCACATATCGTATACATAGGTTTTCTATTATGTGAACTGGGTAATATCTCGAATTACAATATTTTCGTTCGATATAAGGGTGTAAGTTACTGCGCATCGCCGCTGATATCCTCCATCCAGATACTCAAATGGCCCGAACGAAGCTAATTAGCATTTTAGGTGTCGCTGCACTTGTCGCTGCCCAGGTTGTGGACAGGACGGTTCTGTTACAGTCCCCTCCCGATGCTTGCTCGACACCCGCTGTGCTAGATGCTAGGACGAATATATGGAAAGAATACACTCTCCATACAGATCCTTACTATCGTATTAAAGTCGAAAAAGCAGTAGAAGCTATCCAAGATGTGGAACTTCGAGACAAGGCTTCCAAGGTTGCTGACGTCGGCACATTTATGTGGATGTGTGTATTTAATATCACCATCAGGCATATGGGGATACTAACCAATTCGTTAGGACGACGGTCGACGACATACAAGACCTTGCGGACATTGCCAACACGGTGCCATGTACCGATATCATAGGGTTAGTCCTAGATAACCTACCTTATAAAGGGCAAGCACCGGAAGGCCTCGCATTCAATCAGACCATAGTTCAATATCAAGCTTCGTATATCGATTGTATGAACCCCGATGACTGATCGCAGCACTTTAATCGCTAACGTATAATTCAGCAATCGTAGAAACCATCAGATCATCGTCTAATACATCGTTTGCCGTAATTGTGGAGCCACGAGCGTTTCTAGCCTACTTCAATGACACCACGAACATCGACCTCGCTAAGAGCTACAGAGAAAACATCCCATACGCTCTCAAAGCTCTGAACTTACCGAACGTCATTACATATCTAGACGTTGGCAACAGTAATTCAATGGACTGGGATCGTCAACGCAACGTCGCCGCCAAGGAAATCATAGACATCTACCAAGCTGCGGGGAGCCCATCTCAATTCAGGGGCTTCGCAACAAACGTTGCCAATTTCAATTCCTGGTACGTTATCCTTGCTACGTTCACCTGAACAGACACATGCTTCCACGAAGCAGGGCTAAATAACATCAAGGGACCTTCTACCCGGGGAGTTCGTACCCGCGGATGATTCTCGATATACTAGGCCGCAGAACGAACAGCAATTCATACGCATTCTCTCCGACGCTCTCAATAAAAATAGGATGCTACCTCAAGCGGTACATGCGATTATGGATACTAGTCGAAATGGTGTGTCGGGGCTCAGAGAGAGCTGGGATGATTGGTGTAATGTTAATGGAGCTGGCTTCGGGATTAGGCCGACCGCGCAGACCGGCGACGAGAGACTCGATGCGTTTCTGTGGGTAAAGCAACCCGGGGAGTCGGATGGTACGAGCGACCCAACTGGGCCAGGCTACGATTCATCCTGTGGGAAGGAAGACGCGCTGAAGCATGCGCCGACAGGGGGTTCGTGGTATCAGGCATATTTTGAGATGCTCATTCATAATTCGAATCTCTCCCTCAGAATGTAAGTCTTCCTGAAATACAAAATTGTGCCACCTCAAAATTGATTTTACATTGATATCCGTCAATATCTGTCCCATTTATACCCCAACTTCGTGAATTCCGCTGTGATAGTCTAACGTACATATGGCCCAAATTCTACTCCGTTTGCGATGACATGATTCCCCACCATTCCCATAACCCCGATACTATCGGTTTCCTGAATTCCACATCCGGTAGGAAGCGTCGATCAGGCGAAGCTAGAATAGCCGTCGGGTCACTATAGTCGCCTGGTGTCGGGATGGACCTGAACGCCTTCCTTTAGGCAACGATAATCACACCACTTACGAAGTTTGGGTTTGGAGATACTTGCATATATGTGGTGTTGTTGAGCCACGATGGTTTCGGCCCTTCTCTATGCATGGCTTCGAGGGCTTCCCGGCTTTGTTGCTCCTTGTAGTCAACCGTTACCTTGTGCACTTGATCCAAGATGGGGCTATCGAACCTTAGTTTGTCATCCGCGACACCGCCTATAGTGACCCTCAGGTCCTGCACTGATAAGGCCAAGACCTGGTATCCTAAGTCATCTTTGCTGCCATTAAACGCAGCGTTTAAGAACTTGTCGACGAAGTCCAAAAGCCTCAGCACAGGTCGGGCAAAAAGGATACGGCCTCGCTTGATGCCCAATTGTAACAAAAACAGCCAATCCATCAGGTTGGGTAGACATAAGAGGATTTTTCATGGCGACATAGGCGCCAATACAAGTGAGCAAGCTTATCCAACGCGCTGATTTGGTGGGAATTGAGTGCGTACGCATTCGCCGCGTAGAAGGTAGGGAGTACGACCCAGGTATCGGGGTTGGCACGTAGTAGTTTGGGTTGTTTCTGCTCGTCAAATTGGTCGAAAAGGTGGAGGAACTGAAACCATTGTATCCAAGGCAGGTCTCCAACTGAGTTAGAGGATATAATAGTAAAGAAGAGGAAGAAGAGGAAGGAAAGGAAAGGAAGAAAAGAAATAGAGAGATGAGAGGAGGAAAAGGGGGGAAGAGAGGAATCTGAACTTACATATAAGATTGAAGACAACGGTTGGTGGCAGGTCATTTTTTTTCGAGTATAGAACATTGAAGTAAGTCAATAACGAGGTATAGGAAGGGGATGGTAAATACATGTGTATCTACCATCAATGAAAACTACCTAAGGAATCACGAAATACGAACCATCCCCCAGACCGGGCCGTTACCTGATTCCCGAGGTCTCTGTTGTCGCCGTGGACGCCACCTGGTATGGTGGACTGACCTTTTGAATGGTAGTTGGGTGGTGGTTGGACGATAGCTCTCATAGCTAATAGCTTAGTTCGAGTAGTAATTCAGTACCGGCCTAGATTGTAAGTACTTGGAACTTCCAATGAATTGATGCTCAACGCTCTAAATTGACATTAATCACCTTGACCTTCGTTGAAGGATCTTTTTATTCAAAGTGACCATATGTTGCTGAATTAAGGGGTTAGATCATATATAGGTAGCCATTTGACCTTGGCTTGTTAATCAAAAATGGACGGAATGAATATTCCTCCGAATCGTATCCACAAATCACCACTTACAAATCCAAGCCAACATCTCGATATCAAAATCATAGAGAGAATTCGCTGGCCGCGAAAAACTATAAAATGAGCAATTTCCAAGTCTCTGAGTCCAAGATGAAGGAATCATCAGACATGCAATTGTATCCCAATCCAAGTAAATAACTAGCTCTCCAAAGTTTGACTTCATCATGGCACAGCCCGCACCAACCCCAAAGACCGTTTTCATAACAGGCGCAAATGGTTACATCGGTTCTGCCGTAAGCCGCGCTTTCGTCCGAGCCGGGTGGCAACCATACGGCTTAGTCCGACGCCCAGAAGCGGCCGGATCCCTCATTGCCGAAGAAGTAATCCCTATCATCGGCTCCATCTCCAAAGACGCCACGTTCCTCGACGCCCTCTTTGAGCATACTAAAACGGTCGACGTTGTGGTCTCTTGCACGGAGGACATTCCCTTCGGAGCACACTACGAGGCCCTGATCTCCCAGCTCCGGAAACTGGCCGAGACGTCTAATCGTAATGGAGTCCGCCCTCTTGTCTTGTTTACTTCTGGATGCAAGGACTACGGCATCATGGGCGTCCATGGATCTCCAGGTCTTGCGCCGCATACCGAGGAGTCGCCTCTACAGCCTATCAAGATCCTCATAGAGCGTGCTGAGAGCTCGGTTCGTATTTTTGAACATAAGGGTTTATTTGATGCTGCGGTTATTCGACCGACTCCTGTTTTCGGGTATGATAGCTCGTATTATGGGCTAGCGTTCGAATTGGCGACGGAGGCGGGGAGAAGTAAGGATGGGGTTTTGACGCTGCCGTTTGATTTTGGTACGATTGTGCATGGGTGCCATATTGATGACTGTGGGGAGGCGTATGTAGCGCTCGCGGTGCACGAGGATAGGGATGTTGTTGCGGGGCAGAGTTTTAATATCTCGGCGAGTCGGTATGATACCTTGGCGACTATCGCGAAGGCGTTGGAGGTTGAGTATGGGCTTAAGGGGGTCGTATCGGGTCCTTGTGAGGACGATAGGGTGTTGTCGGCTGATGTTGTGCTTGGATATAGTCAATGGGTTGGTAGCGAAAAGATTCGAAAGCTGACGGGTTGGTCGGATAAGAGGATGCTACTCTCGGAGAATTTGCACGTTTATCGCTTGGCGTACGAAGAGGCGGCGAAAAGGGGTCACCAGGGCGTGTTGAGAGTCAAGGCGAGGTTTGATGGCGTCCTTGCTGGCTCTACCATTTAATAGAGGGGAGGGTCATAAGCTACCTTTCTGGCGGCGATGGAGCGAGTTTGGATGGAATAGTTGTTATTGCGGCATTTAAGCAAAATTGTAAGCAGAGCAAGCCACCCACGTAACACAGCGGGGCTATCATCAATCGTTACCGGTATATTCCTTACCCTAAGATCTTTGGAATTTGGGACACATCGGACTTGGTAGCTATAAGACCACATTTAGCGACTTAAATCCTTTTATTCGTCCTGATTAGTAGATCAATTGGGATGCTCTTAATACCACGCGGCGCTCGTATACTATAATTATCAACAACTTCTCACGATGAACAAATAACAAGTAGGGAAACGTAACGTTGGCATTAATCATTAAGTCAACTGATGAGACTGGAGAACTTAAGAAGAAACCCCGTTGTCTAACTTTATCTATCCATTTTGCTTCTCATTAGAAACGTAGGAAATGCATAATATGAGAACGGATATCCGATTCTCGATTCGTAAGTAGAAACAAGCAAGTTGGCTGCCATCTTGCGTAGCTCTTAGCTTGCTTGCAAACACTCAAGGTGGGTTGGGGAAGGAGACGGGCATTCAAGGGGGTGTTGGTACTCACTGCACATTACTCCTGCTAAATACTTCCAACTTGAGCCTCCGTATGCGCCTAGTTTCTGACTTGGCCGAGAGGAGTGAATACTCAAATCCATTGGTTATGGTGTTCAAATTCGAGATACTTCACCAATCTGCCCAGTTGTCCTTAAATGTGACACATAGGAGACCCCATCGAGAGAATGCCCATAACGCAAGGAAATGGAAGGCCAGAAGAATAAAACTTCCTTTCCATCCCCATCTCCATCTGGGGAAGGCTAAAGGAGTAGGTCTACGCGACCCTCCTTCGTGAGGTATGAATACATCCCTGTGAATACCTAGATCAACTCCTGCGATGCCAATTAGAGGTACACCAACACTAATGGTGACGGTAAACGGCCAACATTGTCTGGCTAGTGATAGTATCTTCACCAGAAACAAGAGCAATCGGAACGTAAACATGATCGAATCGACATGATTACGGCCGAGATAGATCAAATAGCCTTGCGCCCGTTGCTGTGTTGTTCCAAACGTACCCGTTGGAGGTGGCATGAGTAATGGTGTACGCATTGTAGGTGCTTGGGTATGAGCGATCCCAGTAGCACGACCTCGATCTGGAGATAAACGCGAAAATCCTTCATGACTTCGCGATAATGCCATAGCTTGTGGTCGATGGCGAGGTGTACTAGGACTACCGTACTTCTGCATGCTATGGAATGCAGCTTCAGGCGAATGGCTTGAAGTCGGCGAACTCTCTCCACTGGGAGATGTAAGTTCTTCGGGAGTCAAAACATTGCCGTGATGTTTATGTGGATCGGGAATTGGTGTACTAGGTGGCATAGGCGAGTCGAGACTCTGAATCCTGTGTGTACCTAGTCCAACAGGAGGACTTGTGCTTCGTCCTCGTAGCCCGTTACTATATGGTTCGTGCATTACCTTTAATACCTGATTGGCACTAGGTCTTTCGGTGGGATCGAGAGCTAGCATACTCTTTAACAGCTGATACAGCTTAGAGGGTAGATCAGGACGTTCTCGTTTCTCATCGTGGAAACCTTTCCAATCGGTAATTTCTGCTCGAAGTTGATCAATGTCTTCTAGTTCTTCCTGGACGGTATTGGCGTTCACATAAGGAAGCCGACCGAAACATAAAAAGTAAAGAATCATTCCCAACGAAAATACATCCGACTTGGTTGTGAAATTACCAAGTCGACCACCGGCGTCTCTCTTTAAGACTTCGGGGGCGCAATAGGAAATCGTCCCGGTTGTTCCCGTTGACTTTCGAATGGCATTTCCTGGTTGTACTTCACCAAAATCGCTGATTAAACACGTAAGCCTGCCATTCTCTTGATGTAAAAGGCAATTGCTAGGCTTCAAATCGCGATGGATGTAGTTGGCACTATGAAGGTAAGCCAGACCGGATGTAATATCCTTGAAAAGAGAGTAGATCTCCTCGAATGTTAAACGACGTTGGGGAGGGTAAACCTCTCGAGGTCGTTCACCGGTTCCTTTGGATTTACGCCGTAATTGAGCTTTAAGTTGCTCCTTTGTGGTTTGTTTCTGTTGATCCCCGATAAGGTACTGTAATAAATCACCTTTGTTGCAGTATTGTTGGAGGATAAAAGCGCATACGACACTTGGTCCGAAACGATTCATCTTAACGTCCTCTAACCAGACGTGACGGTAAGACACGAGATTGGGATGAGAAAGCTTGGCAAGTAACTCGACCTCGATTAATACCTTCTCAAGCCATGTATGATCGTCTCCTACGGGAACTCGCTTGCAAGCGAAGTGACCTAAAGGACATCCATCGATCTCGTGACGAACCAAAAGTACGACACCTTTTCCACCTCGGCCGAGTTCTTTTTCCTCGACGAAGAATCTTTGAAAATAATTGGGACTGAACGCATCTCTTCTGATACGACCTCCTTCTTGGGGAGCTGGTGTACTGGAAATGAATTCGGCATCATCTACTTCCTGCGCCCTTGGGCCACCACTCAGCAAACTAGGCTGAGTAAGTCGACGAACGGGGCTCGGCGGAGGTTGACGTTGTGCATGTTCTTCGTCCTCATTATGTCCCGCTTGTAGCATACGAAAATAATTCGGATCGACATAAGATTCTTGTGGTGTGGGAACATCAAAATGTCGGTCGGGAGAAGGAGGGCGGAGGGGTTGATGACAGGTAGGACATTCTGCTAAAGGTACACCACGTAGGTCTTGTAATTCTCGAGGTTCGAAGCGTCGCGACGAGGGATTGTATACGACGACAGCATTGCGATGACGCCTGAATTATTATTAGTTAGCAGTCGATCAAGACATATAGAGAAGAATAGGAAATAATGGTAATCCCAAGTTGACAGGTCAATTTGGCCCCCAAAATAGTGATAGATTGAAGCAGGGATATAGGTAAGATAAAGGAAAATGACGTACAATACGATTTCACGACCCTCCCTCGAAGAATACGGAATCAACTCCATTATTGAATGGCTACCAACCGACGACGGCAGAAGGGAATAGAGAGGAAAGTCATGGATATCTATAGTCGAAGGAACACATTCTTATAATATAAAACAAGGCCACGTCGGATGGTTGTTTATGAATAGGTAAATTGTTGGTAGCTGTTTACGGTGGAAGAGTATTAATGTTTTTCTTTTTGTCGAGGACAAGTAATTAATTATTTTGGATCGACGAATGTTTTTGGGACAATGGGGTGATGCAGTTAGGTGGGTATCTGCCTAGGTACAGGGCTAGGTTGTACCTATTAGAATTCATACTTTACCCCAGAATATGCTAAAGTTTGGAACCTTATGGACCTTGTCAGCCTATCTAGCCCCTCTAAGAGCCCTGTATACTTCCGTCATAGGGTAACATCTAATAAGCTCTTGCCACCAAACATGTCACCTAACACGCCTAAATCTATCTCAAGATAGGCAGGTGGTAGGTGATATGTGGCGTTGATTTCACGTCTAAGGTACCCCAAAAGTTAATCAATGTGGTGTCGATAGTTATCATCTACAACTAATGACGCTGGAATAGACGAGAATCTTCAACGAATGAATCTAACTCGGACCTGAGTAAGAAGCTTAAACGAGCGAAAAGCTTCACGATACCTTCAATCATCCAATCCACCTCTCGACAGTATCCCTAACGATTGACAAAGTACTCGAAGTATCAATGTTCGTCTTTGGTGTTTCTCTCCTAACCGCGCCAAATGGCCTCTGACCAGCAATTTCTTCTTCCGAAAACCAAGCTCCATGTAACCCATAAGGTACCCGTTGGGGCAATATCACTCTTGCCACGATATCTTTCATGTTCCTAGCATTGATGATCCAAAGCTCACTAACAGCTTCATCGCTACACTCGCCGTTATCATCTAACTGCGACTCATCAAACACGTAGCTAAGTAACCATCCGTCATCCTCACTTTCTGCGTTCGTACGTGGTATGAACCGTGGCTCTTGCGCAAACCAACCTTTGGGCATCTTGAACAACTTGACGGGGTCATCATCGTCAGTACTCTGCATAACCTGATGAACATTTCGGGTATCAACACAACCCTTAACCTGTTGAGGCGGGTTAGCGATACCTCGAGCAATTAACGTTGCCGCGTCGATTTTCGCGATATAATCAATTTTAGCTGATTTTCCGACCGCCGCGGAATACGATGGTCCACCCATACTACATCCGTATATGTAACGAGCTTCCCTCATCGCGTGCGAAGACGATATAGTCGGAAACTCGAAAGGAATCGCTGATAAAGCCCATTGATTCCGAATTTGGGGTGTTTCCTCCGAATCGTCTTTGGGAAGTGGGAAGGCATAGTAGTGAAGTCGACATTGCTCCTCTTCCGCGTATTCTGGAGGTACTGGCTTAGTCACAGGCGGTGTAAGTGCACCGGCACTATATACAATTGTCGCCGAAGTAAGACGACAAGCAAGAAGGTGAACACATGTTTCGGTTCCCGACGATATCATTTCCCAGCAATTCGCCGTATGGAATATGACGCACGGGTTTGTCTTGAACCATTGGATTTTATCCGGCTCGTATCGAGGGAACACCCCAAACCGCGATTGTTGAGTCGGATCGTACGAAACAACTGGTCTACCTCTAATACTATTCATAGGATCCAGGGTTAGAGGAAGGTCCATTATTACCGTATAATGCGATGAAACTCCAAAGTCATGCATCATTCTCGGAGAGCTAATGCCTTGAATCGGCATCGAGAATATCGGGACCGACCCGCTTTCTTTCGCATTCTCCTTCATTGATGATCCGGCCGGCGGTACTATTGAGTAATAGACGAACGGCTTGATAAAAACAGCATGGAATGCGATGAATTCTCCTGTAACTGGATCAACTCGGGGATGTCCCGTTGTCCATTCTTTCATGAATGCGATCGGACCACTTCCGCCGAAACCTGCTCTCTTAGCCGAACCGCGTTCATTTTCTGCGCTTCTTCCATTATACCATCCGACAGTATCTAGGCTAGGGAGCTGAAATCTCATCGGTGGCCCACTCTCACAAGTTGCCATCGCCCTGCCGTCATGATATACTATGCTGGTATTAGCAACACTGATTTTCTTGATGGCTTTGCTAGATCCTGGCAACCTCGATAAGAAGACTAGTGTCAAAGTCCTAAGAACTACCATAAGGATAGTCGCTAATGAAGCAGTAATTAATGTTGCGATACTAGGTAGTACTGGTCGCTTCAAATTCCGATTCTCCTTTGCATTCAAGTATACATCGGTTAGGATGTACTGGTTGACAAACTCCGGTTCTATGTTCGTTTCTTTCTCGCCCCGTCGAAATAAAACGCCTGTAAGCATGCCGTCGCCATCGAACCAATGAGCCTCTCTTCCTAAATCATCGTTCGTGGCCGGATTCCCGCCGTTGCGGACATATTGACCCCCAGCAAGCTCTTCCGGGATATGACCGACATAATTGCATGGTGTGAGCGATCGGGTCCGTTTAATAGGCGCGAAATTTCCAGACAGGTATCTATATTCGGAGTTAGGCGCTGATCGCATTCTAGACATTATCGAGCACCTACGGATGAGGACTCCGAATTTGCTCTTCCATATTCCATTTATTCGTGCGCATGTATACGACCGACCTTCAATCTAGGCTCCTTTACGAAGCCGTGGACGACGACTCAGTGGCTCATATAGCGTATTCCTCGAATCGCGCTCTCAATCGTTCCGCAGATCAACCCGCATCCGAAGTCTCGGTAAAACATGCTGTGTCACTGAAGTCTAAGGATTCGTTGGGATGATATGACGACATCTACCAATGATCCAGGGACGTCCCTGTAGGTGTCATTTGCCGATAGTCTGGCCTATTTTGGTCGTGATGGATTTGACCATACGCGTTGCTCCTCGGAAATGGTCGATATCAATGCGCTGCACCGAAAAACACTCGACACAACGGTTCAGCCCAAGTCCCACAGCAGTGAAGCATCATTATATGGTAATATCCAATGAATTTGTCATAATTCTCTGAGGATGAGCAGGCTATCCCCAGCTCGACCTGCATTATGTATATGCAGGTAAGTACCTAATTATGAAGTCAGAAAGGCTTGTCGGCGTCATTAGAATGGATGATATCATGAGTATGAGACGAAACTCAATGATGGGACGCTTTGTCCGATATATGCTGTACCGAATAATCCTCTCCTTTATGAGCGACTCCGCAATACGTCCGCTGGCTGCGGGAACAGCCCCGTCTTGTCATCATTCCCGGCATATGCGGCTCTGGATTCAATCTTGAAAGGACCTAGATCGCAGGCGATTTCTGTATGCAGCAGGGCCCATTTCCCTGGATGGTTTGATGCGGATTAGCTGGGGAGCCCATCATGTTCCTAGCAGGCCTTGGTGAGAGGTATGTGTCCCGTCAAGCGACATAACCGGCATGTCCATCTAGCTACGTATAAGTAGCATGTCATTTATTTTACTTCCCACTATAGATCCAATATACCGTACGAAATGGTGAAGTCATCATTCACGAAGCCGGCCATACTTCCACCTCAGGTTTATTCTAGGCATTCAAATACCCAGCCGTCTGCAAACTGAGACGACATTTTCCGTCTACTACTATATTCGTCGCTCAACAAACGTCAGTATTAACCCGCCAAATCGCTGTGTAATATCCGTCAGAAGTTATATCACTACTAGCTCTCAAAATGTCTGGACCAGGCAACCAGGCACTCAACATCAATAGTGTTGTCGCCCAACACGGCAATCTCGAAATCACCAATCATGGTTCCGATTGGTATTATGCCGTCTGTGCCCTGATGGGCATCACTACTCTCGTTTTCATGGGCTTAGCTTTCATGAAACCTCAGGGTGACCGCGTCTTTCATTATATTACTGCTGGGATAACGGCCGTCGCCTGTATCGCCTACTTCGCAATGGGTTCCAATCTCGGTCAAGTTCCTATTCAAGCTGAATTTGTTCGGCCGTATAGTCGTTGGGGAGTTGGTTCAGCCGGAACTCGAGAAATATTTTACGCTCGATATCTTGATTGGGTTATTACTACACCTCTACTCCTTCTCGACCTTCTCCTTACTGCTGGAGTTCCTACGCCGACTATTCTTGCTACACTCCTCGCTGACGAGATCATGATCATCACAGGCTTGATCGGCGCTTTGACGCAGACTAGGTTTAAATGGGGATTTTGGGCCTTTGGCATGCTCGCTCTGTTCTTCATCGCTTATGAACTATTATTTGATGCGCGACGCCATGCTTCAGTTCTTGGTGGGGATGCGAAGAGGACATTCCTATTATGCGGTAATTTCCTCCTCTTCATCTGGTTCTTGTACCCTATCGCATGGGGTCTCAGGTAAGTTAATTACCCTTCTCTCTTAGGCCTATATGAGAAACAATAATCGTTTCCAATCGTATTTAGTGCAAGGACTATAGTTTACTGACCCTATCGTAACAGTGAAGGTGGTAACGTCATCCATCCCGATGGCGAAGCAGTATTCTACGGTGTTCTCGATATCCTAGCCAAGCCTGTCTTCGGCATTCTTCTTATCTGGGGTCATCGCAGAATCAGCACTTCACAGCTAGGCCTTCGCGTTCGAGATCGTAGCCATTTCGCAAGCGAAAAGTACAATCCCGGTAACGCCCAACGCGACGGCGTACATCCAGAGGGCCCTGGAGCGAACGTTGGACCCCCGACTGGTCATCCCATGGCTACACATACCAATGTATAATTGGCGCTACACTACGAACACATTCATATGCTCGGATTAGATTTTTCCAACATTTTCTATTTCGAACTCACCACAAATGGCTCGACACGGCCTATGGCCCTAAACACACAAAAATCTATGATTTTTTGCAATATATAATGTATTAATTAATTTCAAATAATAATAAATGCAACTGATATACCTTCAAATGCGGCAAACTGCCAAACGCGCTGAAATACCCATGTCGTAGAAGTCGTCGAAATCACGTCATGGCTTTTTGCTTACTTATTTCCATCCATGCGCACTTCTCGCCTTCCTTCGCGATAGAGATCTCTTCACATTCGTGCTTGATTCCGGTGAAACGCCTGTATCGTTGAACAAACTTCCAGGACCAAAATCGGGTGTACCACCCAAAGTCCCGAAAATATCCCCGATATAATTCGTCGGCTTGATTCCATCGTGGAACGTGGAGTTCCACTCAGCAATAATGCCTTGCACAATCTCAACCCCGGCTAGGTACAGATTTTCAACTGCAATGTCAAAGCCGTTTTGATCCTGGATGCGCAAATGATCAAACGCACTGACTGACGGCGGAGGGCGGTCAAAATCAGAGCCTTTCGCATTTTTCGTTAATTTTCGATTCCACGATTTATCAAAGGAAGAATTCTCACCAGTTCTCATCACAACAATCCTCGAAAAATCCACAATATCCGTTATCGCAGCCCGCAGCAGCGCATTCAGAACAGCAGTATCCTCCTGCGCACTCACGCAATACGTAAGCGCGCTCTGGTTAGTCCACGATTTCGTCGTGTTCTCAAACGCCTCACTCAGCAACGTGCCCGAGAAATACACATCACTCGTCGCCGTGTCACATGATATGACACCAGGTTTCTCGGTGGCTGCTGCGTATATATCACCGCTATCAGCGTACTTAGCACAGTAATTTCCCGCGCCTTCCGAAGTGATAAGTTCAGCGCGTTTAGCAAAGTTAGCCGCGACATCACGCAGGTTTTCATTAACCTCCATGACCTCAGTTCCGTAAATAATCGACGGATACTCATCAGGCGAGTAAGCGCCGTTCGGAAGATACCCAGTCGAAAAGTTCTCCGGCTTTTCACGTGCGTCGATTTCGTATTGCAGCGCAACTTGTACCGAGAACCGGGATAGAGCGACGCTGCCCAGAGTACCGAGTTTCGGGTTAATACCCGCGATTCCAGCCGTTAGGAAATACGACTGTGTTAGATCGAACTGGGGCGAGAGTAGGAAGGACATTATCGATGTGGCGGCGTTGGTTTCGCCTTCGCCGGCTGTGAGTTGGCATACTTCGCCATTTTGCGTGCAATGGACATCCGGGAATAACGGAGAGAGACCTGGAACGGTGATGTTGTTCGCGAGGATAGTGCCTAAGGTGCTATTTGGTGTATTGGTGTACCAAACATCTGCTTCGGGGGCGAACTTGATTTTTCAACGCCTTTTTTCAGCCACAATATACGCATTGATACCCTTTGAGGGTGGTTGACCCCCACTTTAAGAAAGGGGGAGGGGAAATGAGGGATGGGGACGTCTCTCGGAACTTACCATGCTAATTATTACGACTTTAGGTGCGATTTTTTCGGCCGTCTGTTGGCGTTTTATGAATCCCACGTTATGGCTCATGTTTGGCGCGGCATTTACTGCCATGGAACAAGCCCAGGCCAACAACACCGTCGGGATAGTCCGAGGGAACAACATAATGCCAAACAAAAGCAAGTACGGAGTCAACAGTCTAGCGTAGACAGTATGAGCAATTGATGATATCTCGGGTATATCATAAAGTATAGAGAACGAATATCCTGAACACGAACTCACGAGAACGAAGTAGCTACATAAATAGAAGAAATTTTATCAATGTAGCCGATCTGAACCGTCTTTTACACAATGAAAGCTGAATATCTCACCGCATGCGTTCATATCAGCTATGATGAATCTTTCGGGCTGGTCGATGACAAGGTGGCTTGCTATTCACTATCCGACAAGACCAGAATATTCAGCCATCAAGCGCGGATAACGACGATGCACCCGGATGACTCGGAGGGGCTACAGGAGAGTTGCATTTAGTTTCATTTATTAATTTTCGTCTTATCAGATCTACAGAAGATAACGTCCAACCTAACTTCGATGAACTACGCCGTACATCATTCTAGCTACGTACCTAAGTGAACCTGAGCTTTAAATTACTGTCATAATATCAGCATTCCGTTCCAACGTCCCAACGTTATCAGACCCGTCTTTAGGTCCACTGTTATAGCCTATAAATTAAAAAATTAGTTATCTACCCTACTATGTAAGACAGCTGGACCCCCTAACCTCCATCATCAACCGTTAAATCAATGCTCAAAATTGCGGTCTATCCCTCGGCAATCTTGCATCCTCAGCTTCAGAAGTGGCCTTTGTCAGATATTCAAGCCTCGTCGAAGCAATATACTGTGCCTACCTAGGTAGTACTCGGTATTGATCGGCATCTTGTTTAACATAGTCAGGAACCCAATCAGCTTAGATCCCGTCCCTACGATGGAGATCTCGCAGCCATCCGACCTATAAAACCTGGTTGAACCGCCACTATGCTGTACCTAAGTAGATCAATTACTGAATTGGTCCCGTAGACTGCGTCAAAAGGCGTATATTGGATTAACTCCACATATCGGATATGTCCTAGATAAAAAGCAATCCTATCGTCGGAAGTTCGCATTAGAGGGGATAGCCGGTCAATCAAGTAAGGTATCTGGACTAATACTGTCGAACACACTGTCGCGTATATCTAAGTACCTATCCGTGAAGCAATAGGGATCCCGTAGATGGTGGGGGTCAACGCCACATTAAACGCAGTATGCCCTCCATTCCGGGACATCTGCTCCATTTTCAATAGCAACTATCACAGCGTAAATCTAGGAAGGCGTCCTTGCATGGAACGATAGAAACTAGTTAAGATAGACACTCTAATATAAATACAGCTAATAGTCCTTAAGTTCAAGTTCCGCCACCTTCAACTCCGCCGATGAACGCATCTAATTGACTACCAACCGGCTCAATGTTGCTAGGACGACGCGACCCGCGGGGACTTGATGTGTATGTTCTGGGCCAATCCCCCCAAACCATCACTTGTCCTCGTGAAGTACTGTAACCTCATGACACGATTTCAACAGGACCCAACCCAGCCACCCTATGGTGGGAGCACTATTCCCGCTTTCTGTTGCAAACCCGCTGGAGATAATCGAACTCCGTACGAGACATGACCGCTGTCCACATACTTGTATGTTTTATGGTCATGCTGAATACACGTTGATCCATTCGTGTTTCGGCGTTGAGTAGCGATCCCCACACTGTAAGTCGGCCGGTATACATAGCACAATGGGTATCATCAACGTTCCGACAGCACTGCTTTCAATAATCGATGATAAGCGCTCTTACTCCGGTTGTCTCTCCGGTTGCTATTTATGGTTAGTCCTCGATGTAGTTCATTGTTTTTTAAAGACTTACTCCGTGTGGTGATTATGGTGGTTTGAATGAACCTTCCCGTGGACATTTATACGCTGGCCACTGTAATACTTCTCGCGTAATCATCCCTTAATCGGGGGTTTCGTGTTATGACACGCTATGAAAGATAAATCAGGTAATTAGGAAATCCCGCCTGTAAGAGTGGAATAGTAGATATGGACTAGCAGTAATTGAATAGAGGCGATTTGAGGGTGGAAGCCATATAAGGGGCAAGACATGTGGTTCGAGTGAAGGTAAAGGAGAAAAAGAGAAGAGGAATTGAGATGAGATGGGGGTTTCACAGTGATCTTATATTCTGCATCGTGACTCATCGTTCTTGCATCGGTGGAAAAGGGAAGGAATGAATGTTTATCAACTCAATATGATGGTTTCCGTCTGTCTGGCCAGGCACATTCGCAGGTGTTTACCTAATCAGGCAGGATCAAATCATTAAAAGCTGTTTTGTCGCAGTATAACTGCAGCGTAGACTCAAGGCGGTTTCCATAACGTTAGAGTAGTTACAGCAGTATGAGTAATTAACTCTAAACTATATCTTAAGTAACCCAATCTCTTACCTGTAACCATCCTGTCGCTTCCTATGCGCAAGTTATCACCGTAATGTGGTCTGATATTGAGTTGCCCATGAAAGTATGCGCTCTTAGTTGCTCAAGTAGATCACCCCATAATCGGTTAGGATAAAACGAAGTATATTTTAAGTTCGTAGCATCTTTCTCTTGGGGTATTTGACACTGTTCCTTCTCGAAGCTATTTTAAGTTACTTGTGATGGTAGATGCATTCATATGAGGTAGTTGAGTACCTACCTAGGTAGGTACTTGGCCCTAATACGGGCGCAATCCCAGAGGGATAATCTCCTACCATGATATTCGTATTTACATCGTAGAATGTAGCTTCGTGATGTATTCACGAAGTAGTAAATATAGAATTTACGGGAATAAAGAAATAATTAGACAAACGGGAAACCTTAGTATATCCCATGGGAAAACCTACTAATGGGATACACAAGATAAGTTCCATAGTCATCAATTAGTTCCACATTCAAGTGGAATTGATATGTGATAAACCCGCTCCGAATCTGACATACTATAGAGCGAACTTCGCCCCTTGCGCATACAAGCTATGTCGTGGACGCCGGTTATCGCTACCGGGGCATTACTCACCGCTTCCCTGCTGCATACTTAGCACTAAGCACTAGCTCGTCTAACTTATCAAACATATCGATACGTCTTTCATCTGCGCACTATAGATATATTATACTACTTAGTATTCAATTTCCTTTGAGGGCCGGAGAATAATCACGATGGCGGGATGGTCGCTGCAAGGGGAGCTTGCGACGCTCACTTACCCGCCCGTCCCACCTAACTTCGGAGGCGAATTCTGTAAAACAACTCGACAGGATACGTACGACTATATTGACCCCTTAACCAAGTCCAATTGCAAAGGAAAAGCAGTATTGGTGACTGGTAGTAATAAGGGCATTGGAAAGGGGGTTGCCCTATCATATGCTCGAGCGGGGGCGTCGCATATCGCGATAACCTCGCGCTCGGATGCTCCGGATGTCGTCGTAGAAATTGAAAAAGCTGCGACGGATGCCGGGCGAGAGAAACCTCAAGTAACGTCACTGCGAATGGATGTGGTCGATCTAGCGAGTGTAAAAAGCGCTGCTCATATCTTGGAAACGACTTGGGGTCGTCTTGATATCTTAATCGGCAACGCGGGATTCCTTGCAAAGTATGAAAAGATCCTGGACGGAGAGGAGGATGAATGGTGGGAGAGCTTTGATGTCAATGTTCGTGGTAGCTATCATGTCGCAAAGTCATTTCTTCCCTTGATGTTGAAAGGGGGTGATAAGACTATCATCAATATGTCTTCAACTGGAGTTAATCACTTCCATACCGGAGGAAGTAGTTATCAGATCAGCAAATTTGCTCTTCTCAGGCTCACGGAGTATTTGATGGCGGAGTACGCCGACCAGGTGAGTCGAAATCCATGATATTGTCTCGTGAGACGTTCCTCTAACATTGCGATAGGGTCTTTTGACATATTCCGTACATCCAGGAGGGTATGCGAACCCCACTTTCAACCCGTTATGAATTTTATTGACATAATTCGTGCGAATAGGGTAGCGACTGATCTATCACAAGGATTACCAGAGAAAACGAAAGGTACGAGAATCATAATTCGCTGCAGATGATATATGCTGATTCAAGGATGTAAAAGCATGGCTAAAGTGCACGCCCGCCTTGCCTGGGGACACTATCGCGTTCTTGACAAGTCAGAGGCAAGAATGGCTAGCTGGCAGATATGTCAGTGCTATGTGGGATATGGACGAGTTCTTCTCCAAAAAGGATGAAATAATAGAAAAGGACTTATTGAAGATGAAAATGACCTTTTGAATTGATTCGCAGGGTTGGTTTGAGCAGTAGCAGGAGCAGGCGTGCTGGTAAGGTGTCCACGATAGCGTGAAGGCGTTTCTTAGCACACGCCATCAATTGACGATGCCCAAAACATCGTGGAAATAAGATCAGAGACGGCGACGCGCGTCGATGATCGTAAGTTATTCAATCGCTATTGTCAATGAGCACATCGGCGATGATCAAAAGACCATGAATCGAAAAAATAATCCTAATTCGTTCTATTGTGAAGCTATCGGTTCTGGTAGCGATGTTGGAGGATCGTAAATCAGAAAAACGGGGGATATGATTGGTGCGACTCATTCTAACTCCGAGCACCTTCGGGGCTTGATGATAGAAGCTGGAATAGCTCAAATTCCGATGCCCATCGGTGCTAATAGTAAGTAATAGGCATCCAAATTACCATTTGGCATATATATTTCTTTGAACTTTGGAAATTGTTCGGCTTCATCAGATTTTGATCGCACCTAAACATCAACATGCCCCCAATGGCTTTCATAGAATCTTGGTCGCTTGCTAGCTTCCTAGCTCCCCTTCATCTGTTATCATATTCTGCCCTCCTAGGTACCGAATTATACCAAACTTTCATCGTAACGAAGGTGTGTTACCAAGAGTTACCAAGGTCCGCTTTCACAACACTTCAGAAACGCATATTTCCTCTTTACTTTCGCGGTCAATCCCTACTTCTCTTGTTGACTGCAGCGACCATTCCTCCATATGGACCGTTTACGCTACAGGCGAGTAAGGGAAATTGGATACCGTTCGTCATCGCAGGGGTTACAGCGCTCTTGAATTTGACTGTCTATGGGCCTCGAACACGTAAGATAATGATTGATCGCATTCACCAAGGTATGTGCCTCATTTGAGAGAAAGTGGTAATAGTCGATGCGGTCCTTGCTAATAGAGAATCTAGAAACGCGAGATGGAACGAAGTCAACCGGTATCGATGTTGAATTAAGTGACGATATGAGAGCATTTAATAGATCTTTCTCGCGCAATCACGCGATGAGCATTCATCTTAACTTGATCTCAATAGGTGCCATGGCTTGGTGGGGTTGGAAGTTGGCTTCACGATTGGACATTCAATCACTGTAAAGCTTGTGGCGGGTCGGCCAGCAACGAAGAGCTGAATTCTCCTCTTAAATTGATCTATTTCTGGTTAACATACGGTTATTATTGAAAAGAATTAGAAAAAGGAGGGAAAGAAGAAGAAGGACTGTATTATTTGCAATTCATTATGATATTCATGGCTACCTCTTCATTCCATTTCCCGTTTAGCTGAACGTCCTACGCAGTCTACCTGAATATAGGTCCACCCCACCTGCACGCCAAACGAGATGCGTCCTGTGGACATCAGATCTCGAGGACTAGCTTAGTACCGCTGACTCCAGCCTTTATAATATCAAGGCCCTTGTTGATACCTTGAAGACCTCCATCGAGCAACTGGATCTTGGGACTCGGGACGATCTCTCGCTTCTCTAATTTCTCCTTCAACCATGTGTTAAACCAGTATTCGAATTGCTCGTTTCGCGTCTTCTCCTCGGTTGAAGCAGCGACGAATCTAGTCTCGACGCCATCTGCAGTAGGACCGTCAGGCTTCAACAAAGGTGCGGAGGCCAGGTAAGCGGTTGCGCTTCCCTTCAAAGCCTTAAGAATGGTTTGGCAAGATGCGGTAGCTCCCACGGCATCGTAACCATACTGGAACGTGAGACCATCCTCATTGGCTGCCTTAATGATGGTATCTTCGACGCCGGGTTCCTTGTAGTCAAAGACTTTAGATGCACCTAAAGACTTGACGTATTCGTGGTGCTTGGCATTCGCTGTACCGTAGACAACAAAGCCTAAAAGTTTAGCGAGTTGCACGGTAAGACTTCCAACGCTGGACTGTGGCATCAATTGTCAGTATGCATTTTCTTGTGATACGTTGGATAGTACTTACGGAAGCGCCCCAGACCAAAATTCCTTGCTTATCGCTAGGAGAGTAAGAAAGGTCGTGGGGAACACCAATCGTATCTAATCCAGACCCAGCTGTAGCAACAGCCATGGGAAGAATGGCAGCTTCATTGAAGGTAAGGTAATCTGGAATGGGGGTGGCGTTTCTTGCGGGGACAAGAGGGCGCTGTTGAAAAGCACCATAGTTGGGGGCACCTCTAGCGAAAAAGGAGAGCGCAAACGCCGTAACACGAGTCCCAGGCTTAAAAGTAGAAGAGACATTGGATCCAGCCTCAACAACTACACCAGCAACATCTGAGCCGGTAATGGCAGGGTATTCGGCGATAGCGAAGCCGGAATCTCTTGCCTTATAGTCAATGGGGTTCAAGGCGATCGACTTGACATCGAGAAGTAATTCATCAGGACCAGGTTTCGGAGTTTCCCGTTCCCGAACCTCAAGATTCTGAGCCTTTCCGGGAACAAATGCTGCAAGATGAGTGGCCATTGTGTGATAACTGGATGGTGTAGATATGTAGTACGACTGTAGGAGTTGTCTGTGTATTTAGGTGTGGCTGGGAAGGTTGAGAGGACTGGTGTTTGATTGATGCTTAGAAAGCCACAGGAAGGCAGAAATAAATAGAGAAGATGATGGGCTTTAGACTGTATTCCGTCATATTTGTGACTTTCTTTATACTACATCACGGCTCGGAGCTTGAGAGATCTCGGACTTAATGATTACCCAATATAGATGGTTGCGTAAGAGTTGGATGGATATAGTTATTGAATGCGAAGGATGTGAGAAGTTAAATTTAGGTGTTCATTAGTAGTAATCTGACAATTATGAGTCAAGATAGTTGAATGGAAATAGCATTCATAGAAATCGTACTTTACAAGTACCTAGGACGATTTGATGAAGGTAGGAACATCGTCCATGATTGCTTCGTCGGAGGGTGGTCAGCCCTACGAAATCGGAACACTTATCTCCGGACTGCAATACTTAGGTAGGTACCTAGGTACATGCGGATTTAACACGCAACTCCACTTCCCGCAACTTTCCAATCCCCCGGAGTTATTTAATCGGCTTTTTCAAACTCCTAATCATCATCTTCGACACCATAAGTTACGGACAAGTAATTGAAAAAAAAAATGAATATATAGTCCCGAGGTATTTTACGCGCTCAGATATATGTACAGACAAATCTTAGTACAGTCAAAAGTGCCCTATCCAATCCTTCTAATCCGGTATTCTCTCAACTCCTAGCCAGGAGTCTCGCTAATAGGCACAGCCTTCTCTCACCTCTTGAGATCTCTCCAAGGTTGCGATCATCACGCGAAGAACATACGGCTTCTCTTGTTGTTGTTATTGTTGCCATTGTTCTTGCCGGCGTTACTTTGGCCGTTTCCATTGTTTCCGGCATCGTTGGCAGCGTTATTAGCATTGCCAGCATTGGCATTTGCGTTATTGTTGTTGTTTCCACCACGTCCCTTACCACTGCGACCATTGGCAGCACTAGTTTGAGCAGCAGCGGCACTCGTTGTGGTATCAGCAACTGCCGTCGCAGTGGCAGCGGCTCCCGTCTCAACAGAGGGAGTTAATGTCGAAGCAACCTTACTAACAAGGGTGGTTTGTCCTAGAAGAGAACTAACAACAGCCACACCTTGCAGCGCAGAATCCGAACCCGCATTCTGGATAGCGGCAACAGCAGCAGGAAGATCCTGTTTGTCTTGAGCTATCTGGGCTGTGATTTTTTCGAGCGATAGCGAGGTAGGGATATTCGCTGGAGTATTTACATTTGGCTGTACATCGGTTTGCTGCACGGGAAAGCAACCGCCCTATTGTCATCTATTAGCAAAAGTAGGTCACGTGAAGTGAGGCCATCATGAGATGGCCCTAGCCCGCACAGGGCCAGTTTTTCTGGGAGGAGGAAAAGGGGAACTTACAAATGGCCCAGCCTGGGCATTGTTACGGCAGCGGACAGTGCAGACGTTACCGGCGGACGCTATAAACCACTTATTAGCTCTCTAGGGTCCCCCAAAGTAGAAATTGGGTATTAGACTCACATCCGGTGCATGTGAAGTTGTCAGGCATGTTTACCCGTATTACAAAGTCTTGGGTCTTTGCCTGAGAAAATCCATTGACCCCAGGGACGTTGTTTTCAACCGTTAGGTTCTGTGTTATGATACCATTGTTGCCGGCTTCGACCTACATCAAATGAGCACATCTTCACGATACCAGGACCAAAAAACTCACCAGATCGCAGGCATAGGGGCCTGCTCCATCTGCATTCACCTGGTGTATCGTTACGTCGACCGAGGAGCCTTTGGAAACCTGTGTTACTATGCCGGCGGCGAGCTGGTTTTCGGTATTTTCTCCGATATCGATATTACCAGAGAGTTCCGTGCGTCCACATTCGTTCACGACATTGGCGGAAATCTCTGCATCTCGAATAATAGTCGTATCTTGTTGGCAGGGACTAATAGATGTGCAGTTTCTTGCCAACTCAGATTCGACTAGGGAGGTCAGCTGGGCTGGAAGAATCGTGGGGATCTGATCAACTCACCCTGGAATCCAACACCCTCTGGAGAACCTTTGTTGCCTTGCACCTTTATAAGAACACCATGCGCTTGGGCAATGGCCAACAAAGACGCCAAGGAAAGAAGGGAGGAGGAGATAGACGGCATGTTGAGAGTATGAAATAAGCAGCACCGGGCCGACAAAAGAAGGATAAGGCACAGGAAACTGTAAAAAGAGGGTAAATTAACAACAAAACAGATCCACAGGATCGTCGACGATGAAGAGAAGGAAGTTAGAAAGGGAAACCGGCCTGTAGAGGAACATAGGAACAGACGATCATTGATGAGCATTGCATGTCTATATAATAGGCACTGGAGATCGGACAAAGATCTCCACAAGCAAGTAAGGCCATAATAGTCGCCCTAGAACCGAACCTTCTACCATCCCTAGACAGGTTGATTACACCGATATCCAACACGATCTGTATCATACTGGTGGGTTCTGGGCAATGAGCAAGTAAAGGAGCCTCTTTTGAGGTGGATCCTTTCCTTTACTGAGACAGGCCTTTTCCTTTAGGCAACTAGAAGATACCTAAGGACTGGGTACACGCGCAATAGTGAGGAAGGGGAACCGTTTCGGGTTTCCGTTATAGTTCATTGGATGGGTTAGTTAAGTGATCCCCACTAAGAATGCTTGTTAGAGATTCAATGACGCCCAAGTAACCCTTGGAAGAAGTCAATGCTTCACAAGGGTATTGTAAAGGGGGCGTATTACTCAAGACTGACTGAATACAGGACTACCAAGACTATCGGAGCTAAGGTTTGGTAGAGATACCAGAAATGGAAGTGTGGGGGTACCTTGTAATCCCTGCTGCACTACCCAGCTTTACTGCGTGGCGAATGAGGGCGTTTCTTTCTTATGGCCGATGAATCTTAACGAAGGCGAAATCCACATAAAAATAGCGAAACGAAATGAGACGCCGCACGATAAAATGATCTCTACTTAGTAAATCGTATTCTGGAAGTATTATTTTATCGAACATCAATATCAGATAAGTTGGACTCGATAACCCTGGCCAACAATGATAGTGATATATCATATCTTACATGCAAAGTTAGGATGGCAATTCGGCGCGAACCGACAGTGGCTTGGAATTTCACGAGGATATGATCATATTACGCTCATGTTCCAGATATTCAAGAATGCCCAGGGCAATGATCGCTTATGATCTGCCGGGTAACGCTAATCCTTCCACGTTTCGACCCTTGTGCCAGATCTCGGGCCAAGACGTTTCTAATGTGGATATAGCGGTAATTAAAGCATTCTACTGCATTGTGTTCCTGAATAGAAAAGTCTAGCGCTAAGAAACCCCTTGATCTTTTTCATCCCTTAAACAGCATGACTTAGTCCAAAAATGATACTATGGTCTGCTGATATCGGACGGTAGTGGTATTGTTGGTCTGTTACTCGCCGTTTCACATTACCTGTGCGCCAATAGTAAACGATCTTGGCGATCAAATACTACCTAGACGAGACTTCAGGATGTGCACAGGGGTTTTCTACGATGATAATCACAGGGATGTACTATCACAACTCACAGCATTTACAAACATTTTTGATAGGTGCTTCAACATTTATCAATTTCCGCAATTTTACAGGGCGGAAAACCTCAATTCGTCATAGTCAAGTGCTTCCCGCTTGAGCCTCCTATTCTATCTCCCCATTGGGTCTAAGTCCTATTCAAATGTTACCACTAAATTACGGCGCATCATTACTGCCAAGAACTAACGCGAGTCAGTAAGCGCCCCCCTGGTCCCAACCTCCGAAGTTGTGCTTGAAAAGGATATCGTACCACGAATGGAATAGGAAGTTAGCCTTTCTGTCTCGTCGTATTCCAACATTGTACGAAACTCGAATTTTTATGCTTGCTATTTGGAAATATCAGCGCTTATTTGTCACCATGTGTAAGCACCAAAGTGTGAAAGCCATGTAAAAGTTCATTACCACAACAGGTGAGGAAAACTACTACTCGGGGCTACAAAATTCTCTCATCTGTATTCTTCATTAAAGCTATATAAAAGCTCTCTAATAAAACCCGTATTCCTAGGGGCATGAATATGATGCTTAGCCGCATTGGGTAATCCGGTTGGTTTCTAAAATGCAGTTAGGTATTAGAAGCCGACGATATACGTAGCTCCCTAAACAGATAGAGGTAAATACGAAGCCATTATGATCATTCTAGTTATACCTTATTATTGTTTTTTTATTATCACGTTAGTTAGACAATACCGCATATGAGTGTGCAATATCGTTCGAGGAAGTCGGACTCAATGGGTAATGGGTTCCTCTAGTTGAAAAGGGGATGGCGACGAGTTCTAGCTTTCCACGGTTTATAAATTCGAAGTTACGGCCCTTAACACACAAATCGCTCATCTGAAAATATACCGGAGTTCTAAGCTGCCCTGTTTACTACCTACGTTGCATGATGATTCCACATCACTTACGCTGATAACTGTAACAGGCCCTAGGCAACTCTTCAATTATTCTTCGCCAGTACCTCCTAGCAAAGTGTTTTAAGTTAAGAAATGCATGATGGTCACAGTGAATCGAGAATTAAATAGTCCCATGAATTGTAACATCGATTCTCCTTTTGTCCTGTCATGACACCAACCATATGAGGGGGTTAATAACTCTGTTGTTGTGCGAGGAGATCGCAAGTAACTGTTATGGAAGTTATTGTATACATACAAGAATGACTTCTTTGTTCTAAGGACTCTCTTACTTCCAAATCGGCGATAAGGAGTTCCTCCGATACTTCCCAGGATGTATCCCTTCGTATGGCTTTAACTACTGACATGTCCTTTTCTCCTAAAGATGCCGAGATACGTCCGAAAATTGTCTATTGTTTCACGCAAATGACCTGAGAAGCACGACGCGTCATTGTTGCGAACAACAACTACTTCATGGGCTAAATTTTTGCACAGATGAAGAAGATATTGGATCTTTTAACCCTTTCTTAGTTCCGAAGAGGAAAATCGTCCCGTTATAGTATAAGGAATAATTACATTTTCGAGGAGAATAGGAGAAGAGGGCCCACCCAACCAATTTTGAAACGCATCTAGATTTACGCATCGCCGGCCTCTTGGCGGATTTCAAGTAGTTTGCTCTTCCTACCGTACCATACTAAGGCATTGCGTTTGGTGGCTATTCAATGCTGATGATATCAACCACCATACCGCCGACTAGGCAATGGAAGAAGCACTTTTAAATGAATTTATGGAAACCTCGGTGATCTCATACCTACCTAAGTGTGGTAATCCATAAGCACTTTGGAGTGACTAGTGATGGCATTTCAAGGCTCAAACACACTCAATCGGCTGCTCAATGCTGAATATTTTATCCTACTTTAGCTACAATAACTTAGCCATCATCATTTGGACCAAGGTCGTTGTGAAACGATGGTTAAACTTGTTCAAGGCGTAGCAGTGGCGCACGATACAGGGGTCGTCCATCAAGAGTGACCTGATATGGGCTGTATTTGAAAGGAATCATGCCATGAGTATTTTTTAAATAGCTTCAGAATATATATATCATGACAATGAACTACTTAACCCCCCCTTTGAATGTACCTGAACATAAATGATCAGTATACTCACTAGGTATATACTCTAGGAGAGAGTGTTGTTCATACAAATTAGATATTGGTATGTGGTGTTATTCTAATGGTTATAATACTGGAAAGAGTAGCAGGTGAGCTCTACTGCCAAGACAATAAGACTATGAGTCGTTATATATGTAGGTAAACAAGTTAGATACAATATCGGACATAACGTTACATTTTAGGTAGCCATCGTCGAAGGGCCTCGACCTCTATGCTATTTACCTCGTCACCATTCGCTCGACTCATCCCCATTGCCTCTAGGTCATACACTCCATCATCATCTTAATATACACAGGTAATTGATCGCCGACGAGATCCTTTTCAAGTATCTCGATCAATTTAAACGGCGGTGAATTTCCGAATGAAGTTCAGCTAAGAGATGACACAACTCGGGACATTTCATGGTAGTTTCACCTCTCTACCACTACCATTCTCGGATAGTCCCCACATCCTATGGTTGAGAGCTGAGAAATATATTTTAAGCAGTTTGCCTAGATCATAACGCTGGCCCTCAATGTGCAGCCTGGAAAAAGCACCATACGACCTAGGTCCACACTAGAAGGGCCCTCTGGCACTGCGATGCGAGCTTTACGTCGTTAAAACAGGCAATGCAGCGTCATTCTGTTTCTCTAATGTTACCTAACCTAGAATATTAAGAACTTGGAAAGTGTTCTATCTGGTCCGCCATTCTCGATTTAAAGCTTCTCCCACTGCTCAGCCAGCTCAATAAATATGACAAGTAGAGTCTCCGGCTGCACGATCTGTGGACTATGCCCTGTGTCAATATCATTCTCAATCCACTCCACACCCGTACCTTTGAGCATCATGTTCTGTCCCTCAAGTGGTATGCCTACGTCTTTGACAGCGCGAATGTATGCTATGCGTCCCTTGTAATCTACGTCCAATTAGCATAGATTTTTGTACTGAAGTCGGACAGATTGAAGGGTGGGATTGATACTTACGCTCTGAGCTCCACGAAGCCTTTGGACATGGACTGTGAAATGATGCGAAGCTAGGACACAGGGTTGACATGGCGATGGCGTCCTGCACAAGCTTCGGCGCCGGGTCATCGCAAGTTAGCAGCCCCGCATAGTCCTATTTCTTTTACTAGTAGTCTCAACAATCTTCTCGTCGAGCCAGAAGGCCTCTTACACCGTCACCAATACCAATATGCGGTGGCAGGTGTCTGCCAAATGTCGCAGCAACATCCTTTCCAACCCCACCGGCCACCAGCAGCGCGGAAATGAAGATCTGGCCTAGCACAGAACAGACGTGGTTTTTCCCTGCGCGGTGCGCTCTGCTTTGCTGAGGCCCATGGCAGCGGCACTGCCGGGGATGCTGCTGTAGGAATGCGTGACTAGGATCACGTTGTGCTTCTCAACATCAAGGATGGGAAGGGGCATGCGCTTAAGCACGTATTGGGTGTCATTATATACGATCACATTCTCGGTGCTGCCTGTGCATGTTTAGAGTTTATTTGTTTTTCTCTTATACGAATGAATGAAGGAAAGCCTTTTTCGCATACCGGTCGAAGGGAGTAAGGCGGACAATGTAGGATAGCCCCTGCTTTGGAGGAGATGGAGGAGATAGCCATAGTGGGAAGGACTTTGAGAGGCGCCAGGGACGACTACGAAAAGCGTACGGGACGTGGGGCGAGGCATAGTTCAACAAGTACTTGTAAGCGATGCCGTCTTGGCGGTGGCTGTTTTGGACGATGATCGATAAGTGGTGAAACTTGGAACAAAAAGTCCGGGAAGATAGGGTATGCATTTGCTCACCTGGTTAATACCTAATAATTTCCTACTTGTACCTTGTTCATGACTTACTTTTCATACTGTGAGTGGTAACACCATTACATATTAGCAATACCCCTGAAGGGCGGGATAGTTTATTGGACCGCCGTATGGTTTCTCTTAGTGGGTGTCTTTCTAATAATAAAGGATGTACACCCTTACTGTCTCGGCAATTTACGCAAAGTAAGCACTACACATGCAGGCTGCATGGGAACTCAATCTGGGCAAGTACTCCGTGCTTTTGCATACATATGGCTATTGGCCAGGCTGCAGGACTCAGGACTCAGCCCCCGACACTCTCCGAAGAAGCCTTCGGCAAGCTGGCCGAGATGGTTCGCATGTGCCTTTCTGCTTTGGCCGAAAGGCTTGACTTGACATTCATCAGTCAAGCCACGAACTATGGCCACGGCGCGGAACCCTCCGATGGCCAAGGCCAGCAAAACAAAAGATGTGTGTCAATAGCGGCCCCCTTCCCTTTCAGCAAATCTGACCAGCCACCAGAAGCGATGCGCTGCCCAGTCAGGAGGGAGGCCAGGAGGTCAATTAAAGTTATTTAGTATTATAAATTTATTTTTGCTTTTTTTTCTTTTTACTTCACTAGATATAGATAGCTGTGGTTTAGCAGTTCCCTCCCCCCTACAATGGCCTCAAAACCGGATCAAAGTGACGTTTATCTTCTTTCATATCGCCGCGACGACGCCCAAGAAGACCACCGCCTCAACTCCCAACACGATGTTATTAAGCATGCAATCCTGGAAGGCCAACTGGTGCACCCCTCAATCCCAGTCGTAGAGATCACAAAGGCCATTGCCGATCTAGGCTGTGGCACTGGCATCTGGCTCGACGACATTAAGAACATGCTCTTTCGCGGGACTGACACAGGTCCCCGTCTCGTAGGGTTCGACATGAACCCCGGAGCTTTTAACAAGACCCCTGCTCCTGGCGTCCAGCTTATCGAGCACGATTGTACCAAGCCTTTTGACGACAGTTACAACGGCACGTTCGACCTCGTGAATATGCGCGGGCTCGCGTATGCCTTGTCTATCGAAGGCTTTTCTCTCGTGATTAAACACGCCATTAGGCTATTGAGTAAGCAGCACTTTTGCCCAGGGCAGTTTTTGTTGTCTAACCGTGTGCAGGACCCGGAGGGTACCTCCAGTGGCTTGAGACTGAGACGAGGCTTTTTAAGGCTTATCCAGCTACGCCGAGGATATCAAAAGCTCTAGCTGCTATTAACCTCGAGCGGGAGCAGCGTGAACTTGCACCTTAGTATAGCCGACCCATATTGTAGAGGGTGTTGTGAACTTGTATGCTAACGATTTTGCAGCCTTCCGCATTTCATGCTTCGAGAACTTCTGTCCCAGAATTCAAGGCCCAGCGGTACCCTTGCGGGTAATGATCTACTAAGCATTCTTCATTTTAACCTTTTGCCCGGAGGACTAAGTAGATCAGAAGGGTCTGAGACATCGACACTAAACGACCGTTTTTCAGAGATAGTGCTAGAATCAATGAAACTTCTACTCAACGCCTCTTTGGTTCGTGCAAAGTCACAAGATGGTCATTTGACCAAGGAAATCCAGCCTGATAATCAGGGACGTTTGGAAGAAATACAGGCGCTGATGAATTACATTGATGAAGTTCGTAAGTCCGGTGAAGTTAAGATGGGTGGCGTGTTCCCGCAGGTAATAGCACGAAAGTTGGATGATGTTCTACCCAAGTATGGTGATAGTGCATGAACCTTAGGTAGGGACTAGAGACTAGAGTATCGAGAGTTCGATTATAAAGATCACTGGAAAGCAGCTTTCTTGTGATGATGGTTACTATGTCTCCAATGTGGGTAACAACTTTCCGAAGCAAAGTCTTCATTCAACGATAGTACTAGAGAGCTACCACTACCTCCATGTCACAACACCCAAATCCCTAGGTATAAAGCCACCATAAGAATATGAAATTTTTAGGGAGGGCTTTCAAGCTCCTGAGATCCAGGGAGTCTTTCTATTCCGTGTTCCTTTGTGGCATAAATCTGGTGATCGATGACCCAGTTCTTCAGGGCGCTAAAGTCACGACATTTGTGCTGCCTAGAGGAAACAGAGAAGTAAGCACAATTTTTTTTATATTATTCAGTTCCAAAGAAAAGAGTACGTACACGCTAAAATCTGGAAAGGGTGCAGGATGGCCTTTCGCCCAAACATAGGTCAGAATGCCGGCGTCAGCGTCACACATTAACTGCATATCATCAGAATCAGAATCTGTTGCTACCATTTTGGGAGCGAGCTCTTACCTTTTGACGTAGATTATCAATGCAGTGATCTGTATCATCAATCAGCTATCACGGCTTTTGAGAACATCCTTCCTGGTCAAACACCCACCAAGATGATACCGCAGTGTCTGCGGGCTATCCTTCCACGGCTCCGCCTTATCCTTATAGTAATCCTCGTAAGTCGCCTGGCGCAACATGTTCAAGCAGTGCAGCTGATGCAGGACTTCCACAGACGCCATGTATCCACCACCGATCTCTGGCGCCAGCTTGACGGAGTACTTGGCTGATGCATTGACGGCGTAAAGAGTCTCTTCAGAGATACTGATCACACCTCCTGCCGCTGTCAGTAAAACATTATGAGGATTCAAGGGCGGGCATAATGTTACCATCCGCATATGTGATGCTATCCCAGTTTTCGTCGATTGAGGGATTCGGCGTGCCTTTGAAAGCGTTCGGCGTCATAAAACTCCCGTCGAAACGATGGTAGTGGCCAGTGCCCTTGATGCCTTCGAGAGCGGGAGAGTACATAGGCATGTGGTCTTCGTAGCCATCTTGACGGGGACAATAGTAGCCCGAATGAGCAACTAGCAAGAAGGACAATGAAATCAGGAAGAAGACTAGTTGCAGGATCCATAGATACACTTGGCGTCTCCATGGCCATGCTAACCGAAGGCTCTTAATGTTAAGGCCGTCTATACTGTCATGTCTCTCCAGGAGATTTTCCTCGCAGAGTTTGTCTTCGTCCTCTGAGTACATTATGAGTTGCTCCCAACGCTGACGGAAAGGCGGGAAACTGGTGAGTCTGGACACTCCTGGGCGATGATGAGCTGAAGGGCAATGCCAGGTTTGTCCTCGGTTCTTGCTCGCAGAAGGGCTTAATCAGGCGATTTTTGGTCAGCAGCTGAGTGTTTCCTTTTTGGGGTGCCATTCGATGCAAAACCGCAGTGAAAGGTCGCCGCCGTTCTCACTGGAAGCCACATTCAAATAGAATGGCCAATCTCGCACTCGTATCAAGTCGTGTGCATCTAACGACGCGAGTGGGGTACACGAATCGTCAGATGTTAGCTTTTGGTTATCAATGCGAATCGGAGGTGAAACGAGCCGTATGACAGCATATGTACGTCTCAGAAACATACCAAATCAAGTAGTTAAGTATGGAGTCTGACATGCATTTGAAAGGATGGAGGGATTTATCCGCACCAGAGGAAGCTACTACGTACTAGTAAGATGAAAAAACCCCGAAGGCAATGAGAGCGGTGGCCAAGACAGGAGTATTTCGATCTAACCCGTTGATAGACAGGCGCATAAAACCCAGACAGACTTCACGATCGAGGGTATAAACTGACACAGCAGCCTGCCTTCTGCAAATCCAAAACGATATATCCTTTACTACTCTAGAAGCCCAAGTCCTCAGCCGACTAAGCCTTCCTTGAGACTTACTCCAGAATCAAAGTCCAACTCCAAAATTGCTCTGTCTACCATGCAACTCAAATATCTCTTCATCGGCACGCTTGTGGGGGCCGTCGCAGCTCTCCCAGTCGCGAATGCTGACCCGGACGCCGTCGTCAACACCCGCTTCGCGACCTATGAGAATGAGGCCCGTAATGCTGATCCGGATGCAGTTGTCAACACTCGCTTCGCAACTTACGATAAAGAAGCTCGCGATGCTAATCCGGACACCGTCGTCAACACTCGTTTCGCAACTTACGAGAAAGAAGCTCGCAATGCTGACCCCGATGCCGTCGTCAACACTCGTTTTGCAACCTATGAAAGCGAAGCTTGAGGCCCCCCCCCCTGGAAGCCACTGCATCATAGTGTCAGCAGGGCTTAGGTAGAACTTTTTGGTTGCAGGTTCACTCGTTTGGCTTTGCATGTTTGTTAGGATACTTTACCCTGTCAAGACCTACGGTATCTGTATCCACTTTGTTGTAGATACTATGCCGTAGAGTTGGTTGGTTGGTTGGTTGGTTGGTATATTTAACGCCGAGGGAAGGGGGGAAGACTGGCTCTCGCAGACTTCCCTGGGGGTATGCAGCGTGCAGGGCTATCTCTATCTACATCTATGATACATATTTCGTATATCCTGCAATTCTATGATACTCTAAACCGTTCCTCCAAGTAAGCTCGTATACGGCGCAATATAGAGTTCTGGGACAGCCCCCCGGGTTGTCATTGCTTCAATCCAACCCGTGGAGACTGAGGTCGTTCGAGCCCTAGTGCCTGTACCGTTAGGGCGCTAATGCCGTCAGGCGTTGTGATACCCCAGAGTCTTGGAGTAGTTACCTAAGTAGATACCAGTTGGAGTAGTTTAGCAAGGACCCAATAATCAAACAGGGATTAGAGGATCCCCCCGAGTTGAGGTTCCTTAAGTTATCCCTGTCTCTTGACCCAGATCTATAGTTCAAATCTACTACTCTTCTCAACTCTGTGCTGCTAAGCTTGACAGCGTCGCCTAAAAATTACTCTAGGAGGTATACTACGAGAGAGAAGCTACCTAGGTAAGTATTACGTTAAACAACGCTTTCGCAATAGTTAGTATCGTCATAAACGTTCTATAAGTACCTTAGGTAGGTATACTATTATTCGACGCCTTATAAGCACGGATCTAGCCAGGTCTTTACGTTCCGAGCACACGGTGCGCGGCTTAAACTAGCAGGGGTGCACAGCCTTATAAAGATCCAAGCAGCCAATGTGTAGCTGATGCCAAAAGCACGAAATTTGGAGGCAGCTTGGCAGCGTTGCAGTGCGTATATTCGTGCATTTCTTCCTTTGAAGCTTAATTTCTATAACCACCACCTTCTAATTTCGGCTACCTGGGTTCTGCTGTAGATATTACGCAGTAATTTCAAGCAGGCTTCTTAAGTTTTGTTTTCATTGGTTGGGAAACAAGTATTGGTAACGGCATCGCGAGCCTTATTTTCTTTTTACCAACAGCACACACACACACAGATACCACATTTATCTGTAAGCGAGGTAATACAAAAGCGCCAGTATCGAGATAACCAATGCGCCTGCAAATGTAACCCGACTCGACGAATAAAACCTCACAGACAGTTACACTACATCCACCTGCGGCTCAGCGCCGAATAAAGCCGACGTGCACATGTATCCGCAACTGGGCGAAATTTGGGCTGAAAAGAACTAAGGTACTGCTCGTCATATATTTCCAATACAGGAAACCCAACGTGTAAATGTACCCAGGTAGCCTACCTAATTACTACCTATCGTAGCACAGCATTCGCCCACCGCTTGTTGGATGTGCGCCACGCTCCTACAGTCCTGCAGCATTTTGTTTAGCGAGGAATTTTACGAGTTGCTCTTCTTACCATTACAGACTAAGTAGGTGGTACAACGAGTGTTGAGCAATTCTTTTGCTTGGTACATACTAATGACACCCAAGCACTATTCTAATGACACCCGCCCTCCTTAATCAACCGGTACAAACCCAGTTTAGTCTCTTACGGCCAAATTATCAGTTCCTTTACAGACAAAATATCCAAAATGGGGGCCGAAACTCTACGCTCTCGTAGCTAGTACCTAGGTGGCCTTGGATTTCTCACGAAGGATCACTCTCCCTCCGCATACAGATCTTTTCCGCCCTAGCTTTCGGATTTTGCAGTTGCCCATATCTCTACGAAACCCGTATTGACGTACTTGAAGATTCGAATGGCTATAGTCGAACAATCTCTTGACTCTTTTTCTGCGAAGTATTTCAGCGAACCTCAAAACCTCGATTTCGCCGAATGTCATAGGTTTCCCAAGGTCTTCGGTATTAGGCTTTTGAAAGATAGCAGACAGCAATGCTCAATCAAGCTGCGACAGTCGCCGTCTCGGTGACAGTAATACTAGGCTTCCTAGCCATAGTTGCTGTCGGCCTGCGAGTGTATTGTCGACTTTCTCAAAAGATATCTCTAGGGGCTGACACATATTGCGTTCTTGTGGCCTTAGTATGGTTCCTTCCAATACAATCCGTTGGCCATATTTTCTAAACTTCTGTTCAGTTCATTTCTACTGGAGTCGCCATATTGACCGATTATGTTGCATGTACTACGGGAGTAGGAGACCAGTCATACCAGCCCAGCATCGAATCAGTGGTCTTTGGCTTGAAAGTGAGCACCTTCCATCTTTCGGCATATCTATTGGTGTTTCTTGGTTCATTAGCTCATCGTAATGATACAGACCAATCTCGCTCTAGAGAACTTCCAGATAGCAGGAATGGCACTCGTCAAAATCTCCCTGCTGCTGTACTACAGCCGAATATTTATATTGAGACCCATCCTAATAGCTGCAAACGTGCTTATTGCGATCACCTCCGTTTTCGCATTGAGCATCATCTTGGTGAGTGCAAGGTGCTAAACACTGCGTCCTAACCGACTAATCTATTCCAGGTGAACATTTTCGACAAATGGCCTGTGTCTGAACAGTGGAATCCTCTGGCTCCATATACCGTCAATGTTTCGGCACTGCTAATTAGCTTCTGTGCTGGCAACGCGGTATTGGATGTCTTGACTTTGGTTCTCCCGCTCCTGACAATCCGGAACCTTCAAATGAATGCCGGCCGGAAACTCGTGTTGTCAGTCATATTCAGTCTTGGTAGCATGTAAGTTTTCAGACCAAACTTGGACCGAGAATCCGGACGATTAATCTGGCTCTTCTTAGCACCGTCGTTGTAACCTTTCTTCGACTATACTATGCCGTGGAATATACCAAGAAACCCGAAACAGGAAACAGTTTCTTCGAAGGTTCGGGACAAATGACACAAGATATTTAGGACGAGACACTGATTGTTTTAGTTCCGTTTATATATAACATACTTATGGCTCTCATCGAACTACCGGTTTTCATAATAGCCAATTCGATGTTAACTTTTGGGCCACTTCTACGCTCCAAGTACGGCCCAGGCAGCCTCTTTCGTTCTCTACGGTCCCGCTTGCTTCAGAATAGATCTAAATCTACTGGCTTAAGAGAAGACAACGGAAAGGTATCAAACGGGAGTAGTGTTCCTTCTACAGAAAGTCAGAGGGGTGATGGGAGATGGCATCCGTGGAGTCGTATTAACGAACCAACTCCGACATCTAGTCATGTCAATCTACGCGACTCGGAATGGGAAATGTCGGGGATGAACACGCACGGGGACCATCGGAGAGATGATGAGGTAGTATAATAAGATATTGCTCTTAACATGCAGTGTTAGGGTTATAACTTGCTTGGGCTCTATGCAAGCTTGCAATGTATTATAGTGTATTATAGGAATTTTGACACACCAGTGTTGGGAATTTCTAAAGAAAATGATTTGTACGTTTTCGACTGTCTGTTTCTAAGAGTAAGCCTTTAGCGATACGTACCTAGGTACCTTCTAAACAACTTAGAATTTACGCATTCATATTCTTTACCTATTACATAACATTCTAAGGGTCCGTAGTTTATAAATATTATAGGTAGGGTAGGGTGTATGGAACTAGAACTTCTACCTTGATAGATTTACTGGAGAAAGCAGGCCCGCACCGACCCCACGCCAAGACCTGCAATATCGATCGTTCAATACCTATCTAGGTACCTAAGGTAGGCAGCATCAGTCTCCCGTAGGAATCATACTATATCCGGTGTGAATTAACGATCAAAATCCTCCTAGTCATGCTGTGGTCAATACTGCAAGCCTTGGCAACGCAGTGGTCCAAAAATGTGCATTTTTCAAATCCCGGCGCGGGGTAGGGGAGGGATCCTACCAATTGTCTATTTTGCGTGAAGAGGCGTAGCAGATAAGATCCCCTAGGTACAGGTTCAAGGCCAAAGACGTGGGCTCCTGTTCCTTCGTAGGGGGCGTGAGTATATACTAGGAGGTAGGTAGGTAGTTCTACGCTAGAGTTAGTTCAGCCAATCCGACGGGCTACCACCTGGACGGAATCTACTTCAGAGAAGATCTAACTAGCTGAACTGATTCTAGCGTATGTACCTAGGTAGGTACTTAGAGCCTAGCACCGGTAAGGAATAATACCGGCGCTAAAAGTAACCTTATGCTGGGAACACACCCTCCAACCCGCCAATTCGAAGATGCATAAGATTTGATCCACTTCTTACTGAAAGGCGCTATAATTACAGGACGTACAGTGTTATAGGACCTTCCAATAGAAATAACCTTGGAGAATAAAACAATGGTGTGTACATGTCCTAGTACAGTTCACACACACTGTATCTTAGCGTAAAAACACTTGTGCATCTTTTAAAATGGCGGAATGCCGGGCCCTCCTTTATTTTCAAATGGACTGGGGTGGAACATAAACTAGAAAAATACCTACCGATACAGGATACAGGATACAGGGATCATCAACTAGGAAATGCCGCTAAGGGGAATATCAAAGAACTCCTTAACAGCGGGCATTCGGCGCTGTTTTTGCGTCTTTAGTCCTCCTCGTTTCTCTTCCATTCCCATCCGCACGCTTTCCACCATGCAAGAGCAAAAGATCGAGACTGAGTTCGGTACGCTCTGGACTGCCTGCAGTGAACCTCAGGCATCTTCCAAGTCGAACCCAGCTATCTTGTTTCTACATGGCAGTGCAACTAGCTCACGTATCTTCGAGCCGCTTCAAAACTCGCCCGAGCTCAAATCCAATTACAAACTCGTTGCTTTCGATTTTCCAGGCCACGGCCGCTCTTCCGACGCTCCTGACCCCAACAAATCCTATTACCAGTACGCCTATGCAGAAGCCGCTCTGGAAGTCCTCCAGCATTACGACATCAAGCAAGTTATAATACTAGGCTGGAGCCTTGGTGGGCATGTCGCGCTGGAATTTGTCTCTGTGCTCGCGAATGCCAAAAAGCCCACTGACATTCGTATCGCCGGCATCATGATTACCGGAACGCCGCCAGTGCCCAAACAGGCAATTGCCGGTTTCCGCAAAGATGCCAACGTATCAGCCCTGTTCAACCCGGAGGCTTCCAAGGAGGACCTGATCAAGGTCGCGGGTGTTCTTACCAAATCTGCACCGCCAGATTGGCTGATTGAAGATGTCTTGCGTACGAACCGCTTGACCGGTAAGACTATGGGTACCAAATTCATGGAAGGCTACTGCAGTGATCAGATCAAGATTTTACACGATTTCAAAGGGTGGATAGCCGTCGTCAACGGTGGAGCTGAGCCCCTTTTGGACCTGGACTACTGTGATTCTGTCTGCAAAGGAGCTCCTCGACTGTGGCGTGGTGAATGTATCAGGCTCAAGGATGAAGGACATGCACCGTTCTTCGATAATCCGCAAGGCTTTCTAACGGTGTTCTTGGACTTCCTTGATAGCTGCAAATTGTAGATTTACTTATGGAAGACTGAAGTAGCTGAGGTTTTGACTTATCAGGCTTTATGCCCCCTCGTTTTTGATGACACGGGATCCCTCGTAACACTGTCTATTTGACTAATTTTGTAGGTATGTGAAGAACGCAGCGAAATTTACCGCAGGTCAGCCACCAACTGTCAATTTCCCGCCCCATGGCTACCAAGGTGCCGCCCGCTGTCAAGAGATAACGGTTATTTCCAAGAACAATGGTTTTTTATATAATAACGGTTCGAATCAGATCTGATATGTAATCTGACACAACGATTGTCATAAGAAAAATGGTTGTAAATAGGTACGTAGGTACAGCAGGTTGCATTATTTACTTTATTTTTATTTACATCTACGGCTACGGCTACATATACATATACAGGTATAACTACGACAACGATAACAACTATAGCTACATCTACTTGCTACTAAATAATTTACTTACTGAGATATTACCTATCTAGGCATACTGTAAAGACTAAAAGACCTACCTAGGAGAGCCTAGGTAAAAGAGATTAAGAGATTGATATACTTGACCTTAGGTAGACCCTGGGAGTTTTGAAGCTTGGGTTAATCATTCTTCTTCATTGGAATGATAAAGAAGGAGGAGGAGGAGGAAGAAAGATTCGAAAAGACCCTCTTATATAAGAAATTTCGGAAATTACATGGTTACACAATTCGCGATAACACCAACAACATCCATTTTAGGAAATTCGTAAAATCCTGGCTTCTAATTGGTTGGATTAAGAAAATATTTCTTCAGAAATAACCATTATTCTAACAACAACGATTTTACCTTTCAACAACCGTTTTCAGACACTACCGGTTGACGCTTTGGTACCTAGGTACCTACAGGCGTCTCGTTCTGCACTTACAAACTGCACAACACAACCTAACTGCTATATCTTTACTAACTCAACCACCATAATATTCCTCGGCTACTATTCAATCGCAACAGTCTACAGCGGCGGTTGGCCTCAGACGGGATCGAGAGTTCCCTTGAGCTGCGACAGCTAAGACACATCACACAATATCTTCGATCCATTTTCCACCTTGTTGCGCCTAGATTTCTTGCAGTAGAATGTAACAAATAAAAACTAAAACTCTCTAACGCATATTTCTACAAGCTAATAAGTATAGTAAGCACCCTACAAATCCCAGGCAATCTACTCCCCCTTACCTCAATCTCATTTTCCAGTTAGTTCTGCCGTTTCAATGCCAAACCTATGCTCGCAAACTCAACGTTGATTCAATGGCGCGGTAATTGCACCGGCCAATCACCATATTGCCTCGAACTCCTTTAAGGGTGATGCCCGAATTCATCAAGGCGATATGAATAATAACTAGGTATTACGGGTATCGCTAAGAGTGAGTTTTTGGTGTCAGTGTTAGCTTTTCAAACCTCACGCCGAAGATAGACAACGACCAGACACACCGCCGATGACGAGCTCTAACATTAAATGAGTTGCTAAACACTTATAGTTGATTTATTCTCCTATGAAATCTCGGTTTTCGGGCGGCCCTTCCAAATATGCAAATAGGGTTGGTGCGTGCTCGTGCACTATAAGATCCCATTCTGGGCCCAGTTCCCAAAAGGAGACCATCTCGCAAAAAGTTAACATTTCATTTTTCACCTCTTTCAATTCGGGAGGAACTTTTACTTTCAAATCCCACTTCAATGTTCCCCTTGAGCTGTCGTGCGCAAGGAATAAACCTCCCTCGAGTAGCGCCTGGTCAGGCCTGAGTAAAGCGGCGAGACATGGTGTGAAGGTTAGGGGGTCGGCGAGGGTGACTTTCGGGTTTTTATATAGCATTGTGGAATTAAAGACTTATCCAAGTAGCTTTTTATTTATTTCCATATAAATCATACGGGATTGAGAGCGACGTCTTTATGCTGACCTATTTCGTAATTGAGTATACCCGGTTAACCCCCTGAACATCTCACCTCTCAATTTTTCTCACATGATTGCTTTCTCCCATAGTGTAGAGACACACAATTTTATTCCCTTGGCCATCTTGCAACTTTTATAATCAATCCACGTCTAAATACTTTACTTGGCATGTAATATTATTGGCTAAGAGCTCACATCATCAACCGCCTCCAGTCAGCAAAGGACATTACCAGGGCATTATATAAGCTAGATATAAATAAACATTTACTATATATCACAAATAAAACATACCTAGGTATGTATATTATCTAGAAATTTGTATGAAGCGGTGACCGAACTATCATACACTTTGATATTGTCTATAAGAAATCACAAGTAAGCAGGCATGGGTTACCAGTGGTAACATGACCTCTCATTTAGTTACCTCCTCGTGACTGACATCAGAATTGATCTATCGAATAGGCTATGGTAATAGGTGGTGACTGCACTAGTTGCGATGGCTTCGTATTATTTCCCATAGACTATAAGTACGTGTTGGTGTTCCGTGTTGTCTATCTTGTCCACCACGACACTCGCCTACAGCTCCAACAACAACAATAATTCCCTAACCTCTAGCTAACCAGCTTCCACAGCATCTCATACATTTCACAATGTCTCCTCCTCCCGCAGAGTCAGGATACAGTCTCGTCTGGTCCGACGAATTCTCCGGCCCAGCGGGATCGCTCCCCAATCAATCCAAATGGAACATCATAGTAAAAGGCCCTAACCAGGGTAATCAGGAGGTCCAGAACTACACCGCGAGCACCTCTAACTCTTCCGTCAACGGCTCCGGTGCGTTGCACATCACCCCGCAGCACAATAACGGTCAATGGACTTCAGCACGTCTTGAGGGCAAGGAGGCCTTCAACTGCCCCGATGGCCACCGCATGCTATTGCAAGCCGAGCTACGCACGGGAACCTTCCCTTTTGCCCAACAATCCGGTATTTGGCCCGCGTTCTGGGCTCTTGGCAACGATATTCGTAACGGGAAGAATGTTAGTTGGCCTCAATGCGGTGAATGGGATAGTAAGTAGACTCCCAAGACATCTTGGTGGTGAAACTGGTTTTAATTCGTCACTTTTCAGTTATGGAAAATGCCCACGGCGCGAGTTTCTCCCTAGGAACTCTGCACTATGGACGAGGAGGCACCGACCACCTTAGCAAGGGCGGTCGAACCGAGTTCGAAGTCGAAACCTTCCACACTTGGGCTATCAAGGTCAACCGTGGACCTAGTAATTGGCAGGATGAGACGTTGGAGTGGTGGTTAGACGGGAAGAAATTTTTCCAGATCAAGGGGAGTGATATTGGGGATGGTGAACTATGGGGACGAGTGGCTCATAAGAGTTTCTTCCCTATCCTTAATGTTGCTGTTGGAAGCAATTTCCCTGGTAAGTTTTTATTCCCTAGGAAATCTCTGGAATGTGTTTTCCGCGTGCTAACATTGAAAAGGGGGTGGTCAACCCAATGACCAAACGACTACCGGCTTAGGCAGTGGCCTTCAAGTCAAGTATGTCGCTTTCTACAGGAGCAATTAGAGTCGGAGATGAATAGACACCTCAATCATGTAGAGATGGATAGATATCGTTTTGTGGTGGCGACGTCTTATGTATTTCATAACATCCTGGTTATATATAGATGTGAATTTAGTATATACTACGGAACGAGATTTTAATTCTTACTTGACGAAATATGTGACTTTCGAAGATCCCATTCCCTGTTGTTCATGGGCAGCCCTGAACATTTATTTCGTATCAGCGATCCTGAAAACATACTTGATAGCGTTCGCCTTTCCAGCTTGAAGGTCTTCTAAGGCTTTTTGAATACCACCTAGCCCCCCTGGTACGATTTCTTGCGGGTGGGCTTTCAACCACCCCTCTTGTAAACCTCGAGTGAAGAATCTCGAATAGACAAAACCGAGATCCTTTTGGTTTTTGTGTATTGGTCCCAAGTTGAAAGTCGAAGCTGTGATGTACGAAGGAAACTCGAAATTGCCCGCTGGCAGCACGAGAGCAAGCTTGGAACCTTGGGCAAGAACCTTACTCAAGTTGACGTAGCTACCATGCTCTGATACAGCATCAAAAGCATATAATAGCTTAGATTCTCCCAATGCTTTCTTTAGAGCTTCAACGACAGCCTCATCTCCAATGCGATAATCAATAATAGTATCACCCTTGCTGCGGTCGATCAATGTCTCCACAAACGCTTGGGATTTCCCAGCCACGGCGATGATAGGATGAATATTACTCTTTCGAGCAAGTTGAACGGCGAAAGCACCAACGGCCGAAGCGGCACTGTATACGACGAGTGGCGTAGGTTCAGTAGCTGGCAACCACGGTTGGGGAAGACCCAATGTGCTATATAGTCCAACGACCGCAGTTAGGGCAGCTAGTGGGATTGTAGATCCCTCTAGATAGGTTGATTAGCACATTTCCATCCTCAATTTTCTGACTAGTAGTCGAATCGGCTCTTACCTTCGAATGTGGTCTTCTGAGGAAGATGGAAAGCAGCATGGTCATACGAAATAGCATATTCTGCGTATGAACCTCCAACAGGGTTTAGGACCTCGTGAAGAGCAGCAACGCGGTCGCCAGGTTTGAACTCGGTTACATTAGAGCCGACTTCTTCCACGATACCAGCGATATCGTCACCTTGGTTCGTGGTGTCTTTACGGAAATTGGGGACTTTCCAATCTTTGGGGTTGGACCCACTCACGACCACCTTGATGAGAATTTGATCGGCGTTAGGTTTAGGGATGGGCGAGTCGACAATCTCAACCTTTGGTCCTAAGATAGTGTTAGTACTCCCTGAGTAAGTGAAATCAAGGAGTACTCACCTGGTCCTACGAGAGCTTCCTTCATTTTGTAGATGACTTCTTGCTGTCTATGAGGAATGTTAATTAGAAGTTATGGACATGAACTTGTGTGAAATATATAGAAACAGCTGCGCCGTCGTTGATATCGTTTAGTTCGGTTCCGCTCCAGCCTAGTAGGATTTAAGGCATATATATACTGGGATAGAGCGGTCCGACCCGGTTAATTCTAGTATTTGAAGCATAGTTACTCGCTAATTAGGAGCCTTATCTCCATCATATTGGCAAGCTACAAGGAGCGGGGTAGGGTGTTGTACACAATTATAAATCAATCAGTAGATCAGGCTGTGGAACGATACGGTTGCTTTTTTCATTGTGTCAATCCTAGAGTCAATTACATCATGCCGCCACAATGAGAGGCGTCGAAAGAAATGCCCGTTCGAGTATGGCACCATCGAAAATGGATGGATTCGTGATAAACCTTGAAATTATATTGGTTGAAATCGCCCGACGTATTCTGTTAAGATGAATTAAAATGCGATCGGTTTTCCTTTCTTCGGTATATTACGAGTTACCCTACGCCCTACGAAATGGTCGGGGCTTTCTCATAATTGACGCATGGTAGCACAAACATGTCTTAAGATACTGGGCCGCCGGGCTACACAGGGCTGCCCTATCTGGCGGAGTTTCGTTATGTCCGAATACGAACGTGAATGAGAAACGCCACACCGGACGTTGCAACACTTGGCGATAATTCGTTTTTTACTATAGAATTCATGATGGATCGAACATTTTCGACATGTTTCTTTCGTGAGTTCAACTTATGGTGACTAGGAAAAGGGGAGAGGGGTATGGAGAAAAGGGGGCGGAGACCACTGGTACATCCAAATAAAAAGACGACATTTTTATTACGGCAAATATAACACAACTTCCCTACTCAGTCAAGTTTTAATTACAATTTCCCAATACCAACTTTTCAGCTTCAATGCCATTCACCCCATTTTCGATTCAACCTCCTCAATGCCAAACTGGCCTAGGCTGGTCAAAAGTTCGGATACGTCTAACCCTCCTTGACATAGGAATCGTTCCATTCATCCCACAGCCCGCTTCGACACAAGACGAGACAGTGTGAATATACTTAATCTTCCCAGACTCGACCCTGAATACGTGAGAATCAGGCATTGTCTTATTTCCCTGCGATCGATCCAATCCAGGGAAACCGAGGAAGATATCGACCACACCCATAACCTCATCTACCACGAAGCGACGATTGGTAACAACAAGTGTTGAGGGTAGACCAGCGAGAGTGCAAGAATCTCCAGTCATGTTCAACGGCGCGGTAGAAGCACCTCCTTCGAGTCGAGAGCAGGGTATACCGAAGGGCACAACTACACTCTCGTTCTTGAAGCGCTCGAAGTAAGCATTTCCAGCTGCTTGGATGACTTCTCGGCTATCTCGCTTATCTTCGGGAATGGGGTCCCAGTTCTCGAGTGAGTCCCAGTATAAGTATCCCGTCGCATTGAAAGCCCAGTCGCCTTTGTCCGTCACGATCGATTCAATCAATGAGATCTTGTTGTTGCTGTCGAAGAGTATACGCGTGCCGATCACATATTGGTGTGGATTGGTCGCAGCGATTAGCTCGGTGAAAGTTGCGCAATTGACGGTGTCGTGGATACTGCGGTTGTGATCAATCTTGATGGACTCCGTCAAGATACCCTTGGTAATATCTGTGGGTACTTCGTTTTCAGTGTAGGTGACATTAGGTGTTGCAAGAGCAACTACATCAGCGGCAGCTCCATTGGCTTGAGCTGCCACGTATTTATCAGTAGCTCCTATGAGGAAGTCTCTTGTGCATTCCGCTGAAGCAGACGCGGTGAACAGGAGCAACCCTGCCAAGATAGAAGCGGCCATATTGTAACCAGTTGTATATCACAGTATGTTAGGTAGTGTACCAAAAGATCGTCCGAGTTCAGCTTCTCGATAGCATTGCGTCCTTTGGAGGATTATTACCTATTATTATATATCTTAGACCTACGTCCACATATCATATCTCAAACATCATAGATTGCTTCGCGGAAGAATTTTATCCTTGGGGTACAATCAAAACAGGCAACCTAGGTATTAAGCCTATTTAAAAATTACAATGTCGCTGTAGGCTGAAGTAATTCGGGGACCAACCAGGCAATAAAACTCCACAACAGATAGAAAGGATTAATAAAGGCTATAAATTATGGTAGTACTCATCGTCGATGCGGAGTCCCACCCCTTGAGGCTCGAACAGGTCTTCTATCAATATACGCATGGCAACTCCACCCATTCTATGCACACAGATCTCTCGGCAATTAAAAAATCGTGGGGTAGCTAATGTAGAGATAACATGTTTGAGGCGAGATAATGAGCTAGTCATGAAAATTGAATTTCTATGTATAGATGGATCGTCAAAGGGGGTGTGTTGTATCCACTCACAACATCTAGAAGACGTCAATTCACTGGCTATGAAGCTGAAAAATTATACAAGCCCTGACGTATTCAGCTGATTGTTCGCCACATTCTATTCTTCATGACTACAAATTTGAGTAAGTGTCTGGGATGGGAATAGGGGCAGGTTCAATAACGGCCCGACCTAAGCTCAATTATCTTATACTTGTAACACGATATTATTATCCCACCACCCATCACCATCACACCAACGTTGAGAGGTGACGGCACTTACGTCAATACGATGAGACCATGCTCCTGTGCAAGAAACCGAATGTCAATTAATACAATCACACCAACTCATAATTCAATATATCATAATGCCTCTATTCATATCTCACGTCAATAAGAGGCATTAAGTACCTAGCTAGGTACCTAATCAATATACATTTTCGTCAACACCGTGACACAATGCCCTATGCCTGTCGTAACTTTTCACGGGTCTCGTGAGGCTTATATTATGCCAGCAGCCATGGAGTACGATCCGGTAACCGAACCTAAGGGATACAGAAATCGATCCAACTTCCTAGGTAATCCAACCTATTGCGGCCACTGTCCTGGAATTCGTGATCTCGATAGATATTCTCGAATTCCCTATAACTGAGTCTGCCCCATCCTCCTCTTTCCCGAGCTTCCTGTTCTGCAAGATTGATGCGCTTCCATTCCACTAATGTAGAATGAGGTATCTCGGGTGGTGAATCAGGCTGGGGGACTTTCGCCTTAGTTCGTTGTTCATTAGATGGTCCGGCACGGCTGATAGTTTCTTTGGGTTGGCCATTCTTTGCTTTTACTGAAGAGTTGTTTCGTGGTATCTCATTTGTACTGTTGGGCCGATTTTGAGGTAGAGTAGGGTCACGATATTCTGATTCTTCTTCTGGAGCCGTTTCATCTCCATTGACCTGTGTCTTGGGAATAAAATCCTGTACCTCTGGGGATGAAGATTCTAAAGGCTCCAAATCCGGAAGATCGTCCGTAGTGTAGCCAGCAATCGTTAATAGTTCGTCTAAACTGCGGTCTCGGGCGGATCGGTTGTCGTCCAGAGTATGTGTATGATGATGTGTGTGATGATGATGACTACGACGTTCGCGCGATTGGTCTCTAGATTCTTCTGCTTCTTGCTTTCGTTCTTCCTCTTCCTCCAAGTCGATCGTATCTACAAGCGCTCGGTATTTTTCGCGTAGTTCCTTAGTTTCGGCGGCTTCGATAGCGAGATCTTCCTTCTTTTGAAAAATCTCGTCTAATAGCTCGTTAAAAGCTTGTTGCGTAACTTGGTAGAGAATCTCTTTTCCAGCATCTCGCTCCGCATCGGGGATTTCCATTCCACCCCACCTCTCCGGCACACTTCGCGAAGATGTGGACACATTAGACCTGGTTTCCAAATCATCATCTTCAGCGAATCGCACTTTAGAAGACGATCTTGATCGTGGGGATAGGAAGTGCGGCGCAGATTTAGACGAGTCAGCGATGCCGTTCAGGTTTAATAATACATCCTGGTCCTCGTTCCATCCTTGAGGAGGTTGAGCACCTTCTTCTTCATCTAGATAGAAGTGACGTCGTTTCCATCTGTCAAGAAGTAACCTCCTGGCATTTACCTTCTTTTGCCTATTAACACCTAAGCGGCGACCATTTGCTACGATAGCTTGGTGTTGGACTCTAAGCTGGCTCTCGGTTGGTAGGGTACTAGTAAATCTGCTAGCATCGGGGATAGCTCTGGTAAGAGCTGACTCTGTAGTCTCGCTCGTTCCATTCTGTTCAGGTTGTTCGTCATCTTCAGATGCCTCGGCACCTTCATCTGCGGCTTCGGGTTCGCTTTGTCCATCTTCATCGGAAGAACCGCCTGAAACATCGGTTGCTGGACGACTATGATGATCATGTAAAGCCTCTATTATATCGTCAATTGGTGGGTAGTGACCCTGGAGTAGTGAGGCTAAATCGACTGTATTATGAGGAGGGTTGATAATACCGGACCAATAGCGAGTCTCTCCGTCATTGGGGGATCGATTCCTTCTAGAACCAGACCCAAACGATTCAGTGAATGCGCTCTGGCTGCGGCTTGATGAAAACAAATTTCTTAAAATCCCCTCGCGATCAGATGTATCCGGCTTATCCTCATTAACAACACCTTTATTATCATTGACTTCAACATCTCCATTCGATCGGAATATTTTGCCCTCCATCGGTCTCAAATGGTCGGCGGGAGGAACTCTGCCCTCCCTTCCAAAAAGACTGCTCAGGGGTTGTCTTCCGTTGATAAGTTGTTGAGCTTCTGTAGTTGTCATCATATGATCGTCAAGGCCATCGAGAATATCCTTATGCATCTGCTTATAGAGCACATAGTAGGCTCTGAACATACGCAGGAAATCTCGTCGACTCACATAGCCATCGCCGTCAATGTCGTAGCCCTCAAAGGTCCTTCGAAGTTTATCCCTCCTCTTCCGATAGGTAACGCCATGTAAGAATTCTTCAAATCCAATTAGGTCGTCGTGGTTGGTATCGTAGAATGCAAACATGCGGTCGTGAATAAGATTAGGTGCCGCATGTCGATAACCACCAGATGGAACAAGGCAGCGCTCAAAAGTCTTACGATCCATAGCTAAACCCAGATTATTGGGGTCATCCCTCCATTCGGTATTCGCCATAAATGTCCATTGCTCCCAGAAAGCATCTAGTTCAACGCGTTCGAATCCCGTTTCTTGAGACCATTTGAGGAGTAATGGTCGAGGTAGGTTACGTGGAGAACTATCGGGATCGCCTGGATACCAAACTGGTTGGACATTTCGCGTTCCAAAGGGCGGGGCGGGTACTCTGACTTTATAGAAGACGTGGGTTTTATTGTGTAGACCTTGTGATTCGCATACCTCGCAAAGATCGAAGTCGGCACAATTGGCACAACGGTATCGAATGCCACGGATAGGTACCATAGCGCAACTATTACATTGGCAACCACGGTGGACGTACGCGTTGCGCCTAGCATTATCTTCGGATACGCGAAATAGTAAGGAGACTATATTTTCGCCGGTGCGCTGACGCGGGGCTTGGTTATTATCGTTATACCATTCTTCGGGATTTCGGTCGTCGATGTGAGGGAGAGCTTCTATGGTAGGGATTGTGTCGGGTGTTTCGGCATTCTCGTCGCCATGAGAATCGGTGTCAGATGAATCGTCACGGCGATGCGATGCTCGACGAGATCGTCTTACGGCGTTTCTACGATGCAAGCCGGGACCCGTCGACGAGAGATCGGAACCTGAATACCCATGACGAGCATGAAAGTAATAATAATAACCTAGAGAAGCTGCAGTGATAGTAGAAACCACAACAATGGCCACGCGTGGCCGCGTTAAAGTTGAGACCACTGTGGAAGAAGAAAAAGATGCCATGACAAATGGGTGAGGCTCATGGCGAAAAAGGTGAGAGGGGTAAAGGACGGCGAAGGTCAAGGAAACAAGAATAAATGACCAGAATGCATTTAGAAACGTTTGCCTTCTGAATCAATCAACAGTTGGCCCGAACACGAATTTCTAATGTCTGCGAGAAAGAAAAGTGATATGTTTAGTTGATGGTTGATTTAGTGAAATCGAAATCGCCGGAAAGTTACCTAAGCTACCTAACTTAAGCTATGAAGGTCGTGATTGCCACTAATATTAGCGATTATTTAGTGTGGGTACCTGCCTTCGGTGCGCGTATCACAAGCACTAACGCGCCTACGTAAATGTATCTATCCACATACACCTAAGAACATTTAATACATGTACTCCCTAGGTACATCTCATACCTAACAATACATATCAAGTACATGTATAAATACACCTACCAAGTGAAGATTAACCATTCATAACATTACAAATGAGGTTGTCACTTAGACTACCTAGGTAACGGGTCTCGACGCATGAAAATACAAAGACAAGGTGATACCTTTCAAAAATCAGGTTTTATTTAAGTATATCCCATGAAGAACTTGAGGTCACTTATCAACCACAACACTACCTAAATACTAAGATTAATCCTCCATTGCGAATAGTACATATCCTCCTCGTCCTCCAATATGTCAAGATGTATCTTCAGGATCTATATTCCACCTAGTTCTTGGGGAAGATGGCGTTGACAGTGAAGTTCTGAGGACCAGCGTAGACCTGAACGGTTCCGGTAGGGGATTGCTGGTTGGTCCAGACAATCTCGGACGCTTGGATGGTGTGGACGGCACTGGCGGAAGTACCCGGCGCTACCTCGTGCCACTTCACGATTTAATATGTCAGTAACAGAGCTAATGACTCTTCGATCCCGAAGGACCGAAAGGGAGGGGCTTGGTGCAACATACAAGCTCAAGATCAGCGCCACCATCGGATCGCTTAGTCAGGTTGAAAGAGGTTGACGGGTCACTGCATACGGTCTTTGCAACCGTGGGGAAGACTTGGTATGTTCCGGGTTGAGCAGAGCACTTGGTCTGGTTTAGACCGCCGTACGACCAGGTAAGTTCGATGCTTCGGGAAGGTTAGTAATCAATACGATTAATCATCGATCAAAACAACAGCGTCAACTTACTATCCAACCGAAGAGTGAGGAGTAGCTCCTGCCGATAGCTTCGAAACAGTGAAGGGAGCGTTGACCCTACGAGTTAAGCCTTGCACACTGGGAAGACCAGCGGCAAGCATGCCAACAACGGTAACACCTGAGAGGAACTTCATCTTGTATTTTTGGAAGGTTGTAGTTTGTTATGAAATTTTAACGAATGTCGGATTTAAACGAGAGTACTGAACCTGTGACGAGTGTGACGAGGGATGGGATGAGATGGGAATGAAGAGTCAAAGGTTTATTGAGGCGACTTCGTTCAGGTCTATATAAGTTTAATGGTACCCATCCTGCCATCGTTTACAAGGTCCTGTTACCTCCTAATGGTCCCAACAATGGGGAAAGGGGAAAAACTCGACCGAACGAACCGATACTACACCTTCCATAACTCTCGTGAGAATGATCGGCACTTTCTGTCAGGTCCAGAATCAAACAGGATGGTAAGTGCTCCCCGAGGTGCATGTACCTAATACAGGAACATTTGAGCCTATGATACGTCTTGATAGGGCTTTCAGTGGGGGTGCAATCAACCTGAATTGGGCGAGGGTTATCCTTACCGTAGCTTAATTTTACCCAGTTAGGTACCCATGCCGATATCCTAGCAAACATTCAACATATTGATACAGTTTCAATGACATCACCCTCATATTCTCTCTTTTGTTCTTCTTATTTTATATATCAGAATTACAAGATAATGACAATTCAGTATAAGACAGAAGAAGACAAACGACATAACTATACGTTGCACATCTATGCATGTTGCCATAGGCTTCGTATCCTGTTCAAGATAAATACAATCCTCCGCGCTTAATGAATGATAGGTAGTAACATATGCCAAGTAGGCCGCTATTTAAACCGAAGATGCGAAGAATACTACGTCGACTCTAGCTATAAAGACCTAGAATTACACTGCCTACCCTCAAAAGAGTATTGAACTTCATCCACTAATATGACGACTTTTCTATCCAATTAGAATGTATTAAATGTCTCAGTATAGAAGATGTCTCAGGCTTGTTATTCAGTATAGTTGGCTATTCTATTCTTCATGATCAGCAATACCCAGAACACGATAATTATATTTCCTGTAACGTTGCAAGAGTCGGTCCGTCGCTCAGTAAAATATCAAAATTAGATATCTTAAAAAGTTATATGCTGCGACCATGACCGCCATGTTACTCCAGGATAATCCCAACCGACCCGCGCTTGAACGTGTTTCATAATATTTTCCTTGCATGGCCGCATGGTCATCATCTAAAAATCATTCGTGGACATCTCCGAAACCTTTTTAGTCATTTATCATATTTTTCGAGCCTCTCTTATTAAGACCAAGGGTCGACGATTAGAAACGAAAGAAAAAATATATATATGGATTTCTCCAGCCTCTTCGAATCCGCATTGTAATGTTCGGTTCCATCTGATTTGAGCGAGAACCAGCCTAGGCGGCTTTCTTTCATTGGGATCGTCATAGGTGCTGATGCTGATGCAAAAAGAAACGCGCTTAATACTCCAGTGAACATAATAAAAACGCCAAAAGACCAACCACGGGAGACTTTCATGCGCGTTACTCCATATTACAACTCATTCTTCAATATAGATTCAACACTTAAGAGGAGTCGCATACTCCAAGTCTATACCCATTTGTCAGTCATCTTAACGAACGTAGAACTCTAGCGGCCACTACCATCGAGCACGCACCCAAATAAGTATTCATGCAGCGATGTTATGGTTCCGGGAGATCATGAACATACTCGGCGACGATCAACAGCGGTGTACATGTTAAGAACGGGGGTAGATACCGGATCTACAAAAAGCTCGACATCGTGACACTATATAAGGAGGAGGAAGTAAAGAAGAGAAGCGAAATAAAAGAGAAGGTAGCACATTGCTTGCTGTGGGCATTTATTACCTTATTGACTGCTTAGTCAATTTGATACCAGTGACTTTAGCGACCTAACGACCTAGCATTGTTCAACTCTAATCGTAGAAGCGTTTGGATCGTCTGGCTCTTTGGAATAACTCTTTGTCATCCATATGAGAAGAAGCATCGACTTTTCAGACATTTAATTCTATGTTCATATGAAGGGTAATAGATATATTCTATTCGTACAAAGGATCCATCTCGTCGTTAACCATGGCTCTGGTATGCCGGCAATGCAAAAGACCGACGGGAGCTTATATTTTAGTGCTACGTGATCTAAATTTAGGTGCCTTAGGTACTAAACCTAGCTGGTAGACCTCCCCACATCGCAACTGTTTTCTAAAGGTTAAGGCGATTACGCAAAATTCCAGCACTTATTTTTTAGTGTTCAGGTGCCGCGTGTGCACCTACTCAAGCACCTAAGCATTGATAAAAGACAGAACCAAAAAAAAAAAAAAACACCGCCACGAAACAAAAGGAGGCGCAGTAAAGGCATTGTTACGGTTGTTTTTTGTTTGGGCTTACGCAGTTCTTGTTCGAATTCTTAACGGGATAGCCCCGAAACATAGAACCGCGTTATCAGCCCACCCGTCCACGTCATCTGGCCAAGTCCTCATCTCTTGATTTAAAGATTTCATTCTCTTTTCGCCAGGAGGATTTGCAACGTTTCGTCTTTTTACCCCTATGATGCTTCTGCGACACGTGAATTAAATCGAAAAAAATTACTGAAATTACAACGTTCGTTTTTCAGCCTACACTCGTTAGAATCCTTACCTACCTGTTTAGGTGCCTAAGAAATATGGCCCCGGTACAATTTGAGAGGCCCGGACTTTCTCTTACCGAACATCTGGTCCGGAGTGCGAGAGTCGCCGTAGTAGCAGCCGGTCCGGAGGTCGCTAGACTTGCTAGACGAGATGCCGTATCCCGTCGCGATTTAACTGTCACAAGTGACGCTCAGAAAGTTACTCTAGGAATCATCGCTGCCTACGTAGTTATTATTGCCATTCTATGGAACGTACCTTACGTACGATGGTCACTATGGCCTTTCAAGGTATTTTTATCCCAAATCAGGTTGTCGCAAACTATGCTAACGAGTCTTATTAGATGCTTGTCATTGCTTTCCACGAATTTGGACATGCCATCACAGCAGTATGTACAGGTGGTCGCGTCAAATCCATCTCACTTGATCCTCGCGAAGGTGGTGTCACACACAGTATGTAACGACCCGTATTTATTTATTTCTACTGTACTCATCCCTGTTACCGGCCATGATACCACCTAAAACCTGCTACTGAACTGTACTAACATTCATCACTAGTGGTTGGCGGGAAAAGTGCTATTACTCTACCAGCCGGTTATTTGGGATCATCTCTGATCGGCGCCCTACTCATATTCTGCGGCTTCGACATCGTCGCAAGCAAGATTGCTAGTCTCGTATTGGCAGTGTGTTTCTTGCTGACGATGTGGTGGGGTAAGAGAGATTGGCTTACGATTCTGACGATCGTACTCGCTATCGGGCTTTTGGTGGCCTGCTGGTTCATAGTCCACGCCGAACCCCTACGATTCGTTGTGCTTTTCATCGGCGTGATGAGTTCGTTGTATAGCGTTTGGGATATTGTAAGTTCTCGCCAATATTTTCTTTCATGAGTCGCTTTTACTAACCAATTTGTAGTGCGACGATTTAATCCTTCGCAAAGTCAATAGTTCCGATGCCAGTGTGTTTGCTCAACGTTATGGTGGTTCTTCCCAATGCTGGGGTGTAATCTGGTCTATCATTTCCATCTGCTTCATGGCTGCTGCTATCGTCGCTGGTATCGCCGCATTCCCACAGTCATTCGCGCAACAGGAAGAAGATTCGAAGCACTTCCTCCCAACTCGTTAAGCAAGTAATTTACTGAGATGTTGAAGAAGAGAGGCCTTTCCTACTACCTAAGTACCTGGTTATCGTTGGGGAGTTTACAGGTTGATAATCCTTTCGGATACGTGGGGTGTGTTAATGAGGTTGGCTTTTCAGTATGACCATGATACCCTTTTTATTAGCAATGACAAGAATTCATATTATTCACTTTTGCCTTTTTCATCGTGATATATTGATATCTATAATGCTTCGTCTATGTGGTCTTCGGTCGTTTCTTGGGGTCCCGAATTGGTGGCTTCGTGAACCCCTGAGCAAAACGAACAAAAAGCACTAGTTCGCTTAGTAAAACTATCACGCCCGGGGAAAATACGTCTCTGGTGCCGTTATTTGAATTATAGAACTGCGGGCATTGAAAAGAATAGGAAGAATAATATCTACCTGCTTGCAAAATGTTGTAAACAAACTCTTCCGAATATCAAAGCGAAGACTTAAATGTTGCGAATTATATGATTAAACCCTCCGAATAGTAACATTCTAACCTTCCGACGGAAGTTTTAGGGGAGAAGGGAAACGCGTACCTGGCCTGCTAGCTTTGCGAAAGATAGTAAAGCTGGTCGTCATTGTGGCGCACCAAGTTCCCTGTTATTGTCTAGTAAATACGATACTCAGCCGCCAAGCCAAGGGCAGTGTTGTGAGGTAACTAACTGGGTAAGCAACTTAAATGGCATTGAAATAGCCTTCAATATTACCTGCGTATATCGCTTGACAGTTTCTATTAAAACCTTCCGTTATACCTAGATATATAAACAAGTTATGAGTGAATGTCAATATTGACGCACCCTACGAAAAGATCAACACCTACCAAATACTTAAGAGTCTCAACGAACCCCCACGAAAAGCAAATAGCAAGTATTCCAATTAATTGAACAAAATCACTATTTATGGTCATCAATTCCATTCAATTCTTAAAGATGACAATTCGAGATCTATTTTCGCGTTCAAGTAGCTCGAAAAGATCTAAAAGCCAGGGAAGCAACTCCGATAAAGATGACGACACCGAAAACCTCCCGACTCCGTCGCAACAAACCGAAAACCCAACACAAAAATCATCACAACATTTAGAAGTTAGCACACAAGGACCTGTAAAAGGACTCCGAAAAGCATCATCAGTATCAGCAAGTCGCTTATCCGCCCGAAAACACCCAAGTAAATCTGCAGAATACGAACCGTCGGATTACTTATATTTTGGCGAGGGTGTATCAGCAGCAGACGTATCCAAGTCGCTATCAAATCGAAATCGAAGCAAATCCACGAGCAATATATCGGGACACCCGTCAACCACGAGTACTAGCAATACTGCCAATCCAAATGGTAGAGATAACAGTGGATTTCTTAATACGGGGATGAATACGCATACAGCACAAATGGGATACTCGAATTTGACGTATGGTGGTTCGTTACAATTTGATTATTCTGGGACCCAGGTCGGTGGACCAGGAATTTAATGGGCAAGTATTTGCGCGGATGTATGCTTCCGTTGACAGCTGTGTTTGAATTCTTTTCGACTCGTTTGTATTATTATTCCAGTTGGGACATACCTAGGTAGACGAGCAAGGTCTACCACCAAACTTGGCGACGTCGTTTTTGAGTACATGGAGTTAAGATATCCAAGAAAAGGCATGTATATTATTAGAAGGCAAATCAGAGCATTATTAAACATAGAAAAGGATCTTCAGTAAAATAAAGTGATGGTATGCAGATCAAGGTACCGGTAGAAATACGGATAACTCATATTCATCTAAGAGCGGTATACAATTAGACGTCAAGCCGAGGCATCTTTCGTCTTAGAAACACGAGGCGAACGGCTTGCGTGTAACTTAACTTAATTCACTACCTCTTTAATAAATTCATATACAAGTCGAGCCTCGCGGATATCGCCTTTTTCATGAACTACTCGACCATATAACTGTATCAAAAATCCATCACCAAGTGCCACGTAAAACCAGTTCGCCATGTATGTACATCTTCCTACTAGTGATGTCATGAGTCTCAAGTCGAAAATAGGCTCACAAAAAACTCCAGGTCAAAATCTACAACTCCAATAGCATTCCCTTCTGTCGAGGATGTGACAAAGAGCCCAGCCTTTCCAACGGCAGTATGGAAACTTGAACCCCATCAAAGAGGTCTTCTACCTGTAGCTGCCGGGAGAGGAGGCCCAATCAACATCAGTTGGGAAGTTCACGGCGATGGGCCAGTGAAGCTCGTTGTACGTAACCCCAATAAGCCAACTACAACTAGTATAGTAACGGAATAAATACTCATCGCTCCCATCACAGCTGATCTGCGGTCTCGGATTCTTCAAAACAGCATACCAACGCCAAACCATGCACTTCGGGCACATCCACGGTTCAAAATACTCCGTCCTAATCCTCGATAACCGAGGCATGGGCGGATCAGATAAGCCCATGATGCGATACAGCACATCGGAAATGGCGCGGGACATCATAGAAGTAGTCGATCACCTAGGCTGGACATCACCACGACAATTAAACATAAGCGGTATAAGCATGGGCGGCATGATCGCGCAAGAACTCGCGTATCTCGTACCGGACCGCATAAGCAGTCTAAGTTTAATCTGCACAGCTGCTTGTATTGAGAATACGACTACGTTTACTGAGAATATGGTGAATCGTATTACTATGCTACTACCTAAGAGTCTGGATAGAAGTGTGCAATATGCCGCTCGAGCTAGTATGTGTACCAACCGATTTGTGACTCCCAGAAAAATAACTACTAACTCCGACAACAGTATTCCCACTAGACTATCTAACCTCCCCAGACAACGCCACCATCCCCTCCCCCTCCGTCCCCCGCTGCAAAATCCCACCGGGCGGCTATCTCAAATTCAACAGCAACTACGAGCGATTCGCCGCGCAAGAAATCACCAAACAACACGATAAAGGTGGTTTCACCAAATCCGGTTTCCTCCTGCAACTCATAGCCGCCGGTTGGCATCACAAGAGCCCAGAGCAATTGAAGGAATTGGGGGATAAAGTAGGACGAGAGCGGATTTTAGTTTTGCACGGGACGAGTGATGGCATGATTTCGACACCGCATGGGAGAAAGCTGATAGATTATCTCAAGCCGGGTCAGGGGTTGATTGTGGATGGGCTGGGCCATGCGCCTATTAATGAGCGAACGCAGTGGTTTAATCAGTTAATAGAGGATCAATGTTCGTTGGGATAGAAATTGAGTGGGCGGTAAGAGATGGTGTATATTTTGCAAGGAACGTAGCGACCTATAACACCGCCGCAGCTCGACAGGAAACGATACTTGGGTAGATAGGTAGCCTAGAAAATTCTTGCAGCAATTGAAACACAGTGGAAAGTACTTGCACTTCATATTATGAATTTGCTGTGTTAATATTTGAATACCTAGGTATGCAATAACTTTTATCTCAAATACGATACGCCTATTCCCTCGAACCAGGTATCTCATAATAAACCCATGAAACCCCTCAGAATATCGCCCATGCCCCAATTCCGTTAATTTCGTACAAGTTCGATGTGCATCCTGCTTCCTTAGTCTTGGGATTGCACCCCAATAATATCATCTTGCCCTGTGTCGCTAACTTACAGAAGCTATGAAGTTTTGATATTGTTCATCGTCGCCCAATGGCCTTGTAATCGCTTTCTGCGGTGGAGTTGCGGTAGAGGATGCCTTACTACCCCCCGTCCATAGCACCCCAGATGGTTGAAGTTGGTTCATTGCTTCCACCTTTGGAGTGCTGGTGCCTTCTTCACCTTGGTCGTCCTTATCGGCCTTCGGTAGACGCATGGCGAGGAGTATATACTCGGCTCGTGTCATATTATCCATGATATCATCCATGTAACGTCGTACGTCATCTTGGGGCGCAACGACCCTAGCTAGATTTTCAAGGTGTTTAGCTGATTGCGCAAATATTCGAATCGTTACAGGTTGGTAGTAATCTAATATCGGATCACCTCCGTATTCCAACCTGCTTCCTTTGCGGACTATAAGAAAAGACGCGATAACTTGTGTTGGGTTAATATATTCGAGGATGCTGTACTTGGGGAATAAATATCGGTCTCCAGTACCACCGGAAAACTCAAGTACGATAGCTGAGATGTCGGGTTTGGTAGAGGGCGGCGGTCCTTTCGATCGTAGGGCTTGTTGCGAACTAGATGCGTGAGCTGGTTGTCCTGGTGCAGCTAATGATCCTTTCCTCGAATTGGCACCATTCAACACGGCCGGACTTTCTGGCCCGTTTGCAGGGGTAGTTTGAGGAGCTGGTGTCGCTGGTAGGGGTTTTGATGTCTCCTTTACCATAAGATCTTTTAATTTGTCAAGAATGGACTTTAGATCTGTGGTATCCGAAAATTTGGTAAATTTCCCGTGAGATACCCTTCGTATGATTTCCTGCGTATTCCGATCATCCAATGCCTTTTTCAAAAGGAGAATCACTAGTGGGTCGCTTCCCCCCGGAGGCAGCTTTAAATCATTAGATTTCTGCTTTGGGTTTGAAAAATACACGATGTCTAGTATGGTTCGGACTTCGTCGGCGAAAAATTTCACAGTTCTCCCGTCTACAAGAAGGCGATCTGCTGAAGGACCATGTTGACCTCCTTTCCTCTTGTAGTCGGCGGTAATCTGATCAATAATCTTCTGAAAATGAGACAATTCAACTGGAGCGGCATCTCCTATAGCTACGCGTTTCATGAGATCTCGAAGCTTAGGGTCTTCGGATGCCCTCTCCGCTAACGTAACTATGATGGGATCGGCACCAGGTGCCGTAGGTGTCATCGGTTTCGCAGCTGGTGTGGCCGGTTTTGGTGCCGCGGGAACAGGTGGCGCGGCCCCTGTTGCGGTTGGTGCATGTAAAGGTCGATTGGTAATTAAGCCCGGTTGGGACGGCGTCCCCGATTGAGGGAGTGGCGGCTGTGGGGGAGTTGCTGTGGGAGGTAGAGTCGGAGGACGTTGAGGGTGAGCTAGGACGGAGTCAAGGCCTCCAGGGGAGGCGGCAACCGGTTTATTAGGTACAGCGGCAGACGAGGATCGCTGCACATCGGATTGTGGTGTCTGTATTTGTGCTTGTACCTGCACCTGCGGCTTCGGCTGTGATAGTGGAGGTTGAGGATGAACCGGCGCCGCTGAAGGTGGTTGGGGTTGAGGTTGAGGTTGAGATTGTGGCTGAGACGGGTTATGCGATGGTGAGGCCGAAGGCGCTGTCGAGACCGGAGCCGACGGCGTGTTAGGCTTTGGGGGTGGAGGCATTACACCATTCGGAGGACCATACTGCATAATGGGTCGAAAAGCGGAATTTGTTGTGGGGAGAGGTTTCGGATCTTTAACAGCGTACATAGTAGCTTCGAGAACATGAGGCTCTACGGTAATTGTAACTTGGCCGATCTTTGTCATGCTATCTTTGGGAGGGTTGTTGGGGTCTTCCTTAATAACACCTTTTCGTTTCGTAGGTTTCGTCCAGTATTTCTCAAAAATACCTTCGTGGATCCATTTCTGACGCGACCTAGAAAGCGAATCGGCAAGGACGCCACTAAATTTATAAGGTCACTATAAAATAGTAAGAAGGTTTCAGCTAGGTAGACATACCTCTCTTGAATGGACTGATAATCCTTTGTTGAAAGATCGTCAGGCTGCGAATGCTCTACAGTTGGTAGAGGATTGCCAGCCTGGATAGATTTGGGTAAGGGTGGTTCTTCGGGTACGGGTTCAACTGGTGTAGGAGTCGATGCCGACGCTGGTGCGGGTGCTGGAGTAACTGATCGCTCGGGAGGTGTCGCGGTTCGTTTCTTAGCGACATGATCAACCCGTGCAGCCGCTCTTGCGGGCAGCTTTCTCTTTCTTTCCATCGCGCCCAAGCAGATAATTCTGGGTATGTAGTAGGTATCGGTTTCGATACGGTAGGATATTAGAAGCTTATCTTCACACTAACGTGACAAGAAACGCGAGAGCATCTCGGCAATGCTGGGAATCGATCGAAAGGACTCGAGATATCGCACTATGGCGGATGCATAGGACGAAATATTCTTGGAAGGCTAAGAACCGAAAACCCCGTATGGATTGGTATTCTTTGTTGATCCTATTACTTAATATTAAGAAAACATGAATCGGATCATTTTCTTGATGGCGAAGTTGAAGATATAAAAGATCCTATTAAAAAAGGTCGTTGGTAAAAGGAAGAAGAAAATGAGAGTTTGTTTTCGGAGCCACAGCACTGGATAGATAGAAGAGAAGAGGCGGGTCCACTTAGAACTTTTAGTGGTAGTTACCGATACCACTTACCTAGCTAACCACTTATGTAACCATATTAAGGTGCGCGTCGCAGATCCTAGTCCACTGTTGGTTGAACTTTATATGCATGCATATGCATTTAGAACAGTCAATTTTTCAGGCAGGAACGTGCTATATTATCGCAGGTAATTTCTCAGATAAATATCTTCATATTTAAATCATATTTAAATTCTAACTTATCTATACAAATTTCATACAAACAGTAGCAAACCACCCATCAAGGTCATTTATAGTCCAAGCGTCATCTGTTTGATCCCTAACAGTGGCTTCGGAGTTTCGTCGTGAGCCATGGCTCCACGGACTTCTCAGTGGTCAATTCCCCTAGCCATCGGTCTGGGCGTCCCAATTGGTCTTTACCTCACATTTATTTTCCTCGGCGCTTTCCCTTTCTTTCAAAGACAGTAAGCCTCTCTAACTCGAATTATTGATCAGGTATACGAAGTAGATTGATTGACAGAATACCATTAGTTTTCTATACCTTCATAGACTGAATACGTTGTTTTGGCATGATATTAATAAGCCGGAGTATTGGGGGTTCGCCAGTTAGTTTCTATTACACTCAAAGAAAAATGAATATAGCAGCAATATTGACTAATGTCGCCACAACAAAGGAAACCAAGTGACGCCTTTTTCATTAACAACAATAGATGGGGAGAGCATCTATGCGTGGCACATTCTGCCACTTCCAGTTTACCTAAAACATGAGGACAAACTCGAAGCCCAACAGCCAGGCTTTGCTGATGACATAACAAAAATGGTATCGTTTAGTCTGTTAAATGATGACCCTGAGGCACGGCTTGTAATTTATTGTAAGAAAACCCCCAACAGGTTATTATCAATATTGCTAATTGATAGTTAAAAGTTCATGGAGTGAGTGACTAGGTCGGATGAAATATCTCACTATGCTGAAATCGTTAACTGAACTTCGAAAATAGAACCTTGGCCATATAGCCCAGGGTTTTCGTACGGATAGTTACCATACCCTAACCGACTCTTCTCATTATCATGTTCTTGCTATCGATTATCGAGGTTTCGGTAAATCAACTGGTACGCCCTCAGAAGCGGGATTAATGGTACGTACAATGGTGTTTGCGCTGTCGCCAGATTTCTGGGTAACCTCTAGCTGACACTTTTTAGTACGTGAGACCCCCTTTCTTGTCTTGATTTCTGTGCTTGCACATGGCCACGCATTAAAGCTGCGAATTTCATATAATTCAAGGTGTTTCGCTACTTACATAACCGATATACAGCCACGATGGTGCTGCTGCCGTAAACTGGGCTTTGGAGGCCGGGGTCCCAGCGAACCGAATCGTCCTTTTAGGCCAAAGTCTCGGCACTGCTGTTACAAGCGGAGTTGCAGAGCATTTTGCTATGCAAGGGATCGAATTCGCGGGTGTAATTCTCGTTGCTGGGTTTTCAAACGCGCCTACCTTAGTTGCTTCCTACACGGCGGCTGGTTTTATCCCAGTGCTTTCACCGATTCGTTCGATACCACCACTTCTTCGCTTTTTTCAGGGTTTCATCGTGGATAAGTGGAAATCCGCAGATCGACTCGCACACATTGTGACGTTGACGAGGACGAGGCTACGACTAACTCTGATCCACGCCAAAAATGATATGGAGATTCCCTGCCATGAGAGTGACAAACTGTTTAAGTCCGCAGCCAGCGCTACATTCAATGAAGAATTAGATGATGAGTCATTTTTGTCGTGGAAGGAACAGCGAACTTTCCGTGAGGAAGATGGAACTTTCAAGACGATTATTCGTAATGAGCCAAATATGGTCATCAGACAAGAACTCGTGCGATACGGCGGTGAGTGATCCAGTGAAGAAAATTGCGGATAAAAAGCAATACTAAACGCGTACAATAGGGCATAACGATGTTATGATGTCTGCAGCAGTATCACTCGCAGTCATGAGGTCATTTGAACTGAATAGTAATCAGTCTTCCAGTCTCATCTAGGTATTTAGGTATACCTAAGTAGTGACGCAATTGTGGCTTGCAGGATAGAGATAGAATGTCGGTGAATCTCCCCACTACAGTGCCGAACCGAACTTGGAGGCATCCATGGATGATATTTATTTTCTAAGTACACACTAGAATTATTAAAAATTGGGCATCATTATATAGAAATTAAATCAAATCCATATAGTTTGACGTTGATTCTTTTGCCTGAGGATCAGGTTGGATTAGCGAATAAAACTTTGTATGAAAATATCAAGTAGTGGGTGGATTAACGGGGCTGGAGATCGCTAATCCGCCTAACTGGGTAGCTCCAGGGCTACCTAAATAGCCCCGCGCTGCGACCTTGACATGGATTCGACAGCCCCTCCTCAACTAAAACATAACCCCAATTGCCTACCAACCTTCACTATAATCGACACCCATTCCTTTCAGCACGCGCATTCCCCGGCCTACGTTTGTGACCAGTCATAATGTCCGATGAATCCAAGCCCGTAAAGGGTAAGGGAAAAGAGAAGGACAAGGAAAAGGATGAGAAGGAAAGGGAAAGGGCTGCGAAGAAGCTTCATAAAGCTGTCGAAGGTCTCTCTAAAGAACAAGTAACCCAGCTCCTCGATCTCAATCCCGCGCTTGCGAACGAACTTGGCAGTGGAAGTGATGGCGATCCTAATGCTGCCGCCGATGCCCTCAAACGTCTCAACCTCCAGGATATAATGACGGGATTGGCTTCGAGTGGTAAGAACGTTAAGGATATGGGCGCATACAAATTTTGGGCCACTCAACCAGTCCCAAAATTCGGAGAAGAGGCCGATCCCAACCAACAAGTCGAGGAGGGGCCTATCAAGGTCCAAACTGTCGATGAGATACCGAAAACACCTGCCCCGCTGTTGGACGGCTTCGAATGGTCCACCCTAGATCTGCTCGATGAGAGCCAGCTGAAGGAGGTCTGGGAATTGTTGAATGGTCACTACGTCGAAGATGATGAAGCGATGTTCCGGTTTAATTATTCCGCAAGTATTTTGAAATGGTGAGTCATTCGTCCTGCCTTATCCTTTCTCTCCTTGTTGCTCTCGTCAGCAAACCAATAAACCGAGGGATAAAGAGCTAACAAATGTAAAAAGGGCCATGATGCCGCCTGGATGGAAGAAGCAATGGCATCGAGGGGTCAGAGCTTCACAATCTAGAAAACTGGTTGGTTTCATTGCCGCCATTCCTGTCGAGCTACGCGTGCGAAACAACATTATACACGCCTCCGAAGTCAACTTCCTATGTATACACAAGAAGCTTCGCTCCAAACGTTTAGCACCAGTCCTCATCAAGGAGATTACGCGATTGTGTAACTTGGAAGGAGTTTTTCAGGCCATATATACTGGCGGTATTGTCCTTCCAAAGCCCGTAAGCACGTGTCGATACTTCCACCGAGCCATCAACTGGCAAAAACTGTATGAGGTCGGGTTTAGCCCATTGCCGCCGAATAGCAAGCCTCAGTTCCAGATCAGAAAATATGCCGTGCCAGAGCGAAATTCGATCAGTGGATTGAGAGAGATGCAAAAGAAGGATGTCGGTGCTGTTCAAGATCTGCTCACGCGATACTTGGCCAAATATGAGTTGGCTGCCGAGTTTGACAAGCAAGAAGTTGAACACTGGTTATTACATAACAAGAAGAACGCACTGGAGGAGCAGGTGGTCTGGACCTATGTAGTTGAGGTAACCTAACTTATCCCGACGATACCCGCCGCTGTCCTATTTTTACTGACCGGAACACCAGGACGAACACAAGAAAATCACCGACTTCATCTCATTTTACTGTCTGGAATCCTCGATTATTGGCCCATCCAAACACTCCAGCATAAAAGCGGCTTATCTCTTCTACTATGCTACCGAGACAGGACTCTCCAGCCCTGTCGATAGAGAAGCTCTTAAATCCCGTCTCAACACTCTGGTTTCAGATAGTCTCGTATTCTGTAAAAAGTACGGGTTCGACGTGTACAACGCCCTTTCGCTAATGGACAACGGTTTGTTCTTGGAAGAACAGAAGTTCGGACCAGGGGACGGCCAACTACATTATTATCTATTTAACTATCGGGCGAATCCGATAGCCGGTGGCGTTGACAGGAGAAACCACTTAGATACTAAGACATTAAGTGGCGTCGGGTTTGTCAAGCCCCACAAGATATCCGAGCAATCATGGCTAACTATTACACAGCAAAACACAAATCTGAATCCACGTGGGCACTTTCAAGGTGCGGGCACTACTGCATTAGAGGCCTTAGCTAGATAGGCAGTATGTACTCCATATGTTGATCTTCGGGAAGGGGGCAAATGCTCTTCATGCCAGGGGTTCATTGACTGGATCGACTTATCGTGGCCAGGTTTTATATGACTCTACATGGAATTCGCCGTGTCGGATCTACAGGGGCGCCGGACCACATCGTTCCAGCTGCTTGCACCCGCATACAGATAGTTACTCACTTACTTACAGCTTTGCTTCGTGCCCGCTCTTCGGAAGCAATTTTTTTCCCCAAAAAAACAAGAAAAAGAAAAAAAAAAATTGCGGCAATTATTCGTTCGGGTAGATGCATTTCTAAATGAGACCTGAAGTACAGCCTGAGAGACTTGAACACCCCTAGACCAATCAGATTGATAGTGCTTGTCCCGATATGTTGCCCAATAAATTGGAATCGAAAATGCCTGTGATATCGCCATGTATATGCAGCCAATTGATGAACTCCTTATCGCTTTATTAAGATTTGCGGTTTTCATGTGTCTTAGCGATGAAAATATTTGTCAAGCATTCTCCAGACATCTCCAGACGACTCCAGACGCTCCAGATCTCACTCGTACTCGCCCGCACACGTGGCAGAGGTCGGAAATATCTTTGTTGGTTTGTCGGCGTATCCAGGAACGACCACGTCTTCCGAATCTACCTTAGCGCCGCAAATCAGATCCGACCTAAGACGTTTCTTGAGTAATATGCCCGGGGTTACTTACCTCAGCCGTTCCCGGAACCGGGTTATAGATGAAGAGGTTCTTCACGTCAATCGAAGAAAAGCTACTGCTGCTGCTTCTGTTGTGCCCATCCTCGTCAACAAATCCAGAGAGCAACCCGTTCCGACGATGTGCGAATACATCATGCTGAGGTGGTTCTGCGACGAGTGCGGAGCAGTATGCGATTTTTTAGATATCCTTATTCCTTCTATTCCACATATCCTAACTTTGTCACACGAGACGACCTCGTCGGCGTTCTTCTTTCGGAGCCCCCCAGGCTCATACGCATCGGTTTTTACGATTTCGAGGCTTTGTTCTTAGTACTTAATGAGCAGAAACGCTAACTAGTCTTCCTACAGTGGTACACCAGCGATGAGGTCAAAACCAAGGATTGTGAGACATTCACCTCCACAGGCTCGTGTGACAAGAAAGACATTGTAGGAAAGGAAGAGTCGGATGCCGGTGGTCTCTGCGACGACTGCACACAGGAGCATAATGGAGATGCTTAGGGAAAAGTCAATGCTAAGCAATCCCAGAATCCCAAAACAACCTTCTACAGCAATATCCGGGTATATCAGACATCATCATGGCATCTCAATTCACCAAATAATACATAGTTAGTACTTTCTGCCTGGAAAACTGGATTATTTTTCCTCGAAAATCATCATTCCCTTCATTGTCTAGGTCCCTACTTCAAATATTCAAGAACTACACTAATTCTCACTTTCTACTAGATATGGCGCCTTAGGCGTTGAAGATAGCATTAATACCCCAGATAGAAAAAAAAACATGGTAGCGGTGAAAAAGTTATCATTTCTATTAGGGAAAGGCGGCGGCGGTAGCAGTGGTGTGGTTTTCATGGTTCAATGTTGTACAAATTGTTTCAGGCGCACGGCATTCCCGATCCCCAAGATTGATTGACAATCGGATGATCTTAATAATCTAGTTTAGTTTCCTTCCTACGATATTATCTGCAGATATCTAATTTTTACATAATTTCTACTGGAATAATTACACATACGAACGCATGTCTCAGTCCTGTAGTAGTGATGGTAGCCAAAATGCAGCATCAAGAAGCTCTACAACATCCTCCTGATACAATTGACGTCAGGTCAGCAAAATTCAAAGTTACGTGACATGGGATTATGTCGAACGATTCAAGAATGATGAAGTGTCGTCTTCTCAAGCTGATCCTTTTTCAGACAGCTGCAGTTGTAAAACCTGATCTGTCTTAGCCTTATTCTATGCATACGATGTGCGACCGGGTTCCGCCTATGCAGTTAATCTATTCCAATACGACAATTATAGTATGTATATCTATATAAATAACAATCCTCTCTCTCCTCTGGACGAACTGCTGAGTACCTTGAAATTTGACATCTCGATCTTAAAAGCTAATGTATTATGTACGTCTCTTTTGAGCCAGGCACAGCTTGCAGGAAATCCACCGGATGGCTAGTGGCTTTTCACTTGCCAACAAGCATCGTATTGGACTTAATAGAGTATTCCATTGGGTATTACCATCTTTTTTGCTAATGTATACTTTTTCATTGGCCAAAGGGCCATGATGGGTTTTAGGCTACTTGTAATCTTTTCCACCTGGCTAAAAAGGGGTAAGAAAATTGACTGAAGAGAATTTTCATATTTGTCGTGTTTTCTAATTCCTTACCGCTAGACGTATCGGCATTGCAACTTTATATCCTTAAGGAGTTAAGTATGTTGTGATTGGCAGTTATACGATAACTATTATACCACTATTAAAGAGGGGAATTCCCGAAATCCCCTCGAAAAAAAATATGCGTATTCGATTGCCATGATACGTATGTCCATACAGATCGGAGGAATCGACTCTAAACGGAAACTTATTAGTAACATTTTCCTTTTAAGAACTTTCTAGCCTCTACCAAGAGTTTTCGGATTGGACTATGACTTACATATGTGCGGAGTAGGACCGACGACCTCTTAAAAGATCCTCCTTTCGATCTAGATGCCGACGTGGCCGAAATATGGAAGTGGGACCTCGTAGTTTTTCTTACCAAAATCCCATGGCTATACAGGCAAGAAAGATTGTCAATTTCTAACTCGTCATTATTCTTCAAGGAAAAGGGGGTCTCAAAATGCGGAGGGGAGGTTGAAGAAAACTCGAAATAAGAGGAACCTGTATACAATTACCTGAACTAATACGGTACATAATTAGGGTGTATGAATACCACTAATAAGCCCTTCATAGAAACTTGTGATGGCACAGTTACCTATATTTTAGGTATAATTGTCGTCGAGTCCCTTCCAATCAAGTTGAAGCTGATACCCACTGGAATATAATAGGTCAGTCTTCTCAGTCCCTTATACAAAACATATAAAAATAGATTTATTGGGTCAACCGTATCTACCTATTAGTTATTGGTGAGTCTCTAGAGGTCATTGATACAATACATTTATAATTGCTACAAAATAGTCAAAGCCTTGACACATAATGACAATAATCAAAACCCCGAGAGGATAAGGATACGATATCTAACTTGCTGTATTCTTAGGCTTCTATACTCCATAGATAACTCAATGCCTAGCTATACCAGAAATGCCCAATCTTCGAAGGAACGTTTAGTTCAGTGAAGACTATGTTGTAGTGACCAAATAGGTAACAAATCACATTACCATACGTTACACATACACAACATACCGACCCAAAATATGTATCAACGCTTATTCCCTAGTATTATATGTTACATCCAGTCTCTAGCTCTTAGCTAGTTTCATTGAATGCCGTGAGGACTAGTTGATTTGCTTGAAAAGACAAGGCTTCCCCAGAAATCGCTTCGGTACTCCGGATATAAGCTGGGAATGATAATTAGGGTTGTGGATCTTAATATCTTCATTAATGGTGCTCTGTTACTTAAGCTTAAATGTAGGTTCGGCGATATAAAATTGCGGCTTGTGCTTTATAGGAGCTCTAGACCTCGACACCTCGACACCTTGACACCTTGGCGGTATAATGTGGCGCTACACGAGTGGCTTGAAAACTTCGTTCGCCGAAATACCTCTGTACATAACGAATAGTCCTAAATATTTCTAATAAATTATATAACGGCTCTCGACCGATATCCGTTCTAATAGTATAAAAAAAGCCGGCCGAGACCCGGAGTTCAGAGTATATGATGCAGGGATAAAGATGATACCATCGTAAGGCTTCAATGACATGATGCGGAGAAAGGTAGATATTGGTAGCCAATCAAAATAGCTCTACAGCACGCAATTGGCCTCTATACCAGAAATAGTTTAGTGAGGGGTGGTTTCGTAGACACGGGCTGGCGCTGAGGCGTCGCGGGGTTCATCGGGGAACAAACCTCTTAATACTGTTTATGAAAAAAACATAAGATGACCGATGAATTGCGACATTGACGAAAACAGTTTGATAATACCTATTTAGGACTTGATATTCATAAATACATGCGATTATTGGTCAAGTGCTAATCTGAGCTAGGCAATCTATGTGATCCATGTGTATCTATCACCTTCGCATCATCCACCTTGTCCCACATTAGCCGTGTGTGAGAACAGTAAGTAAAACATACCTAGTCGAACCCGTGCGAACGGATGACATATTCGAGCTAAGAAACGAATACCTAGGTAGGTAAGGTTAAGCTACCTAAAGGTATATTTAATACTTGACGTCGTGCACCTACCCGGCCTTGACCGGACTTCTTCCCTCCTTTCTATCTTCCTTCTCGTCTTCTTTTTTGTGGTTCGTGATACCCTCCTCTTTCTTCCCATACCAAGTACTTCTCACCAAGTCTTCGTACTACCTTCATATTAATTACAATGGCTGACTCTCGAGCTGCACCGTAAGTATTCTACTAATATTCCCATACTAAGCGCCTAGCTTTGTAATTGGTTCACCTAGCTCACCTAACATTCTAGCCTTCGTCTGGGTTCCATCGCCCCCAACTTCCAAGCCGAGACCACTAAAGGTCCTATTGACTTCCACGAGTTTGTCGGCGATGGCTGGGTTGTCTTCTTCTCTCACCCCGAAGATTTCACTCCTGTCTGCACCACTGAGCTCGGCGCTTTCGCCAAGCTTGAGCCCGAATTCACCAAGCGAGGTACTAAGCTGATTGGTCTATCCGCCAACACTCGTGGTAGCCATGAGAGCTGGATTAAGGATATCGACGAGGTCACTGGTGGCCACGTTGCTTTCCCTATTATTGCCGATAAGGAGCGCAAGGTTGCCTACCTCTACGACATGTAAGTTATTTCCGCTTATCATTCCTGGACGTATACCCCGGGTATAAGAATCAGTGTTGACAAAGGTATTCGCACCGTCTAGGATCGACTACCAAGACACCACCAACGTCGACGAGAAGGGTATTGCCTTCACCATCCGATCCGTCTTCATCATCGACCCCAAGAAGACCATCCGAACCATCCTCTCATACCCCGCTTCTACCGGCCGAAACTCGGCCGAGGTTCTACGCATTGTCGACTCCCTTCAGGCCGGAGACAAGCACAAGATCACCACCCCGATCAACTGGGTCCCCGGTGATGATGTTATCGTCCACCCCAGCGTCAAGTCCGAACAGGCTAAGGAGCTATTCCCCGAGTTCCGCACTGTCAAGCCCTACCTTCGATTCACTCCTCTGCCTAAGGAGAAGGCTACTGTCTCGTAGATGGTTAGACCCCTGGAAGGGAATAGTTTTGGCTTAATATGAGGATGGATTCTATATGATGCGCCCTCACAACGTTCATCTAATTTGATGTGTTGTAAAAGGTCGTGTTAAAGAAGTGTCTTTTTTTCCGCAACTCTTCACGTTGGGAGTACGGCGGCCGCGACGAAATACTATTAATTAATTAAGAAAAAAAATTTAAAGACTTCTCCTATCCTTGTTTTAGTTTCGCCTTAAGTCAAAATCTGTTCATGTCGTGGCAGGCAAGTGTCGGCTAGTTTTCTGACTTGTTGCCTTGGCTAAGCTTGGCATTGTTGTAGAAGCTTATGATTTTCAGATAAGTCAACTATTATAGAACCGACGATATATCCCATTGAGTGAATGATTTGCGCCGGGACCCGTTCATTATTAATTATGATAAGAATATAATGGATTGGTTATTTGGTTACCCCTATGTCAGGATGTAGTATTTTTCTCTACCTATTTTAACACTCGGTGAGTTATGATTGGGGAATCAACTTGAATATCAATCCTCTATGGCATTCATTACCGTTTATAGATATCAACCTATGTCTCCAACGTAGATCTTAGTTTACATACCTAGGTACCTAAGCGGCTAGGGAGAGACAGCTACACACCTAGGTATCTATACCCATCTGCATGTGTAAGAGAGGTCATCGGCTTATGGAGCTTAAAAGGGGGATCTTTAAATATCTTGACACTGGGATATGTCCACATGTCTACCTTGTAGTAAGCTGGTATCCTATCTTAGTATATCCTCCTATTCTGGGATGCCTGGATGCATAGGGATTGCAATTTTTGACGAATATCAACTAATAACGGGAAGGGATCGCGATTTATGTACTTTCTTATGCATGTGGTGGAGCTCTTTTAGTATCATTCCTAAGACAAGCATCCTAGACCCTGTAAAAACGTGGTCTTCTAGCCTCAGATAATGTTAATGCTCGGTATTCATGGATTTGTATTATGGGAAGCATAAGAGCTGAAAATGAGCTGAAGTTTGCATTTTCATTAATACATGCGAATATAGATTGGTATGAAATTTGATGTTCTGGAAAATCAAAGGAAGCCTGGTGATATAGGCCACGATAGGTGTATTATATTGTGAAATATACACTACATACACATGTACCTGACTAAAAAGAATATATGGACGGTACAATTACACTATAGTATGGCAGAATAGAAACTAAACCTCTTTTAGCTGTATCAAAGAAACCCCGCCTCCACTTTAGCCCATTTCCTCGATTCTCATTGCCCAATATCTAAGCTGAAAGTGGGGTAGAGGAAAAGAAAACCCCTTATGTTAAACCGTATTCAGGGAATTTTAGTACTAGTACGGGCGCCTGCTGTTTCCCGCTTTGCCTTAATTCCTCCCCACACAAGGACTTAACTGGATTTACTCCTCAACCTCAAACTTGGCCTCCACCCCCTTTTTCCCCTTACAACAAGCACTACCACTCAGCAACAAGAATACGAGAGAGAGCCCGCGCCTGTGCCTGTGCGATCGGACATAATCCAAGGGATCCTTCCGAAGCAGACGAAATATAATATACATTAAAGATAAAGTGGAAAAAGAAAGTAAAAGTAAAAAAGCAAAGCTATTAAATCGAGGTAGAGAAGGTTGCGCAAGCAAGATAGAGAGAGACCAGAAAGATACGACAAAAGGCCAAGGCAGCAGCAGCAGAAGATCAAGAACAAGGAAGAAGAACACAACATCGAACGGAGCAATTAAGATTGCCAATTGCGACGTCAGCTAACGGGCCATTTAAGGAGGTATGTATGTCATTCATTCTTGAATCCACTGGGTCAGCGGCACATGTCATCTCGTCTCGTCTCCCTTCTCCCCCGTTCTCCGTTACCCGTACCCATCCTTACCCATACCGCCTCGAGCACAATTCCCTTATGTTGCTTTAGATCTCTCGTGGCACCCTGGTCCGGAGCCGCACTTTATGGTTTACTCCTTATAAGCCTCGGCCCTATGACTCTTGTCTCGTCGTTTCAATACTGGCCCGAGATACATCCCTCCCCTGCTCTCTCCTTATCCCAGCGCGGTATTTCTAATATTACTTTTTTTTCGGGCTTTTTTCCCCGGGCCGCCCTACCATCTAAGTAGAGTAGTACTCACCCGAGTTCCTGGCACTTTGTCCTACTTTTGACATTCCTCTCCCTCGCCCTCGCCCTCCGCTCTTTTAGCTCTTTTCTTTAGCTTCGAGTAATTGCCTTGACAAATTACGGCTGAGAGGGAAAGGGGGCAAACATGTCTATTACTCCTGGGTTTACTCTAACGCCAGATCAGCCAGAACGCGAAGCTGCCTCACAATCATACTTCGAAGCCCACGATAGTGACGTAGAAGATCAAGACCGTCGATTACATTCCTCGAAAACATCCGACCTCCTTTCCGACGTCTATCGAGGTTTAAAAAAAGCCATCCCTTCGAGAGAAGATTCTTTTCGGTTTGCCAGAGTACCTTCGAAACGTGTCCCGAAAAACTCCATTTCTAGTATTGCTCCAGAGATCAACTCTGCACCACTTCTAAATAGGCCGCCGCCTCTACAACATGTTAGAAATTTGAGCTTGCAGGATAGCCTTGAGAAACCTCTTCCGGCACCACCGCCCGCTTCATTGTCGCCCTCAAGTCCTGTAACACCTCTGGCCTCTTCCAATCAGGTACAGGATAGTCTTACCGCTATAGTCGTTAGTGATTTCAGCGACGAAAAGAACACAGGGAATAGAAGCGCGAATAGGAGCAGGGCAAGCACAATGGATTCTAATGCTTCAATGCATCAGAATCCGATGTACAGTGGTGGAGTGGATATGAGCAGCAGTCAGAGTAGTATAGCTAGTTCGAGAAATGATGGCGGGGATGGTCAAAGGGAGAACCTAACTCCCCGAAGTAATGGACCACTCTCAGCTGGCCCCTCTCCACCAGCTGCGTCGACAAGTAGGACACCAGCAATGGGCGCAGCTGTCGGTACTCCTGCAACTTCAGGTTCCTCTGCTCATCTGTCTGGTTTAATGTGCAATGTCCACCGGACAACTGGCCAAGAACCCCATCCCTTGGTGGGAGCGACGACTACAATATTAGGAGACAAGTTATATGTCTTTGGTGGCCGAATTCTATCGCGAAGTCGACCAGCCCCTCTTACATCAGATCTCTACGAATTAGATCTTATTCGACGGCATTGGACTAAGCTGGAAACTTCCGGTGATGTTCCTCCACCTCGCTATTTTCATTCTATGTGTGCTCTTGGGGACACTAAGATGGTTTGCTACGGAGGAATGTCACCTACCGCCACTCAGCCTACCTCCGCTTCTCCCGATTCTCAACCTGAGGTGACAGTAATGTCTGATATATATATCTACGACGTTCTGACGAAGAAGTGGACGTATATCCCTTCACAGGATGCTCCACAAGGTCGATACGCTCATTGCGCGTGTATCCTATCTTCCTCAGCAACGTTTTCGTCTCACAAGGCACCCTTATCTGCTCTTCAACATAACCCATCTAGCGGGAATCCAAATGAAGGTAGAATTGGAATTAATATAGACGGCACTGGAGGAGCCGAGATGGTTGTAGTAGGCGGCCAGGATGGCGCGAATCACTACATTGAACAAATCAGTGTATTCAATCTGCGCAGCTTGAAGTGGACCTCAACACAACCGCTTGGAAAGTCATGCGGTGCTTATCGCAGTGTTGTCGCGCCTTTACCTCCAAGTGTGAATGCCAAGCTTGGTAGGCTGGGCAGTAGCACACGCCAAGACAGCGTGATTAGCCAAGAAGCCAAAGAGCCAGGCTCCTCTATGCTTATCTACTCGAATTATAACTTTTTAGATGTGAAGCTCGAGCTTCAGGTTCGAGGTTCAGATGGTTCACTTTCAGAAAAGCCGATGTCGGGAACTTACTCGCCACCTGGACTTCGATTTCCGAATGGGGGCGTTATCGACACATATTTCGTTGTTAGTGGCACATATCTTACCAGTTCGAAACAAGAATATGCGTTGTGGGCTTTGGATTTACGGAATCTCACTTGGGTACGTATTGATACGGGTGGTAGCGTCTTCAGCCAAGGAAGTTGGAATAGGGGTGTTTTATGGAATAGGCGGAATATTTTTGTTATTCTAGGCAATCGAAAACGAAGTCTAGTTGATGACTACAACCACCGACGGATTAACTTCTCCAACGTCTGTATGGTTGAGTTAGAGGCTTTTGGTTTCTATGACAACCCTCGCAAGACGTCGCCTCTCTCGGGTTTCGTATCCGCCAGCAGTCCTTATACGGTTCCTGGTCTCAGCACAGCTAGAAAAGCTGGCTGGACTGGCGGAGGGAGATCACATATGCGAGCTGCTGAAGAGTTGGGTGAGAAGGCTCTGGGACTACGAGAGCTGGCGGATATGGATATTCTATGCTTCCATGGAGAACGTATTCCTATCAATTCGCGTGTTGTTGCTCGAAGGTGGGGACCCTACTTCGTGCAACTACTGCGTGAAGGTGCGGCTACACAAGACGGCAGCGATTCGGCGACCTTAAGAACAGGTACGTCGGGTTTCTCGGCAATACCGGGCGCGCGCAATTCCGTTATGACGATTACCCCTTCAAGTCGGAGTGCGGGTGATAGCAACATATCGATGGCCTCTACATTAAATAACCCGTCATCTTCCGGATCTCTGAAGCCTCCTAGTACGGCGGGCACCTCAATATCTGGTAATGGCCCAGCGGATTTTACTACTATTAACTCAGCGCCAACACCTGCGTCGTTGCCGCCTAATTCTAGACCAAGATGTCTATACCTACCTCACACTTGCCCGACTGTTCAGGCTCTTCTCCACTTCCTCTACACATCAGCCTTACCTCCTCCGTCATCGCCTCTCTGCACTCCTCAAATTCTCTGCTCGCTACTACAAATAGCGCGGCCTTATAAGATAGATGGGCTATTAGAGGCCGTGGTTGAGCGGCTTCACGCGCGTCTTGACTCACGTAATGCAGCCGCTGTATTCAATGCTACAGCTATGGCGGCTGGCGGAGGTCGCGGAATCGATGGCAGCTTGAACCCTAACTTCTATATGAGCGGCGACTCATCGCTTGCTGGTGCTATTAGCCCCTTCCACGATCGGTCTATGTCGATATCACAGACTAGCACAGATGGAGCAACAAACGCATTAGAAGGCCTTCGAATAAATACCAATGTATCGGGATCAAGGCCAGACCCTGAAGAGCTCAGTGCTACAACAAGTGTATCAGGAAGCGAATGGAGTAGCGAGCTTGGTGACAGTGAGCGTGGCGCAATCCGAGAAGTGTGGAGTGGTGAGCTTAGCAGTGTTATCGGCTTACAAAAACGAGGATTAAGAGGGTTGATGGAAGGACGACGAATGAGGGCGACGGTTGATCGCGAACGTGATGGAGGGCGGACGGAAAGATTAGGATCAAGAGTGGGATTAGGAATTGCAGGATCTTAAAGGAGGGATCGGGCGGATGACGCTGGATCATGGGAGGGATATCCATTTATTATCAATAAGCATACATGGGCACGAGACGCTGCATCATTGGCTGGATAAGGAGTTAATTCTGGTAAGGCGCATGTAGGTGTGTGTATTGACGTGTGTGTCTTTGCTTTATGTTTGTCTACATGAAGATTCATCAATTATCTAGATAGAGAGGGATTTAGTTGAGATACCAACCGATATTTTCATTATACTCTTTACTCATAGGGTTGTAACAGTATTGCGATATGATGATTATGTGAAATAAAGAAGAGAGACTTTGCTGTCGCTGATGTACTTGTGACCTAAAACATTATATGTATGTATTGGTGTTTTACGGACCTTTTATTATGCATTTAAAGGCGATCACGCTAGCGCACGATCCATACCGAGTTTAGTCTAAGACCAAACTAACCTCGACGAAGCTACGTAATTTACCCTCCATTTCTATTTTCCATCCAAGGCTCTCGCTCTAGATTAAGACATTGTCTGCTTTAGAAAACACAACCTACTTCGTTTTTCAACAATGAACAATATTGTTTCAAGAGAATATGTTCTAGTCGGCGATTTGAAATAGTCTATTCGTTTAGTCCAGGGCTCACCGAGTCTACCATCATGTCCCCGATTTGTTTTCCATCCGAGTGAACGAAACAATGCTTCCTCGGCCAAACTTGAGCTTTACGCTCCCTAGTATACACGATAACACCAAGCTCGACTGTCGCATATATCATCCGAAATCCTTGGATGGACCGCTTGGTCCTTCTGATGAATCATGGCGTCGGCATGCTGCTGTTGTCGCGCATCCTTATGCCCCTCTAGGAGGGAGTTATGATGATCCTATTGTACAGCTTGTAGCTAGCACGCTTGTTCATCTTGGCTTTGTGGTTGCGACGTTTAACTTTAGGCAAGTGTTCGCTTTCTGTATTTAGTATAATATGTATGTATGGTCCTAATGCTAATGATGATACGATAGAGGCGCCTCATCATCCGGTAGTCATACTTCATGGACCTCGAGGCCCGAACGCGCCGATTACATGTCCGTCGCCGGTTTCCTCATCCACTACGTACATTACTTACGCCCACACCATAACCCCCGCAGCGCCGAAGAGCCTCTTCCGACATTACTATTCGCTGGATATTCGTACGGTGCTATGGTGACGATGCAACTCCCCTCTCTCGACTCGTACATGCCACATTTTGCCTCCCCCGCCGCACATACTGCCTCAGCAGATATCCGCTTAAGGGCACAACATCTTGCCGAACAACAAGTCCTCATTTCTGCTACCCCCGCCTCGCCCAGGAGGTCGTTAGGTGTGCGTGTTGGTGGTGATGAAGATACATCGCTACAAAAGGATCACAGAAAACAAAGATCACGTTCACCCGATAGAGAAGAAAGAATAAGGAAAGGTGTTAGGGATATATTGTCTCGAAGCAAATTGATCCGCAGAAGACATCACAAGGAACCCCCAAACGAATACGAGGTTGTGGAACACGAATGTCTGGATCATATCGATAACCTAGCAAAATTCCGCAGCGCCTACCTATTGGTGTCACCTCCGCTGGGCCTTGCTACCAACTTAGCAACTATGTCCTTTTCGAATCCCCTGTCAGGTTGGTCAAAAAGAGGGAGGGGCGGGTCTTCGTCGAGTAAAGACGCTGGTGATACTACGAAACGCGAAGAAGCCGAGGCTGAGATGAAACTTACAGCAAATCCTACCCTTACTGTGTACGGCGATCGAGATGGGTTCTTGACTTTAAAGAAGATGCGTGATTGGACTACAGAGTTAGGGAGTACCGAGGGATCACTGTTCCACCACGTAGAAGTTCCGGGTGCCGGACATTTTTGGGTAGAGGAAGATGTTATATACGAACTTAGAGAAGCAGTTCTGTCTTTTGCAAAGAGACTCATACAGACTTGACACTTGATGCTTAGCTAGATACATAACATGCGGAAAGGGATGATTATGTGATTCAATAAGATACCCTTATGATGATAGGATGAAGGAAATATAGACGCATCTAGACATGTGAAATCGACAACCCCATGACTTATTTATTGTGTACAAGTACCTACATTAGCGTATTATCACGAGTTATTTTGAATTTGAAGATGGCGGTAAGCGGAAGAGATACATGCGATGCCCTTCAAACCCCGCACTAATAACGACGACCTAATCCTCTTTCAAGCAGTTTTCCCCATACTGACAAGGGTCCCCCTCATGGCACCCCACATCTTCGCTTGACACATACATAGGATGACCCACCTGATCTCAGTAAATTACTGCTCACATGAGTGGATATCCCGCATAGTTTCCGCATTTCTGACGTCGTTTTCCCCCTTACAAGTCCGGCCTGCCAGCTTGTCCTGTTAAAAATTACAACAATCAACCTTAATCACCTACATACATGTATCCTTCCTAACCCAAGTTTACCTGACTAACATTGGATACATACAATCCGACAATCCAACCTCTCCTATTTTCGCCTCCCTTTCTTTTCTTTTCTTTTTTCCCTACGTGCCTACGTGTAGGTACAATTCCCTACTTATATAATAAGGCCTAAGTCGAATAAGATAGAAGGCTATTCACTTTCCCTATACTCTCTATACGGACACATTTTAATATTCGGTTCTGGCCATGTAATAATAATTCTCGGTTTAAATCTTCCTATATATACGCTACGGCGCACAAGTCGAACTCCGGGGAGTAAGTCCGAAAATTCGACGGAATTCCGTGTTACAGTACCGATCGTTTCCGATTCGACGATCCTCGTGAGCGCACATATATACAGGGTCAAGCTAGGATGCCATGTCCCTCTTATAGCCACGTTGAAGCGATACCGCCTTCTCTCGAATCTACACCATGACGCATACCGTAGACCTTCTCCCATCCGTTCCCTCGCTTCAATCCTCCAACGTTAAAACCCTATCGAAGGGTAAGCGACAACCGAACGTAGACCCCGTCTCCAGAGTTCTCGACGGACTCCTATACCTCAAAGATGGCCTTACACATAAAGAGAGGGCGGATAAAAGGAGGTTAGAGGAGCGAAAACAAATTCTGTCCGCGCGGTTACAGAGTGCCGAATCTTATACGGAGTGGGATGCAGCAGCGCATGAATTGGATATACTTGAGGGTAATGAGGAATGGAAGGCCGATACTTCGACAGGAGACTACAATCCTGACCTTCTAGAAATGCGCCTACGAGAACTCGATGATGCCCGTACGAATTGTGATATGCAAGCTATGATGCATCTCGTCAGAACAGCTTTGTCGCGTGACCTGGGTGGCATGGGCAATATTGATCTCTACCGACACTCTTACTGCGGTACTAAGAAGTTGATCGAGCGTTATGTGGATTCTACATTACAAACTATTACGGCTCTAGTTGAACAGAGCGCGCATCACTTTCCGGATGACTTGGGTCCGAAGGATTTGTTGGATGCGATGCTTTATGCTCGCCAGAGCTTTGGCCGAAGCGCTCTTTTACTGAGCGGTGGTGGTACCTTCGGCATGACACATATCGGTGTTCTGAAGGCTATGTTTGAGGCCAAGTTGCTTCCGCGTATTATCTCGGGTGCTTCAGCCGGTTCGATCGTTTGTTCTGTTGTTTGCTCGAGGACAGACGACGAAATTCCCCAGTTAATGGAAGAGTTTCCACATGGTGATCTAGCTGTGTTCGAAGAGGAGGGCAACGAAGACGGCATTCTAAATCATCTGCGGAGATTACTCACTGAGGGTAATTGGTCAGATATCAAACACTTAACTCGCGTGATGCGCGATTTGCTTGGTGATATTACGTTCCAAGAAGCATATAACCGGACCAGAAGGATATGCAACATTTGTGTTTCCTCGGCATCTATATACGAACTACCTCGGTTGTTGAACTACGTTACAGCGCCCAACGTCATGATATGGTCCGCTGTCGCAGCATCATGTTCAGTCCCATTGGTTTTCAGCGCTGCGCCGCTATTAGTCAAGAATCCTGTAACAGGCGAGCACAGTACTTGGAATCCTACTCCGCAAATGTGGATTGATGGTTCCGTCGATAATGATCTCCCGATGACGAGGCTTGCCGAAATGTTCAACGTCAATCATTTCATCGTTTCACAAGTTAATCCTCATGTTGTTCCTTTTCTCGCCAAGGATGATGCACCATGTCCACCTGCCAGCGCACGCCACGAGTTTGTCTACAAGGAGGAATCAGATTGGTTGCGTACTATTACGTCCTTAGCAAAAAGCGAGGCTTTACACAGGATGCAATTTATGGCTGAGATTGGTATCTTCCCGACGCTTGTCAGCAAATTACGGTCAATCCTAAGCCAGAAATACTCCGGCGATATCAATATTCTTCCAGCTATGGGAGTCTGGGATTTACCAAAGGTGCTGAAAAATCCAACAACAGAATTTATGTTGCGATCATGTCTATTAGGCGAGCGCGCAACTTGGCCGAAATTATCTCGCATACGCGATCGTTGCGCTATTGAATTAGCGCTTGACCGTGCTGTCCATGCTTTGCGAGCCCGTGTTGTATTTAGTAAGAGCCAAGTCGATTTACGAAGGATGGCAACAAGTTCGCTTGCGAGAACAATTAGAGATGGTCATGAAGCAGCAGCGCTAAATTTAGCCCACACGATATCCCCTTCAACGAGGGATAAGTTAAAACATCGTCACCGACGGTCGAGTGGAAGCAATCTGCTTAATCCACACCATCACAGCTTGATCAATGACAACCCTTATAAAATAACGGACGACGATACAGATGAAGAGGAACGCCTTGAGATGACGATGCGACATCCTCGTGCTAAACCAAAGATCAAACTCAAGAAATTTTCAAGAGGTCATATATTACAAACAGGGCCTAAAACCAGTCCTGTTGTGTCTTCCACGGAACCAGACTCATTTGATTTTTCTCAGCCAATAACTCCCACCGGCAATAGAAATTCCAATGGATCGACTCCGAAGAAATCCGCGCTTTCGACGATATTCACCGCGCATCTGGACAATAATATTGCTGAGACGGCTTCTATGACTTCGCCGCAAGAAAATTCTCAGCAGGATGTTGAGCTTGAAACTAGCGACTTGCATACTTCGGATGCCGATATTGAAAGCCATACAGACGAGGATGCGATACGGTCGATGCATAGGCCACTCAGCTCACGTAGTAACATTCCAACGGCGAATTATGGTTAAGTCCAACCGATAGAAAGTCGGACGCCTCAATCAAGTTTACCTGCGGCATAGAAATACAAGACAGAGTGGTCCTCAGCATGGTGTAAGACCTCGGTTTGGAACCGCATAGGAGCATCAAGTCCCCAGTAGATAGAGGGGCCCATTCTAAACAATAGAAGCTAGGGAACATGATATAAAGCAAGCATAGCTGATAGCAGGAGTCGGTCACACAACATTCATACAGAGGACATAGCAACACTTGTTTAAGTAGGTGGTGAGCTCGAGACAAGTGTTGACGCATTAGACCATTCATCATTGCATTAGACAAGTGCATGGGGAAGGAATTAAATGTACATATATCATACCATATTATATATAAATTTATTCTTATATATCAGCCATCAACATTCTCATACAGCAGTCTATCATTATTCATTAAGTCCACCAATACCCCAATAACCCGACCCTAGTCATTTATCTACGTTATAGTATGGTGTAATATACAGACTACACAATAATTCATAGACCCATCCGAATTCACTCTCTCATCCATTCTATAAAAAATCTAGTGATACCGCGATTTCAATTGTACCGTTTTAGAACTCATCGTCAAGACCCGGTGGTCGACCAGATGCGCCATACATATCCTCCGTGCCCGTAAATCCCATCCAGGGATTAAATATAAGGCCCGCGTCCTCCTGTCCTGCGTCTAGCGAAAAACCCGCCGTCGGTATTTGTCCATTTGCGGAGTTTGTTTGTCCCCCGACACCCCATCCTTGGTTTTTGGGTATATTGCTGGTGTTATTAGATATGGGGTTAGTGGGTTCGGGTATGCTAACGGCCTGGGAGTTGGTAGGAGGAGGTGGTGGTGGTCCGGCGATCTCGTTGCTGTCGTCGACGAAATCGGATTGGAGGAGCAGACTTTGGACTGAGAGGCGTTGGCGTGAACTTGCGTATTGAGAGACTTTGGTTGAGGGACGGGCTGAGGGGGGTGGGTCGGGTTCCGAGAGGGTTTCTTGGGTTTGGAGGGCTAGACGCACGGAGTAGCTTGCTATTAGGCGTTCGAGATCTTTGCGCTATAAGGGGTTAGTTTTCACGATTACATAGATTAGGAGGGGTGGGGGTATGGCGTACTAGGGGTTGTGTTGATGCAGAGTAAGGGAAGAATCGAGTTATTAGGTTAAGCGATAATTTAGCCTTGTTTATGGCGACGTCGAGGGTAGATGTCGCGCCGGGGATACGAGAGCCGAACATGACTAGACGCGCGCTTTCAAATGCGCAGACGGCGGCGTCGCGTTCGAGGAAACATGCGCTGTCCCCGTGGTTTGAGAAATCGGAAATTATTCGGATTATGCTTTCTGCGTGTTCGAAACATTTAACTTGCATGGCGATCCGGTTCCGTAGGCGGATTGCTATGAGTACGGGGGAAGGGGCTGCTTCGCTGTATCCGTCGAGTCCGAGGCGGTATAAGTCGCAGTGACATTGGTGCCATGATGTGTGTAGCATTAGAAATTGTGCTTGCCATTGACAGGAGGTTAGGTTTAATACGGAATATTGGTCAGATGGGCGAAGTGCGGATTTGAGCGATTCGAGTTCCTCCTCGAAACGTTGGATGCTACTGCCGATTGTTGAGGATAACTCTTCGCCTAAGCCGACTCGTCGGTTGAATCTATTCGATATTATGTCAGCTCAGGTATAGGGTAGAGGGACTCTAAGAGAGAGTAGGAGCGCAGGTTTACCTCATAACCGCTCTTCGTACGGATGTTAGACGGAGGAAAATCCCGCGTAGACCAATATCCGTTACGTGTTCGGATGATCCGAGCCCGGGTCGGAGTAAGCCAGTATGGATGTGACGGCCTGCTTCGAAATGCTCCTCATCGCAAGGTAGCTGGAGATGAATGGTTTCCTCCGGACATAATTCAAACTCCCTAAGTCCGACACAGAAGAAATCGTCAAGCAGGTACAGCGCCCAGAATAATCGTCGGCGTGCTTCTTGTGCGACGTCGGATAACTCCGGTCGTTCGTAGTTTAGACGGAGGGCCAAGGCTGTTCGAGCAGCAAGCGCGGCTAACATGAATGCCGTAGGAAACTCGCCGCTTTCGATTCTATACCGGATTACGAGGAGCAATGCCTGTAGATGAAAGATGGACGCCCGTCCTATCTGCTGTAATATTGACTGTTCGGCTTGTTGCACCCATAAATCGTGGCATAGAGAGGTGCGCTGAAGCTGCAATGCTGTAATTGCACAGATTGCTAGCTTCAAGGTCTCATTCATCGTCTGGTCTCTGCATCTTTGAAGAACAGTCGCTTTATGAAGGAAAGAGAACGACGGGAGAGGATAAAGATGTTGGAAGTAATCCTCCATCAAACCCATCGTTGTTTCATAATCAAGCGCACTCCCTTCTGTCGCTCCTACCATGCCAATATCCTGACCAGGCGATGCCGTCCCAACCCGTTCCACGGATCTGTCGTCGGCGTTAGACCCTTCAGCGAAATCATGACCGCGAGCGGTGGATCCTTGTCTCTTAGTCCTAGGATAAGTGCAAACCCGATTTCTCCGAACACAGCTAGAACAGCTGGGTAACTCGCCGAGGCAACGTGTTTTCTTAGAATGACATGGAATGCAGGCTTGCATCCGACGACGCCGTTCTGGTAGCTTCACGACGTATTGACCAGGCGATTTACCGGGTGCTTGCTGGAATGAACATTCAAAGCCGAGCCGGTCGCAATTCTGACAGATATCTGGTCTTCCATCGCAGCGTACCTAATAAATTGAGATATATGTATGAGTTTATTTTACAGTATAAAAGTGAGATATGAGTAAAGATATGGCTCACCTTTCTTATCCTGCATTGTGAACAAATGGCACGCTTCTTCAACGGATCCAAGACAGATACAGGTTTGGATATTGGCCCGGGCTTGATCTGCGGGCTCTGCGGATCGTGAAGGTCACCAGAAACCTGCAGTGGCCTCAGAGGCCGTAGAGCCTCGGTCATTGGTGGCAATAATGCTACCGACGACCCAAGGGTACCTACATGCCACGTGACTTGAAAAGGGTGCGTAAAGCCACCGAGATGCGCAAAGGCGACGAAAGATCGCAAGTGTTAGGTAGGTAGGTACTAGGTAATCTCGCAGCTCATTGGACCACAACCCCCTAACAAGAAAACTCGCAGCCAACACGGCCGTCAGCTGAGACGGGGGTGTGTTGATTGATTCGATTCGTATAACGCTTCGATCTTCTGATGTCCGAATGTCTCTTGTCCGCGGGAGCCAAGAGGTTGGGAAAGAGTAGATAGATCCAATCATCAACAGGTCAGACCGACAAAGCCGAGAACCGTGAGCGAGACGCAATGTCTTCCACTTGGCTGCAACCACACGGCGGAACTAGTAGGCGGGGAGGAATTCTATCTAATTAAATAAAATCACGGATGACAGGGTCCCTGTAGTTCCCTGTAGTAGTTCCAGGTAGTTCCCTGGTACGCCCTGCGGGGTGAAAGAAGAGGAATATCTAGGTAGTTTTGCGGGGTGTCCAATGAGAAATGTTGGTTACGTGGAAGCTAAGAGGTACGATATGTAACTAAGGTCAGGCTGTCTCCATCTACGGAGTAATAGGTGACAAGTATAGTCTAATCTAAGTTAGATTTTCTAGAGTATTATACATGATGCAGAGAAGAAAGTTGACCCAATCCTTCGGGACCTTCAAGAGGAAACGTACCCTTAAAATATGGCAAGTGACGGCATAGCATGGCATGTATGGTGTATTCTTCCCCCTTTTTTTACCTTGCTTCTTCAATCAACTGTATTATATGTGCTACGTAACCGGAAAGCCACCTGAGCTTTCTTCTAGGTACGAACAGCATTGTAGGATCATGCTATTTTGTAGGTAATAATATCTCGCGTCACGCCAAGCGAAGAAATTGGGACATGCTATTGGTCAAATACACAGGGATTCGAGCTCGCAATTCTTAGCGCATATGACACCAACAAGAACGGGAATTAAATCCCTACGATAGCTTCTGAACCATCCTTAACTAACCACTGCAAGTCAATAGCTTAGCGAGTTCGAATCATCTTGTTTCGGTATCCTAATTGTGTCTGTTGTATCCATGTAGAGGGATCCAGGCCTCCCTTGTACATCTGTCATATTACCCGATATGGCACAGTTCTTTATGTGATTTACTAGCGGCGGCCATACTCAATTAGTGCTAATAGCTGTTGAACACTAGCTATTCTATAAACGACGTTAGAAAAAAACATATGGATATAGACCGACGACTTACGAATAAGTACGTACATATATAACTAACTTATATATGTATATATATGCCAAGGTATCATATGGATGATGGCAATTGTTTGGTTTTTATGCTATCGCCTTTTCTGTCAGCTCCGTCATAGCTCATTTGTTCCGGTTACGATCGCCGAAGCTGAGAGTTGAGGTCGCATCGATATTAGACGACGCAACTTCGAAACTTCTTAGGAAGTAAACCCAGGCCTTTGCATTTTGAAACAACTATAAGCCAAGCCATGGGTGGAACATTAGGTGCCTTTAGGGCCTGGTATCTGGTCGCCCTCTGCTGTACGGGTAGTTTCTTATTCGCGTAAGTTGATTCTAACCACTCATCGAGGAATCTTTCGTGATACTCTTGATTGAAGTTGCACACATACATTTGCGGGTCCCATCTGTCAAATCAAGGCACTCAGCTTCACTCATCTTTTCCCATGGCTTTTCTTCCGTATCTAGGTAAATAGTTCCTCACTCTTGGTCTTTAGGTATGACACAGGTGTCGTCGGAGGCGTTTTATCGCTACAGTCCTTCCAAAATGATTTCCGTATCACCAAGTCGAATCAAACAAATGTCAGTTCCAACGCAACAAGTCTTCTCCAGGCCGGAGGTAAGTCAAAATCCACCCGCACTTCGTCAATGAGGTTGAAGGCTAAGGCAGCTGTTAATGAATTCATTAGCTTTCTTCTCTTGTTTCTTCGTCTGGCCTTTTACGGCCAAGTTTGGTCGTCGATGGTCGATCGCGTTAGCTTCGCTCATCTTCAATATCGGAGGTATCATTCAAGTCATCAATACGCACTCGCTGGCCGCCTTTTATGTCGCCCGTGTCATTTCTGGTGTTGGAGTAGGAATGGCTACCGTTATAATTCCAAGTAAGTTGCGCAGAGCTCTTCATATATCTCATCTATGCGTCTACGCGTCTCGTTCCCAAATGGCAGTCTCTAGCCAAGTATGCGAAAGAATGGTTATTAACTCGAGATAACTGTAGTGTATAGCGCGGAGATGGCGCCGAAAGAGATTAGGGGTCAATTAGGAAGCATGTTCCAATTCTTCTTCACACTGGGTGTAATGACGTCGTACTGGATTGACTATGCCGTATCGCTACACTTGGGCCCGACAACCCAACAATGGCAGATTCCCATCGGTCTTCAGGTCAGTAGCTGCATTTTTCTCTTAAGTTTCCTTTACCCCTTGCGCGCCCGACAAATCTCTTAGACGTTTTAATTGGAATACTAACTCGAAAGGTGCGAATAGCTCGTTCCCGGCGGCATACTAGGGTTAGGAATGTTACTCACGAAAGAGAGCACTCGATGGCTTGCCAAAAAGGGTAGATTGGAAGAGGCTATGGAATCACTCGTTTGGGTTCGTGGCGGGGACAGCGTCCAAGTAAAAGAAGAGTATGAAGCTCCACCTCTAGAGTATATCCGATTGGTATCTAACCGCCGGTCGCAGATTCGCGGAGATTATCGCAGGCATTCAAGAGGAAGAACGTGTTACTGAAGGCCTCACATGGAAAGAATACACCCTTCCAGTCAATCGCTTCCGTTTCCTCGTCGTTATCACGCTTCAGATAGGTATGGCCAGATTGCCCGGATCATCAATCTGACTATCGCTTACATTGTTCGCAGGTGTACAATTGACTGGAAACACCAGTTTGGCCTACTGTAAGTTGGTCCGCAGCGATTCAAAATTGTTCCGACAAGACTAACTCCCTCAGATGCTCCTCAAATCTTCAAAGCCGTCGGAGCTGGCGATCAGAGTCTCTTGATCAGCGGATTCTTCGGTGTCGTCAAGGTCGTTTCGTGCTTATTCTTCTTACTATTCCTTGTTGAGAGGATCGGTCGTCGCGGCTCTCTCTTCGGTGGGGCGTTCCTTATGGGTGCTTATATGCTTATCATAGCTTGCTTAACAGCTACTCATCCACCGGTCGCCGGTCAATCTCTGACAAGCACCGGTGCTGCAGCTGTAGCGATGGTTTATCTCGAAGCTAGTAAGTCTCTTTTGATCGGTATTATAACAAGTATCGGAACTACTACTAATATTTTCCGATTAGTGAGTTATAACATCTCGTGGGGACCTGTGCCTTGGGTAAGTAATGTCGTCGAACGGCCTTTGATCCTCTGTGGACATGGTTTAACCAATGGGCCCTTTAGTTATACATGAGTGAAATCTTCCCGTCCAGAATACGTGAAGCAGGCGTTGCAGGTAATGATCTCCCGTCCCCTTACGGACTTGTCAAGTCTAACTTCTATCAGTTGGAACGGCCACTCAATGGTTATTCAACTTTGTATTCTCCCAAATCACCCCACATGCCATAAATAATATCGGCTGGAGAACGTTCTTGATGTTTTGCATATTCAATTGGTCTTTGGTTATATATGCGTGGTTCGTTATTAAGGAGGTAAGTTATCGCGGACGGATCGACTTCTGGTTATTGCGCATACTAATGAGGCATAAAGACCAAGGGCAAGTCTCTAGAAGAAATGGAATCTCGTAAGCGGCTCAATATCGATTTTATCGTTACTGTTACTGACTTATGGTGCTTGCAGTATTTGGTTCTAGCGAGACTGCTATCGATGTCGAGAAAATCCACGAACAAGTACGAAATGATACGGCTCATACAGTAGACGAAAAGCACTAAAATATGAAGTACGGACTTATAATTGCTATGTATATATAGGTACACAGCGGAAAGCGTACCCGGGACGATCCTACACAGTAGGTACCTACTCATCCGATGCGCCATTACCATAGCCGGCAACTTTGGGTACTGGATGTGTGACCGGGATAAACCAATCAAGATGGCAATCTACCATTAATATAAGGTTACACATTATTAATGAAGTAATCGAGCTACTGCGAGGACATCCATGTACTACCCACAGCAGGAGATTATAAGATCAGATCTCAGTTGGTGGGTCAACCGGCAGGAAGTCTCGTTTTATAAGTGTGTCTCGGAGTATACTGTGTCCTCCACATAATTTAAATTTGATCATTCTTCTACACGATAAAAATATAGATGAGGAATACCTAGGTACCTATGTTCTACATCTGACTGAAGCATATCGTAATAATAACGGTTTTAAAACGCTCTCACGTCGCGATAGCAACCACCAGCTAGAATTCCTGCACTGAGTGACGTAACTAGTATCTCATCGTTATCTTTGATAAATTGTATATTCATTCAGATATATGATTTTGGCTTGGTAACGTGGGTTTGGTAAAGATTAGGCCTCTATGGGGTTACTATGAGTATTCCATGATTAAACCGCAGCTAGCCTTTAGCGACTAACGAAACCCTCCTATCTCCATGACGTCCCTTACGTGTAATAGATGAAATCAAGACAAGAATTTTTCATTTAAGATAAATTCATCTAACTTGGCGGGAATAGGCATGTCTCCAATGCCACTTACACAAGTGGCGCGGCGTGGCGCGGCGCGGGATTTTCGGTGTACATTTGATGCAGGCTGGGCTCGATAATTAATACAATATGAGATATATATATCGAATCAAGTTTACACCGTCGACTTGTCATATATTATGCCTGGAAGCCTATTATCATACGAATTGGTAGCCGAATTATGATCTATCTTTTAAGATAGCAGAAGCGCTTAAGTGAAGAAGACGGGATTATCCGTTTGTCAAGATCCAAACACGGACCTCCAAGGCTATCTAAGGTGGTCTCGCGGGCAACCCGGATGCATAGATCGCCGTAAATATCGACGTATCAGTCCGATGTCTTGCCTTAGCGCTGAAAAGGTGTGCGAATAATCCCGGTCATAACACCGTTCAAGTATGCCTTGCCTAGACATGGAACACGGGGAACACCCTTTACTTACAGATGATCACCCAGTCCCAGTTCCGGTAGATACCTAGATAGATAGAATAAACATGGCGTGCGCGGGGTGCTTTTGTTACCATGCGAAAAAGTAGTTGTTCCGCCAATGAATACATAGCAAGTAGATAATTATCGCACCACTGATAGTCGGACCGAATGTTGGCCCTGCATTTCGGTCAAGAAACGAAACAGATATCTTGGTAGCTGGGTATCTAGAGGTAGATTATTCAATTTCGACCCCGCCTACACCAAATTCCAAGCAGCTTCCTAGGAAGGAGATCGTGGAGTATTTTAATAATAATAAGTAGGGAAATATCAGATCGACATGATTAAGTAATTCAAGTCGCATAGAAAACGCATATCACTTACCCGTCGGAGAAAAAGAATCAATATGCCCACATGGCAAACTGGGCTCTGTTTCTACTCCGCCTTGTAAATCATTCCTTACTATGTTCTTGGACCTTACTATTCCACGAGAATAACAGCTTGGCGGCTCGGTAGGTAAAGCTTGTTTCGACGTCGATATCCTAAACATGTTTAACATTCCCCAGATGTTCCCCTTTTGTTGCTGCAGACCAAGCCCACGTTGTCACGTCTTGGTGTTGAACTTCTCCAAATCCGGTTGAGCCCGGATTCCCTCTTCTTCCTTATCTTTCCTGCGCCAAAACGTCCCGTGCGATTGGACTAGGGCCCTTGCTGCCCTCCACATACACCCTCCTTGCCTTATCACGAGTTGTCGCTCGACTATTCCCCCAATAACCCCCAAACCCCAAGAATCTTCTCTGTTGGTCATACTTCCCGTCTATACACCCATTCAATAACCTACATGGACATCTCATCAAGATGTCTGAGGAGCCGGCTGGGCAATGCTACCTTCCTCTATGGCCAAGGCTTACGTATCTCGCTTTAGCCAATGATCGTCGCGACAACTGACCTTGGCACGTTCCTGGGGTCGACCAACGTCGCTTTTTTGGCCCGCCGCCAGCCTTTGCTCGGAGTTGCATTGCTCATCCGGTTTAGCCTTGCCTGACAGGTTCACTGCCGAAATACGCTGGTATGGCCGGTTTAAACGTACCTAGACAGAGCCCACCAGTCCGTATCTCTCTATGAGACCTGGTCGGTCATGCAACGTACGCATACGTTCCTAGAGGAAAACGGAAGCTTGATTGCCCACTAGGTTAAACTGGGCAGATGATGCATTTCTTCTTGCATATCTCGACAGTCCCTTGGCAGCTGAGGCGGATTTCTTAAATACATCAGGAAGGTGCCTTTGCATTCTCATGTCACGACGACCATCTAGAACGCATCACATTCGATAAATGTTGGCGTAGTGGTGCTTTAAGGGAACTTCCATCGATTTGTCATTGACGATTAGGCCTCAACTTCGTATAGCCTGTCTCTCGTACCTGATATTCACAAGCTCATGCTAAGACTATATAATAAGGCTTGATATCCTCGCATTTCGATCACGTCTTCGAACACACCACTCCAACTCAAGCCACTCCAGAGAAGCCATCTGTCTCTACATTCCTCGTCCTGTTAAACACATAGTTTTACTCTTGATCCCTTCACTCGATTCAAGATGCAGATCCCCGTCGTCGCTGCTCTCTTGTGCGCCAACCTGGCCCTCGCTGCGCCAGGTACCGCTATGCGCCGTCAGAGACATGCTGAGAAAATTGCTGAGAGGAGAGTCGCTCGTACCGGAAACACCCTCCAGCCTGCTGAGGGCGACTTCAACATTGCCAGCACGAACGGCAGTGCTCACGTCGAGTACAGCTCTAACTGGGCTGGTGCTGTCCTTATTGGCACTGGCTACAAGACCGTCACCGGTAGCATCGTCGTTCCCACTCCCAAGGTCCCATCGGGTGGCAGCAGCTCTACAGAGTATTCCGCTTCCGCTTGGGTTGGTATCGACGGTGACACTTGTGAGACTGCTATCCTGCAGACTGGTGTCGACTTTACCATCCAGGGATCAAGTGTATCTTTTGATGCCTGGTGAGTGGCAATCCGACTACCCCTAAACCTAACCCTAAGCTAACTTAAAACCTCAGGTATGAGTGGTACCCCGACTACGCCTACGACTTTTCTGGCATCGATATCTCAGCTGGAGACACCGTCACCTTCGTACGTCTCGAAACTCCCTACTGTTAATCCCGTGACACTAACGAATAGATAGACTGTTACTGCCAGTAGCACTGCGGCCGGCACGGCTGTGATTGAGAACGAAACTACTGGACAGAAGGTCACTCACAGTTTCTCCGGGGAATCTGACAAGCTATGCCAGACTAACGCCGAGTGGATCGTAGAGGACTACTCCAGCGGTGGTAGCCTGGTTAGCTTCGCTGACTTCGGAACCGTGCAATTTACCGGCGCTTCCGTTAACGGCGGTACTGGTGTTAGCGGCGCTACCATCATCGACATTCAACAGAGCAGCAAGGTCTTGACGGACTGCTCGACCTCTGGATCTAGCACTGTTGTCTGCTCGTACACTGGTTAAGCTTAAGTGGGGACTTGGAGACTTGCCATTGTGGCTTCGAGAGACCTGGGCATCCTAATTCCACAATAAAATGCCCAGTTATCAATTATATAGCTTAGTTTAGGTACCTAAGTACTTATATTCGAACGTAATGTTTCAATATTGAACATCTAGCGACTACTTGAGTCATCAACCGCGACGCCAACTGAAACCCCGCGTAACCGCTTAGCACAATGAGGCTTATTATTGAACAACAAGTACAATCTCAACCTTTATATAAGCTTGATTTAAGCAGTATATACGGTCATGGCCCATTAAAATATCTTACTGTTTTGGGAATACCCCATTTTCCTATTGGATGCTTCGTAACCTAGTGGTAACTTTATCCAGATAGGTGGCCAATCAAACACTATATCAAAGCTAAAATCAAGTTCATCCAAAGTTAAATAATGCCGAGTGTACCTAAGCAGTATCACGAGTCTCTAGCTTTGTTGATTACTACGGGCCTGAGCCGTAAAATGGCAATTTTTACACCTGTCGGGAAGACCGTGCTGTGGACTTATGAGGAGCAATAGTCAAATTGACAGCAATCTTCTCAATTAATAGATTCCTCTGATACACATTGTGATCCAGACTCCAAATATGATATTCTATTCCACAATCCCTCACCTTCATCTGTTGGTCATTCAATTCGTATCGACATTCCGAACGCCTAGTCAATTTGTAGCTCCCGCGGTGCTATATGCACTTTTAATCCTGTAAGGAATACAATAGAACTGCATAGCATTAGTAAGTCTGACGCCCCTCATAAGGATCCCCGCGTTTGAAAACTTACCCGTAATTCTCCCCCAACTCCGTTACATCATCAGCTAATTTCATGTTGAAACACATGAGAAGAGTCGGGACAAGCTAAAATGGGTCAGTCGCTAAGTGGCAAACTAATGTCCAACAAAACATACCTTGTTAACCTCTAGCATGCTGATATCTAGCGAGAAATTGGCATTGGTTTTGTTGAAAGGCGGGATGTACTTACTTCTGCCCAGGCATACACGGGATCCTCCGCCGAAGACGAAGAAATATCGTTCTATTAACACGCACGGTTAGTAATTGGTTTCATATCATATTTTTAACATGAACGGGACCTACTCAGATTGCCTTCATTCTCCTTATCCAGCCACCTCTCTGGACGGAACTCATCGACATCTGGGCCCCAAATATCTGCTGAGCGATGTATGACCCAAGGACTCGATCCGACCACGGTCTAAGAAATTAGTATTCGTCGCAAGACGTCACTTCAAGAATGGGTCCTTACCCCAGCCGGTACAAAATGTCCATCAATTGTCATGCCACCCTCTGGCACATCTCGATCAAGGATATCACCGGTTGATGGGTATAGACGCATTGCTTCGTGGATGACGGCCTGAAGATACGGACTCGATTCCCCCTCCTTGAAGGTGGCGGGGTAGCTCAACGCACCCTTTCGTCGCATGTCATCTAGTTCGTCCACAAGGCGTTTATAGGCGGCAGGATGCTTCAATAGCATATAGAATATCGATCTCAATGACGTCGAGGTGGTATCAGATCCGGCAAAGACGTTACTAGTCATCATAAAGGATATGTTGATATCGTTAAGCTCAGGCTTCACCTTCTGTACCGAGAGAAGCTGGCTCGCAATATCCTTATAGTCACCGCCTCGCTCTACACGAGCCTTGATCTCTCGGCGGGCGAACTCGAAGAAATATGTGTTTCGATCATTGCTAGCCAACCAATTCCCAATTATTGGCATGAGTTTTTGGTGCGCATGAAATATAAAAGATGCATGTCTAGCCCATCCAATGGACTTCATAGCATTCTGGATTTTGAGGAATATCCCGCCGTCGTCTCCGGTCTCAATGTATCCAAATGGCCGTGAGAAACTTACGGCTCCAACAACATCTGAAGGTAAATATGTCAGCACTAGTTAATTTCATGAACCAGGGTCCTCGGTAGTAATTACCGAAGGCAAAAAGTTGCATCCAACTCCCCAAGTCAATCGGTTGGGATTTCAACCCCCTTAGTCGGTCTACCAGCTCCTTAATAACCGCATCGACATGAGGTTCAAGGTAAACCATGGAATCCATAGCATAAGCACGAGCTACTAGTCTACGCTGTTCCGAATGAATCTTTTCATTTCTCTCGCCTGCAAGGTCAAATGGTCGTTTGCCTTGGATCACACCGTATGATTTGGCCTTGTAAAATCGGTTCCCCGCCTCTGTAACGAGAATTAGTCAGACATCAGATGTAGCAAGAAGGCTGGAGTGTGAGTTGTACTATAAATTTGTTGAAATGCTGCAGCTTCTTCAACGCTCCTGTCAATAGCTCGTCAGCCGATTTTCGTTAAAAATCCTTAACATCATCAAATTGACTTACAAGACGTTTCGACCAATGCGAACAACTTTGCCATATTTCCTATGAAGAGCTATTAGGTCGCGATGGAGAGTCCCTTGATTTGCGAGGTGGGCATGATAGAGACCAGTGAGCTTGGCAATAAAAGGCCCTGGGATCCCGGCTAGAGGCGAAAAGAAGCATTGGTAGATAATATAGGCCCCTGTGATTATGGCTACGAAGCCAATAACGACGGGGGGAGTTGGGAGAAGCCGATCTTCTAGCATATTTCCTTTGATCTATTCCGAAGGTCAATGGCGACGATGGAGAAGTTTGTAGCAGTTGGGAACTCACTCATATTTATATCGGATATGTGCCGAGGCGAAGTTTTTACCACCCTTCCAACCAACACGTAAGTAGGGTATCAACCCATGAAGTAATGGTTCGAATAGCGGGGAACTTGGCGACACCGAGCGCTGGAACTCCATATCCAACGTACGCACCCAGCAATGATTCAGCGATTGCAAGAAACCGGGTCCCACATATAGATAAATCCTTCAGCGTTGAAGCCATTTTAAATCAAGCAGCTATTTGCCATTCAAAATCGAACTAAACTATTACAGCTGTTAGTAGTTGAGATCAGGAACAGATCCATGCCAAACAAATAATAATATTTCGTACCTTATTTAGAGATAATATTAGACAGATACCATTCTAGAATCTGTATAAGTTAGAACACAACATTCCAAACTCTTAGGCGTTGTACGAATTACGCTACTCGTTTAAAATGAATGAATCAGCGCGTTGCACCTATTACATACCTAGACAACTTGATTGGAAGAGGAAAAGACTATTTCCACCCTATTCGTCGTCGGAATACGATTGCCGGCCGGCATTTTATGTAGATAACCCCACATAGAAAAACCCAAGCAAATGCTGGTAACCTAAATGCAACCTCGTAGGAAAAATAGCGTCCATACTTCAAATCTGCGATGGTCGAGTGATCAACTTCTTATCTAATGAACCAATGATTCAGTTACTTATTCAGCGCGTTTTAAACGAAGGAAGCAATAAGAATGATAGATGGCGGCTGTGTATATTTATATATGTCGGTAAACATCACAGCTGCAAAAATTGGGTTGAAAAGTACTACCTACGTAAGCCGCTGACGAAATTGAATCATTGTACCGTGCTATTGTAGACAAAATACTATGTAAAAATACGGTGCGGTGGCGTTTCCTATCATGTCCGAGCTTCCGACTCCCCTCACCAAAGACCATATCAGCTCTATAACGCAGCTAGTATCATTGGAAACACTGCAAGACTCGGGTCGAAATTGTTACCCTGACGCGCCTGAAAATTGGTGTTCACGGGCACAGGGAGATGCCTTGGTGGTTCGATCGCTTCTTTTGGTAATTTATCGCCATAGAGCTTTCTCACAGCCCCCGGCTGGTGATATAGTGTAGGCCCAATGAACATCGAGTTTTGGCGACCGGCAACTTGAGATCTCCATTCAATATCGATTGGGGAGCCTTCCGGTCCAAAGTCCTGCCAGACGTATATCTTTAAATGTTTAGCAGTGAGCTGCACCGAGAAGTTAGTTGCGCAGTGAACGCAAGCGCCACTTCGTTCTCGTATGTCTTTCTCGGGCTTGAGCACCTTTTCAACAGCGGCCTCGAGGGAGCACGGGTATTCCCACTGCTGCGAACTTGTGAAGCAATTCATCTCGAGATGCGGGCAGATAATTTGGTAACCAATGTCGCGAAGTGATATATCTTTGCAGCTCCTATCATAAAACCAGGCAGACAACAGTAAGAATCTGAATTTGCCATCATTGCCCCTGGGGGCAGAAGGAAGCATGGCTAATGGAGGTCAGCGTGTCGTAGTCCTTGATGCGATGAAGAGCCATGCATTTCTCGCACGCCCATTGCTCTGGTAAAGCCCTGGCCCGGCCGATTAGGTATTCCAAGTATTCCGCATGAGAAAGATGCGAGATACCTGCTTGTCTTTTGAGGGTAGCGCGTGTCGAACTACATGCCTGGGAAAATAGCTCGATATCTGCAGGGGAAAGGGACTCTGCTATGAGGCAGATCACCTTCGGAGGCAAGCGCAGAAGTGGACTACCTTTGATTTGTTTCCCACGGAGACATTTCCTTAGTAAGCTAAGCATCGTGGATGTGTGGCGCGGTTTGAAATCTTAGGTAGGTAGGTAGATGCTTTATTGGTACTTTGTCGAAGGATGGTGGGTGTGTTTAATGTGTAGGTAGATGATGGATGAGACTTTGGTTAAGGTATGTTGTCGAATGAAAGTAGAGAAGAGGTGATTTATTAGTGACTTTTCGAAAAATGTGTCTTTGGATTAGCGCTTTAGTTTTACTGTGGAAGAGAGTTGGACTTTTATATGTTTTGCGAAGAATTATGCCTGAACTGAGTTTTACGCTCAGACTGAGTGTATACTTAAGTTTAATGGGATGCCTCTACCCTCGGGAACCTCATATAGTGGAAAGGTAAATACCCGTAGAAGGGACGCTATGGAGCCGTAGCTCGAACATTAATAGCCCATTAACTATACCGACATGTGTTGACGGCATCATCATGTTGCCTCCTATACCTGCCTATATGGTATAGTCACCTCTTCCTTCTAGAACATATATGCTTATGGAAGCAAACAGCGCTAATTAGATTACCTAGTTGTTGCTTCGGTTGCCTGCTGACTCTATTCTCCTTCTTCGCCACCCTTTTGGGAGCGCCTCTTCTGGTTCCTGTCTCGCATGTAGTGTCTTCAGGATCCCTGCCTCCTGAGGGATTCTCGAAGATGGTTGCTTGCTTAAGGTGGATTACTTCGCCGAGCTGCTAGATGTCGAGTTTTCTCGGGTCTTCTTTAACTTTGGGATAACCGCCTGAGTAGGCGCGGACGAAGCACGAGCGTTCAGAACATGGGCAATCTGAGGAGTGGTAGTCTTCGAGGTGTCAACCTTTCTGACAGTCCTTCTTCTTCTTTACCCCTTTCCTTCCTTCTCACTTTAATCCAAATTACTTAGGTAGGTAATACGTTAACAGTATCGAACCCTAGTAGGTATCATATAGTACAGTGTTTCAGCCACTGTCTAAATATTCAAGAACTTAGGCTTACTAGAGCCATTCGTCCTTAATACAGCAACGAGACCTCTCCTCCAAATTATACATCCCCATCACTTATCATCCTTTAAATCGAAGCTTCATAACCAATTAATTAGTGCTTATTGGCATCGTATACCTAGCCTATAGGCCATACCTATATGTCATGTGACAACTGTGCCGTACGCTTTAAAAAGCTCCTTTCCTTTTCAAACCAACAACGAATTTGCATATCCTTACCTTCATTTACTTACCTCTACATATACACATACATCAAGAATGGCTTTGCAGAGATCATTAACCCGGGCTTCACTCGGCGCGAGAGTGATTCAAAGGCCAATTCGGTCTCGTTTGGCTCCTTTAGTACTTACCTACCGGCCCCATTTAAGGCGGTCTCTTAAATCCGATATCTCCATCTCAACGAATCAACAGACTTCTTTTTCATCGTCTTCTTCTTCTTCTTCCTCTTCCTCTTCCTCTTCCTCTTCCTCTTCTTTCTCTTCCCCTTCTTCTTCTTCTTCTTCTCCTTACAGTAATACCAGCTTAGGAAAACCTCAAACTGGTAGCTCTGGACCGTAAGAAAATGATAATCTTGGCGGTTTGCGGAGTTAACCTTCGAATAGATACACAACCGCATTTGCCTTATTCGAAGCACTCTGGGAAGCCGGTATAACAGCATGTTTCGTAAACGTCGGGTCCGACCACCCGTCGATTATAGAAGCCATCGTGAAAGGCAAGAGAGAACGGCTAGACACATGGCCGAGGATCATCACTTGCCCCTCAGAAATCACGGCAATCTCCATGGCCGACGGCTACGCCCGAGTAACGGGGAAGCCGCAAGCCGTCCTAGTCCATGTAGATGTAGGAACGCAGGCTCTGGGACAGGGTATTCACAACGCAAGCGTCGGCCGCGCTCCGGTGTTTATCTTCGCCGGTTTATGCCCGTACACGGAGTCCGGAGAATTGACGGGCTCTCGCACGGAGTACATGCACTGGCTGCAAGAAGCGCCGGATCAAAAAGCCATTGTGCGACAATACTGCAGGTATACCGGTGAAGTGCACACCGGTCTGAATATTAAGCAGACCATTGGCCGCGCTCTTCAATTCGCCAGTAGCTCGCCTAAAGGCCCAACTTATGTTGCTAGTGCGCGAGAGGTCCTAGCCCAAGAAATCCAACCATATTCATTGGAGCAAGAGAAATGGGTGCCGATAGGACCAAGCGCACTCCCATCGGACGCCGTTCACGATATCGCTACGGCGCTCGTGCACGCTGAGCGTCCACTTATCATCACTGGATACTCCGGTCGCGACCGCCGAACACCGGAGCTTCTCGTAGCTCTCGCCGATCTAATCCCCGGTATCCGCGTCCACGATACCGGCGGCAGCGACATGTGCTTCCCCTTTTCTCACATCGCATCTGAGGGCTTTCGCCTCGGTGCCGACGATTGTACCAAAGACAGTGACGCGATCTTTTTGCTTGATTGCGACATTCCATGGATCCCATCCCGTAACCCACCTCCCAAAGACGCTAAGATATATCATGTAGACTGTGATCCTTTGAATCAACAGATTCCTGTTTCTTTCTTCCCTGCTCACGGGCGTTGGAAGGCGGAGAGCTTTACTGCACTTACGCAATTAGTTAACCATATCAAGAGTGACGCTTCGTTAACGGAGACACTTCGAGATCCGAAATATATAGCTCGCAGAGATGCACGCGCCGAAATCCATAAATCTCGTCTAGCTAATATCGCATCGCAGGTTCGTTTAGGCGATGAAGAGGCGTTGAACGCAAATAATATCGGAAGTCTCCTAAAAACAACGCTACCAGAGTCAACAACATTCGTCGTCGAAGCGGTCACAGCATCTCATGTCCTTTCTGATCAATTACAACCTAGCCGGCCGGGAAGCTGGATTAATTGCGGTGGTACGGGTATAGGATGGAGTAACGGCGCAGCGCTTGGCGTGAAAATGGCCCTAGCAGACCTGGAGAAAGCCGGGGGAAGTAGGCCGAGCCTCGTATGCCATATAGTTGGCGACGGGAGCTTCATGTGCGCTGCCCCATCCAGTGCGTTATGGGTCGCTAGCAAGTACGAGATTCCAATCTTGACGATTGTTCTGAATAACGGGGGTAAGTCGCATCTCATGTACCCCGGACTGAGCTGGATGCATCGTAAACCGTTCATCTCCATCTCCCCAGCTTTTCGCTAACATGGTTTTTTCCTAGGTTGGAAAGCTCCCCGCAACTCTACGGAGCTTCTATACCCTTCTGGCCTGAATAAATCCGCATCCGACGACGAGATCAACGTCTCTTTCCGCCCTACACCCAATTACGCCGCTCTAGCGGAGGCAGCATCGGGGTCGGAGGTTGGTTGGAGTAATAGCACCGAGAGCGCGGAGGCGTGGATAAAAGGTGTACGAGTTAGAACAGTAGCGGACTTCAAGAAGGCTCTTGATTCTGCGAATTCAAGAGTGGTGGAAAACAAGAAAGGAATGCTACTCGAGGTAGTAATGTAAGCTCAACGGACCGAGCTATCCATAACTGCCATGATAATTCAGCAATAATATTCGACCAAATATTATTAAATTCGCCGGCGCTTTGATAATATACGCGTAATGTGTTCACGGCAACGTCTTGGTAGTGCCATTACCTTAATGGAATCGGAGTGGCAATTGGAAGCGTTGAATAAAATGTCCGTGATATTGAACGAAACCTCTAGGATGTAATGGTGTTTTGCTCAAATGTAGTTAGATACGATCGGTACGTACGTCAATGTCCTCCAAAATGCACATACATACCACCGAGAGTCATGTAAAACCAGATAGGTCCGTCCGCGATCACACCGGAGCTACCTAGGTACTGAGTGTGCAGGCTGGGCGGACAGCGAGTCAGTCTTATCGACCGGTAACTTGCGGGGTCCCCACGTGCTTAGCCAATGATGGTTAATGGACCGGGAATGGCTGTGACCATTTTGTGACTAGTACGATCTAGTACGATGCTGTATGACGATCGTTTATGCACGAATTCCGCTTCGTCAGGGGGGTGAGCTGAGCTTCCTTTATGGTGGCTGGCTGGTTTCTGCTAAGGGGTAATGTAACGCTGACAAGGGTGGCGGAGTTGGCGGCGGGCACAGCACAGTAACTGGTGTCGGCGGCTCTAGGTCCTGTTCGGTGGTTCTTAAAAAGAAAGTCGACTGTCGTTCAAATTCGGCCCGTTAATGGTTGAGAATGATTGGAATATGGTTGGACGAAGAGGAAATGCGATCGTCATCAACATCATGTGAAGCCCCATCGACGAGCTATATTTAATATGAATGTAGGTGCCAGATTAGCTAGGTGGTTTTTCTGAGATGTCTCTGTGTCGCGATACACATTGCTGCCCCTCACGAAGATAGGTGATCAATCGCCCACGATAGCTGCAATCATGTATACCTCGTGGACTTCGCTGGCTTTATTGTCGCAGCTGGTTTCCCTGGCGCTATCGGCGGATGTGGATGATTGGAAAACTCGAAACATCTACTTCGCTTTGACGGACCGGATAGCTCGCAGCAGCGATGATACGGGAGGCGATGCATGTGGTGATCTCTCCACCTACTGTGGTGGTACCTTTCAAGGTCTCCAGTCTAAGCTCGACTACATCGCTGGCATGGGTTTTGATGCCATCTGGATTACTCCTGTCGTAGCAAGTAGGTCCTAGCCCGTACAGTGCCCCCCTTCCGGAGTGTTAGGCTAATGCGCGAATGCTAGACACCGACGGTGGTTACCACGGATATTGGGCTTCTGACTTGTAGGTTACCCGACCTTGTCTTGCGATTGAAATGATGATCCTTGAAACTAACCATTTCACTACCCGCATAGATACAGTATCAATTCCAATCACGGTACGGCGGACGACCTCAAGGCCTTAGTCAGTGCTGCACACGAGAAGGTATGTCTTAGACCACCACGACGTGTACCGATAAAAATACTAATACGCGACGAATAGGGAATTTATATGATGATTGATGTAGTCGCAAACCACGTTGGCCCAGTTGCTCTCTCGGACCACCAACCAGAGCCACTGAACCAGGATAGTTCCTATCATTCACAATGCGAAATCGACTATTCCAACCAAGACAGCGTCGAGAATTGCTGGATAGCCAATCTCCCCGATCTTAACACGGAAAGTTCCGATGTCCAGAAGGTCTACCAGGATTGGGTGAGCTGGCTTGTGACGGAATACAGCTTCGACGGAGTGCGCATTGACACCGTTAAACACGTCGAAAAGGACTACTGGCCAGGATTCTCTTCCGCTGCTGGGGTGTACACGATCGGCGAGGTCTTCGACGGCGACCCGTCTTACGTCTCGGGTTATGCTAGCCTTATGTCCGGGTTGTTGAACTACCCCATGTACTATCCGATGAACAACTTCTACCAGCAGACCGGTTCGAGCCAGGCCATTGTGGATATGTATGATCAGATCAGCTCGATGTTCCCAGACCCAACGGCGTTGGGCTCGTTCTTAGACAATCACGATAACGCGCGATGGTTGAACACCAAAAACGATCTATCGCTCCTTAAGAACGCCCTCGCTTATGTCATTCTCGCTCGAGGTGTTCCAATTGTGTATTACGGCACGGAGCAAGCTTTCTCGGGTGGTGCCGATCCGGCTAATCGTGAGGACCTCTGGCGGAGCGGGTTTAATACCGATTCCGAAATTTACCAGGCCATTACTAAGTTATCTGCGGCGAGAAAAGCGGCGGGTGGTCTTGCCGGTAATGATCAGACTCATCTGTATGTGGCGGATACTGCTTACGCCTGGAGCCGAGAGGGAGGCGATCTGGTTGTTCTCACGACTAACAGCGGCCTCGGTTCTAGTGGAAATTTCTGTTTCGATACTCAGGTTGCTAATAAGGCTTGGAATAACACTTTTGGGTCTGGTTCGTATACTTCGGACGGAAGTGGAAATGTCTGTGTCGATGTTACCAACGGCGAGCCTGTCGTATTAGTCGCTTCTTGAAGTTATTCATAGCAGATTAAAAAATTGAACTCTCGGACGCCCAGCTCATGTATACAATATGCGTCATTGAATAGGATATAGAATCCAGAGTATTCCAGCATCCAATGCGGATCGAAATGAAAGACTCAGCTGAGTTGCCCCGCGTGTGGATCGGGGGCTGGAAGAAATGCTTGGCGTTTCTTCTCGGTCCCGATCATAAATAGTGCGAATACCCGATACGGGACCGAGCTTATTGTACAATAGACATGTTATAAATATGATGCTTTGCCGCAAGGAGGTTCCATAGTAATAGGACTCTATAGAATTAAAAAAATAAGAGTGTTCATGCTGTCTTCGGGGGTGGTTATCAAGTACACGGTGATATGGTAGGGCCCAGGGATTAAAGGACTCTCAATTCACCGACGGCAGTTCGACGGCTTAGCGGAAGAAGAGGGAAGGGAAAGGATGGTCATGTTTAATATAGCAAGCTCAATTGGTCGGTCATTTATCCCGTTCTTCGTGTGTAAGCACTGCCTGACGTAGGAGGCTTCGGACTCGGACCTTGAGATTTCGCCGTGTGTTCCGCAGCATGTACTTTGAAGGCTGTTGGTCTTCCGAACACCGATGTAAATCAGTCGATAGATTCTCGTAGCGCATCTGCCTAAGCTATAAATAAATATATCTTATGAATATATTAAAGAAGAGCGAGGCTTTGAATTTCCATCGTTAGTTTTGAAATTCTTGAACTTCATAATCTTCATTTCCTAGCACAGTGTTGATAAAAGTGGGCTGGCTGTTTGTCGATTATATACATGATTGAGGTTGCTTGTTTGAGCATTGACATTTAATTAACCCATTGTGCAACATTGATTCAGCTGGGTACTTAGGGGAAGTCCGTTTGGAAGTCCTCGAAATCATTTATTCATCTATTTTCTCTATTGATTTCTAGTTGTCATAACAGCATCACGCCACACAGCGTCGCATCACATCGAGCCGTCCGGGAAAATGAGTTATAGAATATTCGCTATACCTCGTCTGTATAGAGGAATAACTGGCGTTGCGGTTGCTAGTACTGGATTTGGATTATACTACACGTATATGAGGAGTGTTGTTCAGGCCGACTCAGGGGCCCCTAAGCCCGCCTTCGGTTCCGGCCCAGCATTTTTATCTCTAGAGCTTGAAAGCACCGAAGCCATAAACCACAATACCAAGCGACTACGTTTTAAGCTACCCTCGCCAGATAATGTCAGTGGGCTGACTTTAACTTGTAAGTGGTCCCATATGGCGTGGTGAACCCGCCAGCTCTTCATCCTTCGTTGTTACTAACCCATTTGAGATAGCCGCTCTCCTAACCTTCTCATGGCCTAAGGGACATACACTTCCAGTGTTGCGGCCCTATACCCCTATTAACTCCTTAGGTGAGCAGTTATAAGCCTTATATCGGCTCCGAACTTACTCTAACTCCCTTGAATAGATGAGCAAGGCGCCATAGAGCTCCTAGTGAAGAAATACCCAAACGGCAAGCAAAGTACACACATACATTCATTGCAGCCGGGGGATTCACTGCGCTTCATTACACGTCTGCCGGGATATAAATGGCTACCGAATAAGCACCCGGAGATTACCCTCATCGCCGGAGGTGCCGGCATCACCCCCGTGTACCAACTCATCCAAGGCATCTTGCAGAACCCGGAAGACCGCACCAAGATCACACTGGTATTCGGAGTTAACACAGACGCCGACTTACTTCTGAAGAAGGAACTGAGCGAGTACGAGGCTCGCTTCCCGGGTCGCTTCAAAGCGGTATATACAGTCAGCCAGCCCGTGACTGGATCGCCATTCCGACAGGGCTATGTCACGAAAGAGCTACTCAGCGAGGTAGCACCCCCGTCGAGCGATTCTAAGGTCTTCGTCTGCGGCCCGCCCCCGATGGAGAACACCCTTGTTGGTAGTAAACGAAAGCCGGGGGTACTGGAAGAACTTGGTTATCGGAAGGACCAGATCCATAAGTTCTGAGCGAATAGACTAATTAAAAGAGATATCCTGTCGTGGTAAACTAGGTCCCTATTCCTCCCTCCATTGGTTAATAGAAATACATTATACGAAGTCAAGATCCGCTTCAAGACCATCGAACCAGTAGTCCTTAGGAGGCAGGTAACGCACCACAGCATCACTCGTTCCCTTTTTCTTCCCAATCGCCTTGAATGCCTGGTGCGTAGCTTGAGTAGCTCGCCAATCGCCCATGCGAATATATACCCTCCATGAATTTGTCCTGTGAGTAAATTCATCCTCCCAATCCTCGGTAATGCTATTAGGTGCCATACAACATACCTCAAAAAGCTCCATTTCCCTAGGGTTTAATTCGTCTATCTCTAACAGTGCCGTCCGTAGCGCCTGCATACGGGAACATGCTTCCGCAAACGCTTGAAACAGAGCGTTTATGTTCTTATCTTCTAAAGCAACCTCGCATCGGGTCCAGCCGCAGAAAATAGCATCGAAGTAATCGTCATGGTAACAGTCAGCTTCTAACCGTTCCTCTTTGGTGGCGCTATAGCCTACTAGAAGTCTATGGAGGTTATCGTCCGGTAGTGGGGGGTTGTCGAGTTCATCCACCCCGAAATTGTTGTCCTCGAGGCAAACCCGGGAACAGTTCCTCGTAATATGCTGTATAGCACGGCTTACGGAGTCATCATCCTCTTCATGTTCAATGAATCGAGGAAGAGGCTGGAAAGCGAAGGTATTTGGGGACTTGAGCCTGCAGATGAACTTCTTAGTAGAATTTGGGAGAACTGCATCTGGATGTTCTTGAACGGTTTTAACCAGCCCGTCTCGATATATTTGGTCCAAGTAATAATACCGCCCCCAATTATCGGAGCTTTGAAAGAGATCCCAACTAATCTCCAGAGCGTTGACCATCTTGCTGCTGAGTAGAACGGCAACCTGAGGGCTCCACATGCGAGATATCCTATGACCAATCCAAAAACTACGTACGCATGGCAGCGGTGGGAAGTTGATTGCGTCAGAGGTGAGGCTTAGCAGCGAGAATTGAAAGCGCCCATCAAGCAAATCTAAACCGAAGTCTTGATTGGGTCGCCTGTCTCGAATTTCAGAGGGCGAATACGACCCATAGATTTCTAGGTCAATATATGGAGTTGATGATGCCATATTTTGTTTCTGGTCCGCTGCGAGGATATTAAATACCCGTCTGAACATCGCCGTCGCGGCTTTGTTGTTTGTCCTTCGATCTTCATCTGTCTCGTACTCAAAGAATAACTCACGAGGATAGGATGGTAGGACAATATCGAGCTCGAGGTATCGAAGATAACGGCGCTGTCTTGGAGTTAGAATGCGCTCGAAGGTATCGAGTTCTAAATTATGAGTATCAAGGTGAAGAGACTTGAAGGTGTAGCGCTCAACAGCGAGCTGGAATTTGCGTGATACGGTAGACAGTGCCGGGAAGGCTGATGGGAGAACATCAGTTTCAGTTTCAAGGGATTGAGCACCGTCTCTGCTAATTCGCCGCCCTGCAAAGGAGACAATGTAATCATAGACTTCCTGGGGACATTTATCCATGGCTATACATTGCTCTACCCTACTGCGATGTTCTATGTTCCGTCAAACGAATTCCTCAAGGCAAAAGAAAGCCGAACAGCCCCAAGGGACTCACAAATATATAATACCTATTGATAAATAGAGTACCTCGCTTATAGGCATAGGACGTATACCCTCTCATTAGTTATATAAAGTATACGTGAAGAGGTTAACAGTACAACAGCTTAGGTAATTATAGATAGTTTAATATTAACATTAACGGTTACAGTACCTGAGCGTGGACGATCTAATATAGTACGGTGAACTAGCTCTGTATGAGCCACTGGGCTGCATATTGTTGGGAACTGGCCCCCCTTGTTTTCTCCTTGTGTTATGTGATTTGTCGTACCCACCGGGATACTCGGTTATCATTTCCTTTGACACATTGTCGTCGTTAAATTCTTCGAATTTTTCAGCTCCTCAGAGAATTTACTTAATCTGCTACATCATATAAGTGTGAAACTGATTACCAAAAATGACTGCTACAGATGGTTGGGATTACATTATTATCGGTGGCGGATTAGCGGGTTGCGCCCTTGCTAGCCGTTTGCACGAACACACCCCAGCGGCCCGCATTCTGATTCTAGAAGCCGGCCCTGATGTGAGCGATCGTAAAGATATCCTCCAATTTCAATCTTTCAACTTCATTGGCGGCGAGTTTGATTGGAATTACAAGACTACTCCCCAGAAAGAGTACAACGGCCGGCAGGTCGACCTTGCTTCCGGCCGAGTACTTGGTGGTGGTTCTACTGTTAACGGATGTGAGCTTACCGCCTTTCGTCCAGCCTCTGCATTTTTAACATAAAATCTTTCGGAACTAGGCGCATGGACGCGGGGTGCCAAGATCGACTTTGATGACTGGGCTGCGATCGTAGGCGATCAGCGGTGGAGCTACGAAGGCCAACTTCCCTACTTCAAGAAGACTGAGGCCTGGTATAAGAAGTCTGAAAGTCATGGCTCCGAGGGCAAGCTACACATTGAATCCCCAATCTCGACGGGACGCCTTTATCCTCTGGCCGACCAAGTGGAACAATCCTGGGCCGACTTGGGTTTCAAAGCGTTGCCGGAATATGACATGAACGCTGGTCAGAACATTGGCCTCGGCGAGCTCAATGAAAATCGCCATAAAGGCGCGCGTCAACTCGCTAATCTAGCATATCCTTTAGATGGCGTCACTACTCTAACGAACGTTCTTGTTGAATCGGTACTTACCGAGGGGACTACTAGTCTCCGCGCCACCGGAGTTCGTTTGGCGGATGGTACGGAATATCGTGGCAAAGAAGTAATTCTTTCCACTGGGGCTTATCGAACACCACAACTGCTCATGCTCTCCGGACTCGGGCCTCGTAATGTCTTGACTAAACACGGCATCGATGTTAAATTGGACCTACCTAGCGTTGGCCAGAATTTCAATGACCACATTTTGTTGTTTCTGAATTGGCGACTTAGGGATCCTCTGAAGGCATATGCACTGGGATCGAACCACCCACGATGGGGTGAACCCCAATATGCCACAGGGATGCCTGCTAGCTACGTAGCCTCGACCACTGTTCCGAAAGATGGCCTGAAAGACGCCCTAGCTCGGGATGGCGAAACAGATCCCAATCACTACCTCCTCAAGAACAACTACGCGATGATGGAGAACATCGTGCTGTATTTCAGCACGGCACCGTTAACTCCGGATGGTACACACATTAGCACGGCTCTCATGGGAATGAAACCCACATCTCGTGGAACGGTGTCTATCGCGTCGAAGAATCCTACCGATCTGCCGGTTCTTAACCCGAATTACTACAGCACAGAAGTGGATAAATACGTATGGAGGACCTCGCTGCGTAAAATAACGTCCTTAATGACGGGCGACACTCCCTTAGGTCGCGATGTCGTGGCGGGCGAAACACCTCAAAGCGGAGAACCATTAAGTGTTGACGCAACGGATGAGTACCTCGACGGCAGAATGAAGAACCAAGCCATGTAAGTTACTAACTCTAGGCATGCAGCCGACGTGCTAACTCTGGCTTGTATAGATCCATGTTTCACGGCTCTGGAAGCTGTGCGATGGGGACTGTGGTAGATTCCGAGTTACGCGTGAAGGGCGTCCAGAACTTAAGGATTGTGGATGCATCGGTATTCCCGGTTTCTATCGGCGCACACATCCAGGCTGCTACGTACGCCCTAGCTGAGCAAGCTGCCGTTTTGATTTCTGGTGCGGCTTAAAATGGCAGAACCCGCAGAAGCCTCCAACGTCTTTATGAGAAAAGATAGGGGCAATGGAGGGATATCGTAACGTTCCCATGTGGGGTATTCTTTCTTCAGAATGGATCATGAATGGTCTGATGAGTTTGGAGGCATATGTGTGCGTGCGTACGTGAAAAGCGAGCCTGCTAGGGTCGAGACTCGTCGATAGGATTCTACGCCAATCAATACAAGACCTTATGCCGTCTCTGAAGAATCAAGTTGTGTAACCACACAATGAGCATAGAGCTTCCAATATGGAAGGGATCGATCATGACACCGTATATCGACCACATTCATTGGTAGGACTTTAGGCTCGCCAAATGCATGTCTCTGAAATTCTTTTCCGCTCGCCCCGGTCGTAGGTGGTTGGTAATGCGCCCCCACCCATATCTAGTAGATTCTACAAGCCCGTCTGTGGTCTTCTAATACAACAAATACAGGGTAATCGACATTCATGACTCGCGTCTATTTTCAAACATGTTCTATTTACGTAATCATCTATGTAACGGCCGAATTAGTATTTAAGGGTTGGGAGGATTTGGGATCTACACCAGGATTGGTCCTTGGATCCAGCTCTGATACAGAACTAATTGCCCACTAAGGCCAAGCCCCCCCGGCGCCGTGGGCTTAGAATGGAAGCTCGAGAATCCAATATTTAGACGCACACGTACCCCTGAGATATACTTGAATTATAGTCTGGCCGGTCGTCAAGAAAACCATGTAGGGCCTCACCCGAATAAATACCCAGGTAAGTCTAAATCTATTAGGCAGGCCAATCGTTCCTCGGATTATTAAGAATATCAACATTGGCTGTGGTTGTGGGATAATCTTGAACACTTTACGCCATGAGGTACTCCATTCTTTCGCTATCTGCCTTGGTAGCCTCTGCGGCGGCCAAGCCAGGCATCATATTACCTCTGTATGAATATCCCTCTGGCGACGTGGCCACGGCCGACTGGAACGGAGCCATCGCAGCAGCAACGGCGCATCCTGATGTAGACTTCTACGTTATTGTGAACGATAACAGCGGTCCTCCATACACTCCTAACCCCCCGGACGCGATTAAAGATTTCGCTTCGTTCCTTGGCGTCTGGAATGCCTTATCGAATGTCAAATTGATCGGTTACATCGCTACCTCATATGGTGGCAAGAGCGATAGCGACGTCGAAGCCGCTGTAGACCAGTACACAGCTTGGACCACAGCCGAAGGCTGGACAGCGGGTACATCGTACGATATCCACGTTGACGGCATCTTCTTCGATGAAATAGACACTTCTACAAGCCAGCTTTCGCACAACACCGCCATCACCAAATATGCTAAGTCCAAATTCGCCGGCCCTGTCGTGTTAAACCCGGGTACTTTCGTCCAGAGCGGTAGTGAATCGCTCTTCGACGTCGCGGATGCCATCGTCGACATCGAGGCTTGCTACACCCATAGTGTCGGCCGTGTGGACTTCAACGGCTACGCCTGTGACCCCTCTACTGATGGTTACACGGCATTTACGCCCGCACTACTCGACAAACTCGGCACGGACCAAACTCAACTGAGCAAATCGTCCGTCATCGTTCACGACTTCTACGAGTCGTGGAGTCCGTATCAACCCGCTTCCCAGGATACACTCCAAACTGATATACAGGCTATGGTAGCTAAAGGCATACATAGCTTGTATGTTGCGCAGTTGGGTTATAATGCGAATTTCACGGGTGCCGAGCCAGCTAGCATCACGACTGTTGCTAAACTACTTGCGGCGGCTTAACGCCTCAGGTTGGAGTCATGCGTATAAGTAGAGGTGCGATTATTCTCGTGTATATAGTTAACCGACACGTATATACTTAGGTTGACATATGGAACATAAAAATTAGATCATCGTTAAAAATTTCAATCTTCTAGATAAACACCACCAATATCGGAGTTAACAAGTCGAACCCATAAGACCGCCATGCTATACCATATTAGGCAACCACTCTCTAATTGGTTGATATTTCTGTGAATTTCTTCATCTAATCCTCTTATTGGTGCGATCTCTCCCATACCCACCTACATCCTAATTGGGAATTGCCTCAATTAGGAAACCACTCTCTCATTGGCTCGCCAGTTCGTTACAACCTCAACACGTACCTATCTATGTCAGTCTATTCGGCTCTTAACATAGACGGCGTCATGAATTATAGAAATAGATGGATTTTGTTTCGTCTTATTACCCGGACTTTGCTAAACCCGGTGACCAAAAGTCCGTATGATGACTACCATCATCAAGCCGTATTGCCTCTCTCAAGAGGATAAAATGCCATGGAGTTCCTACATCTTTCTTGAGGAGTATCCTAAGAATCATTTACTCATCTAGACGCTATTTATATAGTAACCTTCTGTTCAAATTCCAACTTTCTAAACACCATCCTCTATAGTACACTTATCATCATGGCCAGTTTCTTCTTGGAATTCGCAGCCGAACAGCGCCTCCAACTCCCACTCCTCGTCACACCCGAAACATGTTCCGGCAAGACCTACATCGTCACCGGCGCCAACACGGGCTTAGGCTACGAAACCTCCAAGCACCTCGTAAATTGTCGAGCCAAGAAAGTCATAATGGCCGTCCGGAACCTCGAAGCAGGAGAAACAGCCAAGGCCGAAATCGAATCCGCAACAAACAACCGCGGCATCGCGGAAGTATGGTCCCTTGACTTATCAAGCTTCGATTCCGTAAAGTCATTCGCGAAGAGAGTAAACAGCCAACTAGACCGCATCGACGCTGTGATTGAAAACGCTAGCGTGGCACATGATCGGTGGTCGACTGTTGAGGGATACGAGGCATCGACCACTATCAATATCCTAAGCACCTTCCTCCTGGCAGTCCTCGTTCTCCCGAAGTTGACTGAGGTAGCGAAGCGCTATGGGAACCTACCTCATCTCACTATTGTGACGAGCGGGGTCGCTTTTACGGCGAAGGAAGCCATGGATAGGATAAGGGATAATCCACTTGCGGGGATGAATGATCCGACGACTACCGACATGAACAAAAGGTTCGAAAATACCACCCATTGTAACCCGACATGCTAATAAATCCCCAGATACCCTCTTACGAAGCTCTTCCAACACTACGCAGGCCGGCACCTCGCGACCTTAGTGCCTGTTTCAAAAACTGGAGTTGTCGTGAATCTCGTTAACCCCGGTCTATGTAAAACCAAACTGAGCCGAAACTCGAAATTCTCCAGATGGTTGGAAATTTATATAACCAATTTATTGGTTGGCAGAAGCCAGGAGATGGGTAGTCGACCTTTGCTGCACGCGAGTATGGCGGGTGCGGAGAGTCACGGGCGCTATGTTTCGTCTTGTGAGATAAAGGAGTAAGTACACCGTTTATATGTTGCCTGGACAGCTGCTAACGAGTATCTCAAGACACCAAGTTCCTGAATGGGTCAAAGGCGAAGAAGGCAGGAAACTAGGGGAGAGAATTTGGAATGATATAGCAGTTGAGCTGGAGAAGATTGAGCCCGGCTGTTTGGATCGGGTGTTGCGACATTAAGATATTTATGTGCGAAGATGTCGTGGGGGGTCTCGTTGATTCGGTTTACAAAGGCCTGGTAACCCTCAAGGATCGTTCGAATAATTTTCGATATAGATAAAGGAATTGGTTCGAATTAGAATGCGACTTCATTGGGAATAGACAATAGTAGCCTTCACAATTTAAATGTGATTTAATTGATTCCAAAATGACTGCCCCGAACTCCCATGAAGAGAGCAGACGAAAGGAAACTTGGAAATAACTTGGCACACATCATCCCAATTCCGGAGATCTAGCGTCGACATGATGCGTGATGCTCTTTGAACCAACCACGCATCCTCCCTCCCTTTGAAAATTGAGATTTTTCCAATGAACAAAACCCACAGGAGCACATCCTCGCTCCCCGCATCTTCATCAAATTCCTCTTGAACAAGCGCACGTACCAATTCCCGGAGCAATGGCACATTCGGGAGCTTGTGGCTAAGGGAAAGCAAGAAAGTCGTCATAAACATCAATAACCCTATATGTATAGCATTTTCGAGGCGGTCGGCTAGTGGCGGGCCATCTAAGGATCTCAAATGAATAAGTCGGTATCCGATAAGGATGAGGATGTTATGATATGTGTACCCATCCAACCTAGTACCATCGCCGACATTTCCGTTAAGGAACCAGGCAAGACTCATAATATCTATGAAAACATCTTGGAGTTGGGGATTCAATTGTGTTAAAGGATATGACTTGAGTAAATGGCGTATTTGAGGCTCTCCGAATCCCTTGCGAAGCCAGTCAATGGCGGTAGCGCCCGGTACTTCGTCGGCCTTAAATCGTGTAGATGGTCCCAGATATAAGGACAATTCAAGATCGACTCTAATGCGAGTATTAGTACATAATAATGGCTATTTCGTAGTCGGTTTCCTACCTGAATATCTTTTGAACCAAGGCAGGCTTGCTCTTTCGGAGGTGAGCGATCCTACCACGCAATCTAACCATCTCCTGAAGCCCCTCAAAATGGACCAGTGCTTGATAATATTGACCACATAGACGTTCATACTGTATCATTGCTACTACTGTCGCCATCGTCGTATCCGCCAGCGCCTTTTCACCAGATAGTCTCTCCTTCACTAGGCGGAGGCTGCTTGATACATGGTGCATCGCCTCCACAGATTCTTCTCGTGTCACGATCAATGAATCTACGGCGGCAAGACACATAGCGATTGAACAGTGGAAGTCTTTGAAGTGTCAGCCCCTCACATGAGTGGGATTGGAGCGAAACGGGGGGAGAGGCTCACATGCTTCATCTAAGAATAAAAATTCTATCCATATCGACCCAGCTTGCGCAAAGTCAACCACATTCCCAAGCCCATCCGTATAGGGGACTCCACTAAGGAACGAGAAGACTAGATTATGGTGAGTGGTGCATTCATGTAATTTGATGTAGGCGAATGCTAGGTTTGAAAGCATTACCTTTCTGTACGAGAGTACCGGATCCAGGAGGTAACTCGATCGGTAAAGAGTAAGCAAACAGACTATAATCAAGTTGTGAATGCGTCGTAGATACGACAGCAGACTCATGGCGGGATATTAATTCGGTCGTTTTATTGTCAGGTTTAGTGGTCTTAGCCTTCATCGCAGCTCGCCTCCTCCGCGACGGGTGCGTTTTCCCGACATTCTTGCCCTTGGCCGCGTGACTGCGGATCAGTCTTCTTGCATTGCGATCGATGGTAGTATTATTAACGAATTCAAAAGCCATTCTATGTTATGTTACGTAAGAAGCGACATTCGCCAGTTTGATATTAGGTAGAATAAAATATGTTATTGTTGACATAGCTCGAAATGTACCTAGGTAGAAGAGTAGGAGTCGGAAGGAGTTTAGCGGACTTATCGGAGCTAAGCGCGGCTTCATCCTTCGAATGCCGAGATGTTGCAGATAAGTACCCATTTTCCTATTATAGGTCGTTTTTATAATCGACCTCTCGTCTGGGAATATCTCTGACGTTTTTCGAGTAGATACCCGAAATCAATTAAGTCGTCAGCGATACGTTAACAGTGCGACTTCTTTCGTAGAGACTGGACGTCGCATAAACCAAGTCGAAATCAATACTCCGAACTCCGAAGACAACTTGCGTCATTCTACCCAGATATCAAGCGTCTCCCGATAACTTAGTGTATAAGTCTAGCAGTGAGAGCTTCATGATATCCATCATATGGCTGATCCGGGAGGCTTAATCTCATAAGCTAAACTTACTGGCATGTAACCATTGTTTGACTATCCCTAATAATCAGATCGGATTTGGGTGCGGAATGACACCATTCTGTGTTACCTGACGGCCACCAACTTAGGGCTGTTATTACGTACCATTGGCCCTACTGAGATTGTATTAGACATAATCAGCGACCATCACACATAGCAAGGACCCGACAAACATATTCTAACGATCCAAAATCACTCAAGCATCCGATATCCGTACATAGAAGAACGGATAACTCGGATGTACCCCTTGAAGTAATGTACTCCTAAGGCATTTAGCCGGAGTGTGGCGATCGGCGTGGCTAACACTCATTGCGGCCGAAAGCGCCAATCAATCGGGCGATTCCCTTCCAAGCCCGACGGCTATATTACCTGGAATCCTTAAATAAAGCTCGCAGAAATCGGTTACTTTACCGGATCCCGGCTATGATAGTAGACCACGGGCTTGGAATTGCTTGGGATGTACATGAATGAAAACAGAACATACCAATTACAGTATGCGCGCTCCTGTCCTATGCATATTACATAGGTCTCACGGTGGAATTTTTCCTATGATGGACACTTGGCCTTGCTTGGCCCGTCTCCCTCCGCCTGTCTCCGTGTAGTCGCGATGTTGGTCGATCCTATTCAATATGAGCCTCCCATCTACCTCCGGTCGAACCACAAATTCCAAACTCGGGAACATCAAGGGGTATTCCGACTTTGAAAAGTTAAGATCGACTTCGTGGCTCCTATACTTATAGTCGAGCTGCATTGTTAACAGTAAATCTGATACATCACTCTTGTCGTTCTCTTTTCTACGTAATGTTGGTCGAAAATGCGTACCCGAGCTCGATCGTATATGGGATTCCTCGGCGCGGTGGGTTTTCTGCTATTCGCATGCCCACAAGCTAAGGGGCAAAGTCGCATTTCAGCTGCTAGTGGTCAGTGTCCATTGAATATTCCGAGGGCGCTGCAATCGCAAGCACAGCTAGGGTGCCCACACCCAGTTGATGGGAGCACCGGTCAACATCCCATCGACTGGTCGCCTTGGACTCATCAACCAGAATGCATCCACGGGGACAGGTCACCGGAGACCAAGTACTGCGTTTATAGCAACTCACAACACGGACATGGAGGTGTCAGTATTATAACAACACCCGAGATCGCCGCTAGCAGTGTTGAGATACTAAATGACTCGGGTAACACTCATTTAAAGTCATTTATAAACAATACCACCGGACCAGCATATGAAGTAGCAGATATCCCCGGCAAAGGAAAGGGGATGGTCGCGACACGTCATATCAAACAAGCGGAGCCGATCATGGCAGATTGGGCGGCGATAATTGTGAATCTCGACTTCCCAACTTCAGTGAGGCGGTTACAGGGATATCGTCTCCTTCATAAAGCTGCTGACCAATTGTTGGATCCGGATCGGGTGCTGACATTAGCCCGCAGCAGTGCCTTTTCCGGTGATATCATGGAGGATGTATTGCGAACTAATGCCTTCTCATTTACATTGAGTGGTGAATCCCATATGGCTCTTTACCCGGATGTCGCGGTAAGTATTCGCGGTCTGCTTCTTTTAATAAAAAAATCGTGGGTAGCTAATATGAGATGATAGCGAGTGAACCACGCGTGCCGTCCAAAGTAAGTGTGGAACGTTGCGGCAACTTGAGAGAAGAGGGAAACTAAATCGTCGTCAGTGCTTTCATCAGGTTCACGCCATCGAGCTTGGCCGTGAGTATTGTTGCCATGAGAGATATTGAGCCCGGAGAAGAAATTTATATAACATGTGAGTTGATCGTTCATTTTCATTCCGTGGTATTCTGAATAATTGACTGTTGACTCTTGGTCTTCATCTAGACGTTCCGCTAGGTAAGACTCGGGAAGAAAGACATGCAGGATTACAAAAATGGGGGTTCAATTGCACATGCTCGCTGTGCACAGCATCGAAAGCCGAGATCGCCGCATCCGATTATCGCAGAAGCAAGATTAAGACATTACGCCAAGAAGTGATGAAGGCGGTTGAAGATTGGGACGGAACCAAGGCGGTTAAGCTGACGCATGAAGCGTTGGAACTCATGCGTGCTGAAGAACTTGGACCTCTCTACTCTAGCCAATATGAGATTATGGCGAGACTCTATTGGAAAGCAAGAGATGAGAAGACAGCCACGAAATATGCGAAACTATCAATCGATACTTTGGTGGAACAGGGATATCTCGAAGATAGTCCGGATGCATTACCAGCATTGTTAAGGACATTTGACTGAGTTGATGGAATAGACGATAAAATTGAGGGGGTTGGTGTTAAGTGATGAGTTAAGTGGCGTACTATCGTGGTGGTGGAGTTGATACCAAGGTACATTTAGAATTGGGGGTAAATGATCATGTATACGGGTTAATTTATTTAAGGCCAATTCCACTAACAATTAATTCCCGCAGGAACATTAAAGATGTTAATGCCGTACTAGGCGATATGTACCCGCCTGTAGCTACCCCAATTCACAGGCTACAGCAACATCTACCGGCTAACTGTCCGACGGAAGGAGCCTTGATACATGTACATATGCAAGTACGACGATAACTTAAAATTCCATCTCATTTCGAAATTAACCTTCGAATCTAAGGCAGTATCTAAGTTAAGTGACGCCTATAAATATACATAATACATCTAGGCTAAGAAAGAATCTGGCTATTTTCTAAGTATATATTCATACCTACACTCTTTATATAATACACTCGCCCCCAAGCTCCGCTTACCCAGCTGAACAAGTTGGCGGGGATATACCCTTTCAAACTAAAACCCCCAACTTCAACAGCAAGCATCGGCATACTACCTACCATGGGTGACACGAACGCACTTTTCTCAGCCTCGCTCATCTCACCGGATGTCAGCAATTCATTCCCGGACGGGTTCGTGATCCGTCCATTAGAGAGGGGGGATTATAGCAAAGGCTTCCTAGACTGCATGAAAGTTCTGACATACATCGGGGACGTAACCGAAGCCGAGTTTCTCGAACGGTACGACGAGATGGTGGAAGCCAAGGGTACATATTACTTCCTAGTGATTGAACACCAAGGTCGCATCGTCGGGACCGGTGCTTTGGTGGTAGAGAAGAAATTGTGCGTACCAACCTTATCCACCCCCCTATTTCTATTTCCAAAAATAAGAAGATGCATCAATTTGTAACGCGACGCTCACCGGGGGTTCAGCATACACCAACGCGGCAAAGCCGGGCATATCGAAGAGATCTCCATAGCCAAGGAGCATCAAAAGAAAGGGCTCGGTCTGAAGATGATCCAAGCCCTGGATTCTGTGGCTGTCAATTTGGGGTGTTACAAGAACATCCTTAACTGTGGCGCGAAAAACGAGCCATTTTATAAGAAGTGTGGGTTCGGTCACACTGGCTTAGAGATGTCGCATTACTTTGAAGAGGAGCGTGATGAATATCGTCGAGGTTGAGGGGCATTTCTGGATGTAGGAAGGCCAGAAGACGAGTAATCAAGACCTCTTGATTGTACCTAGGAAGAAACTCTCCAATGGAGGACGATTGGTTTAGGGCTGGGCAGGTGAAAGGCTTGCATGAAGTCATAGGGGGTCGAAAGGCGGTTTTCTAGTTCGGTTTGCTACTTCTGAAATGCACTATTGTCTGTCGTAGCCGTGCTAGTCCCACGGACTTGTCCGAAGCTGTTGCAGGTTGTGGCTGTGTCTTAGAAGAAAAGTGATACCACTACTTTGTTGGCCTTCCACCGTACTTCAAGTGAGAAGTTGCTTGCTCTTAGTTTCCATCTCACAGGTGTGTTGGCCATACTACTAGTGGCAGATGAAGGTAGTGTTTATAATTGAACCACTGAGTCCACTAGAAACAGTTTATGAAGGATTATGTTCATTGTTTGTCCGTACACACAATTGATGCTGTAACCTGTTAGGCTGAAACAAAGTGTTGATGCCTTGATACTACCGGGGTCGTCGAATGAAGGCCCCAAGCAAACTGCACTTTGGTTCTTGGAGCCCGATGGGAATTGGCCTTTGGAGATTGGTCGGCATGATGATCGATGGTGGGGTGTCACAGGAAGGAAGACCACTCGCTACATAGTATGCACATAATAGTACCTTGCATGATTGTCACCTGCCTTACCACATAGAGGGTAGCGAATGAAAAACATACTTCATCAGCCTCAAAAGAATGAAGCTATGATAGGTTTAGTATAAACACACGTAATATCTTGGGGTACCCGCGATTGAGTAAGAACGGTATCGTTAAACCAGATTATTCAATGATGTATTAATCATAACGCCTATATCCATGATTCTAGAAGCCCTGGGGCATTGCAATCTTCTTTCTAAATAGCCAGTTTCCCAAGAGCAAGGTGATTTTGATATCCCCTTTTTGCAAAAATCCGATGCGCCAATTGCTAATCCACCGCTCTAAAAACCCGAAGAGACCACCCTAAGCCTTGAGTAGTCGTATGCTAATGTAAAGAAGTTGCCGATCTGACGTGCGTATTCTCAAATCGAAGAAATCATTGGCGACTGGGGCGGCTACTTCCGTAAGTAGCACTAGGAGCACCCTCTTCGTAGCCAGGGGCGTGATAGTTGTAGACGGTGACGTCCTTAGGCTTCTTGCTGCCACCGGTTCGACGAGTAGTATCTACTTTGTAACCCCCTTTAATTTGTTAGAAATAAGTATAGAGCATATGAATCTTATCATTAAGATTGAAATACGTACCAGCTTTGCCAGAGCGTAGCTGCTCTTGAGAGACAGTTGAATTGTAAGAGCCGGAGGGGGTACCGGAAGCATAGGTAGAGGACGGCATCTTGTTGTATGGATTGATAGACTTCTAATAGTGGAAGTAGTTTTTGTGGTGGTAGTTCGGGAGATTTTGGAGCGTTTCTTGGTAGACAGTAGTATTCCTTGGATAGCAATGGATATCCAGATAGAATAAGAAGGGAGTATAAGATATGTAGGGTTTGTAAGAAACTTGTATGATGGCTGTAGAGAAGATGGGATGATAGAGACATCCTGTTCACTTATATAGGAGAATTGAGAATGGTACTGTACCTTTTAGATAGTCGCAATGAGCCCATGGGAGTGCAAAAGAAGGCAAACACCTAAAGTGGTCGCAGTCGTAATAGGAGCAGCACCATTGAGGCGTACAGAATAGTCACTTACCTACCTAGCTGGCGGTGCCCTAGGCAGACCAGACTGAAACTGGATGGGGGCCGTGGCTAGCCGTAAAGATGCTTAGAACGCTCAAAAGAGTCGAGACATGATGTTAGGATACCGAAAAAGGGTGACTCATTAACCTGGACTTCAAGGCAGAAAGTAGGGGCTGGGGAATTGGACGACAATGAGGCAGCAATTGAGTAATTCAGTTGGTGCAGACGAGGGAGGAAGGGTTGATAGAATGGTGCAGATGACTACCATAGGGTGGGTCATCCTGGGCAAGGATCTAGGGGTCCTCATGTCAGGTACAAGATAGGAACAGGACAATCATGTATCTAGTTCAAGTTGAAATGGGCCTAGGTAAGGCATCGAAGTGTTAAGATAGGGCTATGTTAGTCCTGATCGTAGTATAGTAGAGGTACCCGGGTTTGCTTTTTTGCGTGGGATTGAAACATATCGAGCTGAAGGTATGGTACTAAATTAGTTCGTATTGGGGGTTCTCTAACCTTGTAAATTAAAAAGGATGTACAGTTTTGTATGTACTGTGCGCATGTGTGTGCTATTATGGTGACTATGGTGACCAGTATGGCTGCCTAGGGTTGGGTGCTGGGGATTGCACCGGGAATACGACAAGACCGCATCCAAATGTCTAGTAAATTTGACCTGAAATATTAGTTAAAATTGCTTCTACAACATTAAAAAAAGAGGCAAACTCAAGAAAGTGTACCAAAAAGGGCTGTGCTGACATGACATGGCGGCCAAAGTCATCATTTTGTTTGCCTAGCGGTTTGAGGTGAGGATATACTAGCTGAATTTGGTCCGGGATTGGGTAGATAGATGGGCTCTTGGCCCCCTCTACCTACATCACAATTCTTTCAATGACTCTATATGTTAGTTTACCTAATTTAGGGTAACAGGTGTGCCTCAGGTCTGCGGCGAGGTACATAGTTTTTCGGTAATCATAGCCATGGGCGCGCCTTCGCAAGTGTGTAGTGGTAGTATCATGTAAATTGTAGGACGTTGGTATACGAAGTCCTATCTGCGCTGTAATTGTTTCTCGCAGGCGCGAACAAACAACCTTGGCGGTGTCCTGAATATTGATTCACTAGCACGGTTGCCTTCTGAGGCGGGATAAGGCGGTATGAGGTGGTCGAGTGGCTTGGATGGGATATATTGTAGTCATTCATGAGCTATTGCATTCTTCTCTATTCCAAGGTTGTTCTGGAATTTCCACTTGATTAAAAGATTTCGGTGAAGATGTAAGCTTTTAGTAGTTTGCGGGTTTGAATTAGTTACTTAGGTATTTGCTAGGAAAATACAGGAGATATGGTACATATTGATAAGGTATACCCTGGTATAGCGGGCGCGTTTAGATTGACCAATCATATTCTCATCTTCCCCTCATTTCCAAGGGTTCATGGGGATTGATGACTCTAATAGGTACCTATCGGGTACGTACACACATCAATTGATCAATAATTCTTGTTACCATTTCGTTACTTAGCAATTGCCCTCTTCTCGCCTCTCTTCCTTCAACATTCTCGAACAAAACGATTAACCCGCACCACGTACCACGTATCACGCACATATATCTCCGAATTTGATCACGAGATAACTCGAACTTCCTTCCAAAACTACTCAATTGCGACGAACAATAATCAACCGACAAGATGCAAGGCTTCCTTCTTTCCCTCTCCCTCGTCGCATCTCTTACTCTCGGTGTTGTGGCCTCGGACCCTTCAGAGCTCAAGATTGATGTAACTTTACCCGTCGAATGCGACCGAAAAACACAAAAGGGCGACAATATTCAAGTACACTATAGAGGTACACTTGCTGCCAATGGAAATAAATTCGATGCCAGCTACGATCGGGGTACGCCTTTTGGCTTCAAGCTTGGAGGCGGTCAAGTCATCAAGGGGTTCGTCATTGAAGCGCCCTTTGCATACCTACATACGGTGTCCTAATTATGTATACAGATGGGATCAAGGACTTTTAGATATGTGCATCGGAGAAAAAAGGTAAGGGCCAATACCCGCCCACCATATCTACCGTGCCACAGGATTGGAACCTGACGACCTATTAGGACTTTGACTGTACCACCTGAGTTCGGATACGGAAACCGAGGCATTGGTCCCATCCCAGCAGGATCTACTCTTAGTAAGTATTGCTTTTAACAACGTTCAACGAAGGGGCGAAATATCTCGATTTGATGCTTACTATTCGGTTGTTAGTTTTCGAGACGGAACTTATAGGTATTCAGGGTGTCCCAAACCCCGAGTCCATCGTAACAAAGGCTACCGACAGTGCGAGCTCTGTCGCAAGCGAAGCCTCGGAGACAGCCGAGAAGGCTTCGACAAAATTAGCAGAGAAGATTGCGAGCAAGGTTGAAGAGGCCGCCGAGGTTGTTGGTACCATAATCGCCGACACTGACGACACACAAGAGCACAACGAGTTATAAGCTACATATCTACCTACCTGCGTATATAAGTCGTAAGCCATAGGTGGTACTCTATATTTTTGGTCATGCAAATATAATTGGCGTGAGCTACATATAGAGCTGCCAAGCGTTGCTGCTTCTTATCTGCCTCCTATCTAATTGACCGTGATGGTTCTTCAGCTCGCCAGCCTACTTAACCAGCCCAGCCAGCCATGTTCGTCAAGGCGGTGTGAGCTACTAGGACTAAATATAATCAACCGAGTATCATCTATATAGGTATGTTTACCTAATCCGATAAGTACATGATGTAGGACTTTCTAAATGGAATTCTTCCCGATTTATCGTCATATGTACCTAGGTAAGTCTCACGTCCTACTTTTAGATTGCACCTCGGTCTTCGACATTCAAAATGACATAGTATATCAAAGTATCGGGATATATCAAGTTTCTGATTGGTAACCAACAGCGTTTTGATGCTTGGCGAAGATTTCATCACAGTATCTATCTGTCTCTTCGCATATATACCCTACCCTGGACACGTCAAAAACAAACGAATGGATCTCACGCCAATCCGGCATGCCGCGAAGGGCGGTATATGAGAATATAATGTGTGTGGGCTCTCTTTGCATTTGCGGATACGGCATTGCGGATACGATACACCGTAAGTTTTTTAGTAGCACGGCAGTCTTGTTTGGTCTTATTTTGCGGTTGCGGCTTATTTGGGTCTTTTTTTCTAGGCCCTCCCCGGATCAAATACTACGTAAAAGGAAGTAGTTAAGTTTTCGTCCGCGGGTGCGAGCGAGAACTTCAACTGTCACACACTTAACTTGTTGAACTTACTCCCTTTTTTATTATCTATACTCCACGGTTAAGACGGCATAAAAGATAGAAAATACAAAGACGATATTTCATCTGAAGTACAAGAAAGTTTTGCTAAGATTACGATAAAAAAATATAAATTATTATATTTTTTTTCATCATGTTGCTCAACTAAAAAGAGGAAGAGATTCCCAATTTAACCTTGTTCGCCCTCACCTTCTTTTCTCTATTCCAACCTTAGCCAAGAGGAAATTACATCCACCAAAGCTTAAGATCGCGCTATTTTTTTTTTACACTTTGATCGCGCCCCCCTTTTATTTTAATTATAATTACTTTTATCTTTAATTTTATAGGATTGATATATCTCCAACGGAGCTTCGGCAATGCGTAACCTCCGGTCACTTCTACCTCCACTAAATTTCATCACGATACATTACACCTACTTCATCATCGTCCCATTGATCTCATCCGTCATATTTTGGGGTTCCTCAGACCCCAAGTTCAGCATCTCCTATGTTGACAGCTTATTTTTGGTCACCTCTGCCATGACAGAGGCTGGCCTAAATACTGTCAACCTCAGTCAGATGACCACATGGCAACAAGTCTTACTATGGCTTTTGATCATCATCGGGAGTTCTATTTGGGTATCCATTTGGACTGTCCTGGTACGCAAGCATGCCTTTGAAGTACGCTTCGAAGAGATCGTGCGAAAAGAGCGGAAGCGCCGACTAGAGAGGCGGAATCCAAGCCTGACTCTACTTCCCATCACTCACAGGCTTAGGACTTTTGGGAAGAGTAGGACGATGCCGCATGGCGGTGAGGGTATTCCTCCATGGGAACAACGCGGGGCCGTCAGCCTACCCGTTATATCCCAACCAAGCGACGGGAGACTTCTTTCTACCATTGCACCTACGGAACGGGGTGTCGGTCCGCGTGAAAACGCAGAACCCGATACCCGTCGATTGAGTCTTCCCCCCGCAGGAGATGTCGCAATAGCCCCCGCTGCTGCCCCAAATGCTACAGGGGGCGCCGCCACAGCAGCACAAGGAAATGTCGAGCACGTCGCATTTGTTGATGATCTTCATGACAGGGCTAGGTCGACCTCTATTGCCGCCAGCGGAGTTACTGCGCGGAGACATTTGTCTGGCACGGAAACGGCCGTCAGCCGCCACAGCTATTTAGGAAATCATAAAGTCGGGCGTAATGCTCAATTCCACGATTTGACGAGTGAAGAACGAGAAGAGCTCGGTGGGACCGAATACCGAGCTCTTAAACTCCTTTCTATCGTCGTTCCGCTATACTTCTTCCTGTGGCAATTCCTTGGATGCATCTCGCTCGGTGCTTGGATCTCTCATAATCTACCGCAACCCGCCTTAGATAATGCCATTTCTCCTTGGTGGAATGGCATTTTCAATGGCGTATCCGCTTTTAATAATAGCGGCATGAGCGTGCTGGATTTAAATATGATACCGTACGGAAGTGCGTATTTCGTGCTAATAGTTATGGGCGCGATGATTCTCGCTGGGAATACGGCGTATCCCGTATTTTTACGGTTGATTCTTTGGTCTGGCTGTAAGTGACCCCTTCATGGCATCCATATTCATCCCATTGTAGGAGTTACCCCTCTCTAGTATTAATACGTAAACGCCCTATGCTTTCACCCCTTTTTTTCTATCAACGCCCGTACAATTCGTAACAACCACTAACATAGAATATCGTAGTAAAGCTTTTGCAGCTTTTAACTTATCCAGAGGACTTGGTAGAATGGAAAGAGACAATCGAGTACATCCTCAAGTATCCTCGGCGTGTCTACACCAACCTATTCCCCTCGCGACAAACTTATTGGCTCGTTTTTATGCTCTTCGTGCTGAATGGTACCGATTGGGCTGCATTTGAAGTACTCAATCTTGGCAATTCCAACCTCGAGGAAACCCCGCTTGGCTCTCGTATCATCGATGGACTCTTCCAAGCGTTAGGTATGAATCAAGTCAATTTTTGTGGTGGTAATTGATACTGATTTTATCTGCAGCTGTCCGATCTGGTGGATTTTACGTGGTGTCGATCCCAACGTTATTCATCGGTCTACAAGTTTTATATGTTATCATGATGTCCGTCCCCCCTTTCCCATTTTAACACTTTCTTGGTACTGACACCGTCGCTTTGTAGGTACATATCCGTGTACCCGGTCGTAATAACAATGCGCCACTCCAACGTCTACGAAGAACGCTCTCTCGGCATATACGGCGAGGACCCTACTTACAATCACGCCCTAACACGTCCTATTTCGCGGGGGCAATCGGGTAACAACGCGGAATCCATGAGCCGCATGATCCGTCTTGCCTTCGCGGAGTGGTATGGTGTCGGCGCCGCACCAAACGAGAAAGAAAGTCGCATCAGCTTTATCAGCCACCAGATCCGAGGCCAACTATCACACGACTTGTGGTGGTTAGTCATCGCCGTACTGCTTATCTCTATCATCGAGACCAAGCATTTTATCGAGGACCCGGTTACGTTTTCCGTCTTTAATATCGTGTTCGAAGTTGTGTCTGCCTATGGTTGCGTTGGTATAAGTATCGGGTTACCAACAGCGAATTATAGCTTCAGCGGCGGACTCTTCCCTGGCAGCAAGTTGGTCCTGGCCGCTGTTATGATACGAGGACGACATCGTGGTTTGCCGGTAGCTCTTGATCGTGCTGTGAGGCTGCCTAGTGATGATATGCACATGGTCGAAGAAGAAGATCATCATATCCGTAGGTCTATGTCGGTGAGACGGCCAAGCATGGATACCGTATAATCAGGCAACTGCCGCATCATTTGCTCGCGGGAAATGTTGAGCCCAACCCAATCTCGTCTCCGGTTGTTTAAAAGCGTCGTCGCCGTCGATTTTTCGTTATAGCGGAGTTGGTATACCCGTTGTAGGATTTCGAACACGCTGGTGCTGGTAGATTTTCTACTCATTTGATGCCTATTCTTTGATCTTTCCACGACCTTATGTTTATGAATTCCTATTCATACTTCCACCTCAAATATATAAAGCGAAAAGCATGCGAATTTTCAATCATGACCCATAACGACCATTACGTTTGTATGTAATCTCCGCGCTAAGTCCCTAGTTCTGAGGTATCGGGTGTATGTTTTCACCCACGGACGTCGGCGGACCAAAGGCAAATAGAAAATAATTGCTCTTTATACATGTTACCATTCGAGGCAACACCTAAGTATATACACCTCATAAATATAAACATATCTTAACAATCAACCAAATGACAACTTTTTCTGTTTCGGATCATTAGAACTAGACCCTCGACTCCTTCTCTTCTCATTGCCACTTTTTAATTTCTTAGGAGGTGGCGCATCAGAAGATGGACTCCGCACAGAATCGCGCTGGACTGTGTCGCGGATGGCCTGCCTCGAGAGGCATAGATCAATATGATCATTGAACAGACGTTCATCGGTCGGCTGTGGTCGGCTGCAGATTGGACATTCCCACCAATCCTCCGGTTCCTCGGTAGGTGTTCTTTTCTTGGGGTTTGGGACGATTTCTTTGCCGTGGTGGCGATAAGTGTCGTCCTTCTCTAGTAGTTGATCTTCCGTCGTTGTACCGTTTATCTCGAGTTGCCCGTCGTCGTCTAACACTTCCCGTGGAATGAAGTCTCCCTCGACTTCGCCCATAACCGGAATATTCGCCTCATCCAGCACACCACTGCTAGTCCCAGGTCTCACAGGCTTCAGCCCGAAAAACGCACGGGTATCAGGTTTTTTCGTGCTAATCAAATGCGTGCACCTAAGCCCCATAAGCCGTAACTTCATGCCCGGCCTCTCCTGTTCCAACTTCGCCAATATAGGTAGCGAGTAATTATACAGATCATCCGCGGCGTGTATAGCTCTCGGCGTGACAACTTGTCTCGTTAGGACTTCGTACGTATGCAACTTAACCTTTAAAACCAGAGTCCGGCCTTTGCATTCCGCTTTTCGCATGTCTTTTTCCAATTCTTCGGCTGTCCATCGAAGTTTGTCGCGGAGTTGTTTGGAGTCGGACATATCGCGGAATGTGCTTTCTGTTCCGACGCTTTTGCGCTCGTATTCTTCTGCGGGTTGGATTTCGGTTCGGCCTAGGCCTAGATGGCACATTATTAGGAATTCGTAGGTCTTGTCGCCGAAAAGTTGACGCCTGTGATATGGTTAACACTGCGTATAAACGAACATAAGATGTTCTCTTGACTTGTTCGCTAGAAAACCGGCAAACTGTGCCAAATAAGGCATTTATACATACTAGACACATGTTAGTCTTATGCATCGAAGAACACGATTAAATCATTGCGTAAATCTTCAACACTTACCAAGTATTGACGGTAAGGATAAATATCACCACACGTTTTAACACCTATCTCCTGTAACTGGCGCTCTAAAACTCGTCCAACCCCATTAACCTTCCTAGTCGGAAGGGACTTCACAAAATTCATAATAGCGTTACGGTCATTAGGTAGTATATACTGTCCATTCGGCTTATTCATATTCGAACAAATTTTCGCCAATTTCGCATTCGCCGCGATTCCCGCCGACACCGTAATTTTCGCGTGTTCAAAAACCTCATCTCGCATCTGCTGAACGGCATCTTCGGGCGTCATATTATGCTCAACGCAATATTCGGTAATATTCAGGTACGCCTCGTCGATACTCGCACTCTCGAATCTAGGATCGTATTGCGCTAGGACTTCGCGAACTTCTTGTGCTTTTTGGGTGTACTTTTCGAAGTTGGGAGGGAGGAGGAGCAGGTCTGGACATAGCTTCTTGGCGACGAAGCCTGCCATTCCGCTGCGACAGCCAAATTTACGCGCGATGTAGTTGCAGGTCGTTAGGACACCGCCTCCGACAGCAAAAGGAAGTTCTTTGAGCTCGGGACGATCGAGTTGTTCGACAGCAGCGTAGAAGGCATCGCAATCGATGTGGACGATGTGTTGGGTCAGGTCGCGGGAGGCATCGAGTTGAGCTATGAATTGGTCGGCAGCTCGAAGTTCGCGGGTTAGGTCGAGCTTCTCTAGACGACGTTTCTTTTCTAATATTTGCTCGATCTTTTGGGTTAGGACTTTGTCTCTGACTTCTTCGTGGTTGAAGTATTTGGATCCTTTAGATGCGTTGTAGATGATCTCGGAAACCTAAGACGATATTTATTAGGATGTTATAGGGAGCACCTAAGCTATATGTATGAGAATTACCTTTGACTGATCAACCGAATCTTGGCCCGCTTTGGTGAGAGAAGGACCTAAAAGATGATATTTCAAGGTATCATGTTTGGATCCGTCTGCCTCAGCGGCTTTTGCTTCGGATTCCGGGATGGTGGGTTTCTCAGCCATTTCCACGCTTATGACTGGAATTATGGTACAATCCTAAATACGAGAAACCGACGAGGGTTTCGATACATTCCGGTCATATTCATGCCGTATGACCTTTGTACGAGATCGTTTTGTCGCGGGGATGCCTGATCACAAACGAACCGTGGCGCGTCATCAATTAAATGACCCGGTCACGACTCCACGTGACACAAAATCCTATTTAAATCCCTGCAAACGAAGCTGTGCTGCGTTACGTAATGTCGCATATAGTTCTCGGATTCTCCGATGGAAAACTCCGAGACCTTTCCTTTCCTAAACATAAACCATCGCAAACGAAATATCTGCCCAAGCAAGATTGTTAATTTATTTGATACTATTACTGGTATTCTATTTATTCTCGAGTGTACTTGATCCTATATGAAATTCTAATAGTAATCGCGTATTGTATGGAATTGATCTTTCACTCAACCGCTCTATTCCAACGACGATATTTCGGTGGGCTCGTATCCAAAACAGCCACGCTCAAATTGGGTAACGCAAATTGAAAGGTACCCTTCTTATCGGACTTGATCGTCGTTTTGCTCGTCTTGACAACATTCACACCGGTATACGGGCTGTTAATACCGTACGGGTTTTCAGGTCCCGTTAGAATAGTCAATTCGCCAGTTGTTCCAGCCTTGATCCCCTCAAAGGATAGCTTGACGGGGACGTCGGCACCATCCGTCGAGTTGTAAACCGCCGCCTTGAATATGTATCCACCTGTATTGGCATTCTTACCGGCTACATAGTACAGAGGGTCAAAGTCCGAAGTAGCTGGAAGTGTGTCTGTTAGGGTGTGCGCCGCGAATAGCTATTTATGAACAATATTAGTTCGTTGTTCTATCAAAGTCTCCGGAGCTGGTGGGGGTCAACTTACTTCCCAGACGTACCAAGACGTCGATCGTGTAACCGTGTCAGCGGTGAATTGTATCATGGTTATCGCCCACTGCCAGCGGTTCACTACAACATGTAAGTCAATAACATCTTCTCAAAAACGAAAAGGCAGGAAATAGCACATACTGTTTCGAATAATTGGTGCCTATAATACGCCAGCCAAAGCCCGTTAGTACTTCCGATCAATACGACATTTTTCGCCCTGTTTGAAGGACTTACATATGCTGCACCAATGATTCTGTCCGAGTTGCGTTCATACCCAATGAGCGATACGGCCTCACCGACAGCACCTCCCCACCACGGAAATGGTTGCTGAGGACCATCCCAGCCAGTGCCGCCATTAGGATGAATAGCAGCCATCTCACCAACAATATGCGGCGTCGTGATGTTATCAAACTTGTTGAACTCAGAAACAAGAGTATCTGGTTCGGCATAAACATGATAGTCGCCACCTGCAGGCTTGGGGATATTATAACCATCATAGTTCGATCCTGAGGATATGACCTGGATATCAGGATATGCCTCATTAATTGCGCTAAGGAACTTCGGGAACCGATATTCCTTGAACGTGTCCCACCCCTCGGGTGCACCCGAGAGCCAGTCCTCGTTGCCAACCTCCACGTACTCGAGCTTCCACGGCTCGGGATGACCCAACTCGGCGCGGACAGAACCCCATTTCGAATCTACTGGCCCTCGAACGAATTCAATTTGGTCTAGAGCGCCGTCGATGAATTTCTGCAATTGATCTTCTGGCGTGATATCCCCATTGAGAGAAAGGCCGTCGTAGACAGCCAAAACTATTATCGCGTAAGAGGGTGAACACTACTGGGACCGTATGACAGGGGCAAAGACTCACCAACGGTCGTACCGAGATCTTCAGCGAACTGTAGGTATTCGTATAAACCCAGACCATTAGTTTGCTGATAACCCCATACGCCGGTGAAGCCAGGTCGATCCTTTAGGGGACCAAGTGTGTTCTTCCAGTCCCACCAGGTCCTATTCGTCAATCCTTCGAGCACTACAACCAATTAGCATTAAATTTCCCTCATGGGGGTGCCAAGTTTCTGGAATGTCGATGAATTGAATTAAAACGTACTGTTGCCTCCCGGAATACGGAAAAGGGTCTTTCTCACTAGTCAGTACATGCTTCATGATAATATGCCACTAAGCTGACTCACCGGATGAAATCCTTCTAACGCTTCAGCAATATCAACACGCATACCGTTCTTTCGACCCTTATACGTAGGGGGAAACAGACTAATCAAGTTGAAGTCAAGCGAGCCATTGCCTACACTCTACAAGGTCACCATTAGCCTATCATATACAAACACCAAGAAAAATACATATTATACTCACCGAAGCATCAAACGTAATAGCGAAAGTATTATTAGCATTAGGAGCGTTTTTCGACGGCGTCAACTCGAAATCATGCTCAACCCATTCATCAGAGGTAGCACGGGACTTGACCTTCACCGATCCAAATGTTTCACCGGTGATGTTGGACTGCAGCGAAGCAGTAAATTTACCCGAATAGTTGCCCTTGACCCAGAACGAACCGGTGTACTTCTGGCGCGCCTTCACGTTTATACCCCAGTACCCGTCGTTTCGGAATCCGACTTGGCCTTGCTTGTTTGTGGCAGCGACGTTTAAGGATGTGATTAATACATCGGACAACGGTTCACTGAGGTTCTTGAGTAATAGCTTAGCGCCGTCGACTGAGTGCCATCCATCTAACGTAGCAGGATAGCGTTCGCTGATTTGGAAAGCTCGGTTGCGGATCAATTCAGCGTAGAGGCCTCCGTCTCCTGAGTTATTGATGTCCTATTCAAACGGGTTAAGAACCATACAATTGCACGCCAGAGAACAGGGGTAGCATACCTCATGTAAGAAACCATACTGGTGACCATTCGTAGCATTACCACCAGTCGAGCTTACAGAGATATCAATAGCAGCAACCAGGGAAGCTGCACAGGCAAGGGTGCCAACCAACGTAGGCAACTTGAAGAGCACCATCTCGACGGAGAATTTCAGGATTCAGGAAGGTGCTGTTACCAGGAGCTTTCAGAAGCCTGCACGCTGCATCCCTATTCCTTCGAAAGGGCCGACATCAGCCTTATATGACGATGCAAACCCCTTCCTTAATCAAGGATCTCTGCCCATGGAGTATGTATGCGGAGAAGCATACGCCTCGAACGTAGACCCGCATCTCACGTAGCAGCGGAATAAATAACAAAGTCAGCCTAACCCACGATCGATATACGCGGTCCTATGAAATCTTATTCCGGTTACCAAGATCCGGGCACGGGGCCTTCGTGACGAAATAGCCATATCCCAAATTTCTAAGGTGCCTAGGAAACTCCAATGTTGGTTGACATGGACCCCCTCGGCAGCTTCAGGACCGAGTGTAACCTCGATCCATGGACGCGGACCGGAATTCCCTTTCCTCAGTGGTGGAATAGCGCCGCCATGAAGAAATTCGGGGTAGGTAGCAGAGGTGGAGAGAAACAAGGGATCTAGTGCTTGGAGTTATGTTGATCCACTTTGAATCTCGTAAACTACGACGTTGCCGCGCAATTCTTGAGCACATTGGAAAGGGTCCGTGCTATAGGTACCGAAGTTGGAGAGCTCCCATCGGGGAATATGTCGTATGAGGTGTATGTGCACAAACATAAACAACAATGAGCGAACAGTTCTAGCCTATAATGTTACTGTAGTTTCTCTCATTACGTCTATAAATCTAGTTCACACGAGGTGGATATAAATATCACCGTTAGCAGTTCTCATGAGATCAATTGAGAACGAGATATTCAATTTCTCCACGCCAATGGAGTGGCATGTCATGAGGGGCCTAAATAGACTGAGATGAGACAGTATAAAATCATAGCGGCACTGTATATCCCCTCCTCCCCGATGACGAGCTCTGGCGGTCGGTTACTCTTCAACCGACACCCAAGAAACGACATGTATATATTCCTGCAATACCAATACATATTGGCAGCCAAAATAAGTTCTCCGACTATTGTCCCATTCTCCGTCCAATGTTGCGATTATGAGTCGCATGATAGATGACGAGCTTCCAATTCATCTCCATCTAGTACCTTCCGATCAGATCCGTAAAATCGTTATTGGTTCAACCCCGAGGAAATCATTTAAGCACCACCCTCCCGCTTAGCATATTCATCCTCAATAGCCTCTTCATATTTCTCCTCGGGCGATCGAGGGTCTTCGTGAAGAACACCTTCCTTGATGAGCTTTTCGGGTGATGGTCGGTGGGAGATTTTGTCGTTTAGCGAGTCGGCGCGCATATGCTTCTCGAGCTATGTAATTGGGCAAACCAGTCAATTTCATTCATCTATTATCGGCTTAGAGGGGGAGAATATGTACCTCCTTCTGCTTTTCTTGCAGGCTGGGAGCAGCGTTTGAGGCAGGTAGAATGTTCTCTATGACGCAATGAGGTCAGCTTGGTTACTCCGTCTGGTGAGGCTGTTGCTCGAACGGGGTAGCCATACTTTCGACAAGTTCAGAACGTTCGGGACGTTGCTTCAAGTGTTGTTCGAGTGAGTTCCTTCGCTCAATAGGGGAGATGGGGGATTCGTCAATGGCGGACTGGGGCTTGTTCTCGTCGGCCATGATGTCTGACTGTTCTGTGTTTGCTTGTAGTTGGGGTAGGTGTTTTAATCGTGGGTTTGTATGTTACGGGTATTATAATTTGAAGTTGTAGAAGGAAACAATGGAATTGGAGATGCGGCAGCCTTGAAGTGTTTATTGAGGCAAGGAACAAGGGGCTTATATTAGAAGGGGGGAAGAGCTATGCTGCTATGGAAAAAGGCTGTTACATGCGTTGTCGCATGCCACCGTCAGGTCATTTGAACCTTGTAAACAATGAACCCATCAGCTGAAAGCGTCAGGCGTTGACGAGCAACGAAGCTGGGGGCTAGGAGATTCAGGTGGTATCTACCCCGCACTCCCGCTATACAGCCCACTAAAAACAAGCTCACATCAGCGAATTGTAACCCGCAACGAGGTCGTCATATGGTGACGTAGAGAGCTATAGAAGTACCTATACATTTATATTCAGCGCTTGCTACAGTATAATGTTCGTACCTGAATACACCCTTAATTATTATCGGTTACATAAAGCCGTTGGTAAAAAGCTGTTTACTTTTATGCAAAACAAACACAGCCTTACTTCTCAATCTTCTCATCTTCAACTCACAATATTTATTGTTATCCTCGATCCGATTGACCACCCGTTGCTGAGCATTAGCATCTTACCTCAGATACTACACCAAAATGCAGTTATATCTTTCTAGATGTAAACTGGCCGAATGATCTCTACCGAAACGAATAAGCAGACCTTTCGATATGCGGGAACTGCCCTAAAAAGAGCTCAAGCATTCGCAATACGACGCTCATCAGTCAGCGTCGAAAACGATTTCCTGCTCCTAAGCTCTGCGATCCTGTTTCGACGAAATTCATACGCAAGAAGGTTCCTATTGGCGATTCGTACTTCCTTAAACATCGCTATACACACCAAGGCTCCCTTCAGCACTGTCGAGAATGCCACCAATCATTGGTTCGAACAATCAGCGAGCCTCTCGAAAACTTGGCGGTGCAATACCAAAGTAGATACGGCTTCTATATGGTTAGTCAGCGCACAACTTCAACATTCGGATATTCGCGTAAGTAAGTACTTGAACCGAGTTAGAATATTCATACGAATCCTCCCGCAACATGCCACCAGAAACTCCTTACATGGTTTAGTACCGTGTGTAACAATATAAGCAAGCTCAAACTTTTGAACTCCTAAGTTATAAGGGATATCGTAAGGATCTTTCCTAAATCGATATGCAGGAATATATTCGAAAGAGAGTCGTCTCTAGTTACCGCGCATGAAGCTTTGGATGTCAGGATCAGGTCCAACATCGAAGAAGGGGACAAGCAGAGTAATAGCAATGGGTGTTGTCCAAGTTTCGCTTGAAAGTATAGTCTTCAGGTCATACGATTATTCCTCCGTGAGCTGCAGCATTCCATCACCGCCAGGAACGAATAGGTGACCGGAACCGAACCGGAGCCAAATTCGTCCCCCGTCCCCGTCCCCTTCACCTTGAAAGGTCAAATTTCGGCGGCTTAAACCCGTATAGAATCCACGGTTGGTTTGTGTAGCATTGCATCTTCGAGGAATGGCGGAAGTACGAGAGTTCCAACGATGCCACCATATACTACCGTAACATTCAACATCATTGGCGCTCGGAACATGTACACTGATTATAATACCTTGGACTATAGATTCGTATGAGAGCTATTCCAGGGGTACATATTGGACCCCTAATTGGAATTGTGCTCACACTGAAAGCGTGACATAGAAAGAGAAACAGGAAGTAAAATATCTATATATGTAAGAGCAATATAGAATTTGGGAAGAGAGACAACTTGGAGATATCATTCCACATACTAGTAAAGAAGAGGAACCTGCCACCGGGTTAGGAGCCTCTTTTGGTATACTAACACAAGTGAATATCTAATTCCGTTTAGTCACCTTTGCTTGTGATAGTATTGTGGAAGCCATCCACAATAGTCACAACAACGAACACTCGAATTGGCTCCGCAGACTTCTTCAAAGTCACAAGATCGCGCAAGACTTCGCCGCAACCGGATCTAATTGTATCGCACGGCTATTACTTCGGTATAGTGTAGTCTCACGTCTTCTATTATCATGGTGTGCGATACGCAAAATACAGCCTTATTCGCTTGACAAGTTCCCACCGACCCATGTGTGAATTACCTCTATGTGGACCTCCCCTTTCGTTGATAGGAGAGTCGAATTCGTGAGCGGTGACGATTGACCCCCACTTACCGCTAAACTAACGAGTACCCGGGATTACCTGAGTTGGGGTTCATTTTGGTTCGTTGTTCCCTATAAGGAGCGCCGCCGAGGACCCTGATTCCTTACAGTGTCGCATCGGAGCAACGGCGTAGACAAACCTGCATACGTGCATCATATGCAGAGGGGGGACAGTCAGTCAGGATGAAGTCCCGGTTGGATATGATGTCAAATTTGGTGGGCCAGTGCGATTGCAAGTTAGACCCTGAAGTTTTCGTGCCGCGAATGAAGCGACTCGGATAGGGTTCCTAAATAGTCACCCAACATTGACGTTATTCGGTTCTTTGAGAAGAATGGCTAAGGTGGTATTTGGTATCATTGAGTTGGGTGACTATAATTGCATTATTACTTAAACGTAAGGGGGGCGGTATCGGTATTTTTGATGTCATTGTGTATCAATTCAGAAGAATTGGCTTAAAACACATCTAGTTGCATGAAAATCTGACGATCTTGAGCTGGCCGGCCTTTTTTCCCCCAACACACTTGATAAGACTAGTTCCATGTCAGGGCCGTTTTCTTGGTGATAATGGATGGGAACAAAGAAAGCTAGGTTAGTACATACATGAGGTGTGTTATCGGAGGTCCACCGCAAGCTTTCTCACTCGAGAATCGGGACTCGAAGTTGCTGTAGTTAGTAGGATTGTCCCATTTCCCACATTTCAAGCTACAAGTTTATAAATACATACGTAGTTCTCCAGACCGACTCTTGAATATTCTTTCCTTTAGTAGTTTTATACATCTCCTAGTTTCCCCCCAGATACCATGAGTGTTGAGCAAAGAATATCCGATGGGGATCACCCCGAACCCCCTTATCCCCTCCACGAATCTATAGTCAACCGCATCAACCCCCAGTATGCAGACTTCTATAATAAGCACATCATAAAACATCAACAAGTTCATCTACAACCCATAGAAGCCTCACGTGCAAGTGGGACTCTAATCCCGGGTGCTGGTCCTCTAGCTCCTGTCGCCAAAGCACATGACTATGTTGTCCCGCGACAAGAGACAGAAGGCCCAGGCGTTAGAGTTCGTGCCTTCACACCACAAGGGACGAAACCCGAAAATGGGTGGCCCGTCTGTGTTTACTTTCACGGCGGTGGCTGGGTCCTAGGAACCATCGATACGGAAAACGTAATAGCAACAAATCTATGCGCTCGCAGCCAATGTGTTGTCGTCGCCGTGGACTACAGGTAAATCTCCACCAACTCCAATATTTCAAACTTCAAATACAAGACGCTAACATCTCAATTAAGACTCGCCCCTGAAAACCCCTTCCCCGCCGCAGTAGACGACTGCTGGGAAACCGTGCTCTGGGTCCTCAGCAAAGGCCAAGAAATCCTAGACCTAGACACCAGCAAACTAGCCACCGGCGGTTCCTCCGCGGGCGGCAACCTAGCAGCTATAATGTGCCAGCGCGCAGCCACCCTCGGCACCTTTAACTTTTCCCTACAACTCCTCTCCGTGCCCGTAACCGACAACACCGCCAACCCGAAAAACAGTAAATCGTGGAGTGAAAACGAGCACACGCCCGCTCTCCCCGCATCCAAGATGCTGTGGTATCGAAACCATTATTTACCTAACAAAACAGATTGGTCGCATCCCGAGGCCAGCCCGCTTTTTTGGGAAGGCGATTGGGCGAAGTTACCGCGTGCTGTTATTGTCGTTGGTGAGCTTGATGTGCTGAGGGATGAAGGAGTGCAGTTTGGTGAGAAGTTGAGGAGTAAGGGTGTTCGCGCGGATACCCATTTGATGAAGGGACAGCCGCATCCGTTTATTGCGATGGATGGCGTGTTGGATGCTGGAAGGGAGTCGATTACGTATTTCTGTGATGCACTTAGGGAAACGATGTACCCTGAGTCTAATTCGGAGGCTTGATTAGGTGGAAGGAGGGAGTATGCTGGTTTTCGGAACTAAAAGGTGTTGAATGTGTGTACGAAGAGTACGATAGATTATTAATGCAGAAGCCTAATATTTTTATCTAAGATGTTATCCATTGCTAAAGTGAATTCGATTGCAAAGTGAGACAAGATGGTTGAATGATGAGATATAACCGCTTGGTCGATAATTACTGTGTCATTAGAAGTATGATGGGTTACTGTCGCTTCTGTTGTTTGTAGAATATGAAGTGAGGTTCATATCGATGGCATGATACTTGCAAGTAAGATCAAAATTGTGTATTTTTTTAGACGATGAATATAGCTACATGATAGAGCTAAAGCGACAATTGCGCATTTTCATCTTGATTTTTTTCACCGATCCAATGCTGTAAGTGGTGTTTTTCCACCCCTTCGCTCGGCTACCCCTCTACCGTAGAAGGCGGGTTTCATTCAATAAGTCGCAGTGCACTCAATCTCAACATCAACATTTAACGGCAATGTCTTTACCGCGACACAGCTATAGATGGTTAGCAGTGGTTTTGAGTAAGCGCGCCAATAAGGAATTTAGAATTACTTACGTCCTGCATGGCTTTACATCACCCCAGTATTGACTGTAGATCTCGTTCATAGCTGCGAAATCATCCATGTTGGAAAGGAAGACATTGACCTTGACCACTTTGTTTAGGTCGGATCCAGAAGCTTCAAGGATAGCAGAAAGGTTCTTGATGCATTGATGCTATTCAAATGAGAAACGTTAGCGGACCTCGGCATATCAAATCAAGTTAAATTCGGCGATTCAACTGACAGTGTGCGCTTGGATGTCCCCATCAACTATTTTCATGGTCTCAGCGTCCATGGGGACAGCGCCGGAGACGAACACAAAACCATTGGCTTTGATAGCTTGGCTGTAAATTCCAGCCAAGGGCTTAGGAGCCTTCTCGGTTAGAACAGCTGCCTTTTCAACCATCGTTTCTGTTTATCGTATTGTTCGGTGAAATCAAGATGTCGGCTGGGATAAGCAAAAATAATGACCCCGGATCGCTTCGGTCAAGGCTTGAACAAGGTGGGGGGTAGGTAATTTGGTGAACACAGGGGAGAAGGAATCTGCATCAATATAAGCACAGAAATGGTAAGAGGGGGAAAGGGGGGAAGACAGCTCGTCCTCCGTACCGGCGTGTTTAGTTAAGACATGGCGACGAAGTATGTACTACAATAGTCAATAGCTGTACACCACTGACGTGTAAGTGGAGAGAAAAGATAGAAAGGATAGAGAAGAGAATGGGGGGAATGGGGGAACGAGTGTCACACGAGCTTCTTACCCCCACGTAACCCCATCGTATCCCCATCATAACCCCAGACCCCCAAAGAGATTTGCATGGAGGTGCATATTGGGAATACCTGAAGGTAAGTAAGGCTTCGTTGGGCCGACTTGGCTCGACTCGACTGATCGATTCACTTACCTTGCGTGGGTATGGGGTATGATGGGGTATGATTTGGTGTCCCGTATATGCGACTTGTGAATCACCTACATACCTAGGTACATATATGTATGTATATACACATTCGGGGCGATACCCTTTATACATATGTAGGTATTTCGTGAGATAGCCTTTGAGTTTTATTGATATGTGATCGATCTCTTACTTAACCTTTCCTCCACCGTCACTTACCAGCTTACCAGTGCTACTGTACTTCTAAGCAAGACCAGAGTTAACTAGTCAGCTAGTCTTATCATGAAACAAGGGTTACGCCCGTGGAGGCGGCTATCTAGTCCAAGCTTGGCAGGATCTGCTGTACGACCTGTGCGTATCTCGGTGATTCTGTACAAATTTCATTTATCTACCGATGTACAGATATGTAACAGATATGTAAAGATAACGACGGCTAATACCGCCCGATATGGAAGGAAATCTAGGAAACCTTGGAATGCCCGTCATAAGCACAAGGCAGGATGAGTGGCTTGTCCTTGGTTACATGCGAAGAGGAAAATAATAATAATACTGATTATATCTCGTAACAATGTACCTGCGATGTCTTTGTTCCCTCGGTTGATCTACCGATACGCAACGTAGCTTTGCGTGGATGTCGCATATCCTACGATAGATATATTTACTTGCATTCCAGGGACTTTTCGTTTCCATTCGCGATACCACTCAAGCTACTCGGTTCTCGACGTCTCTGTACACAATGGCGGGTGTCAATTCTGTCGGTATCGTGGACTCGGATTCGATCCCAGTTAAGAAGGACCCGATTTCGAATACCAGTAACGATGTCGAAAGTCATGTCGTGGTTCGCGAAGACGAAACAGCAGGCGTCATTGATAGGGCTGCAGAGAGGGCACTCTGTCGCAAATTCGACCTTCGTCTATTGCCTGTATTAGCGATCATGGTAAGTTATTGGAAGCAACCGGTGTAAACCTCATTATGGCCAGCTTATATAGAGGATGACCTATCATACCATCATTCCTATATGTAATTGTTTCGTTTGAATACCTACTTATAATCTTCGTTCAAGTATCTGTTCAATGCACTCGATAAAGGCAACCTAGGAAACGCGCAGACCGCAGGACTATCCAAAGGTAAGCGATCAAGTCCTCTCCCGTTGCATGGCTCAGCTAAACATCATCTTCATCTCAGACTTGAACTTCAAACCGGGACAATATAATCAAATAGTCGGAATATTCTTCGTTCCCTATGTCTTATTTGCGCCACCTCTTGCGATGGTGGGAAAGAAGTACGGACCGGCGCGCGTCCTCCCTATTCTGATGTTCTGTTTCGGCTCATTCACACTACTCATGGCGACAGCGACAAATTTCGGTGGCATCTTCGCGCTCCGATGGTTTCTAGGGGTAACCGAATCAGCTTTCTTTCCTCTCGTCATCTACTACCAGACGACCTTCTACAGACGCGGCGAACTCGCGCGCCGTCTAGCCGTCTTCTACGCCGCATCCAACATAGCCAACGCCTTCAGCGGACTCCTCGCATTCGGCTTACTTCGGATCAAGTCGGATCGAGTAGACCATCCCTGGCGGTGGCTCTTCATCGTCGAGGGTAGCGTTACCGTGTGCTTTTCGATATTCGCGTTCTTCTATTTACCTCGAAGCGCCGCCGAGGCTCGATTCTTGAATGAGGAGGAGAAGGCGCTTGCGTACCGCCGTATACAAGTGGATAGCTCGTCGATCGTCAACGAGAAGTTCGTGTTGCGGGAAGCGCTCAAGATCTTCAAGAGACCATCGGCGTACGGCTTCTTGTGTGTTGAGATATGTCTCGGTGTACCTTTGCAGGCCGTCGCTCTGTTCTTGCCGCAGATTGTACAGCGGATTGTCAGCGACACGGTTACGATTAACTTGTACACTGTTGCGCCTAATGTCACAGTAAGTAAATTCGTCGTCTAACATCGCGGCATACCTAACCTGACTTTCTGAAAGGGTGCGGTTATGTTGCTTATCCTCGCGTTTACATCCGACGCTTTGCGAATCCGATTTCCCTTCGTATGCCTTGGATTCGCATTTACGTTCATCGGTTTCATCATATATGCAGCGCTCCCAGATGTTCACGCGCAAGTTCGAGTCGCATATTTCGCAACGTTCATGATGTGTTGGGGAACATCCGCACCATCGGTTCTACTAAGTACTGTAAGTTATGGCTTGCGAAGCCCTCCCCATTTGGGTGTTCAGTATCAAGCATCATATGCCCTACTAGCACCCCTCCAAATGCATTTACATGCTCATCTAACCTCTTTCGTAGTGGTATAACAACAACGTAGCGCACGAAGGCGAACGTCTAATATTGACATCGGTCGGAGTCCCTCTGGCGAATCTCATGGGATTGGTACCCAGCTATGTATTCCAAGAAAAGGATGCACCAAAATATGCACCCGCTCTTATTACCACAGCATGCTTTGGGGCTGTCGGATGTCTTGTTGCGGGAACTTTGGGACTTTACATGACATGGGATAATAAGCGACGCAATCGTCGGCAAGGCGTAAACCTCACTGCGAAGGATGTGCCAACCATGCAATTAAGAGATGGACCTCGGGTAGAAGAGTTCAGATGGTTCTTGTAACGGTGTAGGCCGGCGATGGACTCTTTTCGAGTCTACTTCGAAGGTTATCAATATCACAAATTGGAAAATAAAAGTATGAATTCGACTCTTTGATTTATTTTACTGTGAGCTGTTCCCCATTTATTCGCCTATTTAACCATCCCTTGCCTAGCCCGCCAGCATAATATTCATGGGCCCATTTCCCATACATTTCTGTGTACCCGTCCTTCCGATATCGTGCGCCAAAGGTCCCGTAAATGCAATGATCCTCATCCAAGCTCCGGTCTATAACTCCATCTCCGACAAACCAATCCCTGAATCGAAACGAGCATGCGTTGGGCTCTTAATACCATTTCTCTGGTCTTCCGCGATCCTCCTGTACTTCTCATTGTCAAATTTCCAGATCATCTTATCATGCCCATCCGCCGCTATGGCCTTGTCTTGTATCGAGAGCCTGTCTGCTATAGGATCCTCCTCGACATGTCGGAAATATCGCCTCGCCCAAGTCTTCCCTGCTTCCCGCTCTTGCTTACGTAGCGCCCGCTGTGCGTTTTCGATTTTACTCTTCTCGTGGCCCACGGCGAAAATATCGTTCGAATTAATAGCATCAACAACATGCCTCCACGCACGTCTAGACTCAAGCGGATGCTGTGAATCAAGCGATGCAACCTGAAATGGCGTCCTCCGCAACGCAGTCAAATCAACCGTCTCCAGTACCTTCCCCTTGCCCGTCTTAACCATATATGAATCATTCCACTGCCCTTCTAGAACATACAAAGGCTTGCTTTCGTCATCGTCGCGGTATAAAGTAGCGTTAAACGAGTTGCTCTTCCCCTTTAACCAACCTTTACACGAGTAATTGATGCGCGCCGTGTAGCCCGAGGAACTGCGTATGTACGATACACCACTGAGTTCGGGCGCGATTTGGAACGTCACTAGACCCTCGACATGCGCCTTCGGCATCGTGATCCAGTAGTCTTCGTCGTATTGGTCGATGTGCAGGATGCTATACCCCTTTCGCTCGATATTTATAGTTGACGAGAAATACGCCTTCGGCGCGACATGTCCCTCAAGCTAACCCCATGTCAGCAAAACACCAAGTACAAAAACATACATATACAAATAAAGTAGTAGAAGCCTTACGCTGACGCCATGCGCATCGTTCCAGATCTTAAACGCCGTTGCCGGTGGGTGGTGGCTGACTTGTTCCGTCACAAGATGCGTCGTTCCCGCGCTATCATGCCATTTCCCTACGAATAGCTCACCTAAGAATGGGTTCAGGGGCTTCATCTTTTTTCGCTTGCCGTTTTCGTCTTTGCTCGCGTGTTGATGGCGGAGTGTGCTGATGAACCATTGTAGGACTTTTAATGATCTTTTTTCGGGGCATTCTTCTCGGGCGGGTGATACTAGGAGGCTTGGGTGCTCGGCCCAGTATGTGCTGAATTCGACGATGGATTGGGGAGCAAGTAAGAAGGGTGGTGCTGTTAGGGATGTGAGATCTCCTTTGAATGTGGCGACAGACTTGAATAGAAAGTTAGCAGATCAATTTGAAGAGAAAATTGGGTTTATTGTACCTTGATGAACTGAAACCAAGCTGATTTATGAGATTGCTCGTCTCTCTTTTCGTCGCACTTCACAGAAGTGAGTTGTAAAGACATATTGAATTACCCAGGGAGTTGACCTGCAGCAGTATATAATTGTATAGTTCAAGAAAGCATATAAAGGCTAGAAATATTATCTATTAAGTTTTGTTTCGAAGAATACCTAATGACGGCTACAAACAGAATGGACGGGAGAAGGACACTTATAAGAGAATATGATAAGACTATGAAACAAATCAGGACATCAACCGTCTTATCACACGTCCTTGCATTTACATTGTGACGGTCACTGCGTCATGGATATCTTTAAAGGACATTTCCCTCCATACAGCTTAAGTAAACGGCAAGCCTACATATGTTTCCTGCATGGTGAATTGAGACGTCGTCTGCTTCATATGCTAGGATAGGACATATCCATGGATGAAAATGGAGCTTCTGTGGAGCTGGGGGTGAAAACCCCCATGTTACCTAGGTATTCGTCTAGGGTTCCTGGTTTCAACTACGGTGCCTTGGTGCGCCCTAGATAACTGCAGACCGTAAGCGTAAAACGGCCACTACGTTAACCATATTAAATTTTTTAAAAGAATGTAAAATATATTTTTATAATATATTTATTAATTATATTAATTTTTTTATTTTTTTTATTTAAATATTATAAATATTAATAAATATATTATATAATTTTTTATAAAATTTAACTTAGTTGACGCTTTGGCCGTTTTCGCGCTATCTTCCGCTGTCGAATTGCGTCTCTACATTGGCTCTATTTAACAAATAGGTTCGTAGCCACCTAGAGCAGACCGTACAGGTTGCGGAATGCGTCTTCGCTGGCCGTTCTGGGTACCTACCTGGTACCCATTTGGTCCCAATTGTGTAACGCGAGACCACAGCGAAACAAACCTGCCAAAAAAAAAAAAAATCGTTGTTTATCGACGGCAAACACAGTGTGCATGTGCTATTTCTCTTTTGCCACTTTGGTCAGCTTGAAAATACCATAAATGCCTAGTTTATACCATCCGTTTCCGTGCATGCGACAAGAAGCGTAGCATAACCAAGACGAGCACTCCGGCTCTTGGCTAGATCTAGTCATCATGCCAGCAGCCACAGAATTTCCCCTGTTCACTCGGCTACCGATAGACCTGCGACTCTTCATATGGGAGTTTGCCATCCTTGATCATAATCGAGACCGGCTTGTGCCAATCAACGAGGAAACGAAGCGAGTGATATGCATCGCCAATATCGCAAACTCTCTGTTCTTTCGCGTCACTTCCGAGAGCCGCAAGGTGTCTCAACAACTTTATCACATCCGGCTTCCCGTCTTCTGGAAAGTGCACGCCCCCGATCCGCAGCACAGGGCCGTGGACGAGAACATGGAAGACAACCCTGACGAATGCCACGGTCACATTTACATTAGCTCTAAACACGATACTTTCGTCTTCGGCCTCGACAGGTTGGCGCCCCATCACATCGACGAACATTGGTGGCTCCAGAAACCGCTAGGCGGCCCGCCCAATTTTGGTTGGAGGTCGGCTGGTCTTACCCAGCCACAATGCCTAAAGGTTCGACGTATCATGCTGTTCAACTCCGTCAATACACTTTGGCTGAAAGATGGGTGCCACAATACGCTGCGTTGTGCTGTCAGGTGTGGTGCGCTAGACGGGAAAGCTTGGCACGACGAGGGAGCCTTCCCAGGCGTTCAAGAATGCATTTATGTGCCACTGGAAGGGGAGGCGTACTGGGAATCTGTCTACCTATACGCATACATGCTCGATAGGCCCGGTCATAGGGTCCTAGCAAGGCTGGGTAGGGGCAATCATCTTGTCTTCTTCGATAAAGAACAAATTACGGAGGCCCGAAACCAGTCCTCAGTGTGCGTCTGTAACGACGAGGAAATCCGAGAGAGGGAAGTAACTTGGTGATGACGCGGCGGGCTACACGAGTAACCTAGGTACCTGGTATCTGCCTAGGTAGTTATTTAGCTATGGATGAAGCTTTTACTACCCTGTCTCTGATATGCCATTCCGCGCAACTACTTATTAAGGTGCATTATTATGTGATGAATGGTTCTTTGGTGAAGCTTTTCACCGTCGTACGATCTGAGAACTGGGCTTTTTACACAGCTATAGTCCACAGGTAGTCTATATAGGGAGCGTTGTCCCGAAATAATTGGTATAGGCGGGTCTGGCGATTGATATCGAGAGATCGTGTCTTGGTGAGGGAGAGGGCTTTGGGGATGGGATAGGGCTTGTGCTCGTATTCGGGTGAACCTGGTCCAACTCCGGATGGGATGGGATGCCAGTTTCTACCTCGTGGTGTAAACAGGTCCAGGCCAGGCCCATCATTATGTACCTTAACAACAGGATAAATAGCCCTGCCATGTGTGGAATCTGGTTCTTCTTGTTGGGGGAAGAGGCTCGTCCAATTAGACAACAGTGAGAATCGACAGGCGAGATCCTCAGCTTGAGATTGGCTAAACTTGCGATTGCCTGAGATCGACTTATGGATGTATGGAACCATTAGATCCTCAGTTGAATCTTGTTCTAGATCATCTAGGAGAGCTCGTACCGCGAGGCTGTGAATTAGGGTTATCGAAGTAGCTATTCGGCATAGATCAGGCTGTCGAAGAAGCTTGCCGAGAATCGCGGTGGCAGAAGGATTGCCTTGGTGGGTTGCACGGCATATGCCCGAGAACTCTCGGTGACCTATCCGAGCCGACGACGCTTGGACCATTTATTAGCCACACTTCAAGCGATTCAAATACTGCGCCTCCTCAAAGGGAAATATTTTGGAAGCTTTCTTAACTAAGACATGACGTATTAATGCATCTCATTCCTAAGAAGATATTAGATAGCTACATCAAAATAATCTTATCCCTCTCCAGCCGCAATATCCTTTCCAGAGTTGGCCAGAGCTCCGCCCGAAGTCGGTCAGGCTCAGGGTGGAGGTCCTATAAGACTTAGTCACCTTTATGATCAGCCTTGGTCTCATCACCTTTCGCGATCTTGTCCAAGTACTCCTGATAGGTGGGCATCCCCTGGGGCATGCCGGTCCAAGCCAAGTCCTGCTCCTCCATGGCCTTCTTCCTCGCATCGGCGATCATCTTCCAGGAGTCCCTCGACGTCATCCGGTCATGCCAAGCTTGCACATTCGGGATCTCTTTGAATCTGTCCTCTGCCACCATTGGGATGCATTGGTGAAGGATGTCGTTCCAGGGAACGAAGGACAAGTCGGCGTAGGTCATCTTCTCGCCAACCAACCATTCCTTGCCCTCGAGCACGCCGTCAAGGACGCCGAGCTGTCGCTTGCATTCGTTATTGAAGCGATCCTGAACTGAGGCTATCTTCTCCGGATGAAGGAAATTGAACCTGGTTGGGTTGGGTTAGAGGTGCGTATACAAGTGATTTACCTGGGAAAATATGGAGAAAACGCATACCAGCCGGCGTGGTGAAAGAATGGGCCTTGCAAGCTCATCTGGAAATGGAGCCATTGGTTGAGTGCGTGCTTGTCCTGTACTCTGTCGTCCGGATACGTCAACTTAAGGTCCTTGTCGTACCGTTCTATAATGTATGACACAATGGCACCTGATTCCCATAGAACGACGCCAGTATTGGGATCCTCGATGGCTTAATGAATCAATTGTTAGCGAGGGCAATCTGATTGGGATGGTGGCGCCAAGGTAGTATAGCAATGAGACTCACCGGGGACAGAAGCATTCGGGTTGAGGTTAATGAAGGGCGGCTTCTTAATATCGTCAAAACGGAAAGCCACAATTTCATAGGGAACTTGAAGCTCATTAAGGACAAGGACAACTTTCCAAGGGTTGGGAATGGTCGGCGTAAGCCATACGCGAATAGGCTTCGTCATGGTAGGCACTGAGTATATGTATGAGAATGGCACCGAAACTGGCTGATTTGGGAAAAGTAAAGAGAGACAACCTTTTGGAAGAGATGGAAACGGCGGAGGGCATTAAGAGCTACCTACCTAGGTAGGGAGAGTTATATTGTTTCTAACTATATCTGACATGTAACAAGTAAATACAAACAAAAGGTACTACCTAGGTACGTAGACACACGCCGGCTCTCCCTTTGCTCGGTGGTTACACTGCGTCAAAGACTGCTTGGATGGTTACACAGAATCTCTCAAGCCATCGGCCAAGTCAATTTTGTAGTAGTCGACGCCAGTAATACTCGCGACTACCCATACATCTATACTGAGGAAAAGCGAAAACACCTTGTTATTAGTAGATTAGTAGGCCGATTGAGGAACCAGGTTCGTGTGGAAGATTTACCCAATTATATATAATTTTATAAGTCAAGACATGATAATAGAATGAGCAATCCATTAAATGCAAGATGGTATGATTAAGCGCCCAACATCAGTAGAAAAGAAACGATGATGGTATATTCCTTCGACCCAGACTAAATAACTAGTAGAAAAGCAACCTATATTTCCATCCGTCGTATATCATGATTTCATGACTCGTAGTCCTTGAGGCCTATTGCTAGAGCCTCTTCGTTCGCGCCGTCGATTAGGTACTACATATCTCCCTGGCCCGGGTCTTGTCCTGGGTTGGAATTAGGATGACGGTCTATAAAATGGACTTACTGATTAGTATATATACTTTGGTTGATTTAAGTGGTAACCCAATAGAAAAATGGACTACTTACGGCATATATCCATACAGTCGTTCTGCTCAGTTCCCTTCGTAGGGAATAGTTTCATACAAGTATTATGACATGTCTCCACGAATGCGGCTTGAATATCAGATAGGACATCTGTGGGCGTCATGCTAGTGGTCGCCCTCGTGTTGATGGTGCTATCGGCGAGAGGAGCAGGCCATGCTTTGCTCAAAGCAATAAGGCCAAATAGGATGCTCAATGAAGCATGAAATTGCATTATGATTATGATTAATATTATGTCTCAAAAAAGACTGGTATTGATCGACTCAGTAACTTGAGACCTCGACGATATATCATTTTTCAACGACAAAGGCGTTCCAATTCGCCCCGTATAATACGATAGTTACAAGGTTCCCCGGCCCACGTGTAATGCTGGGGATAAGACTAGACTGAAAGGAAATCAAGTTACCATTGTGAGTCCCCGGGCGATACCTTGAGGCTATACGCTTTGTCTAATAGGTGGCTATAAAAGCGTTGATAATGTTAATATTGGCAGTCGTTGAGTCTTTGTATGTACCGCCGGCGGAGTTTTAATACACTGAACGGAGACTCTGACCGGCATAACTATGCCGAAGGCGTCGCAGTGATAGGGGAATCTCTTCCCGAGAGCCTACCGTAGGTCGATTGTCTTGAAAATAAAGAAGAAGCAGGCATAAGAATATCTAGGCATTCATCTTCGGGCGCTTCAACCCCGAATTATGAGCTCTATTAGGAGACACCAACCTAGCGAGCGGCACATTGACCCTTCTAACTACCTAGGTATAGCATTGTCGCGGTCGGATAGATAACTGGCCTAGAAGTCTATTGGCTTAGGTACATTTACGCTGTAATATAGCGCTCAGTAAGGTCGCTAAAAGCGAGTAACTGGCTCCTAGGGACTAAATAAAACTGCCCATTGATGGTTCTGTAAACCCTGGTATAATTTATTGCATCTCTTCGAAGGTTAGAGTCTTGCAATGTTTCTTTCTCATGCGCCATAAGTCGTTAAACTGGAGTATCTAAGACTATAGGTTCCTTGCTTGATTTAACTGTGTTCTGAATCAGTGATAAAGAAGAAGAAGAAAAAGAGGAGGACGAAGACGACGAAGAAAAGGAAAAAGACAATGAAAAAGAGGAAGAAGATAAAGAAGAGAAGAGTGCTGTAAGTGATGAAAATCAATAGAATATGGACCACTTACAGCCCTAAAGATCGGCATTTTGTGCCGCGTTTTAAGTTAAGCTAATGTGTACTTAGTGTAACCCATCACCCCCACTAGGTACATATGCACGTAAGTTAGGGATATCAAACCTCTAACAGGCAGTGACATCAGGCGAGGTACCAGTAGAATGGACCTAACCTTCCTCAGCCAGCTCAGCTCAAAGCGAAAGCATAAACTTTTAGCTGCCTACCTAGGTACCTCTTACAACAATCCTTCTCTCCTTCTTTTCTTCTTCTATTTCATAGATACAACAACTCTCCCCTCTGGAATGGCTTTGCTTCATCCAGAGGTCAAATATGGGACAGACCCTGTCAGATGAGGCTAGGCCTCCTTCAAAAGAGGAAATTACATCACACCTGGTAATCATTCTCAATTACTTTCCCACCGTATCTTAACCCATATTCAAGCTGACATCCTCTATGTTTCGAGTATAGGCAGAGAAGTTCGCTCGTAAATGTTTCGAACCGTTAGAGCTATATTCCTTCAAAGATAACTTCAAGTCACTTGCCGACACCGTACAAAATGTGCGCTACCTTAAAGAGGACACGATCGCCCGCTTTCTCGAGCTTCCCGATATTCTGGCTGTCTCGCCCATCGTATTCCACATGCTATCTTACATCGGCGCCTTTCCTTTCCTACAGGATGCTCCGGTTATACTCGGCTTCGAACAAATGATCATGGTGGTGGCTATAATGACAGAACGATATTCAAAGATTCTTGTTAAAGGTGCAACCAACAGGAGGAAACTACTGTTTAAGAGCTTGGCTGTTTATGACCGTAAGATGTCTGAGATCGAGAAGCAACAGAATGGCGCGACGAGTGCGCCGAATCCACATTCTAACAGTCACGCCCCAGGTTTCGCCGTTGACGAGGCCGGCGATGAGTTGGACGACGAAGCGGATGATGACGAACTTGTCTTAGCTGCGCTAGACTCCCTCGATATCAACGACGCCTTTAAAACCGGCGATTCCCACGCCGCCACCACGCACGGAGCTATGATTCCTGCAGACAATTTCAGGAAATTGATTATGTTACTGCTTTTAGTATCTCCGCTAGATGCGCAGGAGAACCTCTCCAGTTACGCAAATCGGGTCACAGGCTCAGAGCTCGAAGACCTAAGGTCGACAGCCGAGAATATCCTTTCGGCATTCATCAATGTCGAGAAGTCTCCTGGCATCACCTACGCCAAATTCAACAATGTACTCCCTTCTAATTTCCCATTTCTCTTCGACGGATTTAATCCCTTGTTTGAACATTTCCTTTTCTCCAAAAACCTCGACCTTTCAAAACGTAAAGATGGCGTACCTAAAGTTATAACCCCGGCGGTTGTGCGACCTCCGTTGTTGCAAGATAAGGCACAGATTTTGAATTTAAGTGTCTTATCTCAACTGTCTTTTTTCATTAGCGGAAACGAGCTATTCCGGAGATTACGATTGCTGTATTCAGGCTCGGAAGCTGGTTTCTCAATGGGTAGCTTTGAGACGAAGGTATTTAATTGGCGTGCACCTACAATCCTTCTAGTGTCTGGGACTAGAATGTCCGAGTCCCCAAGCAAAGGGGGCTCGGAAGGTACATTTAATGATTCGTTACCACCAAAACGATTTCCAAACGGGAGCCCGCCGGATCGAGATCGGGTAGTATTCGGGGCGCTTGTCAAACAGCCATGGCGGCATACGCATAAGGAATGTTTCGGAGGCGAGGATATGCTATTATTTCAACTTGCGCCAACCCACGATGTCTTTCCAGCGTCGGCGATAAATCGCGATTATGTAGCTTTTGCAAAAGCGCCAATAGTTAACCCAGGAATCAATTTTGGTTGCCCCCATCCGAAATCTGCATCACGCCACGAGTCGCTTCGACATCTAGGCCCCGTATCGCTTGTCGTCGACTCGAGCTTCGAGTTTGGCGTATTCACACATGACTATGCTTCCCGTGGCGGCGCATTCGCAACTAGCAATTCTCGCAAGTTCAATTTCCAGGAACGCTTCCAAGTGGATGAAATCGAAGTTTGGGGTTGTGGTGGTGATGAGGAAGCTAGAATACAGAGGGAAAGATGGGAATGGGAGGCCCGGGAAGCGGAAGCTAGGAGAAGGGTCAACTTAGGTACAGGCGATATCGCGGCGGATCGGGCAATACTCGAAATGGCAGGTTTAATCGGCGCAAATAGGAGCGGAGGATCAATGGCTTGAACTGTACAAAGGCTGAAGTGGAGTTGGTGGTTCACTCATGGGTTATAAAGAATATCACTGCATAGTAGTCATGATAGCTGTGAAAGAACAGCGAGTAAATTTGAATGATTGAATTTTCGAATCTGATAGAAGACCTTTTCCAACGCCGTATCCTTGATGTGTAGAGATTGCATATTGACTTAGTATATACAGTGGTATAGGTATGGGCTTTTCGTACATAACCTATTAGTCAAACAAATGCCGAGCCCCTATTCCCGATGTGCTCAGTAAGTCCTTCCACACCTTATGAGACTTGATATGGTGTTACTTTTGATGAGTTCAATCCAACTATAAACCCGTAAAGCATATATCACTTTTTAGGCACTTCCGCTTCGACCTTCTTTTCCGTACTCTTTTCTTCATCCTTAGCCCCTTGGACTTTTGTTTCCTCTGTTGGTTTCGAATTTCTATTCTTTCCCGTCCCAAACCAACCACCAGCACTCGACAACGCACCTAACACCCCCGGACCCTCTTTCTTCTCTTGCGTTGGTACCTGACCATCAGCATCAGAATTCGTTTCCGCCTTCGGCGCATTCTCATCCCCCTCCCCAACCTCCCCACCACTCTCCCTCACCCTCTTCTCCTCATCAGCGCGTCGCTGCTGCACCCTATCCTGCCGTCGTTTCATAGCAGCTTTCAACTGCTTCTCCTCTTCATCTCGAACCTCCAATTCATGTAACCATTTCTGGTGTCGCTCTTCGGCGCGTTGTTGGGCTTCGAGTTTGACGAGTTCTTTGCGCTTTTCCCGGTCCGCGCCGTAGTATGCGCCGCCTGCTACCATGGCCATTACGGTGAATGCTTGCGCGCCTACGCGTGCGCGGAACATGCGTTGTACTTGTGCTCGGTCGCCGCGGCGCATGGCGCGCCAGGCGTTGTAGAGGGCCATGCATGTTAGGAGGGTTCCTGGTGGCGAGGGGTGTTAGTTGGGAAGTTGGGTTGGTGGTTGGTGGGGGAGTACCGAGAGGGATTAGAGGTTCTTCGCGGAGCTTGCGGGTTACTTTCTGGGAGGCGGTTTCGTTGTATTCCCTGGCATTGGACAGTTCGTTAGTTACACAGTCTACTCTAAGTGATGATGTATGTGGATGCAGGACGTGGGGGAGGGGAGGGGAGGGAGCACGTACTTGTCCTCGTCAAAGGACGAGGGCATAGGTCTATCCGCCATGTTTGATTTGGTGTATCGATCGCTTTGGTTCCTCGAGGGTTGGTGATTTGGTTCGAGGATGTGGAATTCGGTGCAGGGCAACGTTCAAGTATGACGCCGGCTCAGATAGGTCGAGCTTGAGCTGGATTGAGCCAATTCGATGTTGAAGGTTTAACGATCGAATGGTTTAAGCTAAACGCTAATATGTACCCGTAATGTAGGGATTCTTAGTGGTGTGCAGATGTGCTACCTCTAGATAAAGCGATAAGGTATAGATTACGTTAGGTACTTTAATGCTACCTAAATCTTGTACCTACGATACACACATATGCACCAATACTCCAAAGATCTACTAGACCGAACCTAACCGTCGGCCGTTATCCGAACCGCTGAGTTGCCTGCCAAGATTACCTAAATTTTACATGCGCCCAATCCATGCCAATGCCGGAACCGCAGAAAACATAGGTACAAGTAGGTACAGTAGCACCCCGCCAAAGCTTCTGCAAGGTCGATTTAAGTACCCCACTATAAAGTTTGAAATAATTTTGTTGTCATAGTCTTAACTCACAACCGTCACAGCCGCTTCTTCATTCTTCCTACCAATACAGTAGACACTAGCTATATTTTGTTATTTCGACATGCCGGGAACTACTGTTGACCCAATTGATACCACAACGGCCAATGGCACTAGCAATGGTGTCAATGGTCATGTTCCGCGAACCCCTTCCTTATCAGGCTTGTCTCTTACTGAGTACAGCGCAAACCCGTCGCCGCCATCGGAGCGAAGACCACAGAGAATCAGACAGATTATACCAGAAGAATTCATCTTGCCTAACGGGCACCCTGATGTTCGTTGCTTACCGAATAATATTGTTCCAATCTACGACTGACTGATAATTACTTCCTCTTCGTTCAGTACCTCCGTCTAATTCTTACCTCGAGGGTATACGAAGCATGCAAAGAAACCTCCCTTACGCTCGCCACGAACCTTTCCAACCGATTCGAATGCAATGTCTTACTCAAGAGAGAAGACGAACAGCCCGTCTTCAGCTTCAAGCTACGCGGGGCCTACAATAAGATGGCACATTTGGACCGAGGCCAAAGCTGGAAAGGTGTGGTTGCTTGCAGTGCTGGAAATCATGCTCAAGGAGTAGCTTACTCCGCAAGACTCCTCAAGATACCTGCGACTATCGTTATGCCCTCGGGCACCCCAAGCATTAAGCACAAGAATGTCTCGAGATTGGGTGGTTGTGTTGTACTTCACGGTGCAGACTTCGATGCTGCTAAGGAAGAATGCGCGAGGCTAGAGCAACAACACGGTCTCATCAACATCCCACCCTTCGACGACCCTTACGTTATTGCCGGACAAGGAACCATTGGTATGGAACTATTGCGGCAAACAAATATCCAAAAGCTTGAAGCCATATTCTGCTGTGTAGGCGGAGGTGGTCTTATCGCAGGCATTGGAGTTTATGTAAAGCGCATTGCACCCCACGTCAAAATCATTGGAGTCGAAACCGAAGACGCCAATGCAATGGTTCAATCCCTACGACAAGGGAAGCGGGTAGTATTGAAGGAGGTAGGCCTATTCGCAGATGGAGCTGCAGTGAAGACGGTTGGGGAGGAGACATTCCGCATATGCCAAGAGGTGATCGACGATGTTATCGAGGTAAACACCGACGAGACCTGTGCCGCTATCAAGGATGTATTCGAAGACACCCGCTCGATAGTAGAACCGGCAGGCGCTCTGGCACTTGCCGGTTTGAAGAAGTGGGTGGTTGCGAACCCATCGAGCGATACGAACCGTTCCGTTATCGCTATTACCAGTGGCGCGAACATGAATTTCGATAGGTTGCGGTTTGTAGCGGAACGTGCAACTCTCGGCGAAGGCAAAGAGGCGTTGCTCCGCGTGAGCATCCCAGAAAAGCCGGGTGCATTCGCTGAATTGGTTAACCAACTCATGCCTCACGCTGTCACCGAGTTCTCTTACCGCTACGCCACCAGCGAGGTGGCAAACATTCTAGTCGGTATATCGTTGACCGGTGCTGCATCAGAGCGGGTGCAGGAGCTCCAAGGCTTGATTGACCGAATCAATAGCACCGGTATGATAGCTACGGACTTGTCGGGTGATGAGCTTGCCAAGTCGCATATCCGATATCTGGTGGGCGGCCGGTCAGACGTGGCGAATGAAAGATTATACATGTTCAACTTCCCCGAACGCCCCGGCGCGCTGGAGAAGTTCTTAAGGACATTGCGCCTGCGGTATAACATCAGTCTGTTCCAGTACCGGAACGGTGGTAGTGACGTGGGTAAGATAGTAACGGGTATACAATGCCCTGATGCGGAGGTGGCGGACCTAGAGCGGTCTTTCAAGGAGATCGGATACCCGTGGGAAGATTGCACACAAAGCGCTGTTTTTCGGACATTTCTGAGAAGTTAGAGGAGAGAAGTTAGGCTGGGCGATGCGAGATGCTTCTAAGTAAACTGGGAATTTATGATCGAGTATGGAACTAGATGGAGTTTACGGACGTGCGCTGTGTTATACACTATTTTATGATACTTTAGAGTATTGACCAATGTCGTAAATGATGATACCAAATAAAAAAAGAGGTTCTAGTATTTACCATTGTGTCCGTGGATATCGGGACGAAGCCATTAAATGATGCCGATGATGGGGGTCGTACAGTATTGATTTATCGAGTTAAGCTGATATATGCTTATCTACATAAAAGTTCTTAGTAGCAGCCAATTAGGCCCATTTCTTCAGGCCCACATCTTCAACTGCGGATTTTCCATTCTACAATTACGTCCATGCAATCGAACCATCCAATTCTATGACAATCCAGCACCACCACAATCCCAATTGAGGATCGCACATAACTCTGTCTACCAAGATGGCGAGTTCTTCCTTAATATCATCACTTCGGGCACTATCCCTACGCACGACTCCGATAGCTAGACAAGTCCTCCGAACACAACAACCTACCCGCCACATCTCCCACTCCGTTCTCGCTCCTAGCACGACGACGAGACCTACGATAAATGCGGTGGGGATGGTGCAGGGTGTTGCACAGCAGCAGAGTAGGGGTATGAAGGTACATAGTTCGATTAAGAAACGGTGCGAGCATTGCAAGGTCAGTTATGACGGAATCCACACTTAGGAGGGGATATTGGTCTGGAAGGGAATTGTGCTAATGTTTGTGGGGGGTTACAGGTCGTGAGACGGAAGGCGGGAAAAAGACATCGTGGGTATAGATATGTTATCTGTAGTGCGAACCCGAGACATAAGCAACGACAAGGATAGAGGGTTGTTGATATGGACGCGGAATTGAAGAATGATGGGGGGAGCGACAGGGCATATGGGTATGGATTCGGTGGTTCTATATTCGCCATACGTATAAAATGCCGACGGCTCGTGCTGTGTACTATATGATATATTTATGGGCACATGGTTATACATCCACGATCAAGACCAACACAATGGTCCCAGTCTTCGTATTGGGCATTCCATATATCCAAAATCTCAGGCTAGTCGTTGTTGCGAATGGTCGATACACCTATAGACGCATCACTGCATGCGCAATGCTTTATATCCCACCAATATACCTCTCCATACTCTCCCATTCCGTCTTCCCCGTGGATAATAAATACCGTATATGGGTTATATCCGTGACGTCGCGATGTCGTTCGAACTCGGCGCGCGCAAAGTTGCGTGTTTCATCGCGGGTTGTAGAGTCGCTGATTCGGTTTGTACTCCGGAGGATGGTGCGGTAGAGGGATAGTGCGCGTGAGCGTAGGAGGAACTGCGTAGGTCGCTGTTAGTAATTGTAGAGTCGAGATTGGAGATGGAAGTAGACGTACATGGTCCAGGCTTAGGGTCGTGCCCAGCCGGTTCTTTGGTAAGCTGGTCGCATAGCTTCGAGCTGTGGTGACGGAGCGTAAAACTGGACCAGCTTGGAGTAGGCGCATGGGGAGGGGTGGGTTGGGTTTATTGGCAAGACATTGAGGAGGGTTATCGTGAAAGGCTTGGAAATCTTGGAAATAGTTCTATAGTTCCAAAATCTGGGGGACAGTGTATGCAGTTAAACAGCGAGCTGGGCCTCGATTGGGTGGATTATAGCGGGGTCAGGAATTTCTATAGTGCTTGTACCGTCCGTCCTTCACCTACAGTGGCTTCCTAAACATTAATATACCGACAATCAACAATCATGGGCAGGAATGTCCAGATGTAAATTCTTAATTTATCATCATAAAATTTGATTTCCTCACAGAATGAAAACGCCGGCGGAAATCCTTCATTGCTTTCATCGACCATACATACAGAGGTAGAAGATTAGGATCATGGAGACCCTGAAGCAAAAAGTGAAGAAGCGCAGACGTGCAACTACCAACCCGATCGAACGAGCGAATCGAAAAGACGATGATACTTTCATAAAAGAACATCTTTGCCCAAGGTACAGTTTAATCCGGCGACAATTCCATAAAGCCACTATTAACTTGTGGCAAGCTCACCTACATGGCCGGAATGGATCAACCCAAAGACTCAAGCCAAGTATTCCGTGAGCCTCATCAGTTCAGGTAGCTTGAGTACCGAAGACCTCGATTCATGTTATAATCTAGTCGAAGAGACCAGCCGTGCCGATTATGAGGCCTCATCATCCGGTTGGAGACCAATTAAGAAGCTCGCTGAGATGCAGTCCCCTGAATTGAGGTATATCCTCGTGAAAGATGCTACCGGAATTATGCGTGGCTTTACTTCTCTTATGCCTACGTATGAAGAAGGGGAGCCTGTTGTTTATTGCTATGAGATTCATCTTAAGCCTGAATTACAAGGGTATACGAATCCATTGAAAAACCGCCCATATACGTCGCCGTATTAGTAATTCTAACTTGTACCGTGTAGGACTGGCCTAGGCAAGACGCTCATGGGATTCCTAGAGAGCGTTGCTGCAAACACGCCTCCTATCGAAAAGGTGATGCTTACTTGCTTTTTGAGAAATCAACGAGCTCTCGCTTTCTATAAGAAGGCGGGTTTCGAAAAAGATGAAATATCGCCCGAGCCGAGGAGGCTGCGCTTTGGGAAGGAATTTATCCCGGATTATATTATTATGAGCAAAGTCGTCGCCCGTCGCTGAACAAATTCAGTTCTTGCTTTTAATGGCTTGCCTCACATCCGAAGTCCGGTTCCACGACGCGGGGTCAGTCAGTGCCGACGAGTTAGAGCACTATATTATATTTGAGAGGCGTTACGGGGGCTTGAACGCCTATTTATACGGTACCTATAGAAATAATGATCTAGCAGTTGACCTATCGTTCTGCATCGACGGTGGAGAATTATGTCGGCCATATTATCGTTCACCCAAAGGAAAATCGCTAGGATCGTCTCTATACCCAAGATTTAATACTCAAATCAATTGACCAATCGGAATAGCGTTTTATAGCTTTACGATGCGAATGAAATCGTCGATTTAAACAATATCTGTTTCATGAGCTAACTCGAGTCCTCACAGCTCATAGGATACCACCCAAATGAATTCGCTCGGATCTCGAGGTATCACATGTTACATGCTATATGTCGAATTATATCATAGTGTTTTACGAACACGATGTCCAACATGAATTATCTGCATTATTCCGCACTCACCTTGCTGACTAGGTATATTAGAGTCGGTAACTAATGATTTACATAGTGACGAATATCCAACTAACAGCTCTAGAAAATTCTTGAGCGGACGCGTGAATTACTTGCCGAAGATACCGTAACATTACCTATCCTGCAACAACTAGGTAGCATAGCTCCCCGCTTTCTTCAGATTTACATCATAGTGATCTTATGGAGAGCCGCACCGAGGTGAGGGGGCTGGGAGAACCAATGGTGATGCCAAGTTTGCCGGAGCTTTTTCTTCGCTACTGACACTAAAGAACAGGGAAGAGGACGGGTCTAACAAAATTTCAAGCATCGTAAATACCACCCACTAGGCACTACTTTCTCAGCACTAACTACGTACATAGTATACCAAGATGTACACACCTACATGCAACTTACATACGACCTACATACGATCTACATAGTGTAGGTACGACATCCGATATCCTAAAGGGGGGTAGTAAGGATGAGCTAAGTAACAGGATGGGACTATCCCAGCCTTCTCAAGTTACCCATCCGCCCATTAGCCTAGGCACATTTATTACTACATGAAATCTACACTAGCACCTAGCACACCAGGTAACTGGTTTCGCAGCCATGGCGTCATCGTTCGTCGTCCAAATGCTGCGAGAAATCGAGATGGGGGATCTTCCTGATACATTTACTCGACACACCCTCCTTTTTCCCATGGATTCCTCCTATCTACTTCTTTTTACTCGTCTTTCTTTAGTTCCCGCGCCCGTCAAACCCTATTCTAGCTTTTGAGCTTGTCGGTGGCGATATCGACGAAAAGGTTCCAGATACCTGGGTATAAGCCATTGAACGCCAAAGATCACACTAAGGGACAGAAATCCATTTATATCTACTCAGGTACTCACTTACCTGCACAATGGCGCCTACACCGGCTTCCGATAGCTCATCTTCTATTGGGAACATCCTAGCTCGCGAACTCGAGCACATCAACCCTACACGAACCATCCCAGATGCTATAACCCGCGTCCTAGCCGCGCGACAACAAGGCACGACAACCGTCGTCGCGCAAAGCAACGGCGAGTCCAGCCAGACGTTATCCGGTGGCGCTATCGCGGGTATCGTCATCGGATCTATCGCGGGTTTCCTAATCATACTCTGGATCATCCGATCATGTGTCAATTATCGTAATCCAGGGGCTTGGGGCACGACGTTTGAACCGGATAATGAGAAGCCGCCTTCGTCGCATTATTATGGGCCTTCGACTAGGTATCCGAGGGAAACGCATGGTCATCGCTCGCGTTCGAGACATTCGCATCGGAGTCATCATCGGAGTCCTAGGCGGACGGAGGTTGTTAATGTTACGAGACCGGTGTATATGGAGCCCCAGAGGGGAAGAAGTCCCCGCGCGCCGCCTGCGGCGTATTATGGTGATGGGAGGGATGTTAGGAGGTCGAGTGATGGACGGAGACGGTCTAGGGGGTATTAGATGGGGTGGTGGAGCGAAGATGGAGTGGGAGTGGTGAGGGATGGTGATGCTGATTGTGATGATGCATGATCTCACGCTTGGTGAAAGAAAGAACGGTACAAACATCGGTGGTACTGCTGTCGGCAAAAACACTTGTGGGGGGTCTTTCTAGAGTGAAATGAATATTAGTAATGTCATGATAATTGTATGAGTTATACGAAATAACGGATAGGTATCTGCTTTATAGCATTTTACAAATTAAAAATACATGAAAAAACAATAACTCTTAGGTTCCCATTCCGTGTAAATGCTTCGCTGGCTAGACGTAAAAATACAATACACTGTACGACCGACTAATCTTCTATGCCGTGTCTACTTAAGCAGGAACAGCTGCTTCAATCGGCGCCGTCACCCTAGCTTTCAGAGCTTCATACTCCTCATCACTCCACGAGCTCAGGGGCTCAATTTCCGGCAAATAATCCACATGGCGAGGATACCTGTACACGATAAGGGGTTGGTACACGGATACCTTCAACACAAACCTCTCCAACCCGCGGAACTGATCCAGCACATCATTCCTCAACCAATCCCAAAAGCGCTTCGCGTTCTTCGGTTGGCTCCACGTAAGCGCAACCTCGACATCTAACTGTCTTAACTTCGGAAATGCATTGCGGAGCATACGCATCGCATCCTCAACCTCCCTCATCTTCAACGCCAATTTCTGCCGCCCTGTTTCTAGGACAAGCGCAACATGTACATAGCGCACCCTCTCCAAGCCCTCCAGACTCGCATTCCTAACGAAAAACCTCACCATCTCGGGTCCGAAGAGACATATCGTGTTCTCGCCATACAACACATCCAATACCTCAGTATACACCACTCTACACACCCTCAATAAATCCGTAGCGAAAACTACGATTTCGGGTTTGAGCCAACCTGGGAGGTACCGGCGCCGTTCACCGCATAGGAGAGGCCAGATTGCACCGTATACGTGTTGACCTTCTTGCGGGGGAAACACGAGTTGGTTTACCCCTGTCCCGCCTAGACCGGTAGTCATCCGGAGGGCCCAGCTCGGGGCTTCGGCTTCGCTGCGGATGTGTTGGTCTTTGGGCCATTTGGTGGGGTAGGGTCCCCAGAATGTTAGGTCGTGGCGTACTTGGGCTATACTAGGGGTGCGTAGGGCGAGGCGGTAGATTCTGGCGCGGATGGAGGGGGGGAGGTGGAGGAAGGATGTTTTTGGTTTTGTTTTTGTGTCTGGAGTTGGGGGTAGGGTGGTGGTAGTGGTGGTAGTGGTGGATGGAGGGGAGGTTATGGCTAAGGGATTTGATGGTGGGATGCATAGGAGCTCGACTTCTCGCCGTATTTGCTCAACCTCGAAGATGTGCTTTACGTCCGCGTATGCCTTTTTGATAGGTCGTGTTATGATGTATATTTGTGTTCGCACGATGTCACGCGCGTAGTCGGAGATGATGACTCGTTTTCGGATTATCCGCATCTTGTCTGTTTATTGGTTTGAGATTGGAAAATCCCGTTGGTCGATTGATGGGGTTTAGTATGAGATTTTCCATTTAGTGAAGAAGTAGAATGAATTATATGTAAAGGTATGAGGTTTGATGCAGGTTGAGATGAAATGAGTGAGTTGTTTGCCAATTTTAAGGATTACATGTTCTGTACCCAGGGGCTGTGCCAGGTACGCACTTGCAGCTGTCACACCCCTGTACGTGGTATTTCCGTAGCGCTGGGACAACTCGCACAAGCCTTAATTCAGCGGAGTGCTGTAAGTACCTGTAGGTTATGGTATAAAAATATAAGGCTCTTATGGTCTCGTCATTACCTACCTAAGTACTTCACTTCATATGTTCCCAGGTAATTAAGGTAGCTTATTCTATCACACAAATTACTTGGCATTCCTCATATATTTCATGATATGTCGAATTTGAATAGCTATGGGAAACATAGCCTATTGGTTGTCTCAAGGAGCACCATATCCACATGGCTCTTCTCCCCGCTTACAGAAGGTCGCCTTCGCTTCTCTAGTTGATTTCGCACCAGAACGTTGATGTTTCACCCAGAGGAAGCGGGAGAATGCATCAGCACTGGAAGTACCCTTGCCAACCGTTAGATCCGCGGACATCATATCCTGGTACGCATCTGGTCGGAACTCAGCCAAGAAGAGATATCCGCTGCGGACGTAATTGGTAGCTGCAGCATGACCGGATGGCTTGGATTGTCCTTCTACCGTCCCGGCGTATTTCTTGTTTCCCAAAGTCATAACATCAACGAACATATTTGCAAGAGTCTTCATCTGGTCTGCCGTGATTCCATAATTGCCGTTGATATAAGTACGAGCGAAACCCGCGACATCTAATGCGCCATGGTTCGAGTCTTCTCCGCTGGTCTTTGGCATGGTGTAACCCCAGTCGTAGATTGGATTACCCTTCTTGCTCTTCTTGGTGACTGCACCACCTCCCTTGAAGAACCAATCTATGCTAGCGGAGAGGATTGACTTGTACTTCCCGGCGAGTGTAGGGTTGTCGTTGAGAATCTTATGCGCATTGACAAGATTTAGGAACGCGTAGTTAAACATCATCTGTTGGTTCCAAGGAACGGGATTCCCGCCCATATAAGGGGCATCCTTCGCAAAGTACATCTTGTTCCCGTTCGAGACGTCCAGAAGCCTCTTTAGAATGTGATTGTTCATCGCAGTGTCTGCCTCCTTGAGGTAGGTCTTGGCTCGCTCTACATAAGTAGCGCCGTAGTTGTTGGGATCGCCGATAGTGACTTTCTGATCATAAATCTTGTTCGTCTTTAGGATAAGGTAGGCACAGCTGGCCAAGTGCCCAACCGGATCGCCCTGCTCTCCGCCGGTTTGGATTGGGTTCTGAGTAACATTGTTGGGCCAGACAGGGTCAACTGCTCCCGTCCAAATCTTGTATCCACCGACCGGCTTTTTAGCCAGGTCGTTCCTTTCAGACAAGACAGCATCACAGAAACGGAGCATCTGATCGAGGGTTTCTTGTTGTCCAGCTATTTGATAGACTAGACCCATTGCCTTCGTCTGCTCTCCGCTGTGCCCTTGCGCCCATTCGTTTTTTATGTTGTCGGTAGCGGGTTTCAACGTAGTAACGAAATCATTGAATGACTTTAATTCATCGTCCGTGACTTTGCCGTCGAAGCTGCTAACTTTCATCTGTGCTGCTTTGGCTCCAGATAGTAGTAGGCCTCCGAATATGGCCCCGAGGGCGCATGCAGCGCGAGCACCTCGCATGGTGGAGGGTGATTTTGGAGTAATTGGGGTGCGAGATTGCCAAGTGATCTCAAAGACCTGGATCTTTAACCTAGGTGGTGATGGTCACGAATCCAACATATGATAGAAACGGAAGGACTGTGACTTGGGTTTCTAGGTCTTGGATCCAGGCAAGAAAAGACAGGGACTATATATACGAACCGGATTGTTAATACTTATTCAATCCTACGGTACTTACCCCTTCCCGACTCAGCCTTGCGATGCAACTCTCAGCTGGCTTCCGGGATCCCATCGTCGCTCACGTCAGGTCGGTGATTCTCCTATCGGATCAGTTTGTTGGACGACTTCTGACTTCTAGAGGTGAATGTCTTGATGATTTTCATCAATGATTCGATATCTTCTGACAATTATTTGAACAACTCAGATGCATCGCGTAGCACGAGTCTCTTCAATACTTTGCTGAGGCAGAATATTACCTAAATGTACCGCTATAAAAGGTGAATTTCGCTGCATATGACCGCTTTTGTATAAATAGGCGACATAGAATTTAAACTAGGATTAAACATCAATCTTGAAAGTAGAAACATCCACATTGATACGAATCATTACATCGCAGTATGCGTCCTTTTTGGTGTAAGAGGTGTAAAAGTGTAACCTAACGATCGGGATACATAAGAATACTCCGAGTATACATATTATCCCCTTTCTTATGTAGTACACAAGGACCTATCATATCTTGCATAATAATGAGGTCATTGGCGCAGATCGAGAACTTCTTTCCTCAGGCAGCAACTATACCTAGGTATGTACTACACTAACTCTCCCCCCTGTTCTTCCTTAGATTAACTGCACGTGATGACGAGCTTCTTTCGCGTTTGGAAATCGGAATTAGACCGAGACACGCTTTTCTAGATTCACGTTTCTCTTGTCGCATCATCTCCGCCCCACTTAGCCATTCATTCATCGATTTTCGGCGCGGACTCGTCTAATTCTGGACCCTCAATGACAATCAACTATGTGGATTCTAGAGAACGAAGCCGGAGCCCTTGAAGGTAAGACATACTTCCCATCCCCAGTTCCCCGCTTTCGTCCTCTTGCTAACATTTACTACTATACAGGCAAACGGCTTTGGCTACGACCCGGAAAACGATATCTTTTCGGTCGAACTGTTGCTGAACGTACGCGATAACTATCGTCTATTATCCGAGAGTACCGATAACTAATACGACGCTAGCTGGACAACTTGCCATCAAGGGCGAAGGCGCAGAAAAAGTATCGCGGAAACATGTCACTATACAGGTTGACGAGGTACCTGAGGGAGATGGGGTATAGACCCTCAATACTTTTCTGTTGCGATTTTTGGTTGCTTAGACGTTTGTTAGGATCTCGTATCGAGTCGTTCGCGCGTTACCATCGAAGACCTCGGCTCTAAAGGAGGAACATGGATAAATGAAGAAAAAGTCAAAGGCGAAAAACGTATTCTTTCCCAAGATGTCAACGTCCTGCAGATGGGTTCGTTTACGGCTAAGTTTCGGTATGTCTCTTTACTAGCCCTCGGTGATATGTAGATTTGCTGATCGTGGGTTGTTACCGTAGCGTCACCTGGTTTCCCGTTGTGTTGAGTTTCTCCTTTACGGCCAACGAACTTCAAGCCGACCCTCTATCGAAACTTCGCGAAGACCTCGAACAGCTTGATATCAAGTTCCTTGCCGATTACGATGTCCAATCGACCACCCACGTTGTATCAAGAAAAAGGAATGTGTCAAAGGGTTTACAGGCCCTGGTCAATGGCCGATATATCGTCACACCGGAGTTCTACGGTAATATTATCGCTGCCGCAACACCTGAGGACGGCAATGATGGAACATCCAAGAGCGCCTTAGAAAACGACTTCGACGCGAATTGGCCAGATCCTATGAAATGCGTTCCCCTGGCAGGAGACGAACCCGTACCAAGACCAACCCAAGCTTTTGCCCCTAACCCTAGTCGCGCCGAGATTTTCAATGGCTGTACTTTTGTATTTTACTGCAGAAAGCAGTTCGATAATCTTCTAGGACCTATTACGAACGGCGGGGGTAAGGCGCTACTCCATGAAGTGTCTGAAGAGACAAATATCGATGATTTTGTTAGATACGTTAAGGGAGTCGCAGGAGAAAAAGGTTTGGGAGAACTTGAGGATGGGCGCGAGGGGAAAGGCGTTGTGGTAGTTAGATGGACTCCTAAAAACGTCGACTGGCTCAACGACTTCCACATATCAGCCTCTCAAAGACTAGGCTACCGATTTATTGAACAGAATGAATTCCTCGATGCGATTCTCAACAATGATGCGAGTATCTTACGGCGGCCCCTCGAGGTCGAAGACCCGCGCACGGCACAAGTCGAACCTCAGTCTTCAGCAAGGCCAGATGCTATGAATATAGATGAGGATGAGTCTTCGGCTCCAGCACGAAAACCGCCTCCTCGAAGACGGGCAAGGGGGGCTGCCAAAAGCCGCTTTAAGGGTTTCGGTGTCGATTTACAAGATGATGATTTACCTATTTCGGCTACTTTGGCGTCTCCTGCGCCAGAAGCAGAAGAATCACAGGGGCTTTTCGTGTCGCAAGAACCTGCGCCGGAAGAGCCGGCAGAGATTGTTAATACCACCCAACCATCGCAACGAAAGCGTCGCGCCCCTCCGTCATCAAGTATGATAGATGACTTCGCGCCGACGGCTGCTCAGGTAAAACGTCGTCGAGTTGCTGCAGGAGAAGAGTCAACTCCTCGACACCCAACACCCGGAGCATCAACTGCGTCCGAGACGCCGCAGCCTAAATCTAAATCTCCTAAAGTCAAGAAAGAGGTTGATATTCTTGACTTGGCAAGACAGCATCGAGAAGAAGCCGAAGCCCGAGCGAAAGCCGAAAGGGAAGAACTCGCTACAGCACCAGAAGGCCTTGATTTGCAAGAAATTCGGCGACTACATATCGAAGAAGAGATGGAACTGCGACAAGCACCGCCCGTACGCACTCGAGAGCAGGATATAGCGGATGGCCGTTGGGATCCTGCATGGAATGGACGCAAGAATTTCAAGAAATTCCGTCCGCAAGGCGGTATAGAGAGGCGAGCGCCACAAAGAATCATAGTCGCGCTCGAGGAAGTCAAGACAAAAGGCTTCGGTATTGGCGATGACTACTGGCTCGAAGACGAGAGCCAACAGCGGAAAAAGAAGAAACAAAGTCAATCGCAGAGCCAGACTCAGAGCGCTGGCAAGAGGGAAGATCGATCGGGTAGTAATGGACGTGCAAAAGAACCCGAGAAGAGGCCGACATTACCTACTGATATACTTCCACCCGTTGATAGTAGCGAGGAAGAGGATCAAATCATGGATGATGAAGAAGAGGAGGAAGATGTTGTAGTAGCTCCTCCACCGAGGACACGAGCAACTCGCGCGTCGCAACAGACATCTCAGTCACAAACACAATCGACTCGGACGACAACGCAGAGTAAAACGCAAAAGACACAACCTACGAGAGCGACTAAACGTGGTGCCCCGCCACCTACCAAAGAGCCGCCATCGAAGAAGCGGTCCCGTGTCGGTTTTGTGGCTGGTAGCGATGATGAAAGCGATGATGGGCTACGGTTCAAATTTGGGAAAAGGTGATGGGATATCTTGCCTTTATAATGGATATGCTGTACTACTACTTCTACCCCTTTTGCTCATTAGCAATTTGCTTTGGTTTCTATCAACGGGGGTATCTCGTTTATATACCTAGCCAAGCTTCCCGGCTGTCTACTACGAGCTGTGTAAATTCTACCATGTGTAATACCCGATGGAATTGCCTGGCCTGACCTGATCCAACCCAATCCGTTGTGAATATCCATTCCATGATGATGCTGCCTACCCGCCGTCCGTTCAGTTTATAGGTGTACAACCCCGACCGACGCTATGCAATGCTGTCTATATATCCTTTCCGTCGCTGTGTTGTATGCTTGCCACGCGCTTTGTAGTTGTTATACAAGTCTCCCACGTCGAATTCGACGTAATCCACCTAATCGAAGTCAACCCCCCTCAACCATTCCTTCGCGCACTCAATCCATATCATCCATCTCCCCCGAACTCCTCGCCTCATGCTCTTCAACCAATAACCCAATCAGGCAACTAGCAAGCATAGTCTCATAATTGACCCAAGGATGTATCTCCCCGAACAACTTCGACCCATCCCTACCCGCGACACGTAATAACTCCGGTTCTCCGCCTGGGTGAAAAGGGAGGTAGGGAGTGATATTGTAAACTCGCCCACCGAGTGCTGTCCACGCATCCTTGCCTTTGCGGCCGGTTTGATGTTTTAACATGCTGGGTGTTACGCGTAGGTATGATGCGCCGGCGCCTAGGCCCCGGAGGTCGGAGGAGGGGTGGTTGGCTAGACGTGCCCAGTCTAGGGGCGAGCGGCCGGGTTCGAGAGTTACTTTGCGTGAGGGCTTGGTGGGCTTGCTGGAGTGCGTTGGGGGTGGGGCGAGGGTTGAGGAACCGGGTTGTCGGTCGTATTGTTGTTGGGGTTGGCGGTTTGGGATGGGACCGCGGGAGGGTACACCTAGGAGAGAAGGCGTGGTGCTGCTGTTGTTTATGGTGTTGAGGACGGGAGGCCGGGGTGGTGGCGCCATGGATGTTCGTGTGGGAGTTGTAGATGCTGGCGTTAGAGCCGGAGCTGATATCACGGGCTGAGGAGGGGGAGAAGGGGTGGATAGAGTAGGGAGAGCGGAGGGCGTTGTTTGGGCGTCCGTTGTGCGAGCAATTGCCGCGGCCGAGGCAGGAGGTTCGGGCGATAAGGAGAATGAAGGTATGCTGACGCCGTTTAGATGTGTTGAAGGCGTCGCTTTGGGTGTGGTTTGTGGTGAAGAACTAGCACGCGACTCTGCGCTTCTATTGTGCTCCGTCGTCACAAGTTTAGGCGGGAGAGGAGGCGGCGGCATTGTTTCTCGGTCGGTTGATTTTCGCATTGTCGCCGGGGACAAAGAATCTCTTCCGGTTGTCTTTGCTGCGATTGATTGGTCATCCCCTTCTTCTCCCTTGGTCTCCGCTGGAGAAGGACGACCTGTTGTAGGTGGTTGTTCAATTCTCGGATCGCCGCGCCATAGCGCCAGGAATGTCTGAACGAAAGATGGTTTCCAGATTGCGACATATACTACAGAAACCAAAACTAGCGACAAACCCACGATCGCCATTGCGGCAATACGGTAGTAGGATGACGCTTTGTTGCGATAGGACCTAGGCAGGAACAGCGGATGAAGACGAGGTTTGTTATAATTAGTGCGATACTATTGGCCAAATCAGGTGCCTTCCGAATATTCCTATCCGGTTTTATTAACACTAACTTCTAGCCATCGAAAGTTTGGATATGTTGTTGCAGCGGTCCTAGCCGTCAGCTCAGGCGATCAGCTCGTGACAAAATAGGAAGAAAAAAAAAGCAAGTTAGTTGATTCTGATGGTGCAATGAAGGGTCGATTTCTCAGCCCTGATCCTGTACCTAGATCCACTTTTACCATGAAAACCCCCCCAAACGTTAAAACGTTACAGGGTATAACGACGTTAAAGTTGTTAAAGTTAGCGCATGTCTAATTGTTTTACGGGTATTTACCTAGCCTTTTACTAGGGTATCCTACACTGATAGGAGCTTATTATAGCTTATTATACTCCTATTAAGGATCCCAATCGCGGGGGAGGAGCGTAAAAGCGGTGGATGCGATACATGTGAAGATGTACCTACACCTTCACCGCCAACCCGACCCAGACAGACAGCCAGCCCAACCACCAACCTATGCGAACGCATGAATAAACAATCTCGTGAGAAAAGGAAATATGTAGGAATAGTTATACATGGCATGCATATGATATGTATATCCACGTATGTTTTAGGGACGTCATCCTTTTTTTAGGGCAATTTTGTTTACACCCGAATTAAATTCGAGAGGGAACAATTTTTATGTTTCTCTTCTCTTTTTTTTTTTTTTCCTTCCTTCTCTCTTCTAAATTGGATTTACTTTTGCTGACCATCATCCTTTCTTCCTGCCTCCTTCCTACCCATTCCATAGCTTCGGGTTTTAACTTTTTTGCAAATTCAAATTCCTTCTCATTTTCAAATTGACCCCTCAATACATTAGCAGCGATATCGTTGTATTAAATTGGTTCTTATATGTAGCTTCCCTCCAACCAGAAGGTCGAAAAAAAAAGTTAAAACTGGTTCGTCAGTCGCTACTGAGGTGTTCGTTGGAGAGACTTCCAAGGTTGTGTTAGTGGGGAAACACAACGCTGCCGTGTGAGCCTGGAAAATTATGGGCTGCATGGGTTCGGTTATAACCTAATATTTAAATTGATTGATTAGGTAATTTTCATAATTATTCACTTTTAACCATGCACAACAACGCGACTTTCATCCCTCACTCCTCCACCAATACCAATACCAGTCAACCACCCTCTTCCGATACGCGCTCCTTGGATCCATACAGCCACTCGACAACAACAAAGAAAGGGTTGAAGAGATTACGTTCTTCCGAATCTTTGGCTGCAATCGGAAATGGTCCTACCAGGAAACCAGGTCCAGGCATAAACATCGGCATAACTACAAATACTCGCACAATCAGAAGCACACGCACAAGCACGAGCACATCAACAGGGGTACTAAGAACAAGACCGACAATAATATCCACAACCACCGCCGCCGGTGCCAAGACCACTATTACAACAACCGCCTCATCTGTGTCTGCGTCTTCTCGAACACCTCTCAGGAGACGAGACCAAAATGCTGCGCCTTCTACTACAACTTCGTTGTTGAAGGAGCCTGGAATTGGAAATATGCCATTCGACGCACCTTCACCTCCACCTACAAATGCAAATACGAATACTACTCGACCACAGATGCCATCGCTCAGTGCTGCTGCCGCAAGGGCCATTAATCGGAACCCCCTGACGCCCAAAATCGCTTCCAAGACAACACAACCGCCTCCCCCCTTAGCAGCTGTGACCACTCCTGCGAATCGACGCCAGCAACAATCTACTATTGCAATTAATACTAGCCGAGATACCCCTTCTAATCGCACAACCTATTTTGAAGAGCCCTCGCCATTTGCAGCTCAATTTAATTCTAATATTACTCCTCGTTCTGGTTCGAGACAGAATCGTGTCGATAGCGCGAATAGCACCCCGAATGGAACGCCGAACCCGGAGCGATCAGAACCGTGGGATTCCAAGTCAAGTTTTGGTCTGCCTAGCCCGAGGCTAGACGGAGAAGCCATGAGGAGATCAGCAGTTTCCTTCAGTTCGATATCGCCGGACGCAGGTGGGCGGGATTCTGCTGATTCTAAATTCTTTCACGCAAGTGATGTTAAGACGACTCGTCCAACATCTTCCTCCAAGACAACTCAAGCAAAGGGCCCGACCTTTTTTTATGCCAATGGCAATACAATAGAAAACAAGGTCTCCCAGCCAACCCCATTCGCACCGGTCCTCGGCCATTCACAAGATAATATTGCTAGCAAGTTTATGTACGCCAATGGGACACCGGAGTTACGACATAGTCCGACGCCTCCAGTATCCCGCAGCTCAGGTTCAACAGCATCAACAGCCCCCAAAGCGCTTCCTACACGACCCGCAACGAATCCCCCCACTACCAGCCACCATAATACTCAAAGGCCTATTTCCCCGGCCAAGTTCGCATCTCAAGTTCCACAAACCGCACCCAAGGCCAATAATGTTCCAGGACAGACCCGCCAACAAGTGCTAGCCACTGCCCCCCAATTAGGTCCTTCTCCCCCTGGACTCCGCCGTTCCAGTACCGGACCAAGGCCTGGTAATCATTCCCGCACAGGAAGTCTAGTAAAGCCCGATCAGTCTTATAGCGCTCCGAAGTTAGCCAGCCCTATAGTATCACCAGAAGCTTCTCCACCAGTGACCCTTCCTTCCACTCCTGCTCCTCTTACATTAGCTTCAATAATACAAGCCGCCGAGGATTTCGCAGAGAATGAGATTGAGGATACCGCATCGCCAGATGAAGCTCCGTCAGGTCTACAAAGCCCTACTAAATCGGTTCATTCCACGGATCCGGCCAATGAATTAGTCGCAAATGCAAGACGTGAACGTAAAGTGCAAGACTTGCAGATTACGAATGCATCCCTTGAGGCCATCAACCGAACGCTTGAGCGTCAACTGCGAAAGCAAACTACTGAATTGAGGAGGTATCGCCGCTTATCGCGCTCAGGTCGGCTCTCCGCCGCATCTACTGCCGTTTCTAGCCGTTTATCAGATGACTTTTCGGAGAATGGAGTTAGTATTATGAATCTTTCCGATCTAGATGAAGAGTCTGAGACAGAAAAGAAAGAAGAGGAGGAAGCAGAGGAAGAGTCAAGTCTGGACAGTGATTCGGCATCTGGCTCCGTTAGCCCAAGTGTGATTGCGGAACAAGATGCAAAACACCGAAGACGCGATGAGGAACGACTAGAAGTTGATTTGTCTAAACACCAACAACTACTCATTGACTCGCAAAAGATCAACCAGAGTATTAAAAGATGTCTCGACTGGACTGAGGTGTTAATTAGTGAAGGCAAGAAGGCACTCGAGTATCATGTCAGAGTTAGCGATGTGGAATTAGGTGGAAGGGTACTGGACCCATTAGACTTAGAGGACGAACGACCCGTGAGTGAGGATGGTCCTCTCGATGACACGATTTCGCTCGGCGACAAATTGTTGGACAATTCCACAGTATTGGCCGGTTGGAGTTTCGAGCGACAGGATAGGGATAGCGGCATAGAACTCCCTGCTGACGGAGGCTGAAGCTTGAAATTGGGTATAACCCTATAACTGAATCATCATCAGTACTCAAGCGACTTTTTTTTTTTCTTTCTCTATTTGGATAACGATATACATAAGACTACCAACTACAGCGACATCGGAATTACACTATTATACCATACTGGACCGCTGCATTCTTCATTACGCTCCATAAGCACAACCTTTTACTTTGTCTAATCTGTACCAACAACGGATACCCAGAAACAAAAATCATTACGGGAAACAGGCGCAGGGTCGGTAGACCATCTCCACACCACTTGATACATCGCCATCACTTTTTCTTTCTTTTCCTTATTCGAGTCTCACAATGATACCCCCCAAAGTATAATGAGTCAGGAAGCCTAAAAGAGTACATACATACATCATCCAACAATTATAGAGGAGGTACAAAAACGAAAAGTTTACCTAAAAGGAGGTTGAACGCAAGTTCTAGACAGAAAGACGACACCGAATTATTGGAGATGTACATATTATGGACTAGTACCGGAGTATAAGCTTCGATTCTGGACATTGTATGCGAGAATAGAAAAGGGCTACCCTACCTTGCCTACCTACTCATTAGTGTAGGTTGGGTATTATAGGTGATATGACCCTTGGTACTCGGATGATAAATAGGCTAGGCTACCTGCGAAGTTGACTGATATTATCAGTATTTCAGTCATGTCTTGGCGCGAGACTCTTACGTAGCGGTTATTGCTTCGATCGATCAATCAATCAATCAAATAATATAATTCAGAATACTTGGTTTGTTGAGGTTGTGTGTCGGCGTCCCTTGTTGTGAATGATCGTGATGTGTTATATACCGTGCCTCCTTTGAAGCGCTATCCGGGCGGACTCGCATGAGTAGACGGACTAATTCGAGTGTACCTAGGTCGGTAAGAGGAATACTCGATAACTTCTTGCAACCCACCCGCGAAGTCATACTGTCATCGAAAGAGTTTATCTCGCCCTCAGAAACATCCTTCTAGGACACATAATCAAAATATCATCAAGATGAGTGGACGGAGATGCGATGCATGCATTCATAATTACCTAATTAACGAGGAGAGTTATCTCTTTACCTACTCCTCTTCTCTTTATCTCATATCTTCTTTTCTCTCCCCCTATTTTCCTTCCATCTCTCGTTCAAAGCCTCGACTAAGCAACCCATCTATGGACCGCAATGATTATGACCCTCTTCCTGCTGACGTACAAATTCCTGGTATAAGCACCAACCCCCTACTCATCGATCGTTCGTCTTAGAAATCACCGAAAATAAAGGGAGGGGAAATCCTCGACGTCCGCGTGTCGTCGACTACAATGTCCAACACTCCCCTACTCGCCCAAGCAGGCAAGCTATTCGATATGCACCGATTCGAGTTCCTATCCGACCCGCAAGTGCTGAAAAGAAGATTTAAATACTTCCCCTCCTTCAACGAGTAGCCCCGTCTCTCTACACCAGACTACGACTTCTCGTTATGCGTCTCAGCAGTCGGACTACTAGCCTCCGCAGTACCAGCTCCTTTCTTAAGGGAGTCCTTATCCTTATCCTTATCCTTTCCCTTCTTCTTCGAGTCCTTCTCCTTCTTGATAGCTGCCTCGGCTACTAGTTGTTCGAATGCCATGTAATCGCCTTCTTCCTCGGGTGATCTCTGGGCCTGGTAAGTTGTTAGTAAAGGATATTCTTGAATGTTCAAAAAGTGACCACACACCTTCTCAAAGATCTCAGCAATAATAACCAACGCCTGTGCGCGTTCCAAGCGCTTGGATAGGTGCACTTTCTTGTCATGTAGAACATTATCACAGACCTCGCGCAACACGCTTTGGATCTCAAACTTGCTACCGCGCCACGCGGCCGTAAGGATCTTCCCCGTGACTCTACGCTCGTACTCGATTTTCTTCTCATCAGTCCAATCCTCACCACCGGCCTGTTCCATACGCGCCATTTCCTCCATAGTCTGCTGTGCATCGATAGCGGAGGAGATAGTATTCCAGGTATCCTTGACAAGGGTACCCTTATCCTTCATACGACTGAAGAAACCACCGATACCGAGGAACTTCTGGGACTTTAGGAGGGCTGTCGCTTTCGACATGTACACAGCTCCAATAGCGTGTAAGATATCCAGTCCGAAGCTTTCCATCTTCAGGTTCTCGACCTCGAGCCGCGTCTTCTCCTGGAACGCCTTGGTTACGTCTAAGCCCTTGTCCGTCTCCGTCCAAACCGATATACGGTCCACAAGCTTACGGGAAAGCGTGTCGACACGTTCTTGTCGGATAAGAGCGCGTTCCTTTTCGTAGGCTGCTAGTTGTTCTCGTTGCTCTTTGCTTAGACCGCCTTTCTTCTTTTCCTTCTTGCGAAGCTCTTTCTCTTCTTCTGATTGTCCAACCAAGTGCGCCTCATCCGACGGGCGATCCATAAGAGCAGGTCGGATTGGTATGGCATGTCTTGAAGTCGTCGAGGTGCCAGAAGCACTAGGAGATGGTGAAGCGCCACGGGGGGGTAAGTGTGGCTTTTCCGAAGGTGTATCGTGATATCCCGACGCGGCCTTGCCATCTGCAGTAGACTTCTCAGGGTCCTCCTCGACGACCACATAAGGCGGCGGGGAACCAGCGGCAGAAGCCGTCTTCGCACTCTCCTTCATCGCTTCCTCGGTACCCGGGAACTCCTCCTCATCTGCTGCTTCCTCTTCCGCCATCGTGATATCCATGGTAGTAGTAAGATCTTTCATAAGACTGATCTCGCCGATCCAATCCACAAAGGCGTCACCGCCGAATATGCTACTAAAGAACTCGGCCGGGTCGACGAAGCCTTCGCTCGGCTTGGCGCTGTCTTTGCCATATTTATCGTATGCCTTTCGCAGATCGGTGTCGGATAAGACTTGGTAGGCTTCGCCGATGGCTTGGAATTTCTCGTGAGCAGTTGGGTCGTTGGGATTCTTATCTAAAACGGGGGTTTTGTTTGTTAATTTCAACGGTTTGCTATGGGGTGGAAGGAGGATGCGCGAACCTGGATGATGGACAATAGCGAGTTTTCGATATGCCTTTTTTATTTCGAGTTCGGTCGCGGTCGGCTTCACGCCGAGGGCGTCGTAGTAGGAGGTATCGACAACCATGCTTTTGTCTTACCAGTCGCAAACGGTTGGGTTTGAAATCGGGTTCTATTTATGACGGTATGATGGGAGTCTGCGGGGTTTTTCTTCGTCGAAAAATTATTTGAAGACGTGAATGGTCGACTATTATAAGTCGGGTTGGAATAATGGGTTGTAAATGCGGGATGAAAGAAAGGAACGGAGACTTGGGTATAATGGGTTGGTATTGAAGAGTGAGTGATGCCTTGAAGAAAATAAGATTATGGATATTTACTTAATTAAATCACAGTAAGAAAAAAAAGTTATGACGAATGGTCAGCCTACAATCGGTCTAGATTAGGCAAGCCTAAACCCCCCTTCCTGCCATCGATAATGAAGTGGGAGGTCGGTCCCTCCTTATTGTGGCCCGCGCATTCCAGCGCCACAGCCCTCCAGCTGAAGGTCTACGTATCCCCTCCATCAGCCACCAATCCACATGCATATTACGTTGGTATGTCTTTCCCTGTGTCACCCCTGTTTACCTTTTGTCTGAAACAACAATAATGTGGTAACAGCGTTAAAAACATCTACGTCATATCCTGTTTTATTTAAAACTTCATCCCATCTAAAATAAGAAAACATTACATATGTATTATCAAACCGATTCTGCACTATATATAACGATAAGGGTGAACGTATCGATACGTGTTTGATATGGCGGGGTTCCGTTTTCCGAGATTCAACTACCCCGCCATCTGAACTCACACAGTACAATTGATGCATCACAAAGTTACAAAGTACCTACTTACGTATATATAAAGGAGGCAGCCCACACTCACAAATAGACATTCTACACAATGCATGACTGGCCTTTTTGATTATGTAAGTCTTGGGAATCATATAACTAAAGCCTTGCTAAAAGACAGAAAAACCATCCCCTTCTATATCAATCAGAGACACAATGTATCGTGCTAGCAATTTAGTTCGATCTTCATAGCACCGTCACCTTCCACCACTAAGACAACGCAGATACTAGACCATTTTAGGTACTTAAGTAGTCTTCTAGTCATCAATAGATATGTAGCCACCAAGCCACCAAATCGTCCAGCTTATTTAACCCCCGCAGCTCTCATCCTCTCAAAACATTGTCGGTAAGCTACATAAACCTCAGGCACCGAGTAGTTATACTCCTTCAACTTCTTCTCCAGCTTCGTTGTGTCTAGCATGCAGTTGCTACGACCGGCCTTCAATATCTTAGCCTGATCCTCCACGGTAAAATTCTTCCACGTGAAATCCGGACGGACGATCTCCTTGAATAGCGATAACACTTCATTGTGACTGATGGCTCCTGGGTTGGTGAAGTTATAAACCCCAGTATCCTTATGCTCTGCCATGAGAATGGAGGCCGGCAGAAGATCGGTTAGGATCGTGTTGCTGTTCGGGATGTCAACTACACGCTCATACTTGCTGATCTTGGTGACGAAGTTGCGTGGATGTAGATCATCTGACACCGGCATACGCAAGCGAAGGACCAATGTGTTGGGGTGGTATTTGATAATCTAGACGTTATGTTAAGTCAACGAACCCATTCCTTATCAATCTCAAACATATGTTTTCTTACCTCTTCTACATGACCCTTGGTCTCAGAATAGAAGCTACCCGTGAAATTCGCAGGGTCCGTCTCCGTAAATCCAGGGCCCCCGATGGGATGAGCATCATCATAATGATAAATGCAACCAGTAGCAAAGACAGTGCAATGAACGCCCGCAAGGAGGCAACAATCCGACAAATTCAAAGTCCCAATAACGTTCGACCGTATCGTCTCTTCCTTATGGTCTTCACACCAATCAACGTTAGGACGGCCTGTGCAACCAGCGCAATTCAGGACGTGGGTAGGTTTGATTTTATCCAGCTCGGACGTGACTGCTTCACGGTCTTCCATACGAACGGTCGTCGTATACACCTCCTTGCCTTGACTCTTCAGCAGAGTCTCGAGGTGACCGGCAATCCATCCCTTTCCGCCCCATATGAGAAATCTGTTTGTTTCATTGCCATGCGTTGCCATAGTGGATATGGTTCTTGGCGTTGACCTCCTAATTAGCGGTCGTCTAAAAAAGCTTGAAGACAGCGAAGCAAAGACCTCGAAGTGAAAAGGAAAAAGAAAAAAAAAAGTAGATTGGGATTTAAGGAATAGGAATAGCGAAAGGATATGATCATAAAGTCAAATGTAAAAGAATGGATTGAGATTAAAATCAATTGCTTAAGATACACATATGCATTGGGAAGTTTCGGTATGAGGTACAGTGTAATGTACCTACAGTTATTAAGTTAAGGTAGACACGTAGTACTAATTACAAGGGATGGGACTACCCTCTTCAGTGCCGACTTTGCTGGGTAATAGACCGGAGGGGCAAAAATAGGCTCTGGAGTTACGTACTCCGGATGATCGGCAATAGGAAATACAGTGCATATATATACAGAAGAACTTTCATATCTTGGAAATATCCATCTTGATAAAAGGCAACAAATATTTATGTACGTAGAAACAGGTTACAATGTGATTTATTAGGTGTATCCAATTATACGTGTAAATTTCACTCGAAAATGTGTAGGTAACAAGATCGAAGCTTAGGTACATATTTAGGGAGGGTTTGTATGTGATAACGTCACTTAGCGCTAGTTGTTGTGCGCCCGTCTTCATCTCTTCACCTACACAAATGCATTCAAATAACTTCAAACAACACATACATCCGAAACCACGCTGCAGATTTAGTTCATCTCGTCAAATCACAAGTCCTGGATTCATTGCCGCCCGAAATAAGTAGCACACAAGTTTCATACTGAATGTCGAAAACTCCTACTCAGGACGGTTAGTGTTGTGCAACATCCGGCTCTGCTATCCGTCTGTATTCTGTTCGAGTCGTACTAGATACGCCACAAAATGTTGAACGATCACAATTGTTGTACACACAAACTCCGGTGCATGACCTGATCGTGACAAACGTGCTGTATTTTAGTTAGACACACCCCCTATTCCTGCGAGTCCAACCCCTTGAATCGTCACCACCCACTACGCCACCCAACGATTAAAAATCTCCACCAAACCAAATGCATTTTATCGTTGTTATTGCGAGCATCACTGACGACCCTCGAAGCAATGTTAGACAACACCCAAGTATAATGGGTGATTGCGCCGATACCCTCAACCGTTTAAAGATCCGGGCTTAGGATTTTCGCGCATTCTAACCATATTACTATGTCAGTTCGCGGAACCCAAAGAGCGCATCTAGCTAGCAGTGCTTACATATGTGGTAATGTCTTCCCTTTTGACTCCGCTATCCATTGCTATCTTCAGTTGAACGGCTTCGTACGCATCGGCTGCTATCAAAGCTACGTGTCGTTCGAGCATGGAACCCTTATCAGCGATGCCAAGCAAGTACTCCTTGATGTCGGAATAATCTGCTTGACGCAAATTATGGCCTCGCATACTAAGTCGTTGAAGGTCTGGTAATTGATGTCTGCCTATATTATGCAATTTGCCGATTCTATAAAACCAGTATCGAACCTTTCGTACTGACGCGTCTTCGGATGGAGCCGAGTCGACAATGGATTTGAACACTTCTTTCCAAATGGGCAGTGATCCGGTCTCGAGACGCTTTGCGGGAGGTCGAATTGGCTCTCCATCATCAAGCGCAGCTCTTTTGGTTCCAGATTCGACAATGTCATGTGCATCATTCGTGCCTTTCGCGCCATGTGTACCGTCCGTACCATTCGTATCATTCGTTTCGAAATGCTCACTATGGGTTGGGGGCAAGAGGAGGTCTAGGCCCGAGATAAGTGAAGGCTGACTCTAACTACTCTTCACAAGCTGGGACTCTAATTGCTCAGGACCATCCGTGTTATCGGATTTGCGTGGTCGAAAGGGTAAGGTTGTGGGCATTGCCCGAGTCCCCTCCGCCAGCCACTTCGGAAGTTGGAAATCATATGACATGGTGAACGAATACTATATGGAAAGCTATTGGAAAAATAGTAAAGAGTTTGATGTAAGAAATTGGGATTTGGAGAAAGTTATGTGGATGATGAACCAAGTAAGATAGACGGTCCTGCCCCTCAATTTGGTTGGAGAAAATTGTCAGATCAAGTGGATTTCTTAGGTTAAACCTTACCACATGGTTGGAACTACCCCAACATTCAAAAATAATGCAAGATAAGTCACAAGTGCCACACACATACAGCTTGTACCTGCAGCAAGCTACCTAACTCTACCTAATTCTAGACGAGACCGGAAAGTACCTAGGTAGGTCGAGTAAAGGTTCGATGTTAGAAAGAAGGGTATAATATGGAGATATCTACATATAACTAGGTACATATACATATTCCCATACGTCATGCAGCTTATCTAACATCAATACGCATTAAAGGTATAGACTATTGATCTCACATGTACATCCTATGCACCACATACACTACCACACAACATATACATCATCAATTATTCTATTTGGTATGTCACCTTCCCACCTCGTGGCTCTTTACATAAACCCCGCAGTGGAGCTTCTTAAGGCTAGACTGTAGCTAAATTAGCTAAATTCTAGCTAGATATATGACCCACCAATGAATGACTTTGAAAAATAACTTAGCGAGTGCTTAGGTACGGGAAGTGATACAAAGTTTGATCCCCGCATTAGCTAGATTCGTTCTCACCGATTCGTTGGTTTTGGTGGCTGAAATTACATTGTGGGGACAGGGCGGACATAGATTTCTTCTGCTAAATCCCGTTCCAATATCGGCTACCTTTAGGGGATAAACTTGATTTTTTTTTTCTAGAACACGCCCTAGCTATTTTCTCCGTCTCCTACTTTTCATACTAATTTACGACTACTATTTAAGTAAACCACCCCTTTCGTTTCGATTCCCAATATCGGTGTAATAGTATACGCGTTCGAAATACTACCTCAGTCGTTGTTATTATCATTTTTGACCCTGTACTCGACAACAAGTCGCCGTCGTCGATCGACCGCTACTGTGTCGTGATATTTTCAGGAGTTCGCGACTCTTGATATATCTCCCCCTTAATCCAAACATAATTACTAAAGGGGTCAATTAATACGTTCCATAACAAAATGGGTGCTGTTAAGGAAGTTCTCTACTATATGTTCCACCCGAACCAGCTTCGGTCGATAATACAATGGTATGGTTCACCGTCTACTACTTAACGTCCCTCACCTTAGTAGATGTGGTTGCTGACTGTAACCCTCACTATAGGAAACTATGGCACGACCCAATCCATAGGCGAGACCCTTCCAAGGAGCCTCCTACCTTACAATCATGCTTTAAACTCCTAGACCTCACGAGCCGCAGTTTCTCTGCTGTTATTCAAGAGCTACAACCCGAAATGCTCGTCCCTATCGCCCTGTTCTACCTAGTATTGCGAGGGCTAGACACGATCGAGGATGACATGACACTCTCTAACAAAACGAAGGAGCCTATGCTACGAGAATTTTCGAAGTATCTGAAGATCGACGGTTGGACCTTCACTGAGAGCGGACCTAACGAGAAGGACCGTGACCTCCTCATCCACTTTGACGATGTGATCGCAGAATTGAAGAAGATCGATAAAAAGTACTACGATGTTATTGAGGACATCACCATCAAGATGGGCAATGGCATGGCCGACTATGCTCTCAATGCCGAATTCCAAGAAGGCGTCAAGACAGTCGCCGAGTACGAGGAATACTGCCACTACGTTGCTGGCTTAGTCGGTGAGGGTTTGACCCGCATCTTCGTCCAAGGTAACACAGCCAACCCCGCCCTGATGGACCGTATGGAGCTATCCGAAAGCATGGGACAATTCTTACAGAAGGTCAACATTATCCGTGATGTACACGAGGACTTTGAAGACAAGCGAAGATTCTGGCCCAAGTCCATCTGGAGCAAGTACGTCGAGCAGTGGGATGACATGTTCGACCCTAAGTACCGTACGAAAGCTCTCCAATGCAGCTCCGAGATGATCCTCAACGCTTTGAAGCACGCCGACGAGTGTCTGTTTTACATGGCCGGTATCAAGGAACAGAGCGTGTTCAACTTCGTTGCTATACCTCAGACTATGGCCATTGCCACACTTGAGCTTGTCTTCCAGAACCCCAAGATTTTCCACAGCCACATTAAGATCACCAAGGGCGATGCTTGCAATCTAATGACGCAGTCAACACAAAACTTACGGACGGTATGCGACGTCTTCAAGGGCTACACCAGAAGAATAGCGAAGAAGAACGACCCGAGGGATCCTCACTACCTCGATATAAGTGTAGCCTGTGGCAAGGTAAGCTGACCCCTATAAATCTCCCAATTTTGAGTGAAGGATACTAACTGAAATTGATTAGATCGAGCAATTCATAGAGACTCTCTTCCCAACACAAGACGCCAAGAGGCTACAAGCCATACAAGAAAACGAGGGTCAACAAGGTGCCCAGACCGATCTCTGGGAAGCTTTGTCGTTGGTCGGGGCTGTAGTAATAGTGCTGCTGATTGTGTCAGCTCTTATGGTATGTAAACCCTACAAGGATACGGCCTTTTTTAAAAGCATTGCTGACGAATTTTGAACAGCTGGGTTTGGCATGGTATTTTGGTGCGAGATTCGACGTGATGTTCGACAAAGAGGCAGCATCTAGCCTCAAAAGCATCAAGAGTGTCGCCCAGGCAACAGTGACACAAATTGGTCATGAGGAATTATAATGGCATGTACTTGATTGGTTTTACTTGCATGGCGTCGTCGAGAGTGTACATATAACGCAGGTCGCGCTGACGTCAGGGCCGTCGTCGGAGAGTTGCTGACAACGCTGTCGCACTCAAGGGGGTAAAGTGTAATGAAAGTTCTGTGAGATATGAACCCCCTACCTATAACCCTTACTAATACGGACTAATATCTTAATGAAATGTACTTTGTTTTTCTAATTCTATGGTTGTCTTGCTTACCTCGCTAAGGGGAAATTGAAAGGAAAACTAGCACGGATGTCAAATTACAATCTAGTCCATTAATGACTACGGTTGTGCCGAGAAGTGCTGATATCAAATACCATGGCGAGGAGTACCGAGTCCATCGCGGCTCGTAGGCACATGGCGGGCTTTTGAATTTCATTGATATCCGAATGGAGTTCCCCGTCATGGATCGTCAACATCAGTACAAGACCGAGTAACTTCGGTGATTTAAATAATAACTCAATTTCTCGGGGAATTGATGAGGTAAGAATATAGATATAGCTCAGTAAAGTCGTAAGTTCAACTGCATAACTTCCAGGGCGGACATAGTAGCATTAATTCAGTTACGCTTACGCACTTACTATTAAATAACATACTTATTAACACTCCTATATCATATACGCCTTCGTGAACGTTTTGAGCCCTTTCGTATTAGAGAGCCATAGTCGGGGGTCATGTCAGCTACCTATTTGCGGGCTTTATCTCTTCAAGACTCCGACTATCGACACAGTTGGTGTGATAAGTTTGCGAGGAGCCGCAACTATTGAGTAAATGTCGTTATAATTTCTTCGTATTGTATTTCCTGATTTTGTTCGCTTCTATTGACGATATTTACTATTCCTACGACAACGGAATTCAAAGTTCCTCAATACCGAAGTTAGGCAGTTCTAGGAATAAATTCTCATCGTGGGATTCTAAGTCGATTCAATCTAGAACGTCAATAAGCATGCTGCGCCGTTAGTCGTTGGTAATATGGATGCTACCTAGCAATTTCATGTACTCCTTCGCGTAGCTAAGCTCCTTACCTACCTAGGTAGGTCCCTACGAGACGTAAATAACGTCGTCGCTGACGACGCAAATGTTCGTGTTTCCTCCATTGCAGCAATAAACGAGTCTCACCCCATAACAAACGCAGTACTTCTGCAGCCGCAGTTTCAGCCCTGAGCTCAAAAGACCTAAACAAGCCAACATCCCACTTAAACAAAACCGAAAAATCACTTATAAACATAACAACTAACCATTTAAAACTATAGTGGCTGGGCGAAGCTTTCGCGGCCTCTAGTTTTGGTTATTGCCAAGATATCGTTTCATCTCCGAGACCATCAGGCCTGGGCATCTTGGCTTCAATGTCTCGTCTCATATCTGACGGTGGATTGCGTAAGCTCTGGGGGAGAAGTTAGTTTCTTTTGAAGGAAATGGAGAGTGACGTCTTCGGGTAAGTTGGTTTATTAGAAGAGGTTTTCGCATGTTTGGATTTCTCTGGGTTTCGCGTTGGCGATGTTAGATTTATTGTATGTACTCTGGCATTGAATGCCTCCGATTGAACCTCAAATCGATTAATACTTGTAGAACCATAATATACACATATGTAGAATAGAACGGCGGATGATCATGTCATATTGTTTATCGCTCACCAATTGTAGAGAAATTAGACATCGAAATCAACGCTGAATTTAATATGTACTTGGGCAGGGTATCTACCTCCTCAAAAAATATACACAGTAGTGTAATGATATAATCTCGCTAGGACCATCCAGCTCGTCCATAGACCATGAAAAAAAGCAATGATCAGTTTCACGCTATAATGATATCCAGTGTTACTTTTCTTCTCGCTCATCGTCTCTATAATGCCATAGCCTCTCATCTATATGAACCATGTTTTGGCGTCTGCGCTCATGATCATTTCAACTAAGAACAATAAATGTACCTCCGCGGATTCTCGCTCCCCTTGATGGATTATTCGCTGATAGTAATATGTCCGTAGGTAATGTAATGCAAACAATGTTGGTTATGCCCTCAATCATAGGTTGCCGTTGTTGGCGATGACGTTGGTAGTGCCCTTAGCATTTCGTAAGACGCCTGCCCCTGTGGCAGCACCTAGCTGCTTGATACGATCCGATACCGCGGTGGCATCAGTAAGGTTCTCAAGAGACATGAGGTAGGCCGCAAGACCGGCAATGTGTGGTGAGGCTATGGCTCTGGTTAGTTACCTTTCTAAATCACGCCAAATTATTAAGATGGGATAAACGTACCCATTGAAGTACCGCTTAGGACTTCACTTGCGGTGTTATTCGTAATACCAACGCTCTCCACATTTACACCAGGGGCATAGACATCAACGATCTTGCCGAAGTTGCTGAAGCTTGCACGCCTATCATTGGTTTGGTCGATCGCACCAACGGTAATGGCGTTCGGGCTGCTGGCAGGAGACACATTGGCAGCATCCTGAGCTTCATTTCCGGCAGCGACGACAGGAACAACACCGTTCGAAAAGAGACGTTCGATAGCGGCGTTGACAGCTTTAGAAGCGGGACCACCAAGAGACATGTTCATGACCGACTTTCCCTTGGTAGCGTTGGTAGCGACGAAGTTAAGACCATCGATAACATCGGCGTTAGTGCCACCACCTTGAGCATCTAAGACCTTCACACCCATCAACTGGACGTTCTTGGCGACTCCAAAGGTTGCGCCACCAATAGTACCCGCAACGTGAGATCCGTGACCGTTCAAATCCGTGGCCTAATAAAATCATCAGCTTCAAATTTTTGGTATTCGAATTAGTAAAATATGCCCTACCTCTTCTCCCTCAACCGCATTGAAGGCCATGACAGCGCGTCCCTGGTAGTCCTCGTGCGTAACCATGATACCAGTGTCCACAATGTAGGCAGTAATACCCTCACCAGCGGCGTCATCAAAGATGTAGCCCGATCCACCGGCATCAGCATGGCTAAGGCGAACGAGACCAGTAGGTGCGTTAATTTGGTTCATGAGAGCGGAAACCTTGACGTAAGTGTTGGCTTCGACATAGTTGACCATAGCCATGTTGTTGATCTCGTTCATCATAAGGTCGTCGGAATCCAGGGCCATCGCGCGCCAACCCGACATGGCGAAGGTACGAACCCTAGTGGAGAGTAGCTGGCCATTAAGTCCACGCTTGCCCAAGTTTCGCTTCTTAATGGCTATCTTGATAGATGCTTGGTGGGAGAAAACGTCATCATCTGTGGCATTATTGTGGTAGACCACAATGTACGAGTTAGGAACAACGTCAGTTGCCTCGACATTGCTTACAGGAACTCCCAATGCTGTGTTAGCCTCCGCCGAAGGTCGCCATAAATTCAAAGGAGTCGCGACTGTGCCCAACGGTGTCAGGGCAAGGAGGGTGGTGAGGATTCTGGTCAAACTTGGCGCCATCTTGATGGTTTGATATTCTTGTCTTGATATCTATTCCTCTTTCTGTGCCAGACAAATTGAGGGTAAGTCCGGAAGGGTGATGGTTGTACTCGAAGTACGGTAATGAGAGGCTTAAAGTCAGAGGATATGTACCTGAGTACGGAAAAAAATCGAGAAAAAATATTGGGGCCAAATGGACCGCAAATATAATTGTTTGCGTCTCGGTGTAGAGAATGAGTAGAGAATAAAATATAATGGACGAATCTCTGATTCGAATTCGGAAGTGAGCGTGTAATAAAATGAGATAGGATGAGGGTAGAGTTGAGTGTCAACTGAAAGGTGAAGAAAAATAAAATGCGCCTTTGGTGGCTACCCAGTATCCTATGTTTCTCGAAAAAAAAAAAAAAAAAGTGAACTTCCACCCAGAGAAGGACGTGAAAAAAAAAGGTATGGAGGTGCTGGTCAGAGAGAAAGAGATAACGCGAGAATATGAAAAGTGAAGGAGAAGACGAGGATCATCCAGTTATCTTAAAAGATCTCTCGTCGGTTGCATTAAGATACCTAGCCCAAAGAGGTACGCCCCCCGTTATGATCGACCCCTTAAAGCATGGGTAGACCAGTATTGTCGTCGGTAGAACACGCGAAGCTATGGAAAAATGCCTAGAAGGCGAGTCAAAAGATGTTCATCTCGGAACAATGAACTCACAGGGCACCTGAAGAACCCCGGTTTGCGGGCAGTTGATGGGAATCGTAACAAGCGCCAAGTACCGCCAAGTCAAACGTAGAGCCCCTGGAGCAGCGCGGTCGATCCACAGAGCAGGGGTACAGAGCGCCTTGTGCACTATCATCGGTTCTTTAATACCAAACAAGGCCTTACGACAGGCCAGTCGGGAAAGTAGCAGGGTCAGCTAGATGCGATCGAGTCGAGACGTAATAAAATAGAAAAAACGTAGTGCGGTGAGAAAGTCTAAGGGTAGATCATCCAATCCCCCGTCTTGGGGGATTCGTACGCCCAAGTCTCATTATCGTTAGCGGAAACCATTACGCGGGGACTTGTAAGATCTTGATCACCCTATCAGAGATCATAAAGATAGCAACTGAGCTCAACCATTTTCTCGTTATTGGTGTAGCTTATATGTTTTTAATGTCACAATAGTAGTTGAGACCAGAAGACGAAAGAGCGTAGAATGCGTCTATGGTCCATCGACGGCGCATAAAGATGGATGTGGCGAAGATGGTAGGTATTTGCATTCATCCATGGATGTCTGTTTTTAAGCCATGCCACTGCTGAAAACCTATCATGGATAGACAGCTAGGTGGCTTGGTATGGATCCATCTGGAGTGAAATACCTGTCCCTGATCACTCCGTATCACGATTTCCCTAAGTGGGAAGTGACTCTGCAGTGGTCGGATTAACCCGAAGACGGCAAGGAATGGTATGGAGGAATTTTGCGGCTACTCCCCTTCGATACCTATTAGATCGAATATTCCACCATCGCAATCCATGACTTGAAGAGCTAAATGAAAGAAACAACGGCCTTATAAGAACGACTGATGGACCCCCATTTGATGTGTGCTTCATTTAATAGATTACTATGTGAATGGTATGGGAATAACAGGAAAGTCCTGCAGTAAGACCGAGGTAATGGTGATTGAAGACACAATTGAGCCTGATGTGATTTTGAAGTTGTTAATATTAGCAGAAGAGGCAGCATCTCGAAATTGGCGGGGAACAAAATGAGCCGACTAAGAGATAGGTACTTAGGTACTTCGCTAATCACGCTTAGTTGGTAGGATCTCCACAATTAAGAAACACATTGAAGGACTATTGCGTTAGGCTGCTTAGAGTAATGGTGAAATTTCACATTTAAGGGTCGTTTCAACAATTACGTCCTCTGATTGGTTGAAACTAAAGGCTTAGTTGAATGAAACAGCGCACCTTAATTAATATAAAGCCCAATATGGAGAATTGAGAATTACCAGCAAGTAGGGGTCCAACCAGGTATGTACCTAGGTACATGCTCGTGAACTCCATCCAAGATGCATGTGAATTGACCCTATTCAGCTTGTATGATCTGATAAGGATCAATGCCAATTGTAATTATGTACAGATGTTTTCATTCATAATTTACTTTCAGTATATCTCAGAGTTGTCTGGAGGCTGCGGTTTATATAGTCTCTATAGACGCTTGAGTTGAACTCTAAGAGCCTCTTTTATGGACATTAATGGCGCACCATATATTGTTTAGCTACCTGCTGTAAATATCGATTTAGCTATGATCTGTAAAACAGACAATTCAATTCAATTCAATACTTTATCTCATGTATGTAGAATAATTTAAAGGGTTTGAAAGGAATCTGCCAACCGGTGTTGTAAGTCCTTCTTGAATACGTGTAATCCTCATTAAGAGGTATCTATCTGGGTAGGTTACTTTACCTGTGTGTTGAGTTGAATAGCTGATATCGATGATGACGAGTTAAACGTCTAAGAATTTATAGCTAGACTTACTTCGACTTCCCAAACACCCACCCAATAGACTATATGTTAACTACATATGACACAACGCTATGATCACGGGCTCATTGACTCTCAGCCGGGTAACTTTATAACACGCTTATCGGAGGCTTGCAACATAGTCAAGTTATCCCAGCTTGATTGTCAACCTCATTAGGTAGCCTGGTAATGGCTTATCCATTGATCGATGAAATTATTGGTGATGTTATCAATGCCCAGCTCCCAGCGCCACGGCGGCGGTATCTAGGTAAGAGCCTTGACAATGTAACGGAAGCGGTCGGAGAAATCTACGGATCGCAGATCTAAAAAGTGACGAAATTGCGTGTTGGGCTAAAAACATCAAAGTTTATTCAATCGGTCCTAAGAGCACATTTATTTTCCATATCAGTAAAAGGGCTATGCGGACAATATACGGCGTTGCCGAACTGCCTAGATAGAAATGTGGATTGATATAAGTCATGACAACCCGCGTCACGACTCATTCTGAAGGGAGAGGAAGACAACTAGGAGGTATTTATTTCAAAGATAAGCGAGTAGATACGGCAGCGTCGTTTAAGCGGCAGTGACACAAAGCGGACAGGCGGACAAGAAGGAAAAGGGAAAAGGGCAAGTTACCACCAGTCATGCAAGTAATTCCGATTCGTACCCACACAAGAACGGACAGGGCTCAGCCAAGCCATCGAATGACGATCTACTGCAAGTGTCCAATCCACTCAAAGCTTAATAACAGGCGCCCAACAGCGGTAGAGCGGCCTGGAAGGCACCTATCTACCGTATGTACTTCGTACACGTAGTTAGTTGGACGCAACATTGAAGACTAATGTCGATTGTACCATGATACCACGAGGTGGCTGTGCAGATTGGATTTGACAGCAATCAAGATGACTTTCTAGCTTTCTAGCTGCATGAAGATACATTTATATCCCTCGGGTAGCTGTACATATAGTACATTAGTCTTATACATACCCCTAATGCATGATGAAGTACCCGAGAAGACTTATAGGGACGCAGGTACTTCAAAAGGAGCGCATCGAAATTCGAAAAAAGCATTTATAGACGTAATACTATATTGATAGGTAGAAAAAAAGAAATGGGGAAGAGAAATGGTTTGATATAAATAAAAGGAAACTCCCAATAGACAAATCTTATTCTTCAAGACTTAAATTATTGTTATACAATTTTATGGGTTGGTGGAAAGAGAGAGAAGATTGGAAGTATGCGTTGGCATGGCATAATCATTAAGATTGAGGTATACAGTACTTACCAAGGTAGCAGAAATAATGAGTTGTATGGGTATCAATTGGTATAAATCCAGGGTGGCTATTAGTTTCCATGGATGTATCTCGTACCTAGTACCTAGTACACGGCCGGTATTAAGTGTCAACCCAGGACAGTAAAGTAAATTGAGAGAGATGGGTAGGCGCGACATTCAATGGAGCGTGGAGCGTAATGTAATAATGTAAAGTACAAGTGCAAGTAAAAAAATAAAGTCCCCTCCGCTTCTACCCTTCTACATCTCCCCCGGCAAATCTGTCCACGTCCACGTCCATTTTGCATCATCTGAAAATTCGACAACTTCTTCTCTTCCCGCTCTCGTGACTCTTGCATATCGCAATCATCCAATTTCCCATCGCCTTTACAAAGTCGAAAAAGATAAAATCTTCAATCTAGAACAATCCCGGAAAAGAATCCTGGTCAAAATAATCAGAGCGCCCCCAACCCAACCTGTCATACAGCATAGCGCATAGCGTACCACATCCAGCATACACACGCATACACAGCCTACAACACTGTACTACTCCACCACACGATTCTTTCTTTACACATTCTCGTTTCGCCAACAGCCGACTCGCCTGATCTCATCTCAGTCGATCGATCTTGTCAAATTTTTTCTGTTCTCCTTCCCTTCTCTTCTTAACCACGAGTGTCCATCCAAAGGCGTCCATCCTACTAGACAACACATACTAGATATCTTCTAGGGAATTCTATGTTGCGTTAGTCTCGTAGTAACTACCTGGGTACTCTACATATAGTCTCCCGCATAATCCCAAGGAATTTAGTATCGAACATATCGGCGACCGTTCCAATTTTTTAACCGACCACTTCCTAAGAATACGATTGTCAGATACTTGTACTACGCCAATCTTCTTCTGCTGACAGTAATTGAAGACTCGCAATAGTTGACGGCCGATACTTACCCCGAACCCTTACCACCGATTCTTCGTCTTAGGTTGTCTGGCCCTTCGACAGACACCACCTGTCATGAGCATTCCCGTCTCGTAGTTAATTGGATCCGATTCGGAAATTAAGATGATTGCACTGGGCACCAGGGACTCCCTCGCCTTTCATAATGGCGATATCGCCGACAATAATTCATATGAGGCTCACTCCCAAAGTCTCCATCTTCCAAGAGAACCTTATCTACAAAGAGAAATGTCGATCGACCGAGACGATGAGGAGGATGAGGGTACCGCAACCAACGAATTGGCAGCTATCATGACCACTACATCAACACCTGTCACGCCTGGTCCCACGAGTCCGCCTCTAGAACAACCTAAACCCACCGATTTCGTGCCCCCGACGAGGCCTAGCAGCACTCCGTTTCCTAATGCCCAACAAGGTCAGACTGATATACGCTGTTTGACGTGTCAACCAGACTGCTTTGGATCCGAGGATTGTATGGTAACAAGTCCTGTTTCCACGTCGCCGATTGTCGAGCAAGAACCAATCTTAACGTTGGCCCAACTACCGGCCGAGATCCACGAATGTATACTCGATCACATATTTGGGTACCGGGTTTCGACTACGTCCCCAAGCTCCCTTAACATCCCAAGTGTCAACGCTCGAAGTTGGAGTACTGCGTTACGACATTCTAGAAGAAAGGAATTATCCAATCTGGCATTTGTCTGTCCATTATGGAGGGACCTAATCCAACAACGACTTTATAGGCATATCAAGCTCAAGGCGACGGTACACTGCAGCAATGATGTTATGGCCTTCTTTGTGCGTCATCCTCACCTTCGAACGTATGTGAAGCATGTCGAGATTTGGTTTCCAGTCTTTCAACCCAAGTTCCATTCCCTTACACCAGGAGATACATCGCTTTCCCTACCAACCGTGTCACCTGAAGGTATCGCCAGCGCAACTTATGCGTTACCGACCGATAATTCTACTCTGGAGGAAGTATTCTATCTCGTAAATATGCAATTTCCCGAAGCGCGTGTTATGACACTAGAAGGTGGTGAGAGGAAAAAGGCGCCGCGAGTAAAATTCAGTTTTGCTGGACCCTCGACGGCCCCTAGGGATCTACCCGAGATCGCGTCAATTAGGACACTTATTGTCAAAGGTCAATGGAATATCATCCGACAACAGAAGGATTGGGAAGTCATCTCGCGCGCCCTGCCAAATCTAGAGGAATGGCATGGTACTTATGCTAAACCAAAATCTAAGAGTTATCTTAGCATGGCGAGTACGATCGAGACTCTCGATTCGAAAATTACTAGCCTCAATCTCTGCCTTGAGTGTGACTACAGGAGGGAAATGACATGTCCTCCTTATTACCTGAAGGTCTGCGAAAAACTGCATTGGTGCGAGAAGATGGCAAAGGCGGCGAGTAAATTGGAACATCTCTCTTACACGGGGCGTGTTTGCCATGGGTTCTTTGACATGCTTGCGAAATATTCCAATCCCCGCACCACCCGACTAAAGACTATCGATCTCACAGTCAAGAATTGTTGCCGACAGAATGCCCAATGGAACGAGTCGGGTTCGGGTATCACTGACATGCACTTCATCGCGGCTTTTGAGCAACTTGTGCTGGGTGGTATCCGAGCTTTGGAGCGCCTCAAGTCGGTGGAGGTATTACGAATCCGATATGTTGACCTTGGTATGTGTTAGTTGCTTTTCATCCCGAATCTTTATTTTGTGTGTGTTTGTTGCTGATAGAAATTACTAGACTCGCCCGTCCCACCGCTTAATCCATATTTTATGGTTAGGGATGGCTGGTGCTCTGGAGTGTGGAGTGATGAAATCGTCGCAGAGATTAATCGTGTACGCCCTGATATTTGCTTTGAGGAGATGGTGGATAGCTTTGGTGAAGTTGGCTATAATAAGGAAGGCCGATTGGTTATTAACCCGGACTTTCCGAAATCGAGGGTTCTCTCCCTCAAGTTGGCGAATTACGCCATGCTATCGGGTGGTATCACGATCGTGTAACCCCCCGCTATTACATTTTTTGCTCCACGACTTGGTCCTGGCTCGAACGATACGAAAGCATTTTGACTTTTATCAGTATTATTTATTAAGGCATACGGTGGTCCCTATTTGCTTGGGGCGTAAGGGAGATGATCTTTTCATCGTCGCAAGGCTATGTCAGGTTGTAAGGAGTTCATATGGAAATGGAAGGCTACAATGTGTTCGAGGTCGGTCAGGCAGGCAACCCTTAATTTCCCTTATTGCGTATAGACAGCATAGAAGGGAGCAAAGGGGCGGGGGAGGGTCTTGACTTGGAACTTGAACTTGCACTTGACTTGCGAGCAAGGGTTTTGGCCGTTTTATTGGAGAGAGGAAGAACAGGATTGACTCTCAGGAGGCGGATAATACCCACTGCAATGACTGTTTGTTTTGTCTTTTTGTGCTCACCGGGTTTTTAATTTGGTTTTCTATGGCGATGTTGAATGGCATGTCGAGGAGTCAGTCAGTCTAGGGTCGACATAGTTGCGCAAGGTGGTAGTCTACTGAACTGCCTTGCTTGGAATGGTATCAGAGTGTACGTAACATCAGAGTTGAGTTCGCAGGCGAGTGAATACATTGCTGAACGATATGAAAGGCTTGATATTCGGATTTGTGTTGATTCGTGGAAGGTTCTAACTTAGGTGGTGAGTTGGATATGTGAGGACTGGGGTTACAAGGAGATACCCTTAAGATTGATTCGGACATGTTGCTTCGGCGTATTCTTTAAGTAGGTCGTCGCTTATCTAGGATGTGAAGCTATAATGAAATAACCAATTCACTTAGGACGATCATACGCGCGAGTCCGAGCAGATGGGATAAATAGTTCAAAATGTGATACAATATCAGGTATTATGATTCCATACCAGGATATGCTCTTTGCCAAGTTATCCGTAGACATACACCTTCTAATTATCTATCCTTTCCTCTTAGTAAAACACGCCCAACGCATAAGGGTCCCTATCTAGACACATATATACACGCAAAGCCTACCCAGCCCCACCAAATTACATTATTTATTCTTCTCATCTTCACTTATCTCCTCAACATCCCCACCTAAATCCCCAATAATAATCCCAAGAATCCAACAATTAACCAGAAAAAATGCTAACGACGCAAGCCAGAGGCCTGGGACGAATGTGCTTAAGCCGAGGAATTCGAGGTTATATGCTTGTTGTAGCCATAGTCCTTGACCGCCGACCCAGAGGGCGAGGGCGGATATACCGAGGCGTGGGTTTTGCAGGAGTGAGGAGTTGGGGAGGTAGAGTGGTAGGAAGACCATGTACCAGAGGAAGTACTGTAGTATTGTTAGAGATAAATGGTAATATCGGAGATATATTGGGAAATAGCATATGTATGTTCCGTAGCATGATAACGGGCAAAATAGATAGACTATGGGTTAAATGAGATAGAAAGTAGAAAAATAACGTACCTGGCTTGTGCAGACTTTATTGAACGTCACGAAAGCAAAGGTCTGCGCCAACATAGTCGTAGGCAGATCGGCCTTGGCGCCGACTAGGGGTATGAGAATTGTCGATAGTAATAATTGTGGCACGAATGCGACCGACTCAACCCTCAGCGAAGCGGTGCTCGGGTGCGCCGAAGTCAGGTAGAGTAGAATGTTATACGGACTGAAGTTATGCCGGTGATCGATCCGACTGACGTGGTGGAGGAACGTATGCGTGATAAACGGCATGCCGTAAAGACCGTACATGACGAGATTCAAGCCTAGAAATGTAGCCAGGCTTACAAATGCAAGTGTAACGCGTCCCGGTGTTACGAACGCCACGATCCTGTCTAGCAAGCTCGGAGCATTTTGTTCTCCTTTTGCTTTGGACACGGCCCGACCCATCTGCTCCGCATCCATCCACCACACAATCGCCGGCGCGTAGATAAACGGGTATATCTTAAAATGCACACCCAGCCCTAACAACACGCCCGCGAGGACAACCTTCCTCTCTAGCACAGCCCACAGTAAAGCCATAACCAATACTCCCAGAAGACCTTCGGAACTCCCGCGCGTGCTGATCGTAGCGACCATAGGATTCAACAACCATATCGCGGCATACGCGCATGCGCGATCGAGGGACATGCGTAGGTACGGTCCGCGCAGTACGCGGATGATTAGGTAACCCGCTAGGAGATCCGCGGCGGCGAATAGGGCTTTGCCGGATGAGAACCAGAATGTGGACGGCCAGGTCGTGGGGTATAGGAGCCAGGCTAGGAGGGGTGTGTACCGGTATGTTTCGCGCGCGTAAGGCGATGGTGGTAAAGAGGGGGAAGGTGAGGGGGATAAGGTGAACCGCGCTGCGTCGGTAAAGACCAAGTAGTCGATGTCGGTGTATTTGAGTGGTGAGTTGGCGTCTTGCCATAACCCGTATAAGAGCATGACGACGCGTAGGAGGGTTGCGGTTGTGAAGAGTAGGATGGGTTTTGTTACGAGGGAGGTTATTTGTGAGGCCATTTTGATCTGATACGAGGAGGCTTCCTTTTTACGTGATGTGATGTTGATGAGGCGAGTCGATGGCCAAGGTGAGAGCTCCTATCCGGAGCTACAGAGGGTGCGGATATGTAGCTTGATCAGAAAAGCAAATTACCAGCACTTGCGATGCCTAGGACAACTCTTTACTCGGCGATGTTGAGAGGCCTCTTTTATATGAGCCTTGTGCACCCTCGTAGCATGTACATAGCTCATAGATATAACTATATTATTGAGAATATCTCATAATGTTTTTGTTGCGCTTTTATAAGAGTAAGACACATGTCACGAGAGTTAAGGGAAGCTCAATGTACAGTGCACGCGCTGGTATCAAGACACACGGCTCGGCATCTCTTCGGCTAATATATACATCAGAGTTTGATGACTAAGGCAATGACATAACCGGGAGTTTCTTCTCGTTCTCTCACTTTAAACTCGTTCATTTCAATATGTTCCATAAGTTTCTTTAATTAATTGCGTCGATTCAGTAGTGAGGGTAGATGCCAATTGCGAGTTGCTCTTCACCCAGAGGAATTTGAGCTTATTGATACCAGCTGGATTTAAGGCTGTTGTATCAACCCTCCATTTAGTACGATACGAAAGTCTCATAGCAACTCTGGACCATTCTCTCAGGCAGTGCCTCCGGTTCGGCTCGCGCCATCGTTATTCTTTCAGCTATATGTCCGAAATCGAGATTTCACCTTAGATTAGATTGCTTAATACATCTGCAATGCCCCCACATGTATGTTATATTAGGTATTTCCGCCATCAATTCGTCGATGGCTTATGATATGATAACGGGCTTTCGCATATGCGTCAAGTACGACGCCGCTACCAAGCAAATTCATTCAATTCTAAGGGTACATGTCTATAGCAAAACTTACGAATCATAATGGGTATTTTGCTTATGCATGCACACGGCCGTGCGTTCCGATGCATACATATGTACTGACAAGTAATCCCATCAAATTATGAAGCCCATCACAAGCCTTCCTATATCAACATACATTCAACCGGTATATGATAGCCTACCTATTTTCATATTCTGTAGAGGCCTCTTCCTAGACCTGTCCTACCATACTAATGCAGATAACCTGTCATGTAGCAGGACTACATTTTGCTTTTTTCAGTATTGAGTTGGTATCCGTAACGTTGTGTTATGTGAGATTCAGCAATGATGTCCGAGATAATAGGTGCCAGAGGTAGCCGAGCAGGCTCACCCCCTCCTACCTAGATAGGTATAAGAGAATCAGCATCAGTCCAAAGTTCCGAAATCATACACTACCTCCTTTATTGTTCACTTCAGAGCATATTTCGTTTTCAAGGTCGATAACTACAAACCAGCTTGCCCAAGATGGTGTCTTGGCCCTTTGCAGTACAAAAAAAGGTTAAGGAACTCGATATCGTCGTCGTCCCCGAAGGCACGGACTTGTATAAATTGGAACGAGGATGTAAGAACGGCGGGCGCAAAGAGAGCTATGGTAACCATCCCCTTCGTGAAATCAATTTGAACTATCCACCTACCTAGGTGTCGTTTTAGTCCAACAAACTAACTATAAGTTCGTTGCTAGAGAGGCGATTTACCACCAACAGTCAACTTCGAAGTACCATTAATAGAGCCAGCGAAAAGGGACAACAATATGAGACAATGGCCATTTCTGCGACTCCAGGCGTACCGGAGGTTACCTTTAGTGTGGGTGACAATTTTACCAAACTAATAGTTCGTCGTCGCAGTTATGACGGAGGTATTGCCGGCCGAATACCTAGTAGGCAGCTACTCGTCGGAGCGTCTTCTACATTCAACGGATTCTTGTTATCAAAATGGCAGAAGTATCAGCACGTGCAAAGAAGCTTTGTTGAAGGGGATGGTGCGGTTACTGAGCGTCTCCAAAGAACTCCACCTACGGATAACCCGTCAAATAAACAAACGCCCCAAGATCAAGTGTCTCAAGATCACCTGTCTCAAGATGAAGGATTTCAAGCCGGGACACCTCAAGGCACAGGCGGTGCGGATGATAACAACGGTCGGTGGAGCTGGGGCGCCATCGCAGGGAGTCTCTTTATCGCCGGAGTGGCTGTCGTAGCCGCCATCTACTATATAACACGGAAACCCCCATACAACGCCTCCAAGAAGGTCAGGTCGGTTTGGATGAATCTCCGGAGCTGGTGGGAAAAGAGTACCTGGCGGGGAAAAGGTAGTTGGTGGGAAAAGAGTGGCTGTCATTTTTCGAATCTTTAAAATCATTTTAAGTACCATCTTAGATAAATTAATGCTAACCTCCTTTTTCAACTCCTAGTAAATGATGTTGTATTTTCTAAGTTTATTATCACTGTCCGAGGCCATGAAATTTTACTTTTATCAAGCTTGAAAAATCGCACCTGCCACTAAGGTCAGAGTTGGTTGGTTGGGGGTGGGGTCAACAGCTGCTGACGGCTGGCTATTGAACTCTTTTTATTTACCTAGGTTACCTACGATAAGAAGTATGATATCGACCCATCGCCATCGTCATAACCTGTTCATAATCTATACATTTTCACAATGTCCGATGTAGTTGTTCCTAAGAATCGAAACATGGGCGTCAAGAGGGACTATCAAGGCAAGGAGAAAGGCTCGGATAGCAAACCTGTTAGAGACATACCTCGCAATGCGTACACTTCCATGTTTGAGTCTTTTCGCAATGAGTTGGATGAGCATCACGATCGTCGCATGAAGATTGGAAAGGTTTCGAGAGATGTCACAGCTCTCAGTAAGAAGATGCAAGTTATTTAACTTCATTAAATCCTCCGGTTTATTTGCTAACATATTAACAGCATTTTCTCATTACAACGGTAATTTTCACCTTTTCGTATTTAAGAGTTAGCTACATTTAGAAAATACACTGTAGCTCACAGCATCTCCCAGCGTCCGCAAACTGAACCAACCGATCCCTCGTCACATCCAAGGAGACATCGAGGCAAGGCTAAAGGAAATAGCCGAACATCTCTCTACCATCGAAGAAGATGTAACTGGAATGAACCGCTACCGCTATCCTCTCATCTGCCTAGAGGAATTCGTCGAAGCCATTTCATTTTCTCACTACCTTCAACACCAAAAACTCATAACCCCTGCCCAAGCACAGGAGGCTCTACCGGCAAATATAGCACTCACATCGCCGGACTACGTATTCGGAATCTTCGACCTCACTGGCGAGATGATGCGCTTCGCTACCGCCGTCACCGCTCTGAGCGGAAGTATGCCGGGACTCAGCACCAAACCCGACAATGGCGAGTCCGCGGCTAACCGGACCATTCTCAACGATATGCAGGACGTGAGCTCTATGCTGCAGATCTGCCCGCCCTTTGGTGGTCGTCCTGGTACCTACTCGAAGAAATTGAGTATTATGATCGAGCAAGTGCGTAAGGTGGAGAGGCTTGGGTATGGTATCACGGTGCGTGGAAATGAGCGCCCGAAGGGCTGGATGCCGGATATGAATGATGCTGGTGGAGGTGATAGGGAGCAGGAGGATGTCGTGATGGATTGAAGAGTGTCTGTTGGTTCTTTGGGTGTCATTTGTCGGCTATTAATGTCAGGGCTACGTTCAGTGACTGTGTTGCGGTCCTATTTTGACGGAGCTATGATGGACATTTGTCTGTCGCCTATGGAATATGAAGGTCGGATAGTGGACAGGCTTTACTGTTGAAGTCTTTCCCTACCTCTCTCAAGCTACGAAGAACCTCGTAATATGTGGCATAGAAACTATATCAATATGACGCCCGACCTTTGGAACCACACCATTATCAAGATCTACATCTCATCCTAATCCCACGGCGAGCTTATAAGCTAATTAGACGTTGTATGCTAAACCTCCGATGTGTCCATTTTCTGCAGGCCATATGGAACTCCTATGTTATTTGCTCTCTAAAAGAGGGAAACACAGAAGCGTCTCTCTATTTCCCTTTATTCATTCGTCTGGATATTGCTCGAATGGCTCATGGTACTTGATATCCACCGGATATCCACGCAGAGACCTAGGTACCTATGTATGCAACTGAGATGATTGGCTATTCCTCCCACACCCTCACGCGTACCGGCGCTGAATCTAAACCACTTCTGCGTCTTCTGGGTAACCACACTCATGTATAAGTTCAGCTCCCTTTCATTGCCGATAGCGATCTGGATTTAGCATAGATCGCGAAACAGCAACTGCATACGCCACCTCAACGGAACTGTTCCATGATTCTAAGGACCCTGGGATATTCATAGGTATCGGAGTCCACACTTCTGCAGCAACCCTTAACATACCTAGGTACATACACCTAGCAAGTATGGGGCGGGACACGCGGCACATATGATAAGTAGCGTATGCTACGTGCCGTCTAGGGCGCCATCAAGATCAGAAGACCGCCTAGGCAGATAGTACCTAGGATATATACCGTCAGCCGTAGATGAGCAAAGCAATCTATCAAACTTCGTTTTTACTCAGTATATTCATTTTAGATGCAGTAGATAACCACCCCCTAAAGGCTGCGGAGTTTACTATCCCACTTACATCGAACAACCATTAAGGTAGTAACTCCGACTTTAAATGCGGACCTATAACCCACAACTCTCGCAGACTCGTCGGTCAAATAAGAAGACGAGAGATTAATAGGTGCATAGTTATTATTAGAGCAGCGAGGTAATCTCATGCGGTGCCCCCCCTTACGTGCTGCACCAGGGACCGGTCGCTGTGTTTGTTTTCCGAAACATGGACCCCTTTTTTTATTTTTCCTCCTGCATACCGAAGATATTTTGATTTTTTTCTGCGTGCTTTTGCTTTTGTAGAATATGCAGGCGACGTGTTTAGTAGGAGATGGAAACTTGCAGCGAGAGGACCCGATGGTGAGGTTTTGATGTCACCCTTTTATTTTAAGATTTTTTTTTTTCTTGTTTCTTTACATGTAGGTATGCGGCTCCCGATACCTGGTACGCTGGGTTGCATACACGTAGGTAGGGTGTAGGGAATGTTTGCTTGCGCTGGCACGTCAGTTGCCGGGGCTTGCTTGGGACACTTCCGCCGTCGGTCTGGAACCGAGGGTGAGGCTCATTTCACATGGACGTCGTTTTGCATACTATGGAGCTAGGTATACTCTTTCGCATTGGATCGGCTTCATTGCGAATCTTTATCCTTTTAATTGTCCGGGTTGTTGTTTTATAGACTTATGAACCGTTTGATGTACTTCACTCCGTGCCCGAGACAGTGCTCTGTAACGCAAGGACCAGGGACCCGGGACCCGGGAGAGACATCACACATGCTTACCTATTGGATGTTCTAATTGTCATATTCCGATCAGTCTAGAGCGTAGCTAGAGAGATCAACTATTCGACATATCGCTTACGTGAGATCTTACCATAGTAAGAGCATTTAAGGGCTAGGTACATACAAGGGATGTTTTTGAGCTTTGATGAGGACCGGCAACTTCGGTATGGATACAGTGGAGAATGGATAATTGAGCAGGGGCTAGAATATTGCGATTTTTTCCAATGCTACGCTGCAATGCCCCGAGATTGCACTAAGCGAATATATGATAGGTTACCCCTTGAATACTTTCTCCTTTAACCTGGGAACTCTCTATTGACTTCTGAGAAGCCTAGGTAAATAGAGATCTGATCGTTTCCAAAAAGAAAGATCCATGTGAACACATCGAATCCTCCTCACGGCAGCTCGGTAATGCGAACTTCAAGAATAGGTAATGACGCGCTTCGCTCAGCTTCCTCAGCTCCGGGGGACTGTGGGGTACAATCCGGGGTAAGGCAAGCCAAGGAGAAGCTATGTAATGCCATATGGTCAAGTTACGGTATTGAGACAACCCTAAGAACTACCTAAGACCTCCCTACGTACCTAGCTACCTAGGTAGTAAGTAAGTAAGGCGATCTTAGGGGGAGGACCCATGTTAGATGTCAACCGCACGAAGGGAATCGCCGTAATAAGTCAAGTGACCAAAGATGGAGTGATGGGGAATGTCCAAGCTTTCTAATGACGGAGTAGAATGGAGCGATGAAGACTAATTGTCTAGACCGACTTGTGTCCTGAGAGTCTTGGAGATCGTGATGGTGGAGGAGGATGGACAAGATGAGGGGAAATATCGAATTCCCCCCGCTCATGTGGGGGATTAGCGAGTTGAGTGAGCCGTGTTTCTCCTTCAGTTGGGTCCTGGTGGTACATAGGATTCTATGTGTTCACTTTGAATGGTACAATACGATGCTGCCACGATCTACCTACCTACGTAGTACATCCTATACCCCCACAACTTGTCGTTAGTGTGACGATTTATTGCTTTCTCTTTCCTATTCTCTCTTCTTTTTGGAATATACAATTGTATTTTTATGGCAACTTGAACGTATGATCCCCAAATATTTAGGTCAAGATCGTCTACTTGCTAAATGCCTAGAACATCCAAGCTGCTGGTAGTCTAAGCAAGAACGGCGGGGTTTTAGGGTCTTTAGATACCCGAGAGAATGGCTAACAGAGCGACGGATGCGGAAACAATGCGCACATGGCACATGAGGAGAAGAGAAAAAAATAAGGAAAAAGAAAAACGACGTCATGAGCCCGAACTAGCGGCGACAATTGCTAAAGTCTTTACTTTTAGGCTCTTCCAACTCCGGTAAGAATAACGAATATTAACCCTCACGTCAATTGAATCAACTAGGTAGATCACCTAGCAGCCTAGGTAATTTCCAATTCCGAATTACGCGGCGGCTAGGGAATGATAATACTAATATCAATGAGATTGGAAGATGACATTCGGGTGATAGTGCTGACCGTAGGGACATTTACAGCCAATTGTAGGCTATATCCCGTATGCATGTGTTGAACTAGGACCAACAAGAGGCGTACCACCAAGTAATCATTGTGATACGTGTAAGTATTCTTCCGCTTGTACTGGGTGGTAAGTGGTCAGCCCGTATCAATCATCAGCCAGCCTGCCTAGGTAGTTCAATGTCACTATCACAGTTACAGCTTCACACAACAGCGAATATTTTGTAGCTTGTGTTTGCTGGAGGCCCATAACTTTCTCTTGGGTTATTTTGACTCCCCTCTTAACCACGTTTTCTGTAACGTTACGAAATCATTGAAGATAACTTGACTTCAAAACAAACATGCTCAATGAATACCTAGGTATGCGGCTCGTCCCAGTTATCGGTAACCTATAGTAATGGTGCTACTTCTCTGGCGGTCTTGGGTTGTATTTGTGTTGCACTGTCCCTCCTTTTCATCGAGTCGGACATCCAGATATCGTCGGCTTACTATATGCAAGACGCGTTTTTGACCAGTCGTATCGGTGGGTTTCCCTTCATTTCTGCTGAAAAATGAATGCTGCTGTGTGATAACAAGACAATGGACCAACCAACATACTGCATTTCCTACCCTACCTTATTCTTGTGTTCCCTAATACAAAAACGAAATATTCTTACCAAAGACGTGCCTGCGCTGAAAGTAGAGATATGGCGTTGCTTTGGAATAATTAGAATAATTAGAGCCAAGCCCTCTCCTCTCAACAGATTACCTCACGGAAATCTAAATGAACCTGGAACCTCGTCCCTTTTCTCCGGCACCTGGGGCAGGGAAGATGCGCTAGATTAATAGAAACAGCCCACAGCAGCAGAAGTCTAGCAGGGATCTTCGAACGAGAGGGAAGAACTGAGGGAAGCAGACCACAAATTTCGCGAAATTTCAACCATTCATCCGGGTCTTATTATTTAGCAAACACAGCCCAACTCACGGCCCCAGCCTAGCTTCTAAAACCCCAGTTTCACGCTTTCAGCTTAGTTAGTACAAAGACGAAAGACGCCATACCCACCCGGTTCGGCCTGTGTCTTGCCCCTATAGGTAATCAGCGTCCGGAGCGAAACGATCCCTTCTTCTTCTAGAATGTCCGGTACCCTCTTTTCAGCGTCAAGCCACCTGATTCAAACGTGCTGCACAACATGAAAAGGGGGTCGTCGGCGATGCGGAAAGTACATATATAGAAGTACCTACATATGTTAATGTAGGTTAGAATAGATAGGGGGAGGTAAAGCTCCATCACACACGTTTGAATTTGACAACCTGGATTACGTCGTCTCTATGAATTGTGTGAGTAACCAACAGTAGGTGTAATGTGTTTTATTTCGTTTTATTCGCATTAGTCAGTCGGAACAAGAAACCCGGGATTAGCAGAACGAGCCGAGCGGCGGGTTGTTATGCCACGGATCACGGAACACCCATTTTCATCAAATGATATTTGATTTTTGAAAGGGATTCTTTCTTTGGATGCAACCCAATCTGTTGGCACATTTGCGTCTTTGTACCAAACACATACCAACTACGTAAGTAGATACGTATGTATACCACCTAGGTACTGCTGATGGTACTCAATAGGTAAGTAAGTAATTCGGGGTGATGCAACTTACTGGGGTAGCTTACCCCGGAAGACATACCAATCATACCAATCGGTGATCATACACTGATGAAAAGGGAATGAACCCCTTGTCCCCCCAAGGAATACCAAGCATTAGCCAAGCTTGAGCCTATTGATGAGAGAGAGAGGAGATGTGGAGTGTATGTTAGTTATGTTTAGTTGAAGTGAATTGGGGGCAATTGAAGGAAAAAGAGAGGGAAGAGAGAAAAAAAAAGATTAAACCCCATCCTTGTCTCCTTTATTTCTTCCCCACTGCTGTAGCTCGTACCGTACCAAAGTACCTAGGTAGTGCATGTACCTAAGTATCTAAGTACGTACGTAGCTGTATAGAGGGGATCGCATGAGGATAATAAGCTACAGTACTACATTAGCTTATACAACCCCTACAACCCTTATACCACATGCAGACTACCTAGGCAACATAGGAACTACTCCGTAGACAAGAAGCTTAGCTCTTCTATATAGTGGACATTCCTAGGTACATATAGTAATTGCTAGGGTAGGTAGTTTAGGTACTAAAAATTATTATTTTCTCCGTCTTCTTCTCTCCCCCGTTCCCCCAATTGAACCCTCCAACCCTTCCACCCTCACCCCCCCAGGCGACCCAGGCTACCAGGCCATTTCCCCATTGCTTAATATTTCCTTCCGCGTTCTTATTTAAGGCATTGTCTTCCCCCAGCCTTGATCCAAGTCCCCTTCCCCCTACTAGGACTCCTTTTTTTTGCTTATTTCTTTTCCTTAGTCGCGGAGAAGAAGCAAATCTTCGGAACTCATTAAGCAGCAGTCAGTCAGTCAATAGAAGGGATCCACAACTTCAATTAGCAAAGCAAGCAGCAACTTCGCGATGGCTTCCAACGAACTGCACCAAGAGGTGCCCGCCGCTGAGAAGGGCATCGGCGCTGGCGCCCCAGCTGCTACTACCGGCGTCAACAACACCAACGGTCTTACCGCCACCCAGCGCTACGATTACGGCGGTAACCCGTTATACCACGCTCATTCCGGCCCAGACGAGCGTCTCCCCGCCTTCGGTGGTGAATTTCAACCTGGTCTATACAAATCCATCCAGCACCGCAAATTCGCCAACCCTGCGCCTTTGGGTCTATCCGCTTTCGCCCTGACCACTTTCGTCCTATCCCTCGTCAACGTCGGCGCGCGCGACATCACCGCGCAAAACATCGCTTTGTCTCTAGCGTATGGATATGGAGGTCTCGTGCAACTCTTAGCTGGCATGTGGTGAGTACCCTGAAAAACCTCCTTGCATACCTAATTCACGTTTTCTCCATCCCTCGATCCGAGTATCAGAAAAAAAAGCAAAAAACCACGTGTTGGAACCGATTCCGTACCCCGGATTTTTTTGCCCTAAATGACCCCTTACTGACGTATTATCTCGAATAAAGGGAAATGGCTGTCGGCAACACATTCGGTGCCACTGCTTTGTCCTCGTACGGCGGCTTCTGGATTTCCTTCGCGATCGTGCTTACTCCCGGCTTCGACGTGTTGGGCGATTACACGACTGATGCGGATAAGGCCTCGGTGCTCGGTTTCTTCCTAATCGGATGGTTCATCTTCACCTTTATCCTGCTACTGTGCACCCTGCGCTCGACCGTCATGTTCTTCCTCCTATTCCTCACCCTTGACCTTGCATTCCTCATGCTGGCCTGCGGAGAATTCGCGAAGTCTAACGGTGCTACCAGCTCCGGTACCAAGCTCGGCCAGGCTGGTGGTGTCTTCGGTCTGCTAGCTGCGTTTTTGGCTTGGTATAACGCCTTTGCTGGTATCGCCGACTCTAGGTACGTTTATTTCGCCCTCATATTTTCTAATCATGAGCATGTAACTAACGTTGGTATAGCAACTCATTCTTTATCATCCCCGTCTTCCACTTCCCATGGTCTGAGAAGGGCCGAGAAGCTCGTGCCAAGTCTGAGCGCGAGACCGCTTAAGTTGTTTTGGGTTACTTAATATAGCAGGCCATCTGTTGTGTTTTTGAAAAATGAAAATGGGGATCCAAATAGTAGTTTTTCTTGGGTCTAAGTTTGGTAATTCGCAGTAAAGCCGTGCGCGCGCACGGCGCGTTCTGTAAATTGAGGACTATGTTATATGATACCTATTATTTGTTTACTACTTAATGCTTGTAATGCAATTGTGGGAAGCTTCTTTTCGGGATATGATATCCGCGCTGAATGATGGGTGAAGATAAAAATACTTAATGAAAGAGGATGACAAATATTATGGCCTGTCGGGGTTGTCGTAATTGCTTTTGTGGTTTATGAGGGAATGCTAATATCTAACGAGCTACGCGCGACTTGATTTTTCGGGACGTTGTCCGTTTCCATGGCTTTATATTGAGCAGAGGCATGCACCAATTGTTAGGCATAGGTGAGGAGGAAAGGTATTGAAAAGCATAGTGGTGGCTATATTTATCCTTTTATCTCCAATCGTAAAATGCAATATATCCTCATTCATACCTGGTAATACCCCTTAAGCCTCGAGTAGTCTTGAAGAACTCACTCTGAGTTACTTGATATCTCGTCATAGGTCATAAAAAATGCAAGTTGATCACCTAGTGTAGAGTACATATGAGGTTTAAGTAGACGAACAGAGCATCTAGGGCGAGTAGGTAGAAAAAGGGATTGATGATATCCGGACACTTCAATAATATGGCCCAGTTCAGTGACAACAATATGAATCGTTAGTCGTGATAATACACGAGAGACTGACTATATGAGACTTCTACATGATCTCCCTTCCCATCATGACCCCGTAAAACCGAACCTCTTCTCCATTGAATTCCCTATCCCTTAAAACCAACATCGCCGATCGGCGGTCTCTCATTCATGAGAGATAACATGCGTTAAATCGCAAAAGAAACTAGGTGAGATATCACCCGGATAGTAATATGCGACTAGTCTTCGTCTGAATCTTCTTCCTCGTCATCATCATCTTCGTCCTCGGCCTCCACGTCATCGTCAGTCTTTACCCCACGTTTACGCAAGAAATTCTTAAAACCACGGCTCATCTTAACAACAGCCTTAAGATGTTTATCCGTAACAGTAACCATCTCCACCCCATCCTCCAGAGCCTCAGACTCGGCCAAAGCAACAGCAGTCTGTATCGCATTTCTAATCTCACGCCCATTCCAGCGCAGACTCTGCACATCACGGCTCTCATACGCGTACTCGCGCGTCGCCACGCTAACATATACCTTCCCACCACTATCCCGTTCGAGACGCTCAAAACTGCTCAGCCAAATCTTCTCGCGGTCGGCGTCGGTGAGCGCTTTATAGTGCAGCGCGACGTGGATACGCGATGTAAACGCAGAGTCAAACGTCTTAACGCGGTTCGTCGTTAAAAACAACACACCGCGGTAATACTCCAGCGCGCGTAGGAATATAGATACGAGGCCGTTGCGCTCGATATCCATCATGCGCCGCGACTCCAGATAAACATCCGCCTCATCCAACAACACCATAGCGCCGAAGCGTTCGCCGAGTTGCAAGAAGTACTCTAGATTCTTCTCGACATTGTACGAGTTCGTGCTTAAGTCACCGCTGGTAAGCGAGAGTAGAGGACGGTGCGTTAACTCCGCCACGCATTCCGCCGTGCACGTCTTCCCTACACCGGGGCTTCCGTGAAGTAGGAAGATCCGTCCTTGTCCCTTGTTCTTGACGAAATCGCTAGGCCAAGGACTGACCTGGCCATTCGCGCTTGCGAATTTACCGATGAGTGCGCGAACGGTGAATTTTACTTCGTCGTCTAGGACTAGGTATTTAAACGCTTCCTTGTCGAACTGCACTTCATCCAAATACTCGACGTTAAAGTGACCCCACCGTCGTTCGCCGAGGATGAAACCTGGGACTACTTTGCTTAAGGCGAGGTAGTATAAGTCGTATTTGGGCGCGGCGTCGGTGGTTGGGTCGAGGTCCTCGAAGGAGGAGAATGGACTTAGTTCTTTGGTGCCGGATTTGTTGCAGGCGCTGCACCCGCAGCGCGGACCGAAGTAGGGGAGTTGGTCTTTGCGCGGAGGCGGACGATTGCGGCTGTTTGTGTTGGGTGGGGAGGGGGAGCGTGGGCGTCGGCTGTTGGACCCGGGGCAGTCGTAGGAGTATCGGTTGAATCCCGCGCAGTCGACGATTACGCGGCCGCTCATGTAGCCTGTGGCGCTTGCGGGGTATTCCCAGTTATCGTCCGGACTGCGTTCGGCTAGACTTCCGTCGTAGGACATGTAACTCGGAGCTTTGGAGAGTTCCCAGACTTTTCTTCCGAGGGCGATGTGCTTGGCTTGGATTTCCTCGGGGTTCATGTTGTGGTCTTCGCCTGTGAAGAAACGAGCTGGGATGACGGGTAAACCTGCAATGGCTTCTTCTCCGGTGAAGGGGTCGATGGGGAAGGCATGCATCATCCGACAGAATCTCTCGGTAGAGTATGAAATGTTCCAGCAATTGACTACGTGAGAAGTAACAGCGCCATGGCTATTGATGTAGCTCTCGTCGACACTAGAGATGACGAAGGGAGTCCATCTGTGGTCCTGTTTCGCATATACAATCTCGCCGGGCTTCAAGATCAGGGGTAGATTGTCGAAAGTAGCCGATGGGATAGGGCTGTTGTGTCGCTTTTCTTCTTCGCGGATCTGCTCACCGAGGGTCTTCTCGAGGAATTTGAGAAGAATGTCGATGTGCTTGGCGGTTGTGAAGACATACTCCTGGTCGTGGGTCTCCGGCTGGATAACCTTGTAACGAGCAAGAGCCGCACGGTGGTGGACTAGGACGGTATACGGTGCGCTGACCTTGGCGGTATCCCCAAGGAAAGACGTCGAGGGGTAGTATCCTACCACGGCTCGGAGGGCATTAATTAAATAAGGAGAGTGGATCACCATATTCGTCGTCTCGACCTTGGTAATCTTCATCTCCGAATCATCGTCTTTCTTGTCTGGGTGGCCGTAGTCATCGTATCTATTATAGTTCACGGGAGGGTTCCACCTGGGGAACCGTGGAGGTGGAAGGTAGTCATCTTGTCTCTTTTGAACTATGCTGGCTGAGACTTTAGTCACGATCTCTAGGACTGGCTTCTTGGATGTAGATGATCGGTCGTCGTCCATATCATCCAGTTCGATGTTGATGGGCTCTTGGCTACGACGAACTGGTGATATTGTTAGCAATCGAGCCGTATGATTGTAGGGATATTAGAAAATTCAATTACCATCAATCAGCTTACCACCCCATCCCTTGTACTGCAGTACATAGCAAACGTCCGGAACCTCGTCGTCACCAAGCTCCTTGGCTGCACCGTCATTAAGAGCTGCTTTGGCGACGAGGTTCTTAAGCTTCTCTACGTTATCTGCTTCATGTTGCATCTCCTGAAAACTCCTGTTGGAGGGACCAACCTCCTCGAAGCTAGCAATGGAACTGGTGTCATCCATCTTGGGAGAATATCTGCTTCCAAATAGATTTAGAATAGGGGAAGGAGTGTAGTATGAAGAAGTTAGGACTTGGGATTTAGAAGGAGTGACTACGAGGGGTTATAGGGAGGAATAAATAAAGCAAACTCTCGTCTGCCCTATCTTACCTTCCATAGCTTCACCCGTTCGATTAATAGCTCGCGGTACCTAGGTAGCTTCACGCCACATCGGCCTCTGATGCAGTAGTGCTGACTAGTTGCCTGGATATGCAGTGTTTGACCAATCGCCATGGAGCTTGTATAGAGGTTTATAGCCCGCGGCCAAGATGTCCCTCGCAGGGCTGAGCATCCACCCAATAGAACCGATTAGAGTTGCTACTTAGATATCGTTATGTAGGCAGCCAGCGGGGTCCGGGGCCATGATATGATGCAAGAGGCAGAACTTCAATATCACCCCATAGGTAAGAGTCAGACGGTGACACAACAGGCATAACTGGGCTTTCTGCCTAGCAAGCCGTTCTCCCTTATCAAATGGGGCGAAGCTCCTATATTGCCTGCGGATATCAACGAGTCCTGCATACTTAATGGCATACGGCGTGAGGACTGGGGAAGCTGTATTAACATGAAGTCACCTAGTCTGCAGATTAGGCATATCGCGGGAGATCAGATCGGGTTAGATCGTGAAGAGGGCTAGTGGTTGTATAAGATGAGGCAACCGTGAAGGCAGCAATTGCGGAGGACTCCAATTAAAAGCAAAGGTACAGTACGTATGATTAGACACTGTATAGTTCAACTGTAGGTATGATATTTACTACCCTACGTAGCTCTCATCACGCACCCGAGGTACCTAAGTAGGAACCAAACCTCCCTTCTCCATCGTCTGTCTGAATATTTGCAAGGACACTTCCGGTTCTACATTCAAGTTAGCACCTTTTGATCAAGCGTTATATCTTATTGAGATTTGAGTTTGTACGTACGATAGAATGGTAAGTTGTGCCCGGCCTCATAAATACGCATGAAGACTAAGTTATCCAGAGTCTTGAATGTACCCTTCTCTGTACCATGAAGAGTATACGGCACCAAGGTCTGGTTCGCAAATATCTCTTGACCGGACCAGGGAATCGCATCGGCTACGTCAAGGGTGCCAGGCCAATTGCACAGGTAATCCGCATCGCCAGTCCAAATGAGGACTCTAACACCAGCCTTGACCAGGTCTGAGAGTGCGGGTATGAATGAAATCGGATCTGTATTCCCGTTAGCTTGTTAGTTAACGATTGTTGAGGCGGTCAGTTATACCATCACCTGAGTAGATAAACGGCCCTGCACTAGACGAATCCGTATAATTCACCCTCGCCCCAAGAGCCTTCTGCACATCCGCTCTTTGCAAGTACTCGACGTGCGTCGTGGGAGGTCTCGAATACGGCACGCGGATATCGCCAAGGTAAAAATCAGACACCCCCTCCCTCGCAGACGCAAGTATCGGCCACTCGATCTCATTCGTGTAGTTCATATAAGCAGTAAAGCAGTCCTCCGTCGTACCAGTAGCCGTGCATTTCGCGAACGCAGGCTTGCATATAGTCTCGTAGCTGTCTAGGAGCTCTTCGTAGAAGGATTCGTTGATAAGCTGTCGGTACTGGTTTTTATACGCGAACTCGATGTTGGCCTTTTCTTGGATGGCGGAGTCGAACCAGCCATTGCTCACACCGAGAGCGACTACATTGATATCCGTGCCTTGAATATCTCCGCGTTCAATCGCGGCGTTCTGGTCTACGATATAACGTACGAACTCAGGCCCGAAATGCCCCCCGTACGATTGACTGAAAGCACTAAAATCACGGCTTTCGTATTCGGGAAAGCTGTCGTAGAATGCTTGCAGAAGATTCCATACATAAGGAGCGGCCGACTTGGTCGAATTGACCGTTGCATTGCCGTACGAGAAACCAGTGCCAATCGGTTGGTCAATGTACAACATATTAGCGTATTCGTTGAAACTATACGGGTTCAACGACGGTTCAGTTTCGTTGTTAACGAAATGACAGGGTCCATTCTGCGTGAAGAGTCCATATTCAGCCGCAGTGCCTGGGCCGCCGTCCCAATACGCTACCAACGGTGCCTTCTGGGGATTTCTGCGAGCTTCGAAGAACCTTCCAAATAGTATCATCCGTTAACTCTACAGCTCTGGAGTCACAGTATGGCATTCAAGGTGAGGACTTACCAGAACCACATATTCATATTCGGACCCACCGTGATGTATCCCGAATATTGATTTACACCAGGCGTAGTCTCGCATATGCCTGAATTCTCAACGAATGACAACTTAGAATTCGTGGCGGCATGTTCGAAAACATTGTAATTGACGCCATTTCGTTCCTCCACGTATCGCTTGTTCACGGCGCGCAACGATGTTGACCTAGCGGTAGTCGACGTGACCAAGAGCGCACCGATCGCGAATTCGAGTATCCACCGCATCTTGAACGAGTGTAGTATACGATGAACACCTTAATTGTCGTTGAAGCGCCTACATCGCATTAAAACAAACCCGAATATCCAACAGCGACATCGTAGCATTTTAATCCCCAAAGGCAAGGTCCTTTTACCAAATTCGTTAAATGAGCATCATGGGGCACATTTTCGTGTTGTCGAATGAAGATCTACTTTCGATCCAGACCCCTGGTCGCCAATACAATGCATAGCCACATCCTAACCCGTCTTCCCCGGCAGCCCAGTTCTTTTTATTTTATACTAATCCAGGTATGTAAGGGCGACGTTGGAATCGACCCCGTTCTTTCATGTAACGGATTGCTCGGAGATTGATTGGGTATAATTCATCCCTAATAGTAACATACAAAGAAACCTTGGAATATTACTTGCTTCTTCTATCTGAATCACAATGCCACAGATACGTACATCTCCTATTTCGAGTAATTCGCTACGTCTGTTATTCAGAATCATTGTTAGATCTGCAAAATCCGTCTAATCCTTAATGTATTCAACTGTCGGAATGTATAGTAATCCTATTTCCCCTTTTCAAAAGAGAGCATATCTCAACTATAATAGGTAATTAATAGGCGGCTGTGTAAATAGGGGGCGCAACATAGAGCCAATTCGTGCCGATAAATGATATCCTGTTTCGTAATAACCTGTATAAACTCGCTTGCGATCAATGCGCTGAAAGCATTTCGAATCCAAAACCGAGAACGACGTTAATTCCAAAATGCGGGGGATCACTCGATCGTCTTAGTCGCAGCCTCAATGCAATGATCAATGATATCTACCCACTTCAACGCATTATCGAAATCATTGTTATCAATACTTTCGACGAGCCCAGGGAATACAGCGCCCGCGTACCCAGTCCAGATACCCGGCGCGAAAACGACGTGCTTAAACCAAGGTCGGCCGTCCAATCCCTTCTGGTAAAGAAACGCGCGCTCAATGGTCTTATACTTGGAATTGACGAAGCGAATCTCGTGTAGTAGCTTCAGTTTGCTGATCCATTTCCACCAGGGAATATGCTCATTTGCCTTCTCTACAAGTTTTTCGGCCTTAGCGTCGAGACTGACAGCCGCAGTCCTCAGCCTGGCGACGGAGTCGTAGAGGCGGGCTAAGGATGTGCCAAAGAGCTTCGGATCGCCTGTAACTTTAGTACCGACGAGACGGGTTCCAGTCTGGAAAACATCAGTAGATTCTAACTTCGCCTCCACCTTCTTGACATAATCCTTTAGCGCATCGGCGTAATCGGTCGCATTCAGGGAGATGACTGGTGTCTCGGCTAGCTTCGCGGTAGTTAGACCGAGGACCTGGGCCATTGTCCTGTGATACACGAATCCCGGATCGCCGAACTCGGACATCCAATGGTAACTGTCGTAATTACTGTGGTATTGGTAGATAGGTGAATCATCGGTTTGGCCGCCGAAACCGAAATCGAGACTAGGAATGCCGGCGAAATCTTGGAAAGCTGTGAAATCACTACCACTACCCATTGTGCTGATATGCCCGTCCCAAAGGTCGCGCACTGTCTGTCCTTTGATGGTCTGGTTAGGTGACTGTACCTGAGCGGTCACGTCGTATAGAACTTTATGTAGTAGGGGAGCGGCCGAAGCGGCAAAAGTCGGACTGCGAACACCAACGTCGACGTTAATGTATGCGACGTTGGCTGCAGATAGCCATGGTAGATATTCCTCGACCCACTCGGTGCTTCCGACCAAACCATATTCCTCACCACTAGATATATGTCAGCAGAGGCAAGAAGAATAAGAAACAGCGAACTTACTCCCAGCTGGCGAAGACAATGGTTCTAAGAGGCTTCCACCCTTGATCTAAGGCTTGACCAAAACTACGAATAACTTCATTCAGAACTGCAGAGCCACTGTTGGGGTCACCGGCACCGCCTGCAATCCATGCATCACGGTGGTTGCCGACTACAATGACTTCGTCGGGGATAGTGCCATTAATGATCCCAATAACGTCCCACATAGGCGTAATGGTGTACTCCTGTTCGTTATACAGGTTAAGCACGACAGTATCCGGTGATGGTCCGATGCTGTATTCCACTCCCTTGTGACCAAGACCAGTATTCTTAGTCCAATATTCGCCAAAATCTTTAGCTTGCGGCCCATATCCATTCAAAGCCTTCAATATCGGTAAGGCCTCCACGTAGGAGATAGGTAAAGATGGAATACTCGGAATAGCACCGTCAACCGGCGCTCGCGGCACACCTGGCTTGGAAGGGTAACCGGGTGTTGTGGGATCGCCTGGTGCGACGCTTAAGAATTGGACCGACCCTCGCTGAACGCTGCTGGGGTGCCGGGCCGGACCGTTCGGATATGTGTCATACCCATTTGCTTCCGTGATTTTGCCATCATCGCCCGGGTCGGTGAAAAGGACAACGCCTATCATGCCTAGCTCTTGAGCGCGCTTGACCTTCAACCCGCGGAAAATGCCACCATAGCGAGCGATAGCGATCTTCCCCTCGAGACTCACATTCGACTTGACTAGGTCCTCAAAATCCCAGTAGGTGCCATAGTTCACGTAAACAAATGAGCCGGTGACATTGCCACTTGCAGAGTAGCCGTGGAAAGTCGGGATACTTTCCTCTAGTTTTGTCGTGGGGTCTTCATCGAGAGCCTCTTCTTCGAGGGTAGCTTCGAAGGCGACTCGCCATGTTGAGGCATCCGATTTAGGCTTCTTTAGAAGAGCAAGACGGTGGTCAACTGGATAGTTTATGTATGTGTCATACGCTACAACTTCTGATTTGATACCCCATTCATTCCAACGGTCGCGCGTCCATTCCGCCTAGTTTATATAATTAGTAAGAGCGTTAAAGTGAAATTTGATAGCGATTCATTACCTGCGATAAGTTCTTGCCGGCTAGATGCGGACCGGATGTGTAATATTTACTCCATTCAGCGGCTCTAGACGAACTAGGAGTGTTTAATAGGATTTCTTTCAGCTCATCATATGTTACACGGTTCCTATCGTGTCCGGGCCAATCGTGATGTGTGTTATGCGAGGGAGCGAAGACGACGCTAACGAGGAATGTGATGAAAAGAGCGATAAGAGATGAGCCCAATGCGATAGTGCAGAATCGGCGTAATGTCTGATGAGGGTATCTTCGAGGTACCGTACCGACGGTAACGGTGGTGATTAATGGTGTAGTCTCGCTTGCCATCTTATCCATGGCGACTGAGGTTAGACTCAGTCGACTTCATGACAAGCGTCGAGAGTAATGACGATGGTTCTGTTTTCGCGGGGCTGGGCGTATTGGCGTATTCCGCCACTCCAACGCAATTGGCCGTGGAAATGTTGCAATCAATCGGATTTGGCCATCCGATGAGTACAATCACACTTATCTTTACGTACGTGGCGCCGCACCTAAGGGAGATAAGAAACTCCGAGTACGAGATGGTTATAAAATATTTACTGTTTGTTGTTTACAATCGATAAAGTTACGAAATGATATCAATTCAATTGTAACTTTAAGGCTAGCCTTTTTCTTTCAATGGAATTGTACTCACGCTTCGCAAAGTACAATGCGGAGTACAATGCGGAGTACAATGTTAAGTACAACGTTAAGTACATGATTGATCATTAGTAATGCATCGTTCGCTATCTTAAGTGGCAAGCCACAATGTTCCAAATAAGCCAAACTCCACAATAATCATTGGCGATGATTGGCTATACAACTTATATTGAGTTTACCTGCATTGCAGCTTCTCGGATGTCGAGATGTTTCAATTCGGTAGGTTACACATAGTCTAGTAGTTTAGTACTTCAAAGTTAAATATTCTGGCGAAGACGGCGGAAGTACTTATCTAGCTGATAGAGCCATGTTTGGTAGTGGGCGGATAGAAGCGATGGACTATATGTATTAACCTAACTTAGAGCACGCAATACCTACCATTAACCAGACTAGTACTTTTAGAGCTAAGTGAAAGTAAGGAGAGCCTAGACTACTAATGGTTCGTAGAAACATATCAAATGATTTAAGGGGACAGCATTGTGATATAGAAAATTTATAAGCCTGGAAATATAACCTCACACCACCGCCGGTTTGTGCCTTGACAAACTGTAACTTACCTACCTAGGTACATAATCTACTATGATTTAATACTACTTTTTGTATGCATGCATGACCTTAGCTAGTATCCATTTCTATTGAAGGATCTACAGGTTTCAATGTTCTCATCTACGGGTAGCCGCATCGCGCATCATGAAGGAGCTCCGCTGCCTTCGTAAAAAAAAAAGTAGCTTATTAGACATAGCAAAGGCGGGTGCGGGGCAATGGAGGGGTGCCAACGAACCAATCATATTTCCATTATACTATAATAGTGGGTCTTCATGTTCAAGCCTTGCAGGCAATACCACTTCGGTTGCAGCGTAGATCCCTCCTTCCGGGCCATCCCTCCCTTGCACTTGCATGATCAGGAGGCTGGACGTTGGCGTGTGACCTGGAACTCTGTTCATTTTGGTTTCTCTGATTTTACTAATTTCCAATCCATTTCACACTTTTTCACACCTTTTCACATCGACAACGTCCGACACCGGACATTTTTTAGGATTATTGTCTTGTATGGCCTGCCTTATGAGGGTAACGCAGATCCCTTGAATAAGTGAGTCAATGAGACAGAGGCGGGGACGGAGACAGGGCTGATCTTGGGTATCACTGCAAAATCTCCTGCATCAAACGCGAACGGATAGCAAGTGTCTATTCCGATTCGTAGTCCCATTAAGAGGCCTGAATTGGAGGCGGGTCATCAAAGAGATAATCCGATGATGAGACAAGCTTCCCCAGTCATCTTCAAGTCATCTCAAGAAGAAAATTTTTTCTTTTACATGCAGTACACCTTGCCGCATTTCTTAAGACGATGTGCCGACCCACCGCTACCGTGCTTGGAACCGGGACTCGGGAGGCTAACCCAACCATAAGCGATGAACCGCAAATCAGAAGGCAACAGAGGCAACCTTGTACGACGAGAGCGGGCCGGCCTCAGCGACGGACTACTACTATTCTAAGTCTAGTCTAGAACTTGCAGCTTGCATACGACAAGGAGGACAAGGAGGACTTACGCAAGGTGACAAGCGCCGATGGACCCAAGGCCCAGGCATATTCGGACCAGGCGTATGGGTGTCGTTAGGTAGTATTTTTTGACCTCCCTCTTTGTTTATAAAGTTTTTTGCTCCCCGCTGCTTCATATAAGATAGTCACCTATCTTACACCTTGGTTGGTTGGTTGTCCTTCCCATCTTTATCCTCTTCCCTTCCCATCTTGGGGTATTTCCTACGAGTTTCAGACATACAGAAGATATAGACGTGTTGACCGTCTATCTGAGTTTCGACGCACTGTTCTTTCTCAACGAGGCCCGCGCCCTTCATAAAGCTGAGCACCACTCTACCCACCTAGCCCAGAGGCTACTAGGTAGCTACTTAATTGGACTATCCATCATTCCTCGCTTTTGAACCCTCGTTTTATTCAGTTGTCACCAGTCTTCCCATATTCAAACCGCCGAGAATGACTACCAAGAATCATGGCCCGAAATTGCCAGTTCAGCAACTGGCCATATTGGGTGAGCTTGGAACCTTTTCTTAACTGCCTGCCTACTTACTAGCATGATCATATCACATCAAATCGGTACATATCGCCATGGTTTCATGAACTACTTATACAATGTTGATGTATTGGAGAGGCGTGGTTCTCCACGAATACTCGTCCTTCCGCAATTACCTGTTATACATATCTATCACATTCAATATACTACCTACCGATTTATCCTATGCTGTGGAACATACATCTGGGTTTGAAGAGACTGATAGTTGTCGCGCTTCGTTTCGTCGCTTAAGTATTGTGACTTGTTCAAATTCATTGTGGAAAGCATCTCAGCAAACTTAGGATGATCACTTAACCATAGTTGGAGTGGAAACGAAGGCGAAGGTGGAACTGAGATTGTGATATAGTGGCATAATCAGGTATTCAACCCCATTACGTGCTTAAAGCTAACTTGACTTTATAGCCGTCGCACGATTCGCCGAACCTATCGCCTACACGTCTGTCTTTCCGTATCTACCTGAGATGATAGCTAGTTTCGGCGTCGAGAGAAAAGAAGTTGCGAAATGGGCGGGCATTACTAGCTCCGCCTTTTCCCTAGCACAATCTATAACTGCTGTGGCCTGGGGTAGAGCGTCCGATCGATTTGGGAGGAAGCCTACCATTTTATGTGGTCTTCTATGTACGATGACCTGTTTCTTGGCATGGGGTATGTCGACGAGTTTGACGATGGCTATCACCGTTCGTGCGCTCATGGGAGCTGGAAATGGAAATGGTACGTTTTGACCTTCAACCTGGGTGCCTTTTTAGATTTGGTTCTAATATTATCGTAGTTGGAATTATCCGGACCACCGTGGCTGAAATGGTTACCGATAAGGCGAGTCAGCCGGTCGCGTTTAGTGTAATGCCGTTGGTGTGGTCGATTGGAAGCGTTATTGGACCTGCTGTTCGTACTACCTTTACTTCCTCCTTTTCCTCGTCTTTTTTCTTTTTTACTAACAGACTCCTAGTTTGGCGGTCTATTTGCTAAGCCAGCAGACCAATGGCCCGGCATCTTTGGTCATAGCACGTTTTTCAAGAAATATCCGTTTGCTTTCCCCAATATGATAGGCTCTATCTTTTTCTTGATCTCCCTTGCTACCGGCATACTCTTCCTTAAAGAGACTCTTCACAGCAAACGCCACTCTCGCGACTGGGGCTTAGTTCTTGGCGATCGTATTAAGGAGGCACTTAAAGAAAGCCCACACCGACGAGCACAGCGCCTGCGCCGGTACTCCTTCCAGGACTCCGAGGTATCGGCACCGTTGTTGAGCGCGAATGTGCCTCCGAAAACAGCAAGGGCTACCGTCATCGAAAGGATCGAAAAAACTAAGCCTCTTCCTATGAGCTCAATCTTTAACCGCCAGACTGTTATCAACCTTATATCTTATACCTTTCTCGCACTTCACGCCGTCGCCTACGATCAGGCGTTACCAGTTTTCCTAAATTACCCGCCACAAAAGCATACGTCCGAGAACACATCACTCCCCTTCGTCTTTAGCGGTGGTTTTGGATTAAATCACGCACACATTGGGGCCATTTTTGCACTTGAGGGTATCATTTCCGGATTGGTCCAATTCCTGGTCTTCCCAGTTCTCTGCGCGCGCTATGGAGTCTTGAAATGCTTTAGGATTTGCGTCGTCGTCTTCCCGCTTGTCTATATGATCACACCATACACAGTGCTTATCGAAAATACGAAAACACGCTACGCCTTCCTATTCCTCATCTTGATCATCAAGACCTTCGCCGTTATCGTCGGATTCCCCTGCACAACCATATTGCTGACCAACAGTGCCTCGAGTCTGAGCATCCTGGGAACTCTAAACGGGTTCGCCACTACGTTTAGCGCCCTTGGACGTGCTACTGGTCCCGCTTTGACTGGCTCCGTGTTCACTTGGGGTGTAAAACAGGGTATTATTGGTATGCCGTGGTGGGTCTTGGCTTTGATCGCTGCTCTAGGCATTGTACCCGCTTGGATGGTCGTCGAGGGCGATGGTCCGAGTGCTGGTAGTACACCTGCTGATAGTGACGACGAAGAGGATACTGAGGAAGACGATGATGATATCGATGCGCTTGAAGCGAGTCAAGCTACTACGATTGTCGTCGCGGAACAGCCGGGGGAGCTTGAGGATGCGCCATTAGAGGGGAGTGTTAAGACAAATGGTGGGACTTACGGTACGCTTGGGGGTGGGAAAGGCTCGAATATGATTGATTGATGGAATGAGACTACGCGCATGATGTGAACGTTACACATGAACACGAAGAGTGAGCGGGAAACCAGCAACATTCTTGCTCACCTACACATATCAAGCATCCTAATTATTGTCATTGGGAGGCGTTAAGGACATAGAAAATAGGGATTTGGCATGTGTGCATTTGGGCGGCTTTTTTATACAATTATTTTGTTGTCGCTTTCCTTCCTGACTTCTCATTTCGTGGGGTACTTATTAGGTACCTGATAGCGGGAAAACCCAAGGAGTAACCGTTACATTACCTGTTGCTGTTACTTACACCGCTTATTTGACGGTAATTGTTACTCAGTCAGTTACCGTTACTGAATAAATTGCCATTACCAGAGAAAAAAAGAAGCTATCGCCAGATCAGACCCATTTTTCCATAACAGCAACACGTAAACATGATTATACTGTTTTCTCCTACCTAATCGTCGCCTTATACAAATTGTAGTCGTAGAAGTAAAATCGTAAAAGTAGAAATTGTAGCTGTAAAATTATAGATGTACCTGCCATAACCGTAGAAGTAGTAGGAGGAGGTCGTCGTCTCCTACCGCTACCACTCCTACTAGAAAATCAGAAAAATAAAAAGGTAACGCAAATAGACTTCGTTTACGGTAACCTAGGTCACTCGCACCTTACCACTCCCGGTACGGTATTCATCATCGTATCGAAAAATAAAGAATTGAAACATCGTAACTTGATTTGACAATTTTTGTATTTGTTATTCGGAGTTTTCCATATGATTTCACTATTTCATCCATCTCATCCATCTCGTCCGTAACAGAGACGTGATAAACTCCCCGTATCCATTCCTCAATATTCCTTTTCCTAGTCTGCTGTCTCCTTTGCCTGTAAACCCAACCGACATGACCTGTCCCTAACCCCGTGGCCATGAAATTTTTTTGCAGAACGCCTATATAAATGGGATGAAGCTACTGCGCTTTTCATCATCAAAATCATAAACAAAGCTATCAAGTGGTATCACTTTGTTTTTTGCTTTTTTCTCTTTCTCCGCACCGAGGACTATCTGGAAGAAGCAAAGGAAAAAATTCATCATCGCCAACCAACTAGCTAGTCAATCTTCGCGAGTGCTTATCCATGAACCCACCAGTTCAGTTGGTCCATTAAAACCGAACCACCAGCCTGCTGTCACCATATAACACCCTCATACTTAAGCGTAAAGCTTCTTCTCGTAGCTCTCCATGTTGACACCACCTTCCAGCTGCGCGCTGGCAGTACGGATCTCGAATCGGAGAGTGCCATTGGCGGCGCTCTCGTGGAGCTCTTTCAAGCTCTTCTGGCCGCAGTCTTGCATCGAGTGCTTGAGACCAGCGGCTAGGTACGGAACAAACTTGCTGATAGATCCGCGGTGTGCGACAGCGCCGGACACACCTTGCGCAACTAGAACGCTGTCACCCTCGCTGAAGTAACGTGCGGTACCAGCGTTGCTAGCTTGGCTGTTCTTACCGCCGGCGCCAGCCTTCTTGTCTTGCATGGCGTCGATACTGCCCATACCACGGTACGCCTTGACAAGCTTACCTTCGCGCGACACAAAGGAGGTGCCTGGAGACTCGGTGGTACCGGCGAGGAGACCACCCATCATGACTGTGGATGCACCGAGCGCAAGACCCTTGACGACGTGGCCAACGTTTTGTACACCACCGTCCGCGATACACGGTACACCAAATTTCGCCGCGAAGGCTGAAACCGAGTAAACCGCGGCGGCTTGAGGACGACCCACGGCCATGACCTCCTGGGTAATACACGCACTTCCGCTACCCATTCCGATCCTCAATCCATCGACACCCGCGGCAATCAGGTTTGCGGCCTGCTCTCGAGTCACTACGTTTCCGCCAATAACGTCGAGGCCGGGGTATTCTTGTTTGATCCACTTAATCATCTCAATCTGGTACATGCTGTTGCCTTGACTACTGTCTAAAATGACAATATCGAGGCCAGCATCGACAAGCTTCTGGAGGCGAATCTTATCCTCCGGTCGGGTACCGATCGCCGCGGCGCAGATAAGTTGCTTGGAGTCGGGAAGCTTGGACGCAAGTGGGAAGTGTAGGTTCTTGGTTAAATCGGAGCGAGAGATCATGGATACAAGGTTGAAGTCCTTATCGACGATAGGCAGCTTGCCCTTCCTGGATTTCGCCAGAATCTTATTCGCTTCGGGTAGAGTTACGCCGAGCTGGGCGGTGACTAGATCGGTGACCATGACCTTATCGACCGGTTGACTGAGATCATCCTCGAATTGGAGGTCGCGGTTCGTGACGATGCCTAGAAGCTTGGAGCCAAGCTTGCCGGTTTCTATGGATTTCGGTTAGTTGAGGGACAAGAAACCGGATTGGAAAAGTAGAAAGTCGAAAGTCGCAAAGGTTGACATCATCATAAAGAGCATAATTGATTCCCCATGACATTGCTGTCTATACGGTGGAACGAAAGTTAAAAAAAATTAGGTTTGTAATCATAGGATGTCATATGTCGTATGTCGTCGTACGGTATATCTGCCGACTTGGTGGACGAGAAAAGCGGGCGAAGTTACTCATAATAAAACATGATGTAGAATAGTGAAACTTACCAGTCACAGGGAAACCACCAAAACCCCATTTCTCCTTAAGCGCCCTAGCTTCTTCAACAGTGGTCTCCTTGCTGATGACGACGGGATCGACAATGAAGCCGTTCTCGTATCTCTTGACCTTTCGAATCATGTCGGCTTGGGCATCTGGCGAGCAGTTATGGTGGATGACACCAAGACCACCTTGCAGCGCCATGTGAATAGCCATCTCGTGTTCGGTTACTGTATCCATGGGAGAAGAGACAAATGGAGTCTTCAACGTTATTCTCTTGGTAATTGGCGAGTCGAGAACAACTTCCGAGGCGGGGAAACCAATATATCCTGGCAAGACCAGGAAATCATTGTAGGTTAAACCACCTCGTTGCTTGGTATCGATGAGATCCTCAATACCGAGGCCATCGCGAGATTTGTACTCGTTCAGTGCCTCAATAGCAGTGCTGTAGTCCAAGAACTTGGTGCTCCCATTAACGGGAGTAGCTCCGTTGAGGGATGGCATCTTGAGTTAAAAGAAACCAGCAATTGAATGCAAAGCAGCTAATTGAGAAAATGGTGAGGTCGAAGAATGCGTCGAAAAATGAGATTGACCTGTCGACGAATTGTACAATGATCTTCTTCCCGAGTAGAAGAAAAGAAGAAGAAGGGACTGAAACCGCGCCGAATCCAAAAAATTTTTGTGTTCACCAATGCTGCGGGGACCCTGCGCAAAAAGTTTAAGGGTGCGGGGCAACTTTGTTAACGCACAACCTATTATTAGTGGGCATTTCTAGTATAAACGAAAGTTATTCCTTAGCATTACCTAGTATGAATGTGACTTTGCATAGACGGCGTATCCGTATTGGTCTATTCACTATCTTATCTCTTAATTAGCCAATGAAACTTTGTTGTGGCTGATATTTATGCACCCTAGATATATGCTGTGGCGCCACATTAATGCACGGTACCTAGATACCAATGTGACACATGTGCTTGATTAGTGAGGGGCATAACTTCCTGGTTGCTCCCCACCCAAATAAATAAACAAACTTCCCAAAACAGTGTTTTAAGGTTACCGGTTTTTGGATCCCTCAACTTCCGTCACCCGTCACCTATCACCCTAAGAAAGAGATAAAAAAAAAAAAAGGTTAAGGCTGAACCAGGTCGGACATCGGTTGACCGTTGCTTAATTGAGTTTCCCTTCCACATTTAGCTTCTCCAAAGAAACCCTTCATTCCTCTCTACTACTTTGCTATTACAACTACTACGCAGTAGGGATTCTACGTTACTTTCTACAAGTGCGCTGGGAGCGCGACTTTTCCCCATTATCATATCACAAAGACATGCCTCTTTGTTGATCTTCTTTCTTACTATACCTAGCTACCATCATCGCTACAAGTTATTGCCTCACCTTGAATGGATACGACTAGTTGTCCGCACTCCTATCGCCGTCTATAGTCATCACATACAATAACAAATACGATACCTCAAATTGAATTGTACTCTAGTAAACCTCAGCTCGGGTAGCTGTGATGCGGACTCCAATCTCGGACGGCGACATTATTCAACTTGACGAAGGGTATCAACATTGCATACAGGTCTAGCTATCGAAATGTCTCACAGACCTCATCCTCTCCGCCAGTCATATACTGTTGACTACACAACTGTCAATTCCGTCAATCGTCAATTGTCCACCACATCGTCGTCTGCCTCTTCTGGCTACACAAACAGTTCTTACAACTCCGACCATTACGAATTCGGTCCGCCCAGCGCAAGTTCGTCCGTAACCTCGAGTGGACACGACACATCCGCTTTTCTACACAAACGTGGTAAAAGTGAGGCTGCAATTCGACATCCGTCCCCCCGATCAAGCATATATGATGAGCCAAAGAAAAGTCCTGAAAACATGTACAACTTAGCGAGGCAGTCCTTGCGCCCGCTTCCGCAAACACCCAGCCCGGGATCGTCACCGGAGAAAACACCACCTCGCCGTGACCACCATGAGCGAGGACAAAGTGTTGACATAGGCAGACTTTCTTTATCCAATGGGAGAACCTCACCTACCCCCCAGAGCAAGTCGCCGAATTCCCGACCTACTTCAATGTTGCTCACACGATCCGACTCAATACGTCCCAATGCACCTGGTACTTTAACGCATTCACCTCAGGCCTTGGTTCACCCCACTTTTGCTGCTCCCGATCTCCAACAATTGGGCCGCTCATCTACCAACCAATTGCGCACCTTATCAAAATTGGCTCAAGATAGTTCTGCTGACGAATTTGCCCTTACTTCCCAAGCTCAGGAGGTCGTCGGTCTACGTGGACGAAGAAGGCTGCAGCGAGCAGGTAACGCGGTTGGCGCTAGAAACGGACAACGCGGTGATCGCTATGGCTTCGAAGGACGCAATTGGATGGATAAGCAGAGACAATTTCTCCAAGCATACGAATATCTTTGTCACATTGGTGAAGCCAAGGAATGGATTGAAGATGTCATTCATCGCCAAATCCCACCTATTGTTGAACTGGAAGAAGCGTTAAGAGATGGCATCACCCTAGCCGAGGTAGTAGAAGCCTTAAATCCTACTCGACGATACCGTATATTCCGACAACAGCGACTCCAGGCGAGGCATTGGGATAATGTTGCTATATTCTTCCGATACCTCGACGAGGTCCAACTTCCTGATCTCTTCCGATTTGAGCTTATTGATCTCTACGAGAAGAAGAACATTCCGAAAGTTATATACTGTATCCACGCTCTCAGTTGGCTCTTATTCCGGAAAGGAATAGTAGACTTCAGAATAGGCAACTTAGTTGGTCAATTGGAATTCGAGCATCACGAATTGGAGGCTATGCAAAAGGGCTTGGACAAACTTGGTGTTAATATGCCCAGTTTTGGAAATATGGGCGCCGACTTTGGTGTAGAACAACCACCCGAACCCGAGGAAACCGAAGAGGAACGAATCGATCGCGAGCTAGCTGAGAACGAAGCAGCAATTGTCGACCTCCAAGCACAGATGCGAGGCGCCGTGCTTCGACTACGTCTTGGCAATATCATGCAGCACCTATGGGACTCCGAAGATTGGCTCGTCGACCTCCAGGCACGTATTCGCGGCGATTGGACCCGCCAGGTTATGGGCTACAGACTTGAAATGCGGAGATTTGCTGTCAACCTCCAGAGCGCTGCTCGCGGATTCCTAGTTCGGAATAGAATGGCAAATAGAGAACACTTCTGGAAGAGCAAGGAAAAGGATATCACAAAACTTCAGAGCTTAATACGGGCTGCGAAAGCCCGTAACGAGGTACGAGAAACTCGTTCTCAATTATCACGAGCGGATGGACCTGTGCGAAGTATTCAGGCTGTGTTCCGAGGCTATCTAGCGCGTGAGAAATATGCTTCTCAGCAACAGGAGACGAGTCGCATGACTGGTCCGGTATTGGAACTTCAGTCCGCAATACGAGGAATGTTGGCGAGAGAAAGAGTTGGACGAGATCTTCATTTCCTCGGAGAAGAGGCCGAAGCCATTACTGGCTTACAGGCCGCCGTCAGGGCGATGCTGACCAGAAGCCAGATCCACCAGCAACGCGAAGCGCTCGCGAGCTTTGGTCCGAAATGGGAATCCATCCAGGCAATCTGCCGTGGGAACCTACTTCGACAAGATATTCAAGCGACAAAAGCCGAGCTCGCAGAAAACGTCCCCGAAATCGGGATGCTTCAAGCTCATATTCGCGCCGCAGCAGTGCGCCGAGATGTTACCGAAACTCTCGATGCTTTGAACGAAAATGAACCCGCTATCCTGGATCTTCAATCCATGATCCGAGGTATGCTCGAGAGGCAACGAATAGCCGCTGATCTCGACTCCCTTGAAAACAACACCTCGGAAATCATCGACCTCCAAGCTAGAATTCGTGGCTCTCTGTTCAGGGAACAACATCATCTACTCCTTGACGAACTCAAATCACACGAAGATGAAGTTATCGAATTACAAGCCCTTGCCCGAGCTATGCTTCTGCGTAATGACGTCGGTTTGCTATTAGGTGAACTTGACGAGCATGAAGACGCGGTTGTTGAATTGCAAGCTTTCGCTAGAGGCTTTATTGTTCGAGAAAAATTCGCAGCAAAGAAGAAGCATTTCGAAGAAAATATGCAAAAAGTTGTCAAGCTTCAAAGCTTCGTTCGCGCCAAGCTTCAAGGTGAAGCATACAAGAGTCTTACAACTGGAAAGAATCCTCCGGTCGGCGCAGTAAAGAATTTCGTACATTTACTCAACGACAGTGACTTTGACTTCAACGAAGAGGTAGAATTCGAGAGATTGCGAAAGACAGTGGTTCAACAGGTCCGCCAAAATGAAATGCTCGAGCAGTATATCGACCAATTAGACATCAAGATTGCTCTCTTAGTGAAGAACAAAATTACTCTTGACGAAGTCGTGCGACATCAAAACACGTTTGGTGGCCACACTAGCAGTTTATTGGCTAATGCTTCCATCGCATCCGTCAACCAGTTCGATTTGAAAGCCTTAAACAAGAATTCAAGGAAAAAGTTGGAATCTTACCAGCAACTGTTCTTCAATCTCCAAACCCAGCCACAATACTTGGCACGACTTTTCAGAAGGATAAGAGAATTGGGTACCGCTGAGAAAGAATGCAAACGTATAGAACTTCTCATGATGGGTCTCTTCGGATACGCACAAAAAAGAAGAGAAGAATACTATTTGTTGAAACTCATCACAAGGTCAATACGAGAAGAGGTGGATGCTTGCAATTCTATTCAAGAATACTTGCGCGGCAACTTTTTCTGGTCGAAGCTCCTAAGCAACTACACTCGATCTCCACGAGACAGAAAATACCTAAGGGATCTCCTCGGCCCATTAATACGAGACAACATCATCGAGGACCCTGACCTAGACTTAGAAAGCGATCCAATGCAAATTTACCGATCTGCTATCAACAATGAGGAGCTTCGCACAGGACGACCAAGTCGAAGGCCGCTTGAAATCACGCGAGATATCGCAATCAAGGACCCAGAGACGCGCGAGCTATTCATTGACCATCTTCGAGACCTCAGAGAGATTTCAGACCAGTTCTTCTTGGCGCTAGAAGACCTTCTACCGCGAATGCCATATGGTTTAAGATTTATTTGCCAACAAACATTTGAAGCGTTGGCACAACGCTTTGAACGTGAACCTCAACACCATATTCTCCAAATCGTCGGAAACTGGATTTGGCGCTTTTACCTCCAACCAGCATTGGTCAATCCTGAGCAAGTGGGTGTGATTGAAAAGAGTCTTAGCCCTCTCCAGAAGCGCAACCTCAGTGAAGTCGCCAAAGTTCTAGGTCAGATCGCCTCAGGCCGCCCATTCGGTGGTGACAATATTTACCTACAGCCTCTCAATGCCTTTATTGGAGAATCGATGGAACGTCTTGCTCACATTACAAGCAACCTAATTTCTGTTCCCGACGCTGAGAGTACTTTCGACATTGACGAGTTCAATGACCTTTACGCCAAAAATAGGCCGACTCTATACATCAAAATGACTGATATCTTCGCTATTCATTCCCTTGTTGCGAATGAAATACCAACGCTCTGCCCGAACCGCGATGATGTGCTCCGTGAGATCTTGCAAGATTTAGGAAGTGCAAAGAACAACGAGAATGAAATGAATGCAGCCGGTTCGTCGGACATTCAAATGTTCCTTACTCCGAAACTCCATGATATTGACGATCCGGAGGCCGATATTAAAGCTCTATTTATGGAAACTAAGCGTTGCATCTTGTACATTATTCGTGTACAGACGGGCGCCAACCTCCTAGAGATTCTCGTCCGCCCACCAACCCGCGAGGACGAGATCAAATGGCAAGCACTCTTACGCGATGACTTCGCTTCTGGTAGCAACACTAAAGGAGCATACTCGGATGTCAACATGATCGATGTTACACGAATGTCTTACTACGATATGAAACGTAATGCTTTGGAAAACATCATGCACCTAGAACAAATGGGTCGCGTCACAAAGCACAACTTCTATCAAGATATCTTAAATGCTATTGCACTTGATATCCGCACAAAGAGCCGTCGCAGGATACAACGTCAACGCGAATTAGAAGGAGTACGAGCCACTCTTGGAAACTTGCACGAGAAAGCCACGTACCTAGAACAGCAGCGCAAGAGCTACGATGACTATATCGAGCAGGCTATGGCTACGCTGCAAAAGAACAAAGGGTAAGTCTATATTTTACCAATTAATTTAAATTATATACTAACTTTTTAAAATAGGAAAAAACGATTCCTGCTGCCCTTCACGAAACAATACAACCACCAGCGAGAACTCGAACGTTCCGGTCGCGTTCCCAAATTTGGCTCTTACAAGTACAGCGTACGAGCTCTTGCCGAGAGGGGTGTTGTCGTATCATGGCAAGGAGTTTCGGAACGTGATTGGAGTAATATTAATCTTACAATCTCGTGTGACGAGGTGGGTGTGTTCAACATCGAAGGTAGCCGAGGCCACATCCAAATCCCCGGAGCTAGCGGCCAAATTCCGATCGAAGATCTTTTGCAGGCACAGTTTGAGTCACGCCAGTTCATGAACATTTTTGAGGGCAACTTAAGACTCAACGTCAATATTTTGCTGCATTTGTTGTACAAGAAGTTCTACCGAACACAATAAGTTTTTAGAGCAGAAGGCTCTTTGGAGGGACTTGCCCTAGGAACCAATTTAGTACTTCATGACGATCATTTTGAGACGTTTGAGACGTTTGAGACGAAGGAATATAATGGAATGCTTGGAGCTCGGAGCTTAGGGCCTGGATGACTTGGTTCGCGGTTTAAGGGCGGAGGAGAATGGTGTTCTAGGGAACGAAGGTTTGGGTTTCGTTACTTGGTACTGCGCATCGCATTCTAATTCTGAAAGTCATCAAATTCAAGCCAAATCAAGTTTCTTGTGCAAGGGGTGGGAAGGAGGGATATCTATATCTATACATCGAAGGGGGTTGATCGATTGGAGCTGGTAAAGCTGGTTTGGTATGTTTATGGAAAAATCCCGACTTCACGTACTTTTTTATTCATATTCAGTGAATGAATGAAATTCTTGGTACGCATACTTTTTTACAATGCTGGTTGGAAAGGAAGGGAGGGAGGGTTCTTCAAAGTTTGATACCAGCAATGACGAACGATTCAGGTAGCATAAGTTAGGTAGTTAGGTAACTTAGAGACATGCTCATGATGTTACGGCAATGAAAAAAAAACGTATTTATAATGGAAATGAATGTGTTCCTGTGTTGATGTGGTTGTTAGTATATGTAGTGATCTGCTTGTACCTTACATTCAATAGCAATAGGTACAATATTAGTATCAATTTAATGATATATCTACAATAGAATCTATTCTACAACTTACTTAGAACTTCCAAGAATATTGACCTTACAAATCAACCCGGTTTTTCCTACTTGTAGAATAGAGATATAATATTCGGTGGGAGATTCGGCGGACTCGGCGTGCAGTTCGGCGGGGCACCCGCCGAAACCCACCGATAATTATACAGGGGGAGGCGGGCACATTTCGTTTCCGTACCTACCGTCCGTTTACATCGTATTGACTATAAATATCTGTCTAGGTAGATGTATTTCTGAAGAATTGAGATGGGGTTGCAGTGCATATATATTTATATGTAACCTCGTGGTTTCACTTTCTTCCTTTTCCCCTCTGTATCGAAGCTCTCATAATTAGTCGAGAACATTACTTCAGATTCATCAAAGAAATAAAATAAAGAGGCGAGGAAAAGATAAAAATGTCTGAATTACCATCTACGATGCGCTCCCTCGTAGCGCCGAAATACTGTCTACCGAATGAATGGGAAGTCGCCGAGGTCCCCGTACCAACGATTAAAGACCCCAAAGATATCTTAATCAAAGTGCACGCCGCCAGTATATCAACAGGCGATACCCAGCTCGCGAACGGGGCATCGAAACTTTTAATCGGGGGTTTAAGGTGAGTCTCATCCCATTCCACACCATCCAATCCTAACAAACCCTCAGATTCCCCCATAAAATCGGCATCGAAGCCTCCGGCACAGTCGTCGCCACAGGATCCGACGTAACGCTCTTCAAACCCGGCGACACCGTATGGGCATTCGCGCAAAAACACCCCATGGACCTGCTCTCCGCCCCAGGTTTTACCTCCGAGTACGCAGTCGCCACCGAGCAGCTCACCCTCCACAAACCGCGTAATGCATCTTTCGAGGAAGCGTGTAATACCAGCGCTATACTAGTCGCGGTGCAGACTATATCCATGGGATTACGCTTGATGCGGGAAAACGGCGTCACGGAGGGGTTGGAGGGGAAGACGGTATTTGTCTCAGGCGCGCTTAGTGCGACAGGCTCGGCCGCGGTACAAGTTTTGAAGAATGTGTATGGGGTGGGTAAGATTATTACTACGGTTTCCACAGCTAAAGTGCCACTCGTGGAGACGTATCTTCCGGGGTTAGCCGACCAAGTCGTCGATTACACCAAGTATGGGGATCTCACTGATGCGATTCCGCCGGGGACCGTGGATTTCGTGTATAACACGCAATGGGATTTACTAAAGACGTTTCCGTTGCTGAAGCCGGATGTCGGAGTCGTGGCTTCGATTGCTAGTGTACCGGCCCCGAGTACGCTGCGCAAGATGTTGCCCCCGTTGCCGTTTTTTGTGTATTGGCTTACGGGGCTTGCGCAGTGGTGGTATGCGTTTAAGTTGCGTGGGACGAGGGTTAAGCATGAGTTCTTGTCGGGGAATATGGGGATACGGGAGGATTTGGAACGTGCGGGTGAGATACTGGCCATGGGGAAGGTGAAGCCTGTTTTGACGGTGGTGGAGTTGGGTGGTGTAGAGGCTGTTAGGAGGGAGGCGCAGAAGGTTGCTACCGGGAAGGGAGGGTTAGGAAAGTTGGTTATTAAGATTGCATAGAGATCAAGAGTTGGGATGGGTATGGATGGGTGAGTGAATGTGTATGGATGGAGAAGAGGAGGTTATAGCTAGGGTATACAACTACGACTTGTGTCTTACGACGACATAATATTCTGTGAGTTTATAGGATTTGTTCAATTTGTCAAAATAGGGTCACGGTAATAATCAGGGCGACAATCACTAGGTAAACACAATGCTCAAATTGCTAATACGAACAATTACTCCTTTTATTAGAAAACAGAAGATCTAGAAACACGCATAACTCCCTAATCTCTCTCTAACCCCCGCTAAAGGAAGTCATCGATTAAAAAGGTCTTTCATAAAGACTATTCCCGAAGACCACAATCCTTCTCGCGCAGAGTTACAAACAAAAATCGGGTCGACTAAACAGCAAAACATAACAATAAACAAACAATGCAATACAAAGGAAAAGAAGACAAAAGAAAGTAGCATATGGAAGAAATACAATGCTCGTTACATGAATAACCTCCCGACATAACGACGTCCCCTAGGCGAGTTCGCACCACTTCTTACTGTGTGTTGCCACCTGCATTTATTTACTTGGGAGGGTTGGGGTATTTGGCGTTAGGACGCGGAGCGTACTCAGAGATGAGATTCGGGTCCAGCGTAGCGGGAACAGCAGGTGTGATAGCGATGAATGAATCGGTCGCGACAAAGATCCAGACGATCCAGGGATCCTCACCATCTTGCTCTGCTTCGTGCGGCATGGAGACAGGATGGATGTCTCCCTGTCTAGTTGTGTCTAAGAAAACAAGACCCAACTTGACAGCCCTTCCACCTCGCTTGTACCAGTAGTTCAGCACGGCCTGAGCCTGGTATAACGATATCCTCACGTCCTTAGCCGAGATATCCTTGCCGATCTCTGGAGGTGGTTGACAGCCAGGGTGTCGGAATAGCGTGTGGAACAGCGTCGGCGTTGGGTGCCATCGGTCACCATCCGGAGATTTGTCCTGGTACTTGATGGAGGCGCAGATGACGTTGATGATACCCGGAAGACCCATCAAGTAATCACCTTGTACTCCCCATGAGATCGGGAACGTCTGCTTCAGAATAGCTCGCATCTTGGCCTCTTGCAGATCAGTCTCTTCCTCGGGCGTGAGAGCAACTTCTTTCTCTTTATCAGCTGGAACTTCCTGGATTAGTTTCTCCATCAATTCCTCTGCCGACAGTCCGATTACAGGGCCGGCCTCGATCTTCGGGTCATCCTTCTTCTCTGCCTCTGCCTTCTTCTCTGCCTCTGCCTTCTTCTTAGCCTCCGCTTCAGCCTTTCTTTCTTCTCTCGCTTTCTTGGCCTCGTCCTTACGCGCCTGTTCTGCCTTCACCAACGCTTCCTCTTTCTCCTTTGTGATTTTCGAAGGAATCTTTGCTTGGTCCTTCCACGTGATCTTCTTCTTCTTATCCTTGGGCACCTTGGTAATAGCTACCTCCGAATCCGAGTCTGGTATTACCTCAATGGCAGGCTTCTTGGCGGCGGGTGGGATGGGAGCGAGGATGAAGTCAGCCGGGATCTTTCGCTTCTTAGGGTTGCTGTGTGGCGTTTCATAGTCCCGGGTAGTTGGCAATAGCGGGATACGGCGCTCGGGGACTGTAGTTAAGCTTTTGTATAGGTCAACTGCAGAGCCAATCCAGCCCCTCTCTGGTGGAGGGTAAAGTGCTGTGACGAAATAGTCAGTATAATCCTGAACAAGGAAATCAAGGTGCATCTGGGAGATATGCTTAGAAGCTATGTTTTCCAACGTACCGAGTTCGAGCTGTTGGCTCATCAAAAGTTGCTGTAACACGGTTTCAGCCATAGGGAAAAGAGCCGGTCCTGGTACGAATCGATCGCCAGTATCGACCATCGGCACCAGGCCGGGCTTACTCTTAGACCAGTCAGTAGTCATTTCGTCGTCAGTAGATTCGCTAGAGATGTTGATAGGTTGAATAATGGTTTGATTCTTCTTAGGTTTCTCTGGTTCGGCTGGGGACTCTGGGGTACTTGTCTTATTTGAGGGCTTTGTAGTCGGAGAAGGCTTTGTCTGATTCAGATTCTTTGTGGTTTTCCGACTCTTTATCCTCCTCGGACGATCGCTAGGAGCATTCGTCTTTGTGCCTGTCTCAGGAGCCGTTTCCGTTGTCTGCTGTTTTCCAGGATTGTTCCAATCAAAGCCTTCGTATTCAACGGGACCCTCGCCTAAGTCCATTGGTCCGTCTTGTACAGGGAGTCCCGGGAGAATACCTTCATGAGGCTTCGGCCCGCGAGATTCCGGGTACAAGAGGCCGTAGTCGTAGAACTTCTCCTTAGCCGTAGGTATTCTGCGCGTTAAAATACCGAATTCCTGATCGGGCTGTCTCGGGTCTCTTCTTCTAACCTCATCTTTTCGAAGCTTGATTTCGTCCTGCCGCTCCTTTGTTTGGCTAAAGAGCGGCCAGCGTCTCATATCGAAGTAACTTCTCCGAGTGAACTTAGCCTGGAACCGCCTCTCTTCTTTAGTGGCCCATTTGAAGAGACTTGGCCTCCTGTAGGCTTGAAGATATGGCTTCGGTGCTTCCTCACCTTCACTCGTGTAATAACCAGGTAAGCCAGATACGTCCTTTAGAGCCGTAAGGCGGCCAGGATACAGCGTATTGCGATTTTTAACGCATTCCTCGATAATTCCTTCTCGGATGAGTTTCGAGGCACTGTAGAGAGGGTACATTGCTTCCATGATCCCCTTAGAGTCTACTTTATCAACAACACTTTGGAGTTTAGGTCCCTTAAATTCCACCTGACCAGTGCCGTAGAGTAAAGTTTTCCACCAATGCTGAAATTCTTTGTGAAACTCCTTTCGAGAAATCGGTTTCCAGAAATTCTCGCCGGCCTGAGGTTTTTTGAACCGAAGGCGGTTCGCAATCTCATCTGAATGTGCTATTGTGCGACCCATTCGGAAAGCAAGGTTGCGGAAGAACTGAGCTGTTCTCTCCGGAACTGGGACTCTGACATCTTCCTCGGTCTCAGGCGACGTGCTAAAGTAGTCCCAATCGAGTACGTCCGACCAGCTGGGCGCCTGACGCCCTGCTTCTATACTCTCCTCGGGATATTCACCCGGTATCATGGTGGTTTCTGGCAGTATGAATGATTTCAATTGACTCATCTCCGTGCCATTGGGTTTTATGGGTAGCTCGAGATTTGCTACCCAGTGTCGTAGATTTGGTTCACCGACGTGATCGAGGAAGTGCTCGTAATTTTCTGCTGTATGGCCTGAGCTCTTGTCTTTTTCATGGTCGAGGCCATATGCTTCAACTAGAGCATTTGCTCTGGTTTCTCGGTATGACTCTTGCTCAGCCAAGAATTCCTTCGTACTGTTGTGGCGCCAAATGACGCGGTGCTCAGGGTGGAATTCGTAATCTGGTCTAATGATAACTTTACCCTTCTTCTCGATTACTGCCCTTATTGTTTCACTAATGTTTGGTGGTTGGTACTTTGAGTCTCTCTCTAGGAATGGCTCCCCCTGGCTGTTCAATTGGACAGTTGGCTGGTAGCTAATATATGTCAGCAAGAAGTTAAGCATCATGATTTATTATTGAACTAACCTGCATCGACCTAACTCTGTAGATCTTCCGAGGAAAATATTAGCTTCTTGAAGCGTGAACTTATAAGTGTCGTTCGCGTGATATCCAGGAGCACCTTTGCTGCCGTTGATATAATCCAGCGCCTCTTGAAGAGATGGGACCGTTTCATCTTTGCGACGGAAATACTCAACCGCATCAATGTCATAAAGGTCTAACCCATCTAATTTCGCGTGCCCAGTAGCCGCTGAATCATTTAGGAAATCCTGAAGACGAGAGTCGAAGAGTAAGGCCAAGTTATTCTCTGGACTTACTTTAGGATCACACATTTGACGGGTGCGGGAAGGCTGGCAGAGGAAGGTTAGCCATGCAGCGTCATTTTCATCGGTATACATGGGAACCCATTTATTCAGGTACTCGTCGTAAATGTAGTCGACATCCCTGCGTCTCATGATATCTTTTCGGGCTTGCCTAGCTGTCTCGGCGCCATCAGGACGCCAATTCTTAGAAGTGTCCCCAGCTTCCGGATCAGGCTTCCAGTCAATTCCAGATTGGATATCTCTCATGACAGCTAATAGAAGTGGTCGAGGGGCCTTTGAGAGGGCGACTTCCATAAGCTTTCGTAATCGCTTTAGGTATGCACCCATCTTGAGCCAGTAATCGTCGTAGATCGAAAGACCCCGATAAACGAAGGGTCCGAGATAATTCATGGGCAAGGCAGACCTGGTAAAATTATCCCAGTGGTCTCCGTTGTAGCGACGACGCTCCCAGCCAGCCATGTTCTCTCTTAGATCCCTAAACTGACTGTACTCGTAGGTCCAACGGAAAGGATCCTTATGAGCATCGGTTAAGACGTCTGGTGCGAGTGCTCTGGGGTAATAAATTATATCGTTCACAGTTGGGCAGGCTCCCTGACGGGGAAGAACCACTCGACGCCATGGGGTGTTGACGACTCTATTTTCGTAACTATCGAATACGTTCAAGCACTGCTGAAGAGCAGCTCGTCGCCACCCTCGCGCTACGCAGAAACTCTTCAAGCCCTGCGAACCCTTCCCATCTATAGAGATATCAGGGATGTTGTCGGCGGGCCATTCTGGAACTGAGTGTATTGTTTCCGAGATTCCACTCCACATGCAGCGTTCATACTCGTCGTTGTCAAGCTGAAACCCATTGACGAGCTTCAAAAAGGCAGGATTTTTAATACCCACTGCCTTCTCGAAGAATAGCTCTTCGCAAGTTTGGTAGTAATCAACCACCTTCGATCCTCCCCTAGTTATATTCGGAAATGGCTTTGCGTACCCGTAGGTGCGGTGCCCATGACTAGCAGGATACTGCTTGCGTGTGTATCGCGCTCTACCAAGCTTCGGTTGAATGTGAGAACTTGGGTAGTTCGGTAGGCGATCTGAGACAAATTTGCCCTGTATTGTGTCGTGTGACCATGGCGATTTGACAGACTTGAATTTATGGAAATCCTCATGTGTTTGTACAAGAATAAGCGCATCCTTCAGTAACCCAACCGTATGGGGATCCTCATAACCCAGGTCTCCTCGTAGACGTGCTTCTTCGCATTTCTTAACATATCCGCTAATCAACTCGAATCTCGGTCTCCATTGCCCGTGGCGGTAGATATCTTCGTCGGATAGAAAATTTATGATCCTCGGTAGCGTAGTAACCGGGTCCATGCCATCCGGACCTACGGACAAGTCTGGTGCTTTACTCGCCCGATCGTTCGGGCGATAGGGCCCTGAGGGCCTATAGGAAAAATCATCTTCCGACATGACTCCCTGGCGTGAAAATACAGCCCAAAGAGGGAACTATGGTAATTTACAAATGACTAACAAATATCCAACAATTCCAGTTTACCAGTCAATACTCATTGTCAGTCAAGATGTTGTTTTTTTCGTTGAGGGGTTTTTGGTTAGGACTCAGCGTATGACGGGCAGTCAACAGCGACAGATGGTCAAGAAGAAAGAAGCAAGAAGAAAAAAGAGGTTTCCGCTCGCGATGCCCTCTTTGGGGGAAGTAGTGGTTCTTGTCTCCTGTTTGGAATTTTTTAATTACCAGGGACAGACGTCTTCAGCATTCCAGAGGCATCTGGGGGTTTTCTTTCACCACAATCCGATTTCGACAAAGAATGCCATTGTAGACCTAAAGCCTTTAGTGCGTGTATGTGAGACAGAAGCACAAAGGGGTTCAACTATATTATATCTTTGCCGTTTGCAGTCTTAGTCCGAAGTAGGCATTCTTTGCGAGACGTTAACCGGAATTGTGAGAATAACATAGTAATCTTTCCTTTAGGATTCCGCTGTTAGCATATAGGTGAGGATTTAATACACTTGGAGATTTTCCAGTGGAAAGGATGAAAATGACCGGCAGTGGTAAGTCCCCCGACTCCTCACAGGGCCAGGAGCCCGAGGGTCAGCCTAGGCAGAGCGTTAGGCGGGCACGGGCACAGGCGGGCGGGATGCCGGAGGAAGAACGTCGGGAACGGCAAGAACGCAGACGTCAAATAAAATTAGAGAAACGGCGCCAGGAAGAGGCGGCGAAAGCAGCCGAAGCAGAGGCAGAGGCAGCTGCTGCTGCGGCCGAGGCTGAAGCGACCGGGTCAAATACGCAAGAAACGACGGAAGAAACGAATGCAACTGATCAGGAACCAGCAGAACCTGAACAGGAGCCGGTAGAGCCTGAGGCTACCCAAGAGCAGGCGACCGAGGAGGAAGCCCCGCGAGAGCGGAAGCCCTGGGAATCATTGATCATCGGTGATTTGGGAGAGAACTTGAGCTATATCGAAGAAAAAGATCGCGAAATCGAACGACATCGATATATCGTCAACTATTACCAAGAACATAATCCTCGCGCGGTCCTCCACAACCAAAGAATTCTTGATCAGTTGATAAAGGAGAGGGAAGAAATGGAGGACAATGAAGAGAACAACTTACCCGAGTAGGTCTGCCACATATTAAATAAATTCGTTTTGTTTTTTCTCTTTCTTTTTGAAGTGTAGACGAACTAATAACTGCGCTCCTAGAGATCAAAGGGAACGTACCAACCGCATTGGCGAGCGTCTAGAAATCCTTAATTGGGCTCTCGACACTTGCCAAAACGATGCCGAAGAAGCCAACATCCGAGCCGCGATTGAGGGATACCAATCAGGCGAAATAAGTTACTCACTAAATTTCACACTTATATACGCCGGGCGTATCGTCGACACTTGTCCCACATACCAATCCTTTTGCGTAGATAGACAAGAAAGACTAGACCTCTACCATGAAACATTCGGGGAAGGATGGTTATGGCACGAGCCGCCATTAGCCGGTCCGCAGCACATAGCGCTGGCGAAGAAAGGCGAATGTCTGCAACGAGTACACCACCAACAGGACTACAACATAGGGCACTACCCCATAGAGCTTCAATTTTCCGTCGACAAGAATAAGATAAGCAGGACGCATAAGCCTGTGCCTTCCCGACCGAAAGACGATGAGGTATCGCTAACAGATACCGATACATCATGCATCCTCACGTCGTTGTTGGATTGCGGAGCAACCTATCCATTCTTGCCTGCTTACGACCTCAAGTATTTGAACGTCGATTTAAGATGGTATGCCGCGCAAGGCGTCACCAAGATCGCGGGGATAACCAATGTTGCCCCGTACAGATTCTTCGAGATGTTCGTATCGGTGCTTTCGAACGCCGGTGACACCTTAGTCGGCGAGGGTGACCAAGCAGTATGGCCTGACCAGCCACGGGTCCTTGGAGGTTTCACCCCGGTCATTATCAACCACAACCACAGGAATAAATCGCATGCCCGCGATCGCTTGAGTGGTATGGTGCCCTTTGATGCGTGTTATATCTCTTCGGCGCCTGCAGCGTACGAGTTATGGATCGGAGAAGATCGTCGAGATGTGCTAGGCGCAAGACGCCTGCCGCCACATTTACGGCATAGCCAATCGAGGTCGTTCGAAAAGAAACCGCCCGAGGATGGCAAAAGAGACGAACTTGAAGAGCTGCGAGAAGGCCTGCAGACTCCCGACCAAGTAATATTCATACACAACCTCGACAAAGAAAAATCTGTCTTCATCGACGCAGATTGGCCGGGAGTAAGAGGGAAGAGCGAGCTAGCGATCGCAGCGAGAAAATCGTACGAACGTATCGGGCAAAAGCCTCTAAAGAAAGCGCAGAGGAGGATCCTCGAACCGCGAAAAGGCGGATATAATATAGAGGACTGGGATCTTATGTGGCGATTTGATTTTCTAACGAAGGACGAATTCCTAGATAACGATTACAAAGAAGTAGGAGAGATACCCAAACCAAAACGGTTACGGAGGCGTTGAAAAGTAAAAATTTATTGCCGAAATATTAGGTAGGCAGCGACTTGCATGCCATGTTGAGACTTTTTATTGAAGGGAATGAATCTGCCATCGCAATGTATAACGAAATGTTCGAATCATCGCTTCGTATGGAATAGGTATTCGTGCGATCGCAACTTAACCGTCGATAGACCTGTAATGTCTAAAATGGCAGCTTATTTTCAATCGCCGTATGACAGTTGGTAACGCCGACGACGCCCACAGTAGACATGCGATTACCACCATAGAGGTAAATGTTTCGCACTTCAGTGCGATCTTCAGGAGGACGCAGCAGCTTACCGACTTAGATATATACCTCACCCACAGCTTTCCCAAATGAGTCGTGTCGTGCATAAGCGAAATCGATTGATGATGACAACGCAGAGCTCGGAGATTGTGAAGATCTTTTGTAGGTGGCTGGCTCGCTAATCAGGGCCTCGGCCCGAGCCCCAGCTTCAGCACGGGTATGTCTCTCTTCCTTTCGAGTGATAAGGAAAAGTAAAAGGGGTGGAACATATTTCGATCACCCTTACGTAGAGATCATTAGGTAGTCGAATCTCTTGCTTTCTTCTTTTTTGACCTTGCATCCAATGTGTTGGATATCATAATGTACGAATTAAATGGGCGATACATCGTATATGAAAAACCGGTGAGCCGGTACTGTCGCATTCTCACATTTCATAAGATCTCTGTTAAGTTTATGAGATGCTTAGGTAGTCGCGACGTTATTGGATAGGCTATAATCAACCAGACCCTGTCTAATTGTAACATACCTCTACGTGCTGGGAAGAAACATACGGATGGGCTTTGACCATTAAGCCCAGCGTGGTTAATAAAGACCTATCGGAGATTTCTAGGCCAACGCCAACGCAAGTGCTCATCTCCGATTGCTGATTTGATTTGTTACGGCGCTCGGAGGGAATAAAAATCCATCTTGAAATGATCAGAGCGTCTAGGTTGTTAATTGACTGATCTCGGAAAATGGCGAAGAGAGGCTTGCAGCTATGGGTTGGGTTGCAGAGATTGTTCAACACTACCCGCCAATCGCAGGGTTCTGAGTGGTACGGGAACCGACATAATAATGGGAATAGTGCATCTGTAGAGGGAGGAAAAAAAAAAAAAAAGAGGAAGTCTTGGCGTGATTATATGGAGATCTTAATCATATCGACGCGTAAAGGGCTTCGTCTCTTTTCCATCCGTTCTCGAAGGACTCGTGTTTAGCGTATGATATTTGGGCTAAGCGGTGTTGGCCTGGAGCCCGTCTTATTCGTCTTATTTTAGAGTGCTCATTTATGGTCAGCTTAATACAGGCCAACGTCAGATAGCCGCATACCTACATAGTAGGCCGAGTATCCGCTCTCCGCACCATTTAACGCGACCGACGCCAAAACGCCAACCCGACGCGTGCTGCGGAGAAGAGGAGAAACACCTAGACCAGACACTTTCGCCCCCGAGGGGCTGGGTAGGTATTAATCATCTCGTCATCGTGTACCCCACCGTCGGTTCCATGTTGTATGGATTCGATTCCGGTGCATTCAATATCAGGGTTTATCCCCTCTCCAATTGCGGCACTTGCAATCACGAGACCGGTGAGAAATACTGGAGATATCTGCATTTGCTTTGTAGCAGTTATAGTATATGAGCTAGATACGCGATAGCCTAGACCACGGTGAGGATGCCCGGTTCTCTTAGGTGATGTTCGGCAGGTTTTTAGTATCTGTCGCAATGCGATATTCGTACTTTTGCTCGTACCGTACTATAGGAGTTTCGGTACGTTTTATCAACGTAAAAAATTAATTCGGTTCCAAGGGATACTGTAGTATGTTCCCCTGCATAGCCTAGGAGGATACCGAGGATGGATCCGTTGTTGAGGCTGATGTGATGATCACAAAAGCCTGTATCCTTGTGCGCGATTCCTTGCTGATATCGCCGAAAGGCATGTGTAACCTGCTATGAACGGGCACATGCGGTTAGATCAGGAACTAACACCAACAACTTGCAGAAGCAGGATCGTGGCATAGAAAAATAGACATAATTGGGACAGTCTCATCTATTTCGGAATAGTTGAAGATAGATGATAGCTGAGATAAATAATCTCATGAGAACAGTAATCGCGGATTTGTGGTGGTATCTAGACGAGAAATGCGCATGTAGGACTCGGGATCCTAATTGTGGAATGATATCATAATGTTTCTGGTTCGGTGGCTTACTGGACCGTAACAATCCCCTACCAACATATCATTGAGCGACGAACATGTGGGTAGACTTACAGGGGAAATATGGAACACACGGCTCAACTGAGACGAAGCTATCCGTGTCGCTGATTGATGAGACCGGTATGTAGTTCGGGAACCACGAACAAGGCCGAGTCTTAACTAGGCCAGGATCTAAGGCCTTTCCCCAGACTAGATGCAAACCCATGAGTTTCGGCCAGGTCAACCGTGAGATCTAAACGCGTCCCGAAGCTAGCGCGTTCTTTATTTTCTCTTTAACCCTCGCGTTATCCTTGCTAAGGGGATCTCTAGCAAGAGGATCCTACTGGTTACTGGTTCAATCGGATACTCCAGTCTAGCCAAGAACTTGTATCTTTCGCCTAGGTAGAAACTCAGCTGTTGAGGTCTTAGCGCTAGAGTGCAACTAGAAACTCGAATACTTGACTCCCTGGTTTTCTTGCCAGATTCGTCAGGATCCGTGTGTAAATTCGGGACTGACTCGTGCTGAGCGGAGTTTGAGTACTACCTTGTGTTCGACTAGGACCTCTATTGCCGATATTTTTGGGTGTGTTGACTTAATGAGTACTATACCTAAATGAAAGTATTGCTCAGTCTATAGCAATTAGTGTGTGACACCACTGTTAACAAGAATTGAATATAATGGTAGCGAGAAGCTAGTAACGTCATATGGTAGACGCGGTAGGAGGGAGTACGAGCACATGGGATCGTTATGGCCTGCAAGCGCTTAGGAGAGCCAACGGTTCCGTTGTGTTCCCCGCCAGTAACATCGTCAGATCAAAGTGTGGTGCAATGTGACGTTGGTAACGCCGACACGGGATCAGCTTATTAGGCAGATTTCGTCAGCCGTTCGAGAGCGACGCCATCTCTTTGAAACAAGACCCAGTAACTCCAGTATTTCAGACTCCAGCGACGGGAGTTCCAAATATGGGAGGTCGATAGGTGATTCGCGGCTTATAAGCCTCCAATCCAGCTTCGACTCCGCTACCTACGAGACTTCTTGGTAGGGTTCATTTTTAAAGATCTACCGCGGCGCAATGAATCGTATCTGTTCGCTAACTACTAATCGTCGATCATTGGCTGGTGGGAATTGATCAAGTGTCCCCCGAAGGATTCCGCGGTAAGGTATCTGAGTGTCAAAACGAAGGACCCGACCCTTGAAATATCGGTTTTCTTTTTTTGCCTGTGATACAATATGTATCGTGTAATAGCTACGTATTGGTAATGGATAATGGAGATCCGCCCACCAACATAAAAAAAAAACTTTTTCAATGTTACGGTAGCCTTGGCTAACCATAACTATTTGTAGCAAATGGTCCACAGAAGCAGAAGGAAAAAATGTCTTACATCAATGCGCTTGAAATGAACTCAACAACCCACTATGACATGAAGGAAGAGGAAGAACAAGAGGGGAAAAATTAAATATAGTAGAGTTGAGTAGCATGGATTGTAACACATGTCTTAATGAGTTAAAAGTAGCAGAGAAAGCTCGATTACTGGATTCGGAGATGATTAACATGGTTTGCACAAGATAGGTAGGCATGTTTAAGTTGCATTAGTTTGATTTTATGCGTTCCACAATTTCACTGTCCCATTCTGGCGGATTTCTTACCAGCCTCATTGTGGCTCACCCCGGACAGTGGATCCAAAGCTTCTAGATCTTTAATCGAAGCATTGTGCAACCTTAAAAAGTTAAATGAATATCCAAATTGTCGGTATGCAGCATAATATATAGTGCATAGTATTATTCCCATAATGACTTTACAGACTAAAGCGGAGAGGTGTTCATTTGAATTTTATTATGCGGAGACCTTGTAATTGCCCTAGAGATAGGATCCCGAGGCTATAGCATAGCGGAGAGTTTCCCTCACTACGGTGTGCAATTTTTGAAATTAGACATCTTGATATTCTCACCAACCGCCAGTTCCATTACCTAACGAAAGGTTTCGGCAATGCAGAGTCGTCGATCCAGACTCATCTAATATCACCATATTGCGGTAACACCGGCTCTTCAGAATTTTACTTGGGAGCGTTGTCGACCAGGAAACCGGAGAGAATGTCTTATTACGACTGTAGTAAAGAGGATCCGTCAGGAAAGAAAAACGCCATCTAACGTGCCGAACCCACTACTGGATGGTCCCGCGGCCCGCTTCATGACTAAAGTGTTAGCTTAGAGATGCTCTGGACATCCCGCTTAAGTGACTTTTCATCGGTCCTTCGATGAAAAAGTTTGCACCGCGTCGGCGGATCTCTAGGAATAAATTCGCGTTGGCCCAGTAGTATGGATGCCTCATACCCAAAGGTTGGGGGCCGGTTGAAGTGTCTATTATCTAGCTTCGGTAGCTTACCACTAAGGTACACTCAGCGCTGTTTGCTATGGGGCAGACCCGTTTCCGTTATTCTATGATGGCATGATGCCGCAATCTAGGCCACGGTATCGAATTGTCAGCATCGGTTTTAAGTCTGAATATAGCTTGAGCGACCCCGTTACGGCGCATTTCGGCTGCGTGCTGAACGAAAAGCGGGAGGCGGGTAGTATTTTAAAGTCAAAGAATGGAAATATAGAGTCATTGTCAGTAGTCATAGTTCGTTCCACGTGCCTGGAAAATCTGGCCTTGGCTCTTCACCGCTGTGGTTCGGTTACGCATCTAACAATCGGTTTGATGGGAAACGTCGTCATTGTCCGGAAATAGGTAGGTTCGCTCGAAGAAGACAGCTAATCGTATCTTTTAGAATCGTAGAAAATGCATGTTTTTTCAATACCGCTAGTTAGCCAACTTGCATGACCCGCCTCTCAGCCTCTGCGAACTATTGCAAAATCCTTCGGATA